ACGGTAGTCTGGCTCATTCAGAGAAGCGTATTCGGTACGCGCTGTCTGAGCTCTCGAGACCCTTCTCAGGTACGAGGAGTGGTTTTTATTTCCAAAACTTTTTTCGTTCGCGAAGCATGGCTTCGCAACCTCGCCCAGACAAAGACAGGCGGAAGGCCCTGCGCGACGGTGTCACCAGAGGTGATACCCAGCCGCTGACCGACTTCGAGGAGCACTATGTCGCCAGGATCCAGTGGGGTAGCTACCGGCCAGGCGACAGTTACCGGCGGAGCCGTTCACCGGCCCGCAGGGGCACATCCTCCTACCGGCATTGGTCGCCTCCCAGGCGACGTTAAAAGGAAGATTATCGGCAGGCACCTCGATACCGTCGGCACGAAGACTGACCGGGACGTTCGCCATCGCCCCGTTCGTATAGGCGACGGGATGCCAGAGAGCGGGCGCCGCCATCGAGCTCAACTCGCCCACCGGCTCGAAATTCCTACCGGCCTGAGGTGCGACTTCACCGCGACGATTTGCTCAACGTATACTACGTCGACCGCCGCCCGCAGGCTGCATACTTCGCAGACTCAGTTATCCGCATGCTACTCGACATAAAATTGAGCAAGCCGAGAGATGTGTACTTCTTCACCGATTTCGCCGCGTGGAAAAATTTCCCTTCCATCATACCGTCGACGAGAGCGTGCAGGCTTTGAAGGAGTACATTGACCAAGCGAAGGGGAAAGGTATCGAACCGCAGGTGGGCTGGCCAGCGCCGCACGCGGCAGAGGATGTCAAACGAATATTCACAGTGTACAACCCCACGCCTGTCCATTGAGTGGGGTTTGAGATCAACGTACAGCCGCCTGCCATACGCATGTTCAATTCATGGAAGCGGAATAAAAAGTACGTATCTCTCACAGCCGCTTGCAAAGAGGGGCCACTCCTGCTCTCTCTCGCCAGCTTATGACCCGGATCTCCGCTCGCCGCTGCCGGACGCGATTGGAGAGTCAGTCTCCGTCGTAGAAGAGGACTGCCATCAGCAAGGGTCCATGAATATCGATTGCGGTCCGTTTTGCGTTTACAACCTGACGCAGCGCATTCATGACCTGCCCCTTACTACGCCTCGACTACCGACTGCCGATCTACGGCATGCTTTTGGCCAATGGCTGAGAGCACAGTGCGTGCGAGCGCTATACACTTGGCACAACCACGAGACGGCGGATTGTACCCTCCGCGGCCTGTTCAATGACCGTCAGCGCTTCCATTGCCAACCCGAGGCGCTCCATCTAGGAAGCGAGCCAACACGCTGCGGCCGACCGGCCTAGAAAATCAACCGAGCCTACCAAGTCTACTGAACCGAAGCCACCGGAAGCAAAGGCGGCAAGCCGTCTGCTATTGGAATATCCAGGACATGGCCAACAGATGCAGGAGGCCACTCTGGCGCGCCCAGGCTGAAGCTGGTGCTGAAGACACGTGGTGACCCATCTACAACTGGACGATCCGGGACATGATCGATTGCAGGCCCCGTGGACCGCCTTGACGAAATCTTCATGCGCCCCCGACCTCCTCCGTGAAAAGCTATTCAGACATTACTTCGATGCATATCAGTGTCAACTGGGTGGAAGATTATGCATTTTAGCCTCGGTCGTGGATATCGAAAATGTATGTCTTACCTAAAGGTGAAATGGTGGCGCCTACTAACCAGGTAGGAAACCTTCGGATACCCGCGCCTATGACAAGATCTTGCTTTGGTCGTATGGGAGCGTCAACGGAGGGGATCCCTCGTATATCACGAGGGAGCACGCAGCACATCATTGCGCGTGTGGGGCCGTTGACATTTGAACTTGTGCTTGGGAGTTTGTCGTGAGTTCGCAACTGATGACATATACCAAGGTACGGAGCTAACACGTCTAGCGCGATTACCAGCGGAAACCGACATGAACTATCGCAAAAGCCTCAACAAACTCCCTCCTCCAGCTATCCCTTTTGGGTGCGCTGAATTATATCCAAAAAGCACTTAGCGCAGTCATTTTCTTTCAGGATTGAACACATTTCCGGATAGCCTATGGACCAATCTCCCCATGTCATAAGACGACGAAGCAACCACTGGTTGCTTCGCGCAGCGCAATAATTTTGCCATGCTAGAAAAAGGTGCTCAGTTCACCTGTTCATGGCTGCGCCAAAACGGAACCCTCTGTGGTGCGCGAATGGAGAAATACGGTGCAAAAGACCGTGGAGCCCCTACAATATATGTTCATCCGTTCGCAAAGCACAAAGACCGCTCGAGAGCCATCGGAACACAAATGCATGCAACAATACACCTGCCTCTTCCTCGCACGGATTTTCGCGAAGCTTAGGCTCCTACCACTGCTATCGCTCCTCAATATCGGGAACCAACTTCGGATCATCACATTCCACGGATCATGCGATGCTGCGGTCTTTTCTCACAAATCTCTGGAAAAGAGGCCCCTTTGCAAGAGGTTATCAGTCGTCGAGAGTATCTCCATATCACCGCCGTTACTTGCTCCGCTTCTCTCGCGGAATTAAGCTCGATTCAAGCGACCTATCTTACAATGTCGCTGCGTGTCCTTCGGATCTCGGCCATATGGAACACAGCTAAAGGGAGACATGATACCAATGCCGAAAGGGAAAGCACACAACAATGAAAGTGGGTGGCACAGGAGTAGTCAGAGTGTCGGCCGATCTCAAGAGGAAAGGAAGGAGAGCAACACCAAAGGGCGGCACGGGGAAAATTGAAGAGGCAGGCAGAACGTAAGATGCTATGCGAGATTGTGGGTCTTCTACGTCCATCGCCGCATGAATCTACTGACTTTACCGCTGTAGATCAACCCCTCACCGATCTTGAAGCTTGTTACGGCTACGACCTCGTACCGCGATTCGCGATTCGCGTCCCTCGCAGAATGCATATACGGAGCGCCCCGCCTATCCGGCGTTATTGACAAGGGAGGGAGGGAGGGCTACACTTTTTGCTCAGAATGATTGCGTACAAAGCAATTATCTCATGACAATATGGATGACATGGACGACCTCTCCATATACGACGACATTGAATGGGCCGGAGTCGGAGGGGGTTGCACAATCGTGAGCGTGGGGGGTAGGAGCATCGAGAGAGCTAGGGGTCGGGAGATAGGATGAAGGGGGTTAGATTTAGGATGGGTTGAGATGCAAGTATTGAGAATTGAGATCATTGATTAAGAATACGAGAAATATGGCTATACATATCTCCCATAGTCACGTGATGCAGTAACCATATCCGGCAACAGATCTTCCGCTCGCTTATTGGCGGGATCTCGGGGCAAAGATGCCACGACCACCTGCTTCCTCCAACATCCAAAACTCTTCTCCAAGTTTGTATACGAGCAACCTGCCCGCACGAACCGTGACGTTTTCTTCTCGACTATCTCAAATTTCTATGAGCGCAGCCGCAAGGCGCTTGTCTGCCACTCTTTCCCACCTCTACCCCGCTCCGGTTTCGGTCCCCCCCACCAGCGTCAACATGGCGCAGAGGACGAAGGTCGTCGTGACACGGCAGCTCATCGATGAGGCCCAGAGACTATTGGATACGAATACAGATCTCGAGATCGTGCAATGGCACTCTTCAAATGTAGCAATTCCTCCCCAAGATGTGGTTTACCTAGGTACGCAGCGCTGACGAAATGACCCAGCCATGTGACCGATCATGGCTCCTCGAGCACGCGAAAGGCGCAACCGGCGTCCTCGTAATGCTCTCAGACAAAGTCGACGAGGAGCTTCTCCAAGCCGCAGGAGCCCAGCTCAAAGTCATCGCGTCGTTCTCCGTCGGCACCGATCACGTGGACCGCGAGGCGCTCAAGAAACGGAATATCCGGCTCGGCTACACGCCGACGTGCCTAACAGATGCCGTAGCCGACCTTACAGTCATGCTGATTCTGATGGCGCAACGAAGAGCTGGAGAGTCGATGGGCAAGGTGCTCGCTGGCGAATGGCCGCAGATGCCGTGGCATCCGTTGCTGATGACTGGGCCTCAGATCTCCCGCTCGACGGTTGGATTTCTGGGATTTGGGCGCATCGGACAGGCCACTCTGAAGAGACTGCTTCCATTTGGTATCAGCCGGGCGATATACCTTACCTCGAAGCCGGGAGAGCCCGTACAGGAAGACCATTTCGGCATCATCAAGGAGGCAGCTATCCCCATCGAGCCCGCAAAGAACTGGGAGCAGCTAGCCAGCGAAAGCGACATCGTGGTCGTTGGATGCGCACTCACACCAAGCACGAAGCATCTCGTGAGCACGGAGTTTTTCTCAAAGATGAAGAAGCGCGCAGTCATTGTCAACATCGCACGAGGGCCCATCATCGACACCAATGCCCTGGTCGAAGCACTAGCGCAGGAGAAAATATTCGGCGCGGGACTGGATGTCATCGAAAATGAACCCAACATCTCCGCCGATCATCCGCTGCTCAAGCAGCCGCGCTGCGTGCTGGTGCCGCACATTGGCTCCGCGACGATCGAGACGCGAGAGCAGATGGCGACGGAGTCGGTTAAGAATCTTCTCGCTGGTCTAAAGGATGAAGCCATGGTTAATGAGGTAGAATTGTAGACAAACTCTATGTACGGAACTCTTCCGCTATCTCATGTGTTACCGAATATATAAGGCATCATAACTGAAGAGCAGAAGGATTGGACGATCCTTTTGCCCAATATCATGCGTTCACATTAGAAACGGTGTTCTGTGCCGCCGCGCCCCCAACTCAGAAAACTACGCCTCTATGTAGTGTTTCAGAACAACCCGCGCCATGCGGCTCGAATTAATTTACTTGAGGCTGTGCAAGCCCATAGTGTTGGATGTTGCGGCAAAGCAGCTCGGCGGCGCTTAAACCTAATGCCCATAAAAAGCGCCTCTTCCCATCCAAAAAAAGCCTCCAGACGCCCCACGAAAACCAAACCAGTCGATTTCCTTCTTTCAATCCTGCTACAACTCGCGATGCACTCCATAGCAACCGCCCTCTTGCTCACCGCAGTCGCAGCAGGAAGCGTCATCCCAGCTCGACCCCACCAACAGCAACAACCCATCCTCGGGAACACCAACAACGCACATGACGACCAAATACCCGGAAACGCATCCTTCATGCATTGCAAGACCGCCGAAATACGCGACAATAACATCTTCCATATATCAAGACTGGACGCATATCCTTCGCCTTCAGACATTCTACCGTACGCACCCTCACACCTCGCATTCTCCACCACACGATTAAACCCCCCTTCCCCACTTCGCTTTCCAAGCTAACACGGGATGTTGATAGCGGAGACACGATAACGCTTACGCTTACCGGGAGATTCACAGACGGTGTTCCACGTAGATCTCTCGTCGCGACATTCCACACCTTCGGCGGCGACGGTAGCGACATCTGCGACAGTGTTACGCCGGTCGTAGAGCAAGAGGGCGAGGTAGTATTGCAGATGAAAGATCGAATTCCGTGGGGGACGCCGGTTGGACATTACGCTCTCGGGCACCTTGCAGCGACACCGAGATGGAACGATACGTTTTGCGTGGTTGGGGAGATTTTCGTGGGCGGGGAGCTGGATGGAAGTCCCTAAGGGACCTGGAATGAGTATGAGTTATTGAGTCGAAGGTTGCAACAGGCAGTTAGCTTCGGCTACGTCGATCTTGCAGGTCGAGAAGTTGCGCCTCAGAAAGCAGGCGGCAAAGCATGTATAACAAGATGATTATGGGATGAAGCGAATGAATTCTATTCCACGCCGCATCAAGCGGATCGTGGTTGATGGAAGTGTCGGTATAAACCAGTATTAAATACAAGAAATTCAAAACCCATGGTATCAATTTTTTTTCTTTCTTTAGAAACCGAGATGCATGTCCGAGGACCATTTGCATCCGCCTCAATGGGATGCATCGCCTCTCTTGCTCATCCCACCTGCTAGAGCACTAGCCTGCAGCCTGAACGCTCGGAGGTTGCTAGTGGTACTTATCGATCGCGTATGCATAACATCGGTGGGTGCAGACGTGTTAGGGTTCATAGCCTTCTGCGATGTGGACAATTGCATGGAGCGCATGCGATCCATCATCGGGGTCGCCCCGGTCGCGCTTTGTGGTGGTGATGGAAGCCCAGTGCCGCTTTGCTTCGCACGCGTGTTCATTCCTGTCATGAGAGCTGACATGGCGGCAGCGGGTGATACATGCGCCGGCGTATTGGGCATCGACGTGTCGGAAGTGGCGGTATTCCGGCGTTGGTGCATCATTCCGGGATGGTGATGCCCGTCGTTGACGGTATTGCGTCTGGCGAGGGGATTCCTCGCTGCTTTTGAGGTAGACGGGGATCGGCTGGGTGATTGACTGGAGGGCGGAGTAGGAAGGCCGTTGCTGAGTTGAGGCATCGAGCCATAGGTCTGCATTAGTTGCTCGAGGTTGATTGCTTGCGGCAGCTTACTCAGGCGGCGAATTGCGCGCTTGTTGTTGTCGATGAAAGTCGACATCGCTTTGAGTGCGTTAGTCTGATAGTGTTGCTCGTAGGCCGGTGCGCCACTCGGAGTGTTCATTGCCCTGACAGCATGCTGCTCGTTTAGACCCATCTGCCGGGGCGAGGAAATCGAGGCGTTGTCAAGCTGACGCTGGATCTGATTGATGACATGATCGAAGTCGACGCCTTCCGGAGCGCGGTGAGGTTGATGCATATGCGCGACGCTCATGGAAGAATCGCGGGTCAGGACGAAGAAAGAGCCATCCCAGATTTTGCGTTTGAGGATGTTCCAGCGCGCTCGAGCTGGGTTGCGCTCCATTTCCGGCTGGAATACTGAGTAGCGGGCGAGCTTAGTGTAGAAGCCCTCGAGACGATTCGCCATTCGTTCAAGAACCTGCATCAGGAAAGTAGAGAGGGCGGCAGTGCGTTGGGTTTCCGATTGTGCATCAAGATCCATGATAGTGTCGAAGGCATCCATGCCAGCGCATGCTTCTTCGCGAATAGCTTCAAGAAACTCCATGTCATATTGGACCGAGCGCTGAGCATATGCGATGATGCCCTTCTCATGGTGCCTGGCTGATTCGCTGTTGCAGGTAAACTGCCCGATCTGGGAAATTTCATTGGATGCGGTAACAGCATCAGTCGAGCCCTTGGCGCGAGCGATGATCCCGAGGACGTCCGGAAGCTTGGTTGGACCGGTAGAGGAAGAGGCATTCGCGAGGGTGAAAGAGAGCTTGAGGAACAGCTCTTGAAGTTTGGCACCGAACAGCGCGGAGAAGCCACCCTGGAGCAGGCGCGACTGATAGTGGTAGAACCTGCGGACACCGCCCATGTTGAACAAGTCACCTTGGAACCATACTATGGAGGACTCCATAATCATTCCGACTTCAAAATGTGACGCAACCACTTGTTCGGTTGCGACGCGAAGGTAGCTCTTCCAGAGCTCGTAGAGCATGCCGACTTCTTCCGAATGGTAGGAAGGCTTGGGCGTCATCTCGCCGATGTAGTACTTCGTCAGCAGTGACGACACCTCTGGATTATTGGTATGAGCCAGGAGGTCGAATGACTTGGAACAGTCAACACCGCCATTAGACTTGATGATGTTCGTGCCTCCTGGGTGCATAGGGCAGAAGTCGGTCCTGGAAGCGTTAGCAAGGGGTATTAGGGAGAGCCACTTGTTGGACTTACACGTCGTAGACCTTCCCATGCACACCGATCCACACGCGAGAATTAGGTGTGTGGCCGGTATGCATCGCAAGATGCGATAGAGGAATGGTGGGCTGGTTGCATGGGAGTGGCTTGGGTGTCATGAACACGTCGAGCATGAAGCGTTTCTCGGCAAAGGCGGTGTTGAGGATTGTCTCGGCAGTCTCCATCGTCGGAGATCGGTGATTGTAGAGGGCCTTGCGGATGCCGGCCATGACGGAGTCGAAGACACCTACAGATCCACAGACGTATAAATAACCGCCAATGCCACCTTGCTTCTTTGACATAACCAGGTCGCAGATGGTCTGTCCTTGTTCCACGATGAGACCGTCAATATATCGCGGCGGTATCTCTCGCTCGATCAAGTCTCTTGACACTGGGTCATACACAAGGCCTCGCGAGTCGCGGGAAAAGGCTGTGTGGACCTCCATCAAGCCTTCGTTGACGTATTGACGGAGCTCGGCTTCATAGCAGAACTTCTCACGCGACTGGACTCCCAGGTAGAGGATGGTCTTTCCCCAGGCGCGACCGCAACGGGATTGCCAAAAGCTCCGGAAAGGGGCAATGCCGCTCCCGCCGGCAAACATTACAACAGGGGAGGTATCATCAAAAGGGAGCTGGAACGCGAAGGGCCGCGATACGCCGATGAGAAGTTCCTCGTCGTCGACGACGTCCATTTCTTCGCCTACAGGCGGATTGAGAAAGCCACTGCTGACTCCATTGCGCGTGACTTTCATGTTGCCAGCGAAGGTAGAACAAAGATCGTATTCGGATCGCGAGATGGTAAGATCGACTGTGCTCGGCAGAAGTTCGTCGGAGCAGGTGGAGATGCTGTACGTCCTTGGAACTTCAACCGGGATAAGGTCTGCAAGCCATGAAAGATTGCCGGACAAGTCGAAGGCTTGATCCCAAACCCGGGCCGAGGTGTCCTTGACGGCTGACTGGAGCAGATCCCCCAGAGAAGCCCGAACAGGCCACTCGGTAGTGGCAAGCACCTGGAGGACCGCGTTTGATGAAGCCCGGAGCATAGTGTGCAGCTTTGTCGCGAGCACCTTTGTGATTGGCGCTAGATGGCCTTTGCGAAGGATATCGATGACGGTCAGCTGGGGTCTTTGGGTGCGTGACACCGAGCCGAGGTGCTCAGCATACCGCGACCAGGTGCGATCGAGCATTACCGGTTCCTCAAGCATAGAATCAAGGCCCAGCGCTGCAGCTACCTTGGCGCACTCTGTCCAGCTGTTCATCGGCATTACAGCGAGTCGATCCCCAGGCTGAAAAGTGATACCTGACTCTTGAATATCGAGCGTGATCATCGCGATAGAGCGCTTCGGATCCGAATCAACAAAGTTCCTGCTCAATACGCGTCCACGATATCTCATCTCCTCGAATGTGCCGCGCATTTCGTGGGGTTGGGTTTCGAAGTTGCCACGGAATGGTTCCAATCGCTCCTTCATAGATTCCGAGAACTCCTTGTGCGTCTGCTCCCAAGGCCGCATAGCATCGGCCGCTCCGGATGCACCATTCGTCTCGGTTCTTCCAGTCTTGCCCGCACATTCCAGGAGCTACAGGCAGGTCAGCTTACTCAAAAGCATGCGAGAGTGATAGACACATACCCCAAAGACCTTGTATCGATGAACGCCCATGAAGCCGCGCTCGCCCGTATAAGCTTCCACTACTCCATCCAGAACGCCGATTAGCCTCGGATCACCAGAAGCCTTAACGTATTCCGGAATTTGGTAATGGTACTCGATGGCAGCGATGAATGCTCGGAGGTTAGACGGAAGCCACGCCCGAAGATGTACTCCTTCGGCCCCGAGGAAGCAGTCGTACTTCTTGCGACCGAGGAAGGCGTCCATGACAAGGTATCTAAAGAACGTACACAGTCAGCAGGCGATCAAACTCAGGGTTAGGCGGCTCGTACGGAGGAAATTGAAGACCAGACGTTGCCGGACAACGCTTGGACAACGGCGCCGAGAACTTTGCCCAGCGAACCCACTCAGCTGGAGAGACGTAGTTCTCCCCAGAGCGATTGTTGGGAGAAATAGTGTTGAAAGCGGTAGGCATGCGTTCGAGGATCTCTTTCAAGCGAATGAGTTCTCGAAGCAGACCCTCGTTGTTCCTGTTCATGACATGCTCCTGGCAAGCCGCGATGGCATCTGGGCCATGTTGGAAGCTGGCCGAGGTGTCGGCGCATCCTTTCAAGAAGGCGTTCTCAGCGCTATCGCCAAACATTCCCCAACGCAGGCGCTTTTTTCATGTCAGCTCTCATCCAGCAATTGAAGTGGGCAACGTACTGTATTGTCGAAGCGCCCGACGTATGGATATCTAGAAAGAGGGTCGATATAGTCCACGTTGAAAGAGGACTGATCAAAGAACGTGAGATGGGGAATTGACCGGCCCATCCGGATGCAGATCTGGACATAGGGAAGCCCGATGCTGCGAGGGATGCCTTTGACTTCATCGCCGAGATCGTCGCTCATCTCGACCCCTGCGAGCCTAAGAGGCTTTGCCGAGACGTTGATCCCTTCGTTGCCATCATGTCTCTCTTCGTACCTGTAGATGGAGCACAGCATGCCCAACGCGACGAGCGCTGCCCACAGCGCCTTATCAGGAATGGCATCAGCAGTGCCCTCCACGATGGGAAGCGCTGCGACAGCCTCTCGAACGCGACCTCTTGCGACGCAGCCGGGCATTCTTTCGCAAAGGTCCATCCAGACTCTACCAGGAGAATTTCGTAGCGCACCTGGAGCTTCGCTAGTATCAGGAGGCTGAAACCCATACTCTGTGCTGAGGTAGCCATCACGCCAGCCGGTGACCGGTCCGATCTCCTCTGCTCGCAGGATGACCTGGCGTGCAGGCGCCCCGAGTGCGACAGCAAGCAAGTCTCGCTCCTCCACGTTGAGCTTGTCAAGGCTCTTCACGCCCTTGGCATTCTGGATCTCTGCAATCTCAGCCATGGAAGGCACACTAGAATAGAGCAGTTCATTGATAGCCCTGCGTTCTCTGCCTAGTGTTAGCAAATAATATGTAGATCGGATAATGAGCGAGACCTTTGGCGGAGAAAATCCTCTACGTTGACGTTTGGTGGGATCTACTTCGTGTTAGTTGGCGCAGATATGAACCTAGAAGAACTTACTCCAAAAGCGGTATGAACGTCCCCAGGCTGCGCGAAACCGGAGAAAGTACATCCACGAGGTCCCATGCGACTGCCTCTCTTGCTCCCAGCAACCGAGCCCACCGGACAGACTCCTCCTGCTGAGTTAGATACCGGGCATCGTTCAGACATTCTTGAAGACATTTTCGATTAAAGCTCCCCTTTGGGATACCTGCCCTCGGGAGGAGTAGTTGGCAATAGAAGACCTCCGGGGTCAGAATACAAAGAGTCCGTCAAGGATGGAGAATGAAAAGAACGACGAACAGAGAAATGAAGGTGAGGTGCAGAAATCAAGCTGCCGGACACTGCATCGTGGGTAGGAAGCGACGTGCTGGACATTACCCATTTGAGGGGATTAGCCAAAAAGGCGCACTGGGCAAGGCTGGCGTGATTAGATCCCAGCGCAGAGGGACCGACATCGTCACGACCGGCAGAACCAAGCGCGGAAGCTCAGGTACGGTCTTGGCTGGAACAAGAGACAGTTTTGATGGTGGCGCTTGACGTTGTGACAGGCCCGCCGGAGGTCTGCCGCATCTTGGCATGGAAGCTGTGGAGTAGCGGGAAGTTTTGGCCGGGAAGGACCTGACTGCGCAGTTTAACGCCTCGAACTTATTTCATTCTCTGCAGAGACCGGAGAGGTGAGAACCGCCGCTAGATAGTTGTTTCTTCCATCAGTTGGGCAGGGTAGGCGCACTAGGCCGCCTTATCAGATCCGACAAGGCAGCTCCACGCACGTTGGAGAGCCACATCGAGAGGCTCTGGCAAAGGAGGCGGCGAAAGCCGTCCTCAGGTCGGTGGAGGGAGACGTAGGTGTACGCGTCGTCGTCCAGGCATCGTCTGGCGCGTCATGATTCGTTTCCGGCCCGTGCACCAGCGCCTTCCCTCATCTGGAATAGCTCGAAACGCTTTTCCTCAACACCATCGCAACCACATCGCACAACACCGCAAGCATCGCGATGCATTACCCAATACGAACACCACAAGTGCCGCCGTCCGGCTCGGCATGCCGCGTTGCCTACAATGCGCCACTCCGCATGCGTCTTTCGCCTAACCACTCGCGCCTCAGGCACCAAACAACCCTCCATGGCTCCTTTTCAACCTTGTCAACCCGTACATAGTTTCTAAGGTCCAATGGGATGTGAATCCTCCTGCGCAGGTTTCCACGCGCGCGGCTGTGGGGTATGTCCATTTGGGGTTGTACGTACGATGTTTGATGTGCTTCGAGACACCGCCAAGAACGTACAGGTATGCCAATTCCAATTCCCCACAGAGACGCCTCAGAAAACGCTTTTTCCGGCCTCAATCCTGGAAGTTTCTCCAGCATCAGCCACCAATGCCTCGCATGGTCGCCCGTCGCGTTCAGAAGTCGTCCCGCCATCAAGCACCTTTCTCACAGCTGCAGTGTCTTCCACTTCCCCTTCTTGCGGCCTGCCGCCTTCACAGCGCTGGACTCTGTAGGGGAAAGGACCAAATCACTGTCATCCTGTGCGGGAGATGCCTCGCGCCGCTGAAAGTTTATCCAGGCGTCCGACGAAGCATTCTTGGCGTGCTGCGCGCGAGAGCTTAGAGGCGGAAATTTTTCCGTTTTGGGTCTTGGACGTTTTGCTTCGGTCATCTCCGGTGGCCTGGATCGTGAGGCTCTAGCAGCCTGACGTTTGCATTGTTGCAGCTTCTGGAAGTCGGCCCAGGGCTGCGACGACTGGCCTGCACTCGGAAATGCACCACCCAATGGCGGAAAAGGATCAGCGACCGTAGCTGGCAATTTCGTGTTCGACTTGTCTCTCCCCCTTTCGTTGGCGTGAGCATCCAATGATGCCACCAGGCGCTGGGTAGCTTCAGCCGACCAAACAGCCTCTTGCGGTAGGGAATTCTCCGGATCTAAGGGCTCGCCGTATAAGTAAGTAAGATTGGCTTGTCTATTGTACGCACCCGCGAGGGCCTCCAGGGTAGCTGTTGCGCACGTCGTTACACTGTGAGAGACAGCATCATTGCTGGTCGCGTTTCCATGAGCGTGTAGGGTGTCGTTCAAGGGGGGAAAGGACTCCGTATCGCTGAAGCCAGATATACTTCCGTCGCCGTGTCTCCTCTTGAACGGTTTTTGAAGCGCACAGGCCGTTCTTCCGAAAATATAGCGCACCCGTGGATCACTGTGTGCCACTCCTATCTCCTTGATGCCCTCGTCTGGGTCCAGCCCGTACGCGAATAATAAGCGAAGAATCTCCAACGCATCGCCATCCAGCCGTCGCCTGTAGTGATCGCCTACCCTCAAAAGCTCCCCAACGTACTCAAATCCTCCATTGCATCCCTCCCAGTTAGGATCCACCCCTCGCTCTAGAAGATATCTTACTGTACCCACTAGTTTGTTGTTGCAGGCCAGGTGCAAAGGCGATTCTCTACAGATCGTAACACCACCGTCGAGTTTCGTCATCTGCCCCATCAATATGCGAGCGATTGGCTCATTCTTTTTCTCCAAGGCTAGTTGAAGCGTCGTTCGACCTCGCGCGGTTATCGTTCGTGCTCCGGCAGCCGTGAGGATCTTCACAAGGCGTAGGTTCTCGGTCCGGACTGCGCAATGTAAAGGAGTCTCTTCTTGCTCAAATATGCCGAAGAGGCGGTGGATGTCCCGTCGGGTTTCGAGCTTCGCTTTAAGCCTAACTAGTCTGCAGACCACCTCCACGCGGTTGTTCCGCACCGCCCACAGCAAGGCAGTGCTGTATTCATATTTGATATTGTACTGGAGGAGAAAGTCGCCGAGGGCCGCTCGCAGTCTGCGATTGACGCGTACGAGGCTGGAAATGTCGTGTGGCCGGTCTAGAAATTCCGCAATGAGGAGGAAGAGTTCGTTTGGCAGGCTTAGAAGACCCTGCGAATCGGGTGTCTGTAAGCCAGGAAGCGCCATTCCAGTCTGGACTAATGGCCGCCCAAGACTTAGGATAGAGAGTTGTGAAGTCTTACGCTGGTGCCTGTCTGCTGGTGTCGCACAGGTTGCGGGGTAGACATGCTGTGCCTCTTCGCTTAAGTATCGGCCTCTGCCCAGTCGCTTTACGACCTGTTCGATTGGCCTCGACAATGCGATCAGGAACCAACGAACTTCAACTCGATGCAAGAATCGGCGTGACAGTTCGATACATCTATTGCAAAGGCTTGCTATCGCAAGCCAGATTAGAGCAAACTACAACACCTCCTATCCCTAGTAAGTCCTAACCTCCCCAACCTAACTTCTCCAGCCCGAAATACTTCTCAACCAACCGTTTCGCCTCTCCATCCGCATCTTCCACCTCACCCTCAATTGCTCCCTTCACACCTTCCTCCAGAACCCTCCTTTTCTTGTCGTAGTGGTTCCATGCAGCGCCCGTCACTTCCCTGCCCCAGTTCCTGACTGCCTCTCTCGACCATAAGATCCGTGCAACAGCTCTCTGAGCCTCTTCGCCAAACATAGGCTCTCCTGAGTCGTCCAAGACGCGATCCTCTTCCGCTGGCCATACTTCAAGATTCGAGTCGGACCAGTCGTCTACAAGGCTGCCATTCGGCCTTGACGAGGTTGTCGAGAGATTGGCTCGTCGTCTCTGTCGTTTGAGCTTCGCAATGTATTTGAGTTCTTTGAGGGATTTCCTGGCCTGGCTGATAGTTGGAGGCTCACTTCCTGGTCGGTTGATCGCGGGACGCATGGAGCGCCCGCTCGTGTGCGCGATGCCGATGCGCAGATATTCTTCGCTGCTGAGTTCCACCCGCTTCCCTGCCGTCTTTGCTCCACTGGTGCCAGCCTGGTTGCCGCTGGTGGGCATGTCGTTGACCTGCGTATTCGTCTGGTCAAGCCCGGCAGTTCCAGCTTTGCTCCCCGCAATAGTGGGTTCGTCGTTTCCGAGCTCGCCGCCTCCATCTTGCTTTGCTCCAGTTGCTTCAGAACTGTCATCCTCCACTTCCGCGTTGTTTGATTGCAGGTCGCTGTCTTGCTCATCATCCATCGGCTCATCCTTCTCCTCGTCTTCATCGCCTTGGGCTGCCGCAGCTGGAACCGCCGGAGGTTGAGCCGCCACAGGTTGAGCTGGTGCAGGTTGAGCGGGTGCAGGTTGACGCCCCATCCTCTCCCACCTCCTTCTCTCCCTCGCAATCGCCGCCCCAAGCTTCATCTTATACGCCTTCGTCGACATCCGCCGACCGCGCAGTGCCGATATCCGGGCCTCAGACCATCCCGCCTGGCTTCTCAGCACTTCTTCCATCGCTGTGTGTGATGCTGATCTAGCCCAGGTGTCCGGGGCCCAGTTTTTCATGAGTTGAAGATAATCAGGTGGCCTCGGGGGCATGATTGCAGTGTCTTCTCACGAACAATGCGTCTTGTGAACTGGAAGAGAAAGAAGGAAAGGAGCAGGCTTTGCATATATTTATGCTTGGACAAGGTTTGCTCAGGACATGACAAGAGATCAGTGGAAGCTTCTTTGTTCATCATGCATGGTGAGAGTAGGTTCAGCGCCGCCTTGTCTCGACTTTCCGAGAAGATACGCGAATCTGCCCCTAGATGTCGAGATAGGGTATGGCTGCGAGATCGATATTCAGATACTCTCCTCGGCAGATGTCTGCCTGCCCCGCAGCCCGTCGTCAATAAGAGAATCATTCCATTCGAACACTATCTCGCTACAAATACGGCGCGGATGGAGGAAGAGGGCTTGGATGTGTCTTTCAGATCGTAGGGAGGCATCAATCATGCGAGGTGAATTCTCAGCCGAATTTCTAGAAAGATTCAGTGCTTACAACGTTGCATACTATTGCGGAAGTTGATCCCTACACACAAGACCATAAACACCGATACCCCGGGGACGAAAGACTAGAAACAACCAAGTCCGTCTATCCCATCTCTAAGACCAATACACCAGACTTCCAACACGATCACCTGATTCAATCAAACCTGTGTCACCAGCCTCCACACCCCACATTTTCTATCCCCTCAAAACCCAAAGTACTTCTCCACTAGTCTCTTTGCCACCCTCTCAGGATCCTTGACTCCTCCCCTTAACGCCTCGCAGACTCCCTCCTCTAGCAAATGCCTCGCGTCTCGATAATAGCCCCGAGCACCAACCACAGAGTCCCAGCTAAACCCTCCTCTCTTCTTCAACCTCGGCACTGCTTCTATCCAGTACAACGCTGAGTTAGCAGCGTCTTGTGCGTTTCTCCCGAACACCGGATTCCTCGCAGAGTCAGACCAATCATCGTCAACCGATTGTGGGGGCTGGGATGTTGCCCCTTGATGTACTGGTCGTTTCAGCTCGAGCTCGGCGCGGTATTTCATAGCCTGGAGCTCCCTATCTGCATCCTTCAAGGAAAGTGGCGCGATGGGTTGCTTGTCGTTGCTCGGTGTGGGCTCGACCGGCTCAGTACGGTCATATTCCACTCGCGCATTATTCACTTGCTCGTCTGCCACTTCCTGGTCCTCCTTTTCCACATCGTACGTAGCCTCATCCTCGAGTTGGGCTTCTTCAATTTCGTCGTCATCGTCAACCTCGTCGTCATCGTCAACCTCGTCGTCATCGTCAATTTCGTCTTCGTCGTCATCATCAGCAGTTTTGAGTGGCGCATCGTCTCCGTAAGCTAGCGTCTCGCCCATCAAAACCATATGCAGTATCTTGATCCTCAATTTGACAATGGTGTCCGCAAGAGTGTCCTTCTTGGCGCGTGCCAACGTAGCATACGTCGCGTTGTTGACCCACGGTCGGATGATTGCCCGCATCTGCCTCTTGTTCGCTCTGCTCTTCCAGCTGCTCTTGACCCACGGCTTATCGAGACTGTGATTGTATCCTTCGACCATGATGGTTCCTGCGGTTCGAGGCACCAGAGTGTGATGTGAAAAGTGGCTCGCTCAACTGCAGAAATGGCGGAACTTATATATTCGTCCTCAAAAAGAGCAAGCATCATGCGCGAGTGGTGGAAACAGCTGAGCTCGTCATGTGGAAGCAGCGCAAACAACCAGAAGTTTGTGGCTGACCTAACCGCGTGCGTTGGGCTCTCTAGAGCATGAGTTTAGGAAACTCGCCTCATTGTATGTTGGAAGTGCCTGCGCTCTTTGAAGCAAGCCGGTGCTCTATGATACAGTGGAGTACACATGTAAGGATTTCGTTTGAAGAAGTGCAGCGCTCAAAGGAAGCCGTCCGTCGAATTCCTCACATTGGCGGGAAGAGGTCCCGGATGAAGATTCCCGATCTCGACTCTTGTCGCAAGCCAGCCAACACAGGAAGAAAGAGAAGTTCGAAATGAAGAAGTCTAACATAATTTACAATACACTACACTATATCGTACCTCTCTTCTTCCATTAGTTCCTGACTATCTCCACTAGTACAGCCTCCGACGCCCCAACCGTCAGATTCCTAACCGGAGCTCCATTTCTCACATCAATCACAACCGGCTTCGGTCCACTTTGATACTCCTTCCCATCGCCCTCTGCCGTCCACCGCTTACCCGCCCACGTGATGTTATGATCCGGTGTCCCATTCGATGCCGTCAATGTCGACACCCGCACACTGCTCACATCATTGCCCAAACCGCCTAGCGCAATATTCCTCTTTGGTCGGTCCTCTAGCGTCGCGTTCGTCTCGTTCCAAAAGTGGAGGTTCAGCACTGCGACCTTCGCCAACTTCCCGCCGCTAAACCCTGCGTACCCAGCAATATTCTCATGGCCCTGTGTCGAAAGCGCTTGGATCTGCAAATCCTCGCCCTCACCAATGAACTCCGCGCCCGCCACCAGCCCATAAAAACTCCCGTGCACCTCTTTCCCCTTCGCGGGCTTCCACGCCGAAATCTTAAACCCTGTCGCCATCTGCATGCTGACCCTGTTGATCCCCATGCTCATGCCGTACAGCAGGAAGTCGAAGGTCCACAGGGCTGAGCCTAGCGAGTTATATAGGTCCTGACTTTCGGAGTTGGCGTTGCTGGAGCTGACGACGGTGCCGACTTCGCCGAGAATGAAGGGCGTGTTGCGGTTCTTGGTGAAGTTGAGGTTGCGGCGGAACTTGGTTTCGAGGACGTTGACTGTGTTGGCGTGAGCGATGGGGTAGTCGGTTACGCTTCCCTTGGCATCGGTTTGATAGCTTGGGTGGGAGGTTAGCGAAGCGGATTGCATGGAAGAGGAGCGAGAGGGACGCACTAGTGCTGGGAAATCGTCTTGATATATCCGTCTTGCTTCAGTTGATCCCAGAAGTCAGCACTGAAACGGGTTAGCAAAGAGCTCGTAGACGTGGAGCTTGGCCTGGGGATCTACAAAGTCCAATCATCCACTTTATACCCCGACGAAAGCGCAAGCGTCTGAAACCAGTCTTTCCGCCCGCTGTTCTTCAACGCCTGTACATTATCCGTAAGATTCTTCGCGTACGTCGTCCACTGTCTCGAATAGTCCGACGCATTCCAGCCAGACGGCCGATCATTAGTGGCGCAGGGTGGATTAGGGAAACTGGTATACAGATTCGGTTCATTGCCGATTTCCACGGCGTCAAGCTGGCTAGTCTTGCTCGGCATCGCGTTGATACATGCATTCGCAAACTCGATTCCATTCGTCTTGTTTAGCCGCGCTAATGGGACGTCGATGGTGTACCGTGTGAAAGAAGAGTTGAGGTTTCCAAATGTCTTTTCGACCCACGGCTTTCCGAGCGTGACTTGCGTGTGTAGCCGGCAGTCCTTTCCTTGAGGGGTTTTCTTCCAGGTCTCGTTGAATGATGGATCGTAGATGCTGCTATCCATGGAGGTGCCACCGACGCGAATGTGGATGGGGGCGTTGCCGGTGCGGTCGGCGAGGAGGGAAAGAAGGTAGTTTGAGAATTGATTGGGAGTGTCGGTGCCTGCAAAAAGCGGGTTAGTGCCATGCGCAGACCACATGCTGGGAAGACGGAGAGTTACCTGTATAGTCTGGGAAGCTCTTCATTTCAATCCCAAAGCCAATGTAGCCTTTGTAGACTGCTTGAGCATTGGAAGCATCGGATGGTAAGGTCCAGCGGACTGGAGAGGTCGCATCTTGCCCGGCTATCGCTTGGGCAAGAGCGAGGAGATATGCAATACGAAAATTTGTCATTTTTCCTTCGCAATGCGGATTATAGGAGCTGTCCCATAAGGGTTGTAGTGCAAGTCTCCTTTATAACTGCTCTGTCCCCTGCAGGCAATTTCGCAGTGCGGTGGGCTGAGACTTCAGGCGCGCTGCCATTATGATCAAAGATACGCAACCTGACTGCTCGTGGTGGTACGCTAGCCACTTGACGTCATGGCATTTTCCGGTTCCTATGCTGATCCGCTTCGGCGTCCAGAGCGACGATCCGGCATACGGTGGCGCGTAGCCTAAAATAGCAGCCTCGTGGGTGGCCTTACTTTCCTTAATAGCAGCAGAATATGTACTCTAGACATAAACGGCTAGTGGTGGTTGATGCACCCTGCTTAATGGCAGTATAGATACGGACAAGACTGCAAGGTACCGTTCAGGCCCTACAAATAGAGGGACTGTCCAGTAAGGAGGTTTAACGCACCGTGCAAACGTTTCGCGGAGTGGAGAACTCTTTGCATCCACTGTACTGATGATTCCATCTGTTGTGCCTAACCCACCAACACCGCAACGATACCTAGCGAAAATCCGAGAGCTTAGTGAGAGACTATGCTCCATTAGCCACCCGTGGCCGAAATACGAAAACCGAAATTCTTCCCGCCATATCCCTCCAATTTATCTCTCGCTCTCCAACTCGTAACACCACAATCGCCCTAAGACCCCTTGGCAGGGTCATCCTCAGTCTGAGAAGAAGCATCCTGAACCTGCGCAGGTTCCGTCTGTACAGCCTGGTCCTGCGTGTTCGATCCTGACGCATTTGGAATAGTGGCAGCCTGCGCCGGAGCTGTCGGAGCTGCGGTGGACGGAGTAGGAACGACCTGAGCCTGCCCACCGGAAACACCACCACCGCCACCTTGTCCTCCGGTAGCCTGGGTTGTCGCGCCTTGGCCAGCCGTACCTTGGACACCTTGAGCACCTTGGACACCTTGAGCACCTTGGACACCTTGAATGCCGCCGGCAGCCTGGCCTCCTCCGGCTTGACCTCCTCCAGCTTGACCTCCTCCACCGCCAGCTCCTCCACCGCCAGCTCCTCCACCACCAGTACCTCCTGCTGCTTGACCTCCCCCACCACCAGGCGGCAAACTCCGCTTGACTTCCATAATCCTCTCCGCAATCTCGAAATTATTGCCACTGGTCTCCCTCAGAGTCTGCAACTCAGCAGCCGGCACATGCGGCTCCAGCAGCTCAAGCATCCTCCATTTCGGGCACCTGCTCTTCCAGGTAGAAGGGCTCCACCACTTCTTCGCGAGCGTGATGTCGGAGTAGTCGGTCATTCGTGTGATTTGCCGTGTCGAAAGATAGGTTGATGGATGGATGCGCTTCGTGAGAGTGTGCGCGGAATTGAGTTGGACTTGTTCTTGGACTGAGACTGATTGAGGGTTTAATATACTCAAATAAAAAAGGTTTGCCACAATGCAGATCCCAATCAATCCAGTTGTATATGGTATTGGAGCGTGACGCTCAAGCTAGGTTTGCGTTCTAGTCATCCAAGTGCTCCAGAGAGTGTGCTAGACAAACATGGTCCGGACGGTGCTTGCTTCGATAACTGCAATCAGCAAACCACTTCGGGAGCACATGATATTACCAAAGCTGATAGTTTGTCCCAGGATAGAACTTGTTTAGACTCATGCGTACCTAGCGAGGGTTTGAGAGTTCCACGAGAAGATCCGATGGCTGAGAGTCTGTCCGCCGCTTCCAAGGTTCCGCGATTTTGTCTGTTGCTAGGATTAGCATCGGGAATGTGCGGTCTTGGATGAACCCCGTACAACGGAATGTTTGATGAACGGTACTTTTATGATGAGATGGGATGCGGTAAGCTTTCTCCGTTCGGTGGTAGAGTAAGGCCAGAAGTTATACTATTGTCCGAGTCACTCACTAAGATTTGTGTCTCGCACGACCTGCCAACGGCGAGCTACCAGAGCTCCTTATCCGTCCATGCCATCTCTACCCATACCTCACCTCGCCCGCGCCCTCTCTGAACCAGTCATCGCTCGCAAGCGCCTCCTCCGTAGGTGCATAGTTGATAATTGTGCTCTTCGTCGTCGTATACGCGCGGTACGCATCTACCCTCTCCATTAGCTCCTCTCCCACCTCCCTAGAACTGGAAATGCAAAAAACTCACCAACGCCGTTCTCGCTCCCCACGCCAGAGCTCTTGATCCCGCCCCACGGGCTACTCGGGTCATTCCGGTGATGCGTATTCACCCAGCAGATCCCCGCCTCGATCGCCTCGCTGACTCTATACGCCTGGCTCAAGTCCTGGGTCCAAATCGCCGCCCCAAGCCCGAACTCACTGTCGTTTGCTAACCGCAACGCCTCTTCTTCTGTGTCAAATCCTACTACTACGATGACTGGGCCAAATGCTTCTTCCCGCCAGATCCTTGTATCCACTATCTTCTTATCGGTGTTGTCGGTCAAGATGGTAGGCGGATAGAAGTAACCCTTGGAGAAATCCGCGCCGTCGAGGGAGGATGTGCCAATCATGCGTTGCCCGCCCGTAACGACTGTTACGCCGGCATCCACCGCGTCGTCGACGAGGGTGCGTACGTTGACGAGCTGCTTCGCGGAGATGAGCGGACCCATCATGGAGTCCGGGTTCTTGGGCGACCCCATACGGCGCTCGATGCTCTGCGCCTTGCCCTTCAGTCTCTTGAGGACGTCTTCAAGAATGCTGTTCTGCACGATGATCCTCGTAGCAGCCACACACGTCTGCCCGCTCGCGATGAAGCTCCCGAACACAATCCCGTTAACGGCGGCGTCGATATCCGCCTTCTCGAACACGATGAGCGGTGCCTTACCACCGAGCTCCGCCGTAAAATGCGCAAGATTAGCACCCGCAATCGCCCCAATAGCCCGGCCGGCCGGCGTGCCCCCCGTAACATCCACCTTCTTGATCAACGGATGACTCACCAGCGCCTTCCCCGTCGTCGCCCCATCGCCCGGCACAACACTAAACACACCATCCGGCACGCCCGCCTCCTGCATCAACTCCCCAAACTCCAAGCTCGTCAACGGCGTAAGCTCGCTCGGCTTCAGCACCACGCAATTCCCCGCCGCCAGCGCAGGAGCAATCTTCTTCACCGCAATCAACAGCGGATGATTAAACGGAGTGATCTGCGCGACGACACCCAGCGGCACGCGATCAATCCAGTTGTGCAGCTTGCCCATCGTGGGCAGCACCGCGCGCTCCTCGGTGCGGGCCAGCGCGGCGTAGTACTTAAACCACTTCACCAGCGTCGGAACCTGCGCATTCATCTCGCGGATCGCACGCCCCGTCTGGCGGACTTCGAGTTCGATCAGCCGTGGGAGATTCTTCGTAAGCAGATTCGCGACCCTCTCCAGCGCGTCCGCGCGCACGTGCCGCGGAGCTTTGGACCAGACGCCCGACTGGAAAACTTCGTGGGCGTGTTTGACGACTCCGTCGATGTCCTCGGCGGATGCCGCATGGCAGTACGCAAAGATCTCTCCTGTCGCGGGGTCCTCAATGGGGAGTCTGAAGCCATATCAGTTCTCTATGGTTCTTGGATGACGAATTGAGGGGCTCGCTGACTGACTGCTCCGCCCTGCCGTCCTTTTCGCATCCTCCTACCCACATCTTGTACGTTGACTTAGCCATGAGATTGAAGTTAGCGCATCGGTTGATGCAGTTGATATTCTCAGGATGGAATTGGTTGGAGGTTTGGTGTAAATTTTGGAATCGCGGAGATCGGCCGAGGTTAGCTCTGAGAGCTGTGGGTGGCGCCTTGGCACGATAATCCACCATCAACGAATGGCGAGAAAGGCAGAATCGAAAGGAGCTTCTAAGGTCTACTATGCAGCTAACTGGATCCTGAATAACCTTTGAAAACTTGAGGGAGGCGTAAGCCCGTAGCTCATCCCTATTACGGCTTAGTGGGCAGAGAGAATAGTCACGTGATAATCGCAGAGAACATAAAGGGAACTTAGAACCTCCATTTGCTCTTATGCTTAGGTGCTAGAATCCCAAGGCTGGAGGATCCATTCTCCAAAGGGGAGGCTAGCCTACATTCATCACGCATGACCACGAGCCGATGACGACTCATCCATGTTCACAATCCTGACCTTCGTGGCACTAGCCACCGCAGGGCTCAACCCCGAGTAATGTTACTTCGTTCAAATCCTGATCCCTCTTACACTGCAGAGCTTACAGCCCGTACACCCGCTGTCCCCGAGGCAACGCATCCTGGCTATCAATCAGGCGGTGCACGGAGAATCTGGAGGGACGGAAGCGTGCTTTGGGCATTCCGTTGCGGTTCTTCGAACGGTCATTGAAACAGAGGCTGGTCGTGACGACGTTCGAATCAGTGATTGGACACTCTGTAGGTGCAACGGCGTTCATCGTGCTGATGTCTGATTTCCAGTCCGAATCCGCCCGTGCTTTGGATGTCATGGAACCGGGTAGTGGCAGGAATGAATGCCGAGTTCTGCCACCTTCGGCTTCCCCAGGGATGAATGTTGCGAGTGCGCATGTCCATCATTCGGAGGGGGGACGGTGGGTCCATGCTCGTCTTTGGTGTGGTTGATGGCCTTCAAGGCGCCGGTTCAACGTTCCTTTTATCATTGGGAAGCCACTTAGTCGTCCTCATGGATCCTACGCTCTTCCCATCCACCGTCTCCGAGCCCGTCCAGTCACACATTACATTACCGTCGACGACCGCTTCAAAATCCCGAATCATACGTGAACTCGTCTCCCCCAATGCCACCAGGAACAAGAATAGACTGCATAGCCGCATACTCTTGTTGTTTCCGCACCGCCTGTTCATCAACGATTGCTTGCTTCAACGTATCGGTCTCGTACTGCGCCTCGATGTATCCCCGCGCAACCATGTGCGACGCCGGCATGATTTTGGTATATTGATTTATGGCGCTCATATACTGGAGTCGATAATACCAATCTGAGACAGGGTAAAGTTAGCAATGCTCAGATGAGTCGCCGGAGGGGGAACTTGCAGCTCAAGAACGTAGGCATATCTTGATCGCCTGTGACGCGGGTTTTGTAGCGGTCTTCATCAAGGTCCGAGTTCGTGACCATGCCTCTCTTTACCGCAACATAGTCATAGGACATTAGAAGTTCGGGGTCGAGCGTCCATGGATAGTAGCCGCGGATTGAGTCCCATATAGACTTGAGGTATTCGTCCGGCTGTTCGAGGACCCCATCAGGCCTGTATCCACCCATGAACTTGATCAGAACATCGGCGAGTTCGTTCACCAGGGCATGCCCAAGAAGCGACAAAGCCACGCGCCGAGTAAGATAAGTGAAGGGTCCATGCCCTCCAGCTCTGATGAAGGCCGTCATGCTCACTAAAGATGGCAGTACAATTAGCGAGTATCCAAAAAGCCAGGGTACAAATGCTAAATGTTAGACAAATTCTAACTTCCACCCCTGGCTCGCTGAAGGCATAGCACAAGCACATCCTATATAGGAAAGAAAGGTCTTGCTTACTGCCTACAAGTTAGTATAGGCAGTCTACTGGTTGTATCGGGGCATTAGTACCTGTAACTTTTGTAGAAGACAGCTAGACCCCATCCTTCTTGAAGCTCCATCATCAATGCCTTGCGTCTATTCTCGTCTGTTGTCGGGGCTAGTGGGGCCACTGTCTCCAACACCTTAGCATCAAAGCCAGCGTTCCGTACTACTTCCGCTAGCCTCTCCGGCGGCATCAAGGCATCGTGATCGACTACGGCGCGGTTAGCGAGAAATGATATGCCAACGCGCTGTACTCCCGGCTCGTCTCTGAAAGCGCGCTTAATCGTTAGCGCGGAATCCTCGCTTGTCATGCCCTCAAGGATAAGGGTGCTCGTTAAAGTGAGTACGGCCATGGGTCCCTTGTTAGCATTGCTTCTGGCCGGTGTGCCGGAGTACGGCGTATCCTTCTTCTCCTTGTCTTTCAAGAGATTGCGAAACAATCGTCGGCCTTTCTTGATACTGGATTGATCGATAGGCATCCTAGGCTGAACTTGGCCGTGCGTCATCCCCGCTAAGCACATAAAGCATTCAACCAACCGTACGGTGACTGGTGCATTATGGCTCCAGACCGCCCGCTCGAGCGCGGTAAAGTCATCCTTGTCTTTCTTCAGTGGGTCTGCCCCACGAATCATTATCTGCAATGCGAGCTGCGCGGAAGGCGACTTTTCCACCTCGGATACATTGGTCGGCTCTCCTGCTCTGGCGCAGCCGTGCAGCGGATATCCTCCATCTCTCCCGGCCCGATCTAGATCAATATTGTGGGCCACGAGCGCCTATGATAGCGGTATGATTAGTTTATGCCTTTGCGAGGGGGGTGAGGGGGTTTACTTCGGCTAACTCAAAATCTTCCTCCCGAATGGCTTTTGTAAGTGAATACTCTAGTAACGGGCTTTGACGGCCTTCGTTGGGATCCGCACCTTTCTCGAGGAGCTTCTTGATCAGAGCAGTGTGCTTCGTCCGGACATACATGGGTGCCTCAAGTAAAAAGGCGAGAGGGGTTCGCTTGTCGGAATCCATATAGCTAGGATTGGCTCCCGCGTCCAACAGCGCGTCGGCACATGCGCGGGCTCCAGTGCTTCTCTCATCGTTCTCGATAAGTGTAGTTGTCGCAATGAGCAACGGGGTGCCTTGTGAGCTCTCCAGGTTTACGTCATGCTCGAGCTTGATGCACAAATCCAGGACATCGATGTTGCCGTATAGACAGGCCTCGTGGATGGTCGAGTAGCCGCTGGCGGTGGCTGACTTTGGATTAGCACCAAAAGAGATGAGAATCTCTGCGACTTCGCCGGAAGCCATTTGAGCAGCTACGGATAATGCCGTGTTCATATTGATGAGGTTAGGTATGGTCTTCATGTGTAGAGCTTCGAGGTTGGCAGTGACCAGCTTGGGCGCATCTGCTATGATCGCAGCTTCGAGCAGTTTGTATCGTGATTCGGTTGGCGAATACGGTAATAATGCTTTGAACACTTCCAGCTGCAGGTCGCTTGTCACTAAGTCAATGGGGGCATTTCCTGCTAGGCACCTCCTGTTAGGGAGGCCCTGATCTTTGTTGATAAGCTTCCTGATATCGTACGTTGAAGAGAAGCCAGACTTGATGATCCGATGTAGCGCTGTGAGGCCATCTTTGTCCGCGACCGCCACGTCGACGTCTGTATTTTCGAGCATCCAATCGAGCAGGTCGCCGTCATGGCGATCGATGGCCATAAACAAGGGCGTCCGATCCACGGCGTGGCCCTGATATTGATAGTTGATGCTCGAACCAATTCGCATGGCGAGTTCAAGCATCTCGATGGCCGCAGTGAGATCGCGGCCACTTCGGCAGGCCCCACTCATGCAGATAAACATCAACTCTGCCAGGTTTTCTTCCGTTAGCGTGCCCTGTGCTCGGCCACCGTCCATGGCTTTAACGATAGCCCTGCACAGAAGAGGATGAAGATTCTTGGCTGCGGGTTTGAGGATATCCCACTTTTGAGGCTCACGACCGGCATATCGATAGTAATCCAGAAGGACGGTGATGGTCGCTTCAGCCGCTGACTGCATGTGGCAACCATGGATCAGGGCTCTCTGCAGGTTCGCAGCAGGAAGTGTCCTTTGCAATCCATCGAGGAGGCGCAGAAGAGCGGTTGCTGGAAAACCGCATGTCACGAGGTGCTCCAGCAATAGCTCGAGAATGTCGGCCATATGTAAGCAGAAGGCGACGGCAAGTGCAGACCCAGCCTGACCTTCTTGCCCCGCAACTGGGAGCCCGAGAAGCGGATCGGCGCCAAGTTGGAGCAGTGCCTTTACAGACTTCTTGCAATGAACAAATACGGCAAAAGCGAGTGGGGTACCAGAGAGCTGAATAGGCAATTGTGGGTCGAGATTTATCGGAGACGCGAACGGCACCACGTGGTTAATAGCTGATGGAACATGTATTTTGTCGTCAATATCCCCGGGGAAGACGAACCCGTCGCGCTCGTTGGTGAGCCTGAATGCAATGTTCTGAAGGTCTTCTGGGGGGTACATGAACAACCAGTGTAAAGGAGTACTGCCATCGGCGTCAGGAAGAGCTGCGCTAGCACCCTTATCAAGCAACAGGTGAGTGGTGTCCGTAATTCCGAATTTGGACACTAGCGTTAGGCTGGTGTTGCCGTGCTCGTACAGAATATCGATATCGTGTATTCCAGACGAAAGGCGCTCTGTGAATCGCTCCACAGAAAGCTGTTCCAGATCAGCGTCGCGGAAACCGACTGTACTGTCCTCCACCTCTAGGAGAGTAGACCCAAACCTTGCCATGAACGCGCGCCGATTGCCGGACAAGTAGTGCTCGAGGCATGCATCGTGGGTTCGCAAGAAGGGATTCATCTTAAGCGACTGAAGCACGGGGAGATATAGTTTGGCGAGTCTCAAGCCCTTCTCCCCAGCCTTTTCAAACCAATGTAGGGCCTCAATCGCGTCATGGGCCACCCCGAACCCGGTAGCGTGGGCGAAACCGAGCTGAAAGCAGGCGCGAGCGGTGAGAATGGAGTCACCGGGCTCATTCGCGATCTTTTGGCAGTCGACTGCGATTTGTTTCTTCACTTCATCGGGTATTGTCTCGGCAACGCGGAACAGCTACGTTGACGTTAGCATGCAGCAGTCCGTCTTACGTCCAGGCAGTGAAGACGGATTGCGGACAAGGGGGAGCAGCCTTCTACAGTTTTTCAGGAAGAATCTTCTTAGCGTCACGACAAGTCTTACCAACGAGTGGACTGATCGGAGAACAGGTCGATGATTACCAATGGAACCCGAAAGACAACGACTGGGAATGACGGATGTGAGAAAGCAGTGGACTCACCTCGAAGGACCACGAAGTACCAGTACCTACAAGGATACGTGACGGTGGTGCCACGGTAGCAGCCTCTGTCCTGGGTCAAGTCAGTCATGGACGGTTCAAAGACTGAGGCAGAAATACTTTTGACCGTGGAAGAAAGGCAGCAGTGGAATGTCGGCGAGCCGGTTTTTGGGATCATGGTTTAAGCATTTCTGGAAGAGGAAGTGCAGGCGACCAGTCTCGCGTGATGTGAGGCTGGCGCTCGTCTTCTCGGACACTTGTTTACAAGCGATTTGCGCAAGTTGGGGCGCTACGAGGGCGAGCTCCTCTATCATTGCAGCTGATGAAGCCTGGCTGGGCGCATTAGACGGCGGCGGAGTCGGCAGGGAGCTGGTACGTTTCTGGGAAGACAAGATGGAGTCCTCGACATCGGAGTTGTGGTAGTAGGCTTTGCCATCGATCAATATCTCCCATACTGCCAGGCCAAGCGACCAAATGTCGCACTTGCGGAACGCCACATTTTCTCGCGTGCTTTTGTGTTTGTCGAGAATCTCGGGTGCGTTGTAGGCAAGAGTGCCGCCATATCGCTGCTTTACGACCGCGTCCCCCTCATCGTCGTAGAGATGGAGGGAGTGGCCAAAGTCGGAAATACACGCCTCCATTCCGGTCGTGCGTAGCATTTCCTGCTCCATGAACATGGACATGCCCAAGTACGGCGTAACAAGAACGTTGTCGAGCTTGAGATCTCCGTGGGCGATGCCTGCGACATGCAGAAAGTGGAGGCCTTGAGCGACATCTTTGCAGAAGAGCAGCTTCTCGTGGATGCTGAGCTCGTTGTTCTTGAGGAAGCTGCGCAGCGTTCCTTCGGCGGCATACTCGGTAACGAGATAGGGGATGACATTGCCGCTGTCTACGTCCCATCCGTAGCCGTAGATGTCGAGGATGTTGGGGCGCTTAGCCAGGCCGTACATGACCTCGATGTCGCGCAGCACGCATGCCACCTGCCGCTCGAAGGCGCCCGAGTCGGCACTCTTGTGCGGCAGCTTGACCGTCTTGACCGCGTATAGCTTGTGTGTCCGTGTGTGGGTGCATTTCGTGACCTTGTACGAGACGCCTTCGCCGATGAAGCCGTCGCGGCGGAGGGTGCGAGAGTCGAAGACCTCGAGTCCGAAACGCTGGATGGTCGCGAGCAGATCCTGTAGGGAGCGAATATTCTGGCGCGCTGATTGAGAGAAGCCGCCGACGCTGGAGAGGATGGTGCGCGTCACTTGTCGCGTGGTGACCTGCGCGCGCTCGTGGTTAGCTCTGAGAGGAAGTCAGGGGCGGGGCCGCTCACGTCGAAGGAGATGCCATCAAGGGACGCCATCACTCGGCCAGCGCATCACGCTGCGAAGGAGAAGATGCACAGCAAGACGAGGACGCAATAGCAGCTCCATGGCGGACGAGGCTGAAGTGCTCGGGGGGACGATGCGGCTGAGAGCAGCTAGAGCGTGGGGGCTGGGAGCCGTCCGAAACGTGAGGCTGAGTGCTGCGTGCCCCGCTTCGCTGCCGCCGTGGATGCCTGCACCTCAGTCACCGTCTCTGCTCCGCCTCCATGGTCGACCCCTTAAGCATCGCCGGTACGTCGTCTCGCTCCCGTCGGGATCCGTAGAGTTTCGTTGTCTTTGCCGTTCAGGCCAGCTTCAGCGTTGGTGAAGAGAGGGCAGCTTTCCTTACCCCGCACTCCACACCGCATCCTAGGCACATTTCGAGCATGACTGAGTTGGCAGGCTTGTCCATCGCTATCTTTGATCAGCTGTTGAAGCTGGGAGAGAAGACGGCTCAAATAATATCCGATGCCCGGTCTTTCAACGACGTTAGTCCTTGGTGCCGCAGTCAAAGCGACGACCGAACCGCTGACGTATGGCCAGGACACCGAGCAGTACTACAACAAAATTGTAGACGAGAACAATCGAACAAAGCAGCTGCGCCATATCCTGTTCGAGCCAAGCCCAATATGTAAGCTGGGTCTATTACCTACCCACCCGTGGAGGCGCTCGCTGACCCGTGCAGACGGCGGCCTCACCCTGTTCGAGAACTTCGACGATGACGTCCAGCAACAAATCAAAGTCTTCCTGGGCCGCCTGGTGCACATGCTCAAGGAGGCCCTGGATCTACTAGAAAGCAGATATGGGAACAACGAAGCCGCGAAGAAGCCGTCAATGACGACCTCCCTATCGTCGCTGTCCCTGACCAGCAGCCGAAGCTCGCAGGAAGCACGCAGTCCATCTCCGAGGTCCTGGAAGCATTACTCTCGACAATCCATCAGCCTTCTAAAGTGGTCTCTCCAAGACAAGAAACGCACCGAAGAGGTGCTGAAGGACTTCTCAGATCTCAACGGGCGCATCCACGAGAACATCAAGCTATGGTGCCTCGCATCCTCCATCGGTCTGAACATGCAGCATCTGAAACGCCTTCAGAACGATGAGAACGCAAAACAGCTGGGCTTCGACATCGACGCGACTCTTCAGATCACCGCAACCGAGGTCGGCCGGATGGACTTTTCCTTCGAACTCAGCTCGGCATGGCTCGAATGCCTCCGAAGAGCGACGCCCGTGGAAGAGCGGTTCGCCTTGGTGCAGGAAGACGGAAAGACCTTCCTCATGGAGCATCGACGCTACGACGGACAGCCAGACGTAGCGGGCGAGATTGACTCCAGAACGAGGATCCGCATCAACGATCTAGCGGGTTTACTATCCCAGCCGAAAGAGAAGGTTTTCTGCATCCCACGGTGCGTTGGATGGAAATACGTTCAGAGCCAAAGTGATATCGCGTTCCTTTTCGAGACCCCCCAGGGCTGCATACCGGAACCCGTCAGCCTTTATCGTTTGTTGGATATGAAGACCGTCAAGTTGACGCTAGGTCAGCGGTTCAAGTACGCCATTCCAAAATATGGTTTATCTGACTATGCTAATTCCGTGACAGGCTGGCATCCGCACTTGCGAAGTGCATAACGCAGCTTCAGATGGTGAAATGGGTTAGTGCTCCATCTAGAAGGCCTTCCACGTCCCAGCTGACCCATCATTTAGGTCCACGAATCCTTCCGAAGCGAGAACATATTATTCTTCCCATCAGCCTCCAAGAAGTGTATAGGCTCAGATAGTGACGAACCGTGCATCGATTATGGAGACCCTTGTGTGCTTGGCTTCGAGTTCACCCGCCCCGAGATCGACTTTTCAGCCGGCTTTGCGGACCTGTCCTTGGAACGAGACGTGTACCGCCACCCAGAGCGGCAGGGGCGGCCAGGCCGCATGTTCACCAAAATCCACGATGTATACGCTTTAGGTACGAAACATCACCCTTATCACCGGCTTCCGCTAACTTCTGCAGGCGTCGTCTTGCTGGAAATCGGCCTCTGGCAGCGTGCTATAACCTTAGAGAAAAATCAGTTCCGCACCGCGCGCGATCCTTTCGTCATCCAAGCACAGCTGCTCAAGCAAGCACAGCGCCGATTGGGCGACAAGATGGGCGAGAAGTACCAGCAAGTCGTCATAGCGTGCCTCACTGGCGAGTTCGGGGTGCAGAACGACACGAGGGAAGATCTGAAGTTGCAGCAGGCGTTCCGCACACAGGTTGTCGACGTTTTGGAGAGGGCTTCGTCATGCTTATGATGGCATTCTGCATTCAACGTATACATATTGGCGTTCTACACCCCCCATAAAACGGCATACCTGTGTGGCTTCAAAGAGAAGGTGCTCATGTTTCTTTCGTGATCACTGACGTCAATGCAGGTTCCCTAGTCCTATACCAGTCTCACTCTTCAGCACGATCGGCGCTATCACAATGTACCAGCGGAGACCTATAGCCGCCACCACCCCATCCTCCCCACACAATGTCTCTCCAGCCGAGCGTCGCACAACGCGCCCCCACCATCACAATGTCCAAGACAACACAACATTCATACATAACCCCGCCCCTCGCAATGTCTCCCCCACTAACACCAGTCTCACTCATAGTCTCAACATGCCAGACACCATGTCTCTCTCACGTTCATATCCATCCATGAAGTCCCCTCTCCTCAGCCCGTCCCGGATTCCCGTCCGCACACGAGCAAACACTCTTCCGGCGTCCTCCCGTGCTGAGTTGCAGTATACTCATACCGATTTTATCGCAGAGATTGAAGAAATGCAGCGTCTCCAGGCTGAGAACGCACGCTTGCTTGAACAGAACAGTCGCGTGAACGGTATCACGGAAGCGTACGCGGAGTTGGGAATGAGGTCGGAAGCGCAGGAGATGACTATCCATGTCTTGGAGCAGTGTTTGCAGAGCTCAGACGGTGACCTGAAGGCGGCTAGGGATGAGGTGGTCCGGATGAGCGACGACCTAATTAGGACGCAACATATCAACGCCATGCTAGGTGAGCAGCTGGAGGCGGCTCAGAAGATTGTCGAGAAGCATAAGGAGCGCGAAAAGGACCTAGAGACGCAGCATCAGATGACCGACAATACTCAAGCAGCCACGGAGACCGCCAGCGACAGCATCCAGGACTTACACTCTATCCAGAAAGCGTACGAGGCTCGCGAGGAGCAATACCAAGCGCAGGCCGCCACAATTTCGAACTTGTCACAACAAGTCGAAGCCCTCCAAGCTCAGCTACACGCAGAAGAAGAAGCATCGACGCACCTACGCGACCAGCTCAGCCAAGCACTATCCGAGTCCACACTCCACGCCCAAGCCTCAGAGGCAGCTTCTACCCGCGCCGAAGTCGCCGAAACCCGCCTTAGGCTATCCGAGGGACTAGAAGCAACGGTGATGTCCGAACTCGCGAACGTATGCCGGGAACTTGATCGCCTGCGCGCGGTGAATGAGGAGCAAGACGACACGATTGCTAGGCTGTCTGATAGGCTGCGCCGAAACCAGGCACATCTTGAGGAGATGGCGCAGACTGCGGTTGGACAGGAGGAGATATTGAAGGAGCTGGAGGCGCAGTTGCACCGCGCTATGCAGAAGGGGCGCCACGCACATGATCTTGAAACGCAGCTTCAGCAGAGGCACATGCAGCTTGACGAAGCGCGGGTGGAGGCTGCGCATGCGGAAGCTGTGCGCATGGGGCTGCGTGAGGAACTTGCGCGAGTGCAGGCTAGTCAAGGCTCCGAGCTGCTTGGCAATCATGCTGACGAAGCACCCAACAGCAACGCCCGGAACTTGCTAGTCGATTTGAAGACCTTGGCCGGCGAGACGCAGATGCAGCGCAAAGCCGCAAGGAAGCAAAAGCAGGGCAAGAAGGCTGACTTGGAGAATGCGAAGAAGAAAGTCCTAGTTCAACAGCTAACGCGCGCGTACTGGGCGTGAGCGTAGTAGATGGAGTTGGACTAGTGAGTGAATAAGAAGACATATCCAGATTCCATTATATTCTATCCTACCGTTGTCTCAATTAAATACATAGTATAGTGATACAGACCATAATACAGAAAGAAACCTATTACCCAGCATCATACACCCCAGCCTCCCGTCCTCATAACAGTTCATTACTCGCCCCGCCATAACTCTCCCAGTCCAAGCCCACGCATCCTTCTACCAGTTCTCAGCCAAGCCTCTCATCCTTAAAACAGTTCATTACTAGCCCTGCCACAGCTTCCCCAGTCCAATCCCCAGCCATCCTTCTCCCACTGCCGATGCCGACGTCGACCCTACTGCTGACCCTGACCCTGGCCCTGGCCCTGCTGCTGTCCCTGCTGTTGCGGAAGCGGAGGCCTCTGCGCCGGATCCCTCGGATCCTCCCACCACACCTTTCGCAATTCTTCCACGTTACTAGCTCATTGCCCACGCGAATAGCGCACCAGGCATTTGGGCCTAGCGACTTCTTCGCTTCGCATTGCTCTGCCGTTCCGATAACATAGTGTGAGCACCTATAGATGACGTTGTTTCGGATGCACATGGTGCTGAATTCTTTAGGAGGCGCTTAGTGCAGGGCGTTCTCGTTGCGCTTCGGGTTTGGGTTTGGTGCTGGTGCTGGTGTTGGTGTTGGTATCGGGGTTTTCGACGGCGGTTTTCGACGCTAGATACGTATTCGATAGAGATGTAGTTGTATTGATAGTACTTTAGCGATGTGGTGGAAGAGTGCAGCTTCTACAGAAGTCGGCGTTTTGTACCTTCGTCGGGGAGGAGTCAATGGGGTTATGACTTGACACGCGACTCAGCTGTGTCGGTGACACCAGTCTGCGTGGTTGACGCACTGTCGTTCTTTCTGAGTCCACTGGTCACTTGACGCTCCCTTTCCAATGAGCAAGTCGCACATGTAGTCCGTCCGCAGAATGACTATGCGTTGCTCACGCAATAGACGGTCGTCCACTGCTGCACGTTCGTTCAGCGACTCATATGTATTGACTGACTCTTTACAAGGTCCTCCCAACGGCGTCACGGTTTCTGTCAACCACGCTATCCACCCTACGCAACACATCTTCCTTCATATCATTATGTGGCTTGTCACCGAGCCCGATGCCTCTATCCGTGACCGGGTCCTCCGCTGATGAACCGACTGCTCTCTCCCTGTCCAAATGGTCCTCAGTATTTTGCGAAGACGAAGAATCCTGAGCGGCACCTAGCCAACTAGTGACCTTTCCTTGCAAAATGTTTTGCCGCTCCTCACTTCCCATTCGCGCGAGACGGAGTTCCGTGCGTTTCATCAGCCATGCCGTTCCTGGCCATGATGCGTAGCGTGGGTCGTGCTTGAAGCAAGGAATGGGCAGGCGCGGCGCAGGGTAGGGAACGCGGCAGCGACGGCCGTTCTGCTGCTTGCTGGCGCAGGGCTCCTTGGATTTGCGCCATTGGATGCAGCCGCAGTTGAATATGAAGAGGATGTGGCGGCACATCGTGCACTAGAGTGTGCTGCGAGGGTTTCGAAGGACGTCGTGGGAGCGGGGCGGAGAGTCGAACGAGAGATTGCGCACGAGTTGTTGCTGTGTATATGGCTACCGATGTGGATATGAGCGAAAGAACGTTCGGTGATATAATAATATGTCGCGTTGCTTGTGGGACGATGGTGGGAGTGAGATGCTTGCGGAGCGATTCTGTGATGCCACAGTAGTGTTTTTGTAGGCCGATGCTCTAGTCTGCGCCTTCCAGTCCTCCCCGGCGTGCAGGTGCAAATACACAAGCACTCTGTGGCGTTTGTTCCTTCTTGAAGGGCTTCGTGCTGCCTGATGATCAGCATTTCCCCCACGACGCCGTCGATGCCTGTTACCTTATCAAGGTCCAGATGCGTAATTCAAGACGCACGAAGGATGCTCGGTGTTTCCATAGCTCACTCATGGCACCCACCTTCCTGCCATCCCGAATGTCCGCTCCGAGTGTACCTTCCGAAAACCATCTCGCCTAGTAAGACGCTCCCGGTAACCGCGAAGAAGAAGCCGACGTTATAGGTCATAACGGCGAGCATACTATGTCCTCGTAAGCATGCTTGCATTGTTTCCCAGGATGGCTCTCACAGTATATATCCAATGACAGCACGGATGAACTCCAGCAACGCCCGGATGCTATCGCGCCTAGCACTCCAACCAGCATTCGCGACCCAGAACCCTCTCGCTGTATGCCGTGAGGGTTTCTCCTCTACCTGAGCTCCTATCGCTTCAGGAGCCGGGCTGAGGGGTTGCAACTCTTCCTGGGCGTCCTCTTCTCTTTTCGCACGCGATGGCTGCTGCCGTACGTGTCTTTTCCGATAGCTACTCTTGCCCTCACTTGACACGACCTCAACACGCTCCTCCCATCGTCGCTCAAGCTGCGACCTTATCGCGCCAAGGAAGCGGTTGAAGATCCCCAGCACAAAGAGAAAGATGAGCGTGAAGGCGTATGCAGCGGCCGTATCCGTCGTCCAATCCGTAAACCAAAGCGTAACGCGCGTATTGATCGAAAACGTCGTCGACATGCCTGACATCGCGCCTATGGAAGGCATAGCCGTCGATGAAGACGTCGCAGGCATTGACATGTCCATGCTTATTGCAGTGCCCTGGATTCGGTAGCGAGCGGGATGACGGCCTGGTTTTCGGGCGATGGATTGACAGATTTGAGAAAGACTGGAAACGAATGCGATGGAACCGCTAATCCATGGTTAAGTGAGATTGAATGGCATTTGGGATATATAGAAGCGAGGACTAGGCTAGAGTGTATTTGCGCGCATTTATGAGGCGGGTGCCAAGGTTCGGAGTGGAGAAATTTGTGGCGTTCCCTTCGCACCTTGTTGGCGCCTTGGACGACGGAAGTGAGCAAGTTTGCGGTCATTCAACGCGAAAGGAAGTGCAGCTGATCCTCAACGCCGTTCTTCCACATGCTAGATGAGTGAGCTCTCGTCCTCGGGTAATGCGACCTCGGGATGAATAGTCCACGCTGGAGCCAGCCAATACCGTAAGGGTACTATTCGACTTAATATACTTTGTCGTGCTGTTTGGTACGCGTACTATTCTGAAATGTACGATGGCCGCGCACCATCAGCCAGGACATCGTCAATGAAGTAGTCTGGAAAACGAAAGGAAGGTGAGAGTGCGTGAATAGACATATGAAGAGATGTTTTAGTAAGCATGGTTCCATAGTCATAAAGGCTACTTCAAAAGGTCGTTCCCTTTTAGCGCCACCTCCAATATACCCCTTCATGCTTTTACCAGTCAGCGCGCTCTCAGCAAGGTTTATATCATCCTAATCGTCCCCAGGCCCTCAGAGTGTAATTTTCTAGCCCAAATCCACCAGCCGGAAAAGTAGTGCTTGATGACTTTCGTGAAGTGACACAAAAGACGCCATTGGAGAGGCTGCGCATAGCCCAGGAGGACCCGTGGGCTTCTCCCTCCCTGGAAATTCGGATAGTCAACCTGTTCTATTTCGTACGGCCCGCGACCTTCACCACATCAATCTTGAGGTTGACCTGGGGTTTGGAGTGATATAAAGCCTCCTTGAGCTAGGCCGCTAGAAATAATCGAACTGCCTCGGCGTCCTCATCAAGAAGTTGCTTTGGTGGGTTCTGGGTGTCTTCCGAATATTCCCGGTATCCAATGATGCATGTCAAATCCAAGTGGTTGAGGCACGCCAGATGCCAAAATATATGCTCTGCTCCGCCCATCTTGACTGGTGCATCTTCGTTTGGCTCCTCTCGCAGCTGCTGAACGAGGCTGTGTTCGATATCCTCAAGACCATTCCAGTAGAGAAAGTCGATTGGTATGTGTACCGTGAGATTGACAAGGCCGATGCACTCGCGAAGCCACCGGATGAGCTTGTTGTAGTCGGTGGAGCTGGTGACGCGGCCCGTAAGAGTCAAGGTTGTTAGGTTAACTCTGCCGAGCTCTCGTCATTTGGATCGGCACGCGACGTCATGGAGTGCGCAAGATGTGAAGGGTTGTGCGAAGCACCATAGTGAGCAGGGTTAGACAACAGCCGGGGATAACGGTGACACGGACGGCCGCTCATCAGAGAAACTCCACTGTTGCCTCCTCCTTTCAGATCACCATGAAAGTCCTTTTGACTGGCTCTTCTCCCGAGTACCCAGAGATCTGATGTCTCAACCCCTCCCAATGGCAAACTCCGACTCTCTTCCACTCTTTGTCGGTGTCGTCTACAGGCACTAGGCAAAGGCACACAAGCAGCTTTGCGACCTCGTCTTCAGCTATGACAACGCACTGGACCTCTAAAGGCAGATCGATCTTATCATCGAGCATCCAACGTCCGGGGTTGAGCTTTAGCTTGGTCTGATTCCAGCGCTTCCATATTGGTTTCTTGAAGTCGTTGGCAATGATGCGGTAGCAAAAGGATGGTCCTGTCAATGTGAGTGTGCCACGGACTCCGACTTCGCGAGAAATTGTTTCCGTGTGAACATCAATGATGTCAACTACTGGGCGTAGGTCAGTGAAGTCCGGTGGTTTGGCGTCCTCGTGTGACCGATCGCCATGGAGAGAGTTGTGATAGAAAGCTGGGCCATCTGCGTTCAACCATGACCATGACGGGGCCTCGTACTTCGAGCCGTTCTGTAGCGTTTCCATCTTCTCCGCCGGCTTCTCCATCCACCACAGTAACTGGTTCCACAGGCCGCTTCTCCACATGCCCGCGATAGGGGTATCGTTCAAGATCTTCGCTACTGAGTCCAAGATACCCTCCAAAGCAATTACCTTATCCCCTTGTTTCGTGAGCTTCCTCGCCGTATAATTCTTGACAACCTGGTTCCAGGCATCGTGTATTCGCCTGCGCAATACGTTTGGATCAGATGCTCCGACGATCGTCCGTCGAAGAAGCTTCAGAGCCCAGGTCTCTTCTGGATCGCTGTCCGCGAGTAAAGATACACATACTGGTGAAGATTCCGAAGCGGATAGAGTGACGCAGTCCCAAAAAAGTTCACCGCGGCCATAGTAAAGGATCCTAGGTGAAAGGATCTGTTCCTGAAGCACCCAGCCTCGCTTATCTAAAGGCCCTTTTGGGCGAGCCCCTTGATAAGCCCGCTTAGTGAAAGGAAATACGTAAATCTCTCTATCGCCGTCATAGAAGCCCCGGTCGAGATTCGTCCCATCTCGAAAGCGTTCGAAGCGGAATGGTCTGATGCATTGTGCCTCGCGAGGTCGAAAGATTCCTTCGGAATGGCTGACAGAGTCGGCAACTGCTAGTGTGAATGCGGCTCCGCTAAAGACACTGCTCATTTTAGAGGCTTCAGCCAGCCAATCTTCAGTGGAATCTTGGATGATACACAACGCGTCAATCCATAAATAGCGGAACCCAAGAGTTTTGACGATAGAGATTGCCTCCCTTATTGTAAGCGATAGCTCTTCCAGACAGATAGACTGCATTCGTTCCTGCAAATTGGCAAGGGTGGTACGCGGGAGACCTCCTAGTCCCCAACAGTGGCTCAGAGCTACATAAGGCTCACCGGGATTCTGCGGTTGCACAAGCCTGGGGTTTCCGGAGCTATTCAGCATACTGATGTCGACAAGTCTCGTTGGTGAGAACTCCGACCCCGAATGGGAGTTGCATTTTACATGATCGTTGAGGCAAGACTGTAGCCACCTGGTAGCCATTGCATAGGCGGCTTTAGACTGGGTGCTAGAATCGTCGAACTCGGAGTTGATATCCTCAAGGCATTGATGCCAGTCATCTGTTCCTCATTAACAAGCGCTCTATAGTAGTAGGTGGATACACACCGGTTAACTGCGTTAACGGATGGCGAAATTCATTGTGGCCAAGCTTGATGACAAGTTCCTCGGTTCTGGCTTCTACGTTCTGTGAAAGCTTGAAGGTGACAGCTGGGTATGCGGATATATCTATGCTTGCACGGCAGTCCTCCAAGAGACCACACATTTGGCATGTCCTGCACGGGTCAGACAATCTCGTTACAATAGGGGTCGAGGGACGTCGCCCGCAAGTCGTGACCACCTCCTCGCATCCAGGACAGTAGGTTGTTGGAGATCGAGGACCCTTCTTAGAGGGACCAGACGTTGTCGTCGGCTCCAAGTCAGCGCTGTCTCGCTTCCTCGTTGGGAGTAAGACCCCATCCTGCGTCACGATTGCCCGACTAAAACCTTCCCGCACGAGCATATCCATATTGTTTTCTGTGATATTCGACAATATAGTCTGATGGAACGTAGCTCCGTGATGCAACAGAAGCTTTGCAGCTTCGTTGTTGTTTTCTTCGAGGGCGATGGGGAGGCACGCGCTTAGCCATTCTTTTGCAAAACGATCTGAGTGACCGGTGAGGCCGAGGCAAAGCTTAAGAATGTCTATCCGCTGATTCGTGATGGACAGATAAAAAGGATTGAGGAGCGGCCACCGAAAATCGATATGAATAGGTTCCAGAGATTTGTCGAAACGGGCACCCCAGTCCGCGAGGAGCTCGATCATTGGCCCATTCAACGTAGTAGCGGCGTGAATCAGGGGAACCCATATCGTTCTTACTCGATAATCATATAGTCTTGGTTTCGCGGGACGAACAGGCGTGCCAAAAGGATTTAGGGGAGTACGCTTGGGAACGATTCCCGTAGTGGTGTGTTTCCTCGGGACAGGGTCATCCTCATTTGAGTCCAGTGGGCGATAATAGATATTTTCGCCATCGTCGAATTCGCAAACCGCGGCATTGGGGTGCGCTCCAGCCTTTAGGGCGTCATGCATATCGGTTAGGGATGGAGAGTCTGTCTGGGCTAACATAACGCAGAAGGCAGCGGCGGGGTAAGGCCATGGCGCAGACGTACGTGTGGGCGGAGGCACAGACACAAGCTCAGCTGAGGGCAATTCCTGTCGAGGCCGAAGAGTGAGCGATTTTGGTGCCATGACTGCAAAGTGTTCCAATTGCCAAAGCGCAAGATGCCGCAGGTGCTATGATCTTCCGGTTGGCGCTCCGCTGCTCATCAACTGAGCAACGGAATCAAGTCGGACAAGAGCTTCGCGAAGGTGCAGAGAGGTCCACCGAATGTGGAGAGTTCGCGGGGGTTTCGGTTGTGGTGATGTGGGAGGGAAGGCTGAAGTTCAGCTGAACTATTTGCTTTTTGCGATGACTAATCTAGTGGACGTTAACCCACGTGACTTGATACGTTCCCTGGATACCACCAGCCTTGCAAAGACCTACTACCAGTTTGCTGGTCTTTCTTCCGTACTCCAGCTTCCTCTTAATGCCAACACGGATGCACTACAACTTCGTCCCCGGCTTGAATCGAATCAAGCCATCCTGGATCGTAGTCGCGATATGCGTGCCACTTCCATAATCCCACATACGACTCATATGTAGTCCTCGTCCGCCAGCTGCCCGCGTAGTCCAAGATTCTTGCACAAACCATTTGCGGCCATCTTTATCCCCTCTACCATAGGGTTCGAGATTACAAAGTGGTAGCGACCCTTCGTCGAACAGAGTTGGATCAGCGTTTGGATGATTTGTGCGAGGCTCTGCTGGCATGACGAGGTCTTTTATACCAACGTGGAAGATGACAGTGTGAGAGAGCGAGGCCATTCTAGTGAACTCTCTGCCCAGGGAGAGATGGTTCGGAATGATGAAGAGGGAGTTGCGATCTGATGCGTAGAGGTGTGCACATGCATGAAGATTCGCTTCCCTCGTAACGGAGAACGTGGCTGAGATGGGTGGATATGGCGCGGTTGGCAGCGGAAGCGATCCACGCAGCGTATAGAATATTAGCTGCCTTCGATCTAGCGGCATCCGCACGTCGTTGTACCTCTTCATGTCGACTTTTCGCAGATGTAGGCCTGCTATAGGATTGAAGTGTTCTGGATGTTGTGGCAGATACGTCTCGCGAAAGTATACGGAATCATTGCTCGGCGCCACAGGGTGTTCCATTGGCTCGTCTTCCTTTCCTTCCAGCACAACACGATAGTGCCCCTTCAAATCCACTCTGTGTTGGAAGTCGGTAGGCGAGCCTTCATCTCGTTTGAAGGAGCAGGTGCACGTGAACATGGTGCCCTTCTCCGCGGCTTGAGTGACGGTCACAGTTCGCGTGCAGTAGTTGTATCCGTCACGAATCTTGTGGACTGTATAGACGAAGTACTCCGTGGGCCGGCCACCAAGTGTGAACCAACCGGTGATGTCCTGCCGTGATTGTCAATCTTGCTCAGGGGCTTGAGTCGTCGCTGGGGGTATCGTACATGGATCAGGTACCCTTCGTCCACGGTCTGTGCAGCTGCCCAAGCAGCTTGTGCATACACATGACCGCCGTACGTCCCATTTTCTCCTCCAGTTGGCGAATAGGCCTTGGTTGTAGAGCGAAATGTTCGATCGTCGATTATTTCTAATTGCATTACCTGGTCGAATGGTAGAACGCGACCTTGAGCATCGAAGTAGGGTCGAGGAACCATATTGCAATGCGAATATGGAGCAGTGACAGTGCGGGTGTCGAGGCGAGGCGAAGACACGAGTGTTGATGTTACATGGTGACTGATGAGCGGGTACCTAGGTAGAAGAAGAGCCGCAAAGTGGAAAGTTACCTCGGATCTCTAGGAAGGCGGGGCCGGAGATCCGAACAAGGCCGAATGATCTCCGGTCGATACCTATGCTTCACCCTTTTCAACCAACGCCAAAGCCTCAGCAACCACCTGGGCCGTCCTGCTCTCAGCTGCGATAATTGAATCAGCAACGAAAAAGGTGCTCCAAAATCCCTACTTAGAGCAGACTCACGTCCGAGTAGACTGTCTGGATCACGACTGTTGGTTCCGCTGGTGTTAACCTCGGGGAACTGCTCGCGCCTGAGGAGTAGGAGATTGAAGGTGCTAGAGCTGCTAGAGCTGAGTTGATTTTCTTACCGAAATTCCGTGTATATTCAAGTAAGTACAGGAAAGAAAATTTTGAACGAATACCTATTGACAGGCGCTACAAGGGTGGGATATCTCATCGATTCCCTAATGTCGCGCATCGCCGACGAAATGGACGGACCCGGTTTTGAAGCAGAGATGAAGACTTTGAACGCTAGATTGTGATTCCGGATTCTAATGCCAAAGTCCTGTCATGATTGTCGTACTTTCCATGTGCAGTCCATCCCGGCTAAGGTCGATATACAGAGTCCGAACAAGAGCCTTCCTTTTACAGAAGCAAAACCGCAAATACAGCACCCAGGAATGCCGTACCCCAAGACGCCACGGTCATACCCGCCGCATTTGTGTTTTCCGGACCCGCCGCGCCACCAGTGCCCGATGGACTTCCCGTCCCAGATGCGCTCGGGCTAGGGCTCGTTGAGTTCCCACTCTCCACAGGCTCCGCTTGCGGCCACAGCAACGCCTGCACAGCAGCCATGGCGCTGAATGCTTCTCCCAGGCCGCCATCGTCTACGCTGTCCGCGTCGTCATTCTCCCCAGTCCATCTCAGACCGCAGGTCAAATCGTTGCCATCGCCGTCGCAGTTCGCAGCTGCACCCTTCGCTGAGGCTTGGAGCATCGTGTTGATGGATTCAGAGGCAAAGGGAGCCGCGATGGCAGCGCGAGCGAAGGAACGTACGGCGACGCCCTTGAAGGCCTTTTGGTCAACGTCGCATTTCCCGTTGTTTTCACAGGCGACTTCCGACAGGATGGTGTCATTTTGGAAGACGGAGGAGGCATTGACGAAGCCGGTGACGGCGTCTTTCCAAGTGTTGTCTCCGCTGGTCTGCAAAAGTCAGCAAGCCGATTGCGACGCAAGAGTGGAGAAACTGACTAGGTTGTACAAGAGAGCAGCGCCCTCAGTCAGCATAGCATGGTTACAGGTCCATTGGATGTGATTGATTTGCGAGCAGTTGGCTCTATCGTCGGTACCATCAAAGGCATGGAAATCGGAGATCAAGCCTACGTCTTGCATCCATTGGTAGGCCTCCTCGGCCCATTGCGAGTACGTCTCGTTCTTCGTGAAGAGCGCGAGGCGCGCAGAGAGAAGGAAGAATCCAGCATTCGACCAGGTATTCTTGTAGTTATATCCGTTGTTGAAGGTGAAGATCTGCCACTTCAGGCCGCCGCCGCAGCTCTCCTCATCCCAACGCGCAGCCTGCGTGTTGAATACATTGACGGCGAGATCGACCCACTTTGTTTCTCCACTTGGCTCCGGAAATCCAATTTCAGCAGCCGTCATAGCAGCCAGGCCCCAGGTGGCTTGGTCGGCATTGCCAAGCGTCTTCGTCTGATTTGGGGGCATGAAAGCGTCATAGTCGCCGACTTGATGCAAGATGCCAGTTGATATCAGGTCGTTGAACTGAGAATCGCCAGTCAGGTGCGAGTATTCGAGCAATGATTCCCATACGGCACCGGCCTCCCACCAGTAGTAAGGTTCCTCGAAAAGACCTGGTACCCGCTCTTCCTCGAGATTGTCATTGTAGGATCCAACAATAGCGCTCGCGATTGTCTTCGCCGTGGATTTAATCGAGTCTGCATGTATTAGCAAGGCCTAGCCCTATTACGACTCTAGAAGAACTCACCTAGGCTGTTCACGTCCAAGTCGAGTGCTACGGCGGCATAGAAGGAAAGAGGGAGAGCGAGCGACACAGCGTAGGAACGTAAGAGCATGTTGAATGAATGACGTGAAGCGAAAATGGCAACCAGATCCGAGCAAGCAGTGTGCGGGGATGGAGATGTTTAAAAGTCGATAATGTGCTTAGGTCAGCTCGTGATTCCCTTAGGCGGCCCCAGGCGGCTATCCGTCGCTGACCAGTTAGCGAGTGACAGGGAAATTGGAAGGTTGTGGCGCAGCCCGTTGCCAAGGCTCCGCCCCTTTTCGACCTTTGCCGTGTCCCGCCCGGCACAGCAGCTTCGCCTCTGCGGCAAAGGGGTACAGCACGTAGGTAGGCCTTATTATGCTTAAGAGACCAGTCAACGCTGCCCGTTTCCTTCGCCAGGCGTTTCACGATGCTGGTGTACGCCCCGAAGGAATTCACGGCGTAGTGCTGGCAGCCAAGCGAGGCTGTACTCGGGGTAGAAAGGAACTATTGTCTAGGCCCACGTTACCGTCTGAAACCCTCCAGCCCCAGCATCGTCGCACATTTTGAGGGCCTCATTGGTGCTGCGTCGTCCCACCTAGCCCCATCTTAGCCACCAACGCCTCCGCGATGTCATGAGCGAACTCCGGGTCATTAATAGCGCGTTTGTCTTGGACCACTTTGATGCCACTTCCCGCGAGACCATCCTCCACTGTCTGGAAGAGGGCTGCGTCTGCTTCTGCATCTGCAAAGGGCCCTTCCGGAGTCGATATCATACTGATGCCTCCCATAGGCAACCACACCTCCACCATGTCCGGGCGCTTGGCACGCTCCTTCAACTTGGTGGTAAGGAAATCTCCGACCCGTCGAGCCTCCTCTAGGGACGTCCTCATCAGGGTCACCATATACGTATGCTCGTACAGCTTGCGGTTCTTGTAGCGCTCAGGCACGGTGCTCTTCGGTCCGAAGTTCGTCATATCGGTAGCTCCCACTGATATCACATTAGGTATGCCAGCTTCGGCAGCAGCCTCAAGTCGACTCGGCCCTGCACTCATGACGCCCCCGGTGAGGAAGTCACAGATCTCGGTCGTAGTGAGATCTAGAACGGCATCCAGGCCGCCTTCACGGATCAGGCGCTCCATAGCCTTCCCTCCGTGGCCTGTCGCATGGAAAACGTAGGTTTCGATATCGTACTTCGATTCGAGGTGCTTCCGAATGGCATCCACGCCGGGCGTTGTTACTCCAAACATTGTTATTCCGACTCTTTTCTTTGCGGACGAAGGAGGGGTACTCTCTCTCGACGCATACGACTTTGCCATCCCCGCGATCGCTGCACCCGCATTACTCAGCACATTTCGCAGTACTTGGTTCAGGCCAGCGACGTCTACGACGGAGTACATGAGGGTGATGTCCGTCTCTTCGACGATGGGCCCGGTATCTCCGCTGGCAACCGTGGAAACAATCATTTTAGGAAATCCAATCGGAAGGGCGTTCCTCATCACGGCCGATGCCAGCGAGGTCCCTCCCGACCCTCCAGCTGCAATGGCGCCATGAATGGAGCCTTGCTCCAAGAGCGCTTTCACAGCTTTAGTTGCGCAGTCCGCCATCGTCTGAATAACCTCGCCTCGAGGTAACTCGCTAACCTTGTTCCCTTCGCCGTACTTCTCCAGTAACTCCTTCTGCGTTATGTCGATATCATCATGCTCCGTTCCGCTTCGTCCGACGTCGATGAGTTTTACGTTCACGTCCGGAGCAGCTCGCTGAATCGCCTCGCGAAGGAAGAGCAGTTCTTCCAGCTTCGTATCGCAGGTACCGATAAGCACTACCGTAGCCATGATGAAAGTGGTGGTGAGTTCATCTCAGCGACGCGGAAGATGCGTTGAAGTGGAGATGTTCTGTGTTCCGCCAGAACTTGCTCCTTGTGGAACAGCCCCGCAATTCTTGACGTCACGCCACTCCCCAAAGGATATCAAATCCGAAATCTTCACGAACACCCGTTCAAATCCTTCTATACGATCAGCGAGACATCATAATGGGTCCGCCTACCGGCCGAAAAGAGATATTGCAGAGGCTACGGGCCTCGATAGCGAATGGAAACATCATCGTGGGCGCAGGAGCCGGCATCGGCCTGTCGGCGAAATTCGTCGAGCAAGGCGGCGGCGACCTCATCATCGTGTATAACAGTGGCAGATTCCGCATGGCAGGAAGAGGGTCCCTAGCCGGCTTGATGCCGTACGGGAACGCAAACGACGTGGTGCTTGAGATGGTCTGCCCGCTTCACGCCGCAGCTCGGATATATTGCACTAACACAGAACAGGCCAGCGAAGTCCTCCCAATAGTGAAGAAAACGCCAGTCCTCGCCGGCGTGTGCGCAACCGACCCGTTCCGCTCCATGGACCGCTTCCTCAAGCAACTGAAAGACCTCGGTTTCGCCGGCGTGCAGAACTTTCCCACAGTCGGCCTGATAGACGGCCAGTTCCGGCAGAACCTCGAAGAGACGGGCATGGGCTACGATGCCGAGGTCGAGGTGATTCGCATGGCGCGCGAAATGGACCTGCTTACCACGCCTTACGCCTTCAACGTCGAGGAAGCAAAAAAGATGACGGGAGCTGGTGCGGATATCATCGTGGCGCATATGGGTCTGACCACGTCCGGGTCGATAGGAGCGACAAGCGGGAAGAGCTTGGATGATTGTGTGAAGTTGATTCAGGAGATTCGGGATGAGGCGGCGAAGATCAATCCAGACATCATCGTATTGTGTCATGGAGGACCGATTGCGGCACCCGAGGATGCCGAATATGTGATATCGCGAACGAAGGGTATTCATGGCTTCTACGGTGCGAGTTCTATGGAGCGACTACCGGTGGAGGAGGCGATTACGAATATCACGAAGAAGTTTAAGAGTTTGAAGCCTGGATCGTGAGAAACACGTAGCTCGGACGAGAATGCACAAAATCTTGCACTATGAATTTCTCAATGCCATATCGTCAGATCGTGTGAGCTCCAGAAGTTATTGCAGGACTTCCCGACCACGCCGTATTGTGCGACCATCATCCCACATCCCTCCTCCCCCTTCAATATCCGCCCCTCGCGCCGCCAGCCCTCAAACCCTCCACCCTCACCTTAACATCCTCCGAAAACCCCTCAAACATCCCCCTCGCAGTCCCACGCAGCGGCCACCCCTCCCTAAACAGGAACGTCGCCCACCCATCATAATCCTCCCCATGCACAAACGTCGTCCCACCCTCCGTACTCCTACTTTCCCGAAACTCCCAATAGTGAATCCCAGCGAACGCACCCAGCGCACCGCGGTCATACCAGCGGAACTCGGAGGGCGCGTTGGAAATGACGGCGGGCTCGATAGTTGAGCCTGGGAACTCCGCGTGCAGTCTGTCACCCGGTTGGAGAGCAATGCCGGGCTTGCCGGGCGGGAGGGTGGAGATGTGTTTGATAAAGTTGCTGTGCCATTCTTTGTAGCGGGGGAAGTCGAGGAGCTGAACTACGTTAGGAACGGAGGTGCAGTGCGCGGACGGCTTTATGACTTACTACTGCGCGGACTTCTTCGGGCGGTGCTGCGATCTCTACCTCGACACGAACGGTCGCCATATTCGCAAAACTCAGAAGCTAGTAAGGACTCTACTTCCCAGGAGTTTGCGGAAGGTACGGCTGCCTCTGTGTTTATAGCTTGGTGTCCCGTCCCGTTAGCGTTTAACATCTTACGTGAGACTCGGGAGGCACTGGACCGCTAAGCCCGAAGCAATCCAGAAAGCCATCCTTTATGTAGTTAGGGAATGCAAACGTAATGAGGGTCCATCAGGGCTGGGGACGCAGAATCGCTTTGCTAAAGGGGGAGAAACGGCATCAGAGACTTCGCCCGTAACTCGCACGCTATTTCTTGAACCTGAAATTGTACTTGCCGTCATAGCTTCCCGTTTTCCAACTACTCCGCCTGTAATCGTACAATATAGAAATACTACGCCTACAACCCACCGCACTTTTCTCATCCGTTTGTAATCTCCAAGACACCCGTGCTATTACATGCGCACAGTAGTATAAGAAATACGCACATTCGCCATAATGCCCAACTCCCATCCCCCGCCCTATCCCTACTTCGAGACATGAAAAGTCTACCCGGCCACCAGCCAGCCGTCCCACCCATTCCGTTGCGCGAAAAATCACACCAACCCCAGAACACTCAGCCCCTTGACCCTCCTAACCGCCGCCTCCTTACTCACCTCGCCCTCCGCGCCATGCGCAAGCAGCAACTGGACGATCAGACTGCGCTCTCGGGAGTCGAGCTCCTCAGCCGAGAGAGCGGCATGCAGCGGCGACGCGACATCTTTCGCACTAGCATCGACGTCCGCACCTCTGTCAAGGAGGTACTTCGCTATCGGGTACGCGCCAGGCGTTCTAACAGCAAGGTGCAGCGGCGTCTCGCCCGAGTTATTCGGTCTATCGATGGGTACGCCCCTTTCGGCAAGGAACTGCACATTGGCGAATTGGTTGCCCAGCACTGCTGCGTGGATGGGGGAGAAGTAGCGCGAGTGTGGGGAGGTTTTGGAGGGCTGTGCGCCGTACTCGAGGAGGAGGTTCAAGACGTCGACGGAAAGCTCAAACGCGACTCTTATGAAGAGGGTTCCGAAATCCGGGTCTTCGGTGTTGGGGTTCGCGCCTTCCCACAGGATGCGCTCTACGTTCGCTGCGGATGTGGTGCGCGAGATGTGGCGTAGGTCCCAGTCGATGGCGACTTTTTGGTCTTTGGTAAGCTCGCTTCTCTTGCTATGAGCGATGGCGAGTTTGTCCGATGTGATGTTGAGGTGGATGAGCGAGGTGTCTGAGGAGCTCACGACCGTTGCTGTGGTGTAGGATTTTGAGTGTTTCCCCCCGGGCGGCTTGGCGATGGCTTGGGGCGTGCCTGCCCGCAGGCGGTTCTTTTTCTTTCTCGGGTTTTGCTTTCCTGATGATTGGGTTCGGCTTCCAGAGGTAGTGCTCTCAGCGTAGAAAGTCCCGCGTGAAGGGATGGTTTCTTCGCGGGTTCTCGCTCGTGAGTTTGTCCGCGGATCAGAGATCATGATGTGTTCTGGTGGCATAGTGGGTGAATGCACAATATTGGCAATCCAAGCTCCTATTTCAGTGGCTGAAGCTGCTGGCGGCAATTCAGTCGGAATCGGTATGCCGGTTCGACAACTGTCGCTGGGGGAAAGGTCGAGCGAGTCTAACCGAGAATCTGATCGTTTCTGAGACTCGTCGAATGCGCAGGAATCCTCTAGTATAGATGCGGTGCAGGCTCTGAGCTTATCGAATGAGGCGTATAGTACAGGAAGTCTGCTCTCTGTAAGAGCTTCGGCATGCTCGCGCTCTATATCGATCCTTCTCAGAAGTGAGCGAGTGGCTTTTGGGTCGCTCTCCCCGAGGGAGCACTTCCTCGAGGGGTACACAGTGTGCTTGGATGCAGGGTCGAAAAATCTGAGGCAAGTCAGATCCCGATCTAGGGCTCGCGAAGAGATTGACCTACAGAATGTCGACATCCAAGACAACGTCAAGTGCGGACCTCAAGGCCTCTAGGTCGTGTCGCAGGTTAATCAACTGCGATTCCTTGAAACTATGGAAAGCCTCGCTCCGTGAATCTATGGCAGACAGCTTCACGAAGTGTTTGTGGAGCACCTCAGTCGCAGATGCGCAGCAGTCCAAGATATCGAAGAGCGCATACAGAAGAGGTCTAGGAAATGTCTCGGTTGGGCAGGACGCCGCAAAGTCACCTCGGGCAATGTCGAGCAATAATTTAAGCGCCAGAAGGTCCGTGTTGACTGCGTTGATGTCGTTCCTCGATTCGCGCAGTAGACATGCGAAGCTGCTCGCATCGGCGATAATCTGATAGTTCCCTTCAGCAATTGGACACCATAAGCTACGTATAACCTACCTGAGCGATTCCAGCGCTCAAGGCAGCGCATCTTGCTGCGATGGTGCTGGATGCAGACATCCTGATGTTTTTCGCCACCTGGAATATCGCTAGTCGAGCCGGGGTGGAGCTAGGTCGGATGAGAGACAGGGCTAAGAGTGATCCAGCGGATTAGTGAAATATGTGGGGATGTCATAAGGCTGGCGTGGGACATGGTGTTCTTCCAGAAGGCTCCTGTGCCGAGATAAGTGAAAAAGAACTTTGTCATGGGCCGAGCAGCCATCCCGCAAAAACAAACCAAACCGCGAATCAATAGTTCAGGAACCTGCCGTGCCGCTCCCATGAGCATGGACATGCTCGAATACTCGGGACACCTCCTCGTGGCAGCATATCCTGTTGCATGAGGCGCAGGACGAAGCGATCCCGGTCGAATGTCGATGGGGACGATGCGCCTCCGTGCTGTAAGGCAAAGGAGCGCGTCTTGGCATATGCAGAACACGGACGCACACGTGGGCAGCTATAGGAAGCGCGATAAGGAGAACGTATCATAGTCGTGGAGAAAGCGCTGGCGTCCATTTGAGGCGCAATATGAGACCGTGGTGATGGTTGTGGCTGTCTTTGGGACGCTTGTTACCACGCACGAGCGACCACATCCGTCCTTCCCCGACCCGAGTACGCGAGGCTGGGGACGGAAACCTTATGGTTTGACCATGTACACCCTACCAATGTCAGCACTACTGCCTCAGCCTTGAGGACCTCCGAACGCAAGGGCGCGTACGGCCCAACAGCGGAGAACCTTCCAAAATTGGAAAACAGTCTATATTGACGAACCATTTCAGCCCAAAAGCACATCGTTGAATATATGGGCTCCCTCGATGCATTTAAAAATAGAATCTTCATCGTAGGCTTAGTCGGCTACGCCAGGTGGGAGGAAAGAAATATAGTCGATAGGCGCCGGTTCAATACCATCAGGCTTACCCACAATCTTGAGTATGTCGCCTTTGTTGACCTCTACCCCTCTAAATGTGATGCGGGTCGCCGAATGGCCGTCTAGGTAGATCGAAGGGGCGTGACCTAACTTATCTTCCAAATCACCGGTCCATTGTCCAATTGTTCTATTGTTGAGAGAAAGCTCGTATCGCGCCTTTCCACCGATGAGATCGTAGTAGTTGACGGCCACATCATAGGTTCCCGAGGCGAACGTGACATTAGCGGTCGCTGTTCCAACAGTGGAATTGGAGGTGGTGACGATGGCAGTATAGCCCGACGCGGTGTGGAAGGGATTGACAGCGTACGTCCTGTACCCACTAAGCGCCATTTTTTCGGCTTCGATGCGGTATGGGTGATTCCCGACGCGCTTAGCCTCGTCGGGTATTTGAGATAGGTTGTAGTAGAATTGGTTGATGGAATCGCGCCATACGAGCGAATGGCCTGCCTGATACGTCTGCCTGAAGAGCACATGTTCATATCGTTCGGCGTCTATCTTGCCTTGGAGCGATTCCCATTGCTTGACGAAAGTTTGCGCGGTAGCTGCACCTTCGTAATGCGCGTCGTAAAAGTGCTGGATCGCCGTCTTTCCGGACTTTAGGCGTTGGGTGTAGTTGACATGGTGAAACCATAGCAGGAGGTTGTCCGGTGTAGTGTTGATGTTCTCGTACACCTGAGCGACTGCTGGGGAGTATTGACCGGCGTTCCCTGTTCCATTCTTCACGGTACGATCCATGCCGATGCTGAATGAGTCTGCGCGCGTCCACTGACCCCAGCCATTGCCATCCTGAGAGGCCGGATTTGGACCGAAGTGAGTATACAGAATATCGGTCAAGGTCTGAATGCCGAGGTTCCCGGAGTAGTTCTCGTAAGCTGGCCATGACTTCATGGACATGTCCGTGATCGTGTCCATGACATCGCGGTTGAACCCGAACGTCAAGCGTATCCAACTTCCGAGGACTTCCTCTGATTGGGCTGCAGGATCCCATGCCATGATGCCGTATGCGTACAAGTTCTGCTGCGATTAGCGTCTTGCAATGAAAGTGGCACGAGACACAAGCGGCACTCACAGACATTGCGAGGTGGCTCCCTAACCACGTTGCATTGGTTCCCACGTTAACCACAGCTGCAAATCCGCCTATCGGCCGACTGAAGCGCTCCCCAGAAATGATATCCTTGACTTTCGATGGGCGATCATCAGCTTTCATGTCGAACTCTAGAATCTCCTTCCACAGTGGAGCTAGGTATACCAAGTGGCACTGCTGGCCTAGATATTCTTGAGTTACTTGGAGTTCAATTGCCGTATTAGTCTTGCGCAGCGTGGAGAACAGAGGTGAGGCAGGCTCCCGGACCTGGAAATCGATCGGTCCGTACTTGATCTGGACCACAACGTTGTCATCGAATTTCCCATCTAGATCCTTGAAGAAGTCTACAGCAGCGTTCGCTCGATCGTTCTTCCAGTTTGTTTCGTTGATGTGGTTGTCATAAACGAAGGCTCTGAACATGACAATACCACCATGGGGCTTCGTGGCGCGGGCGAACATGTTGGCCCCGTCGGCAAGTGTGCGATTGTACGTTAAAGGCCCTGGTTGCCCTTCGCTGTTTGCCTTGACCAAATACCCTGCCATGTCTGGAACGCGGGTATATATCTGATCGGTGATGTTGGCCCACCACGCATCAACGGCAGGGTCGAGAGGATCAAATGTGCTCAGGCCGCCAAACGTCTGCGGAGACGCGAAGTTCAACGATATTCCCAGCTGTACTCCGTATGGCCTCATGGCGTCGGCCAGTCTGCCTAAACCATCCATATTTCGCGAGCTCAGCAAAGTAACATTGGCGTTTACATTGTTGATGACGATACCGTTGATGCGTATGGATGCTAGGAGCCGTGCGTATTCGGCTACTCGAGTAGTATTGGTCACCACGAAGCCGTTCTGGAAGAAGATGGACGGGCCTGCATAGCCTCGCTCAATGCTGCCGTCCATATTGTCCCATTGGTTGACCCAACGAATTGGAGCGTGAGGATTGGAGACGTATGAAACAGTCGAGAATTTGGCCTGTGCCAGCCGGGAAAGGTAGTCGAACGCGCCGTACAATGCCCCGCGCTCGTTCTGGCCCACGATTACGACGTTGTCGCCTTCGGTGCTGAGGAAGAAGCCATCCTCCTCAAGGCCATCAGCCTCGTCGAAGTTCCCATAAGCCTTCCTATACGCGTCCACGGTGCCGACGATAATGGCCGGTCTGCTGTTGGAAGTCCCATTGATGCCGAGTTGTTTCCCGAAAATGCCCTTAATGCCGTGCTGGAGCTCCTGTCCAGCGGTGTATACCGGACTACTCTTAGTGCTGTTCAGGGCAATGATTGACGAAGGATGAGAGCGATAGTTGTCGGCCTGGGGCACAGGTGCGTACCGTAGCCACGCTCGAGATCCATCTTCGGCTGTAGCGACAGCAGCAAGCAGAGACAGGAAGAGGTAGACAAAGATCATCTTGTCAGCCTACCTTGGGTTCGCGGTCAGACCCATCAGTACCAGAGACTGTGGTTTCTATTTAAACATCTTTCCTAGGCCAGGCCGTCAATTGGAGGAATAAATGAAGCAATTGGGGTGATATCATAGCGAGAGCAACCGTTCATTCAGGCTAAACAGGCGACGGCGGAACGTTGCGGTCTCAATAGATGCCGTTAGTGTGCGGATAGAAACCCACCAGTTCCTGAACAGGCTTGATGATGCCATCGAACTGTGGAGACGCGGAAGGGTTGCGGGAGGCGTGGGCGGGGAAATAAGCCTCGGCTTTTGAACCGGGCCGGGCCTGTGCGTTAGGACCGACAGTCTAAGAGCTCCCATCTCTAAGGATATCGTAGCCGCGAGATTCTCGATTCAAGGCATTTCTGAATGATTGAGGTGCGCGTTGAGTATTGGCTTTCGAGCAGGATGACGGCCTTCGCGTCGAGATGGTCGGGATGGAGACTGCTGATTAATCTGCGGTATTCCTCTTTAGGACTAGCTTGTTTCAGCCGCCCCCTAGCCCCGCGCAGCCCAGACGACTCAGCCTCTGCCATCACTCCGAGACTCCTCAATCATCGTTCAGGCTCTATCGAGATGCTAGTCACACACGCGCATTACAGACTGAACTTAGACCTGAGATAGCTGCGCCTTCGCCAACTCCAAATGATGCCGGTCCGTTTTATCGCACCTACCGTGCACCGAAAGAGGCGTAAAAGTTTTGGCATTGTGCAAAGGGGGTTGATGAAGACATGTATTATCGAGCCATACTAGCTGAGCATGTGCTCAAGTTGCTCTATCAAGGTCCATTTTACCCAACCCGATTCCCCCCAGCCCAGAATATCCGTCAAACCCCCCTGAGCAAGCACTACTGACGCAGGGCATACCCGCCAGAAAACGCCAAAGGTCATTATTGACCCATCGATCCAAATCTCCAAGCAATCTACTCCTTCTGCTCCTCGTCCTCCTTCAGCACCTTCATCTCATATTCGCCTCCCGGACCGTATCGATTCTTGTCCATCCAGGCACCCACCGGCGTTCCTTTCCGCGGAAACATGTGCGAGTTGTAAGTCCGGAGAGTCGTCGGCGGAGAAGCAGTCATAGCGCGGGCAGTACGCTCTCGCTCATGCACCTTCCTTAGATCCTCCTCCGAGGCCTCACGAGACAGGCCACCCAAATGCGCACGGATGTTCTCCTTGGAGACGATTCGCGGTCCTAGAGGACGTAGCGGTTCTTCGTTGTGGAGTTGCTCGGAGCGCGCCGCGCCCGCGATATCGCTCTTCGAGTTGTAGCGCGTCGGGTTCTTGGGTGGCACTGGAGGCGGGGAATCGTCACCGGGCCGGGGCGCACCCTTTGGCGGAGGGCTCGGAGAGTCACGACCAGGCCATGGGACATGCTGTGGGGGTCCGGGCTGGGGAAAGCGGGATTGGTTGGACGCCGTGCGGAGGTTACCACCATATGGGACAGGCTGGATCGGCGCGGGGATGCGTGAGGGACCCGGCACGGTACGGTCTCGCTGGTAACCGTCATGTTCCAGCGTGGCATGCATCTTGTCGGCGATGAAGTTGGGGGTAATATCCTGCTCGTACCCAGTACCCTCGTAGCTCGGATAGCGAGGACCATCGTCCTCACCTTTGCCGGCAGGCGGCAACTCCTCGTTGGAAGCTTCCGGCCCCCGGAGCGCCAGCGGTGGCGGAATCGCACTCAGTTGGTTCATAGGCAAGTGCTCCTCTATGTCCGAATCATCATATTCGCCATTGTTCAACATCGTACTCAAAGTTTTCGGTTTCTCCTCCACGAAAGGGTTGGACTCCCGGATCGAGTTGTATACACCGTCCGAGGCCTGCCTCTCGAAGCTAGGTCTGAAGCTCGGCAAGGGAGAGAGATTGAACGAGGACTCCTCGAAGGACTCATTCAAGCTATCCGTATCTCGCTCCGTTATTGTCTCCGGATACTGTCGGGGCTCTGGCGGCGTGCGTGGGAGCTCGAATGGGCGCGTGATGCCGTGACTAGGGCTCTTCGGGCCCGCCGTCGACGGCTTCGGTGATTTTGGCACGCGCCCATACATACCGTATGGCACGTACTTCTCCAGTTTATCCTGCATCTTGTTCTTCCTTGTGGGGGTGCGAGGGACCTTCGAGCGAGGTGATGAGGGAGACCGGCGGCCAGAAGAGAAGCTCATCAAACTGCGAGACCGACGAGGTGAGTCAATGCCCGAGGCAACACTACCAATACCCTGGCATCCCCACATGGGGCTCTCCCTACCGCTGATCTTTCGACCGACAGGATTCTTCTGCTGTAAGTTCTTTTTCTTCAATGCAATCCAGTCCAATAATCCCGCCCGGTTCTTGGGCCGCTCGATAAGCTGACCATATTTCGGAAAGACCTGACGCAGCTCCTGCTGGGCTTCTTCAAATTCGTCGGGCTTTTTAGCGTCAGGTTTAGCCTGAGGCAGAGCCTCCTTGTCGCGCTGCTTCGGGATCGACAGTATGCGGAGCGGAGTAGAAGTAGTGGGCGTAGGCACGTTCTTCTGTAGAACACCAAGTTGGCTCGGGCGCTGGCTCTCGATGTACAGCGCAAGCCGCCCGTAATGCTGTTTGCCATTGATGCCGTAGGAGTCTCGGACCGCGTCGACAATAGGCACGAACACTTCCTTCCACGCCGTGCACACATTTCGGAGCTTGAAGTATCGAATACCCGTTTTGTTGGAGATTTTGCCCACCTCGAAGAGCTGCAGCATCCAAACATACATTAGCTTCTCCCACTCTTCCGCACCCCAGCCGGACTTGTCGATCTGCCGCCCATAGTCATTCTGACTAACGTTATCCGTGTAATCTGGAGAATTTATATCGCCGCGTGAGTCGTATCGACACAGCCCCTCATCGAAATGCGTGTAGAACCATAGGATGTCCATGCCCGTGATCTTGCCCGGCTCCGACGCGCGCTTCTCGGGCGGCTGCAGAAGGAAAAACGAATCGCGGAATTCAGCCCACGGGACCAGGAATGACGGCTTCCCCAGAAAAAAGTCCTCGAATGCCTGGGGTTCAGTCAAGTTCAAGAGCTGGAGGGCTCTCTTGAATTCCGGTGATATCTTCTCTTTGCCGGATTTGCCCTTGACAGCGTCGGAAAGACGGTCGCGCAATGGCGTGGCGCTCGGCGGAGAGGCATGGAAGGAGACGAGCCGTTGCATCTTGTCGTGAATGCTCGATACAACGATGCGCACAGGTTGTATGAGCGACTTGGGGCGCAGATGTAGATGCGGCCTGGGAGGGTCATGGCCGAGGAGATTAAAATATCGGTGCGAGGGCGGCGGTGCCATGGCGACGGCGGCGGTGTTGCTGTGGTGAAGGAGCGGAGCGGGAGCTTGCAAACGCAGGTCTGTTGGGAGTGAATGCGGTGTGCGTTGCGGTGAGGAGGGTTTGCACCGAAGGTCAGGTGGGCGGGGTGTGACTCGACGGTCATGGCGTTGCTCATCATCGTGATTTTGGATTCACTGCGAACTGGACGAATTATGCGGGGTGGTACTTCCATCTCGACCACCTTCGTCGACTTCCTCGGGATTCCTCCGATACACGATATGTCTATACACTTTCCGGCAATCGCATCAACAAGCCGTTGCAATCTTAGAAGCTAATTCGAGGCAGTGAAGGTGAACAGAGTGGACGATACCATTAGCCAGGGGGGACCGTCGGGGACCGGCAACGATGCACTAGGATACAGCTAGCGAACAACGTCGACATCAGAAGGATCTCATAAGAAGGTGAGATCTTTCTGCCTCGGCGATATACTCTCACCAAGCTATAGCAAGACACGACATTGAAGTGCGGGACAGAGCGCCTCTAATCGCTCGGAAATACGCGGGAGCAACCTTGCACCGGAGCCATCGCATTTAAGAAGAGATACACCTCCCCGTTTCGAGGTCTACACTGAAAGCACCAAGAACAATAGCCAGCCCTCGGAGCAAGCCAAAGCGTGTAAGTCCATTTCATCAGAGTTCAATTACAGACGTTCACCAGCCGCGAAGGGCATCAGAGGAGGTAAACGCATAACCACTATCGCCTCACATCCCCGCACCGCCTTCTCGCCCTCTTGGGACCCCACCGCCGCCCCTCCCATTCAAGCAGTGCTCTCCTTAAAGTCCTCAAAATCCTTATCCAGCATCTCCTCCAGCAATCCCCTGTACACCGCCTTGGTGCTCTGGGTCCAAGCCACCATCGTCGGTCCCCTTCTGCTTCGCACCCGCTCCATCATATCCACCGCCCGCTTCAACTCGTAGTCGATATACTCGGTCATTTTGATGACCTTGTTCGCAAACCAGCCCAAGTTGTTGTTGAAGAGATATTCGCGCTCTGCGAGAGTCTCTTTCAAGGGTTGGATCATCGCTGCGGGCAAGTTCCATTTCTCGAGCTGCGAGATGTGTTGTTCTAGCTTGTGGATGGTGTGGCGGCGGCGGCTAATTTCGTCCGCGGCGTCATCGGGAGCGGAGGCCTGTGCGCTGGCCGCTGTGTCTGTTCGCGAGGTCGACATTGTGTTGCTGGTGCGGTAGCTGGTGATGTCGCTGAGGTAAATATGTTAGAGTTCGCTTGAGCGCCACATTGTTGTTGTAGGATACCCACATTGGAGTTGCTAGAGGAATGAGTTGCGGTAGAATCGCGGAGTAAGAGCTGGAGTGAGGCGAGCTTGCGAATTTCTGTGAGCGCGAAGGAAGGAGAGGTGGGGGGTTCTGGCCTATGCGCGACAACACTACATCCGCCAAGAAACAGCCTCGGGACTAGTGCCACTTAGGAAATCGCAGTGAAAGGGAACTACGTCCCCGCAGTAAACCCGGTCGACATCTACCCCGTCAAGCAACCAACAGAAGACAGTCATCACGCACGCAAACGGGATAAATTCCGACCTTAGAAATGCCATTTGAGCGCTAACGAGCTAACCAACAGCCAATTCGGTGTAATAATCCACCGGGGTAAGAATACCGCTGAGCCCAAGCTTATCATATTATTTCCAATGCCTGCCTCCTGGAGACGGCGCAATGTGGAGTTACAATGCCATAGTTTTCGAATCCTTCCTCTCGTCGATAGATTCCACCTTTTTGGGATCTTCATTCTCCTTTAGAGAATGCATGTCGACTTCGTGCTCTTTGGATTCATCGGGCTGGTTTAGAGACTTCGTGCTAGCGTCCTGCTTCTCGGGCTCGTCGGGTTGGGTTAGGGACTCGACGTCGATATCCTGCGCTTTAGGATCAATGCTCTCCTTCAGAGACTTCATGTCGGCATCCTGCTCCTTGGGCTCGTCAGGCCGGCTCAGGGACTTGATGTCGAATCCCTGCTCCTTGGACTCGTCGAGCTCCTTTAGAGACTTCATGTCGACGTCTTGCTCCTGGGAATCGTTGGGCTTCGTCAGGGACTCGATGTCGACATCTTTCTTCTTGGGCTCGTCATCCTCCTTCAGAGACTTCATATCGATATCCCGTTCCTGACGCTCGTCGTTCTCTTTCAGAGACTTCATCTCCACCTCTTCAGACTCATTCCGCTCCCCGAGACTCTTCGTCTCGACATCCCCCTTCTCCTTCCCCTTCCCCTCCTCCTTCTTCCCCACCTCCCCCATCCCAGCCTCCCCCTCCACACACCCCAACAACCGCCTCCCCTCCACCAGCACGCCCTTCACCCCCGCCCTCACCATCGCCACCAACACAACATTCGTCTCATCCCCATCCAGCTTCTCCAACCTCGCACTCACCAGCTCCAGCGTCTTCATCCTGCGCGCCACCTCCGCGGGATGCGCCTCTGCCTCATCCCTCGCCTCCTCGAGCGCCTTGTAAAGGACGCTTAGCGCGGCTTCGATCGTCTTCGTGGTGTCTTTGATAGAGTCGGCGCTCCACGCCGCGGCGCCGCGCAGCAGGATGGCCTTGCAGTCTGCGATGGCGCGGGCGTGCGGGCCGGCGGGGTGCAGGGTCAGCATGGCGGAGGAGATGGGGGAGGGTGGGGGAGTGGGGGCGTCCTTAGCGTCGTCGACGGCGGAGTCGTTGATGACGGTAGAGTTGGAGGAGGAGAGATGGAGCGGGCTGACCGGCTTGTCGTTGTTGTCCAGAGGGGATTTGCGGCCGTCCTTACCTCCTCCAGCGCTCGATCGCGCAACATTCGGAGGGGGCGGCGACGCGAACTGCGCCGGCGACGAGTCGTAATCGGTAGCAGTCGTCCCTCCCGCCAGCGACCTCACCGACGCGCCCTCATCCGTCGTGCTAGCCACAGCCTGCGAGCTAACATCCGCGATCCCAACGCTATAGCGCGGGAACAAGAGGCTCACGTCGTCGGAGTCGTCATCGTGCTCCTGCACGCTAACGACGACTTCATCATCCCGCCTAATACCGCCGAGCGGCGGCTTGGCGCTGGCATCGGGAGGAGAGGAACACAGCTCGCCGGATTCTGGGGAGGACATGACGAGGCGCGCGAGCTTCTGGATGCAGGTGCGGATTAGCGGCATGCTGGAGGGGGAGAGGGAGGAGAGTAGAAGTCTCACGAAGATGTATGAGAAGAGAAGAGTGGGTTGGATGCAGATGCGAGGATTGGATGTCTGTGTGTGTGTAATGAGTTTGTTGTGTAATGCAAACGCGGTTGTTGGATGAGTGTGGTGGAGAGCCGAAGTTCAGTTCCAAGGTTGTTTGTTGAACTGGAAGAGTGCGATGACAACAACATAATATGCGTCGCGCAGTTTCCGTAAGAGCGTGGGAAAGAACGGCGATGCGGGAAGTCAAGGTACCTAGGTGAAGAGCGAGAAGGAGACTGGGGAAGCAGCAAGCCGAGGGATTTCTAAAGTGAAGGAAGCCCTGCTGGCCACTGGCGAAAGGTCTTTGCACCTTCAGGTAAGTTTGACTAGCTAGATAATCGTCATGCAATATAGTACCCAGAGAACACCATGAAGTCCTTCAGTTGATGCTATCGCACACTAATGCTATATAATACACTCCCCTTCCCGTACCATACCATACCCACAAGTCCCGCTCAACCATAAGCCACCTATTTCTTCGACTCATCCTTCGCCTTCTCGGCCACCTTCTGCGCCTCGTCTCCCTTCCTCCGCAGCACCTCTGAGATCTCATTCACGGCATCCTTCATTATCCTCTGCGCCTCATCGCCATGCTTCTGCGCCACCTCCTGTATCTGTCCCAACTTCGGAATGATCTGATCGCCGCCCGGAATCTTATTCAGATACTGATCGAGCCCGCCAAACCCGCTATCCTTAGCTTTGCTCGCCGCGCTCTTGACGTAGCTCTCCAGGTCTCCCGTGTCGCCGTTCTCCACGGCCTTTTTGATTTTCTGGTAGAGCTCTTGGACATTGCCTTGTTTCAGGGTATCCGCGTTCTGCTCGACCAGTTCCTTGACTTTGGGGTTCGTGTCGAGGTAAGGCTTTGCCTGTTCCATGCCCTTCTTCCAAGCCTCGTCACCGAGCTGCTTGACCTTGTCGACTTTTTCCTGCACGATCTTCTGCACCTTCTGGATGTTCTCAGCGCTCATGCCAGTCTTGATCACATCCTGAATCTGATCCCAAGTCTTGTCGACCTCCTTCTTCGCCTCCGGGCCGTAGTTGCGTCCCATTTCCTTCAGCTGGTCGAGGTTCCCACCCACCTTCTCCTTCAACTGCGGGTGGTTGTCCATAATCTGCTGCGCCGCATCGCCGGCGAGATCGCCTATGCGGCCGAGGTGCTTGACGATGGTGTTCCACGCCTTCTGCGCGGTGAGAATGCTGATTTCTCCGTTGCGCGCTACGTCCTGCAGTTCCGAGTATGCGTCCCTCACGATGTTGTCGACCTCGTCGCCGTGCTTCGCGCGGATCGCATCGAGGTCCTCGAAGGCGGTATCGACGTAGCCTCGCGCACCCGGGATGAAGACGGCGTAGCTCTTTGCAGCGTCTCGTAACCAGTTCAGCGCTTCATTGGGCTCTGGGGTAGTCTCCTTGAGCTTCTTGGAGGCCGATGAGACGTAGTCTTTCGTGGTCTTGGTTGTTGTGAGGAGTTCGCGGGCTCCTGATTGCCGGTACCAGAGGTAGCCGATGGTGAACGTTGTGAGAGAGCCGGTGAGCGCGCCAATCACGGCAGGAGATGCCGAGCTAGAGGAAGTGGCTCCAGAGGAAGTAGATTGAAACCGGGAAGCTTGCATGCGGATACGAGCATTGGCCGATCGTGGGACTGGACGCCGGGCGCAGCGAGCTGCACAGGACGCATTCGAGGCGAAGCGTTTGGATATCATTGCGGCAATGCTTTGTAGAGAGGCCGGCGAGGTGTGGAAGACGATGTTGTTGTTCCTCGTTCAAGAGTAATTGAGGATGAGTACAGAATGTCGTGCGAGAAAGACGGTTTAAAGGTTAAGCAAATTCTTTCCAAGCTCGTGTCGCATACTGTGACGTAGCCATGACAGACGCTTGCCCGCACCAGCCCGCGGCAACAACAATGACGATGGGGAATTGGGAGCGGGCGCTAGGCCGATCATGGTTCGCGACATGCAAGGGACTGGCCTCTCATTGGCTATGTTTGTCTCCATGGATGAGCTTAAGTTTAAGCTTAAATCCGACCCCGCGATTGCAGAAGATCGCCCGTGATTTGGCGTTGCGTCATTTCTGAAAGTTCTACGATCCTCGTAAGATTTTCAAGACCCAACTCGAGACAGAAAGTCAACCTCACACTTGCAGTCCTAACAAAATTGCTCCTCCATCCATCTCACACCAGTCACCGCCTCAGCCCCCTCCTCCTAACAAAATAAAACGCCACGCCAACCGCCCAAACACCCACAAGAATCCCCGCCTGCACCGGTGCAAACACCGCGCCCCTCACCAGCACGAACCCGCTAATTATAGCGAAAATAACAGGAATGACGATAAAAGGCTTAACAGGCCGCCTCAGCTCCGGTTCCCTGAAGCGCAGAACGATAGCCCCCAACACTGTCAAAAAGAAAAAAGCATACTCGGCCAGCCCATTCAGCGTCAGCAGAATCCGCATATTGCCCAGCAGGATATATACAGCCGAGAGCACGGTGTTGAGGATAAGTGCGTTGATGGGAGATTCACCCTTGTCCATCGCTTCGTCGGCGTCTTCTTCGCCTTCGGTTGAGGATTTGGAGACCTTGAACGGCCCGATCTGACCAACTGTGCCGAGGACGCGCGGGATCCAGGACTTGTTTGCGGCGGCGACGGTCATGCGGCCTGCGACGAAGGAGTTTCCGAGCGCGGAGCCTGCGATGACGAGGCAGATGAGGATTGTGGCGAAGTAGGCGACGCCTTTGCCGAGGAAGTGTGTTACTGCGGTCTGTTTATCTGCATCAATGACGGTTATTTGAGAAAGGGGGCTGGGTAGACTTACAACAGCAGCAGCATCCGTGGTGGACACAACCCTCCAGGGCAGCAGAACGTAGTAAACCGCATTCGCGGCAACGTAGCACACAATAATCGTCGGGATCGCCGTATTGATCGCCAGCGGGAGCTGATTCTTCGGATTCCTCAACTCAGCCGCAACATAGTTCGCCTGGCACATTCAATCAGCACATCAAACCCCACTCCCCTAACGCACACAGCACATACCTTATCCCACCCCGAATACGCCCAAAGCGCCCCATAAAGCGCCGTACTATAAAACCCCAAGCTCTGCCACGTGCCCACGCCCCTCCAATCAAACAAACTCCCATCCGGCAACACCGTCTCGCGCGGCTCAAACCACCCTCGTTCATGCCAGTCCCCACCGCCAAGATCCTTCCCCCTGTCAAAGAGAATAGCGACAACAGTCAGCCCCGCCACGATCAGCAGAAAAATGGTCAACAGCTTAACCGCGACGAAAAACCCACTGAGCCGCGTGCTCGTCTTCGTACTGATCGAATTCGCCGTCGTAACAACCACAAGCACCAAAACAGAAAGTAACTTGTGCGTGATCGGCGGATGCGGCTCGTTAACGCCAAAGGAGGAGTATATAGACTCCACAAAGACGATGCAAAGGATAGCAAGCGTCGCCGGCATCGTGGCGACGATCCAACTCCACGCCGCCATGTAGCCCCACACTTCGCCGTACATGTAGGTTAAATAGGGCTGGATGCCTCCCTCGCCGGGGAACGTGGTGCCCAGCTCGGCCATGGTGAGCGCGCCGGTCCATGCGACGATGCCGCCTAAGAGCCATATTAGAAGCGCGGCGCCGGGAGAGGGCACGTTGGCGTCGATGGGGCCTGGGGAGGAGAAGACGCCTGAGCCGATGACGATGGAGATTAGGAGGGCGAAGCCGTCGAGCGCGCCGAGGCGGGCGGCAAATGTGCCGCGGGGTAATGCATTGTTTTCGTTGTTGGCCCTTGAAGCGTCTGGCGAAGATGCGTCTTCGCGCCTTATGAGAGGGCTTGTTTCTGAAGGAGCCATTTGGAGTGGTGGAGGATGAGAAGTGGAGGAGTCATGAGGTTGGCGTTGATCGTTAGCTAATTAGCCGAGACGGTTGCGTGATGCAGATGGTCATGTGATGGCACCTCATCTATCTGCACCTTAGGTGTTGGTTTTCGAGCTCACGGCATCTCTAAGGCAAGCAGTGGCCCTGTAGCACGATGCCAGGAATGACACAAGCAGAGGACATTCAAAGAGTAGGTGAGCGGAGGCTCGGAACAACGCCCATCAGTACTGATACATTAACAAAAGGAAGAAACTACAGATACTACAGACAGGGTATAACTAAGCAGAACCCCCAAAAATCCCATCCTGAGGCCCGGAGCTCGGAAATAAGCTCAGCTCTCGCCATGGAACCTACTTTCCCCTGCTCCAAATTACCGTTTGCATTAGACTCAACATCCCGCTTTCCCCACGCTCATGCTTTCCATCTAATACGAATTATCTCGTCCGCACTCTACGCAGCGATCTCCAAAGCCGGAACACTAAATCCATACCCATCGGTATGCCCCTCCGTGTCTTTCGGACTAATCTCCACCCTCAGCGTAATATCCAGTCCGTATTGCCCACACAGGCCCGTGGCTTGCAATCCTGCCGCAGCCGGATGTCCCGTGCCCGCGCCCTGCTCACCAGCATGCATCGGCTTTCTCGCATTAGCCTTTGCATCGGGAGGGGTAGACGTCTGTGCCGGCGCTGCTTCGCCGTTCGTTGTGGGTGCTGCGACTGGCGCCGGAGGGGCAGCGGAAGCCGACGACGTAGGCGTGGGATGCGACTCGCAGATGATGGCGTAGTTTCGCGAGGGCATGGTGGCATGGTTGGCATTGCTCGTTTTGCTCTTGACGTCGCCGTTTACGGCACCGTTGGTAGCCCCGTTCGCCGCACCATTGCTCTTGGTGGGAACCCCTGGATCGCGGTCGAAGATCTCGAGCAGCGTCTCATCCGTGTCGTGGTCCAGATGATGAATCTTGTTGCGGCTAGCCAGCAGGTTCGCCACAGCTTGCGGCGGCGGTTTGTTCGTGATAGCAGAGCTGATCACATTCGGCATGTATCGGTGATCCTGCTCCGCCGGGATACCCAGCTTCGGTTTGGAGTAGAAGCGACCGATGGCTGCGAGATGGACATCGCCTCCAAGAATCGTGACTCGGGCCGAGTGCGATTTTGAGAACTTCTGAAGCGCGTGGACCAACTCCCGGCGTTCGTGCTTGTGTTGATGTGCGGTGTAATGGTCGTCCAGATCATCAAGCAAGTCGACGCTCCCATCAAACTTATTGAACAGGCCGCCGGCGACACCGAAGCGCTTGTGTAGGAACTTGATCGGGCCAATGAGCGGAGAGCGGAAAAGGTTTTCTAACCACTGCAGACGCGGGTATGCGATGGGCACACCGAGAAGAAGTACCAAGTGCTTCAGGTTCTTATTGGCCGAGAACTCCTTGTCCAGCCGGTCAAAAATCATCTTGTACGTCTCAGGGTAGTTGACTTGATGTCGTGTGCGCTCCGTCCGGGCATCAATACCAACGAAAGCAATGCGCGCACCGAGCTGGCAGTAGATGCTCCGGCTGCGCTCTTCGACATACGGTCCAGGCTTTGATCCAATCATGTACGATGGATCATCTAAGTCGTCCGTCATGACGAACGTATTCTTGAGCTGCACAGGATCGACCGGCGTCCCGTCTGGTCCCACATCCGTCGTGTTCGGCGCATCGGTCGTAAACGTGCTCTTCGGAGGCGCCATGTGGTGCTGAAAGAGGAGGTAATACTTGTGCGCGACGCCGCCAATACCTCTGAAAACGGCGCACCGCATGAAACGATCCGTGTACGAGCCGAACCCATCAATGATATCATGGTCATCCCAAATGTTGACCTGCGGAATCTGTCCGTTCGCCGTGGCGAAGGGCTTTGTGCCGTACCACTGAACGTAGTTCTTGTAGTAGTACTCGTCGCAATCCGCGCGCAGCTTCTCGCCGAAGAGGAACTCACGGCGCTTGTGCGGATTCCCAATTTCCGTCCAGGGCCTGAGCGGACCGTCGCCCACACGCACACCGTCGTTGTAGATTTGGTCGCCGCCACCGATCATGACGTGGAACGGTTTCTGCGCATGCATACGGAGCACATCATTCCACAGCGAAGGACCCTGCCAGGTTTCCATATCCGTGCCGACGCTGAAGCCGTTGCAGGAGTGGAAGAGGATGCGCATTGACTGCGCAACCGACGGGACAGCGAAGGTTTGCGGCATTCCGGTCTCCTTCTCGTCCACGTATGTCAGTCCATTGATCTTGTATTCCCACCGCGACTCGAATTCCTGGAACGGCAAATCGATCGTGAAGCGCCAGAAGGCCTTGTCCGAGTCCTCGTACAGCTTCTCGCCGGCAAACCTTCTGCTTTCTGCGCGCGTAAACGCCGCGTTCCTTGCGGTTGCGTCGATGGCGCCAGCAAGAGACAGAGTGAGTTCCGGATGTTGTTGCCCAGGTGTGGTTACCACCAGGACGCTGCCATGCCAGGTTGGCGAGCCTGACCGTTCATTGCTCATGCGTCTGTAGTTGAGAAGCGGGCCACAGATGACTTCTAGCTTGTTGGATGTGCTGAGGACCTGTGGACCGGCTCCGATGCCAGTCGCGCCGCTTGGGTCGGTATGGGGCGATTCTATGGAGGCAGCCATTGAGGCGGTTGGGTGAAGCGCAGTGCGCAATGCAGAATTGCAAGAGAAGCTATGCGCGGAGCGAAGGGTATCTCCTGTCGGTATTACCAGTCAGCAAGCGCATTGAGTCAACATGGCGCCACAGCGCGCACCGGTCCGTAATGACTATACTCACCCCGAGTCTCCCAAGTGTCCGGCGGTGCTCAGCTACGGCGCAGTCTGGAAGCTCAACGCTTCAGATCCCAGCCTGGCGCAATTGAAGAAATAGCAAAGGAAAGACGATGAATATTACTGTCGCTTGGGAGAGAAGGCTGAAGGAAAGACGCGCAAAGGGGGGGCGAAGTAAATGCGACGAGCAACAGGTCGTCTTATTGTGATGTGATTGATTGATTGCTAGGAGGAAGCAGCTGCACGTTTCCAGGGCATTGGGCATGCAGCCAAGACACTGCTCTTGCCGCTATCCGCGCTATGACATCGTGCACTGTGACCATCATTATGTACGTTCGGAGGCGTTGAGCGGCGGCTGGGCATTCTTTGAAAGGGTCTGTGAAGAAGATGAGGAGATCAATACATGCGACGTCATGCCCTCCCAAAACCACCAGAGCTATCGCGGGAACCCTTGAGAGCGCTAGAGATGCTGACCCAGCGGAGTCCTCGAACGACGGTGGCCCAAGCTCCACGCCAAGTTTCAGCTTCATACGAGTTGTGGCGCGACCAAGGAAGATCCGGGCGATGACGAGGATCCTGTGGCAGTGCATGCACGAGTCTTGGTCTGCTTTCGATTTAGCCTCTTCATTATTGGCTGCTTGATCCTCCCATTCTCTCAAGACATGACCAAGTCCTGCCATGACAGTTGTACAGGCGACGCGTAAGCTATGTAGTGTCTCCTGCACCGCAGACTCTGCCACGCTGCACCCATTGTAGCGTAAACAACAAGTAACCCATTTCGGAGAATGGGCTTCTTAACCCATTCGCTTGACTTGGTGAACAGACAACAAGAAAGCTGGATGCTAAGCGCCGCCTATATGCAACCCAAAATGCAGAACGCTCCATGCCTATCCCAAGACGCCAGCCCTTGGCTATTCGACCAAATAGTCTTCATGCAGCATCCAGCCCATCCTCCATGCTCACCCCTATCTGGTCCCCCACCTTCTGCACCACATGCCGTATTGCCTTGCAAGCCGGTGAGTCCGGATACGCCTCCAAGAACGATTCCCCAAAGTCGCACGCCATCCCTATCCGCGGGTCCAGCGGTACCGCGCCGAGGAAAGGAATCTTCTCGTCCTGGGCCAGCCTCCTCGCGCCGCCCGTTGACGGCCTGAAGATCTGAGATTCGTGCTTGCACCCAGGGCACACGAAGCCCGACATATTCTCCACAATGCCCAGAATGGGGATCTTGGCCTTCCTGCAGAAGTCGATTTCCTTCCGCACATCCAACAAACTGACTTCCTGCGGCGTGCTGACCAGCACCGCGCCATCAACGCCCGAAGCTTTCAAGAACGAGTTGACGGAAAGATGCTCGTCGCTCGTCCCCGGCGGCGTGTCCACCACCAGCACATCCAACTCGCCCCACCCCACCTCCATCAAGAACTTCTTGATCAGCCCGTTCTTCTTCGGCCCCCGCCAGATCACCGCATCGTCCCTATTCGGCAGCATAAACTGCACTGACATAACGCCCAGATTCTCGCTCACCCACACCGGCTCCCACCCCTCACTCGTAGTATGAATCTGCTCGTCTTCCACGCCCATCATTTTGGGGATGGACGGCCCGCAGATATCCGTGTCCATGAGGCCGATGGTGGAGGACGGGTCTGAAGCGAAACCGTGCGCAAGCATGGTGCTGAATGTGGATTTACCGACGCCGCCTTTGCCGGAGAGAACGAGGATTTTGTGGCGGACGGAGGAGAGGCGGGATGTGATGAGTGGAATGTCAGGGTCGGGACCCTTTGGAGCGGAGGCGCATATTTTCTGGTTGGGGCACCCGGCGCAGGAGTCGGCGACGCCTGCGCGCTCAGATTCGGGACCAGGACAGTGTTCTGTGGGTATGTGGTGAGTGAGCGCTATCAGGAGAGATGGGCGGGGAGGTAGCAACCTGGTTCAGGCGCAACGAGCTTAGGTGCGGTTTTGAGAGGCGCATCGAGATCTACCTGGGTCGGCTCCTCCAGTGATGGCGCCATTGCGAGTGATGTGTAGCGTAGAATGCTTGAAGTTGTGGGAGAAAAGTGTACTGCAGCTTCCTGTGGTTGATAATCAATGCCGCCACCTATAGGGCTGAGGTGCTTGGCGTGCCCCACGTCGTTCCGATCGGAACGCGTCTCCGCGGGTTTCACTCATCACCAATGTAGCCCAAAAAAAAGGGTAGAATACTTGATTGTGTTGATTGTGTTGATTGAGTGGTCTATTCATTCGCCCCATGCTCGTCTATATTTCGAGACCATGACCACCGTCGGCAATGCGCCAAATCCTTGCTGTCCAAAACCAACGCTCGCCAACGCTTGCTTACTTTTGCAGCTTCACCATCACGTACGGGATCTCGACATCCTCCTCCGTCTGGTCTTCTGCAGTCACCTCAAAGATGACGTTGTTTTGGTGGTCTGGGATCGGCTTCCTGCTGATGAACTCAACGAGCTTGCTCATCCTAAAAACGTGTCAGCGTGAAGCCAATAACAAGGTGGTGGGAAACCTACGAGAGAGGCATCCTATCCTTTAGCTTCGAGGGAGGGTAGAACGAAGCGTACAGCAAGCTCACACCAGAGCTGACCATCTGAATGTTGAGACCCTTCTCCTCGAAATGGCCAATGAACTCCTGCAATGTAACATCATGGACCTCGAATCGATCCCACAGCTTATCTATCTCCACCTCCTTACCACCATGTCCCGTGTACTTCCCCTTCGGACTAGCAATAGGCTCGCTAAATCCGAAGAACGGCAGAGCCAAGTTGATGAACCCGTTCTTGTACTGCTCGATATCCGTCTTGCCGTCGACGATCTTGTACAGCTCGAGATTGACGAGACCAGTCACCAACGCAGTCGTCGTTGCGATGGCCGGGATGATCTTGCCGGCAATGAACTTCGTCTTGTGTCGGTCTGCCTGCTCGATCTTGTAGTTCTCGGCGCGCAGGTTGCTGGCAGCGGTGATGAAGTCGATGTGGTGATTAGTATCATCGTCCTTTTCGAATTCCACCGGCTGGAGCTTAAACCCAGCGAGAGATTTGGGTGGCGGTAGCGATTCAATTATCTGGTTCAAGACATCATTGTCATCCATACCCGTCTGCTGGGCATTGGGATCGGGATCCGAATCGCTCGCCTGGATCTTCACCGAAGGATCTGGCTTGAAGTCTGGAACGATCATGTCGTTTAGTACCTCAAGGTAATGCTCTTTCTTGGCATTCTGGGGAGGGTTGATGCCGTAGTTGTAAGCGTGCAATATCGCAGCCGCTTCGACGAAAGTGACGTGTGTGGGGTTGGACGGGTCGAACTTCAGTGCGTCAGGTGCGCGCTTAGGCCCAGACCAGAACGGCTGGCCGGAACCTGTGGTGGAGTCCTTCGGGAAGTTGTAGAGCAGCTGCTGAATAGCGTGGTTGTAATTTTTCTCAAACTGCTGTCGCGCCCAAATGATGCAGTCATCAAAGGTCAACGGCTTCTCCGTCACCAGGAAGTCGCGCAGAGTCTCCAGGGTCTGCTTCTCGTTACCAGACTGCTTCAGTGAGGCACCAAGATAATCCGGCTGTGTGAGGTACAGATTGACAATCTCCGGGCCCTTCACAAAGAATGAGTCGAACATTTCCCGCGCCCACGCGATGGTGTGCTCGATGCGGTTCGGGAAACTTCTAAGCGTGCACATTGGGAAGGACCTCTCCGGGGGATCTTGCGACGACGAGTACGATTCCGTGATGTGCGGGAGAATGACCTGGGTGTTGCCCTTGGTTCCGAGCGTGCCGCTATCGAGCAGAGGCTTCCGGAAGAATACGCAGCGACGGTCGACGTAGGTTCGTGCCTCCACGTTATCTAGCGCATTGGTAACGGCGTCAAGATTCTCCCAGAACTTCTCGTTGAAGATGTGCTCCGTGTCGGGGCCAACCTTGTCTTGCATTGTTACGATCTTGCCCTTCAGGTCAGGGTTCATGGCCTGCACGGCTTTCGCGGCGCAGTCGCTCTTGAGTTTACCGACATCGGATGGCCTAAACAGGAACTGCCGATTTAAGTTGCTCTTCTCGATTTGGTCGTTGTCAGTAACCCAGATCTTGCCGTTAGGACCGGCGCCAAGACCCATCATGGCCCAATTCTTCAGCATTTCGCAGCCAATAGCACCGGCGCCAACCAGGAATTCCTTGATATTGCCGAGCTTCTCCTGGTATTCCTTTCCAAGGACAGCAATCTGACCGTCGTACCGCGAGCCAATCGGAGCGCACTGCTCCTCCGAACGGGTGGTTGATGGAAGTGATTCAAGCGAATCGAAGTATAGGAACTGAGCGATTGGGTGGAATTTCCCAGAGACAGACTTCAGTACCTCCTGAGCCGCCATACCACCAAAGAAGGCCGCTACAGGACTCAGGTCACCCCGCGCCTGGTAGCTGAGCTCTTTGATCAGCTTCTCATCGAGCTCGACGGTCTCCTCTCCTTGGCCAGCAAGGTCTTGGGCGAGCTTCAGCACCTCCGCGGCATCGGCGTCGTTGTGGGGGCGCGGGAATTCGCCGTTGTGGCTCTCAGCAAAGGCGTGAAGAGCCTGAATGCCAACGTGGAGCTGCATGGGCCTGTCAAACTTGGCAAAGTCGGAGATCAGAAGCTCCGGCTTCTTGAGCTGCTTGCTGAACGGTTCGAAGTCGATGATCTTGGGCATCTTGACCTGAACATACTGGCCACCACCCTTGTACTCGCCGAGGCCGGAGACGTCGCCAATAGAGAATGTATAAGGGCCTTTGACTTCAATCTTCCGGGGCGCGCAGTTATTTAGCTCCTCCATCCCCTTGACTTCAGTGAATGTAACCCAGTCGCCATCTTCCAGACCGTGCCGGGTCTCGTCGAGCGCAGAAACTAGGCCGTCGGAATCAATGTCCGCAACAATTCCGCTGTTGACATTCTCGCCGGTGGGGTCGCCTATGGTGAAGTTCTTGCCGAAATCGGTGAAGATGGTGCCGAACAGGCCGTAGGTGTCTGTTATGACCACGTAGATGCCGTTCTCGTGACAGTAGTCGGCGATCTTGATCTGATCCTTCAGTGGTGTATCCGTCAGGACCACAACCTGAAACTGCTTCAGCTGCGATAAGTCTGACGTCAGATCGCCTCCAGTGTATTCCTCCACGGGGGTGTACGGGTTGAGCTCGGAAACGCGGGGGACAGTGACCGCGGCTCGCGGCTTGCCGACATCGTCGGGATGGAGGAAGAACTGCGACGAGAGATCTTGGAGCTGGGCGGGCTTCGGATCGTAGAGCGTCAACGACCTGACGCCGGCGAGCGCGATGTTCTTTGCGATTTCGACACCAAGACCTCGGAGACCGGCAACAAGGACATTGGAGGAGCCCATGCGCTTCATAGCCTCGTGGCCTAGCACATACAGCTGCCTGCTGTACAGGGACTCGTCGATCTCGCCGTCGGCATTCTTGAGCTGCGCAGCGGCAGCGGCAGGGCTGTCGACCTGCATGGTGTCCTTTTCCATGGTATTTAGAAATGTACGGAAGAGTTTGGTTAAGAGTGGAAGTGGGAGAGTGCGTGGTGGAGCTAGCAGTGGCGGATGTCGAGGGTGTTTATAAATACACAGCCTCTTCCGTGAATCGGCGGCGCCTGCCTAGGGAAAGGGTTTGCTCGCTTGCACAGCGCTTAAACTTACCGACATGGCTTTCTTATGCGGACTTCCAAGGTCCTCGCCGGAGAACCTTCTCTTCCCCAGTTTGCCGGCTGTTTCGGAGCCTGGGAGCACTGGACGTCGCGAGTAAACGGGGAGATTCAGCGAAAGCGGGGTGCGCTGCGGCGGCTTCGCGTTGGCAAGGGAGACGAACGGCCCGAGGCTGCCTCCAAGGGTTTGGGGAAGGTGTAAGCGGGCAAAATGCTGTAGTTGTTAAGAGGCAGAGAGGTTGGGTGGGTATTATGTAGCGATGAGGTGCAGGCGCAGAAGGTGCTGGATGGAGCTCTCGAAACGCGCTAGCATATCCCACCTTTGTCTTGGCATAGCTCGCCACCCCTCGTGAGTACCTCATCGGCCCGCCACCAATCATTCACAGGATATCTTCAGAAAATGCAACAGCCTTCCGTAACCGGGTTCACAAACGAATGGGGATTCATCAAAGGCTGTAATCAGCGGACAACCCAAGGCTACAACACTAAACTAATCCAGCAGCACCAGCGATTAGGCATCTACCATGGGTATCAGTCAGCCTGGCGCATACGACGTGTTACGGCAAGTCACCTCAAGCGTCTTCAATCGCAGTTTGAAATCGAAGCCCGGGAAGGCAAATCGTCGTATTCACCAGCCAGCAGGCCGCTTCGTCTATCTCGTTGCTTGTCTCACAGTGTCTCCCATATCCTCCATGTCGGCTGGTCATTACTGCCTGCAAACCACTCTGCACCGAGATTTTCCTCCCAATAACGCCGGAACCCCGTCAGGTGACGGAAGACATGTAGCCGTCACTATGCTCGCTAAAATCCTACGCCAGGATATCCATGCCGGAAGATGCTGTACAAGAAGAGAAAGGGGAGCGCGAAGGCCGTCAGTGCCTTGAGGTATGCCGGGTATTGCGGGTTCGTCGATCTGAGCTTGCGCTGCCTGGAGAGCTGTTAGTGTCTGTTCGCTAACCAACCGCGGGCGTCACCTACTTGAACTCGTGTAGTCACTGTAGTAGTACGACGAATCCGTCCCTGTCGTACTCTTGTCATCATGTTTGCGGTCGTGCCTGCGCTTCAAGCCTAGAAGGGCGGCCAGCCCACCGAGGCCGGCAGCAAGGCCCAGCAAGCCGCCCATTCCGCCGCCTTCCTTCTTCGGAGGACGAGACGGGCGCGAGGAGCCCTGGCCGTACCAACGACGTCCGCCGGCGGCCGCGCTGCCGCCGCTATGGTGGTGCTCCTCAATATAAGTCGTCTCCTCATGGGTCCGTCTCCTCCGCTTGCCCAGACCAAAGATGGCCAGAATGCTGTCGAAGGCGGCTTTGGCGCAGCAGTAGAAGCAGATGAGGAGCAGAAGAATGATGCCGAGGATCACGCCAATGACGATTCCAGCAATGGCACCGCCACTGAGGCCCCCTCCTCCCTGGTTCGATTCTACTAGTGTTCCGTTGACGCCGGTCGCGATGGGGGTCTCGAAGGGTACGGTTGCGGTCGGGGAGCCCGTGGCTGTGATGACAATCAGAGTCGAGCTCGTAGGACGCAATGGTGCGGACGGGTTCAATGTACCAATGACTCCAGGAGACGATCCTCCTCCAATCTGCCTGCAAGTTCCTGCGGTTGGATCGTAGCAGTAGAATCCGCTGCCGCAGCACACGCCCCCGCACAGTTCCGCGGTGGTGCATCCCGATGTCGCCTGTGGAGTAGCGCCAAGGAAGGTGCTGTAGACGGAGGTGCGCGTAACGAGGTCGGTCTCGGTGTAGATGAAGGTGCTGTAGACCCATCCGCCGCCGCCGCCTGTGCACTGAGCCTGATTGTTCGCATCCGTGATGCACTGTTGGCCAGCGGCGCAGCAGAGCTGGCCATAATACCCGCAGGCAGTTCCAGACCCGCAGTCTCGCTTCGCGACTTGGGATGCGTTGTGCAGCTGCCGGATCTCTTCAATGTGGTGGATTGCTTCGACAGGGTAGGGCTTCGCCGATGCGGAGGGCAAGAGTGCGACTGCGACGAGTGCGAGGACGGCTGCGGGAGCCCTCAGAAACCACATGATGGCCGGGGCAGGCCAGACAAGGGCGGAGTGCGTGTCTGTCGCAGCGTGCGATAGCTCGTCGTCGACGGGGTGGTTGAGGGGAGAGAGCTGGTGGGTTGCGGGGTAGCAGGTGATTCGCTTAGCTCGCAGCTCGCCGTGTGGTGCGATAAGCCTGGAGCGACCGTGGAATGCGATGTCGCAGAGAGTCAGCGATTGAACGACGGAATGCAGTGTGCGATGTGGGAGGGAGAAGGTATGCTGGGGAGGACGTATGCCGTGCTGCGAGGAAATACAGTACTCTGACCTGGGTGGGGGTTGGGGAGGCTGGTAGCACACCAACCACCGTTTTTTTGCACTACTGCCGGCCTTCTGCAGCTATAGGACCCAGTATTTTTGTTCCGTCGCAAGCAAGAATAATAATAGACCGCCTCGAAATGATGCAATTGCCGCGGACAATTGGGATGCTCACTTTGTTGCGATGATGCATGATCGCCCGCGAGGCGTGCAGTACACAAATAACAAGCGAGGCGTTGTCTAGCTGACCCAGCAACCGCTCCCACGGACCACACCTCACACTTCGTAATCATCGCACCGGTTACTGACCACCTCGTCTCATGTTACATACAACATCTATTCGCTAGTACTATAGCGTCTACCACATCCATTATCCTGTCTCGCATCTTCATCAGAACCACGGCCATCATGATCATAGTCGGGCCTGCCTCCCCAGCTGGTACTGCGCAATGAGCTTGTCCGCCGCCTTCTGCCCGACGAGATACGCCGTCGACTGGGTGTGGTTGCTGGGCTTCATTAGCTTTGCTCTCGGCTCATACGCGGAGGATGCTTACTTGGTGGTCAGTGGACAGACACTGACATCCGCCAGCCGCAGTCCTTCCACTCCAAACACCTTGAAGTCTGTATCCACACAAGCCAACTCATTCTCGGGCTTCCCCATCATCGCCGTTCCGTTGATGTGCCAGACCGTCCCCGCAGCTTCCTTCATGAACGCATCGATATCCACGTCCGACAAACTCTCAGGTCCGTAGATGCGCCTCTTGACGCTCTTCTTGATCTCCGCGTTTTCAAACAATTTGGTCCACGTTTGCCGGATGCCTTCCCTCAGGACGCGGCGATCGTAGGGGTGCTCCAGGAACCCGAGATTGAGGATGGGCTTGTCCCCCGGATTGGCTGAGGCGAGCGTGATGGACCCCTCGGACATTGGATTCATGAGGAATGCCACCCCTGACATGTAGCTGCTGCCTTCCGGCAGTACAGTACCAGGCGGGTGGAGCAGCGCACCACCTATGAACTCATACGCGGGCACCGTATCCCGGGAGAGAAAATCTTGCCATCTCTTGTCCAGGGCCTTATACTCTGCATACTCTTCAAGCCCCGGCAGCTTCAGGAAACCGCCGAACATCGTCCCGTAATGCAGACCAAAGGTCCCAGTCTTGTCCGTGTCCCACAGCCCTTTTGCCTCGGCTACCAGCTTCTCGTTAGTCTCGAATGAATACCGGTCGTTCTGGATCCCGTCACATTCAACACTCAGGAATGTCATGACATGGTCGTGGAGCTGCTTGCCGACACCAGGCAGATCCTTGACGACCTTGATACCGAGCGCTTCCAGCTCCTTCGCAGGCCCAATACCATTCAGCAAGAGCAGGCGCGGAGTGTCGATTGCTCCACCGCAAATAATGACCTCCTTTCCGGACATTGCTAACACTCGATCAGTAAAGTTCCCGAACTGGATGCAACTTGCTCACCTTTTCTACCGTCGGCAGTTTCAATACCAACGACCTCAGTTCCCTCAAACTCCAGGCGATGAACAGTAGCATCCGTCCAGATGGTCAGATTGTCCGGCGCATTGACTAAATGCGCACTTGCGCTCGTGGTCCTCCCATCCTTCGAGTACGATGCCGGAAAGACGCCAACTCCGATCGGGTCTCCCGAGTTAAAATCCAGATTAACCTTCTCCCCGCTCTTCACCAATGATTCCGCCCAGGGCAAAGTCCCCTTCTCCAGAACCGGCGGCAAACATACCTTCAAAGTCCCTTTCGTCCCGTGCAGGCTCGGATCCGGCTTTGCCAGGTGCGGGTACGCGCTCGCACCGCTATAGTCATAATCCTCGATTTCCTGGAACGACTTCTTTGTGTGCTCCCATCTCCAGCTGTCGTCGCCGACGATCTCGGCCCAGCGGTTGTAATCCTCGCCGGAGCCGTACAGGTAGACCTGGAAGTTCATGATGCTGCTACCGCCGAGGCCCTTGCCACGCGAATACGGTATCTCTCGGTTGTTCAGTTGTTTTTGCGGGGTGGAGACGTAGCCGTGGTCCAGGTCAGGGCGCATGAAGGGGACTGCATAGCGGTGGAAGGGCGCCCGAAGGTATTCGCCCTCTGGGTTGGGTCCTGCTTCTACGAGGAGCACTGAGGGGCGTGCTGCTGCATGTGAGAGCCGGTGGGCTAGCAGGCAGCCTGCTGTTCCTCCTGGGGTGGGTGTCAGTTGAGTCACGTTTGTGGGTTTAGAGGGCTGCGACCTACCGCCGACAACGATGAAGTCGTACGTTGACGCCATGGTACACAGGCTTACAGGGCAAGAACTTCAGAACGGTATTTCAGGTCAGTATTTCCCTCTCCCGTCTATCGGACAAAACCCTCAAGCTCCACTGCAGCGCATCCCATCAGCCTTTATACTCCGCAGCGCAATACAGTATTCCACATCTCCACCCCTTCCCTCGCCTCGGAAAAAGCACACGTACAGCCACATGCAGCGGCTGATGCAGATCATCCCCGGACACTTCATCTAGCGACCCACTCCACCGGCCCCACTAATCCCAATCAGCACGTCTTCCGGCCCTACCTGAGCTCATCCATCAGCCTAACACCCCATCAGCATCCCGCTTATTCACCACCGACTAACCAACTTCCTCCACGCCCAGGTGCTCGGAATTCCTAATTCACCCCGCCGTTTCTGGATCCGGGCAATGCTTCTCTGGCTAAGCTCCGCATACCTACAGTACTTACACTCGTCCTGCAACCGCTTTTCCCGACGGGAAGGAGCGCGGAAGCAGAACTGGAATCAACGGGGGGCCTACAAGCCGTGGGCGGTGAGGTGGGTTTTGGAATTCAAGACGCGCTTGGCTGTCAGACGTAAGTAGGTGGCTGCTAGCCGCAAGCGGGGTATGTCAGGTTGTGCAACGGCTCGGAAGAATAGGTGCGTTCTGCTTTCGAGGTTCTGAGTGGAGTGCGGTGCGGTATCCGATGGACCAGCCCTGTCGGCACTGATTCCGGAGGTTATACGCAGACCAATTATCTCGACTCGGTAGTCAACGGCGGCTGCATCTATACAGTATCTTCCGATCCACTAGGGGAGATGGAGTCGGTCCGTCGTCGGGCTATTCCTACTGCTCAGTGCCTTTCTTTTCACGGCGTAGCACTAGCCCGAACCATCTGGCGCTAGCGGAGCGAGACGAAAGTCTGTCTGCACAAGCGTCTGAACACGCTCAATTTTCAAATAGGTACAATTTCCAAATACCCCATCTTTAGAAAAAAATTGCTGACGCTTCTACGCGCCTTTCAAATATATTCGCTTCGCTAATGCTGACTAACACCCCCGGTCTACACATGCGGAATCTTGCTACTCCGCCCACTCCGCCTCCGCCTATATCACCTCAGATCCCCAGACTCACATCCAGAGCTCTGGACAGGTAGTCTTAGGTAATCCTCACCACGCCAATCCGTAGCATAGCCCATCTTTATGCGCGTTACTAAGCGGCGGACAAGCAAAAAGTGATTCCGAGTATGCGGTTTGGGACACGCTGACGCTTTGCTGGTTGCGTATGGCGCGGCTGTTCGTCGTAGGGCTAGGGAAATGCCGCGCTTCCCTGCTGGTGCCGAAGCTGACGTTTGGGAGTTGGAGGGGACGCAGGTCGCGAATTGGCGGTGTGGATGACCGCTTTATGCGCGGGGGTGGGTTTGTCTTGAGCATCTTGCATGAGACAGATGATGAGTTCAAGATGTGTAGTGGTGGTTGGATGGTGGGAAAGCGCGCTTTCTTTGACTAGGATATGTGTGAGTATGGGTGGTTTGTTGGTAGGCTTGAGAGTTGGATATGTGTGCTTACCTTTGCACAGAACGCTCTTTGCCAAGTAACCTGTCCGATGGGGAACCCGCTCTTTGAAATCGCTCGTGAGAAGCGCGAAGGCTGCTTAGGTTTAGCCTAGGGATCATGTAGCTTCTCCCTTTTCCTCAGATGAACAAGCATCGCGATTCGAATCACCATCTTGGTTCGCATTCTTTCAGCCACCCGATCTCCCAGGCAGCCCCAAATCCTCTCTCGAAACTGCCCTCGACATCTCCGTCTGCGTGATCTGCGTCTCCATCAAGCTCGCCGGCAGCGTATCCCTCAACCAATCCGGCTTCCTCATCTGCCTCGCAGCTTCAAATCCTCTTCTCGGCTGTTCCGCCCCTTCCCTTCCTACTCCCTGCTCCACATCTCCCCTCGCACCATCCCCATACTGCGCCGCCGTAGCAAGACTGCGATGATGCAGCGGCGAGAACTTCGGGAACGAGCGCGCCACTAACGCGCGCAGATCTGGTAACGAAGCCGCGACAATAGCAAGGCTGATCTGAATCGCAATGAGCAGATTAATAGTCCCGCCGAAGTACGAGCTATAGTCCATGCGGCGGCGTATAAACGGGATCTGCAGCAGCGCGACCACGCACACAATAAAGCCCAGGCCAAACACCACCACGAGCCCGACTCGCTGCCGCGTCTTCAGCTTGCTCAGGCGCCACACGTACGGGACCGGCAGGGCGAAAATCAGACTGTCCAGCGCGGAGTCGCCGACCGCGGCGGAGTACGAGTACATGGGCGAGCTGAAGCAGTGCGAGCCGGAGAAGGCGAGCCAGTCCGATGTCCAGAGTTTGGAGATGGAGCGGCAGGAGACGGAGAGTATGGTGAGGACTTCGATGAATTGGGCGAGCGCGAGGAAGAGCAGGATGTAGGTTGAGCGGCGGAGGGTGGTGATTTGCGGCGGGAAGATGCGCAGGTAGTAGGTTAGGATGGAGAAGCGGGTGAAGGTTACGGCGAGGATGTAGGCGATGCGGCGTTCGAAGATGTGCTGTTCATGCAGTCATTAGCTGGGCTTGTTAGCGGAAGGGTGTGGAGAGTTTACGCACCCGATAATACGGTAGCTCTGATGCCTGGTCAGGTCTATGCGACCGCACGCACGCAGCATCAGCAACTGCTTGACTGACTTCCATGAACCAATAACGCACTGGGACAAATAAATCGACTCACTCACCCATCTCTATCAAACCCCCACGAATCATCCGCGCTCATACAACTTATCACCGTCCTGCCAAACGCGCAAATCTGCCACTCATTAGTCCAATCCTCTTCCCTCATATACTCTGCAACCATCTCTACATACCGTCCCACAGATAATCAACCCATCATCCACCGCCAACTTCCTCTTAATCCCCAGCCGACTATACACCCGCAACGCCACCGTGCCAATCGCCAGCAGGATAAGCGGAATCTCCACCGCCAGCATTGTCCGGTTCTCGTTGCTCGCCGCGTCGTTGGCTAGAGCTGCGAGCGCTTGCGCGTCCTCCACCGTCCTCGTTACATTCTTTACTACCTCTTTCACCACCAGCACCGCCGCCGTCGCCGCCGTGGGGTCAAAGTTCCCGACCATCCTCTCTGTCTTTCTTCAACCGTAGTGCGAGTGGGTGGGTCTGTCGTAGCAGCGTAGCGCCAAGACTAGCGCCGAAGAAAGACTACGACAGTCGGCGTTCCATTTTCCCACCGAGGAATACTCTCGTTTTGAGAGTGGGGGGGGTGGGGGGGGGGGGGGGGGGGGGGGCTTTGCGTGACGACTGTGTCTTGAGATGTTGCTTGCTGACGTGCAGCGGGAGCGCTGACTGAGCGCGCCATATAATGCGCGGGCGGGCCAATTGGGATTTCGGGGCGGGAGGTTCGCTTCGGCTCGGCGGGCTGTCGCTTGCGAGGGTTACAAATTGTCGGTGGGTTTATTTTTTGGGGGATTGGTGCGGTGGGAAGCGATGTGCTGGGTTGGGATGGAAGGAGCGCCTGAGGTATGTATGGGAGCACGTGATCTTGGAAAGGCAGGGGAAATTTGAAGTGCAGGTGCTGAAGGGATGGCACGTATTAGAATGACGTGGGAGGCGCATAAGCAGGTATTACTAGATATAGCCACTACTTTACAGAATGTTGGGAGATCAATGCCGTCTTCAAGCCCACGGTCGAGAAAACGGCAAACTTCCTCCGCCGGTGCACGAGCATTGCCAGTCAGATTTTTGACGAGAAAATGGAACTACTTCATAAACTGATCGCTGACGTCAAACGTGAGCTGAAGCTTCTTGCGGCAGATGCTCCGGTTGATCGTACCTAGGTACGTTCAAGCCACATTCGACTGAAGTTCCCCTCCAGACTCTACTGGAGCTCCTAGTTGAATTATGTGTCCACGAAGCCCAGCATCGTAGGCGCTTATACGTAAGACGTTCAGTCGTGTGCTCATAGGAAATAGTACTATTGGGAAGCGAGGATACAGATGAAAATGGCCGACCTCACGAAAGGCCCCGGTTGCTCATCCAAAAATGTCTCTCGAGACTCCAAGAACAGCCAGCATTGGAAAAGGCCAACAAGTGGCACGAGCCAGCTATACTGTTTACTTGCATTGGCTGCGGGATTACTGGTGCTACGCGGCCGAAGACGAAAAGCGATTATGGAGATTCAGAGGGTGTTTCAATTCATCTAGAAAGCTCGTGCACTGCAGCATCACGACCTTCTGATATCGGGCGACCACGCCTACCACAAACGCGACGTACTGAAGAAGAACGAACCTCTCGACGACGCCGCAATCGCGGAACTTCCGACCCATCCGAAGCACATGAAAAGTCATTCCGGACAGGCAATCAGGAAGCAACTCACGCCAGAGCAAGCCGTCCAGCATGTAGGGTCCTGTGGGGCTACATCGAGCTAGCCGTCTGTAACTATTACAAGCCCTGGCCCCCTCGAAACTGTGCGGAGCCCGTAGCGGCGGTGCGCTGTTGGGCGCTAGGATGCGCTAAAGATGTGACCGTTAGCGATGGTGATTTTCTAGAGTGGGTTGGGGCGGTGGTTACGAGTCGAAGGCCACACGAGGGTGAACCAGAATCAACGTCTTAGAGTCCATGACCGTTTGGCACGCTGTTGGAATGTTGATGGAGATGATGGTATATGAGTTGGTTGTACTAAGCTCGGGTGAGAATTGAACTATATATATATGCATTCCAAAGGGAATTTACATGACTATCGCTCAAGCCTCAACAATGGTCTATACCGGCTCTTTGAAGGACGCGTTAACTTCCCTTTTTTAGTGTATATACGCATCATATGTGCACGCTACCTAGGTATTCCTGATATGGAAACACGCCGATCAAGCAGAGCTAGAAGGGGTTGTAGAGGCTATCGCGACGGTACTTGTGGGTTCTCGTTTTGAGCTGATCGAGTTCGACAGCATGGCTTCGATGCCTGCTACATTGACTTTACCGTTCGAGAGTTCTGTGCTCGCGAGGCTGGTGTGGTTTAGGGGCCGCGAATCTCTGTGAGGTCGCTTCCGCTTCCGCTCCATACCATGACCCGCAAAGAAGAAGAAGAAATTATAGAAACAAAAAGGCTCAAAGTATGGTATGGAGAGGAAGCTAAGGGTTTGAAGGATTTTGGTGCGCTTTAAAATACAACAGCATCTTGAACCAAGCGAGTGTCCGTACATATAACGTCCAAAACTTGCAACTCTCTGAAAAACGAATGGTGTGCATTCGGAGTATTTCAAACCCCTCTTCCGTCTTCATTCCCCTGTTGCACATAGGTAGTTGATACCTAGGTACACCCCATTGACTCCCAGTCATGCTATGCTCATGCCTGACAATCGGGACAGTCACAAGGATCCCCGTTGGGGCCGCATTGACTGCCACCGCTGGAGTCGGGAGAATGACAAGAGTTGAGGCCAAAGTCGGTATAAGCGTCGGCCGTCTCAACAAAGACAGTGGCGACGCCATTGACTCGCTCCCAGCGAGTCGTCCAGCCATCGCAACCAGTCCTGATAGGCGGCAGTCAGTGAACAGAACGTAGATGCGCAGAATGGCGAACATGTTACACCCTGTGGGAACATGAACAGCATTGCAGGAGTCTCGGGGTACCTACACAGGCCGGGTGCCCGAGGGCGGGTTGTCATAGTTCCAGATACATTCGCCGCTCCAATCTGACGTCCCAATATCACAATAGCCAGGCGCGTTGACCGTCAACATGCAGCTGGGAATGCAGGCAGGGTTGCCAGTGCCACCGCCAGGAGTTCCCCAGTCTTGAATACGGAGAAAGACGTCGATTCCCACTTGGCGAGTCTCGATAGTCGAGGATTGAACTGTGTTGATCTAACACCATTAACTGGGCTGGAAATAGTAACGTGGAAAGTTGGTCTAGAACTTACCGTCAAAGCGGTGGCAAGGCCACTGGAGAAAGCAGCGAGGATGAATGAGCAGAGCATTTTGATGTGCTTGATATTCGACGTGCAGTGCTGGTGGGAAGGTGACGAGTGATGCTCGTGATGAGAGTAAATGAAGAGTCTTCTTCTTTGGCACTGACGATGATTGACTGACTGTCTGTCCCTTCTTCTCTTGCATCTTTGCTCGGAAATCCACTGGCTTTTATATCCTCCAGCATCTCATTCTGACTAACTGGTCAAATCCTTCAGGCAGTGCATCAAGGGGCTCAACCTCATCAACCAGACGACGCGAGCAAACTACTACGTCAGGTACCAGCAAAACCAAGGATAAGATCCACAGGTGGTCCAATCCTTTAGGGATCCATAACAGCGCTACATCCTCCACAGATCCTTTAATCACTAAGTTGGGGTCCATTTTACTAGGTAGATCCTAGAGCAAGAGCCCGAGGGCGAAAAGAGGAAGCGGTAGGGTGATGGTTCAAGTAGGCAGAGCCAACCGCGCAGCGCGTATGACCAACAGTAAAGTCAATGCGGCCTTGAAAGCGCCGGTATAGACCATTGTTGGGGCTTCACGATAGTCGTGTGGATTCCCTTTTTCATCACGTTTTCGTTCAAGGTGCGGATCAGAATCGGAGTGCCCGAGCAGTATAAGGCCAAGCCCACCAATCGAGGTGGCTGTGGCTCTCCACGATCCAAATTGCGGCGCGTGCCGCCGCGGCGGAAACAGATCTTACCCTTGCTCAGAATACGGCGGAGGCGGGCATAGGGCGTCCTCTGAAGGGGTGTTTCCCTTGGCAGCCTCTCGTACGTATCGTTGGGGGCTGGTCTCAAGTATAGCCCTACAGTCCTACTTGGGAGCCTAAGAGGCAGGTCGGTTTGTTCGAGAAAAGAGACAAAGGGCGTGATTATTGGTTGAATTATCTGCGTCCGCCGATGGGGCGTGAAGTGCGTCCTCTGAAGGATTATGGAGATGGGTTTAAAGTTAGCCCGCTGTGGGGCTGAAACTACGCCCCAGTGGCTCAGCCGCTCTTGGTATAGTCTTGAGTATAGTCCTACTTGGGCGCAGGAACAGGTCCATTCGTGCGAGAAAAGAGAGAAAGGGCCTGGTTGGTTGAATTACCTGCATTCGCCAACAAGGCGTAAAACACATCCTCTGAAGGATTATTGAAACGGGTTTGAAGTTGCGACTAGTGAATATGCTTATATCTTAAACAGCGGAAGAACGCCTTGGCGAGGCTAGCAGAGAGGGCGGCCGACCCGCTCCTGCCAGAGGGTTGCGGAGCTGGAGTACTTTCGTGATTCGGGTAAAAAGGGACCAGGCAGAGACATCACCTCCAGACAGCACATGACTAACAGGGGTTGGCCGTCTACTTGGTCCTTATAACCGCTTGCAAAGTGGCTTTGGCGACAAGTAAAGCTAGGCACGCCACGATGTAGTGCGTCTACAGCGCTGTTGATCGCTTCCAACTCATACGATTGTTTACATTCCGCGAGTTCTTCGAGACTCCCATTGCTTCGCAGATTGCGCCATGTTTCTAAGACCACTAATCGGAAAACCTACAACTTCTCAAACTCCCCTAATGACTGGTATCGGTAGGAAGCTCTACGCTAAAAGCAGGGAATGCGGATGAAGTGAAAGTCTGGTTTTTGGGATTTGACCTAGTAGTGGCTAGAGCTTGAACGTCTTGGAAGCTCCCAGATTTGCTCGCAGAAGATGCATCTACAAGCCCTCAGAAGATACCTTCAATCCTGTCCACCTGGTTGAAATCATACGCGTTACCGTACGGTCTGTTCAGATAGTTCTTGACCAGCTGCCCAGCCAAGACAAATTCCGCTGCGACCTGCAGGCCGGTCTTCTCCAGGGTCAACTTCTCGTTCAACTCCTCCGCGAATTCGACGGTCATCTGATTGCGGTACCAAGGTGCGAAATGAACTGCATACGTCAATAGCTGGTTTCTTAATAGAGGCGGGTTGTGTCATACTCATCGCAAGCATAACCCTCGGCTCCTGACTCAGATTCGGCTTCCCACCGTGCCAAAGCCTCAAATCTCGCACAATGATACTACCCTTTTTCACCACTGGCTGCGATGGCGGCCGTTCCTGCCTCCTCTTCTCCAGGAGTGCCTTCTTGATCCTTCCGCTCGCGCGTTCACCATGAGCACCCTCTTGGTCGGCGATGGTAGTGTTGAGATGAGTGCCCAGCCATACTTCGGTAGAGCCGTTTTCAGGCGTCATGGTAACCAGTGGGACGTTGATGACGAGAGCAAACGGGATGCGGGAGTGGTCGAAGTCGGCGTCGTTGTGGGTGGGCTGAGAGGCTGGAGGGGCGTCGGCAGTTGGTGGGAGGGCGGTGTTGCCGGAGATGAAGCGGAGAGAGGGGTTGGGGCCAAGGGTGGTGGAAGTTACCTGAGTGACAATAGGATCTGGATGAGCGTTAGAGAGAGAGCTGAGGTGTTGAAAGAAAGATATAGCATGTGGGTAATCCCTCTAAGGAATCATCAACATCTTCACAAGATGGGCTCCAACACCCTTCTCTAGAAGACCCCGTGAAGTTAAATCGGTGCATCTCAACATGGTGGAATTGTCAACGGGCGTAAATGAGCATTCCGGCAAGACTTACTGACATACACCTCCTCAAAGAACATCTCTTCCGTCAACAATGGATCCTGCTGAATATTCCCTTTGTGGTAGTTGAAAGGGCTATCCTTCCTTCCCTGGAGCTCATACGCATCCTCGACCATCCTCTGATTCAGCCTATCTAGAATTTCATGAGGAACCATATCCTCAAGAACCACGAGCCCATCGCGGTGAAGAGCTCGAGTGGCGATTTCGAGGTTCTTCTGGGTGAGCGCGCTATTCTTGATCTCGGAAGGGGAAGTCCTGATGGAGATGGGAGTTGAGGAAAGAGCCATTCTGAGAACGAGAAGTGAGGGGAAGTGACGTAACTGCAAGCTTGATACGACGATTTGGATGCTGAAGACGGCGGGACTGGAGAAGAACTGAGTTGGCTGCTTCGAATGCTTGAAGTTGCTCTTGCAACCAACCACGAATTCATATATCAAACTCCATTTTGGGAAATGCAGATGCTCGAGAGGTGAACCGGATGGCTGCACAGGAGGGGTTAGTGCCCCGCTAGGCCGAAAAGGGAACTCCGACCGGCTCCCCCTCCAAAACACCTCGGTCGACTCCGCATATTCGGATCCAGCCGGATAGTAAAGACAGATGACGGGTAGACTTAGCTTGAAGGCCTCCAAGCTCTTGGCTTCAACGTCACCCCGCGGGGGTCTGGCAATGAGAAGAAAAAGGAAAGCTAAGAGTGCGGGATGGCTTCCATTTCGAGATTGAGCTCGCAGTGCGATGGAAAGTAGGCCATGGAGGACTTCGTAATGCGTTTCAAGTCTACCTGAACAGGTCCCGGGTAGTTCGAGGATTCCTGCGGTCCGACCGTAACTGCACTATGATTTGACACTGCAAAAGTGAGGAAGAAGACAGTAGCCAGGGGCAAATATACTTTTGTGCATATAGCTCTTTAGACAAGCGTATATGGACGGGAGGTGCGGGGAAATGGAGTAATATTGCTGACTTAGGGGCATAGGGGGTTTCCAGTCTAGAGATACTCTCGTCGCCAACCACCTTCTCGTGCGAGTAACGTTGACACGAACGTTCTAAATGCGCCATTACCAGCGCCTTCTTCAAGCCGTGTAGTATCGCTGGGTGCATCCCCCCTTCTTTCGCGAAAGCAGCCACGTCACCGGGAATGGCAGTCTCTACTAGCGAAAATGAAGATGTGCGTTCCGCCCTTGGGTCGAGAAATTTGTAGTATGCAGGGCGATGCTCGACCTGGGCGCGCTGCAAGTGTATTAGATGAAGAGACGCGTGTGCGGTGAGGAGAACCAGGAAAAAGAAGAGATGCCAGGAGATGAGGGGCAAGGGACACCCTGGGACGATGCTCTATAGGGCGGATGAGCTGGGCACGGAACCATGGAAATAGAGTTGCGATCGATGGATGATGGATCGGAGTGCGACGCGCCTGGTAGCCTTTAGCATGTGAGTAACGGTGGCCGTCCCTGAGACGCGCTCTGCAACGCCCACAGCAATGCACCTCAGGCGTTCGCCAATGGCACGCCAAGGCCATGCGAACAGAGTTTTGCAAACGTTTTGAGGCTTTTTGCGCTTGACGGTGGCGGCCAGGGCGGGCGGGCAGTGGCTGATGAAACAGGGCGATGTTTGCGTGGCTGCGCTGGTGGAGCCAGGAGCTGTCGCGGTGGTGGGCGTGTGGGTGCGTGTGGGTGCGTGTGGAGAAGGCGCGGCGGGCTCTGACGCCAACTGCCAAGCGGGCGTCTCGTGCCTGGCTCTTAGTCCTGCCACTGTGCCGCAAGCTCCCTCCATCACTCCACGACTCCGCACTCACTCCTCCTCTACAGCTGCAGACGCTATCCAACACTCCTATCCAGCTGCAGCCATATAGCCCCGCAGCATTATACGCCCACTCTACCCGCTACGCGCGCCCTTGCTGGATCGCCCGCGCGCAATTGCCCGTACCACAGCTCCAAATATCCGCCCTGAATCCCAAACCCCGCCAAATTCAGGCCGTCGACGCTCAGCACCACTCGCGCGAGCTGCGCCTGATTCCCCATATAGCCTGCGAGCTTTAGCCCGCTGCTGGAGTAGCAGCTTGACCACCTCGGCTCCAGCATAATTGCTGCGCGCCCGCCCTTGCCTCGCCCATAGCCTCTCGCACCTCACACCCACCACGATGCCGTCGCAGCGGAGAATGAGGGTCTTCGGCCTCCTCGTCGTCCTCACAGTCGTAATCACACTCTACATGACGAGATCGGCGCGGCAGACTCGCAATTCAGACTTCTACCTTAGGACGCAAGAAGCTCTCCAATCAAGGGAGTATCAGGAGGCAGCAAAACAGCGCGATGAGGCAGACGTGCACTCGCGGTTGAAGGCAGCAGAAGAGGCCGCGAAGAAGTCGGCAGACGAGAAGGGCCAGAAGTTCTTTGATTCGGTGGGAAGCGGCGGGAGCGGGGTCGAGAAACCCATTGGAGGCCGCTATCTCATGAAGGAGCAGGATGGCGATGAGAAGAAGGTCGTGCAGGGCGTCGCTACAGTCGGCGGCCGCCCGCGTGACAAGGTGGCGAATAAAGAACCCGAGAGCGACGAGGACCACGAGGTTGAAGTTGAGCTCAATGCCATCTTGAAGAAGAGCCCGAGTACGCCATATTCTCGCATCCTTCGCTTGGCCCTTGCTAACCTACCCTGCAGTTATCATCTTCTCCAAGACATACTGCCCGCACTCGAAGAAAGCGAAGCACATCCTCCTCGACAAGTACCGCATCGTCCCCGCCCCATACGTCGTCGAGCTGGACGAGCATCCTCTCGGTTTAAAACTACAAGAGAAGCTGGCAGACAGCACAGGAAGGAAGACGGTCCCGAATATCCTCATACTAGGCAGGAGCATCGGCGGCGGTGACCAAATTCAGGAACTGGACGAAACAGACAAGCTCATCGACACGGTGAAGAGCATGGCCAGCGCACGCGTGATCGAGGCAGAACGGCGGCGGATCCAGTCTGAGATGCGACGAAGGCGCGTGTAAGCGCCCACGTGGCGTACCATTCTACGTTCGTTTTCGCTTCTTGTGCATATTTTGGAAGTTTACATTTGGGCGGCGTTATTCAACGGAAAAAGGTCTTCGGACGGTTCGCGCATTTCACAGGGGGCCAGGAGGTTGTCTTACTTTGGATACAGCGCTCTTCTGTTATGGTCTATCTCTTACCACTGGTATACCCCGATAATGCATCCCATCTTTATGTCTCGAAAGTCGATCTTCTATTTCACGTCAGTCGCGTTTTCTTTGCTATCACATCAAGTCGCCAAGATACCCCATTTGCTCCAAGGGTGTAAGCCGGTGAAAGACAGAGGGAAGGAGCGTAGAACCGAGCGACCATAAGCAAGTGTCACCGCGTTCGTCTTCACCACTACCTCCGCAATGGGCACAACTAGATAACGCTCTCGAGTCCGCACCACTCGGTCTACCCAAGGCGCGTCGAGTACCTCACCTCAGATCACGAGACGTACAACCTCACACTCGCACACCAAACCTCCAGACAACCCTACGCATCCAAATCTCAGCACACCAAATATCCAACTCCAAACGCCCAAACGCCGAAAGCCTTAACCACATACGTACGTCCCCCTCCCCTCCCCCTCCCTCCTTCCTCCACCAACTACCCACTCACCAAACGACCCGCAGCATGTGCACCCACTTCACCCTGCACTACGCCTGCTCGCACACGCAGACCTCAACCCGCTGCCCGCGCTCGACCTCCACGTACAACCCCGCCGACGGCGACGACGAAGCCACCACCATCACGCACGGATGCGATAACGAGTACTTCCTCCAGGGCCGCCTCAACGAGGACTGCCTCGAGTGCAAGATGGCGCGCGGGCTGGCGCCGGGGCAGCAGACAGGGTTGGATGCGTGGGCGGGGCCGCTGGATGGGGGACGGATCGGGATGGGTGCTGCGGGATGGACGGGGAGTGGGGCGGAGGTGTGGTCGGATGGACGAGGTGGGGAGGTGCAGGGCGTGACGGGTGGGATGGGGGGGAAAGAGCAGGGCTGTGATCGGGGTCGGGGTCGTGGTGCGGATGTCGAGATGCGCCTACGCGCTGCTGTGGGCGAGGGCGAGTTGCAAATCCGCCGAGGCGAGCTGGGAGCCAACGATGCGAATGGCGCTTCCTGGGCTGGGGACGAGGAGAAAGGTCCGCGGAAAGGAGAGGGTGCCAATGAAGAGGAGGGCGAGGACGACTGGATATGGGGTGGCATGAAGCGCTTTCCTAACGGTGATAGGGGCGTCGTTCACGATAGGGCGAACCTGTTCACCCCGATGAACGCTGGGAAGACCCATGGGGCGAAGCGGCAGTCGATGTAAGTTGAGGAAGAGAGCTGTTAACGAACACCTGCGGGATAGGATTGTACGGTCGTCAAACGGATGTAGTTATGGGGAAGCATGGACATGCAATATGGATGGGGAGGACTGCATTCTGTCTACCTCCCTGAATAAGGTCCCGTCATTGGGTATGCAGAGGGATCTTCTATATATCCAAAGGGGCGATCCGTAGCCCAATTCAATTCAATTCAATTCAATTCAATTCATCCCAATGTCCCAGTCCCGAGTTGCTCCTCCCAAGCACCAGTCCAGTTCGTATAGAACGCCGATCCAAACGCCATGTGAGTCCCTTCACAAAGCCAGTTCCCATTCCGACCGGCAATGCCGCGAACCCCATACGCCCATATGCTCCTGTCTCAGCCGTCGACAGCACCTCAGTTCTTCCGACCACCATTCGTCGGACCCTTCTTCGGACCCCAGACGCCCGCCCTACCGCCGGGATCCAGGCTACTGGCCGACGACTTCGGCTCCGGCTCCCTCTCCCCTATCTTGACCTCGCCGGGCTTCTTAGCCCCCATCAGCGGAGCGGACGGCGGCGGCGCACCAAGCCCAGCCGCAGACCTCGGACCCTCCATCTGCACGATCTTCATCTCGCCCATCTTCTTCCCGCGCGGCAGCGGCGCAGACAGCGGCCCACCACCAGCCTTGCGCCCCTTCTTCCTGCCCGCCGCCGCAGCATCGATCCACAGCCCGCCCTCCCTCCTCTCCTGCTCCTTCATCCTCGCCTCCTCCTCCTTCCTCGCGCGCTCCCTCTCGCGCTCCAGCTGCGCCCGCTCCGCAGCCTCGCGCCTCACGCGCTGCTCGCGCTCGCGGCGCGCGAACTTCTCCGCCTTGGCCGCCATCTCCGCGCCCTTCTGCTGGTCGTGCGCGGCCTGCAGCTTCGCGCGGTGCTCGGCGAAGGCCTCGAGGCGCAGGCAGTCGTAGCACTGGAAGTGCGATTTGCGCGCGCTGGCGGCGTCGTCGTCGGCCGGGGGCGGGGCCAGCGGCGTGCAGAGGGTGTTGCTGAGCACGCCGGTCCGGCACATCGAGAGCAGCGGCTTGCTGATGCAGCCGCAGGTGTGCAGTTTGCGGTAGTAGAGGCACATTTTGGCGGGCGAGGGGTGGAGGTGGGGCTAGTAGAGTGTTAGCGGGATGTTGGATGAGAGGGGAGAGGGGAGACGGACTGGCTAGCTAGCGGAGAGCGGTTTGAGAGATTGGGGTGGAGAAGGAGAGACGCGGAGGTGGGGTGGGGCGGGGTTCGAGGGACGGAGTGGAGGTGGAGGTGAAGGTAGAGATGAGAAGTCGAAGTGAAGGCGAGTTTGTTGACCGCTCTCACTCCGACCGTTGCCGTCGACGTAATCGATGCTTCGGACCTCCCATAGCTAACTCTTCCAGTTTTGGGAGATTGAAAGGTCGGCGGCGGTGTAAGCGGCGGTGAAAGCTACAAACGGCCGCATTCCCATCGTGTCATGTCTGGTAGGCACTGTGCAGCGAAGAAAAGATTGGGTCCATGTCCTCGGTGAGTTCATAATCAGGCATGGATGGATGGGCATTGAAGCTGTTGTGGTAACACAGAATGTCCAATTTTGCTTAAGTATTCGACAGCCTGGAGGCCTTCAGATAACGGAGCGATGGTGGATTGCTCTCCGTATGGGTATCCAACTTTTACCAAGCAGTCAGATTACACGTTTACTCAGAATAGGGTCTAGCCGTCCAAGAGAAAGCATACAAAGAGCGTAACAACCGCACTCCAAGACGTTAAAGAAGCCAATCCGTTTTGGGTCAGAGGCAACACAGCGGGATCTTATATCAAGATAGGTATCACAGAGCCCGAAGAGCTTCACGGTAGTATCGAGACGCTGAAGCGCAAATCCATAATGGCTTGAAGCACATCGCGGTCCACCATGCAGACACAGACAGCCAAAGATGCGGAATATGGCATGAATGCGTAGAACACGACATCCTCGTGTCTCTTCACGAGATCTCGAGTGCATGACTACGGCTATTATTCACTTCTCTAGACATAAAATTCCGATGCTATGACACACGTTTGTATCTTTGTCTTGAAGGTAAAGGCAGAGAAGTACGCTTCACCTTGACCTTGGAGACTATTTATACCACATCCCCGCGCTCCCTCTCTCTTACCTCCTGGAAAAACTAAGAATAGGAAGCATCTGCACAGTAGGTACAGTCCTGAAAAGCAAGTGCCTTCGTGTGCTAACCTCTTCTAGGACCGTTATCATCCACTAGATACCTACTAGTTAGCGCTAGAAGCTAGCTCCACACCGTGGCACGAGAAAACGGGCAACTAGGTAGGAAACTCTTCTAACCCTCGACAAGTCGCTTCCTCCATAGCGGCCGTTAGGACGAGGCAACTATCCAAACTATTCCAGAACCCCATCCAGGGGTAGACGCTGACCAGATGTCTCGACCAACTTGCTATCTGAGAGTCAAGGACTGCCTAGCGCATCACCATTGGGTTGTCTGGGAGATAGTGCATTGTGATGGCTGCAGGGAGACGGGTCACCATCTAGTACGGATAGAAGAAGGTACTGTTAAGGACTGCAAGAGCTGCATTCCTAAGAGTAATAGGTAGAGCCCTACATATTTACAGCTGCTTGTATCACTCAATTACGTATTATATAGAAGGGCAGTATTGAATGAATTCGTGTCTAGCTAGCAGTCCATTCGTTCTTGAGAACCTCGATGGCTTGCCTTGGTGTCATGCGCTTGCCTCTGAACTTGAAGGTCGCCTTCGGAGAAGCGGAATGCTTGATCGCAGGAAACTCAAGAAGCCGATGTCTTGGTAAGCAACCTGTCCATTTTAAGGAATGCCCTTGGTTCTGGAAGCAAGTTTCGCAGAGACATATGAAACAGTATCGACACATAGCTACTTGCCTATTTCTGGGAACATATTCCCAGCAGTTCTCGCAAAGCCATGCTTTTCGGGAATGCACGTACTTCAAAAAAGTAGCCGCGTCACGCATCTTGTCTAGAGCAAAGAGCATCCTCGTGCTGGCTCGTAGCACTATGTCTTCGCAAACTGGTTGCAGAATAATGTGCTGGCACGCCTCTAGGTACGGTTGCAGGGTCCTTGTGGCAGCCGCGCTGTTGTTATTTTGGTGTTGGAGCAGAGCGAGATAGAGGAAGCTTCTCTCCCCGTACAGCACTTTTTCGTCCGCTTCGTATGGATAAATGCCGCAATTGCAAAGGTCTGAGACCTTTTTCAGGTACCGATCTGCATCTGGCGAGGTAAAGCCGGCTTCACTTGCCTTTCGAACACAGATGCGGAAATAATCCTTCGCAAGATCGCTTTTACATCCAAGAAGCTGCGGCGTGTCGGAGTGAGGGTGTAGCGTTGCAAACTCGACGAGCTCTTCAATGAGGATCTCATTCTCCATTGGCTGAAGAGATGCCGTTCTAGAAAGCTTCGCAAGTCGGACCTTTAAGGATAGCGCAGTGACGTGACTCTGGGAATCCATGATGGAAGCTTTGTATGCTTCTTGAAGCCACTTGCTTTCGGAGGTTTTCTTCGCCGCTTCGGACACATGGTCAAAGAACTCTGCAGACAGGTTCGCGCCCCAGGCTAGCTCGAGGATGATTTTGCTCAATCGATTTCGGAAGCCGTCTTCATGCTTTGACTCGAGCATTTGTAAAAGCTGAATGATATCTTTCCAAGCCGTCTCTCCAGCATGTTCGGCAAGACAAGAAACATACTGCACAGTGCCTTGTATGGAGATCTCCTTCGTGTTCGCTGCTTCTGCCCAGTGCTCAAGAGTCTGAGCAGGTTCTTCAAGTTTCTCGTAGTTTCCCGCAATAGCTTCGTATGAGCTTGCAAGCTGGCTAAGCATTTTGATCTTGTCCTTAGGGTCCGAGGACCCCAACCGATGGAGGATGGTTCCTGCGTTCTCCTTTTCTAGTTCGATGCTCTTCGCAAATCTCCCATCCTTCTTGTGTAAGTGTGCAAGTCCACTCCGCGCCTCGATGCAAGAACGGTCAATTCGGAGGGCCATTTCGAAGTGTTGAATAGCTGGCTCGGAATGCCCTAGTTCCATCAAACATGAAGCAAGATTGTAATGCCACATCGAGGTCTGTTTTGGGACTGCCCATCTTGCGACTTCAGCAAGGTTACCCGGCGGAAGTGACTCCAAGGGATGGCCTTTGCCTCCATTGTCCATCAGGCGTTTGATTTGCGCAATGACGGATAACGCGGAACGAGCATGCCACGAATTTTTAAGAAGCCCCTCTCGGCCGTTAACTCTGGCAACGGGCTCTAACAACGCCGGTGATCTAGCTCGGGAAAGGGTTACCCAAGCTTTGGTATTTGGAGCGAGCCCTCCGAACACGTCAGGGCCTGCGCTCCATGCTTCCACCCATTGGCCGATCGAGTCGATGACGCTCGGGGAATAGAAGGACCATTCGGTGTACTGACACCACCGGCGGAGTACGTCCTCCTCTTTCAAGAATTGAGCCAAAAGATCGACCATCTGGATGCGTTCGGGGTCTCCAATGTTTTCCGGGGGGATGCAAGAGTGCTGAAGATGATAGAACCAATGTTCCATGGCATACTTCCTAAGCGCATTCGCCGCCGCAAGCCGTGTCCCCGAAGTTGAATAGACGAAGACCCCAAGGCAAGCTTTCAACATAAGTATGTGTGGTCTCGCTGCCATGGCTCGAATGTGCGAAGACCGGGTCTCTTCCGAGGATTGAAGCCGAGTCTGGAAGTACTCTTTGATCGCAGCATGCGCGAACACCACAGTCGTTGCTTCCGGAATTGAACCATAACGAGTGGAGCCTGACCCGCGAGGGCGGGCTTGCAACATGTGGGTTGAGAGTCCATCATCTCTGAAAAGCGTGAACAGCGAAGCGCACTTCTCCCGCAGAGTTTCTTCCAGAGGGACAAGCGTATCCACACTTGGCGCCTTCAAATTCGTAACAGCTTCAATCTCGGCAAGCGTCAAAGGCCTTGCAGCACCAGAAAGCCACGTCAGTATTTGCGTCAGGTCGTCCTTGCCCTTCTTGCCCGATGCCTTCAAAAGAGTCTCCAAGAGGCTGCCTATCATGTCGTTGGAATCCTTCCCGAATGGAGCCTTTTCGAGGCATTCGTACGCTTCCTCCAAGGTCTCCTGTTGTCTAAGCGCATTGAACATGAGTTTTACCCATAGGAACATGCCACCTGCTTTCTTCTCTATTGTCTGTATCGCGTGCTGCTGGAACTGCGGCCATGTGCTGACATTGAGATGCTCAACGCCTTCCCGGATGAATGCCGTCAGAGTCTCCTTGGTCTTTTGGCGATCAACATCAATTGTGGCCGTCCTGAGACTTTTACCAACTTTTTGGATCTCCGGATAGAGATGAGGTCGACCGAGCAACAGGACGGAGATGTTGACCCGTGGTCTTTCTGCTGTTGCTACGATCTAGTTATTACAAAGCTAGACAGCTGAAATGGGGGAAAACGTACACTTCAAATCTAGAAGAAACTCCAAGAACTGCTGCCTTGAACATCCGTCCTTTGGTTCAACTTCATCCAGCCCGTCGAGGATTAGAAAGAGTGAACGACCTTGGACACTGAAGTAATCCAGGAATAGCTTCCTCCACAAGCTTGAAGCCGTTTCGGTTTCCAGATTGCAGCATGATTCGCAATAATGATCCTCATATTCGGAATCCGTCCTAGAAATTGCATCGGCGAGAACGGCAAGGCCGTAGCGGAAGACGTCACTTCCAGTAGTTTCCTGGGTCCTGGTGAATGGGAAATAGCCGACGGTAGTACCTTTTCCGGGGGTCTCGTCGCGAGCGATTCTTGCCCGTAAACGAGAAACAATTGATCCCGCAATGTAAGTCTTTCCGCTTCCGAAGCCGCCACTTATCCATAGCAAAGGAGTTCTACGTTGGAGCCAGTCCTGAAAGCCCGTCTCGGAGAGCAACCATTCCCCTGTTCCATCTACGCTTTGCCTGGCGATCTCATCCAATTTATCCATCAGTGCTTCGGTTTGGGACGAAATTATTGGATTAGAGCGAAGAAGGAAAGTCCTGTCCATTTTGTTGCGCTTGTTCTGCTGTTTGATCGTTTCATGGGGCAGTGCGTATTGGGCGAAGCTTAGATGGTCCTTGAGTTCCTTTACTAAGTCCTCAGGGGTTGGATCGGGTCCAAGCCCGACGATCTTCCCCCATTGTTTGTAGCGTGATCTAGCGTTCTTGTTGAGTTCGGGGACGATTTTCAGGATGGTCCCAAGGGCACGAGCTATTGCTTTCTTCCGCTCGGTGCTCGCGTTCCGGAGATCGTGAAGACCAATGTTCTCTATCCCAGCCTGAATAGCCGTCAGTCACCCCGCTATTATTGCGCATACATACGCACAATCGTAATTCTGAAAAGCTCCTGGAGCCTTGCATGGTGGCGTGAAATGTCATCGGGAGCTTTTAGCAACCACGCCGACGCAGCGACTATTGGTTTGACAAACATCAGCTCCGGCCCAGAGCCTGCGACGATGACGTTGCATATTCTGTGTAAAGCGGTGCAGATGTCCTTGGTCGTTTCGCGCATGTTTCTGTACTTGTTTCTCTCGACATGGAAGGCTTCCTGCCCGGCTTCAACATAGCTCTTCAAGTTCCCCAAAGATTCCGTTGATGGCACTACCAGATCGGCTAATATCGCGTCTACTTTCTTCCCGGTCGTCTTTTCGAAATAGTCTACCGCTTCCTTATGGAGATCTTTGAATACAGCGGCAGAGGTAGCCATTAGAAAGGGAGATGTCGTAGTATGAGGGACCTTTCGGCGAGACAAATGAGCGCGCCAATATATAGACATCACCGGACCTTTTTCGGAATTGCCCTGCGAGTTATCAACGACAGCGCACCAAAAGTTTGCGTAGGTGTTACTGACTCATCGAGCTGATGTGTAATGCATAACTATCGGCATGCTGGCTACTGAGGTGTACTGTTGCTCGAGATAGGCGAGGTTCCACAGCGGAGAAGTATCGGCCGGATGCAATCATGACCGAATTCGACGAATGGCCGTTCCCACTAATAGATTGGCTGTTTAAAGTATACTTCAAACGCTATAGGAGTTGTCTTGCGATTACCTACCCTGACGTCCTTTAGCATGCTTTCCCACTACTAAAGAAATCTGTATGGTACGTTAAAGCACCTCTGGCTATGTAATGACTTCCCCTATTTAGTTTATAAATTAGTATGCCTCACCTGCAGAACACCTACCCTAACGTTCTTCACCTCGCTTTCCTATTACTAAGTATCGCTGTATAGTGCGCTAAAGCACCCCTGGCAGTATAATGTCTTATACCATTCGGTTTTAAACATCAGCGTGTCTTACCTATAGAACACACGCCATGAAGTCCTGTAATCCGCTTTCCCACTACCAAATTAATCTGGATGGTGTGCCGAAGGACACCTAGCAGTGTAGTGTCTCCGGCAATCAGCGATCCAGCTCCCCCAACTTCCCCATAAGCAGCGCATCAACCCTCTCCCCTTTCTTCATCTTCCCGTCCCCAGCCGGCATACACAGCAACGCATTCGCCCCCTTGAAACTCCCAATTCTCGAACTCCGCTGCCCACCGGTACTGCTCGCATACAGCAGCCCATCCTCCTTCGTGACTACCAAACTTCTATGATACTCCGGCCTTCCCTTATCCATCTTAATGTCCTCATCCAGCACGACTTTCACCCGCGGCAATCCCATAGGCTTAATCCCGCTCTGTTGGTGCAAGCTCGGCAGCACGAAGAGATGGAACGTGACGACTGCCGATGCGGGGTTCCCCGGTAAGGAAAAGATGGTTTTGATGATGCGGTTCCCGGACGTGAAGTCTTTAATAGGGACCGTGGCGAAGGTGGTGGGTTTGCCGGGCTTCATGTTCACGCGGCCGAAGTGGATTGTGCCGCCCAGGGAGCGCTCGATGGTAGGCTTGAGCAGGTCGAGTTCGCCCATGGAGACGCCGCCTGAGGTTATGATGACGTCGACTTTGCGGAGGGCATCGCGGAGGGTTTGCTCAAGGGCGCCGGGTCTGGAAAGCTGGTTAGAGGAACTGATTCTAAGGGAGGGAGGGTTGCGTATACTTGTCAGAGACAATACCTAGATCGACAGCTTGGAATCGATGGCTTCGTACGGCTGTGATGAGCGTGGGCCTGTTAGTATCCCTGACCTCTCCTAGCTTGAGAGGGCCAGGCTTGTCGTGCGGGATGATTTCGTCTCCCGTGCTTAGGACTCCGACGCTCGGTCTCTTGTAGACGGACACCTCAGTGGTGCCCACAGATGCCAGAAGGCCGAATTCGCCTCCAACGACTGTGATGCCTTCTCCCTTCTTCATTATGGTGTCCCCTTCTTTGACGTCGCTGCCAATCTCACGGACATTCTCGCCGGCCTCTATCGCATCGGTAAGGATCTCCACCTCCTTCTCCTCCTGACCATCTTCAGTCTGGCTTTTCAGCACTGTGTCCTCCACCATGACGACAGCATCAGCTCCTGGAGGTAGGGGAGCACCGGTCGTGATCCGTGCAATTTCTCCCTCTTTTAGTTCCTTTACATCTCCTGCTTGCGCATGCGAGACGACCGCAACTGGATATACGCCCTTTGCGAACTTCCCTGATTGATTGATTTTCACAGCATATCCATCGACAATGCTCGCGCGGAATGCGGGGACGGACTCTGTTGCTTTGACATCTTCTGCCAACACAGAGCCTCCAAGCGACATGTCAACGGGGACTTTTTGAACGACCGATGACGGAGTGTGCTCTGAGATAAGCTTCAAAGCGTCGTCCACAGCAAGCATCGGGTAGGGAGACGACCGGTATCTACGAGTTGGACCTGCGGTCGGATCATTGGACTGAGGGCGATCTTCTGGTTTTGTGTGGGCTCTTGGGGCTGTATGGCCGCCACGTCCGTGAGCATGGCCACCATGTCCATGGTGATGATGGTGATGATGCCCGGTCGATGCGGCTTGGGCTTCGTCAGCTGCCTCGCTCATACCTTCGGCTTTGTGATCCGAACGTACCTCCATGCGTCCCACCAGACGATACTCCTGCTTCGGCTTCAAGCTTTTTCAAGCCACCAGCGTGCAATGGTCTTGACTCTGCACCGGCCGCTTGAACGCAAGCATGCGGTAGCAGCTTGAGAACTGCCTCCAGGTTCTCCTTCGCTCCTTTCGGAGATCCGGGTAAGGTCAAAATGAGTGTCTTCTTCCGTACACCAGCAACGGGCCTTGCCATCAAAGCGACTGTTGATGTCAGCGTTATGTTTCCCAGAAGACCTCGGTTAGTACCAACATGGTGTGACAGCGTATGAGGAAGCAAGCATGCCATGACTGGACTTATATCAGAATCGTTTTTTTCTCAAACTAAAGCAACCTAAGTCTTACACAAGTCCAGGAGCTTGCCTATCCAGAAGCGGTGTTACTGCCTGGGCACCTATCAGCACTTGATGCGTCCATGGCGTGGCGGTGCAGGGAGCTCTCATACCTCCGGAGTATTGTCTTTCGTAGCAAATCCAGTACCTCCACTAGTCACTATCAAGTTGAGTGGATCTTCGCCATCTGTCCACGTTCTTATACACTTCTGAATGTCGAGAACGCTGTCCGGTATGATTTCGGCTGCGGCCACCTCCCATTGGTTGTTTCCGAGATTGGCAAAGACATCTTTTAAGATTGGTATGCATCTATCCGTCGAAGGGTCCCCCGAGGCCGTTTCAGAGACGACGAGGATTGCGGTTTTTAACTTTGTGTTGCTCATGTCGATGAGAAGGTGGAGTGTTGCTAGCGCGGAGATGTCCCGCGTGGTGCTTTTTGTAGGGTAGGAGCTTGGGCCACCAAACCCACCCTTGCGCAGATCACGGGAGAGCGTGGTTGATGACTGATATTGACTGATTTCGTACCCGACGAACCCGCTCATGATACATGCATTATACAAGATCCATATCCTTTCCTCTATGTACATCGTACAGCCTGAAGATCCGGTACTCAAACCCCCGGTGCTTGCGCTTCGTCATAAAAACCCCAAGCCGGTCACTTGGTCGATAGACTAATCCGATGAACGCTCGATGGAGTTGTAGCCTTTCCTTGCTTCCAACAGTAAAATCCCCTAATCGAAGTCTGGCGCGCTGCTCTGAATGAGTAGGCCGATAATAAGACCGAAGAGCCCAAGGATGGAGCTGAAGATCTCGATGACGAGGATCTTCACGAATCTAGGACCTGTTAGCTACCGAGCGCTGTGACCTCCTCTAGAAGTCGAATCCTTACAGGTTGGGGTCCGCAGCATCTGCCAGCGCCGCGCTGCTTCCGTTGATGCCGACCGAGACGCCGCATATCAGGTTGCACATGCCGACCGTGATTCCAGCCCAGAACAACGCATATCCAGTGTAGAAGTTTTGCGGAGAGTATAGTCGCTCAGGGTCGGTGACGTTTTCGAGCTTCGAAGCAAAAATAATGGACATGATGACGCCGTAGATGGCCACGACTTCGCAGAAGATGATGGAGATCAAGTTCTTCGTTCGTATCCGAGGGGCCTTAACGCCTCCGCCGACGATAGACACTCCGGTCGTGAAGATTCCCCTGGTTTCTTATTAGGTCTGCCGTGGTAGCTTCCGTCACAGGGACGTACCATGCCGATCCGACTACTGATAGACCGATGCAGAGGCCGATGCCCAAGCTCGCCCATGTGTACGGGTTCACGGTTTCGAGGAATTGTCCGACCTGGATGTCACACGTTCAGCTTCGCTCGATGTATCAGGGTAGTATCGCATACGTTGAAGGCTTCTCCCTCGCCGTTAAACAGCATATCTGTTTGCCGTTAGCGATTGCCTGGCCGTGGGCCGCGGTGCACTCACATAGGCCGACGACGCCCAAGGCGGCGGTCGTGCCGCCTACTCCATACGTAAGAGACATCTCGACTGAGCGGGTGTGCAAGCGAGATGGGTAGTGAATGCGGGCGGTCTGGAGCTCCTCCTGGTGATGGATCGCGGCAAGCTGATGATGGCTGCGCGCGGAGCTACCCGTTAGCGCCGTTTATCGCTTAGTCATCTCGCGCATCATACAGCCTCCGACCGTACTAGCGCCTGTCTCACCTCGACACCACTCCCGCCTCAACCACCACTCGTCAACATGGCCGATTCCAAGTACTACGAGTTGTACCGCCGAAGCAGGTACTGCGCACCCATCCGGAGCACAGGTTTAGAGAGGTCTGGCTGACGGAAGACAGTCTGGGTGGCGCCCTCACGGACACGCTGGACAACCTGATCACCGAGCGCCGAATCGAGCCCCAGCTTGCCATGAAGATCCTCGCCAACTTCGACAAGGCAGTCGCCGACGTCCTCGCGGAAAAGGTCAAGGCCCGGCTGACGTTCAAGGTCGGTTGAGGTCGAGCTCGTTGTGGCGACCCTAGTTGCTAACCCCGCTCTTGTAGGGACATCTCGACACCTACCGGTTCTGCGACGATGTCTGGACCTTCATCATTAAGGACATCAACTTCAAGCTCGACAACACGAACCAAGTCCACGCCGACCGGGTTAAGATTGTTAGCTGCAACACGAAGCGCCCCGGTGAGGCCTAGAGCATATGCTCTGGTCTTACTTGTTAGTGGCGTGTTGCTTACATTTTTTCTGGCGTTAGGTGGCCCCGATGTCAAAATCTCTACGAGAAAACGACGAGGTTGTCAAGCACGAGGTCAAGCGGGAGGTCAAGCGGGAGATAAAGCGGGAGGATACCAAGGATTGGTGAAAAGACTTCGCAAGGCGGAATTTCCCCCGCGACGACCTACAGGAAGGATTGATCCCCGAAGGCATGGATTTGGCTTGGCTCGTTCGGCGTTTTGGAGGGTAGTATGGCATTCTCGGATACCTTTGGCACGGATATGGAGTCTTTGCCTGTCATCGGATGAGCGAGGGCACAAGTTCGTCAATACAATAGACGATATGAATCACGCATAGCTTTCACCAGAAATTGTGCTCCATGACCAAACCTTCCAGAGTGACCTATCGCCAACCTGACTGCTAACAGACTCATAGACCCCACCGGAAGATGTACGCAGATTCGCTTTGTGCGCCTAGAAGATCATTCAAAGATGCTTCGCGCTGTTCATCGGCATCTTCTCGACCGCTGTGAGTCTGATGGAGACTTCCTATCATACTTTTGACTATACGCTGTGTTGCATGTGAAGAGCTCGTAACACTAGAACTTTCGTGATATGCTTCGACGCACGATACAGGTTCATTTAGTAGGGGGAAAGCGGGTTGAAGGGCTTTAGGTTAGGCGTTCCAGAGCTGGGGCGTGCTGGAATCGTATAGCCATACTACGTATATGCAAAAGAGGAGGCCTTAGGAGGTGTGCACATAGGGTAGTCTGGAGTGCTTTAGTGCGTAATGCTGATCTGTTCGGCCGGCGTAAAGGCCCTAGAGGTACTTCAGGATAGGTAATGCATGTCCCAGCTTCAAATTTCCGCTACACACGGAGCGTGGTGTTTAGCTACTGAAATCTTTCTCTGAGTTCACTCATCCTTGTTTGCCGCGTTCTCAGCTCCTATATGATTGATAAGATTCGAGGCTCTGCGTCCATAAAAGGGGCTCTACCGGATGAGGTGACAGAAATGTATCCGACTCTCTTGTAACTTGCTTGTTCATCATCTGCTCGCTCCAACGCTAAAGCTGCCGCATAATGATCGCCGCCGTGAATCAAGACACAGAAAATGGAGCGCACCTTCGGCGGTCCGGGGGCTTTCAGATCGAAGAGAATCCGTCCTATGGACGCCCCACCCATGGCGAATACAGTTGTCGGGAATTCTTCCTCTGCTGACTGGGGCGGCCTGTACGTGGCCTCAATAAGCCGACCACAGATCTGCAGCTCAGCATCTCCGATGTCACCATAGGGATTGAGCCCGCCAGCCAGCGTGTACGTTACCCGGACCAGGTCGCAAGATCCGTCGAGTATCCGAAGCGGTAGGCCCGGCACCTCACTCCAGAAACGCACATTGCCTTTCAAGCGCGCCCATGTCCACGACGGCAGCGTAAGGGAAGTGACTTCATTGCTCGGCTGCGGCATATACCACGCTATGCCGGCAATCAAGTCCTCCTTCCATAGTCCAGCGAGATAGGTATATCCTGTGTTCTTCTGGAATGCTTTTGCAATACCGGATAGAGCAGGCAACTTGTCAGATTGGTAGGTCAGGTCTCGGCGGGAATATTCAGTAACAACATTGTACCATTGGATAAGCCTGGCCTGTTTCTTGGCCTTAGCCTGGTCAGAAGCAGGGTAAGTTCGTGCAAATGCTGCTTCGTTAAATGGTAAAGGGCCGTTAAAATCCAGAGATTGTTTGAAATCCGCGGTCCGTAGGTCGCCGGCCGTGACATCGGCGCCCTTCCCGTCCTGGCGAAATGTGCTTTCGGCACACTCCCAGTAGAGCTGCTGGCGCCCATAGTAGAGAATTCGGGGCGATAGGAGCCGCTCTTGGAGGACCCAACCACGTGTGTCTAAGGGTGTGTCGCGGAGTCGCTCGGTTTGGAAGGCAGGTGACCTGATGTACATGGAACCCGAAAGGGAATGCTTCCCACATGCATACGGTAACCGGCAGGAAGGCGGCTCTGGTTCCCTTAAGATAAAGAGTCCATCTGCTGAATTCACGGCGCCCCTTGCTGCAATAGTCAAGAAGCTAGAAGCGTAGATATCCCCCATGACTGCTGACTCCTTCTCCCAATCCCTTTTGGAGTCTTGGAGAATGCAAAGGCTGTCTATCCAAAGGTAGCGTAGACCAAGCCTTCGCGTAGCAATCGCGGCTTCTTGAAAAGTCTTAGGCAGAGTTCTAAGAGGAATTGATCGAATCCTTTCCTCTAGTGTCGAGATGGTTGTAGTTAACGGAACTTTGCCGCCCCAGCAATGACTTAGGGCAACATATAGGCCTTTCTTCCCGTTGGAATGGAGAAGATACGGCTCAATTGACGCATCAGAAGGACCTAGATCGATAACGCGGGTTGGAAGTGGTGTTTCCGGGTCAGGTTTTGGACAAGTAGAGTGTTTATGTAGGCAACTATGCAGCCACGTTTGTGCAAGCTTGAAGTCCTCCTCTGAGTCGCCCGCGGTCAGGGGAAGTGGCCTCCCAGTTACCCCACCGTGCCATGCAGCAGGATCGCCTGCATAGCTTGTGTAAGCATCTAATGTGGAAAGGATAGGAAGGAACTGCTTGTTACCAGGGTATGCGTATAAGTCAACCACACCGTCAAGTGCCACCTGATGATCAGGGTGCATGCTGGGGTCCGACGGTGCGTTTTCATCGTCGTCCTCGGCGATGTCACCGGTGGTGATGATGTGTATGCGGTCAAGGCTAGTTCCATGGCCGCCCCAGGCCACGAGTGAGATTTGCCGGCCCGGATAGCGTTCGGAAACGAAGGACACAGCTGCACGATTGAGGCCTCGCTTTCTATTCGCGCCGATTCCCTGTTCAAGAGCCTCCCAGAAGAAGCCACAGAGCTGACACCCAGTCTCGGCGGACTTCTTCAGCGCCAGATAGCTAGGTTGATGAGTTTGGATTTGGTCGAGGTTGGGACCGCGCGTTTTGGACAATGTGATGGAGGCGCACAGCGGGCAGAGGCTCATTCTGGAATAGTAGGAGGGAAAGGCTTGGGTTACGTTGGGCGTTGCAATAGAGAACGCCTTTCCGGGCGCGAATGACTCTCAAATGCGGCATGCTGAACATAGATGCCTCGATTTCAAGGACTAGAGTCTGGAGTAGATGAGGCTGTGGGACAGAAGGAATTGTGATGTCGAAGTGCGCTTTCCGCACTTGTGCGGCTTAGTAAGCGATCCCTACAAAACGACACACGGAAGGTGCTGGATTTGGATCATTTGAAGAAAGCTGTGAAGCTATGCTTCTCCGGTCGTACACGAGAGGCATACACGTAGAAGTGCTCTCACCTCCCCGCGTCCGGTGATAGACTTTCGGCCCTAGCTATAGGCCAACAGCTAAGCTTCGCTGTGACGGTGCCTCCATATAAGAACTGCGTTCTCAAATTCACCTCTCCATATGCAATTTCTCCTATCTCCCATACAGTCTACAATGCTCCGACAATCTACCTTGAGCTTCTCGTCGACACCTCGACGGCGCCTCCCGATATGTGCTGACAAAGCGCCCGATGCGGAAAGGCCAATTACATCACGTGAGGACGCCAACGCGGCGATCGCGTCGAAGGCTGGAGTCGCGCCATTCACGCCGCCTTCATCCCAGACGTCTGCAACTCCTCCCCCGCCTCCTCAAATCGCTATGGACTCTTCCCACGACGTCGACGACTCCACCGACTGGATATCGACGTCCTTATCCGCGTTCGAACCGCTCGAGCAAGCCTTACGCTGCGAAATCTGCAAAGGCTTCTACGACAACCCCGTCATCACGTCGTGTTCGCACACCTTCTGCTCACTATGCATACGGCGGAGCATTGCCAGGGATGGGAAGTGTCCGATATGCACATCTGCATGTCAAGCAGACAAATTGTCGCCTAACATAGCCGTGCGCGAGATTGTCAGCAAGTTTCGAGATGCACGGCCGAAGGCGCTGGAATTGGCGCGCGCGGACAGAAACACGGCAGAGGCAACTGCGAGCGGCACGAAGAGGAAGATCGAGGAGACAGATTTAGAGGACGGAGAGCCTGTACGGCTGACCAGATCGCGGCTAACGCGGAGTCGCAGTCGCCGTGGCGACGGGACAGATGAGATGCCTGTTGTAATACCGGATAGCGGAGACGAGAAGGATGAAGACTTCATGCCGGAGGGTATGGTCAAGTGCCCATCTTGCAGCCAGCCCATGAAGGAGGAGCTGGTGTTCACGCATCTGGATGTTTGTCCAGGGCCGGGGGGTGCCGCAGGACGCCATACACGGTCGAGGTAGGTGATGACTGGCCGCAAGATGTACCGAAACCTAATGGAGGGGCGCAGAACAAACAACGCTTTTACCAATACGCTGCAACGAAAAAAGGAGCCCCCTCCCCCGACGAGTCGGTTATCAGGCCTCAATTATGCAATGCTAACAGAGTCGGCGCTGAAGAAGAAGTTAAAAGACCTCGGTATACCTAGCATTGGGTCGAAACCGCTCTTGGTAAAACGACACCAGGAGTGGTTGAATCTATGGAACTCGAACTGCGATGCGGCGGAGCACACCAGAAAGTCAAAGCGAGAGCTTCTAAGAGAGCTCGATGAATGGGAACGCACTCAGGGTGCACAAGCGAACAACAAGGAATCCCATATCATGAGAAAGGATTTTGATGGGCAGAGCCACGCCGTTGTGCATAAGAGCCACTTCGATGATCTTATTGCGGCCGCGAGGAAGAAGAGGGCAACGGCGGCACCAAAGGAAGAAAAGGACGTACCCGAGGATCCCATGCAGCAGAACCAGGAACCAAAGTTGGAGCCTCAAGCCCAACCGAGACAAGAGCCGCAGCCACAGCCACTCGTCGACTCAACAAACCCATATGAAGGGAACGAGGACGCCCTATCTACCATCAGAGACAAGGTGGAAGAGGCAAACCGTACTGAATCCGTTTTCCCTCCCCTTGATCCGGCGACGTCAAAAGCGAACTACGCGGCGGCTGAGGAGACCCAGCAACTTCCGGACCCAACAGGCTTCCCGGATTCATTCGCGTCCCCGACGAGAAAGGTGCCCATGTTCTCGATGCCCGAAGAGCCCGTTGTCGATGTAGAGTCGACCACCGTCCAATAGCGAGCATTTTCTGCTTCTCTGCAAATAATATTAAAACTGGATTTATGCAATGTTGCGGAGCGTTCTTTTTGGTGAGTCGTGCAGCCTTGAGCATTGTACTTTGCGCTTCAGATACGACGACTCTACGACGACAGAGCTGTACATGGAATCTCGCGCGTCAAGGCGCATTCGGAAGAGCATGAAGCGCAGCCTTGTACTGCGGTAAGCGTTAGTCATTTCGTAGAACGTCTATCTCGCTACCACTATCCTTTCTTTCTAGTGCAATTTTTGCTGCGAAGTCCTCATTGCGTCCCTATCCTGGTTATATGGCATTTGGATGCCTAGCCAACGTGCTTAGAGTCTCAATACTCGCGCCCAAACTACCTCGCACAGAGAAGATTTTGCGCACTTCCGCACAATCAGTTTTCCCCTAGCTTTTCGCACTTCTTTCTCCGCTGCTTTTCCCTCACTCTTCTAACTCACGCCCAATTCTATACCGCAGTAGTGCTAGGAGTACCCGTACGACAATTACAGCTTCTTTGTCTGCTCATCATTGCTTCTCGAATCCTCTAACAAGAGCATATATCCAATCATGGCGCCGCCTCCCGCCGTAGCACCCCGTCTCCTTCCCTCTCATATCCCCGCCAGCATGCGCGGCACAGCCAGCAGATCCTCTAGGTACGTAGGCCGCAATCGTTCCAGCCTATCTTAGGTCTATTATTTAAACGCCACTCCTAGAGGCCTTTAGTGGACATAGTGTAGGACGTGCTCGCATGTTGACTCCCCGAAAAACCCTCGCTAATTCCCCCCTTAGGATTCCCTCGTTGGCGCCCCGGCCCTCTCCTGTCCCAGAGCTCGCACACCTCCACAGGCGGACTCCTGACTCAACCCAGCTAAGAGGAGAACTGAGAAGGCGGAGAGAGTCCTGTCGTCGCTGTGACGATCTGACATGTAGTGACTGTTTGCCGGACAACGCGGATGCGCTCTTGGGAAGGTATGATTACCAAGAAGGCGAGCCGCCGAGGGAGATCACACCGTCGCCCCCTGTCCCTGCTTGGCCGTCAGCTAGAGAGAGCACGCCGTATCCACGTACCTTGATTCCGCTGCTAGCGGTTGTGGGCGGTGGGTCGTTGCCGCCGGCGGATAACCCACCGAGGGCAGTCAGCCACCGCAATACGCAGATCCCTCCTCCGCCATCGCACCGTCCTGTGAGTCACTCCAGGCCAGGTCATACGCAGTCGTCTCCCCCTGCTACGCAGATTCCCACTTCGTCGCATCATCATGCCCCGAATCCACCCAGGCCAAGCCATACGCAGCCGCCTTTCCCTTCAAGATACCGTCCAGCAGCTCATCCCAGGCCCCCTTCGCCGTCATCACGTTCTTCAAATCCACCCAGGCCCGCTCATCAACCAGCTGCAGATCCACCACAGGATCGTGCCCTGAGGAGAGCCGGCCCAGGCCATATACTGGTGCCCGCCGCACGACCGGATCGTGCATCGAATCCATCCACGCCCCCTGTTGCGCAGCCCACTTCACGGCCGGATGGGTCTTTGAATCCATCCAGGCCTCGTGATACACAGTTGTCTCCCCCTCCGCCATCGTCTCCCGCTACACAGCTCCCCGCTCCGCCACCGCATCGGTATGTGAATCCATCCCGGCGCCCCAATCCCAATGCGGCCGCTGCTCCACAGTCACCGTCCCGCGGTCCTCCGCGTCCTGCGCGGCAGCACAACACAGCGCCTGGAGGGAACCAGGGCGTTATCCCACGGCCAAATACAACAGGCCCAAGCAACTCCCGGCCTGAAGCGCATCAACCCGCTCTCCGACGCCCGGCCACCACCCTCCCCCGGAACCCGGTGCGTGAGGCTCTTCAGAGCTCTATCCCGCAGGCGCCGTCCGCACCCCCGTCCCAGCCCACCAACACCCCGCCCGAAGGGACGCAGTCCCGCATCCCACAGCCGGGCTCGCGCTCTCCATCGCGCCCCGAAGCCAGTCAGGCTCCCGCGCACAGGGGCAATGGGGGAGCGAGAAGCGCTGAAGAGGAGTCTTCCTCCCCTCCTAGCTCTTGGAACAGCGGTGGCACGACGGTTGTTGGCAGTGGCACACCGTCGGGGGAGAATTCGAGGGATAACACTCTCGATGTGCCGAAGGTGCGTAGTCGGCAGCCGGCGTCCCGGCCGCGCGTCGATAGCACGACGTTCACGGCGCCGGAGAGGGTGGAGGGGCCTGAGGAGCTTCAGGCTACGCTGTCGATATTGCCGATAGCGCGCAATGGCACGCCGTTCGTCAGGGCGGGGAGGGAGTCAAGTGGTCCACCTGCGCCGTCCTCGCCTGCCCATAGGACCCCGGAGGACTCCAGGCCTAGTTTTGCAGCGTCGCCGGATGCGCCTGCGGATAGTGCGCCGGAGGACCTCTCGGCTGCTCTTACACATCCGCCGCCCGATGCGGATATCGCTGGCCAGGATGCCATCCTTGGGAGGGAAGTAGAGACTGTGCAGATCCAGCAACCCGTACCTCCCTCCAGCCCGGATACATCGACGTCGTTCGCGCACAGGTATCCCTCGCCCGCGCTTGCAGAGCCGCCAGAGAGCTGGGCCAGGCTGCCCACGCCCGTGCTCACCGATCTTGCCCGCGCCGAGCGCTTGTACAGGCCGCTGACTCCGTTTGCGCCGAGGGTTGCGTCGCCCGTAGCAGCACCAGCGTCCGCCCACTCGGCGGGAGAAGGGGAAGAGCGGGGCGAAGATGAAGCAGAGGATGGAGATGGAGATGCGCAGTTGTCACCACCACCGTCCGTTGTGCTAGGAGAAGCACCCCCAACGCAGGATGAGGATGAGGATATACCGCCGCCGCCGCCGCCGCCGCCGCCAGCCCAACAACAGCAGCCCGACTCCGCCTCCGCGCCCGCACTCCCCAGCCTCCGCCCCTCCCGCTTCACCGAGCGCCTCTCGCTCGACGGGCCGGCTATGTACAACAGCGCGCCCGATCCCCCCGCCGAGATCCCCGACCCGCACTCGCACCACGTCCAAGTCCAAGCCCCAGTCCAACCCCCTCTCCCGCAGGCCATCCACGTCCCCGCCCCGCCGTCTGCGGCGCGTATGCTGCTGCGCGGGATGAAGAAGAGCGTGCAGGGGTGGGGCGGGAAGGTGAAGACGGGGAGGGGGGATACGGTGGTGGATGGGCGGCTGGGAGATGGAGTCGGAGTTGGGGTGCAGCGGCAGGCGAAGGAGACGTTGCGGAGTAGAGCGAGGGGGGTGTGGAGGAGGGCGATGGCGAGGGGGCGGGGGCGGGGTGGGTAGCTGTGGGGGAGGTGGGAGGCAGGGGAGGGGGGATGTTGGTTTGCATGTGGTTTCGAGGATACCCTGGGTTTGGTTGGATTGATCGATTAGGCATGCGCTGTTTGACTTATCGCGTCGCGTCTTCTTCTTCTCTTTCGTCTGTCTGTCTACCTGTTATGTTTATCTATCGTACTTAGCTGCGAACGGCGTCATCCTCGCTAATCTTGTACAGTACAACAACAACATCATTTCATTGCTGCATTAACCACCAAAGCCCACATATAGCAGTCATATCATGAGAGGCAAAGACCCCGGCTCCACTTCAGATACTTCCTTCCCCCACTTCCACCACTTCCACCACAAGCATACACAGCTCAAGAAAAAAGCCCCGTATATGAAGAATATTTTTCCCGGCCTTCCCTATCCACGTATCTATCTATCAACTGACTGAGGCCGTATAACTAACCCCTACATACATACGCCGCGCCTCCCAACACCCAGAAAGGTAGTATAGTATAGCATAGCATAGCATACAAAGACCGCCCCATCCATTGCTTTAGCCCAGCAAAACATTGAGTGGTATACCCCCCGAGCCAAATCTCCAAACCCCAAAGAAAGGACCGAACATATATCCCGGGAAAACACCAAAGATGCCTACTTCTACCTCCTTACAACAGCAACAAACGCCAACGCCTCTGCATAACAACACAGTCGGCGTCTTCTTCATCTCTGTTCACCGCCTCACTGATACCAGTCCTGCTCATTATACGGGATGCCTCCGCCATACAGCCCATTAACGCCATTCAAGCCCCCACCATCCGCCCCCGCTCCATTCGCCAAAACCGGACTCGTCGCAAACCCACCCCCAGTCGTCCCGGGACTCCCAATCGCGCCGCCAGCCTGGCTAGCAAACCAGCTCGCAATATCGTCGGCGTTGTAGTTCCAGTTGTCAAAGCCGACGGCGAGTTGGTTCTGGTCGCGGAGCCACCAGTCCTGGCCCTCGCGGATGAGCTGGTCGACGCCGCCGAAGAGCTGGGAGGGCGAGTTGCCGGAGGAAGATGCGGCGTCGATGGACTGGCGGCCCTGGGTGGAGGCGGGCGTGGCGGCGGTGGAGCCGGATTGCTGCTGCAGGTCTGCGGGCTGGCGCTGTGCGCGAGGGTAAGCGAGGGGGTTTGCGTCGTTGGGGGGCAGGGAACGTGCCTCGGATGTACGATGGGCTGCTTCTGCTTGGGAAGACATGGAGAGAGAGTTGCCGGAGCGGTCGAAGAATTGGGTTGCCGTGCTGGCGAGGGACATGCTGTAGGGTTGTAGCGCTGGAGACGTCTGCGTCTGCTGCGCATCTTCGATGGGTTGTTGGGTTGGTTCGAGGGACTTCACCGGTCTGGGCGTGCTGACGTCGGTCCAGGGGCCGAATTTGGCGTCTGTTCGGGCGAGGACGGTGGTCGCTTCTTCAGGGAGCTCGACTTTCCAGCGCTTGCCGAGCACGCTGAGGATGCCGAGGGTGCGGCGGGCGCAGAGCCACCCTTCTGCTATCTCCTCGAGGTGCTTGACGCCGTGGATAATATCGCGACGCGCGTTCTTCTCGGGGAGGTTGAGGAGGTGGATAGTGCAAGCGGAGTGGGCGATGTATACCACGATGTTGCAGATCTGGCGTAGACCGTGGGACCGCTTGTAGAGTCGGAGGAGCTTGGAGATCATGGCGGCAGCTTGTGTGCAGAGCTTCCGGGGAGATACATGAGCAGGTAGTGGAGAGTTATTCGGGTTATACTTGAGGAAGGGTCGGAAAAGGTGGATGTAGAGGAGTTGGAAGAACATGCTACAGGATGTTAGCAGGCGCGACCGGGTCGGGTCACATGACACCACTTACTGCATCACAAGCATATGGGGCAAGCCGCCTTCTTTGGGTTCCAGCTCCTTTGGAAGTTCCCGTCTCCAGGTCTCCAGCCGCTGATGGATGTCGCTTAGTTTCTTAAGCTCAGCCTGCTTCCCCTTTGCCTTGTCCATGTCAATCGGGTTGTAGAAGTAGTTCATTAAGTCGCTGGAGATCTCACAAAGTTTCGATATCTGGAGTGCCACCTGCAGTGTGTGAGCTTAGACCAAAGAAATTTGGGTTCTAGAGAAGCACTGACTGCTCGTGTCCGAGAAGGCTGAGAATGTGCCTGGCTGACTCCAGAATCCGTGTACGCAGACCACGTCTCGGAATCCTCAACGGGGAAGACCTCAAATTTCGGCACCGTCACTATAGTATTTGGCAGCTGCGGTAGGCGTCCGAGGTAATTCGACCAGCACCTGCCGCATGTTAGTCGCGTCTGCCAGCACATGAAAGCTCTCCCCGACCTACTTGTCAAACAAGAAACAGCCCCAGAATGTTATTCTCCTCGCATCCTCTTCAGCCTCGTCTATACCCTCTTTACTCGCCATGCCGAGGTTTAGCCCCAGGTCGCAGGCCATCCGGAAGCTCATCCCGCTGTATACCCAGCCCTTCGCTTCTCTCCCGCACCCTGCTTCCCGAACCGACATCAGCGCCAGAGCTTCCACAGTCGTCAACGCCGGAACTTCGTGCAAGTCGCCCTCCAGTATCAGCCTCTTCGCCTCCTTGAAGAAGTGATCTCCAGCCGTCGCAGAATCGTCGCGCACAGCTCTCGCCGCCGGCCACGACGTGAAATGGCAACCCAGCGCCAGCATCGCATTCACCAGCAGCGGCGTACAATACTCCGTTTTCCGTCTCGATCCCGGCGGCGGCTTCCCCATCTGAAACTCCTTCCAGAACAGGTGTTTGGACAGCGTGGTGAAGAAGCTGTAATGCCAGCAAAAGTACATATTGATCAGATGGCGCACGAGCTCCGGGTCCGAAGTAACGGTGGTCCACGACGTCAGCGGGTCCTCGGTCTGCTGGAACTGCTCCAGATTCGAGTAGTTGGCGGGCGAATCCGCCTCCTCGTTGCCGGCGCCCAGGTAGATCAAGTGCGACGTGCCGCCAATGTACCGCGTCGACCCGTCCTCGAGCCTCAGCTCGCCCATCTTGCCCGACAGCTGCGACTCAAACGTGGGCTGCGCGGCAAGCGCGGGACTCGCAAACGGCGAGACCTGCTCATCATCCACCTCCTCGCCGTTCTCGCGCGCGATAATGGCCTCGGCGACGGCATCCAGGCTCTCGCACGTCCGTATCTGCTGCACCAGCGCGGCGACCTCGTCCTCGGGGTAGTTGAGAATGGCCTGTATGAGGGTCTGCAGGGTCGAATTGCGCGTCTTCAGGTTGTCGATGTCCTTCTTGTACACGCCCTTCCGGCGATGGTCCGAATTCGGGTCGTACACGCACTCGGTGTTGTAGACGGCGGCGCAGGCGGAGCAGGCGGGCGTGGTCCCATCGCACTACGAGACGCAAGCAGGATCGTGTCAGCAAAGCTGTGTGTACGTACTCTGTGCAGCGCATCTCCGGAGATGCTCCGTCTGCGAGCGGCACGGGGCAGGCGCTTCTCGTACTTACTTTACTCTTGCGCTTCCGGCACGGCACGCAGGCGCTGGAAATGCATCTGCGCTTCTTGTTGCCGTCGTCGTTGGCGCCGTCCTTCTTGCCCTTGCGGCGTCCCTTGTTGGGCGGCGCGTCGGCCTCGCTGGGGATTCCCGTGGAGATGTCCATTTCGCGAGAATCTGGTGCCGCAGGGCTGGGGCGGGGTTGTCGAATGGCGGGGCTGACTTTGACGGGCGCGCCTCAGTCACGCCGTGGATCGTGGCCGGGTCGCGCTCGGAGATGTCTGCGGTCGTGCGTGGTTCAGCGCTGATTTCGCATCCGACATGACAGGCGCACGCTCGTTCGAGGGCTACGTCAGGGCATGGCGGACAGGATCGCGGACGAGGCGGGAGTAAGAGGTGGTTTTGCGTGCAGCGTGATTGGTTGCAGGGCCCAGCTCGTTATCTGAGCGGCATTGTCGCCCGGCGATGGAAGGCAAGACACGTTTTTTATACAGACAGCTACAGCGCAGCGTGCCAGCAGAGTCGGCTTGAAAAATCTGACCTGAGCGCTTCATCTCCGTTGCCTGCGTGCACTTCATTCGTTGCTTTTGGCTCCGGAGCGGCGAGAAGGGCTCCGAGCGTGGGTCTGCCGCCTGATTCGACGGCGCCATGGGGACCGAGGGACGCAGTTTTCCAGACTTCGCATCGCCGAACCCGGCGACATATCCCCCACGACATCACGCTTGCATGCGGACGCGACTCTCCAGCGCTATAAACTTTTGATTCGGATGCACCATGGCGGAGTCGGTATCGTGCATCCTGGAGGCCCTCAGAGCCTTATCCGCAAAAGCAAATCCGCAGACGCCCAATCAGCGCCCACGAGATAATCGACCCAAACCCAGCTCCCCGGCCAGAGAGCTGCCCTACTTGTGTGAGAGAACCGCCAATCCTCTCGCCCTAATCCCCAGAATCGAGGAAATCAAACCTTTCAAAGCCGACTCCGTAAAACCCAGCCTGGAGGCCTTCAGCCCCCTATCACCACCCCGCATCCATGCACAATTTCCTCAGAGCTCATCCGCATAGCCCTCGTGATCCCCATCCGCCCTGAACCCGCCGCGCGGGTCAGGGTTGTCGACCATGATGAAGGGCTTGCCGGTGTCGTCGTCCCGAATGTTGCCGAAGAGACGCATGAGATCGCGGATGCTCATCTTCTTGGCCGTGGTACCTTTGTCCTCCATCACTTCCTCGATCTCCTTCTTCTTGGTCTCTTGCATCTCGATCAGCCGCTGGTCTACCGTATTGTTCACGCAGAAGCGGGTGAGGAAGGTAGTCTCCTTCTGCCCGTAGCGGAAGACGCGGCAGAAGGCTTGCTGCTCGGCCGCCGAGTTCCACCATGGATCGATAATGATGACGCGGGAGGCCATTGTCAAGTTGAGGCCCACTAGGGATCTATCAGTGACTGATACTTATGATTTTGTGGGGGATGGCACTTACAGCCGCCGCAGCGGAGCGAGGCCAACAGGACCCTCACATTGGGGTTCTCGGCGAAGTTGCTGATGGCCTTGTCGCGAGAGTTGAAGCTGAGCTTGCCGTGGTACTGTATGGGAAATAGTTAGCAGACCATCTCAGAGCCCGAGTGCGCATGCCACCCTGAAGCACTTCTACCTGGCTTTCCCGTAACTCACCTGTTCGGTCTCCCAGCCCTCCTCCCCGCACATCTTCGCCAGAATTCGGATCCTAAACATAGTCAGTTGGGCGACTCTACGCTGCGGCGCTCAACTCACATGGCGAGGAACTGCGTGTAGATGATGACCTTAACGTCCTTGTTCTCTTTCACCCAGTTCAAGATCTGAGCCTTGATGGCAATCGTCTTAGCGGATGGCAGAACACCGTCCTTGCCGCCCATGGCAAGCCAATCGTCGGCAATATCCTCTTGCTCGATGCGTTGTCGCTCCTTGTCGTGGCGCTTCCGCTTCGATCGAGTCTCGGGGCCATAGTACTCCTGAGAATCCTCCTGGTCAGGGTCAATGGCGTGAGCTTCGGTGAAGGTAAAACCGCAAGCCTTGCAAATACCATGCTCCCTAGATTGCTCGGCTGCCACAATCTGGGCTGTATCGTAGCATGGGCTGCAGATGAGATGACCGCACGAGGTGATCCACAGATTGACGGGTTGACGTTTGCAGGTGCCACACATTGCCTTCTTCTTCACCTTCTCCCAACTCTGGCCCGTTGTCAGGCTAGCCAGGAATGGCTTGAAGTTGTAGTCTTTACCGAAGGTCTTTCCAGTCTTGTTTCGCTCACCGGCTAGGCCATTGCCCTCGAACTCGTTGAACACGTCATCGTCTTCCTCCAGCTCAGCATCATCCTCGCCAAGGAGATCTTCCTCTTCCGGGACGGCATTCTTTGTAGGCTTCTGTGCCGTTCGCTTCTTCTCTTCGATAGCAAGGACTTCCAGCTGCTTCCTAATAGCAATGATCGTACGCCCGCGACTAGTCTTTGAGTCGGCCGCCGCTTCTTTGACTACTTCTCGGATGCGCTAGCTCAATATTAGTAAGACGAAGTAGTTTGGAGGCATTCGGACTTACCTCGATATCCTCGCGCTCCAAGAGGTCGCGCATGACGAGTTGGAGCATCAGAACGTGAGCCGTCAGCTGACGAAGCCTCAGGAGCATTCTGCTCAGCGTTAGGTCTGACTTGCCCATGGTGTGCCCTAGAGGGTGGGCAAAGAAAACTTACACCAGAACATTGCTATACGACTTGTCAAGCTCGCCCTTCTGCACGCACATATTGATCTTTTTGACAAAGCGCTGGTGAACGATATCGTAGATGCTCCGCTCAACCGAGTTGAAATCGCACCAGTGAGTGACCTGGTCCGCCTTGGGAAGTTTCAGAATGGGTGCACCGAACATCTCGTCTGCGTGGGTCCGGCGGATCATGAACTGAGAGAGACGCACAAGCAGACGCTCGGTGTTCTCCGCATCTCCAGAATCGCAGTAGTTGTGCTTGAAGATCTTGAAGCTGCCAGTATGCGGGACGTCGAGAAACTTGAAGTATGGATAGAGTTCTGTGAGGCCGTTGAGGATAGGGGTGCCACTAAGGGCCCACTTGTGTTGCGCCATAAGGGCACGGCACGCAATAGATGTCCGGCCGGTGTGGTTCTTGATGGCCTGCGCCTCGTCCAGGACGATGCGGTGGAACATCATCCGGTGTAGCACGCCGCGATGGGTCTCATACGTCTTTTTCCACCAGGCGATCTTCTCGTCTGCCGTCTGGCAATCAGTAGGCGGCTCGTTCTTTGGATAACTTCTCACTGTTTGATTGTTAGAAGACCATCATCATAGAGCAGAGGCGCCGCAATGGGGATCGTTCTCACTGATTTCAGTATAGGTGGTCAGGATGATATCGTGAAATTCCAGAATATCAAAGCTATGGTTAGAATCGATTCGAGTTCCAGGGCCGTATCTCATGATCTTGAGGCCCGCATTTGTGTGAGTTTCGATCTCTCTACCCCACTGAGTCAAAAGCGCGGGGCTGGCGACGAGCAATGTGGTCTTGTGCTTGGCGCCCTTGCCGGGATGTCCGTTGACGATGTTGGCTGAAGAAGTGTTAGCAGTTGCGCTCTAACGCGCGAACGAGCAGCTCGGATCCTAAAAGAGCACTCAAGGCGTTCAGGCCCAGTAAACTCCTCGCCAAAAACAATTTCGCGAAACTCGGATCCGAACTTACCCAGCATCATAAGAGTCTTTCCCAGCCCCATCTGGTCAGCCATCAAGCCTCCACGAGGCTCCTCGGCGGCGTTCTCACGGCGACGCATGAAGGCGCTTCCCATAAGCTGGTAAGCTTTCAAACTCGTCTTCATGCCCTTAACCAGCCACATGCTATTGCCGTCGGGCTTCACGCTACCGCGCCCGTCGAATTCCTTTGTGGCTGCGAGCAGGGCGCTCTTGTCGGACTTGGCTGTCTTCTGATTCTCGATCGGAACGCTGGCAATCAACTCCTTGAGAGCGTCGGCCTTGTTCCTGGACCTGAAAGTAGGCTGCTCTATCGCGTCCTCTGCGGCCTGTTGGTCGAACACATTGCTATTGAAGAATGAGGTAGCTTGATGCACGGCTCGTTTGAGTTCCGCCTTCTGCTTTGCCGATTTGCGCTTGGTGGTGGTCTTGCCGGCCGCCTTGGACCGAGAGCCGCCATGATTCTGGGATCTGGAGGACTTCGGCCTGCTGGATGAAGAGGCAGGTTGAGAGTCACCGGATGCAGACTGCCCTTTCCTCTTCTTCTTCGGGAAGTCACCGTCAGCGTCGAGTGCGACCTGCATGCTCCGTATTTCGGCGTCCTGAATAGACATGTGTTTGGGCTCCTTGCGGGGGTTTTCAGGTCGGCGGCGCTTACGTGAGGAGCCGGTTGGATCAAGGTCGAGCATGTCACCGTCATCCGAGTCGTTGTCTTTGCGGTCGTTTGGGCCCGGGATCTCCGGGAAGAGGTCTGGCTCGCCTTCCTGCTCCTCTTGTTCTTTGAGCATATCTCGCTTTCGCTTCTCTCGTCGGGCTTTCTCAGCGGCCTGAATCTTCAGCCATTGAACGTCCTCACGGAAGCTCAGATGACCGTTCTTGCGCTTGAGCTCCTCATAATACCGCTTCTGCTTCTTGTATGCTTCTGTAGCCTCTCTATTGGCCTTCTCCCACTCATCGATGGATGTAGCCTCATCTGCGGCTTGCGCATTAACCCCCGTAACTGCCTCCAGGTAGGTTTCACTGTCTGGAGCAGGCTGATACAGATGGGCCGCGCTAGCCCTGCTTGCAGCTGCCTTGCTCTGTTGAAGCTTCTTCTGGAGATTGCGGATCCTGGCGAAAGTAGACATCGAACGAGGTGTTGACCGAGAAGGTGGAGGTATCTCGGATGAGGGTGGCCCCGCAGCAGGCGGAATCGTAGGCGCCCGATGCTCAGGTATGAACAGGCTGGTCGAGTCTTCTCGCTCGTGGCGTACGTAGTCAGGCTCCATAGTGGTCCGCTCAGGCTCTTGGAGACCCTCATGATCACCAATCATACGAGTAGCTTCTTGCCTCCTCGGTTGATCATCTTCCATAGCCTCCTCGAGCTCATGCTGTTGGCCCTGAGCGTCATACACCGTCTCTCCTTGCTCATGCTGCTCTTCCTGAAGATCTTCCGCCTCTTCAGGTTCGTATTGCTCATCCTGAAGACCTTCCATGGGCTGTTCAAGCTCCTGCTCATGAAGATCTTCCATGGTCTCTTCAGCCTCGTATCGCCCTTCCTGGAGGTCCTCCATCGTGAATTCAGGTTCAGGGTGATCATAAATGTCCGAGAGCGGGCCAGAATCCTCTTCAACGGATGGCACAAGCTCCTCTTGTGTTTCTTCCATGGGCTGAGCGAGGCCGCCGTCGGATTGCTGATCATGTTCGAGCTCTGGACCCGCGAGCTGAGTGCCGATCATGGGATCGTCAGCGACGGTAGGGTCCGCCATAGCCCTTAGGGGAGGTCTGAAAGAGGGAATGAGCTGAGGGTATCTAGGCTAGATAATCAACTTACCGAGTCACAGGCTGGTCACTGACGTCTTAGAGAACAGAGGGTAGCCACAGCGGGGAGCCGAACTGAGAGAGACCGAAGATGATGTAGGGACGTGTCGAGATGTAAGAATTGTAGGGAAATGTAGATGAGAATAGCTCAATAGCGGAGGAAGGTTGGTCAAGCTTGCAGAAGTGTGGTGTAAGAAGGAAGGAGAGAAGAAGTGGTGGAAGGCTTAAGTAGCTGTGGGAAGTAAGTAGAAAGATGGAGGGGCGCACCAGGTGGATCCTTATATAGACCCCAGGTGAGGGAGAGAAGTGAACCGACCGGATGACTGAGTCGGGAAGCTCTGCTCGCTCTGTGGAGAGTCTTAAAAGGCTGTCGGGTGATGTGTAGTAGAGATGGAGAGCTATGGCGATAGGCTGACGCTTGTATTCTTCGCAGAGCGCCGTGAGATGTAAGAAGGATGGAGGAGGGAAGTAATGGGCAGTAGATATAGAGCAAAGAGTCGTGGGAGAAAGGTTAGCGAGTGAGGTATAGGAACTACGGAGAAGTCTGGTGGAGGGCGGTTTATATACCCACGGAGAGCTGAGAGAACGCACGCCCCACTTGAAGGGTGAGTGGAGACGGCGTCTCCGAAGTCAAGGTGAGGGTAGACTGAAGTAGACGCCACTAATACGGTCGAGAGGGAGGGCATGAGGGCCAACGTGGAGAAGGTGCCGAACACCTCTAGGACCCCTAATGCGGTATCCGATATGCTACTTATTACCTACGCATGTGCGGATGATGCAGAGCGGAGTGTTAGCAGCGGCCTCGAAGAGGGAGTAGAGAGGGACCTACCATACTCAGAACAGAATATCCCAACTCGTACCACCCACCCTGCTGCGTTAAGCAGAAGCCTCCATGGTGAAGAACAAAGGACTTTGAGTTGGAACTATGGAAATAGTTTTAAAGACAAAAAGGCATGGATTTCAATGGTCTGTGGAACTCATCGTCATCGCCCAGAAGGGAAAGAGCATGACCTATGGTACGGCAGTCGCAACTGCCCAACATCACGCAAAGTGAGCAATATCAACAAAAATTAACAATATAAAATGGAAAACAGATTAGACTTGGACATATACTGATGAGACACAAGAAAAACACTCCTTTATTCGACATGTATACAAACAGTGTAGATAGCAGCCAGAATGCCGCCACTTGCAGGGTATCTAAGAAACATTGAGACAAGACCGCACCGTTGCCGGATGCCAAAGGTGTTCAGGCTCTTAAGAAACGCCGAAAGCCAATTTGTAAGGACCAGAAAATATCGTACAGGAGGAAATAAGTCTGAAGGGGCGGCATTTCGCTTCTCTAGCATTGCTCGTCTTCCATATTCGGGTAGAACCAGGCAGCCAAAGCAATGATAAGGTAGGAAGACATCAGCAGGACGCCTTCAAGCCAATCTAGTCCAATGTCAGCAATGCCTCACCAATCCAAGAAGGTGCGAAAACTTACGAGACTTTCCGTCCTGAATCAAATAATTCACCAGCAACACCGACACGAACAGAACCGCAATCTGGAACGTGTCGAAATACAACGTCATGCAGTCCTTGCCCAAGATCCAGCCAAGGACAACGATCAGCGGAAGCACTAAGAGCGCAATCTGCATGCTCGAACCGACCGCCACACCGATTGACAAGTCCATCTTGTCCTTGATAGCGACCGTGACCGCAGTAGCGTGCTCGGCGGCGTTACCAACGATAGGCAGGAGAATCAAACCGACGAAAACAGTGGAGACACTGCCGGTAGCGGTGAGGCCGTCAATGCTGGACACCATGAATTCCGAGCAAAAGGCGACAAGGGTAGTGGCGATAGCGAGGGTGATGATTGCGCCGATCCAAGAAAGCTGTGGCTCCTCAATCTCGTCCTCCTCTTCCTCTTCCTCGCCATTCTTGAAAAGGTGCTTTGCATTCACTTCGCCACCCGAGGCCGCCGCGGTCCCTGCTCCAATGGTTGCAATGCCGCGTGTTGTGGCGCCTTCTTCGACCTTGGACGATTTCCTCTTGGCGACCTTCTGGCTGGGGGCGTTATACATCGTTGCGTGTGACTTTAGCTGAAAGAAGAGGTAGGCACCGTATACAAGAAGCAGGATTACGGCCGTTCCACGGGACTGAACAGTACGTTAGAGTATGATCGTTACAAATTGTCACTATGGCCACTCACTAATTCCTGGTTCCTCGCGGCATCTCCCGCGTCACTTGCATCCTCCGAGATCATTTGGTGGAAGACGGTGGGGATGATCAGCGACGCAATGCAGAGCGCGAGCAGGCTGGCTGCTGTCTGCGCCACTGTGACGTTGAAGAACTGTTCAACTCGATTTATACCGCCGAGAAAGAAGCTCATACCCAACACAAGCAGAAGGTTGGAGAGCATGCTGCCGATTAGCGATGTTTTGACAATAGTGATCTCGTCCTTGATCAAAGCTTGAACGGAGACAATCAGTTCGACGGCGTTGCTAGGAAACGGTTAGCCTCGCATTCAGACGCCCCGATGGGTGTTGAAAAATGAGCAATACTTACCCGAAAGTGGCATTCAGTAGTCCACCAAGGGTCTCGCCAACGCGAATAGCCAGCTCCTCCGTGGCGTAACTCAGCATGGCTGCCAAGGGGATAATGGCAACGAAGTTGATGATAAAGACGGGAACAGGACCAACTTTGTGGCTATAGTATACCGCAAATCCGACCGGGACGAAGATCAGGAGAACATTGATCCACGATCCGAAGAGGACGGCCTTGAATTGAGCACCAACCGGAATCTTCTTCTTGAGTGCTCTCTTTTTCCTCTCCTCTAGCGACACCTTCTCCGCTTCCTCTCGCTCAAGTTCTGCAGTGTTGTCATCCTCCGCTTCCTTTCGGAAAATGTTCTTGAACTTCGCGCGCTTCGTAAGGTGTGAGCTGCTGTCAACGGCAGTCTGGCTGCTGACATCTGCCGATTCTTTCCTCGGCCCTCCGTTCGGAATGTCTGCGAAGTCCTTTTCTCCCGTGAACCCTGGCGCCGTCTCTGACCCACCGGCAGACGTGGGAGATGTCGCTGGAGCGGTACCGGCATGTGGAGGAGGCGGGAATTCCTTCTCTGCCTGTCTGCTCTCTGCTCGCCTTTGCTCTTCTATCGCCGGTTGGACGTTGTTCTCTGACCGCGTCCGGTGCATCTGATTCTCGACATCTGACGGCTCGCGCGATCGCTTGCGCGCAAATGGATTGTAGTTGGGACCGCCGCTAGCTGAGGCGGTCTGATGCGCCTTCCTTCGTATCGCGTCTAAATTCATCATTGCATGTTAGAGACAATCTCCCGGAAGGTTGTTGCGACATGCGAACATGCGGGCTTCGGCGATGGTCGGGGTCGGGGGGTATTGGTGGTATTTAGGGAAAAAGGAGAAACGTACGCATGTTGGGAAGCCGATCGCGCTAGATTACGTCAAACTGGACTGAGTCCTTGCAGTCAAAGTCAACGACTGATTGCTATTCAGCAATCGGAGCCCCGCAGACGTTAAGAGCTCTGGCTCGGAAAGATGCAGCCTGGTAACTGGAAGCGCGAAGGCAGTTGGGGGCTGAAACGGGTGCGAAGTCGTTGGCCGAACAAGCGCGTCGTTACAGCCTTCGTGTGGCTGTCGAGATAACGCTGGGGCAGTGCAGCGCTGAAGAACTGGTGCCTGGGAAACGTAGAGGACAAAGCCTTGCTAGGAGCACGGAGTTGAGGAAGAAAGGAAGGGGAGGAGCGACCGATTAAAGGCATTCGCGCCACGCATTCACCCCAGTTTAAGCCACACATCCCTGACTGCGATGGACAGTGCGTCATCGTGGCCTTGCCCAAGTAAATATCAAATCGCTCTGTACGGAATCTGTTCCAAGCTGGTTGGCTGAGCGACTAGCCGTGCTCCACGGAATGTGATATACGAAGCTCAAACGTCATTCGATCAAGCCTCCGCCAGCAAGAAATCCGGTCTTGAGAGCCTTGGACGTCGACGACAGCGCGGCAGTAAGCCTCCTTGGCCACTGGCGCCCGTCTTGCCAAAAGGCTTGATTGGACAGCTGTGCGACACGACGCTCGGGAAAGTTCGCCAGCCGCTTCTTCGACGTTTCTTCCTTGCGCACGCGCGTTGCGCCACAACAGCGAGACTCGAATTCCCCGCCGTCGGTACCCACACTCGTACTGTGTATTCCCAAATCCTCGCCTCCCACTTCAGCTGAATGCTCACTTGCACAGCCCAAGTTCGCACAGCACTCGGTTCCGCTTGACTAGCTTGCTCTCGTTCGGGAGCTGAGCTGTCAACGCTAGCTCAGTTTGCAGGCAAACATGCGAAGTGACAACGCGGCGATCGTAAGACGAGTAACTAACTATTCGCATGCCGCGAGACCGGAAATCACCAGTTCCAGAAACTCTTCGAATAATTCCCGAACCGTCTCCTGCGTCGGTGAGACTCGTGATTCGTTTGACTCCTGAAACGCCCTGTCGGCAGTGAGGAGGACGCGCTGCCGGCCATCATTCTATCAATATCCGGGCCGTGGGCCTCCTTTGTTCCTGGATTGGATCCATTATCCTTCGCAGCTTGCATCGATTTAGTCGCCGACCTTGAAACGCGCTGCAGTGAGATACATATGCTGTCAGCTGTTAATCTTCCATCAATAACATCAACCTCCTTGCCCTCGCGTCTGTTCTTAGGTCAATTTAGCATTCCTCGACCTCTTCTCCCAACATCAGAAAGCACAAAGAAACACGCCGGTACCTTCGTACACCCGGCGCGCACACATACGCGGCCAGACCCAGGAAAGACCGTACCAGCCACGAATATGCACGTTGCCATGCCGGTGTATGTATGATGACGTGGTAAATGTCCCTTGCCTCCGATGTTCGTGATAGGCCAATTCCAGTGTCCTTACAGCCTATGGCAGCAAGCCTCACTCCTTGCGCTGTCCATAGACTAAACAGAACTAAGGGTGGGCCGAGGCAGAAAGGATGCCTTAGTGCTTTAGACCCTTACTTCTAGCTATACCGGCCAGGAAGTGTTGTAGGCGTACCAGCTTGAATTGCGGAGAATGACCGCTTTCGGAAAGTTATAAAGTAGTACCTGATGCCCTACACAAACGCCAAAGCTCAATGTCCGGAAGAGAAACGGAGAGTCCAAGAATGCCAGTTCCACTCGCGCCACAGCGTCCACCGCTCCACCAGATGCTCAACTCCATGGGCAGACACCCACGGCCCTTCGACGATGCCCTTCACTCTCACACTTTTCACTCCACCTCGTCAGACCATGCCTACGGGTTCTGCACCTTGTGGTCCCCCTTGATCACGTCCGCGTACGTCGGAGGCGGTCCGCTGGGCTGCCCTGCACTCCCCTCCGCACCCCCATTAATCTCCTGCCCAGCAACACCCTGCTGAGGCTGGACGTCCTTCGGCGGTTGCGGGAACGCATTCGCGACGCCCGTCTCATGCCCTGGGAACTGTCCAGCACTTGGCTGGCTTCCTACAGTCCCGTAAACCGTTTGTCCGCCTTGACGAGGAGGCACCGGGCCGTGCGCGACGTAGTAGTAGGTTACCGAGCCGTCTCCGCCATGCTCGCGGTCTTGCAGGCCTTCGTACTCGTATACTTCGGGGTATTGGAGGATGATGTACCAGGCGTGGATGAGACCGGGGAGGTAGCCTAGACAGCACAGGCAAAGATTGATGAGGGAATCTGCGCTGCAGATACCGCGTTTTACCCAGACTATAGTCCTGTTAGCTCTCTGATGTCGATTGTGTTTACGCAGCGATGCGCCTAAGCTGGGTGCTGCCTGGAGCTCGGGTCCCGCTTCTGAGAGCGGCGGGGTCAACGTACCTCCGATCGGGGGGAAGAGAAAGGAGAGGAGCATTAGGAAGCAGTCGGTGCCGCACATCTTGGAGGTGATTTGGAATCTGCTTTGAAGATAGAGGGAAAGCGACTGGAGCGGTGGTGGTGAGATGGTGTGGACTGTGTTCAGGTACAAGAACGGGACGCGCAGGTGATCTGGATGACGACTTATGTGGCGCTCGTGGGGCTGTGCTTGCCTTTAACGGACAGGCCAGGAACGCCCTTCCTAGCCTGGAAGGTTCCAGCGATCACCACCAAATCAATTCCATGAGACATTGCATGCAAACAATGTATGTTCAAAATATATACAATAGCAACAAACATTATTCCTTCCCGCCTAAGTATCTATACACCACCGAGAAGTCCCGACCCTTGCAATTCTCTGCCTGCTCCACCTCGTCATAGAAAGCCTGCGCGGTGTCTGCAAGCGCAAGCTTGATCTTGGCCTCTTTGGCAGCCTTAATCGCCAGCTTCAAATCTTTGTTGGCCAAAGTGACTCCAAATCCTCCTTCGTATCCTCTGGAGGCGGGAGCACCTTCGATGACACCAGGAACCGGATTATTCACTTCGCTGGGCCAGCATTTGCCCGTGCTGATGTTGATCATACCGGCGAGAGCTTTGGGATCAAGCCCCCATTGAATTCCCATATTCATGGCTTCGGCAGTAGCAATGTTGTTGAGGGCCAGGAGGTAGTTGTTCGCCAGTTTTCCTTTCAAACCAGAGCCTTGATCGCCAAGGTGCAGCACTCTCCGACCCATTAATGACAAGACTGCGGTGGCCCGCTCTACAACCTCGGGGGCAGCACCAATCATGAAGGTAAGGGTGCCGGCCTGAGCACCAACGACGCCCCCAGACATGGGTGCATCGATGAATTTGCCTTGACCAGAAGTGTGAGCAGCGTTTGCCACGTGCCCAGACGTCATGGGGTCGATAGTTGAGCAGTCGATGAATAGCCGTTCCGTAGTGGTAAAACCATCCTTCAATAGAGTCGGAGGTTCGAGTATCTGTTTGTAGACACCGGCGACGTGCTGTGGCTCCGGCAAGACCGTAATGATTGTTTCCTGTTCTTTGTTAGCGCCGCCTTATTATGGCAACGACGTGCTTGTAAAAGAAGGATACGGAGGTACATCAGAGGATTGGCTTTATATTTTGCATAATCAGAGGAAGAGTCACAGTGTGGCTCCCAACTTAGATCATAGATAGAACAATAAAATCATCATGGAACAGCGGAACGGGCTCGAAGGGGTTCCTACATACCGCTTTTTCAGCGACTTCCCGGACGTTGTCAGCAATGCGAACACCCTGAGGATTCTCCTCGAGGAATTTCTTGGAGGCAGCGGTGTTGACATCCTGGACGAAAATGGTATCCTCAGCAGGTATCTTCGCCCGGAGGTTCTTTGCCATAGGGAAGCCTAGCGACAATGTCAGTTCAGAGCTCAAGGTCATGTGAGTGTGCGTTGAGACCGACCCATTCGCCCAAGGCCAATGAAGCCCCATGTGGCTTGTAGGTTCCTGGAGCTTGAGAAGCCCCTCCGTAAACCCTGACGAAGAGCGATTGGAGATATGCGCCTCAAAGGCGAGGCGACCGCCGAAACAGCCCGCATCCTGGACGGTTGGATATGGGCGGAGTTAAAATCGAAAATGAGTGAGACAATAATGGGTGAATGGTGCTGCAGTTGCGGCGGTTTGGATCGGTCTCCGCAGTCTTGGGTCGCTCATCAGCCGAGGTCGTGGATGTGCCAGGAAAGCGGCTCCTCCATGCGGAAGATCGTCGCAGAGGGCAGACGGAAGTCTGGCGCCACGGGAAGTGAAAGCATGGCGCTTATACGGTGGAGTTGATCAGCCGTAAGCTTCCCAGATGCAGCCCTGGTTCTAGAGACTGTGTTTTCAGGGTGCGCGAAAACTCCGACGAAATCTGCGCGGGAAAAGTAATTCCGGCCGAACGGCACGTGCCTCTCACGCTATCCTCAATTAAGACCACTACTACTTCTTGGATTCATCCGTGCCATTACAGGATGAATTATCAAGTACTGACAAGTCATATTGGATCGACAGACTCAATTTGTAGCTGAGAAGTGCAGAGTAAGTCCTGGGTCAGGTAGCTCATCATTTCCGTGGAAACGCGAGTCTGAGTCTCCTAGGCTGTGACTTCGCGCATACCAGCCTGTACCCCAGGCAGCTCTAAGTCAAATCATCCGAGTCACATATCCCTCAAGAGGGCGGTGTCCGCCGAAAGTCCAGGCATACATGCCCCACCATCCATCACCACGTCGAATCGCCTTAGCCAATAGCGGATATAACGTGGTAGTTCTCACTCGCTCTTCGAATACAGGCATTAGACACACTTCTGTGTCAAAACGCCATTCTCGACGGATCTTCAGTTGAATCAGCAGAGGCCCTTACCCTTCGTCTCCTCGAGCCGCCAGCCCTTACTGGTGTACCTCTTGACGAAAGTCATGGTATCGAGAGCGTGCTCGTTTTCACGGGGTCGGTTCTCGATGGGCTCAGCCTGACCGGCCTGCTGCTCAAAATGTTCGTCGCGGTCGTCGAGAGGATTGTCGATCTCAACCTCAACCTCCTATAGTAACTTCATATTAATCACCTCGTCTCTTCAGCGTGCTTCACCTGGCTCCGTCCGGTATTTTAACTTACGCGTGGCTCCTCCTCCTCCTCTGGGGCGTCCGACTCGTCCGAGATCTCGACTAGGTCTTCGTGTCGCTTGTGGGCCGACTTCTTCTTCATTCCTTTGCCGCTCGAGGGAGCACTGATGGCGTCGAGGTATTGGCTGTTGTTCATGTTCGCATGTAGCTTCGGGGCAGCGGACGTATTCTCCAAGAACAGGCGCTCACTATATGCTTCGTACGCAGTCTCAGACTAGGGGGCAGTTAGCATTAGTTGAGACAGAGGAAGAACAGAGCATACGTCTTCGTCGGAGTACTGCAGCTTGTTCCATTTCTCTTGGTTAGCAGCTTTCATGAATGCCTGAGTAAGCTCTGCCGATGTGTCTCCGCCGGCCTTCTTCACGGTAGGGAGAAAGGCCTTCGGTTCGGTAGGCTTCGCGCCTTCTTGTGACTCCTTCTCGCGCCGGCGATTGACCGCGTCCAGGTGGGCTGTGGCATCAATGTGGTGGAACTGCGTTCGCAATTGGACCAGGCCATGGAGCCTCGTGAGATGCAGTTGGTCTGCAATGGGTCAGCGTCATCCACAGGAGGTTGCAACCTGCGTACTTTCTCGAAAGGTCCCCAGCATGTAGTTGGGGCCTTTGCCGTCATCCTTCACGACCTGTCCGCCAAAGGTCTGAGTGTTCAGCACATGACCCTTCTCGTTCGCATCCTCAAAATGAGCGACGTATTCATCGACGTTGTCGTCCTCTTCGGCGACGGCCGGTGCTGACGGCCCGTCGGCGGCAGCACCCGGCCTGTTCATGCGCGGCATAGCTCGCTCGAAACCCGATGCAATGCCATAGGCCTTCTGACCGAAGCCTTTCGTCTTGCGCAGAGCTTCACCCCACTTGACACCCATGGGCCGGTTGTAGTGCTGGCGAATATTGATCGGAACATCGACCTCGATGAATCCAGACTGCTCCTTGTAACGCAGCTCGGTCGGGTGGCACCCTGTAGCTCGAGTAAAGGGCTGGTCTGGCGGACGGTTCATGTACTGCAGGATGTAGAGCTGCTCGCTCATTTCAGGCGTGATGAAGACATCGTAATCGGCGACGACGGGATCGTCTTCCTCCCTGTCCATTGCTGCGGCTGGGTTAGCAAGAGCGGTTAGCAAGGCGAATCAAGCTGTGTGCGGTATGAAGGGTGTGCCTTACGTGCCATGGTGCGCGGAAGCCGGTGTCGTGGAGTAAAGGTGAGTCCGCTCAGAAAAAGTTCCCACAGAAAAGCTGCTCCGCGTCGCGATCGCGCGGCTGTGGTCCGTGCTTCTCGACCTCTCGACGGGGATAATGGATGACGGAATACCTCCGAGTCTTCCTCATGTTTCCTACTCACCCTCCCCTTTTCTTGCTCTAGAGCTGTCTTGCGGAGCTGCAAACCGCCCCAGAATTCGACATGGCATACATTGCACCCATCCACCGCCCCAGCAGCATCCGCCATGCGATCAAACTCACCTTCCTAGCTCCGGACGAGGACTGCCTCGTCGTCGCGTAAGCAACAACCGTCGCGGAATCGAAGCAGTATGTTAATTTTGCGCATAGAAAGGCGAACCGACTCGAGTTTTACACCCAAACCGCGGACGGCCTGTCCCTCCAGCACTCCAAGGCTATCTATGGCAAAGTCACAATGCTCCAGAAACTCCGGCCCGCCCTCTCGCCCACAGATCATCTCTTTGTGGGCACAGATCGGTTCATGTATTTCACGCTGTCATGGAACGCCGATAAGAAGCAACTGCAGACGGAGAAGACATTCGAGAGCGTCGCCGACAATGCCGCACGCGAGTCGCAAACTGGGGAGCGATGCCACGTCGATCCCACAGGGCGATTCATGACGGTCGAGGTATACGAGGGAATAATCACGGTAATACCGTTGGTGCAGCGGGGAAAGAAGAGGAAGCAGGAGCCGGATATCGCCCAACTCGGGGAGCCTCAGCCTGTCAGGCTATCCGAAATGTTTGTTCGCTCATCAGCGTTCTTGCGACCACGGTCTTTCGACGAAAAGCCAAAACTAGCCCTGCTATATGAGGACACCCATTCACAGGTCAAGCTCAAGGTCCGCGAGCTCTCCTCCGCCGGTGGCGAGGCGGTCGAGCTCGAGGAAGGAGAGCATTACCGGGGCGACCTGGAGCTAGGCGCCAGCCATCTGATACCCATTGAGGAGCCTACCCACGGCCTTATAATCATCGGCGAGACTTCGATTGGATACTATAATGAGGAGACTGGGGAGCTCCAAACCGAGCCTTTGGAAGAGGCCACTATATTTGTGGCTTGGGAGCGGGTAGATGCTCAACGATTTGTTTTCGCCGACGACTACGGCCGGTTATACCTGTTCATGCTCATCTTGGACGATCACAACAAAGTGCAGTCATGGAAGCTCGACGTCATCGGTCAAACATCTCGAGCTTCTGTGTTGGTGTACCTGGATGCAGGATACATATTCGTTGGCTCGCACCAGGGCGACTCCCAGGTTATCAGGATCACCGAGAAATCGATGGAGATCATACAGACGTTTTCGAACATCGCTCCGATTCTAGACTTCACCATCATGGATATGGGTAATAGGTCCGGAGAAGGCCAGACGAACGAATATTCTTCCGGCCAAGCGCGAATTGTCACTGGAAGTGGCGCGTATCAGGACGGAAGCCTCAGAAGCGTGCGCAGTGGGGTAGGTCTAGAGGATCTCGGGGTTCTGGGCGAAATGGATCACATTTCCAACCTTTTCAGCCTCAAGTCAAGCGACTCGGCCGAATTCGTCGATGCATTGCTCGTCACCTTTGTCAACGAGTCCCGCGTCTTCAGGTTCGATCCCCAGGGCGAGGTGGAAGAGGTGGAGGACTTTGCCGGCCTAGCGTTAGCGGAGACCACGCTTGTTGCGGCGAACGTATCGCAGGGTCGTGTGGTGCAGGTTACGAGCGCCCGAGTCCGAATAACCGATCTAGATGGTGGCATGACTGTTTCCGAATGGGTGCCATCCAGTAACCAGACTATCACGGCCGGATCGGCGAACGACAGCCATGTACTAGTTTCACTGGGTGGTGTTACCGTGGTTGCTCTGGATATCGACAATGGCCTAAGCGTCGTACAGGAGAAGTCCTTCGGTATCGACAGCCAAGTAGCCTGTGTAGCACTTCATCCTGGATCCAGTGCCATATGTTTCTTGGGCTTCTGGAAAAACTCCCAGCTCTCGATCTGCCCCATCAACACACTAGACGCCATCACCAGCGTCCAAGTCTCCGACGACTCAGTTCCACGCTCCCTACTCCTCACACAAATCTTCCCTGAGCAACCGCCTACGCTCTTCGCCGCCACAGCCGACGGCAACGTGGTCACCTATTCGTTCGATCCGTCAACGAAACAATTATCGGGCAGGAAGAGCATAGTGCTGGGGACACAGGAAGCCACTTTCCGCGCCTTACCCCGCGGAGACGGCCTGTACAACGTGTTTGCGACATGCGAGCATCCTTCCTTGATCTACAGCTCAGAGGGCCGCCTTGTCTACTCTGCTGTCACAGCCGAGAAAGCGACAACAGTCTGTCCGTTTGATTCCGAGGCTTACCCAGGTTCTGTCGCCATCGCAACATCAGAAGATCTCCGGATTGCCCTCGTAGATACAGAACGAACAACCCACGTTCAGACCCTCAAGGTCGACGAGACAGTGCGCCGAATAGCATACTCACCCAACCTAAAAGCCTTTGGTCTCGGCACTATCAAGAGAATACTAAAAGGCGGCGAAGAGATTCTTATAAGTCACTTCAAGCTGGTCGACGAAATACAGTTCAAGGAACTGGATACATGGCCGCTCAAAGAGGAAGAGTTGGTCGAAAGCGTCATGCGCTGTGAGCTTCCTGATGGCTCCGGCAACGTCGCTGAACGTTTCGTTGTCGGCACAGCATATCTCGATGACCAGAATGCGGTCGCTGAACGGGGCCGCATTCTTATTCTAGAAATCACGCAGGACCGACAGCTCAAGCTCGTTACAGAGCTTGCAGTCAAGGGCGGGTGCCGATGTCTAGCCATGTGTGAGGGCAAAATCGTCGCTGCGCTAATCAAGACCATCGTGGTATACGATGTGGAGTACAAGACAGAAAGCAAGCCTGACCTCGTCAAAGCAGCGTCCTTCAGATGTTCAACGGCGCCCATCGACATGACGGTCAACGGCTCGTTAATAGCCATCGCGGATCTAATGAAGTCGCTAGTCGTGGTCCAGTACCAGCGGGGCGAGACCGGCCTCTCGGATACTTTGACAGAAGTTGCCCGACACTACCAGACGACGTGGGCTACGGCTGTAGCGGAGGTCGACGAGAACGCGTATCTTGAGAGCGACGCCGAGGGTAACCTCCTGGTCCTGTACAGAGATCCCAATGGCGTCACGGAAGATGACAAGAAGAGGCTGAATATGAGTTCTGAGATGCTGCTCGGCGAGATGGTAAACAGAATACGCAGGATAGATGTTGCCCCAGCGCCAGACGCAGTTGTCATCCCCAGAGCCTTTATGGGAACCGTAAGCTTTCCTCCAACGCCTTTCACGAACATGCCACTAACTCAGCCCACAGGTCGAAGGCTCAATATACCTCTTTGCTCTCATAGCCCCGTCCTATCAGAACCTTCTGATGACTCTCCAATCCAACCTCGCGGAGCTCGTTCACGCCCCGGGCGACGTCCCCTTCACCAAATACCGCGCATTCAAGAACCAAGTGCGGGAAGCGGAGGAACCGTATCGTTTTGTAGACGGCGAATTAGTAGAACGATTTTTGTATGTGAGTGAGGAGGTGCAGAGGAAGGCCGTAGAGGGGCTAGGCGTTGACGTCGAGAGGGTAAAGAGTTTGGTCGAGGTACTGAGGAGGATACACTGAGGTTGGTCGAACCAAGGTTTGGAAGCTTCAAGCTTTGGGCCAGAGACTTGAAGGAAGCTCTGCTTAGGCGAATATTGCCGGTTTTATGGGGGGCAGAGGGCATCAGGAGAGCCCATACAAATATCTGTCCCCCGCCTACGGACCAATCCAAAGATAGAAGAGACACGTCATTGCAACGCCCCTGCCTGGCCGGGTATAAACTATCCCCCAACGCCGTATAAGTACCGCTACGAATCAAATATATCCCACGCTCCGCATAGCACTCATTACCATGCAAAATCCCTACACGCTCAAAACCGCACCAAAATAAATGTACCCGGAGAAAACACCCTACCCCCTTTTTCCTGCACACCACCAACCTTATCCCTTCTCCGCCGGCACCGCCCCCGAATCCGCCTCAACAACGACAGTCCCCGGCCCACGCTGATACGCCCAGGCCGCACTCCCGTACTGCGATTTCCCAAATTGCGTCTCGTAGTGCTCTTTCAGTCTGCGCTGCCGCTTCTCTTTCCCATGCATCCAGACAATCACGCCGAGAGCGCCGAGCAGCGCAGCACCGAGAATACTACCCAACGCTCCGCCGACGATGGCGGTTTTGCGTTTCGCGGAGGCGCAGAGGTCGGGTGCGGCGGTGGAGGCGGAGCCTACTTGCGAGGGGGTGAGGGTAGATGGCGTGCCTGTGCTGACGGCTGTGCCGAAGACTACTTGTGTAGCTGTGTTTGCGGCAGAAGCTGTCGCGGTTGCGGGGGAAGCGCCAGCCGTGGAGGTCTCGAACTTGAAGGCGCCGATGGCGTTAGTTGTTATGCGCGGGGCGGTGGAGTTGGCGCAGCAGTTTGCGTTGTCGTCGACGGCGCGGCAGCAGTAGATGCCGAAGTCGCAGGTTTGGATGTTCCAGGCGAGGACTTTGTTGAGGCCGGCGAAACCGTCGTTTTCTGTGTGGGGGTTAGTAGGGAGAAGATGGCTGGAGTGGATTGGATTGGATTTAAGTGGGGGGGAAAACTAAGGGAGCATATCGTACCATCCGGACACATTTTCGGACAGCCTGAATCCGTGCCTGTAGGATCCGTACAGCCATCCTGCCAGATAGTGCCCACGAATCCGCCATTCGTCGCCATACACAGGCCGTTATCTAAGCAAACGTCTACTGAGCCTGCGGGTCTGTGTATGGCGCAGCATCCGCTGTGCTTTGCTTCTGGGTTGCAGGGTCCGTATTCGTCGCTGAGCTGCGTGCCATCGAGGCCGTAGCATGTTCGTTCTGCAGCAACTGCGATTCCTGCCGCCGCTGCGATTGCTGGAAGAAGTAGATGCGGATTGTGAAGAAGCATAGTATGAAGAATAAGAGTGCAGGGTTGTAGAGGAGCGTGTAATAGATGCCGTAGAAGTAATTATAGAGGAAAGAGGGTAGGTAGTTGTATAGATATTCCGACAGCATGAGGAGAGAGAATGGGGATAGCTAGGTACGGGGAGAGCAATGCTTGGAGGTAAGCTTAGAGGGCTGTTAAGGCCATTTGAAGGGTTTTTGGTTGTGTATGATACGGGACGGAAACGGGTTAGGTGTACGCTGCGATGAGGCATGGCCTTGCTCAGCTGGTGTTGTGGTATGCAGGTGTGCCATATGAAACACATGATAAAACTGGGTCGCCTGAACCCCCGATGGCCCGAAAGGCAGGCTTGCTCTCATGTTAGGGCCAAGAAAAGCCGAAGAGCTTCTAGATGTTGGTTTAAAGGTGCTAGTAACAATGAGAGGTCCAGTCATGTCTTGATAGATGTAGGTGTGAAGCGGCGAAGTTTATTCTCCCGCTGCGCAGCTGAGGAAGCGCGCGCTACATGCAGGGGATGGTAACGCTGCGTCGTCAGACAAGATGGTTTTCATTCTGATAGATCGTGCCGCTAAGGCATGAAGATGGCATCGAATGGTTTGAGGTGTAGGTTGGACCTAAGGCTGGGCCTGGACGCCATTGGCTTGGTCTATGCGCACGTTCCGGCCACGCCAGCCACGTGTGCCATCTGAATCCCTCCTGTCTATACCACATTCTCGTTTCTAGGTACAGCAAGACCGTTTCTATCTTTTCCTTCCCGAAAACGATGTTTGGCGCGTGGAATCGATCCCCAGGGCATTCAGTGCCACCGAAAATAGGAATCTTTACCTCCAACGTCTCTCAACCACCCAGCTCTCTCAACAACTCCTCCACTCTCCTAACGTCATTCTCCGATCCCCCATCAACGATCGTCCACTCCAACAAACTCAACCTCGCCTTCCTCGCCCACGACTTTGCCTCCTCTACCAAGCCCAATCCAGCGTACACATACGCCATCCTCTCCAGATCCTCAGCTACCAGAACGTCCAATCCCTCCTTCTCGCTAAGCTCAAGCACCTCTTTCTCCCACGCAACAATCTGCTGCGCATCGTACGTCTCCGCAGTCAAAGAATTAAGCCTCTCACGCAGCTGGCTGAACCGTCCCCTCCTCTGATCGCTTCCGGCAATAGTGTATGCATCTGCGGTGCAGACATCGCAAGTACACTTGAATCCCCAGCCCTCCTTGTACAGCTTCTGGCGGTCCGCGTGCTTCAAGTCTACGCTTCCGTAGGAAATGCTGATCTCCTCTCCCGGAGCGATGTCCCGTAGAGCTTTGATCTCCATCAACAGCGTGCGCGGGATGAAGCGCGCATGCGCATTCGGTCGGCAGGCGTGATTGATCCTGGACACGGAGGGGAAGAGGCACATGTAGCCGTCTCCTACTCCGCCGTCGTCGATCTGGCAGGCGAACGAGTTCGTCTTCATGATGTTTTCGATGTCCGTTCCTCCAAGGCTCTTGTCCAGGGACAGCACGAGGTTTCGGTCCTCGTCTGGTAGCCAATTGAGAGCGAAGTTGAATAGCTGGAGGCCTTCCGAGCGTGTCATGCGTGCTGGGAACTGCGCGCTGGCGATGATGCGGGGTGAGTCTAGCATGATGATCTGCCCTCTCTTGACGGAGCTTCCTGCGATAAGGCCTTTTCCTTTTCCAGGAATATCGCGGACCTCCAGCTGGTCACTTAGATCGGACGGTGCTCTCCTCGCGAAGCCAAAGGCTCGTGTCGCTGCCTCGGCGGCAACCGAGGAGGCGATGATGCTGAGGCCTTTTCTGTTGCGGAAGTCCTGTGTCGTATGTGTGCAATATCGTCTATCTGGCCGAGAGATGCAGAATGGAGAATGCGACCATATCGGATGCGAATAAGCCTCAGGTCCAGCATCTTCATGAAGCTCCTTTTGACGACATGCCGCTGGCCTCTGCCCAAAGAGCTGTTGCTGTGCAGCCGGCCGGTCGCACTGGTACTCTGGGGAAAGCGCTTCGACTGAGAGCGCGATAGTGCCTAACAAGGCAATAGAGAACCTTAAGAAGATCATGATGTTAGCATTTCAGTTCACGATAGGACAATATCGAAGGCTGCGGTGTTCACCCATGCCCAGGATTCTGTAACGCATCTGAAACGACGCCTCCATCATCCCAAGCCACGCCAACGACAAGGACCTCATCTCACGATTCCGCGCCGATCGACATGTTGCCGAGAGTGCATTGCAGGTTGTGGTTGCGGACATCAAGGAGATGGATATTGCAAAGCGGGGTTCCGCCGAGAGACGTCCGAGCTATGGACGTCAGCCACGATGCCTGTATATGAGAAAGCGCCACACAGTCAATCCAATCTAAGAACCCAGCCTCCCTATGTTGTTTCTCCGTCTATCAGAATGCAGCTCAGACACAGGCTCAATCCGGAGTGAGCATACTACTGAGCTTGGCTCGAAATCCTTTCCACATGCCTATAGCGACTCCCTTTGGATAATTTTGAACATCTATTCGAGATCATGGAATGCGGCCTCACTAGCTGTAGTACTCTAGAGGGAGTCCATATTTGTCCGCAACAGCTAGGTGCCATAGGCGTACAAGTATATCAAGAGTAAGATGTGCTAGAGACTTCTCCAAAGACTCGCGCAAAAAGCCAACGACATCATGCTTTCCTTCATCCTCCCCCTTCTCTTGCTCGCCTCCCCCGTCATCGGGCAAAACACATCAACCTGCCCTACCCTACCATCAGCCATAACCTACGCCTCCAATGCCAAACTCCCCGACCCGTTCCTCCCCCTTGCCAGTCCCCGCCTAACCACCAAATCCCAATGGCCCTGCCGCAAAGAAGAAATCCGCCAACTGCTCCAGCGCTACACCTACGGGCAAATGCCACCCAAGCCCTCCTCCCTCACAGCCTCCCTCTCCGGCACCTCTCTCACAATCACCGCGAAAGAAGCCGGAAAAACAATGTCCTTCACCGTAACCCTCAAGCTCCCTACCTCAGCCACCGCCCCCTATCCCGCCATCATCGCGTACGGCGCGGCTAGTCTCCCGATCCCAAGCACCGTTGCTACAATCACGTATCAGAATTTTGAAATGGCTGCAGACAACGGGCGCGGGAAGGGCAAGTTCTACGATCTCTACGGGGCTAATCATAACGCCGGCGGTATGATTACCGCAGCATGGGGCGTTGACCGCATTATCGATGCGCTAGAACTCACGCCCGCTGCGAAGATCGATCCCAAGCGCGTCGGTGTAACAGGCTGCTCGCGCAACGGGAAAGGCGCTACTATCGCCGGCGCATTCGTGGATAGGATTGCACTCGCGCTGCCGCAGGAAGGAGGGCAGGCTGCTGCGGGATGTTGGCGAATCGCGGATGAGATCCAGAAGAATGGCACGAAAGTCGAGACCGCGCACCAGATCGTAAATGGCGACACATGGTTTTCGACCGACTTCTCTAAGTACGTTGATGCTGTGCCGACACTTCCCTGGGACAACCATATGATGCACGCGCTGTACGCGGACCCGCCCCGCGGTCTTCTCATCATCGAGAATACTGCAATTGACTACCTCGGCCCGACGAGCAATTACCACTGCGCGACGGCCGGGAGAATGGCGCATGAGGCGTTGGGAGTGAAGCATTACTTTGGATTCAGTCAGAATTCGCATTCTGACCATTGTGGGTTTCCGAAGGCGCAGCAGCCCGAGCTGACGGCATTTATTGAGAGGTTCCTGCTTGGCAAGGACACCAACACGGATGTGTGGAAGACGGACGGGAAGTTCGTCATTGACGAAAAGAGGTGGGTTGATTGGAGTGTGCCGGCTTTGTCGTGAGACGCATCGCGGTGAAAAGAGCAATACAAGAACGTGTGAAGTTAGCCTATCATCTCAATAAAGAGCATCACCTTGAGTCAAGCCTCAGTGCCTTGTGGGACTTCACCAGTCCCGTACCTGTGGAATTATGCCATTCACCGACTAGAGGCGGTTTTCCTATCCTGGATCCACCCCACAGTGTGGGAGAGATAGGCACGGTTGCTGTGGTCGCTTTTGCCCCGTGTGGATAACACCAAGAGCCATAATACATCCGCCTATACCTTGAAAACCGCGCTCTTACTCCTAATGCCGTCGAATATGCAAGTGTTATCCACAGGGATGTACTGCTCGGTAATGACTTTGATGACCTCTTGCGAGACGATGCCGCCTGTGAAAGCAGAGATATTGTGAAGCTCAGCGCCGCCTGCTCGGACACTATGAATCACGTTAGCAACTATTAGTACTAAAGAGTCGTTTAGCACTCACAGTTCCTGAACGAACTCCCCTATCTGGGTCTTGATGGTAGCGTATTCGTCTTCGTCAATCGAAGCAGCGGCTTCCTTGACCAGGTCGTTGGCAATCTTAAACGCGATAGAAGTAACTTTTTCGTTGTCTGCTTCGAGGTCTGTGTCTGACTCTCCGGGTACTTTGGGGGCGCCGCCTAGGGCGTCCTTCTCGTGCGTCGCCACGAACTTGTCCCAAGCCAGGAAGGCGATATATAGCGGAACTAGCGAGTCAGGGAAAGTAAGGGTTTGAGCTGTACGGGATTAGTGTGACTTTTGTGACGCATGCGTCGATGCGATCGGAAGCGTACCTATCGATTTTGCCCTGTCTCCCCACCGCACTGATCCTTCTGCCGGCACGACGTGAAATGGCCTCCCTCGCACCAGCTTGATGTGCGCCGCGTTCTTGCAGAAAGCCTCAACATCTTTCTCTTCAATAGCTGTACTCCTATTCGCATTTCTCTCTAGAAACCGCACGCTCTCGAGCACTTCGGCCAGATCTTTTCGGGCCTTCGACTTGTAGACGTTCTGTAGTTGTATGTAGTCTGCGGAGCGCGCCTTCATATCTGGAACCGCTCCTGGCACTGGAAGAACGCCATACTTGGTGTAGAAGAGACCGACGGCGTTTGCTATTACCCAGAAGCTGGGCGAATCCTGGCGCACAAGCACGCACTCTGGTGCCTTGAAGATCTCTTTGACCGCGCTGCTCGCCTCCGGAGGATTTAGTGACTTGAGTACTGCCGCTACCGCTTCATCGAAGTTCTCTTCACCGCCTTCGGGATTGTTCGTCCGTGCTGCTTTCGATACGATGTCTCGGAAGGTTGTTTTGTCCTTGTAGTTCTGCGGCACTTGACCATCGTGCTCCTCCTTCCACTTCTCGAGGTAGTGTAGCAGCAGAGCGACGTACGGGACGTGACCGTGATCCTCCCCGTCCATGGCTTCTAGGTTGGTTGTCTTGTCGGCCGCATACTGTAATAGTTCTGGCCACGGCCTCAGTAGACGCAAGTCGGTGATGCTCTCGGGGTCTGGGTGGGTATCTATTATCGGGAACGCGGGGGGAAGATGTATGGCGAAGTGCGAGTAGAATCCGATTGAATGGATGTAGAAGAGAGGTATTATCGCTGCGTCTGCATGTGCAGAGAGTTTGGCGAGGAGCTCAGATCGGATTGGTGCGGATACGATGACGAGCGTGTACGGATTAAGGACGTTGGGCTGCGTGAGCCATGTTTCGACCGGCTGAATACATGTCAGTAACACTTAGTATAGCAATTGTGGAGTTTCCTGCCTCTGTGATGAAGTTGCCCTTCACATCTGGGTTGAGCTCCTTCAGCAGATTGCAGGTATGCTCCGCTCGGAAGCCGCCCAGATGCTGCTCCTCAAGGAAGAAGTTTACGCCCAAGTCTGCCTCCGACACGACCGCCGAGTCTTGAATCGTGAAGTTACCGATGCCCGGTAGCACCAAGTTCTTGAGGGTTTCGACGCCAACTACGCCCGGGCCAGAGTTTATGAGGAGAACATGCGAGTTTTCGAGCGCGAGCTGGCCGGTGGCTCCCCATAACCGAAGCTGACGGTCATACCTACTTAGTTTAGCAGTTGTACAAGTGAAGTGGGAGCTTGTACAGCTCGGGGTAGCTTACTTCTTCTCCTTCGCAGTCGGACCTTGAACGGGAGGTGGTAGGTCCGCCATTGTGAACTGCGGCCGTTGTTTGTGGAAGACTGCGGGAGAACAGGAGCGGTAGAGTCGAAGTGTCGCGCCGTTTGGGGTTGTGTACATGTAGGCAGCACAGTCGATATTCTGCCGGGCGGTGAGCCCCAGGCGCGGTGCTCTCTGGTGTCATTCACGCGCCAAGCCAATCGCGGGGCATCATTTCCGCGGGCCCGAAAATGCCCCTCGTTGAGTCGTCACGAGCAACAGCAATTCCCTGTGAACTTTTTCATGGACTGATATCATCACACCTCAGAGATCCTAGGAGTGTAACGGTGGTATCTCAAGCCTCTTCCTGTCGCACAGTTTTCTTTTCTTGAGCTTGTTGCCCTGTTCATGCGCCTAAATTCGCGACAGTCACTCCACCGGCTCGATAATATAACTCAGCAAATCCGCTGCATCAGTCATCAAAACTCTCAATTGCTGCCCTACAGCTGCCAATTGGTCTCCCGTGCTTCTTTCCTACCCCTCAATACCAACGCCCTTCTGCGGGCCCATCCTCCTACGCTCCCTACATTTTGTCGTCGGAATCGTCAATTCCGAGCCCTTTCCTCAGCCTCCACTCGAAGAGTCGAGGAAAGAAAAATGACCGACGTAAACATTGAATCGGCCAAACGTGCGGCCGGCAAACAGGCCGTGGCGGACCACTTCGATCCTTCTGCGAGCCACGTTGGCATTGGTTCCGGCACGACCATCGTCTACGTCGTAGAGGCAATCAAGGAGAGCTCAACGAACCCCCAGATCCGCTTCGTACCCACTGGATACCAATCGCGCCAAGTGATCGTACAAGCAGGCCTGACACCGATCGCTTTCGACAGCCTACCGGAGGATACAATGCTGGACATTGCTTTCGACGGTGCGGATGAGGTAGATGTCGAGCTGAACTGCATAAAAGGTGGTGGTGCCTGTTTGTTTCAGGAGAAACTGGTTGCGGAGCGGGCGAAAAAATTCATCTGTGTTGCAGGTAGGTACAATGCTCAATCGCATTGGAGGCGATATACTAACCGTCGTGTGCAGACTACCGCAAGAAGCAAGACCGCCTCCTGACGAACTGGCCCACTATTCCCATCGAAGTCGCTCCCATCTCCGTACCTACCGTGCTCCACTCGCTCCGCGTCCTCGGCTCTTCGAACCCCAAGCTCCGTACTACACTGCTCGAGAAGTCCGGTCCATTGAAGACGGATCAAGATTTCTTCATCATCGACGCGCCGTTCCCCAAGCTGCTGATCGCAGAGGACATTGCAGCGGGTAAAGGCAAGGGCGACGGAAGTGACGGGACGTGGGAGGTCAACAAGCTGAGTGAGGCTATCAAGGCATTGACAGGCGTGCTAGAGGTGGGCATCTTCTCCGGGCTGAACGGTCCGGATGCGGATGCTATCAGCGGGAAGGAGGGAGTAAAGACCGTGACTAGCGGGCAAAAACCGGTAGCTGTGTATTTTGGAATGTCCGACGGGAGTGTAGAAGTGCGGACAGCGAAGCAGTAGAAAGTGATGTGGAGGGTTGTAGCTGTACATTGTTTTTGGGCGCTCGTGACATTTTGCATACCTAGGTAGATATGAACGGAAAGTAGACCAACGGTGGAATAGACGCGTTTGGCGAACGACAACGACACCATCGATCCCGTTACGAACGACCCCGAAGTTTTCAGGCACTTGCTATAGCGGACAATAAATATAAATTCTTGGAGGCTTGTCAGAGCTCTCTTCTCAGACTAGGAGGAGCCCCGGAATTCGCTATTCCACGTGACACCGCGAATTGTCTGTTCTATTAATACGGTAGGCTATCGGTGGGGTTCCCGAGCTGGACCTTCCGCGTTCAGCTTCTTCCCTTCACCTACCACCTGGGCACAACACTGCTGTCTTTCAACATTTGATAATTAATTCCCAGCCTGGACCTCTCCAGCGCTTGTCCATCTTGTAGCAGATCGCTCGGTTCGGCCGATCGCTGAAAACATCCCTCTCCTCTCCTCTTCAACAATAACGCTCCCAGGCTGAAGCGGAAGCCGCCACCAACCCTTCAATGGCTTCCACGGCGCTCAATTCTGCTTCTTCATCCTCGTCGACCAACCCTGCGGATGGAGTGCCCATCTCCATCCCCGCACGACCTGCGCACCCCTCCATTTGCGCATTCCCCGTCGAGATCCGCCTCGATATCTTCACCCACCTCCTCGACCTCGCCGCCGTCCCGCGCTCCTACGGCTACACCGGGCCCATACAACGCTCCCCCAAGCGCTCCTCCAACGGCCGCCTCAAAACTCTCCGCGAACACGCCGTGCTTCTCGTCAGCAAGCAACTCTCCTCCGAATACCGCCAATGCTTCTACGAACGCACATCCTTCTTCCTACGCATCGACGCCACCAACGCGTTCCGCACCGTGCCAGACCTTAGCATCACCGCTGAACAAGCGCAAACAAAGGGGATCGGGACTGGGACGCCTAATTTCTGGAGGGCGCCTGATGCGCTGCTGGCAAATCTACGGCATTGTACGCTTTTCGTTGAGCTAGGGGAGATAGCATGTGATGCAAAGGCTATACATAGCCTGAGCCGGATCACGAGGTCGAATTTGAGTCTCACAGATGCGCGCGCTGTGCGCGGCGAGCTGAAGACGTTCCGCTCGCACGCCGAGGTTAAGGCTAAGGACGCAGAGTTCGATTCGAGCATCGTTTCTGCCGTTCTCGCCCTTTTAGAGCACATGCAGCAGCTCCGCAGCGTGCAGCTCGTCTGGGATACAACGGTCGCGGGCACCAGGACCTCGCGCGCCACGAGCAGCAATACGAATTGGACGTGGGATTTTCTGGGTGCTGTGTTCCTTGACTGTCTGAAGGAGAAGCGGAATATGCGCGAGCTTAGAGTCAAGGTCGGCGATCGGTATGGTGATACGGTGTACCAGGGGAAGAAGATTGACGGAGGGGAGTGGGAAGGTCGCATAGTGAGGACGGAGGATGGCCGGATCCTGTGACTCATGTCCAGGGAATTGAATGCGCGGCTTGACGCTCTTGTTCAAGAGGTGCGTGGCCTGAGAGCGGGGCTAGTTTCATTACGCTAGGAGACTAGACGGATGGCTGGTGGATGGTGTATCGGCAGAACTGAACTGATGAAATATGGTCTCATTTTGGGCTTGCACAATGACCACTATTGCCAGAGGGATTCACTTGGAGGATGATAGAGAAGCATAGGGAGATGAATAGGCCCTAGTGCGGCGCATCTGGTGCCTAGGACAGTGCTAAGTGAAATGTAAATTAGCATTGTCAGTTGGAGCCCTGAGGAATATAGCGTTCCGGAAGGAACTCTTGAACCTGACCGACCATCACCTATCTCCTGAAATGAAAACGCAAACAAGCATACATTCAAACGCAGTCGAAGTCACTCAGGAAGGAAGAACAAATCATCGTTGAACATTTTCCTTCATTTCTGGCTCTGAATGAAGTTTTCCCCACAACAGGCCGCTAAATCCCAATGCAAAAATGAAGTGATAATAAGAATCGAAAGGTTTCCATATCCACCCAAACAGAGCCCTCCCAGGGCTCGCGAGTACTGCACCCCCCAGCAGCATCCTCGTAGAAGTGAAGAAATCATCCCTTTAGTCCCCTCGCTATGACCCGGGGGTCGCTTAGAAAGAGTGCCCATGCCTCCGATGCTGCAAGCCACTCCTCTTCCTCCCATAGCTCTCAGGGTCCACGGTCACGTAGACGATCTCCGTAACGACTTCCGTCGCGTACTTGGTAACGCAGTGCCAACCCTCGGGGCAAGAAGGGGCCGCCGTAGGCGCGGGCGCGGCTTCGGATGCTGGCACGGTGATGGTGGTGTGCTTGGGTGTCTCGGCGGCGTCGGCGCCCTCCTCGTACCACCCGTACGACGGGACTGCTGGAGCGGCGGAGGAAGGCTTTGGCACGGCGGAGGAAGGTTTCGGTGCAGCGGCGGGGGAGGTAGCAGCAGCAGCGGAGCTCTTGGGCTTGGATGCAGCCGGGGTGCTAGATTTGGCGGCCGCAGCGGCGGAAGTCTTGGGCGCGGAGTTGTCAACTCCTCCACCAGACGTCTGCATGATAAGCCCGACGTCAACAGTCTCCGCCTTCGGCGTCAGGTCCTTGCCCTTATTCGGCGGGCCGTTGAAATTCCTGGCCTCGCAGGCGTCGTTGATAGACTGGCACTTCCGCTGCCAGATCTCGCAGCCCTTGCTTCCCGTCGGTGGCGCAGTGTCGTAGCATGTGTCAAGCTGCTTCCAGCAGTTTTCGCCAGAGGCCCAGCAGCCTGCTTCGTCGGAGTAAGAGGGGACTTCGACACCGCACCAGTTGGCGTTCTCGTCCATGCAGCCGGCGGGGCGGAGCCCTTCGTTTTGTTGGGTTTGAGCCTCGCTCGCAGTACCAGCGCCTGACGTAAGGGTAGCAACCTTGGGGCCAGGCATGGTGTACTCCGAGTTATCTGTGTTATAGATGTCGAAGCTGACAGAAGGTTCACCGGCCTTGACGTAACCAGGGATGGAGACGGTTTCTTCGGGGACGAGATTGCCGGTAGATTCGACGAAGATCTGCGCACAGCCTGTGTAGAACTGGGGGTCGTTTGCGTTCGCGGCGTGGAGAGCGAGGAGCTCGGGGCGGGCTAAGTAGTAGCCACCTTGCAAGCCCTTCGGGAGGACGACGGAGAGGAGGCCATTGTTGTCGATGACGCGGTCGCTGCACCATTGGTCTGAGGAGGCATCGTAGCCGTTGTCAAACAGCTTAAACCATCCGTCTCCGTAGCCTGAATCAAGTTAGCACGGATATGTAAGTGGATAGGGATGGTGGACGTGCCCTGGTCTTCCACGGCGGAATCGACCTTCTTCAGATAGACCGCACAGGGACCCTTGTGCCCACGATCCAGGCGCTCCTTGGTAGGGTCATTTGGCCAGGAACGGATTTCGAAAGAAAGAGTAGCACCATCTGAAACGGACTGAACGCGGGAGACACCGGTCTCACCGTCGACATCTGAAGGGTTCGTCAGTGACTGTCCTCGGATCGCTGATCGGGCTAACATACTGCATGCCATGTCGTTGCTGCTCAAATCTTCAAGAGGGAACGAAGCCTTGGCTGGATCCTTCCTCATGCGCATAGCAACACCATCTCCCTATGAAGTATTAGTCTCTCATCACTTAGAGGAAGAGATCCGCATTTACCTGGCTAACTCCATCGACATAGAAAGTAGTCCAGACAGTGTGGGCGAGAGCTGTAGGAGCCGCCACCAACGTAGCGAGAAGAATAGATGTAGTCTTCATGATCGATGCAAATCTTCTTCTTTTTCTCGGAAAGACGTTGTCGATTGGAAACGAGTCGTAATATGACACACGAACAAATCAAGTCGCTAGGACTTCACAGAGCGTAGCTTCTCAAAAAGAATGAACGTGTCGACTGGCGACGAAAACGAACGACAGCGGCCAAAAAGCCTAAAGGAAAGACGAAAGTTGGTTTTGAAGTTCGAAGCACCACATCGAAGGTAAGGAGAGAAAGGGAACCAGAACCGGGGCGTCGTGAGGTTTTGATTGACTGGGGCCGAACAGTGCGGAGTCTGCACCACATCATCCCTGCACGCGGACCAAACACGAAGACCATCTCCCGTCCTCTCGGAACCTCTTCCTTGCAACTGATCACGACGATGCCCACAGCGTCTGCCAAAACCAGGGTGAAGCGATGTCGTTTTCCGTACGCAGTCAGCCTTAGATCCTCCTCAGCCAATCAGCCCGCTCCACAACCCGTATCCTCGAAACATGAAACATAAACGAGATCGCTGGAGGAGCGCGCCGAGAAAACGAAAATGACCAAGGTAGACGCTTGTGGCGTTCTCTAAAACAACCTAAATCCAGGCACCGCACCTTAATTTGCGGCTCCCCCTCATGAGGCGAGGCTTCCCGCGAAACGATCGTCACCACCAACACATCGTGAGAGAATGCTGTAGAACGCTGAAAGCGGGGTTTGCAGAAGAGGCTGCTTGTTGAGAGGCGAGGATATCCAATGTTCTCGTACACGCAGAAAGGTCCAATATGGCGGTTTCCGGGAGGAGAGATTTGGACGCAATATGGACTCCACACCCTAACTCAACTCTTCAGCATCGTCGGTTTCGGCCATCATTTCTTTCGCCGTCGCCAAGCACCCCGCCTCATCTGGTCTTCCGCTCCCCCCGTGAGCTAGCCCGAGCTGCTCATCTCAGAATCAGGTTCAGCCCCACAGTGGCCCTATGCTCGTAACATCGGGAGTGCATTTGCTTCGAGGCTTCAATTTCCCACTGGTTGCCAGAAGGCTTGAACAGAAATAAGATTTCTCCTATTGCTCAGCATGCGACATGAACCTCGGGCGCTAGCATCTCTACTCATTCAAGGCAAGGAGGCGAGCGGCGTGCTGCTGTGTCTCCCGGTTTCCGCGCCTAGCTTCATATCTCACAGAACAGAGCGATAAACATCTTGCAGGAACGTGAGCCGAGAATGACTGGAGTGAGGGTAATTTAGAATAGACAGGACAACCTTGGTTGTCACAATGTGTTGCCCTTGGAATCGTAGCGGTCCTTCTATTGTGTTGGTCCATGCTTCGGGAGAGCAAACGTCATATGCATGTCGATTCTCTAGTTGCGCCGGATTTGAGGCAGCCATGCATAAGAAAAATACAACCGTTGTCTCCCCGATCATCTGCGCGGCATCGATGAGACCAAGGACAGATCCGGCGTGTCGAGCGTCAAATTCTTCGCAAGGATGTTGTTTCCACGCTCTTCCGTCTCTGCTTTATCAAGAATGTCCCTGACAATCTTTATAAAATCTTCTATGCCCCGTGGAACCGTACGCCCTTGGAGGCCACGGGGCGTTGGGAGAGTCCTAGTCACCCACTCCCCTTCAGTGATCTTTAGGCCGACCATGCTGCGGAATTGGATTCTCTTGAACTTTATGTTGATGCCTTCTGTGAATGCGAAACCATGCCGCCGCTGGTTGAAGCGGCAAATGAGCATTGCTCCTTCCTCTCTATGTTCAATGCCTCGGTCCTGAAGGCCAGATTTGACGGTTTCCACAAGCCACGTCTGGCTTCTTTTCGTTAGGTAGTGCAATTGTTTTGTACGCATGTAGCCCACGGATGGCAGTGATATGGTACTCAGAGGCGGTACCGGGCCATTGCAATTCGCGCCTGACATGAGCTGTTCTGATTTGATCGCACCGGCCGCCGCAAAAGTGGCGTCCCACTGCAACGGCCAAGAGCTCATGTCCGTAAGCCGCCGCGTGAGCATCTCCTCCGGAACGGCCCATGCAGTCGTAGGGCGTCCCCAGCGGATAAACGCAGGGCTAGTGCGGTGTGTGTTGTGCTCTAGGCGACCCTTAAGAGATGCGATGAGGCTATATTTCTCCATCAGATGTGTATGCATGAAAACATCTGAAGGGTCGATATTCAACCGAAAGGATTCCTCGAGATCTCGCACGGAATGCAGCCAAAGATCGAGTGTGTCGAGCTCATCACAGACGGTAAGAGTAATATCTCGCGTTGCTCCATATCGGGCAATCAGACCCTTGAGGGCCACGCTCCATGCGAGAGCCGTATTGTATGGCTCATGGAGGTGCAAGCAAACATCGCCTAGCCAGCGGGCTGCGGAAATATCCCCACTATCCAAGTTGGCACCGTTCAGGTAGATCCCATTGAACACGCTTTCGAAGACGTTCTTGGCCTTCAAGAAGTCTCCGGAATAGGAAGCGCATATCCCAATCAGGTGTCGTAGAAGGCGCCGGTCGGGCTGGCTGGTGTTGCCGTTGACCGTCGTGGTTTCTCCGCGCTCCACTGCGGCGAGTTGTTCTTCGAGATAGAAAGCTGCGTTAGCCCAGTCTCTCTCTAGCCACGCTGCCGTAATACGTTGCGCTGTCGAGACTAGACTGTCTTCTATCGGTGTGCCTTGGCCTACATGAACTGGAATGGTTGTCGGCTGCGTGGGCACGGTAATAGCGCCCAATGGCAATGTATGCCGAACCCCCACATTGCCCTCAGAGTTGTAGACAGGTGGTATCCGGGCTTGGGCACTGGTGGTTGAAGCCGCTGGAGTACCTATACCTTGCGACAATTGGCTGGCCCCAGGGGGCAGCGATGCCCTATTGACGACACGTTCGGGACGACCGTAGGGCGTCGAAGAGCTCTCGACTGGAACGGGTGTCGAAAAAGAACGTTGATGTTGCCGGTCGGCTCTGGTTAATCCAGAGCCTGCAGGCTGATTTAGGAGCGACTCTAGGCCATTATCCGGGCTGGCTTGAAAAGAGCTAGGCATCTCCCATCGAGGAATTTGTTGCGCATCTCTTGAAACCGCAGCAGGAAGTGCGTTTCCCAATTCTTGCGGCATCATATCGAAGGTTTGTGTTCCAGGGCGCTCTTCCATCAACCTTCCCTCATTGACGGCTCTCACAAACCAATCTATGATGAAGTCCCTGTACTCGAGCGCATCCCGGTGTGTGACTCCAACGTCTTCAAGGTCTCGAATAATTTGATCCCATGCTGCATCTTCGTCTTCATCGTCTTCTTCCTCTATGGGGCCCGACGCAATCCTCTGCAACGACAATATGCTCTCTTCTCGATGACCTCCTCTATAGTCTCTCTCTAGTCTCCCTAGCGCTTCGAGGATTTGCACTTGGCTGTCATGGATCAAAGAACTGTAGAAGCCGTTGACCATGACGACGCTTGAAGTCAGGCGCTCTCGCAACGTCCGCGATCGATCTGGATCCCATTTCAGCCTGTCCCATGCCCGCTTGCTTTTTGTATCTAGGCTATTGTAATGCACCAGTGTCTTGTCTAGCTCTTGTAATACATTTACGCATGTCTCGTATGCGTCCACAAGCTGTTGCTTCCTGACGTCCGGAATGGTGTGATATTTATCGCTGATATCCTCGAGAAGGTTCGTGAGGTTTCGCGCTTCCGTAGTAAGAGTCTTGTACTCGCCGGTGCAATCGCGACCTTGAAAACTTAGCTAGTGCTTGTAAAAAGCCAGTATTACACTCACAATTCTTGTAGACGCGTGAAGCGAGCTCACACAGCTTTAGTATATCACCTATGCTAATACCGAAGCTCATGACGAGAGATACTAGCGCGCAAGACTTCGGGGCATTAGTTCAGTCAGGTGAATCTGCTGCGAAGGCGGATGTCGCCGGAGGTAAGGTCGAAAGAAGAGCGAGCGAGAACGTCATCGCTTGGGATGAATAGGTGAAGACGCGCCGGAAACGAGGCTGCAGGATCCCAAGCCCCTCATGTGCCGTTGGCGGAGGCTGAGCTGCATGAGCATAGCCTCGAAGTAGAACCAACAGAATTCGAAAGATATGGTCGAAGAAAGGAGACACTGTGAGGGTATCCTTCTGGAATTGGTGTCCATCCTGTTCAATACAGAGAGAAAGGTGACATTTCCGAGCGAAACGGGATGAGGTCGCTCTTCCCCTTCAACAGCGCGCTAACCCATTTTGGAACTAGTGCATAGACCACGCCTGGGCATCCAACACTTCTAAACGGCGACAAGCAATGACTGACGGTCTATCACGCCCAATGGCCAACTTCACTCGCCTCTTCCTTTAACTTGTGGTGCGGTCAGATATTCTACCCAATAAATAGTCAGTGACGAGCACAGGGTAGTAAAGCACCATGTCCCTTACAGTACCCATCAAATGCCGAAAAGTAGCTTTGCGGCCTCAGCCCGGGATACGGATCTTCCGCCGAGCTGTGTGATGTTTTCCTGTATCCGGCATGCGCACTGGCAGAGTCATATTCCGCATATGCATTCTGCGCTGGCGGATACCCTAGTGTAATGAATCAGCAATCCATGGCAAAGAGAGTTTAGCTATCCGAGGCACTTACTCCAATCATCAGGCGCCGTATACTCAGACTGCTGCTCTGACGCATACCATGGTCGTGCGTGACCGCCATACGGCGATGGACGATACCCGTGAGACGTCGCTGGAGACGTAGTATAACGCGCTGTCTCATATGGGGACGGCGTTGAAGCATACCGCGCAGATTCATACCGCGCATTTTGATCCGGCCCCTCCTGTTGCCCGTCATGCCTCTGACCCCGCTCTGGACCCCATTGCTCAGCACGCGTCCTCGAGTTCTCGTACGACCCTAAGATCATCAGACTACTCACAAGCGAAATATGTAGCGATACAGACCCGCCCCTTCAGTCCTCCGCTGTTCCTGCCTCCAGTACTCCGAATTACCCTTCATGTCTTGGATCATCTGGGCCGTGAGCGTCAGAGAAGCCGTGACCTTGTATCCGGCCTGGCCGTCCAGCTCAGCGGATCTAACTGTTGCATCTGGGCCAAGGTAGCGCTGGATATCCGTGGTGATGACGACGCGATCGATACCCGTGGAAGTAGGTACGAAGTAGCTGTTTGTATGGGACGTGGGCGTTGATTCGAATTGACCCATTATTTTGGAGGAGAGGAGAGGGAAAAAGGAAGTTGGAGGGGACGATCTAGGGCTGAGGTTTGAACGACTGTAGGTGTGACTTGTGGCTGAAGTTTGGGCGTCAAGCAAGCTTGGTGGTTGAACGTGGACCAATAACACGATTATGTATGCATACCTCAAGCATCAGGCATCAGGCAAGGCTAAAACCCCTCAGCGAGACGAGTTTACAAGTTTCATCGAATTGAGAACCATTTCGACGTTGATGAGATGGATGTGAAGAGAGAGAGAGAGATAGATCGGGGAGATCGGCCAGAGCGGGACGGAAACTAAAAGCTTAATTTCACATGGTGTGAATGGGGCTCGGAGCATTAGTGGAGCCGTGGGAGGTGTTTCGAAACGCAAATCTCTGAAGTTCGAACTGCCGCAACTGCCCCTTACATTACTACTTCTCTTCAGCACGACTTCGAGGATGAAAGTGCGAGACTCCCACGAAACGGCACAAGCTGAATCCCCATGGTATACTTCAAAACGCCAGCTGGCAGCCCCTGTTACTCGCTTATATGTACGCCCAGTTTCCTTCCCTCAACACCGTTGTCCCTTCCTAGGCTGGTTCGATGGAACAGATAAGAGTCGGGATGCAGTCCCGGAGGTGTGATGAAGTTACCACCCGGACTCATCCATCACGGCAAACCCAATCCTCCACATAGTCCACCTCCGCCTCCGCCTCCACCTCCATCCGGCTACCGCTACTGCTCCTCCTTCTCCTCGTCTTCTTGTTCTTCCTCCCAACACGACGCCACTCCTCAGCCGAGGTATTCCAGAAGCAATCCCCAGCCCACCAGCACCTGTACGCACGTCAGCACCCAGTCATCCTTGACTATCCTCTCCTCTTCTCATTATTCCCATGTCCATCGGTTCAATCTACAGGAGACGGCAATACTCACTGACACCACGAAATGCACCAAACAAGCACGATCCCCGCCACAAACAGTCCGATCATTATGGCTAGCCCCGCATACCATCTATGGTTAATCGCAGCAAATTGCTTTGGCTGCCAGCCGTCCGGAATGTCGGATTCGCCGATGGCGTGAAGGGTGTCGGCGTGTGCCGCTATGAAGGTAGGGGGTTCGTTAGCAGCTTTGTGGGCGATAGGGGGACGGGAGATGATAGATGTTATGATTGTCGTGTATGGGACGAAGGAATCGGTCGATTCAGTCGATTCAGTCGATAGGGGCGAGGAAGGGGCGATTGAAGTCATCAGAGGTGTTGATGAGTTTGCGGAGAGGGAGCTTGCTGTTGGTAGGAGGGAGATCGCTCCCAGAAAAGATGTTTGCTGAGGAAGTGAAGCCATACTGACGGCTATCGCTATTGCTATCGATAGGATAGCTCACCCTGAGATTAGGGTTAAAGTCGATGCAGGTACAAACATGACAGGAGGTAAGAAGAAATAGCGAAGTGCAGGGTGCAGGAGGCTACTTGGGACGAAACTGTTGGGCATCGGTTCCAAGGTCTCCATGAGCGCGTGAGCCCATCGTGAGCGTTAGCGAAGGCATCAACCATAGAACGAAATGGAATTGAACCAATAATGAACCCTGACCAAAAGAACTGCTGTGGAGGCGGCGACGTACATATTGTGTTCAGGTCGAAGCTGGAAATGAGTTGAGTCCGCGGGTACAACGTAGCAGATTGCTTCCGACGGTTGCGGGATCATGCGGCGCGGCATTGGCTGTTTAAGTTTACCTCGAACGTACAGCATGTGTAGCTCAGAAAAGGGGTGTGTGGATGGGGCAAACTGTGCATTCCACTGTACCTCGGAGCTGCTGAGATGTAGAAGCTGATGCAAGATCGGGCATCATTCGAGAAAAACACTCCTGTTTTGCTCGCCAAAATCAGAACTTTATACCTTATCCCAGAATAACAGGATCCAGCACAATATTGTCAATCAGCCTGACAGGAATCTTCCCATCACCCACGCCCAGCTCTTCCCCTGCCCTGGGCTCCTCAATAGGTAGCATTTTGACCGCTCCGCTCAGGATAGCGCCGCGGGAATCGTCAACTTCTTCCAGCTCCTCCATCGTCTCTGGATCTGCCAGACTGATGTAATCAACCTCAAATCGAGCTCGCTTGCTCGGCCCAAGAGCGTCCTGCTCGAGCTCGACTTTGTCGGCGTGATCGTTTGCAGGCCAAAGAATGTCACCCCTCTTCCTGTTGCCGGCTTTGTATTGTGCCTCCGCTTTTCGCAATGCCTGATTAAGCACGATGCCAACGTTACGGCGGCGAGTGCCCAGATAGACGTTCCGCGAGGACAGTGCCAGTCCATCTGGCTCTCGCGCTGTAGGCCCGATCCTGACCTCGGTATCTAGGTGGAAATCCTTGACTAAGCGCTTGATGACGACTGTCTGCTGGATATCTTTCTGACCGAAGTAGACGCGCTCCGGTGCGCAGATGTTAAAGAGCTTCATGCATACGGTTGCAACACCGCGGAAGAAGACGGGTCGCGAAGCTCCCTCTAGAAGTTGACCCAGCGGCCGCATCTCAATGAAGGATCCTACCCCGGGTATGCTGCTATTCGGTGGTAGTGTTGGGTACATCGTCTTGGTGCTCGGCGCAAACACGGCGGATACCCTTCCAGACCCTACGCTCGCTAGCTCTCTGTCCAGAGCGTTTAGCATTCGTAGGTCTGTCTCCCAAGTCTTAGGGTATGAAGCCAGATCCTCATTCAGGCCGAACTGTGTGGGATTGACATATATGGAAACGAAGACGTCGGCGTTCTCGGCCGCTGCTTGTCGAATGAGAGAAAGATGACCCTCGTGCAGAGCTCCCATTGTGGGCACGAGGCCGACCGTGCGATAGTTGAAGAGGAGATCTCTTCTAAACTTCCGCAGAGGAGCTACTTCGTGAAATATCTGGGTGTGCGGCGCGAAGGATTTCGAGCTACGGAGGGCTGCGGTGGTGGAGAGGTAGCGGACGCCATTGTTTGTGGCAGGTGGAGTGGATGTACGTAGGAAGCTCGCAGACAGATAGCTGCGGACTCTAGGTACTGTATATTGTTAGCAATGTGCGTCAATGGCTTATGCTGAGGGACATGCACCTGCTGTGCAGCGAAGGTGCGCCATGACGGAGGAAGTTGCGGAGAAGCTTCGGGCCCGAGCTCAGGGAGGCGGTTGCTGATGGAAGTCGAGATGGAAGCCTCCGTTGACGACGGGTGAGCGGAAGATGAGAGAGGAAGCCATCTTCGGCTCACGTTTGATAAAGGGAAGGGAGTCTGTGGTGTGCGCTGAAGATATCCTCACGACCAGTCACGTGCCGAGGCTGTCCTGTGCGTGGCCCGTGCATGTGCCCCACAGAAAAAGTTCCTGGATGCAGGCGCGACGAGGATTTCCACCACGACTCCGTCCCACCGTAACGAACAGCGTCCGCTGCTGCCCAGGAGCAAAATGGCCGACGATGGCATGCTTCTCAACTTCTCGATCCCCGACAGCGGCATCATAAGCAAGCCAAATTTCAAAGGCGGGGCATGGAGGGACCGAGTGACAGCGAAGAGAGCCGCGGCGCATTGGCACAGCAAAGCGACTGAACGATTGACTGGAGAGGCGGCTGCACCGGAGGCCTCTAAAGCCACGGATGTGAACCGCACAGAGATTGGACCGAGCATAGGGCGCACATCCAACGATTCAGAGCACGACAGGTTCACCGAAAGACCTGCGAAGCGGCCGCGCGTCAGTGGGGATTTCAGACTGAAGTCTGATGAAAGTACAGACGCAGTAGATTTCAGACCGCAGTCAAACGCAAACGTATCTAAGAAGCCCAGTCAAAAGCAAGATGTCGCGAAGGGCGGGAAACAGATCGTCTCATCTCTGTTCTCTTACAACCTCGCCTCAACGACGAAACCTCTAACGAAGGAAGAACTAGCGAACGAGGCGCCTGTAGAACCTTCAAATGCGCCGCTCAAAAGCGAACTCGATACCTTTACCTCGCTCGGTCTATCCGCGACGCTTGCAGCGCATCTGCTCAACAAGATGGAATTGAAGGCGCCGACAGCGATCCAAAAGGCAGCGATATCACAGCTAGTGAAGGATAGTGCCGACGCATTCATACAAGCAGAAACGGGCTCGGGGAAGACACTTGCATACTTGCTGCCCATCGTGCAGAGGCTCATGGAGCTCTCCGCGAACATGAAGAAACGGAACGTGGACGAGGCAGTCCACAGAGACTCGGGTCTTTTCGCAATCGTACTGGCACCCACGCGAGAGTTGAGCAAGCAGATTGCACAGGTCCTGGAGAATCTCTTGAGATGCGCACACTGGCTAGTTGCAACTACCGTGATAGGTGGAGAGAAGAAGAAGTCTGAGAAGGCTCGCATACGGAAGGGTGCGAATATACTCGTTGCGACGCCTGGTCGACTCGCAGACCACCTTGAACACACAAAGGCGCTAGACGTGAGCAATGTCAGGTGGCTTGTTCTTGATGAAGGGGACCGACTGATGGAGCTGGGATTCGAGGACGAGATTCAGAAGATTGTCGGTAATCTAAATCTGCGCATGAAGGCGAAGAAAGAGGCTAGTACCAGGATACCCGGACTGCCGGAGAAGAGGCAGACAATCCTCTGTTCTGCGACAATGAAATTGGACGTCGAAAGGCTCGGCGAAATAAGTTTGAAGAATGCGGTGCATATCCGCCCAGATCCTACGGAGAAAGAGGAGGCAGATGAGGGGAAAGAAGAGCAGGGATTCTTCGCACCAGCCCAACTAAAACAATCTTTTGCTGTGGTAGCCCCGAAGCTACGATTAGTGTCGCTGATAAGCTTCCTGAAGCGCGCCTTTGCACGGAAGGGATCGGTCATGAAGGCGATTGTTTTTATCTCCTGCGCAGATTCCGTAGATTTCCACTTCGACATCCTGACCGGCAAGCTTGAAAAAGATGAGTCGAAAGCCGATGAAGAAAAAGAGAGGGGATCTGATGAGGAGTCACCAAAGCAGAGCATGAAGGCGAAATCTGTCACACGGTCAGATCCCACGAAGCTCACGGTCACATACGCCGAAGCACCCTCACTGTCACCGAAGACCCATTCCGTAACCGCCTACCGTCTCCACGGATCGCTTCCCCAAGCACTTCGGACCTCCACTTTAGCCCACTTCACCAAAAATAAGGAGCCCTCAGTACTCCTCGCCACCGACGTCGCGTCACGCGGTCTCGACCTGCCCAATGTCGATCTCGTCATCGAATTCGATCCCGCCTTCGCCAGAGACGACCATCTTCACCGCATCGGCCGAACAGCGCGTGCCGGCCACGACGGGCGTGCATGCATATTCCTCATGCCAGGCTGCGAAGAAGGCTACGTCGATATCCTCAAGAGCGATAGGAAAGATGGCGAGACAGGCGTCAACATTGGCCGCCAGGACGCGGATGAGATATTGAGGAAAGGTCTCATCACTTCGGGCGTGGCAAAGGATAAGACTGCGTACATGGAAAAGGCCACGGATCTTCAGCTTAATATTGAGCGATGGGCGTTGGTGTCACCTGCGCGCTTGGAGAGCGCCAGACGCGCGTTCCAGAGCCATGTCCGCGCTTATGCTACACATGTAGCTGCTGAGCGCGGCTACTTCGATATAAAGCAGCTGCACTTAGGTCACTTGGCGAAAGCTTTCGCTCTGAGAGAACGACCAAGTGGCATGAAGGTTCCCGGGCTCAGGACTGGCGCTGGGAGGGAGGACACGAGGCCGGCGAAGGTCAGAGGTGCTGCTACGGCGGAGAAGGCCGCTGCTGGCGGCAAGCCGGATCTGCCGGAGAGGAACGACACGGAGGAGGCAGCGAAGATGAGGAAGGCGGTACGCGCGAAGGAGAAATTCATGCGTGCTGCTGGCATGGCTTCTGAGTTCAATCTAGGCTGAGCCATCGCTTCTTCAAAATAGACAGGTATGACATCACAATGCATGTTCCTCCGCGCACGCACACCTCTTTTTTGAAAATGCACCTCGTAATGTGATTCTAGTTTTTGAATTTATGTCCTGGCATTCTTCTAGATGTCTAGTCGTTACTCCTGCAATGTTGGCCCCTTCGCAATCGTACAAACACATAACTAGCCAGCCTCTTACAACCCTTTCCGTTGCTTTGGGACGAGACCAATCTCATTCTCATTCTATACTCAAGCCTTAACAAGCGGCTTCCGCACAGCGTCTCCCTCGCTATCACTCGCGCTGCTATCTGCCACCTCAACATCCCAAATTGCCTTCGTCACCGTGGCACTCTTCGCAACCGACTTCTTCGACGGCGTGCTCCCCCCAACAACATCCTGCACCTCGAACCCCTCCACGCTCTTCCCGCTCGCCGCCGACAAACTAATCGGCGAATCCGAATCCACACTCTTAGTATCCTTGAAATCCATATCCAACCCCAGATTCAGCACCACAACGCCCTCATCGTCTCTTTTCCCGCCCTCCCCGACATCGAGCTCCTGATACCCAGCGTGGCTGCTACCCAGGCTCGACAGGCGGCCCGTGCGGCGCTCCCACATGCTCTTCATGCGGAAGGCGGGTGGGGAAGCGTCGTTGTGTCGTTGGCGCGGGGGCGTGGGGAGGTTGGAAGGCAGGTCGGCGGAGGCGGCGTTGAGGAGTGTTTGTGAGGGCTCGCGTGAGGAGGAGAGAGAGGCGGGGAGGGGGGTGGAGGTGGAACTGGGTGAGGGTGGGGAGGTGGGTGGGTGGGATTGCAGGGAGAGGAGGCGGATGACGTCGTTGGAGGCTTTTTCGCGGATGTATCTGCGTCTGGGGGATGGGTTAGGTGATAGCGATGAGGGAGGAAGGTGGGCGGGTAGGCAGGTGGAAGAGAAAGGTTGGTGGGGTAGTCTCGCTCTTGGAGGGTAGGGAGAAGGGACGAGAGAGTGCTGTCCACTTACTCATCCTCAGTGAGCCCCGGCATGCTCTCGCCCACGTCCACATGTCGGACATCCGTCGGAGAACCCTGTGATCCTTCAGTTAGCATTCCCTGTCTCTAGCTCAGCATCCTGTGGTCATCTCTACGTACAATCTCCAACGAGTGCTTCCGCTCATGCTTGCCACAGCACAACATTATCCGCCGGACTTTCATTACAACATCCTTAAAGGCCATCGTTCCGGCACGTGTACTTGGAACTCAAAGAGCTCCGAAAAGAAAAGATACCGAACTTTTGGGGGTATAAGTAACGAACGAGGAAACGCACGCTCAAGGGCGATCGAACGAAAGGCAAGAGACACACGAGAACACACTAATAGAACAAACAAGGGAGTGAGAGTGAGGAAAGAGTCGGAGTCATCGAAGGTGATTCGATGAGTGGTGAACGGGATGGAGAGGCTCCTTTGAGGGTTTCCCAGGGAAGGAGCTTTTAAAGCGGGTGGCTGCCGTTTCCCAAGCGATGAGATTGCCACGCGATGAGATTCTTCAGGGTTGAGGTCCATTCCTTGCGCGCTCGAGACAATGCTAAGGTTCCACATTCCTTGATTCCTTAATTGGCAATTTGAAGCGCGAATGGGCGGGAGTGGGGGGATTTGATTTCCGTTCGCTGCTGGAATGTTGCTGATCATGGGAAGTGCCGTAGATGCGTCGGCTATTTCCGAAAGGACGTGCCCTGCGGCCACAAAGCTTGAAAAGCGACGTGAAGTTGGTCAGGATGAAGCAAAAGGAAGATGATACGTTGGCAGCTGATTTAGTGTATGAGACTGGTTCAATGTTGGAGGTCGAAATGGAGGTTCGGTAGGCTCCCACTTGCGACCCGTGTACCACCGACCTTGCATGTGTAGCGCGCATTTCTCACTCAGGTACCAAAAACGCGTGTTTGAGACGCGACAAGCGATGTTCCTCCCTGCTGCTAGAACGAGAGATGGGTTGTACTAAGGCAGCATTTATGAGACGGGCCGTTCCACAACCAAGGGTGAGATAACATCTGTGAGTAGACGCTTGTCATACAAGTTCTTCAAATCCGCCATTGACATATCGACACTGAAGAATCGGGTGAGCAGGCGAGAGTGTTCTGTAGGGCCGGACTCTGCAGGATTCGGGTCCTGTGAGACGTTAGCTGACGGGCTGAACAGATGCATGCATGCTTAGGGACGTCATCTCTCGGAGGGAGAAGCAATGTGTTTCAAAATCGGAGTAAGGCTAGTCATACCAAGATCTGCAGCGAGTCTATTTCGGGTAGTCCTTGATATGGTAACTCTTAAGCTTCACGAATTGGTCGAAGCCGAGTCGTGAGAGTGTCTGACCCTTTCCTGAATCCTTCCATCCCACCCACGCCAGATCCTGTCCATGTCAGCCAAGCATTTGGGATAGATTCGATAATAGTTACCGGAGCGGGGTAGTCGCATCGATTCACAAATACGGTTCCTGCTTCGACATCTTCGATGAGCTCCTGGCCCTTGCTGACATCCTTGGTCCAGATGCTGGCCGTGAGACCGAACTGGCTATCATTCATGAGCTTGATCGCCTCTGCATCGTTCTTGACCTTCATCACAGGGATGACCGGTCCAAATGTCTCTTCCGTCATCACCGCCATTTCGTGGTTGACGTTGGTCAAGAGAGTCGGAGGAACGTAATTCCCGTCTGCTGGAGGCGACTTGAAGGACTCGTTGTCGGGTGTTGCATCCTTCGCTCCCTTCTCCAAGGCGTCTTTGATATGGGAATGAATGGTCTCTGCTGACCGCTTGGAGACGACAGGGCCGATGTTTGTTTTCTTGTCGAACGGATCACCTAGCTTGTACCCTTTTAGTACGTCTTGGACGGCCGAGATGAACTCATCGTGGATCTTCTCGTCCACATAGACTCGCTCGACGCTACAGCAGCTTTGGCCTGAGTTGAAGACTGCACCATCTACGATCTCCTCGGCAGCCCACTTGATGTCGACGTCAGATCGAACATAAGCAGGATCCTTGCCACCGAGCTCGAGCCCCACGCGAACAGGCACTCGATCGCTTGCTGCACTTTGCACAGCAAGACCATTGGCTACCGAGCCAGTGAAGCACACCAGCTGAATCTGCGGTGACCGGACTATTGCCTCAATCTGGGTGATGGACCCGCTGTGGAAAATCTGGAGAACACCGTCGGGCAGCCCGGCTTCGCCGAATATCTGCTGGACCTGCTCGGCACTCGTCGGCGTCTGTGGGGAAGGCTTCAGGATTACTGAGTTGCCGGCCAGCAAAGCGGGTACCAAGGAGTTTACAAGGGTCAGATACGGGTACTGCAGACAGGTCAGCATGCGAAGCAGAGGCGAAGCTAGTTGCCACACGTACGTTCCACGGAAACAGGATCAATACGGGCCCCAAGGGGACCTTCTTGATATAGCGCTTGAAGCCCTTCTCGGCTTCGCCTTCTGTCTCTTTGAGGACCTCGCCACTGATCTTGAGCATGTACTCGCCGCGAAGCACGGCGGTGGAGATCTCTTTGGCCGTGTAAGCTATGGGGCGACCCATCTGCTCAGTGAGCTCTGTGCCCAGCGCATCCTGGCGCTCGTTCAGCAGTTTCAAGGCCTTCTTGACGATTTGCTGCCTATCCGACAGGGCCGTGCGACGGTACGACTCGAAGGCACGCGCGGCCGTCTCAGGAACGGTCTGGAGATCAGCATCTGAGAGGCCGTTGCGCGTGAGGACTGGCTTGTTGGTGATGGGCGAGATGGTCGTGATAGTCTCCAGTGACATGACGATGGCGCGGCGGGGCAACGTGACCTCGTCGATAGATTAATTGGAAGACGCGAGATCAAAGAGGGCACCAATGTACAAGCGAGGTTCAATGCAGTTAATTTTGGTGTTGAGGCTTGACGAGCTGTCGCCGCCCCGATGCCGGGTGACGTCTCCACCATTTGTGGACGCCCTAGCACCGATCGGGGCTAGCCCATGTCGCGCTTGCCGTCCACCTCGACGGCCCCTTCCTCGCCGTACCAGGTGACTTTGCCATCAATATACCGCGGACGCAATCATCGCCCCCCTCCGCATTGGGCAGCGCTCTGTATACGACTTCGCCGACGGTGCTGTAGGCCTTCAGCGATTGGAAGATGCAAGCCCCTGCTGGCGCGCCCCAGCGTCTGCCACCCAGGCCAGCGTACCCCGCAAGTCACTTTGGCGGGCGGCGTCATGTACCCTCCTCAACCTCGACCGCTGAAGCTGCTCATTGAACCACAGGCCAGTAAGGGACAGAGGCCGGCGCGACAGGCAGAGAGCGGCCAATTCAACCCTGTGCAGACGAGGGATCCGCCGAGCAGGTTGGTGGAAAGCACATGGCTTCAGGCATCTCGCTGCCTGTGAAGGAGCTCGTGCTCTGTCGGGGGGCCGCTGGAGATCCGTGTCTATGACTGTCTGGGCGACGGCCACCGAACCAGGACACAGCTGTTGGCACTGCCTAGCCCACTGCTCAAGTCCCCGTCCCCAGAAGAAGTGCGAGTTGTCCCAACAAAGGGAAGCGAACGGGTCATCGAAGCGCAAGCAACAGTGCTGGTGGGATTGGTAACTACAACGCATGCTTGTTCCGAGTTGTTGGATCTGTTGCCTGTTTATCACTGCGGTGGCGCGAACGCGGTGTTGGGAACAGCGAACGCCTGCTGTCAGCAACACGCGCAGAAGACGGCATCCTTCGCGTATGTCCCCGAACGGCAACTGGAATCAGATCGGACGCGTTCGGAAAGAGATGCACGAAGGATGGCATCAGGCCAGTAGGAAGCGCGCAAGGGCCATATCGTCACGCAACATGGTTCGGTGGGATTCGGTGACTTGGGCAAAAGGCCTATGGCCTTCAGTTGCCTCTCGACTCCACCTCTTCAGGAAAATGATGCAGGAAGCCGATTCGGCGAGTGAAAATTGTTGCGTCAACGTACCACCTCGAAGTCGGCCCTGGGGAGCCGCGAATACCACGCTCCTAGCTGTTTGGCCGTCTCAATCCTACCATCGCGGCGTTGGTCGCGGTAGCTCCAAATGCCGAACCCTTGCGACGAAGAGGCGTCTTTGTCCTCCCACATTGCTGACCACAGATACTGTCCCGGGAGGGTATGGCGCCGCTTTTGCAGATGAACGCTGGATCTGGCGGCAGTTCAAGAGTCGACCAACGCAGAACGTCGAGCCCAACCACAGCTATCTTTATTGTCTCGGTGGTCTATTTGCGTGAGCTGCGTAGTCATGGTGGGTCCGCACCGCCTGCATTCCGTTCGCGGTCGTCACCTTCGGACAGATACCTACCTAAAGGAGCAACAGGAACGAACCTTCAGCCGTACCCGTGACAGGCGAGGAGGGAGCAAAGCGGCCCCCAAAAGAGAGGAACGTCACTGTTTCTTGGCAGCTACCACTGTGGCAATGTCATTTCCGCCCGGCTTTACAAAACGACCAAGATCCGTCTTCTGGCAATACTGTGAGACTGCTTGACGAAGAGCGCAGCTTCCGTGACTGACGGCTACGTAGGCGGCATCGAAGGCATGACAATGCAGCGTAAAGGCAGAATGGTAACCCAGACATCTCAGAATATTCCAAAATTGCTATTGGCTAACGTTTAATGCACGCGTTCGAGGTAGCTGTGGCTTCGCTAGCCCACGTGCGTTTCCAGTTCTGTTGTCGCGTTACGTATCGAGAGGCGGTCAGCCTACGCTAACACTTTCCGGTATGGACGGAGTGGCTGGCAGGATTCGAGAGCGATGCTCGGGCCAGGGTAGTCCTCCGCGCTTCCTCTAGCTCGAGTTTGTCGCTCGTGGAGGGTGTAGAGGCTGCCTCAGTGGCTCGCATTCAATCAGATATCTGCGGCCCGGTTCCTATTGCCGCTTTACCGACCCGCTCGCAAACCAGTCTAATGAGCGCCTCACTGAGGAGCCATCAGCATGCAAACGATGAACGGTTCCCTCCGAGTCCTTAGGTCGCTTGTGGTGCGGCTACGGAGAAAAGCACCCGTTCCCGAAATGGCGTAGGAGGGAAATCATTCTTACCGCCCGAGCTTTCCATCGAAATCCTGCTGCTGGCTGACGACCAGATCTCCGAAGGCGTTGCACTCAGCATTGGAAACATACTCAGCAAAGGCCTATTGCTCATTCATATCTTTTCACAAGTTATGCTATCGCGTCTTCTACCCCTGCCCATGATGATGGAGCGCTCGGAAGTTGGTCTTCCTTGGGAAATTGGAACAAAAATTACCCTACCGGCTTGATGAAGGCAGCGCCCGACGTCCTGGCTGTTAGAGCGGTTCTGCTATTGATCGCCCGGAGGGGTGAGCCGGTCAACGCAACCAAATTCTTTTCTCGGACTCAGGTGGACGTTCCTGCAGCGCCCGGTTTGCCAAGGTGTCAAAAGCGCGTTGAAGTGAATAGGGAATGGTGTGAAGACCAGGCCGTTGAAATGCGGAGCGATCCGCTTGCTCACAGCATCGCCATCGTGGGCCAATCCAGCATGGGCGGATGGACGAGGATCATACCACTAGCTTGCACGGGGACCGAGTCACGAGCGAACCGAGTCGCATCGCCTACCAAGCTCTCATGACAAGGCAGCGGCGAGTAACCTCATCATCGTCAGACACCTCTTATTGTCGCGGTCGGAGCAGGCGGAGGGATGGGATATGGCTTCTTAGCGCAGATGGTCTGCAGCGCTCCTCCGCCACTGCCCTGTCGGTCGCTGCAAAGGCTGGACCAGAAAAACGCTGACCTGGCCGTACATTGACCTCTCATTTTGGTAGTGGTCTCTTAACACAGCGTATTAAGACCGGAGCTTGCGCACCCAGCTTTCTCTCCAGACCCAGTTTGGCACACAGGTAGTGCTCTCTGCAGGTGACGGTTCATTCTGCGAAGGGCTTCATAACATGCATTACCGAGCCCGATAATGGAGGGCATTATCATGCGCGGACGCTCAGAGCTTGACGCGGGCGATTTGTTTCTGGGGTTGCCCCGTCAATCCCCCGGAGGACCCTGCTCGCCCGCAACGATTCTCTGGAAGCGTTTTGGAAGGCTCTGAGACCGATTTCATCGGCGCATCGCGAGCATTGATTCATGCTCCGGCTTCTTCTGGTAGAATTGTGGATGAAAGCCCTGATCCGCACAGGCTGGCGGCGGATGGCTGGTAGGAATGGGCTATTCACTGGGATGCAGAGATGACCGGCAGCTGTGGCGGGCGACGAATCGCTGCCGCATCGCAGGCTAGCCTAGGGGCAGCGCCTTGCGCGTTCTTGCGCCGCTGTTCGAGGGCTCGACGACCCGAGCTGCTCGTAACAGGACGGTACACTGGTCGGCGGCGGTGGGTGGAGACAGGAGGGCCCCGTGCCATCAGCCGGCCGTTTTGCTGGCAGACGCACAGAGAAGTGGGCGCTGGACGCCAATCAGGACGCAGACGGGTTTCCTGGTCGTGGAGCAGCGGGCCTCCAGGCGGTATGGCGGCAGGGCGGTTCGTAGGGTACGAAAGGGTACATGTTGCCGGCATCGGTACGGTGCCTCTGCTTAAGTCGGTCGCATATAGGGCCGGGATGGCACCGATCAGCCAATATCATTTTTGATTGCGGGCCTAATCCGCGGCGAGCACTTGGGGTGCATCCGTTCAAGCTCAGCGGCACCGACGATCCACGGCTTTGTGGTCCATGCTCGAGGTCCATGCTTAACGTGGAAGCGTTGTGGTGCGCCAGGGGGCCCTGACGGGGCCGGGGTGGATGCTGAGGCGTGATGACCGGGGGGGCAACGGGGGCAGGCAGAGCACCTTGGCTCTCGAACCCAGTGCGCACAGAACATGTCTGCCCATCTCGTTTGCAGACGCAGCCCATGTGGCCCAGAGACTTTTCTGACGCGCGACGCAGCTAGACCCGGAGATGGGACAGCTCTGCCCATGCCATCCGGTATTGGCCACCCTGCACCTCCAAGCACTCAGCGACGGGTGCTATACCCCGCGGCCTCCACTAAGGCCAGTCTTAAGACGCGGAGACAGCAGCGGCCGGCAGCTACCTATATTGTACTCACTACTGCTCAGGCACACCGCAGCGAGTCAAAAGAGCAGCCGTGGACCACTCGACCTGCATACTACATCTTGACGACATCTCACCCAGCCCGGCGCTGAGCAGACCTCTTTCCCTCCAGCCCTCCTCTCAGTGCCCGCCCACCTCTTGCCACCCCCAATCGGCCCTACCAGACGCCCGCCCCGTCGCCGCCGCCATTGAGCCCTATCCGCCGCTGTCGAGAGGTGCAATTGTGGCCGAGGCCACGGCGGACGCTAGCAACATGAACATGATTTCCCACCAGTACACGCCGGCCTTCAGCCATCTGCCCACGCCGAACATGGTCGACCAGCACCAACACCATCTGGCCGCGCAGCACATGGGGCCATCGCCGCTCGACACGCTGGCACACACCTCCCAGTACGCGCTGCAATTCCACCAGAACCGCCATGTTCTGCCCAACGGCAAGGGCATCGTCAAGCAGCATCGCTTGCCGTACGCGAACGGGCCCCTAGCTGCAGCCCCCCGCAACCAGCGAGACGCAATGCTTCACGAACGAGCCGGACGCGGCGCTGCGACAGCAGGCCCGGTACGACGCAGGATCAGCCGGGCGTGTGATCAGTGCAACCAGTTGAGGACGAAGTGTGACGGCAAGGCGCCGGTAAGTTGCTGATTCTGACGTGACGGCCAGTGGTTGCTGACATCGCGTAGTGCGCACACTGTATAGGTATGTTTCACCAAGCTCCACCAAGCGAGTTTGACAGCTGTGGCGCCGCAACGAGTCAGACAACGCTAACGGCTTGACAGAGTTCGGCTTGACGTGCGAGTACATGCGGGAGCGCAAGAAGCGTGGTAAAGCATCAAGAAAAGACATTGCCCAGCAGCAGGCAGCTGCAGCAGCGGCCGCGGCACACGCCAATGGCACCGCTCCTCCCTCCGGCGACTCTACCACTGGTAGCCCGCAGTCACGCAGCAATGAGGAGAAGGGCTCCGAGCCGCAGAGCGCCGTCGAGCAGCCGCTGGAGGGTCAGCGGCCGCTGCCTGAACTGCCCCCACCGAGTCTCCCCCAGGCGCGATCGGCCAGCATGGCAACGACTCGCGATATGGACGGAGCGCCCATCTACCAGAACGTGCCAATCTCCAGGACGATGAGCATGAGCGCGATTGACGCCATTCCTGAGAACCAGATGCCCAGCGACGGCATGCACCACCCGATGCAGCCGCCACGCATCCAAACTCAAGGGCTCCACACCATGCACAATCCGATTCCGGAATATGCGTCCATGGAAGACTTCAACAGAAACATGATGCATCAATCTCCCCACCACCCAATGATGCAGAGCGGCATGCACCCGATTGTCCCATCGAACATGGAATACACCAATAGCCCCTACGACATGATGAGCCCCCAGAGTGCGCAAGCACCCCCGAATACCTTCCGGATGCCGCAAGCAGAGTCGCCAATGCCTGGGTATATCGGTACCTCGCCGGTGTCCGGCTCTCCAGGCTGGCTCTCGCTGCCCTCGCCGTCCACGACCATGTATCACGGTGCTCCACACGCCAACAGCCAACAACTACGTTATCCGGTCTTACAGCCTCTGGTACCGCACCTCACAAATATTATGCCGCTATCGCTAGCATGCGATTTGCTAGAGCTATACTTCCAGAGCTCCTCGTCCGCCTTCATGCAACCAGTCTCCCCCTACATCCTTGGCTACGTATTCCGAAAAGAATCGTTCCTACGGCAGAACAACCCGCGTGTCTGTAGTCCAGCATTGCTTGCCAGCATGCTGTGGATTGGCTGCTTGACTAGCGAGTCTCCATACCTGGCGTCGTCGCCGTCCGCCCGCAGCCAACTGTCCGAGAAGCTGATCAACCTGACCATCAGCCTGCTGAAGCCGCTGGTACACCAGTCGCCCAGTGAGGATGCTAGTCCTACTTTCAACGGCCAAGGTGCGACGATGAACCAATTCGGTATTCCGATGGCACCTGAGCCAGAATTAGCCGGCCTTCAAGAGCATCAGTTCGACCATGCACAGCCCCGTGGAGTCCTCCGGAGTGGCCAGTACGCAGTCACCTCAGCGGGCGCACCAGGTGGCATCGACGATATAGTAAGCCAAACCCTTGGTACGAATGCCGAACATTTGCTAATCGTGTAGGTAACCTACGCCCACCTTGCTACAGTCATTAGTGCGAGCGAGTACAAAGCTGCATCTCTCCGCTGGTGGAACGCGGCATGGAGTTTAGCGAGAGAACTGAAGCTCGGCAAGGAAGTGCCCATCACACCACCCCCTGAGGACGACGCGGATGCTCCTGGCGAAGTCGACATTGAGCACATGAACGGAACGCAACCGAATGGCCAGAACGGACCGATCAATCTCACTGAGGAACAACGAGAAGAGCGACGACGCGTTTGGTGGCTCCTCTACACGGTAGACAGGCACTTAGCCTTGTGCTACAATAGGCCGCTGTCACTCTTGGATATTGAGTGCAGCGACCTCCTCACTCCGGTGAACGATAGCGTATGGCAAGCTGGCGAATTCTATGGGGACTCCGCTCAATCTTTCTCAGATCCTTCCGTTCGACGAGGCCCCATATATGAGTGCACCGGACACTCCATATTCGGATTTTTCCTACCTCTCATGACCATCCTGGGAGAGATCGTAGAGGTCCACCATGCGCGTAACCACCCTAGATTCGGTACGAAGACCAATTGGGACGATCACGTTGCCGAGATCACTCGTCAGCTCGAGGCGTACGGCCGGTCGCTGCAAGACTTCAAAGCAAGAGCTATCAGTGAGGCAAACGCAGAGGCGCACGAGCCAGTCCACCCGGGCACGCCGTCAGCGCGCTCAGTCAACTCGACGACCACCAGGGCTCAAGAGTCACTCATGCGAGCCAAGATTGTGGTGGCGTATGGCACTCACATCATGCATACGCTGCACATCTTGCTGAACGGCAAGTGGGATCCAATCTCCCTCCTCGACGATAACGACCTCTGGATATCGTCTCAGAGCTTCATCGACGCCACCGGTCACGCCGTCTCAGCCGCCGAAGCGCTCAACGAGATCCTGGAGTTAGATCCCGACTTATCATACATGCCATTTTTCTTCGGGATCTACCTACTGCAGGGTAGCTTCCTGCTTCTCCTAATCGCGGATAAGCTCCAGGGCGAGGCAAACCCCAACGTGGTCAAGGCATGCGAGACGATCGTACGAGCGCATGAAGCCTGCATCGTCACGCTGAACACAGAATACCAGGTCAGTCATCCGATCTCTTATATCTCTTACAAGCCTCTGGATTACCCGACTGGGACGAACGCTTCCGCATTCAGCCTCAAGCACGCCCGTTTCAATCGCCACCCCTCCTCAAACACACCCATATTTTCCGAGATTGGACGATCATGCTAACCAAACATGCAGCGAAATTTCCGGAAGGTCATGCGATCGGCTTTACAGCAGGTGCGCGGGCGAGGCATGGACGAGCATGCGGAGTTCGCCCAGCAGCGTCGCCGCGAGATGCTGAGCCTCTACCGCTGGAGCGGCGACGGTACTGGCCTCGCACTCTGATCGTCGCAGCCTGCTGGCCCTATCCATACCTCCCTCTGTGAAGGGGTGGTGCATGCACGTCGATGCGAACCGCTGCAGCATCCCTTACTCGACCTCATCTCTACCAAACTTCATCGACCGCGCCAAGTATCACGTCGTTATCGCGTATCACACTTGTAAAAATTTTTCTCTTCGACTCTTCTCCTTCAGCAACAGTTTCACTTTCTCATTCTTCCTTTTCTCCGCTTTGGGTCATCACGGTCTTACGGAGGGCAACGCTAGCTATAGTAGATACGGAGGGGGGCGTCCTTGGGTTATTGGACAGCTTTTTTACCTTGGGCTTCTTTTTGCGCGCAATTACTTGGATGCGGTAGGCGCCTTGCTTTTCGGTACCGCCCTCACAATTTCTGTTTCGGCGGCGTGGGCGTTCACACTGCAACCAAAGAAAGTTGTTGATTCTTACTGGCTCCTTTCTTCTTCGGGCTGGCGGCACGGCAGCTTATTCGCAATTGGATTTTTCTTCCTGGTCACTTTCAGCGCACGGCACATACACATTTCGCCCCCTTTTTTTTGCTTCTTTGCATTATACCACCGTTACTTTGACAAGCGAGCGCAGCGCAGCGCAGCGGCGGCGTTAGTTCGTTGCTGTGCGTTGGAAATCATAGCGGCGCGCGTGTTATTCTACGAGGCGGACAGGGAGTCGGGGCGCGCTATTTTGTGGGGCTTCTCGAAAACCGGGGAATCCGGGCCAATTTTCCTATAGCCCGCCTACTTCTTCCTATACCGCAATAGCCACCTGCTCTCTCACTCGCGCGTAGGATTCCGTAGTTATCTAGATGGCTGGTTGGCTGGCAAGGCAGTTAGCTAGTGCTGGCTGGCTGCAACGCCCCCCGCCCGCGCCCGCGTCAGCAGCCATGTGCGGCAACGCGGTAAAAGCACCCAAAAAAGTTTGAACGCTATACGCAATGGTTGTCCATATCAAACCTTCTTTGTTGGTGGTTTTGCGATGATAGGAAAGAGATGCGATGGCTGGGTGCTGGTGCTGATGTCGCCTGTGCTGTGCTGTGCTGTGCTGTGCGGTGCTGTGCCTTACAACGCACCGTTCAGGCGCTCGCTCTGCTCTACGTTTCAACGCCATTGGTACTATACCCAGGATTAGTGTTTCAGATCTACACGCCCTTTCCCTCCGCTCGTTAAGCGAACTTTTTCGACGTGGTCGGCTCACGACTCAGTCGAGGCAGCGAGCGGGCGGATAGCGGGACCCACCGTTGCCCCGAAATCCTCCCTTCGCATTATCACACCGTCCCACTCATACCATCAAAACACCCCTCCCGGGCGGAGACATTTGGCCGCTCTGCTATGGCACAGCATCCTGGGCGTAAGCGCGCGCGAGTCGATGGTCGCTGCGGAAGTGACGTGTGGCATAGCGGGAGGCGATGATGCCTTGCAGAACCAACACGACGCGCCCGCAGAGCCGAAGCTGCGCATCGCTCAACTGGACCTGGTTTTCCGCTCGGCCATATTGCGCTGTCTAACACAGTATATGGCTGACTCGTCCTATTGACGCGAAATATCTTAGTCGGAGAATTCCATAGCAGTTATGCTTCATGAGGTTATTGCTGGTGCAAGACGCGGCGCGGAGGAAGGTCGGGCGAAACTTGGATCGCGGGAGATTGAATGTGGAGGCCTCGTCGCAATAGTTGGGTAGAATTGCGCGGAGGCGTGTTGAATGAGGAGGTTGGGCTTGGGTTCGAATGGCGGAGACGAGCAGTGAAGATGTGATTTGAGATGCAGATGAAGAGTGACTTGGGTGGTACCTACCTTGGTACCTGGGAACACCTGAGACAAGTCACGGAGGCTCCAGTACCAAACATGCCCACCCGCGCACTTCACACCATCTTTCCTTATCGCCAACTGATAATCGATAACGGCGGAGGACGCTGAGTCCCCACTGCAGCGAAACCGTTCGCATTCTGGCAGTATAGTTCAAACACCACCATTCCACGGTTCCCCTCTCACAGCAGATTCTGCCAGCATGTTTCAGATGGAGAGGACGAACGGGATGCCAGCTCAGCACACCATACTGGACTAGCACCTCCTGTCTTGCCCGTCTCCTGCACGAAAGACATATGGCTTGCTTGGCAGGGCTGGTTGGATGGTGTGCTCATGTATGTATGGAAGGGGAGGAGCAGCAAGAAAAACTTGGATGGCGCGACGGCGCACGATGCAGGACGTCCCTCTCTGGCATGCACCCCAGATCCAATCTCTATGAATGGATCAGCGCCGTTGCTGTTCCAGACCTTGCGCGAACTCCACTTGCTCGCTCGCTGTTCGCTGTTGCTGCGGCGTCTAGCCAGGTACCGCACTGCGCAAGTCCAAGTCTCATGACTTGTCGACCTGCACGCCGGCGTCGACACGCGCCTTCTCGTTCGCCATTCGTATCCGCCGGCGCAGACAGTGTGTGTCGGTCCATGACATGGTGAACTGTCAACATTCCGGTTTCATCTTAACACTGACGTATTAAGATGTGCTGGACGACACCCTCTCGTTTTCGTAAGGCACAATGACGCCCGACTCACATACTCGATGGTAACATACGAGCTGCCGGCACTCCACCATCGCGTTACAAGCGAAGAATAGCAGCTGTCAGAATACAGTGTGCATTCTTGTCTTCGGAACCCCTCCCTTACTCTCCGATGTGCCGGGGACCCTTCACGGCACTGAGCAGGGGAAATCCAGGAAAGCACATATTCAATGGTGACACCACAGTACGGCAGAGGCAGGTTCAGCTACCGCTGACTTAGCCACCGTCATCTCTCTTCACCTGCCACTTGGGACAGTGTGGCAACCCTCCACATTCTCCACACTTTCCAGGAGTGCAACAATTGCAAATAACTGATGGCCCTTCATTTGCGTAGATGAGGGCGGCGAGAAAACCTGGGATGAACCGAATGACCCCACAATCTCTCTGCTGCACGGCGGCACGGACGCAGCGAAGAGTGCACGCGGAGAATACTTCTACGTATGCATGTGGGCTCTTTCTCCCCGCGGATCATCGCGAAAGACGGCCGTAGGAAATGCAGGCTCAATATTAATCGGACTGCCAGATTGTGGACATTTGACGTTGGTGTTGAGCGGCTAGCAGCCGACGCTGTTCTCCAATTGGGAACTGCGTTCCGAATACGCGGGAGATTATTTCAGACAAGAGGCGGTCGACCTCTTGTCTTTGTCAATGATCGCCACGAGCCGTCGCGCTAGAAGGCCTTCTAGAACAGGTTTTTGATTGCGTTGTGGTTGCGGTACGGAGGCCAAGGTGACCACGGAGTGCGACCCTGTTCTCGTCACCTCAGCGTCCGCCGTCATCGTGAGCGCGTTTTGGGGGCGATGTCGGCGCGGCCCTCAACCACGTTGCAAACGAGATCATGGTTTTTGACTCGCTGATCCATAGCGTGCGGGCGCGCTGGCGTTGAGGCTTGCAGTCGATGTGCAAACGGCGTCACATCTTTAACTCTGGAGAGCAAAGGTCCGTCGACCAAAACCGCAAAGCGCGTATCATGGCGCGGCCACGATCGCAGCCATTGCACGCGACGACAACGTTGAGCGAATCTGTAGCCCACTGGATGCGGAAGCGAGCTGCAGGATCTGCGCTTGCACTTTGTGGGGAAAAGCAGTCGAAAGTTACAAAGTTTGGGCTGCTAGGGTACATGGATACATCATCGCTTGGTGTCGTTTGTACCTCCAAGTACCTCTCAACACAATCGTTCCCGCCTCTGATTCGCCGAGTTTTGGAAATCCGGTCGGGCATGGGGGTTGTTTAAGGTAAGGAAAGGGTGCCTGGTGATCTGTGGTGTGGATATTCGGCCGTTTTGGGAACTTAGTGGAGCATTTTAGCCTAAACAACGGTCGGGGAAGGCTTGGAAGTCCATAGCCACAGCTATAGCACGTCTCTTATAGGTACTTCCACCGCCCAGGCGCCGTCAGGATGGCAGAAAGCATATTCCAAATCCTACGCAGGAGCGATGACGGATGGCGCAGAGAAGACTTTAGGGCGCTGCGTTGACCGATGGCTCCACCGTTCTTCCTTTGTGCGATGGCTGAGGGCCGTCCCGCTGGATGAGGCTGCTTACTGTGCATCCGCATCCGTGTGATGCAGGTCGAAGGAGGTGAGCCGGCCACAGAGCGGACTTCTCCACCCACAAGGCGTGCGCGTCGGTCTACTCGCCGTGTCCGTTAGGTACATTGTCCGCGTGCTCGCGCGATGGTCAGACCAGCGCCTTCCTGCGCTGGATTCCGAGTTACCTCGTGACGATGGCATAATTGATGGTTGCTGAAGATAGTTGCAAATTTTTACTATCCGCATGCGCGCTCGGGGCACCTCGGGGTCGCGGCTTAACAACTATCGGCCAGGACACCCTCGACCAGAGTGGCTGCTGTTGTATGATTAAGAGGCGACGTTGTGCTATCGGAGCGGCCGATTACTCTGCTGATTCCGAACGGGGCCTCCATTCAATTTTGATCTGGCAGGAGTCGGCACCTGGTAATGAGCGAACAAGCGAGCGAGCGTGCATGCGTACTGTATGTGAGATTCGAGCGATACAGAAGGCGTTCTTGCGTCTCCGCCTGCACGAAGACGATCACGACAGATGGTCCCCGGCACGTACATGGCACCTCTCTCTTTCCGGTCTCCAGGACGGCAGCATGCGGTCCGCTAATGCACTGCAGACGCCAGCTGCTCGTATGGAGGGGTACTTTTCATTGAGGAGGTCTAATTCGTCCAATGACCGTTGGTAAGTCCTTATATCTGGGGCGAATAAAGCTTGCATGGGTTGAGGGCTGCGTCTCGGAGAACAGTTCGCATTGAGATAGACTCCGAGCATGCCTGTCCACCTACGATCCCATCTGATCTAAGGATCGCGATGTTCAGCGTTGGCTGATATCCGGAAAGAGTAATCGCCAGTATACGCGAGGAGGCGCTTCTCGTCTAAGGCCATGGTGGACAGACTATCACGATCCTGCCGGTGCACTCCCGTGGCTTGCAAGCCGTAGCGAGGGGATCCGTGATGGCCGTGAAGCTTCGATATTCTTATCCACGCGTTGGCTGCAATAGTCAGGCCATCGGCCAAGACCTGCAGGCCAGTACATCTATCCGTTCGTCTGTCGTCCTCTGGTCCTGCTATAGACAGGCTTTGTACTGGTCATGCGGCGAAGAGGTCGGTTCCAGAACCCCATACTCAGCCGGCCACCTCTCCTCGAGCGATGTCGACAGATATTCTCCTATGCTCGGCAAACCGTAGTAAGGGCAAGGGCCGACGAGTTCTGTGAAACGCATTAAGATGGCGTACGAGATGAACGAGCGGTCCTTGTCTACGAGTCAGGCGTCTCCGGACCAGTCCGATCGCATAACGCAAGAGCAAGCAGCCAGATGGAGGCTAGTGTGCTGCGAGGCTGTCCTTAAGATGGTCGCGGTAAGGGTACAGGATCATGGAGTGCCGGCCCTGGCGGCCAGAGGTAATTCAGACGTTCGAGAAGCTTTCCGCATTATGCTCTCCACGCCGATGCGCAACGGTTCATTTAGGAGATTGATGTTGCTAAGCATAACCCCACAGCTCTATAGATGCCGACCGAGCTTTCGAATGCGGGGATGCGACGGTGGACGCAGGGGTCTACGGCAGCGATGCTGCCCCGTGCCAAGTGCGATGCTCAAAGGCCACGATGAAGTGCTCTGCTGAAGCCGGTTCATGCGCCAGGCGCCGAAGAAGATCGAGGGCGCAAGAGCCGTTCAGAAGCCGCGCAGCAGTCCAATCGACGGAAGTTGCGTCTTCGGAGACGTTCACGAAGATTCCGGGTACAGACGTCCAGCGGCTTAGGATGTTCTTGCGACGCTCCAATTGCGACCAAGGCCGTGGTTACACAGAATCGCAATGCGCAAGATACTCGACAGCTTGACGGTGACGTCTCGAGATCGATTGAGGGGTGTTGCCCAATGCGGTTCGCATTTCTGAAAAGGCGCGGAGAAGCGAACAACCGTGCAGGGAAAGCTGGGGTAATGTCGCAACAAGCCCAAAATGCGGCATGCAAGGCATGCGATATGCTAATCCCCCTCAGGCGCAGGGGCACCGGCAGAGAAAGCTTTCCGGGGAAGATTTTCGGACCCTCGCTGCACGGCAGTGCGAGCCCTGGTCTCCGTTCCGAGTTCGTAACCCTATAATATTCTCCCCCTGCCATACGTCTCCGCGTTTCAAATTGGAGCTGCAGCTTTACGCGGCCCGGTTATTCTATGCCAGCTGTCAGTTTACGAGCCACATAACAGAGTTGATAAGTGGCTAGAGAAGTCGTGTGTGCAGTGCGAACGGAGTCATGGGGGGTATATGTGGGATGCAGGGTTATAATTCTGTCACATGTACTCACCTAGCAGCTACTGCAGGAGCGAAAACGCTGAGCTGTCAGATGCAGACCCACACGCAGCGTAGAGGCATGCAAACAAGCAGGCTGGCTGGCTTGCCAATCTTTGATGGAGGGTCACCCGGTGCTCGCTTGGACGAAGAAGCAGCGTAGCTGAGCAGGGAAACGATAGTGCCAGATTTTGTTGGGAAATTAGAGAGGGTTTCCAAAAGAAGAGACATCGAGACCGTAACTCGCTTCTAACCATACGAGCGTCTTAGACGTCCAGAGAATGCTTCGCTTCGAGGTCGATAACGCTGCCCTGATCGAAGTAAGGCCTTCCAATGTATCCTCGTACAAGACGGGAGAAGCCGGTCTTCAGTTTGTCGAAGCCGTGGCCCCCGCCGGTGGCTTCTCCGCTGTGATGGTGGAAACGATGACGTTTGATGTGGAAGACGTCGAAAGAGAAGATTCGTTGCGACTTAGTTATGTCGGTGCTATTATGATCTGCGTGCTAAGTGAGATCTGAGGCTCCATGCCACGTTCTAGCATAGGAGTCAGCAGGATGTTCCTCGAGTGATGTGCCTGAACCTTTTGACAATGGATTAAACAGATATTTCAGAGCAGATACGCGGGCAAAAACGCTACCCTTCAGTCGGATATGCTCATGTCTGCTTCTTTCGCACCGTTCACTGTCCTATGGCCGTCTTGCTCCAGCGAAGAGTGGAGAATGCCCGAGTGTCGCCATCGCCATGCGTAGCCCAGCATTCCTTCTCATCAGGTTGTAGCCGAAGGCTTCCCTTCGGTCGCTATAGGTTAGCCCATGCCAAACTCTGAAGGATGAGGTCTTACCGGTGCGTTTTGCTGACACTCAGTGTAGCCAGGTGCGGTCGAATGAACAGTTCGAGGACGATGCCCTCTCGCACGCGACAACACACGCCTTCACGTACACGCGTCGAAAACGAGCCCACCGAAGACAAGCTAGCGTCTGAAACGGATAGTTTCTCAGTTGGGGCCCGGCGCACGAGGTCGGGAGGTAGTGAAGAAGACTATAGGCGATCCCATCGCACTCCGCGAAAGTTAGACGCCGAGTGTTGAGCTTCACATAGCCTAATGAGATCCGAATGGTCAAAAAGAGAGTGGTTGCGTATATTAGTTGCGATGACGAGCATACAGGCGTGAGCGGGTGTTGTCAAAATTCCAGCAGGCTATTTCGCTCATGGTAGAGCATCCTTTAGGCCGACAATGGCGGTGCGTTCTTGTTTTCCGCGATGCGCGATCTCTTATGAGCACTCATGCTTTCCATGACAGTCAATCCGTCCTCTTCCCTATTCCGTTTCCCCTGCTGTGACCTGCTCTTCTTCTGGATGCGTCCTGGGCTAGCGGTACGACGGTCGACTTGCGCATCATACTCTTCTAAAAGGGATCTCAAATCCTCAGCTTCTCCATCCTTGGTATCGGATTCGCCGTCTCTGCTATTCTCTGTTGGACGAGCCCGTGGATTCTCGACCAATGTAACGCGTTGTCGCCCGGCCGTGGTAAAAATCTCGCCTCTGAGATACCTCTTCCAATTTCCTTGGGCATTGAAGAGGTCGACATCAAATTCAGTCTTCCCTTTCCAGACTTGACTCCAATCTTTGTGCCTTCAGTTCACCTGTTCCTGCGCCCAGGTTCAGAATGTACTTCGTACCATAATCAGCGTATTCCGGTCCAGCGTCCTCTATTGGCAGGCCCCCTTTGGCATCAACTAAAAACATCCGATTAGAAGCAGACCTCAGCTGCTCGAACCTTACGAATGTGATCGACACATTCCACGAAGCTCCTCAAACCAGCCCAAATAAGCGAAACAGATATGTCCAACTCCTTACATCATGCATGTAACACACGCAGATATTCTCGTTAGCGAAGCGATTGAGCCACGTGCTTAAGAAAAGATGTTGCCGCATTGCTGGAGGCAGATAGGCGCACATTAGAGCACCATTGGCCAGATCCCGATGCTCATTCTCGTGGTTCCAGACGCCAGAGAGAAGGATCCGGGTTTCTTCCCGCGAGAATGCCGAGCCTGGATCACCGCTTGTGTCATGTCCTATCTGATGGACATAGACGAGGTCCTCTCCATACTTCTTAACCGCGCCCTTCCTGCCTTGCGACTTGTACAGCTCCATTGGTCCACAAACATCGAACTTATGGAGATGGAGGTTGGTCCAGCCCATTGTGTATTGGAGGAGATAGTGTAGGTGCCCAAAGTGATAGTTCAGAGGCATTCGGATTGTGCGAAAGATTTTGGGTAGCGTTTCGAGGATGAACTTGAGGACTACGTGATCGGTCGTCGGCTCGGGAAGACTGACAGGAGGAGGTCTCCAGAGGCCAATATGCTCCTCGGGCATTGGGGGCATATTGCGCGGCACTCGAAGCCCTGTAACACGTCAGAGACGGAAGAGCGCGGTGCTCCTTAGATGGTGGGAGGCGGGTAGGAAAAGATGCTGAGAGAATGCTGGCAGGCTCAGTGTCGGATCGAGAGCGACCTTCAGTTCGTGGAGAAGAGGTGGTCGAATGAGAACCACAATGGTGAGGGGGATGACGCGACCTGTGACGACTGAGTCGTGGGCGATGGCATCGTTTCCGACCCGCTAGCGTGTTCGGACGCGTCTTCACCTGCCGCTACGGGGTCTTCGAGGACTTGCTATCTTTCTCCCCTCTTCCTCAGGCCAACTCTATCCGCGATGTAAACCAAGAGCGACATGGCTTGTCTCCGATGCTAAAGAATATCCTTCGAGCTGGATCGCACCTCGTGCGGCCATTCTGGCGCCGGCCCCAACGCCCACGGTGTCCCCGGCGGCGACCCGGCTCCGATTGACCATTACAGGGCTTGACCAGACCGCCAATAGGATTGACTGAGATCCGAGCCAGATCGCACATCGACGGAGACTGTTGCGAAAAGAAGCTTCAATGAAGGGAAGCAGGTCCAGCCTTCCCGCGGTTGGGCACGCCCGAAGGTGTCTGAGATGACAAAAAGCCGTCAAAAGAGCTCAAGAATCTGAGGCGCCCTGTACTGAAGGGGGATGCGGTTTTCGGTCCTTCCGCATGTTGATGGGAGTTGCTCTGGTCTGGCGTCGGCGTAGTCCAAGTTTTCCTCTCAGCCCAACAATTTCAGCACTCCTCACATGCGGGGCAGTGTACGTCGAAACTGGATGCCGGCGCAGTATTCAAGGCTCCCTATCTTCTCAAAAGCATGGCATGAGCACATGTATAAACCTCGAACCTCGGGCCCACCGCTGTGCAACCGAATGCGCCGCGCCCATTGTTCCACAAATCAGCGCCGCGGAAGCGGAAAAGCCGTCACTAGGCACGCCAGAAACGTCGAAATCCCCAACAGCGCAGGGATTCTATCTCAGTACAAAGTTTCGAAAGGGACGGATCGTACGGAGATCTGCAGGGAAGCCCTTAGACGGATCGTCCAGCCGGAATGCGGGTGGAAAATTACTATTTTAATGGGTGCGTAGAATCGGACGCTGATATGCGACGGAGCTAACCGAACGATTTATATGGACGTCTAGCAGCCGCTTCCTTGACTTTGGGCTCGTTTCGATGCAAAACAATTTCCAAGAACGGGCTTCGTGTTCTAATAGGGAAAGAATGCCTTGGATTACTTAGGGACAAGAGCTATCTGATTCCGATGTCGTGTGCCTTCTTGTAGGGATAACCATCACAGCGCGATCTATAACCATATAGATTCATCTCCAGGACGATCACGCAGGACCGCAATCCAGGAGATTTCGAGCCCGGGAGACCAATCACGAGTTATTATTGACGAATCTCCACAACAAACCGCGCTTGCAATTGCCCCGTTGTTGTTTCTGTCTCCATCACTACACTGACTGCTTGGCACCTTTAGCCTCCTCTTTTTCTGCGCGGACAATCATTAATCCCCTCCACCTTTTCTACGTCCCCCTTCCTAGTAGCGGCAGAGGTGGTCTTCGCTGAAGGTCGAGAGCGAATCAGAGAGAATCAAGAGGGAACCCTGGCCATCCCCGGATTATCCAGACGAAAAGCGATACCTATCAGGTCCGCCTGCTCTGCACATCCTCCCATCTGTTCCCTGTCGGGAAGAGATCCAACATGCGCGACCCCAGCGAAGAGGGACGTACCTCCCGAACTTCCAGATTGGCATGCCTCCTAACCAACCCCCCTTCCCATGGCAGAAGGTGTTCTCCTTCAGCCACTACCACTATGGACTACTACGTTCCGATCCTTTACTCACCCCACTCTAGCCTTCTAGATGCCATCTAATTGCTGTGGAATCACCGTCCCGGCTTCGTCGTGAAACGTTGAGCGAGCAAGCGGGAGAAAACAAATTTCATCGAAGTGGTTGAAGGAGGGGGTAGGGTAGGTGCATCTTCTATTGTTTCTCTTGTAGCAGGGGCACTTCCCACCACCCCACTGACACCAGATCCTTTCTTCGCATCCTTATCAAACCGGGTCGACTCCAGCGAAGACACGGAAGCCATCTGATGACAATGTGAAGCAGCGAGGTTCTGGCCGCCGAATCGACCGCCTCTTCGCCACATAATTCCTTCCTCCATCCCACACCTCGACCCAATTCAGAACAGTCCGCTGCTCGGGCTTCTCCTGGTCAGGTGCGATGAGACCCTACCACGCCACCACCAAGCTGCTTGCGGTGACGTGGCACACGAAATAAATCGCGAGGCCAGTATCAAGGTAGGAATTCATTCTCCGAGCAGTGCTCCCAGAAGCGGATCAGCAAGGCCGCAGAGCTCTTCATATCTTTTTACACGTACCCCGCCCTGTTCATATAGGATATGCGGAATGCATCTATGGGCCCGTAGTCCGTCCTTTGGTCGCTTTACTCAAACAACACCGCCAGAAACCCCGCTGCAGCATCCCCCTTCCTCTCAACAAAAAAATTAAGGCTCGCACATCATGGATTCTAGAGCTTCCCTAGGCCTTGAACTGGAAGATTGGACCCCCATCAACGGCGCACGGCTTAACGTCTCGTCTTACCGCCCTGAGTCCTCCGCCCTCGCTCACGCCGAGGACAGCGATGTGGACTCAGAAGAGCAGTGCTACCCCATCGCGTACCCATGACCCGAGGGTAACCATACATCCCTTTGCACGAGCGCCGATGGAGTCTGGATCGAACCTCTCAGAGACGTTTCGAAATGGCACCTAGGCCCATAGCCAGCTTCACGGAACAAGGAGTCGCCGACCCACGTACTACCGCGATGGTTCCACCACCATTGGAGCATTTTCACGACATACCACCTCCATTGGCTCGACACCACACATACACGGCAGTGAGATCATCTCCAAAATATCATTCTTGACATCAATATCAACAAAATCCAGTAGGTATCTCGGAAAAAGGGAAACCACCAATCCAACCAACTCCGGCGCAATGCATTCGTAACTCATCTCCATCATCATCATCGTCGTCGTCAAAACGCCTTGCTATGCATTCAAATCGCAACCGGCCGTCGTATCGAACAGAGAGTAAGGAAAAATTATGTCGTCCAACAAAAGAAAGAGACGTGGAGACGCTCAGCTGTACCGTGGCGTACTCCTCACATCCGCAGGCCTTTCGATGTAGATCTCCTCCTCATCCCTCTCATACCACATCTCCCTCGCGACCCCATTCCCACTCTTCTCGCTGTCCACCCTCGCGAACGACCCATCGTGGGCCCCACTACTGCCGCTCCCCGATCGGCTTGTCAAGCGCACCGCACCTCTTTCGCGGCTGAGCCCGTGCTTCCTGGCAAACGTCCTCAGCGTCGGCAGACACACCGCCAGGATCGAAGACACAATTTCCACGAGCGCCCACACATCGATCGTGTGCGTGATACTCGCCCGCGGCACCGATTGCACCAGCTTGAGCGTGATGAAGCGCACCAGCGCCGCGAGGATAGAGACGCTGCCCATGAGGAAGACGAAAGCGAGACCTGCGCGCTCCATGCGACCCAGTTTGGTCGAGAGAAGCGTGCTGATGGGGATGCTGAGGATCACCAGATCCGTGGCGATGTTGGTGAACGTCGAGATCGTAACGCTGGACATGCTGTGCACGGCAGAGCACAAGTGCTCACCGGGCGGCGGACTCCAGTTCGATGACACCGGGGAGCACCAAAAGGCGATGAGGAACATGTGCAGGAGGAAGGTGGCGGCCGTGAACACGCACGCCACGGCTAGCGTAATCCTGGCCCTCTTTCCCTGCAGTGAGAAAATGCTGTAGTAGAAGGCGAGAAACGCGGCCTTGGCGCTCCAAAGGCTGATGTAGATGAAGAACAGGCTGATCCAGGAGACGTAGAGCAAGTGGCCGGAGAGGTGTTCAGGGACACCGTAGTAGAGTTCGGATGGAGGGGTGGAGAGATATTTCATGCGAAGATTGTTTTTCCAGGTGTTGATGCTGATGAGCACGGCGCCGGAGAGCCAGGCGAGAACTACGAAGGCGTCGGCGATGGAGGCGGCTAGCGAGTTGAGGCCGCGGTTGCGGGTCCGGAGGGAGATTCGGATGAGAATCGGGACGAGGGCTAGGGCCATAAGAGACCAGTCCAGAGCGATGAAGCCCGCTATTCGACAACGTCAGAATGTCTGCTACTCGGACCGAGAAGGGACGGGGAGTGCGCTTACGAAGAGGCAGATGGATATCCGAGTACACCATCTTGCTTGCTTAGGTACTCCCTCTGTGATGTAGGTAATGATATACTAGTCGATTGAGGATACAGATAGATGTGACAAAGTGCCTTATGTGCTGATGGTGCAGTAGCTGCTGTTGTGGGTAAGGATCTCCGCTCATATAAGAACGCATGAAGCAGACCCCCAGATTGTGGGATGCAAAGATAGAAGGTTGGCGTGAAGGCCGAGGATGACTACGAAAGCCCATTGATGAGTAACGGTGCTTGGGGCCCCAAAATATGTAGGCAGACCGCGCTGCAGCCTCTCACCGTTGCTCGCCAACTCCGCATAATCTCTCCCTCTCCATCACCCAAAAGAACGTTCAGCCTCCACACAACGTTATCCCAAACGGTCCGTCCGCTCACCGTCCATCCGCCAATGAGATGGTTTTGCGGTGGTTTTCCTCTGCATGTCAGCATTTTGGCTTCTGACCATGCCCCGACCCGTTCTAGGGCGCTGCTAATTCTGATTTGACAGCTCGAGCACGCTCTCGCTAACCCCAGCTCTCCCGCACATAGCCCCATTTATGTAAGCCAAGTCAGCACAGAAATAGCAACATCGGGCCCTCTAACTACTAATCGCACTCTTTACGAAGGCCTGGACTTGACGTCTGATTGATCGAGCGAGGAGATTAGAGGACAGCGAGAAGAAACGAGACCTGTGAAGGCGGATAGTTCCGAAGTCTGGTGAGCTGTCATGTACGGTTCGGGGAATTTTGGATAACGGGCGTGGCATCGTGGGGTTAGCGTTTGGTGCATGCATTTGCGGTTTTCGGAGTTGCCCAGAGGTGATCAATTTTGGCCTAATGCGCGGTGGCATCGGTCGAGATGCTTCTAATTTTGCCTCATCGGCGATTCCTCTCCAATTTCACACCATGTTGGGGAGGTTTCCGGTGACGGAAGTGCAGTGTTAGTGTCGAAGTGTTGGCGTTGATGAAGTGAGGGCGAAATATGGGGCAGCTCGAGCGGGAGCGGTGGGGTTGGTCGGGTAGCTCAACCGCCCTGGCGGATTTGGGTAGGATCTCTAGAAGACCTGATAACGGCGACTTGGAGCATATTGCGAAGCGTAACCACCAGTATGGGTCGACGATCAGCGCAGGTCCATTGGGTGAGCCTTTTTCGGCCCCACTCATTTCAGCTGTCAAGACCCTGGATGTACATGTTCCGACCTCGTCCGCGCTCATCGTAGGACGACGCGGAGAACAACACGAGCAAGTTCAAGCTGAAGCTTCCCTTTCTTCGATTCGTCTGCCATTTAATATGCGACGGCAGACTGAAAACCCTCGCTGAGGCCTGCGCAGGCAGAGAGCGAAAGGTCGCTTTCTGTAACTGTGGCTTGAATTCGTTGACCGAGAACACGAACTCCATGATCGAATCTAGAAGGCAGAAAGAGGCCGAGACAGAAAGTCTTGGACGATCCTACGCGTATTCGGAATCAGAGATGCTCGATCTGATGAAGCTCGAGCTCTCCGGAGTTGCATTTAATCGCATTCCCATGCAGAGATGGGGACTTCTAACTTTGGGTCGTTGAATTGATGTGTGAGAAATCATCGTGGTATCTGGTTGTTACGTCGAATCTCCGACGAAGGATTTGTGGGGTCGAAGACTCAGTGGCCGGAGGGCTGAACGTTCAAAGTTCCGTGGTAGCTGAACCGTCGATGCATTCAAGCGCGACAGGAGCACGGCGTTAGCTCAAGCTGATATCCCTCGAGAGGATAAGGATCTCATCCTATCTCGCGCTGATTAATGTCGTCTGATTTGCGTGTTTGCGGAACTTCCCAAACTTCAATTCGTGAAGATATAGCCAATAAGAACAAAGCTGAACCTCAAGAACACATCATGTCAGGTCAGGTCAGGTCAGGCCTTACAGAAAAGTGAAGCCGGAGGTGCTTCTGATGATCTGACCATGTCACTCCTGAGTTTGCGTAGCAGCGCATTCTCATACCCTTACTTTTCAACTTCGCAGGGTTGCATTCTAGAATGGAGGCGAGCGGCTGAATAACCGTTTCAAGGGAACTTGCGGAACAGTACATGAAGCCGATAGAAGGATTCGTCGACAAAGGTGATATTAGCTGTATTGAGGTTACGCCCTTCAGTGTTAGGTTTCCAAACCTATATCGGGGATCCACTCACCACTGGAACCAGGACTCAGATGCCGCGTTTATCGAACTTACTCCGCCCACGAATCTAATAAGTTGGCTGGGATGTAGCGTAAGTGTAACTGAAGCTTCTCATGTTGAGTCTGACTTACGTCTGGTGAAAGGCTCCTATCCCTGCTCGAGAGGAACGACAGCCGTTAAGGATGCTCCGTTTGTTGTTAAGCTACCCACTCCTCACAATAGCACTGTCTGATCCGTTCCGCTTAGCGTATGTCCTGTAAACTACGATTTCGAACCACATCATCCCTTCTCTAGCACATCATATGAGAGTCTAGCAGCTGTGCTTAGGCTTGAGCAAGATTATCTCTGGTTCGAGAGACTCCGGACTCCTTCAATCGCATTCGAAGTACCTCTGGAGGGCGGGTGCATAGGTATTAAAATGCGCATCCGGGATATCCTCGATATACCAATGTTTATGATGCTCGCAGGTTTTGTAATGAAACCAGGAAAATGGGATGACGACGCCACCGACTTCTGCCTCTCTGGAGTGTTCGACACCCAGTCCATGCGAAGCAGCTGCATTCTGCGCATGCTTACAAAGGACGATCTGAAGAGATTCAAGGAAAGGCTGGCTGACGTCAAACTGTGTGCATGGTATCCTCTTTTCCTACCAGCCATCTTGATCGAAATGCGAATCCAATCACTTCCGGCTGTCGTGAAGCGTATCAGACTCTACTTGCGTAAGATCGGGAAAGCGACCGGGACGCACAAGAACTATCTCCGAAGACTTGGCCTCACGAATTCGAAGGGCCGAAATCTACGAGAGGTTTGGGCTGATCCGGATTTCGAAACTGCGCCTGCGGAACTTACGTCGATTGCATCGGATGCTAGCTATTGGGAATATGCCTGCAAGTCCGAGCTCAACCTGCTGAGATGGGTTGACAATATGCATCGGCGAGTTCTTGAGATGAGTGGCATGCGCTCGGACGACCCGGCTCATAGAATGCTGCAGACCAAGATGGAATTCATGGAAATGTGGATAACTAAGGTGAGGGAAAAAAGCTGCCACTTCGGGAAACAAGTCGAGGGGCAGGTACAGACGGTACGTCGTCTGATGGGTCTCCAATGACCGGGACCTTGAAGAGAAATTCTGGAACTGAGACGATTGTAGTGTCTAAGCTTGATGGCCCAGCGCGAGAATGCTCTGAACAAGCACGCCACCAGAGCATCTCTGAACGTCAGCTATTACAGCAAGATGGACAGCGAAGACATGCGTACCATAGCCGCAGTCACGCTTTTCTTCCTTCCTGGTACTTTCGTTGCTGTAAGTCCTGCGCTCCAGCGCTAGCGGTAGGGGCTAAGAAACGTAGTCGCTATTCAGCACCGGGTTTTTTGGCTTTCACAAAGATGGCCAGCGCGTCTCCTCTTGGATATGGCTTTATTGGATCATTACAGTCATATCGACCATCTCTGTGTACTTCGGCTGGTACGCGTATGTCCGGCAAAGGCATCACACATCCGATCAGGAGAGAAGGGCTCAACAAGATGCGGTTGCTTTGGGTATTACAGAGGTCTGTAAGTAGGACGGTTATGACTTGAAAGCCTTGGGTCTGAAAGAAAGCTAGCACAGACCCTGATCCCGCATCCATTCGTCGTAATTTGAGAATCTTGTCATGACATGGCGCGATGTGAAAATCGTAAGCTGGGCGGTTAGACCATCGTCTAGACGTTCGTATGCACAGTAATATGTATACTAATATATACAAAATTTAGCCATACAGGTGGTCGCTCGCTAGTCCTTGATGTGAAGACTTAGGGTTGAGGAGAGGAAGCCATGTAGTTATGACAGAAATTGATGCGCCCGCGGCATACGAAGGCGTCAATCGCGTTACCTCGGCCTGAGCAGCGCAAATACTGCTGCTGAAATGATGGCTCCCAAGGCAGCGCTCTCCAAAACAGCGGTTGTGAAATCGACCCTTCGAATCGAGATTGTCCTCTCACTTATCAGGTCTAGGGCAGCCGCAGCGACTCTATGTCGCCAAGATTCCAGCGGCGTGGCTGCCTTGACTTCTTCTTCGATGTTTATGGCTTCCTGAGGAATCATGCCTTCAGACATGATAGGAGCAGCGCCCGGGACAGCCGGTTCGGTGGAGGTGTCCGGAACTTTGGCTTGGAACTTGACAGACTCCTCCACTGCGGCCTCGAGACGTCCTTCCGTCGGGGTTACTGAGACAAACGGCTCGGTCTCCCTCACAACCTCGGCAGAACCCTCGATTGGCTCGACAACTCTGTCAATCTCAGCCTTAATATCTGCGATGGGTGCTGTGGGCTGATATTCAGTGGCAGCGGTCGGCTCAACGGCTCCTTTATGGGCTTCCAAAGTCGTCTTGATCTCCCGCACCATCCTTCTCCTTCTCCAAGGCTCGATAACAACCAACGAAGCCAGAAGGAGGAAGATGTTGAAGCCCATAAGCCCAAAGGTGACCCAAGTGCTGTTGCGCCGGATAGTGTCGCTCCAAATCTGTTCTTCATGATATTGTGCTCTTTCCCTCTTCTCCAGCTGCGACCGTGCCTCCTCCAGTGCATTTTCCGCAGCAGTGACCGCTTCCTTTGCTTCCCGCACCGCTTGATCATTGACGTGCTCCGATCGGATCAACGACATGTATCGCTCCAAGTCCGTCGCAGACCATGAATGCTTCCGTTCCAAGAGTGCAACCACCTCCTTCTGCGAAGATGCTTGCTGGGAATGGGCAGCGTCTAAGGCTTGTTTCGCTTCTTCAATTGCGGCTCGACGTGCTTTGACAAGTTTCTCTGCGCACCTATCAGATCCCGCTTAACAGATACTATTCCTATGATGTATACCTTGGTCCTTGATCTCCATTCTCAGTGCTTCGATGCCGGAATAGTCCGTCCCGGTATATGTATTGACCTTCTGTGTGACGACGGCGAGCTTCGGCAGCAGCTCGTCCATGAGCCCCGTCAACCGCTTGGAAAAGTCCCATCGCTGTGCTTCCCGATGTGAGGGCAGATCTTCGGCGGGTACCCTGGCGATATTGTCTACGATTGGCTCATGCTTTGAGGACGCGTTTGCATCCCGAGAGGGTTCATCGACATTTGGGGAGGGTTTCCGGTCGGAGGGCTCTTTCTCGTCAGGAGGCCTTCTCTCCTCATTCGGCGTTTGGTGAAAACGGCGGTGTAGGGGCGCGGAGCTTTGGGAGTTTGGCTGACGTGGATGTTTCTGTGGGATAGCTATTGAAGCTCGGAATCGGCACTGTATGCATATCGAGGGCGTACTAGATGCAGACCATATAAAATTTCGGACAGAAGGCACGGCCGTGGAGGAGTGTGACGGGGCTATAGAGCGGGCGTTGGCGAAGATGGAGCGTGAAGCATGCTGCAGCAGCGGCCTCATGCTTCCCTCGGGTGATGCTACTCACATCAGGCGTGACGAAATATGGATGTGAATATCGGCCGCGCAGTATGATGGCAGCGACTGCCGGCTTGGGACCTGCCAAGCGCCGCTTGTCGATCATCCCTTCCGTTTTCCGAATGGACCGGGATCCCTGTTTAGGCGGCGCCGCTGACTTTTCTCAACAGCATCCAGGAACTTTTCTTTTGATTTCATACAATTCTCAGGGTATCAACTCCATACTATCGCTATCACATAAACTTTCAGTGTCGAACAAGATGGGTGTGCAGAACGCCGCGGCCTTATCGGCCATGAAGACCAACCCCAAAGTCAGTATCCGCCACGCGTTCCGACGTCGGAACGCTAGCTAACCTGCAATAAGTTCATCTTCTTCACAGACTTTGACGGCACCATCACGCTGCAGGACAGCAATGACTACATGACCGACAATCTTGGATATGGTCGGGAAAGGCGCCGGCAGCTCAACATCGACTGCCTCGAAGACAAGATCAACTTCCGGGACTCATTCCGGGACATGATGGAGAGCGTCAAGAACCCGTACAACGAGTGCATCCAGACGCTCGTCGACAACATTAAGCTAGATCCCTACTTCGCCGGGTTCTTCCAGTGGGCTCTAGCGAACAATATCCCCGTCGTGGTGCTTTCATCCGGAATGGAGCCAGTCATCAAGGCGCTGTTGCATGCCCTTGTCGGTCCCGATGCTGATAAGATGGAAGTACTGGGTAACTTTGTCAAGGCTCGGCCTGGCAAGTCCATCAACGAGGAGGGAGGTTGGGAGATCGAGTTCAGACATCCCGAGAGCGGTTTCGGTCATGACAAGTCCGTCTGTCTCCGCGAATACTCGTCGCTGCCTGAGGACATCCGGCCCACCATGTTCTACGCCGGTGATGGCGTGTCAGATCTGTCTGCTGCACGCGAGACGGACCTGCTCTTCGCGAAGAAGGGCCATGACCTCATATCATACTGTGCGAGGGAGAACGTCCCATTCACCGTCTTCGAGGACTGGTCTACGATCCTGGAAAAGTGCAAAGAGATCGTCGAGGGCAAGTGCACAGTCAAAGACGCTGCCCGCGAGGGCTGGGAGGCATACAAGGCTGGCGCTGCAGGCGTCAAGCCTGAGAACGGCGCTGCTGCAAAACCTGCTGCAAAGTAAAGCGGCGTTTCGAGCATTTAGAAACAGACTTTCGCACTTTGATTTTCCTTTTGACTATCACATAGCGCATAGATACGACCCAACGAATAGATATTCCGGCCAGCGGCTACATAGGCTGATTGGATTCAGAGCGTCGAACGATTCACAGCAACTCTACTCCCGGCACGTACGAAGGCCCAATCAGGGTTCGGATCACGTGAAATCGCGGGGCAGGGAGAACCTTGGAAGCCTGCCCAGGTGCCCTGCATGACTGCCAACGCATCACCGACTGATCCGAATGCGGACCTCGAACAGCAACATGAACCTCTGCTCCAGTCCTTTGCCCACGCCCATTCGACAATCGCGGCAAGGCTGCGGCTGAGATCTCCGGTCTCGAATCTCTCACGCGTTGCTCCAGATCTCCGCAGCCCCGTCGTTGCTGCTGGTGGGTTCCACGCTACCCCGCTATCCTTACTCGGACCATCTATCCAAATTTCGAAGACTCCCAGGTGCCCAACGCCCTTCGACTCGCTGGAACATACAACCGCGTCCCACGAACGAAATTGCGAACTCGCGGCGGATACTACACGTCTGACAATCTCAAAATGAACGCCGACCCTCTAACCGGCGCCCCGCTCCCGCCCAATGCCATCCAGCGCATCCTCTACATCGCACCAAAAGTCCACGTCTACCAAATCCCGCCGTTAACCTCAACAAAAGGCTACCAAGCCTCCACCTGGACCGCCGACAACAACAAGCGGCAGATCTTCACAGCCCGCCTGCGAATCCTCGAAACCTCCATCCCTAGCCCGACGCCGACGGATGACTCCGCCGAGAAAGTCACTACAACACTGCTATTAGAGGATGCGGGCTCCGGACAGTTATTTGCAGCAGCGCCGTACACAAGCCCCGCGGTTGTCGAACAAGCGCTAGACAGCAGCCGATTCTTCGCGGTCACAGTGGTGGGCGAGGGCAGGAAAGCAGTGCTAGGGATGGGTTTCGAAGAGCGCAGCGAAGCATTCGACTTCTCCATCGCGCTCCAAGACGCTCGGCGAGTGCTAGGCTTCGAATCCAATCCCAATGCACCCACCACCTCGTCCTCCCGCAACCGCGGCACCAAGAAACCTATCGACGAACCCAAGCGCGACTTCTCCCTCAAAGAAGGCGAAACAATCTCTATAAATCTGGGGGGGTTAAAAGGCAGGCGAGAAAGGCGGGAGGGCGGAAGTCCCGAGCAAGCACAGAGGAGCGAACAAGACGCGCTGTTTAGTATCAAGCCACCACCTAGCAGTGGTGCAAGTGGAAGTGGCTTTCTGCCGCCGCCGCCCAGCGCGAAGAGCGTGAAAGAGGAGCGCAGGAGGAGTAGGCAGACTTTCGAGGCTTCGCCGAAGCCGGAGGATTTGGGCTTTGACGACGGGGAGTTTGGAGAGTTCCAGTAGCGTGACTCCCTGTTGAAGATGAGCGTATAATCTTTCGGCTTTGTTAGCATGAGCATGCGAAGGAAACTACTGCATCATTGGCGTTCTGAAGGGAGGGTTTGTGTTGGATTGGATAGCTCGGCATTAATGAATTTTCTTTTGGATTGACATGCATCCTACATTTCTATGTAAACGTCGTGCTGTACGACTCGAAGACTAGAACGTGATGGGTATCATTCCGAAAGCCCTGCGGACCGTATGATGGGCCCAGAGTCTAACCGATGCGCCGGAAATGCAATATGATAGGCCCTTGGCGAATGCCAAACGCGGCGTCCCAGAAGCTGGGAGTGAAAGAGCCCTGCAGATAGCAGATATGTGCGGGCTTTGAATACGGTACGCGGGAAGAGAAGTGCCGGTATGCACTATGAAGGTCGATTCCGGACAAGGCGGTTATCAAATTTGTCTTTCGAGGTGGGCCAATGCGCTGTGTGGTACCAGAGGCGCATAGGCTTTCCCACTGGTTCGGAGCAGAAAGATAACACTCAGATCCGATCTGAGGGACTGTCCTCGCAGCTGTGGCGCTACCGGTGTGCGTGGCGTGCGAACTTGCGGTTTTCAAGCAATCAATCTGTCCATCCTTTCGCCTCGTCGTAGAGCCGGTTGATGTCGCGAATGAGATCGTCCGGTTTGTGTCCGTCCGGGCAGTCGACCCATTCTCCGTCGTTAATTGTGCATCTCGTCTTGTTATCCAACCGAATCGTGCAACTTGTGTTGACATTCAGTTCCGCACTCCGCGTCACGCTGTCCCTCAACATGCCCATGCCGTATGCGCCGTCGTCTTTGCTCAAGCAATCATTGAGCTTATCAAAATCGATTCCATGCTCCAGCGCGCAGTCCTCGATGAGCGCCTTCTTCGGTATCATTTTGTAATCGCGCTCGAGACACATGGTAAAACCGAGGTAAATTTTTGGGTCGGGATATTCGGAAGCGGCACATAGCTCGAGTATGTTTCCTAGGCACTCTGTCTGGCCGTGCTTGCATTGGACGCCGTCGTCTTCTTCGGTGGTTCTAGAGCGGAGAGGTTAGTATAGAGTTGAGTGGAGAGCTGCAGGTGCTCCGGCTATATGCACCCAGGCGCGGCAATTGATGGACGTTGGGAATCCTTACTTTCCGATGAAGGACAGCCTAAAATCGATCTTGTCGGACACGTTTGCCATCGTAGGTATCACAAGGTATTGAAGGCAGTCGCGCGCGTCCGGACACTTTGACCTGTTGCGCATGAGAATACGGAACGTGAAGAGTAGGGTGGCTACGAGAACTCACATTATATGTACCTCGAGCGGCACCTTCGCGCTGGTTTCCGCGCCTTCATCATAGTGTTCGCAGTCCCACGTTCTCGCTAACCAGAAGAGCCCGAAGATGATGGCGAAAGCGGCGGCGTGGAAGCGACTGAAGCGCTTCGGTGTTGGACGACGAGACATCGCATCGTCGTCTGTCTGGGGGAGGAGGGGAGCTTTCTCCATGGTCAAGCGGGTGCGGGCGGTATGGCGCTTTATAGAACCCCAGCTCGAGATTAGATTACTGATTGCGTATAACGGCAGGCGGCCCCAGAGCTGCACCGATTTAGTAAGGAATGGTGTGGTGTGAGGCGAAATGTATAAGTATTGTTCAGCCCTACTCGTGGGACAAAGAACTGCGCCAGAGCTCTCTCACTCGGTCCGCGAACAGCGTGCCGAGGCTAAGCCTGGAATGGCTAGCTGGTTTCGGCCCTACTGTTCGGCCGGGCCGCGGCAGATGCAGCCGACTGCAACATGCCAATGCAAGGAGCCACAGAGCCGATTACGGAAGCTGCACGACCGAGGGCCTCAGTCCTGCCCTATCCTATCACACAACCTCGCCCTCGGGTTCTTTTCACAACCTTTCTCTTCAATCTTTTGCCGTGCAGCGCGAGAGAGTGTTCCTCAATTCGTTTGAAGAGGACGCGCGGCTGGCCCTGTTCATTCTGATACCCCTTGTCTGAGTCAGTCAGCATTGCATTTCGTGGCGCTTGCGGGAACTTCCTTTCTGTTCTCCCTTCGTGTCCGTATCTTCTTCATCTGCGCTCGGCTTCCATAAGTTATGGCGGGTTCCGATACTTCGAATCCACAAGACGATGTATCCAAGGCGATAACAGCATTCACGGGATTCCTCAACGAAGGCACATTACTAGACTTGGCAGCCCGGTTCTCGGAGACATATGCCAGCCTCGCTAAGACGTCGCTTGAACATTTCCTGGTCACGCCAGTCACTGCGCTTCCGACGGGGAAAGAGAAGGGCAGGTTTCTCAGTATTGATGTTGGCGGGACGAACCTAAGAGCTGGATTAATCGAGTTGATGGGCGAGGCCGACGGTGGGGTTCAAGATGATGGGTCAAAACCGTTTGAGAAAATAAGGAGGTCCCACGATAAGAATTGGCCGATTGAAGAGCATCTGAAGATGGACCAAGCGGAGGATCTATTTGCGTGGATCGGGGACTGCATCGCAGAGGTTATTAAAGATGCGCTTGATGATATACCTCCGTCAGAGTGCATGGACTCGCCGTTCGGCGAAGAGCTACTTCTGGGGATTACATTCAGCTTTCCTATGGCGTAAGTGTTGATCTGGTTCGGCAATGGCCAAAGAAGCAGACTGACGCTCCAGCAGCCAGAAATGTCTGTCCGAAGCTACCTTGCTCCCCATGGGCAAAGGCTTTGCGATCACGTCCGATCTAAATCTTGGCAAGATGTTGCTCGCCGGCTACGCACGTCATTTGGTTGGGCCTTCTGCGAATGGCAAGAGTGAACAGGACGAAGAAAATCCATCGAACAAAAAGAGAAGGCTCTCACGACTTCCAAGGATACGGATAGCAGCCATCACGAACGACACTGTAGCTACGTTTGCATCTTTAGCGTATGCTGTCAAAGCAGCACCGAACAGCCGAGTAGCGATGGGGCTGATCGTAGGTACCGGTACGAATGCGACAGTGCCAATGAAGCTCGAAGTACTGCATCCGGCCAAGAAAGATGGTCTGGCCAATCCAGAAGCCGTAGAGACGGTGGTCATCAACACCGAATGGACGATACGAGGAACAGACAAGCCCCTAATAGACCTCAACATCAAGACTCCGTGGGATCTCACGCTAGATGCAAACAGCGAAGCTCCGGGATTTCAGCCTTTCGAATACATGACCGCAGGTCGCTATTTGGGCGAGATTGTACGGCTGGTCTTCACAGATCTCGTTTCGAAAGAGCCAGACGCCCGTCTTCCGCCATCCCTGGAAACGAAGAACGCGATACCCACGAGATTCCTTTCCGAGGTAGTAGCTAGAGCCGATGACGCGACCTTGACGGAGGCGCTTCAGAAGAAATACGCACCGATATCGTCCACGACATTCTTCTGGACGCCTACGCGGGTGAAACAGATACGTGATATTGCTTACGCCGTGCAACAACGGTCCTCGGCGCTGATTGCCGCGGCATGCGTTGGCCTGTTGGATTGTGCGCACGATATACGAATAGACCGACCCGGTCAAACCAAAGCAAATGGGACCGAAGCCCATAACAAGTGCGAGGCCGAGGAACTAGTGATTGCGTATGCTGGTGGAACTATCTCACAATACCCAGAGTGGCTAGTAACGTGCCAGCGTTGGATCGATGCTCTGGTTACCAAAGCATCACCCGCGAATGCATCGAAGCGTGTGGTTCTGAAAGAGGCACTTGATGGAGGCATCATTGGAGCAGGTGTACTTGCTAGCATGACCGACGACATTGCATAGAGACATCGCACGGGAAAGACGCGCTTTAGATTTCTAGAGAGGGGTTCTACTGCCGGTATGGTAGTCCTACCCGTTGTAATCTTTTATTGGGATTGAACAGTGTCCCCTGTGCTACCTAGGTACGTTCCACTTGCACAAGACTCAGTCACTCAAACATATTATTCGGGACACACCGTCGACCTCCTTCGCCGTATTGACGTTCTCTTCACGTTTGAATGGTTACACATGACGGGTGCAGGAACCACCGGAGCAAACAGCAACCACGCTAACATACAGCGCAGGAAGGAGCGACCACTGAAGGTGAAGCTTGGCTTCGACCAGTCATAGACACCTGAGCTCTCGGCCCAAACGCTCATCTACTCTTTTCTTCGATAATGTCCCCATTGCCGCATGGTGATGCCACTGTGCTGTGGGTTGTCAGCTAATCTAGGGCACACCGCACTTCTTCACATCTGTCCTCATAGCCACCTCCTCAATTGCCTTCCTTTGCTCCTTCCTTCAACCCCCCGTCCCACCCGCCCAACATGCGCGGCTATGCACGCCTCCCAGACTTTCTTACTCTTCTCGCAAGCGTCGCTCTTGTCGCTTCAACACCTCAGCTGTGCTACACCGACGTCGACAAACTCGCACCCAAGTATATCGTGCCCTGCTGGACCAGCAACACCACTCCGCATTACTCGTGCTGCAAGGCCGGCGACAAATGCTTAGAGCATAATGCCTGCTACGATTCGGGCACTGGCAATACGTATCAGTACGGGTGCACGGATTCGGCGTATGCGGATTCGAGTGTCTGTCCTTCGAAGTGCGACCTTAATCGAGAGACAACGAATTGGGTGGGGCTGGTATATTGCAATGGCACCCATGGGCTGCCAGGTGATACATGGGTATGTATCCTACCCGTGACCCTCCGCCTGCCCTCTGCGGGCTGCATTAGACAGTGGATTTAACACTAGAAATCCCACCTACCTGCGAATATCTATTCCTATAGCTCTATAACGGCCATGTGTCAGCGTCGGCGGCATGAAAACATGGATATGTATACTTCCTTTAGCCAGAGCTAACTCAGCCTACAGGTGTGCAATCACCCAGATAATTGTCGTGACTGTCCGACGCACACGCCATGGGATCCAAAGTTGGAGAAGCTATCCGAAACACATTGCGAGGACCTAGCGCACGATGACCAGTACGTCGCTTTTAAAGAAGTAGGGACAATCTCGGATATGCGGCAGCTTCCGGAGGAAACCGAACTTCCAAGCTATTTCTCCTTGAATTCCGACAGATGGGTTACGACGGCGATATCCAGCGGAGCCAGTACAGCGACGACGGGCGGTTCCGGTACGGACACAGCAGCGCCGTCCACAACAGATCACTCTCACTCAAGTTTGCCTGCTCGTCCTCCCGCTACAGACACCGCAAGCTCGCCTACACCAGTTCCCAAGGGCCATACAATGGCTATAGCAATCGGCTTGGGCGTGGGAGTTCCAGTGCTCCTAGCAATTGTTGGCATTTTGATATACGTCTGTCGCAGACGTCGGGACCGGTCGAACGCTGAAAGGCAAAGAGATGGATCGCCACGTGCGGACCCGCTCGACTATCCGCACAAATCAGGGTGGAAGGCGGAGCTACCGGTCGAGGACAGGCGAATCTATGAGGCTCCTGATACGCCATCGCAAGTGACCGAAATGGAAGGTTCCACTGTCGGCGAGCAGACACCGCTTCAATCGCCTTTTGTATCGCCTCTTCTGTCGCAGTACTCTGATAGTGGTGACGCACGCGAGCACCGAGTGTCCGCTATCCAGAGCCATCGCATTTCCGAGTTGCCTGGCTAGGGCGGCTTTCCAGACCAACACCAGTCCTCAAGTCGAGCTTGTACTGCGGGGTTCTCGATTTGAAATGACGCTGTCTCTGACGGGGAGAAGTATCCTTTCGATGGGCCTTCAGGCGTGCCCAGATGGTCGAGATTTTTTCGAAGAAAGCTTATGTTGGTAAGCTTGCGTGCTGATTTCCGAGGGCAAACGAAGGGTCGGCGATGGTGCACTCTAGGGGAACACGAGGAGCGGTGTAGGAGGAGGCATAGTGAGTAAGGTAGCATACTGTCGAGTCCGAAAAAGAGCAGAGGAAGGGTCCGGCACACGACCCCGATACAACAGTTCCAGTTGCTGAAGCTCAGGAGCTCCTTTACCCCGCGATACCAACTGCACTAGCAAGAGCTCCAGAGCTTCCCCGCACTCGGACCCGTATTGAAGGTTTGAGCTGTAGCCTAGCCATCCCTGACTATCGAGAAGATAACCACGGATGGCGGGAAGCTATACGCATCGAGACACGTCCTCTTAACCAATGGTACGACTGTGCCTGCGCCCCCATGAAAATGCAGTCGTGCTTCACGGGAAACTGAAACGGTTTACCCTCCATAAGAAGGAATTCAGGGCGCAGCCGCTCAGCACGTGAGGCGTTCCCATTTGCCCGGACGCTTGCCCGGACGCTAAGGTTCACGGTAGACACGTCTCTTCCCCGCGAACCTCAGCCACAGGCAGACCCCGTATCTTCTCGGCGCGACAGATCTCCGTAGATGCGAAAAGCTTGCGGGCCTTAGTCGGCCCCATGTGGACCCCTGGTGCCTGTTCTCGCATTGCGATTGGGCAATTGCATTGCTGGTTTGGGAATGCGGGGAGCCTTACACGCCGGAATGCGCAGAGTTTGGGGTAGCATTTCCCCGGCGCGTACTCTGGGGTATGAGTCGCGAGTTCGCGTTCGACCGAACGGTGGGCATGCAGTTGTCCTGGTTTCCGGAGCGCTGAAACGGGAGGTTAGGAGGCGTGAGGTGCACGAGTGGCGCTGCACGGCCGCGGGAATATGGGCGATGTTGCGCCGAGCAGAGCCGCACACTCGTAGGGCACAATGAGCAGCGCAGGGAATTTTCTCGTGCCAATATTGCCCAGATATCGTGATGTTGAAAATCCTTTTTCGGCCACGGCCGGTGGAGGTAGAAGCTTTCCCATCTCAACGGCGTGAGGAATATCAGGTGAGATGTTGGCTGCAAACAGGGGGCTACGTCAAGCCACGCCGTGCCCCGCCTCGTCCAGAACGTCGCGCTTCTTCCCGCCGATGCACTTTTGCTGATTGACATAGACTAGCACGGTGAATCAGGCCACGTTCTTTCACTCCACCACGGCCAACGCTCAGCTAGACGTCGCCTAGCTATCCGATAGGAAGCGGCCGGACTGACGACACCAGACATCATCCGATGGCCCATCCCACCTGGCCTGCACCTTGTACCCCTCTACGGACCCACAGGAGCTGCAACACCAACTTCACAGCCAATGGCGTGACGATGGCTCGGATCCACGCTCCGGAGTGACGGACAGGACGTGTGGAATTCCTAATGTGGCACTGCACCAGAGGTGAGCGTCGACGGAGAGTTGCACCGAAACTAGGCGCGACCCTAGGATGCGTCTCGATGGTGGGGTCCGCCGTGACTGTATATAAACCTCCACCAAACCTCCCAGGTTCTTCCTTCACTCGCTCCCAGCTCCAAAGACATATAAACCCCGCTTCCACAGCTTCGGATCCGCTCACCACAGCCTCCACTTCGTCCAATTCATCCAATTCCTCGACAGTCGAACCTTCCTCTCAACAACACCCCAACAACCGCAATCACAATGGCATCACTCCCCAAGGAACAGTGGGCGCAGGTCGTCGAGAAGACCGGCGGACCCGTCGTCTACAAGAAGATCCCCGTCCCGAAGCCCGGCCCCGATGAGGTCCTCGTCAATATCAAGTACTCTGGTGTCTGCCACACCGATCTCCATGCCATGCAGGGCGATTGGCCTCTGGTAAGCCCTTGTCTCCTCCTGTGCTCTCTGTGCTCGCAATGGCAGATGCTAATCTCTAATCCAGGCCACCAAGCTACCCCTCGTCGGCGGACACGAAGGTGCGGGTGTCGTCGTAGCCAGGGGCGAGCTCGTCGACGATGTCGAAGTAAGTGCCTTTTAACGCCCCAGTTGGCCAAGGAGATTCCAGAGACTGACGAGCTCTAGATTGGTGACCACGCCGGTGTCAAGTGGCTGAACGGCTCCTGCCTCCACTGTGACTTCTGTATGCAATCCGATGAGCCTCTCTGCCCCAAGCCCCTCCTCTCCGGCTACACCGTCGACGGTACCTTCCAGGAATACTGCATTGCTAAGGCCGCCCACATCGCCCGCATTCCCAAGAACCTCCCGCTCGATGCCATAGCACCCGTGCTTTGCGCCGGTATCACCGTCTACAAGGGTCTGAAGGAGTCTGGAGCCAAGCCTGGCCAGTGGGTCGCCATTGTCGGTGCCGGCGGTGGTCTCGGCTCGCTTGCTCAGCAGTACGCGAAGGCGATGGGCATCCGCATCATTGCCATTGATACCGGTGACGACAAGAAGGAGATGTGCCTGAACTCGCTCGGCGCTGAGCACTTCATTGACTTCGCTACCTCCAAGAACGTGGTCAAGGATGTCCAGGCCGCGACTCCGGATGGCCTTGGCCCGCACGCCGTCATCCTCGTCGCCGTCAACGAGAAGCCCTTCCAGCAGGCTGCTGAGTACGTCCGCCCGCGCGGCACCGTCATCTGCATTGGTCTTCCGGCTGGCGCGTACCTCAGGGCGCCGGTCTTCGAGTCCGTCATCAAGATGATCTCCATCAAGGGCTCCTACGTCGGCAACCGCAAGGACTCCGCCGAGGCCATCGACTTCTTCGCCCGCGGCCTCATCAAGGCGCCATTCAAGGTCGTCGGTCTGTCCGAGCTCGGCATGGTGTACGACAAGATGCACAAGGGCCAGATTGCCGGACGATATGTCCTGGATACCACCAAGTAAGCGACGGAGTGCTGAAAAGGTTCCGGAATTGAGGCGACGGATGTAATATAGAGCTCTTTCCTCTATCGTGACGGGGTGACGACTTATGATGTGGATTTGCGGAGTGGAGCGGGCCCTGGGATGTGGGGTAAAAGGATCATGGGAGGTCTTTCTCCGCTTCACTTGGAGCACTTACTGTACATAGTTTCCTATAGGGGAATTGACTCATGAGAACGCGCATCCTTCCTAGGCCATTTGTGCGTGATGCATTCTTGATCCCCGTGCCACTTGGCGAAGTGTCAGCAGCTAGAAACTCAGCCAGAGTTCTTGTAAAGCGGAGTATGAAGCAGGGCGATACTGACTGACCACATCGGAAAGGACCTTGCAAACGGGAGCCTGATGTGCTTCAACGCATTTCAACTGCGACGGTAGTGTCCTGTAAGATAAGCGGCAGCATGAAGGAGCTTCAACGAGCTTTACATGCGGAGGCCGAGGACGCGGGTCTACGATGATGTATGTGTATGAATCGACTCGTGCGGGCTGGAGTGCAGTGTGTTTAGGTACATGAATCGAAAAAGGGCAGTAGGTGATGTTCAGCGGGCTTTATATGCTTCATGTAGTATTATGTAAGGTAGTTATTGAGGTCTGCGCCATCAGGGTGCTGAACTCATTGCGCCGTTAGCGCCGTCCCTTTACGCCGCGGCAGAAATCGGTATCATGTACACATCGAACCCAACCCCCAAACCATCCTACGCAACTCCAGCTTCTCCAAAAAGCCCAGACCCACAACATTTCCCCAGTTAACCCCACGTGCCACCCCCACCCCGTCCCTGCCTCTTCTGCGCACTCAACCTCCAATCGTCCTCGCCCGCAAACTTATTGTGCAGCGGCTGAATGCGCTCCGCCTTCTTCCTCTTGCTCAGCCGATCCGTCGGCGCCACCTTGAAGAATGTCGGGGCGGCCTCTACCAACCACTTCGGCTCGATTGCGCTGACCACGTGCATGTATTCCTTAGTCGTCTCCACAAGCCATTGGTAGATGACGTGCTCGGCGGGCTTTCCGAAGAGCGCGCTAGATGGGTGTAGGAAGACGGGAGTGCCTTCGACGAGGGTCTTGTAGCCTTCGCTGGGGTCCTTGCGCGCGCTATTGCGGAAGAAGCCGCTACAGAGGGCTTGGCGGACTTTGATGGTGTTGCGGCCGCACGAGACGATTTGATGCTTGTGTCTAGCCATGATCTGCTGTAGCTGAACGCGGACATCCTTCACTCGGGCCATGTTGCGCGGCATAATGTAATTTTCGTGACACCTATTCTAGTCAGCACTGAGACAATAAATATGGATTTGTATCCGGGTCTTACGTACCATGGCACTGAATACCCTGACGCCTTCCACCCATTATACACGTTTAGCAGAGTCTGGTGATCGCCTGAGGGGTCGTGGAATTTAGCCTTCTTCTGGTCTGCCTGCTGCTGCTTGTCTCGAGGCCTATGGAAGATGTTCTGCGTAGCACTGATCATAGCAACGATCGTAAGGATCTCCTCTGAGCAGTTCATCTCCACTGACTTAATAAGGGCCTTGGAGAGAGACGGATCCATGGGGAAGTCGGCCATCTGACGACCGAGACGCGTAAGTAGGCCCTCATCGTCGAGGGCGCCTAACGAAAACAATTCCTCAAGTGCTGTCAAAAGGGTGTTCGTTGGTGGCGGGTCCATGAAGTCGAAGTGGAGGAGGTCATTGATACCCATTGCCTTTAACATCAATATTGTGTTACTAAGGTTTTGGCGCTGAATCTCAGGGATGGTGGTGGGCAGCATCTCGTTCTGAAATGCTGCTTCCGTATAAAGCCTAAAGCATTTTCCAGGACCGGTACGTCCGGCTCGTCCACTTCGCTGCCGTGCTTGAGCCTGTGAGATGGGCGTGATTTGGAGTCGGTCCATGCCGAGTTTGCCGTCGTAGCTGCTCTGCTTGACAAAACCAGGGTCGACGACGTAGTAAATACCGTCAATCGTCAAGCTAGTCTCTGCAATGTTCGTGGCGATGACGACCTTCCGGCTTCCAGAGGGTGCTGGTTCAAATATACGCGTCGCTACCTCGGAGGGTAGGGCTCCATAGATGGGAAGGATAATGAGTTCGGGCACCGAGGGACCAAGGTTCTTCATCCTCTCTGAAAGGATTTCGCAAGAACTATCAATCTCTTCTTTACCGGTGAGAAACAGGAGGATGTCTCCGGCAGCCTCCGTGAGGTGTATTTGCATGACAGTAACGAGCGCTTCGTCCAGGTAATCAGACACCGGCTCGCGTGCGTACATGATTTCGACAGGATAAGTCCTTCCTGGAATGGTGAAGATGGGCGCTTCATAGAAATATTGGGAGAACTTGTCGGCATCCAGAGTGGCGGACGTCACGATGAGCTTCATGTCCGGTCTCCGCTTGAGCGTCTTCTTGAGTAGCCCGAAAAGTACGTCCGTAGCGATTGTGCGCTCGTGTGCCTCGTCGAGAATTATACAGCTGTACTTGTTGAGCATATTATCTAGAAGGATTTCCCGCTGGAGAATGCCGTCCGTCATGTATTTGATCTTGGTGTCCGGACCAGTTTGGTCTTCAAATCGGATCGTGTATCCAACAGCGTCGCCAAGTCGGGTTCCTACCTCCTCAGCGACCCTCTTTGCTACGCTCATAGCTGCGACACGCCTGGGCTGTGTGCATCCGATCATCAGCTCGTTCGCGTAACCTGCTTCGGCCAAGTACTGAGTGACTTGAGTTGTTTTTCCGCTTCCAGTGTCTCCAATCAGAACTAATATCTGATTGGCCGAGATAGCTTCCAGCAGACTCTGGCGAAATTTGAAAACTGGTAAGCTCTCACGCTGTTCCTTGATGCTCATGTCCGTGCGTTTGCCCATGGAAGCTTTCGCCGAAGCAATTTTCTTCCACTCGGGCATAGCGTCAGGGGCCTGGTTCGTCCGAGTATTTCTTAGATCGCTAGCAAACTGCCGTTGCTGCGCCATGGGATCGTTCCATTGACTGCTCAGATCGACCTCTGCAGCCTCCTTTGCAGCCTTTTCTTGCACTTCTTGCTGTCGTAGTTCACGCCGTTCCCGGGCTAACGTATCTCCGGCCATTGCAGCACGGTTTAGAGATCCATCAGGAGCTTTGACCACACGAATAGGTGAGAGTTCGAGAGACTGTTTGGTCTGTCCCTGAAGAAAAGGTGGCTCCTCTTCCCGGACCTCAATGTCCACGTCTTCCTCCTCTTCGAAGCGCCCCTCCTCGTTGACATCCTCGTGGTCATGGAGGTCTGGGTCCTCGGAGCGAGGAATCACGCCGGCTGCAATCAATTGCTTGATTTCCCATCTCTCGGGTGAGGTCATCCGTTTTCGCATCCCGTTGTGCCGGCTGCTGAAGCTATCCTCAACCACAGGCACAGGATCGTTAGTACCAGGCGCTCCTCCGAGACCCTGCATGTTGGCGCCAGACGCTATTCGAGCCTGGGGAGCCAAGTCGCGGCCGGTTCGCTGGTCCACCTCTTTCATACTTAGACTGAGTCGCGATCCCTCTTTCTTGATCACCTTCACCTTTACTTCTTGCCATCTAGACACGAGATCAGAAGGATGATTGACCCGAGCACCGTCTTGAATCTGCGTAACGTGCACGAGCCCATCGACTTTGCCACGGACACCTTGGAGATTCACAAAGACGCCAAAGTCCTTCACGCCGGTGACCTTGCCATTGTAGACCTTGTATAATATCGGCTCATCGTCTAGCTCGGGCGTGGGCGGGCGGCGGAACTCGTCGATATCTTCGTCCCTGTATTTGCGTCGCGAGCGCTTGGTATCGTGCCGCTTGACCGTCCTTGTGCGGCCGAACTCGTCTTCAAAGACGTAGTCCTCGTTGCGCTCGTCACGCCGTCTCGGACTCCGCGAGCGCGATCTTGACCGTGACCTGTATCTGTGGCGCTTGCTCCTACTCCTGTCCCTCTCTTCCTCGTTGACTGGACTCATGCTCCTCTTCCTCGATGACCGCTCCTTCGGCCTACTCGCGCCCTTCCCCGCCAGACCCTCCAACATAGCGAACGTATCGTCTAGAGCGTCGGTCTGTGGTTTTCCATTGTCTTCCTGGTCGTTCTCGGCGTCGTACTCCACCTCCTTGTCCGGAATCGCCAGGCCCTTGAACACGCGCGTCTTGCGGTCGACAGCATCCTCGGCGCCTTCCTCGTCTGCGGCTGCCTTCTGCCCATTTGCGCCCTTGTTCTTGTATTTTGGATGCATCGTGAGCACCGCCCGGTCGATACTCTCGATCAGGCTTTGAGGGAAATCGGCGCCCATGGCCTCGAGCTGGGCCTTGAAGTCGACGAGATTCTTCGACTTGCCATGCTGGTCGATGACGAACTCGGCGAGTGTCTTCTCGGACACGCCAAGGTGGTTTTGGATTTCGGAGGTGACTTTTGAGACGAGCGAGAGGTACTCGAGGTTCGCGAGGTCGTCCATGGTGGGTGTTGGCGATCCCTCAGAGGTGTAGGGTGTGGGTGTGGAGGTTTATTGAATAGAGGAAACGCATCTGAACATTTGTTGAAGCTCGAGGTAGGCAGCATCAGCCACGTGATGCCAAGAATCCAATTTCTCCGAGCCGTGAGCCAACCAGCGCTGACTACCTCCGCGCCCAGCAGCCTCATCTCACCTGAGAATCTCGAGCCGAGCCCAACTTCTCTCCAACACTCTCGCCCATCAGGAACCTCCAAGCTTCCACACCCAGGCTCACAATGAGTTCCACACGAATTTTCCGCTCGACACCGAGCCTAGCATCGTCGCTGAATACTGCGGTGCTCCTGTACTGCAATTACGAGCTGTACCGCGTCTGGAAAGGAACGCACCCCTACTTTTCCCCGCGACTCGAAGCCTCCGGTCTCCTCCAAAAGCCCACGGATACAGCCGCAAACACCGCCGGAAACAAGCCCGCTGAGAAGAGAATAGAGGCGTTGGAAAAGAGCGAAGTGGGCTGGACAAATCTGAACGGGATCCCGATACCGAGGTTCGAGATGCTGATACGACCGTTTCGCAGGGATTGAGGGTTGGGTCTCAGTGGAAGAGCTGGCACAGAAGTTGTAGATATTTAGGGGAGAGCGCTGGGAGCCAATAATGGATGTTGACGTGTGGAAGACGCGATTGCGGGTGTTTGAGACATCGTCCGTGGCAGGACTATTCGACGGCATTTACGTTCAGGTTCATACTTCTCCTTTCTCCACTGGAAAGGCGCTAGGACGTTAACAAAGAGGGGGCGCAACGGGCTATCCATTTCAACTCACGACACACTCTCAACATTATCGACCGCTGGTGCAGCAGCACGGCAGCTTTCTGGTACGGCATGCTTAAGTCGCTAAATGAAAGAAAAACATTCGCACTTCCTCCGCCATGCCATCATACTACTGCACTACCTAAGGGCCGTACCATCTTGTTCATGTCTTGCTACTCCTGCTGTGTCGTTTTAGCCATACCGGCCTGCGGAGTCACGATCGAGAGTATGGTATTCTTGCTCACGGGAGGCATATAGGAGGTTTCTGGTCAGAATAAAAGCCTTTGTTGGCACTCTCTTGAAGCCCCAAGCAACTTTGCTCCTATGTGAGATGCTTTCGAATTTGGAGTTGAGAGGAGCCCAAAGCAGAGTGTACACATGTATGTCCACTATTTCCGGAACCCGCCCGCTAAACTGCAGCATTGAAAAGCATATCCTCTCCAAAGAGGGAACTGGCGGGAGCCCATCGTCAACCAACACTCGCGGACAGACAAGGTCGAAACGCTCAGTCATTGTAATTCACAATGCCCGAACCGTCCTTATTCGCCCTGGGGATCCCATACCGCTCAGCGAGGTCCTCCTCTTGCGACTTGCTGTTCGGATCGAGATACGGCCGCTCCGCCTGAGAGCACACCCTCACCGCATGCCGCCGATGCGGCGCAAAGCCATAGCTCGCAGAGTGATTCTAATCACAAAACATTAGCCTCCTTCCTCACTCCTCTCAGGAAAAAGCGGCGAACGAAAACACTCACACAAACCCGATTATCCCAAAACGCCACATCTCCCTCCCCCCACTGAAACCTGACCTGAATCTCTGGACTCGTCGCCACGATCTCATTGAGCAAAGCGATGACATGGTCGCTCTCCGTCTTCGGCACGCCGACGATCTTGGTCACGAAGCCCGGGTTGAAGAACAGGCTCTTCCAGCCTGTCACGGGGTTCGTGCGCACGAGCGGATGCGCGGTGACGACGGGCTCGCGGCGTACCGGACGCCCGAGGTCCCGGCTGCCTTGCGCTTGCATGTGTGCTGAGTGCAGCGCGGTCAGCGAGGAGAGGTAGGTCTGCATCGAGGGCGAGAGCATGTCGTATGCGGCGTAGCCGCTGGACCAGAGCGTGTCGCCGCCGCCGCCGCGCGGGGGGCCGGTGAGCACTTTTAGAGAGGTGTAGGAGGGGGGTTGGAGTTCGTAGGTTACCTGATGGGTTAGCATGATGGGTATGAGGGGGTATAGATAGGTGTATAGTTAGGTAGGTAGGGTATAAGCTCAACTCACATCCGAGTGCCACAAAAACGTAGGCGTAAACATAGCCCGCAGATCCGGACTCTCCTCCCCCGTAAACACAACATGCACATCCTCCCACCCCTCTCGCCTCGGCACCGCAGTCGTAGCATGCCTATGCAAGCTCCCGAAATACCGCCCCAGCTCGCGCTGCTTCTCGACATCGAAGCTCCTCTGGTTCCTGAAGAACACAACGCCACGCGTAGCAATCAGCCGCGCGAGATCGTTCTTCTGCGCGTCAGTCAAGCTGGCGAGATCGACGCCGTGGATCTCGGTCCCGATCTTGGGGTTATAGTCGAAGACGTCGGTTGCGCCGCTGAGCAGGTGCTTGAATGCTGGGTCGCCGAGGAGGCCTTTGTCGTGGTAGGGGACTTCGGTCAGGGGCGGCCAGTGGAGGTCTGGGAAGCGCGGCCGGAGGTGCTCGTGTGCGTATGTGGTGTCGGAGTGCTTTTGGATGGCGGTGCGGCCGGGGGTGTAGCTGTGGGCCTGGGCCTGTGGTTTGAGGGTGGGTTTGGTGTCCTTGGATGGGACGGTGGAGAGGTGTGGAGTAGTCTCGACTAGAGCTGGTGCCATTGTGATTGAGTTGGCGGGACTTGAAAAAGTGGGCGATATTGGGACGTCGAGGGTTGGGAGTTCCGAGGATCACTGGACGGACTGGTGGGAACTGTGATAGATTAAGGCGGACTTGAAGTACCAAGCTGGGAGAATATCGTAGAGGAGTTCCTGATATACGGCTGATCGATACAAGTAGGCCACTAAACGGAGGAAAAGGAAGTTCTTCCGGGTCCCTAGACCGATAATGCGGTCGTGCAAGACAGGAGGAAATAGTTTGCTTCTTAGTGCGGAAAGACTAGAATACTTTACGTATTCCCGGAGAATCTAGAGAACAGAAAAGCAAACAAAGACTGGAACACAGTGACTTAAATACCGAAGCGCAAGGGCATCACGCCGTCCTAGCCCAATACTTCCCTGCTTAACTCATCAAAAGCTCCGAAGAGCTTGCGCAATCGCACACCATCGCCCTTCGCACGGACGTAGTAGCCGCAATTTCCCCACAATGTAAGTAAATGTCAGGCCGGGGAAGCGGACTTTGACAGATTCGGAAAGGTAACGGCGCAGGAGGCGCATATATTCGTAGACGCGGCACTGCAAGGCACCATTTTTCCAGGTACAGCTCCGAAAGCGGAGTCAGACTGTATGACGAAGACCTCTGAAGCAAGCACTTTCAAGTCGCACGAAGCCACTGAGAGCGTAAGCTTCCAAGATGAGTACACCCAGCATACATAGAGACAGTGTGCCCATCCCCTTCATCGAACCAAGCTTTCTCGACCGCACAAGCCTAGAAGCCCCAAAGCAAACAAGAACACAGCGTATGCGATCTCCACTTGACGTTGGCAGCAGTCGAAACAGTGTCAGTCGATCTTGCATGACAGGAGCCGCGCTAAGCCTATTCCGGAAAGGCGATGAGAATTGCACCATCTCCTCGCAACATCACGTCTTAGCATTTTGTCGGGTACCGATGCATATGTAATGCCCCTACGCTTGGGAGTCAGGATGACAGTGCTTTCACCGCTGCAAAGCTCCGAATCCCTTTAGGCTAGGCGGAAATCGAGATTTGTAAGTCTTGAATTGAGGTACGACTGGGAAGGTGACTTTCGCCCGGACGATGAGGTATTTTACTGTGCATTTTGTGCTAGTTTCTCCTCGTGGATGGGGATGGGCTAACGCTCCCTTGGTTGCGTGCGTGTTCGAGATCTGCGGGTGACGACTGGTGTACGCGTCTGCCTCCGCGGTGAGGCTGTACATTTTCAGCATTCATCTGAAACGAGGCGAAAGCTAAGTCCACCGATGATGCTGGCGGAGTAATCCCATTCTCTTGATATTTCTGCTCTCCGAACTTCTCGTAAGCAACGTAACCATTGACCCTTGCATTATCTCCACTCTTCTTAGACCATCCACATCAACGGCGCTTTCATGAGCCATCCACATTCCACCTTTTCAAAGCCAAGACACTCTCTCATCCAGCTTCTTGTCCGAGAAAGGCCCCAGCTGAAGTATTAGGGTCTAGAAGATGAACTCGTTTAACCGCGAAAGGAGCGCAAAGGGTTTGATGGATATAAGATAGGCTCAAAACACTTCCCACAGACTAACCTTGCCATCTTTAGCGCCCGCAACAACCCAATGCTTAAGCTGCATTCTTTCCTCTCTCTGACGCTGCAACCTCCCGAGCCCAGTTTCTCGTTTCGCCACCTCGTCACCGCCCAAACGCTGCTCTTCCTCGAGCTCCTGATCCACGCTTGCATCTGGGCTGGCCGGATCGTCTGCGCCCAGAACCTCTCCAAAGTCGACCGCATACACACCTTCTTTATGCCACTTCAGCACTGCCATTTCCTTCAGCGTCTTCGTGCTGTATATTCTCACTCTGCTGTCCCAGCCGCCGGTGACGAAGAGACGGCCGTCTGAGCGGACGCGGAGAGACTGCTGGCCGGAATGCTTGGTATTGATGGTTTTGTGCGGTGGCTGAATAATTATAGGGGCGGGGAAAGCTGGTGGAGAGGGGTTGAGCTGAGGTTGCGCTGCGGCTGAGGAGAGGAGAGATGAGAGGCCTCCTGACTTCGATTGGGATCCCGCAGCATGTGATGGTGACGAAATGGTTTGTTTGGAGAATGAAAGAGGCGAAGTGGTTGCAGAAGGGGCTATAGGCTCTCTCGAGATATCGAGGGGCTCTGATGATGCATTTGCCTTTACTGTCTCTGTTCCTTCTCCTTCTTGCGCTGATGGTTCTAGTAGTACAGACGGAGCAAGCCCATCAATGTCCCGTGACGGTGCCGTGGGATCCACCATAATCTCCGGATTTGGTGTGAGGTTTGTGGATGCCACTGAGCTTGGTTGGTCTGATAATGCCTGGCCAATTTGCCCAGCGTTCTCGATATCTTTAGAAGAGAGAGATTCGTCGCCATCACCATGCTCGATATTAAGGGGCATCTCTGGAATCCGATGCGCAGCAATGACTGCATCGGCAGACGACGTAAAGTACATGTTGGGATCTGGCAGCGCATCAAGCGACAAAACGGGCTGCGTATGGGGTTGGCTGAGGTAGATGGCTTGGGCAAGTTTCGGTATTGATTTTCCTGTTGGTAGACGAGTACGAGGCAGTAGATGAACTGCGGTGAAACCGCCCTCGTATCCGGCGATTAAAACGGTGTTGTTGGATGACGGGTGGTACGCGAGCTTCACAGCCATCACCATACCTGAAGGTTGTCAGCGGAACGTTCCGATTGTGGTGGAGACGTGATGCGCCATTCCCGGCGGGGTGTAATGTATATTTAGAAGGGGGCTGCAGACTTTCGTATCTGAGGATATGCAGCCGGAAAGGCGGCCAGATAAAGGAGCGTTCTTACCTGTATCAGCTGTCTCGACTCGAGGCACGATGTACGCTAGTTTCTCGTCTGGGAGACGATAGACTTCTATCTTCCTGTCGTCTCTGGCAGGCACTGCTACCAGGATCGAATCGCTAGAGACGGCTGAAAATGCGTGCCCCTTTTCCGACTCCGTCTTACTCCCCTGCGTGCCATCGTAGCACATGGAAAATGCGCAGAAGTTGAGCGTATTCACGGGTAGGGAGTGCAGCAACCATGGCTTGGGCCTGTGTGTACCGGATCCATCCGCAGGGGGGACAGTAGACAGACAAAGAAGATGCGTATGCCGCAGCTGCCATATTCTGAGCGTGTTGTCGCGCCCGTGGCTGGAATGAAGGGTCAGCCGTGGGTGGTCGACAGCTCGCATGCGAAAGTGGGAGGATAGTGCTGAATCCGGGCACGTACTGATCCCCCTTCCACGGAAGGTCGCATGAACGAGGAAAACTCACGTTATGAGCTTCTCACGGCCCCACGGTGCAGTCCCTAGGATGGCTGCATCGTGAGCCCTCCAGACAGCCAAGGGCCGGTTGGACTCCAGCCGCCACAGCACGATCCATCCGTCAGCGTCGCCGGTGACAAGGCGGGTGTTGCGGTGCACAATCTGGATGCTGTGGATCTGGGCAGCGTGACCGCGGAAGATGTAGCTGGGCTGCGCAGCGGCAAGCGTGGACGGCTGGCGCTCGACATGGACGGCCATGGGAGGAGCGGGAGGTTCTCCGGCCGCCGCAAGCCAAGCTGAGGCAGTGATTACGGCAAGCCGGAGCGAGGATCGACGCTGGGGATCGGAGCGAGCTATCTCAATTAACTGCACGGGCCAACGAGCGGCGAGAGCGAGCGGGTTCACGTCACAGAGGGCGTCGCTGGCGTCGCAGAAGCACGCGCTAGGGGCAGCGACACGCGCGGGTTCTGCCCCGGCCGCTCTGAAGTCCGCCGGGACGCACACAGACACGAGGCCGTCAATTGACAGCGACGAACTGTCGCCAGGCTGGATGATTCTGTGCAGCTGCAGCGGGCGGTGCGCGGGCGTGGGGGCAATGGGTAGCGAGCGGGCGCTGTCGCCGTCTATTTTGGGGGACCCCGGCCTGGCTTTGCAAGATTCGACAAGAATAGCCGCAGCTGGGCAGCTCGCGGGCCCCCAGAGGCGCAGCTGCCCGCTTCAAATTGCTGCCTCTCGCCTCTCCCATCACCTCGACCTCCACCCAGCATTCTTCGGCATTCGACATGCCCGCATCGCTAACTCCAGTCGTCGCTCGTCTCTTTCTATCGTAGCCGCCGCGACTGCCGCCCCGTCACTCGCAGCCAGCCGGGGGTAGAAGGCCCTTCGGTCGCGCTGCCCCCGCCAGTCCACCCCCATGTCTCACACTTTTGCGGTGCCCGTGCAAGTGCCCGGAGTCTCGCGCGCGGCGCCAGCCAGCAGCTTCGTCAACAAGGAGCCCGCCGGCAGCGAGCAGAAGCAGGAGCCCGCCAGCAAAGAGAGCACGCCCGCGCAGCCGACCAAGTCCAAGCGGGTGCGCTCGGGATGCTTGACCTGCAGGGACCGACACCTCAAGTGCGATGAAGTGCGGCCCGAATGCCACAACTGCCGCAAGTCTAACAGAGGATGCCATTGGGGCATCCGCCTGAACTTCCTCGAGCACAGCTGCAACAACCCGCCTGTGCTTGTGCCGCCCGTTCCAGGTTGGCGCGTCGCCTTTCAGGACGAGTCCAGGAACATTGCCTCTGAATATCAAGGCGGCCTGGCGCGGTACAGGCCGTACTCGCCAGAGGAGCGATCATCGAACGTGGAAGGAGCAGCCAACACATACGCACACGCATACGCTTCCCAGGCACTTAATTACCATCAACAGCAGCCACATCCCCAGCCGCAGCCGACCCGCTATCAGCAGCACACTCCTGATGACTCCTCATCCTCCGCCGGCACCGCCGCCCCGGATATGCCCACCGACTATGAGCTAGACGCCTTCAGGAGCCCTGATTCCCACGTCCGCATCAGCCCAATGCCGTCTCAGCACCGAACGAACCCCACATCACGTGACTACCTGCACAACCAGGAGGAGGTCCTGTTCATGCAGGTCTACGTCGAGGAGGTTGGATTGTGGATGGATAGCATGGACTCGCGAAAACACGTAGGGCAATCTCTTTCGTATGAGCCCCGGCACCTCTCGCTTTCCCTACTGCGCAACTCGTCTACATGAATACAACGCTGGAAACTAAACCATTTGTAGTTCTCACGTCTTCTCCCATTCCATGCCTTGAACGAACCCATGCTTCTCAACGCCTTCCTAGCATGTGGCGCTCGACATCTCGCCCTGGTTAATCCCAAATACACCGAGGATAAGGCCTTGGGATACTACGACGTAGCCACCCGCCACCTGCTCGAGTCGCTGCAAGATCCAACCCGAGATAGGGTCCTCTGTGCGACCACTGCAGTCATACTAAACGTATATGAAATCATGTGCGAAAAAGCCCTGCAGCGGATGAACCATATCGCTGGTGCCCGGGCGCTTATCAAGGAGTGCGGCTGGAACGCGACGTCGACAGGCATCGGTACGTATTCTCGCTCCGGACCACAAATCCTGGAGGTCTGAGACTCTTCATTGACAGAGTATTGGCTAACACTCTGTAGGGGCGGCTTGCTTCTGGCTCAATGTCGGCATGGAGCTGCTCAGCTGCCTACATTTCAACTGGCAGGTAGCATGGAACCCTGATGAATGGGGCGTCGACATGGACTTTTCGCGCGACATTGACTCCAGCCGGGAAGAGATATGGACTCATCGCATACTCTACATTATTGCAAAAGTGTGCAATTTTCGCGCCTCTATTCCAAGGGACCAACATGTCGCCAGCCAGACCCTGCAGACACGGTATAGCGAGTGGCAGCACTTGCTGAAGATGGCAGACGACTGGAACGCGAAGATCCCCCGCACCATGCATCCCATCGCCTACCTTTTTCCTGGCCATACCCTGTCCGGGTCCGCATTCCCCGAAGTCTGGATAATCAAGCGCGCGTCGGTAGTCGCACGGCTCTTTTACCACACCTGCATGTGCTTGCTGGCGCAAACGAACCCCGTCCTCAGCGCCGACGACCACGACGGCGAAATGGGAATACTGCTGGACAAGCATGCGCAGTTAATATGCGGCATCGTAGCGCACGTCAAAGACCGGGGAGTCGCCAGCGTCGCCCTACGCTCTCTCGCCATCGCAGCAGAATCTCTGACAGTTCGCGCCCAACAGGAAGAAGTCCTCCAAATTTTCGACAAGATCCGCCAGGAGACGGGCTGGCGCGTTGACTTCCTCAACAAGGAGCTGAAGGAGAAGTGGGGCTGGAACAACCAGCCTCAGGAACAACAGTCACGGCAGCAGATGGAATCCGTCTCCACCGACGAATTGTACCGACGGCAGGCCCAGCAAGCAGTGCAACAGGCGCAACAGGCACAACAAGCTCAACAAGTCCAACAAGCCCAGCAGGCACAACAAGCACAACAGGCGCAGCAGGCGCACCAGATGTATCAAGTCACTGCTCAGCCCGTCATGCCCCCTACCCCGGCTTCGCTCCCACCGCAGCAGTTACCCCAGCGACCTTCGCCTGGCCTGATGAACCCCCTCATGGCACAGGCCGACTTCAGCTACCCCCAGCACCCTTACCAATCCTACTACGTGCCTCCGATCACCCTGCAAACATCACAGCAGCAGCAGCCATCGCACCCCCACCAACAACATCCTCACCAACACCCACAGCATCCGCCTCCACAAAACGGGGACTACTTCTAATCACCCCCAGACTCTCGTCTTTCTTCTCTCCGCTGTATTAATATCACGCTCTGAAGCGTCTTGGGCTATTCCTTACACGCACGTGCGGCATGGTTTCTTTTCCTACGAATTTACGAACTCCAGTGCATCCCTGGTCGCGCGGTGTTGCGTCGCGCGAGGATGGTATGGTATGGTATCGGAAGGCATGGTATACTGGGCTGGTAATAATCGCGACGTCTTTAGCATCGACCAATGAATGGGCGGCTCAATATACCCCTGGGAAATAGGCATGGAGAAAAATGGAAGTGCTTATTGTTTTGTGTTCAGTATCGTCTTCTTCATCTGCTTGCTCTTGCTCGTATTCGTGCTTTTGGCGTACGATGGGACCTTAGGGATAGATTCGCCAGGTGAGCTGGTGCTGAAACTCTGGCCTTAATAGGTAACGGATACATGAATGTTAAGAGTCAGAGCCAGTGCGAGGGAAGTGATGATTCGTAGGCGTCAACGACATAGGAACAGTGTAACATGAGTAGAGAAAAGCATTTCTTCGACATGGTGTGCTCGCTGCGGTCGTCCTATAAAAGAATCTTTAACTATGACTTCTGATCAAACACGTGAAAATTCATAAGCCCCTGACGTACAATAATGCTCATTCAGCCGCGTATTCCACACTTCTACGCCAGCTGTTCGCCCCGCGTCTCCTCCAATTCCCTCCAGTCCTTACACACCACGAGCAATTGTTGGTAGCCGGCAGATCTTTGAGTATGACTTGATGTGAGTCCGTTGTCCGGAAGAAAGCCAGCAGCTAACCGAACATCTTGGGACACCCACGCAGTCGGGTGGCCTAGATCTGGCTTCCTCAAGCGCGGCCTAACAAGCCATCGCAGTGGAGGCCATGCTGTGCTCTGCCTGCCAAGGAACTACCCGGACGCCGACGCCCCTGCCCTCCGCTTCTTAGTCCATCTTGCGGTCGTTCAACGCTAGATAGAATGTTGAATAGCTGCCTTCCTCTAGTAGGCCCTGAGAAGGTTGTACTGTGGTCTCTGCCGACGGATATGGCGCAAACTCTCCATAAGACTCTCGGCCAGGGAGAAGATGTGCTACACGGTTGCCCGTGGAGGCTGAGGCCTTCGGAATGTCGCCCGTCCGAAGGGGTAAATATAGATGCGTTCGCCGGAAGGCAACCGAGGAGTGCGCCACCATATTAACCAATGATGCTCTGTCCTTCTCTTTATTCATCCACAGTGCTGAACCGCTTGACAGAGAGCCAATGCCCTCTGCCTTTATCCTAGCAGAACAGTAGACCGAGCCAGGCCACGTAATGGACGAATGGCATCCTCTCTGAAGGATTGATCGGACGGTAAGGCGTCGCCATGGGGAAGAAATTGATCACTTCTCAAAAGCATCCTGATCGAGCGCTGTCGGCTTCAATGGCGGTTCATTAGTGCTAATTGAATAGCGATGCTGCCTTCACGATGGGGAAGAAACGCAGATCTCGGTCTGGGGTCGATTGGAGCGGGACGACCAAGGGTGCTCCTCGTAACCGAAAATTCTGTCTGTCGTAGTGGTGGGAGGCCGCAGGCGGAGGCAATTCAATAGCTCTCCGTAATGCGTGGCCTTCACATGCAACATTAGCCCTGAACCCCGAAAGAATTGCGGTCAGACCATACATACCTTCGACAGCCTCGCGCAATGGACGAATGGCGTCCTCTCTGAGAAGCTCGTTCTGCGTCGCTTCACCTCTTCCCTCACCCGCACCAGCTATGCGGGCGGCCATTAAGTCGCGCTTGATGTGAGTCCGTAGTCCGGAAGGAAAAAACAAAGCGCCGTATCACCAGAGGCGACCGGCGTATGAAACAAGTGGAGAGAAGTTTGCTTTTGCGGGCAGCTAACGCCCGCAAAGAGAGTCGAGGGGGTGAGGTGGAGGAAGAGAGGAACTGAGGGAGCGAGAAGAGTTTAAGTGCTTGTTTGTTTGCCAAGGATATGGTTACGTCAGTGAGAGAGTTGGGAGGAAGCCGCGACGGTCACTTGACAAGCGGTGTAGCGTCATGTTGCGCTCATGCACACCTACCTAGGTAGGTGTAACTTTGAAAACGATAGGTCAAGCCCAAGAGATCTGTGCGCAGTGTGGGTGCTGCTGTAGAATGCAATGTCATACACAATCGTCAAGTCCCGTCCCATGCGATTGGATGGTAGCAAGTCGTTGAAAGCCAGTACGGGGCGAACATGGAAGGACAAGGCTGTTTGAACTCACCGCTCCAAGGGGTGTTCGCCTGTCAATACTTCGCCGAGACACACATACACACCTGTATAGCAAAAGACATGGTGCGGGGCTGCTCAATTCTATTACCTCTCCGGCCAATCCCAAATCTCATTCCACCGCTCATATCCGAACTCTACCGGCCCATCAAACCGCCCAAATCGTGGCTGTCCGATCCCCGGTTCCGGAAGACAGACCCATTCTCTTATGCAGCCAGGCACTTCCTGCCTACTATGACTCACGCACAAGAAGGCTTGATGCTCCTGCAATCCCGGCACTACCACCTTTCCTTTCTTGGCAATGCTGCTCTCCACCGGGCTGGGACCAGCGTTTGTATAGTGCAATTCCATGCTCTCTCCCCGGCTGAGGAACAGTAGACACTTGTCGCGAACTAAGTCATCCATGCCGGAGAAAGCTTCGTCCAGGATTACGATGTCAGGATTACTGATCGTGGCGCGAAGGAAGAGGAGGACGCGTTGGGCGGAGAAGGAGAGCTCGCCGAACATGAAGTGGGACGCCCAGGCGAGGTTGCCGCTTGACGTTTCGCCATCTTTCAATGTTGGATTCAGTTCGGCTTCGAACCACTTCAAACAAGCCTCTACCCTGTTTGAGGCTTCGGCGTCGAGTCTGGGTTTCGTGATCGGTGTGTCGCTCCATGTGGACTCAAGACTGCGTCGTATAGAGAGATTCTTTGGGAAGAGAGCATGCACTTCCGGCGAAGAATGGCCCATCCGAGACTGGATGTCGAATATCGTAATGCCGGGAACTCCTGGAGCTGGCAGTCGTGAGCGTTGGAAGATCTTGACAGGTGCCGAGTATGTTTGGGGGTGGTCAGAGGTAACAAGACTGAGGAGTGTGGTCTTTCCAGAGCCATTTGCGCCAAATATGCCCCATCGCTCTCCGCGACGGACCGTCCACCACAACCCGTCTTTCTCCGAGCCATCGACATCCTGCTGCCAGTCGCCAAGCACGGAGTTTGTGCCGTACTTAACTCGCACGCCCTCCATCTCTACGATGGGTTCCCTAATCTTGGGTGATGTCTTATCAAGCTTCTCGTATCCGTCACAACTCAGCTTAGACACTTGCGCACTGTACGCTTCAAAATCCCCTCTTTCCGAGAGGTGTCGGCCGACTTCTCGGAGCTCGACCAGCTTCGAATCGAGTTCATGGCCTTTCCCTGCGCGAGCACTCATCGATATCTCTATTTCTTCATACTCCCGCTTGAGATACTGAAACACCTCCTCTTTCGGCCCAAGTGCGTCGACTTTCCCATCCTCGCCCGCATAAACGACATGAGTGATCCACGGCGGGATTACATCCTGCGGCCTCAGCGAAAGCACGATCCTCGGCGCATTCGCTTCCGCAAGACGATGTAGCACCTGAGAAATATGCTGCGACACGAATGGATCCAAGCCAACTGCGACACCATTAGCCTTCCTTCCTTCCTTCAAACCTCTTAATGGCATTTACTTACTAAATGGCGCATCCAAACACAGCACCTCTGGCCTCATCAAAAGTGCCTTCCCTATCCTCGCTCTCCGGCTCTGCCCATTGCTCAACGTGCTAACCGGCTTCTCCAGAAACCTCTCCAACTCAAGATCCCGTACCACCTTCCTCATAACATCCGGTTCCGGCGTCTTTTCTTTAATGACCTCCTCGCCCGGATTCATCCCCACGATGCCAGTCAAATAGTGCGCAAGCGTGAAATCCGTCTCTTCTACTCTGCTCTCGTAGCGCGCCGAAAGGTACGCACCACCAAAGGGTTTGCGCTCAACGTCAAATCCCACATACTCGATTGCACGCTCCGGGAAGCGCAGTTTAGGGTTCTTGGAGTTTATCTCCTCAGTGAGAAGGTAAGGAAATGAGCGCGCCGTGGGCGGGAAGCAGAGCAGCTGTCCACGAAGAATCTGAAGAAAGGCGGTCCTTATATTCGACGAGGGGCTCAGAATGGCCCAATGCTGGTTCGGCGTCGCGAAAGAAGGAAGAGAAAGACTCAAATCGGGAAACAATGGCGGATTAGGCGCTGCATCATGCTCCAGTTTCGATGCTGGATGTCGCCGGTAAAAGGTGCCATTGGTGATCCGCACTATGGGCTCTGAGTACCGTCTCCTCGTGCAACTGAGCCGCGCACATCTCGAAGCTGCGAAGAACAGAGTCGGTGTTCTTCGCATGTCGAAGGATTGTCGATGTTTGACTCTCCCGGATGGATCTTAACCTTCCTGCGTGATGGGCAGATTTGGCACGCCGTAGCAAGGCTAATCGGAGAGCGATCCGACTCCGCGACACGCGACCATGACGTCGGCAGATTAAGAGCCGAGGTTCATTTACGACATTACAGCTGCAGCGGCTCCGCGCATAGTGCGAGCTTGAATGAACCTCACTCCAGCTGCTGGCGATGCTTTCCGCATTGCAGCCCTCGCGGCCAAAGGTACCGTATCCCGTTCACGCCCGTGTCCCATACTACTAATATCCTGCCAGCCGGCACAGCAAACCTCGCGCCCAGCCTACGCTCATCAACAGACGCGCGCGACACATGAGACCCCGCACCACTCTGTACCCCTCTCAGACGCACCCAATCTCTCCAAGCCCATGAGCAATCCGAATCCTCCCAAACCGCGATCGCAAATAGAAGCCATGCCGCCGTTCAGTCCCGCAGCGCCTATGCTGCCAACACAGCGGATGGTGTACGACAGCGCGGTGCGACACCCTGTCTTCTTCACCGAGCAGCTCCGCAAACCGCCCTTCCCGATACCACAGATAGCAAGCCAGGGTTGGAGCCCGGTCGCGAGCGGATATATTCAGGAGCAGAGGAAGGCGGACGCGAGCGGGATACCTAAGACGAAGCTGTGAGGATTTGGCACACTCATGACGGCTAGGACGGCAAGTGAGTGGGAAGATATGAGACGAGATTATACAGCATGTAGCGATGCTGTTCATGGACATGATGGATTTGTACATGCTTCTTGTGCGGAGCTTGACGAGGGTCTCGGTGTTCGTATAATGGGAAGGAGAGACGCTCGTGCGTGTCCAGGCACCTCAGGGCGCCACCCCACATAGGTATCTTATGATGGAAAGTCTCAGAGCGTAAAGCTAGATAGGTGGAGAAGGTCGTGCTGGTATTAGCAACAGCAGCACTGGATTGCATCATGCGCAGGCGTAAGGAGTGTCAGCAAAATCGGAGGTCCTCCCAAGTATTTTCAAGCTCCATTAGTATGCCCATCTCCCCGATTCAGAGGTTTTCAATATCACAAATTATTTGAGCAGGTCATGATTCATTACTATAGCAAACCCAACTTTGAGCGAGGATTGTGCCCCATGAAGTCCTTCGACGTATCAAACAGTCACCAAAAGTCTGAACATTTCTAGGGCTGAAGGGACTCAATGTGCCTAGGAGAGTTCCCCGGGCCCATGAAAGAGAGGATTCCTCACCCCCTCACCTCGTGATCCTCTTGAAAATCTCCTCCTGACTCTTCAAATCCTGCTTGAACAACTTCGTCTGCTCTGCGACACGATCGAGATGCTTCCTGTTCAACTTCTGACCGTCCGCCATTGCAAGCCCCAGTGCCGTGCTCACCACATTTCTTATCTGCCGCCCGTTGAAGTTGAGCTTGCGCCCAGTGCTCTGGATCCATTTTATCAGGTCGTTGATATCGTCAACTAGCTTCTTCTCTTGCAGCTGCTCCAGAAAGGCGCGGTAGATGTTGATCTGCTGCTCTTGCGTGAGCTCTTCGTACTTGATAGCGATATGAATGCGCGATTGGACGGCGATGTCGAAAGATTTCATCCGGTTGGTGGTGAGGATTAGGATGCCGTCGTAGTATTCGAGGACACGCAGGAGGACTGGCAATTAAGTTAGCCGATGCCAGCGCCTTCACGGAGCTGGGGAATAGTGCGAACCGGAGACCATTGCGTTCCGCCTCAAATCATTCTCTCCCTCGCCACGAGCTTCAAGGAAGACGTCGGCCTCATCGCTGCAAGTGGTATTTAGTAAAGAGGAACCAGGGTCGACTGCATGACTTACAACAAGAGGACAGCTTCCCATTTTCCAGCGAGGTCGAAGACTTTCTGAAGATTTGCTTCGACTTTGTCGCCTTCGATCCCAATATCCGACACGCCAACAGAAAGCAGTGGCTTACCTGCCATCAACGCCACGCTTTCAGCGGTCAGAGTCTTACCAACGCCGGGATATCCTTGTCTAGTCAGCTTCGCGTTCTATTGCGCTCCAGCAGCGGTATGAAGGCGGTAGCACTTACCGTACAGCATAATCACCAGTCCCTTGCCTTTGTCCGGAGCGAAGTCCTGGAGAGCCTTAGTCCGCCCACGACTAATCGTCTCCTTGCCCAACTCATGTGCTTGCACTGATTTCTCCACGAGCTCTTTCAGCTCGTCATCAAGCTGGAGCTTTTGGCGGAAGGTACTAGCGTCGGCTTCGTCTGGTTCGCGCAGGTGATCGACGAGGAGCTGCGCCCATTTCTTCTGCTTCAACGCATACCCTAGCACTCTGGGAGGGCACATCATGTACTGCTCGTAGGTCAAAGCTTTGTTGCGTGGGTGCTTGTCCCAGTCGAACTTGTACATGTCGCGGAATATCGGATTCGCTCGTCGCTCTGGGGACAGGCTCTCTAGCTGACCCTCGTATCTTTGCAAAGGTCCGAGGATGGGAGTGTTCGGTGAGAGGTATTCAAAGAAGGATTGGAAATCCACCATGGTAGTGCCATCAACCTGTCCTGAACTTAGTCTCCATATCGAAGAAGGCTGGTGAGGACACAGACCCTTTTCTTGCTTACGCTGCGCATTTCATTGCGGAAGTTCTCGTCATTGAATCTAGACAGCGATGAGGAGTCATCCGCTTGCCGAATCCCCTCTCCGACTGAGCTATCGACCCTGTGCAGGAGGCTTCGCCCGGTGTGGAAGTGTGCATCGCCAGTGTATTTGAACATTTGTTTGCCGTTCTCTGCGAGGCAGTGGTGCACAAATTTCTTACCTCTTTCAACGAGCTTCTCCTTGAGCGAGGCAATCGATGCCTCTCCTGCGAACACGACGGTATATATTAGCAAGGTCCTGGCGTGAGGGAGAGTGATGTCATGTCCCAGCACCTTGGCCTCTGTCTAACCCCCTAAAGACCCCTAGGAGGCCCTCCTGAAAGCCGAAAGTGTGGGCATCTGAACCGCAAAATACATACCTGAGCCCTCTGCTCCGGCGGCTGAGTCTACATAGTACTGCAGAGGGTAGAAAGGAAGCTCGATAATGCTCCTCCTATCCGGACCCCAATACGGAATCTCCATTTCGAAGGGCATGCGGTTGAACTCGTATCCGTTCCAGTCGAAGCAATAGCAGACGAGGTGGAAGACACGATTCTCGGCGACAAACCCATCTGAGGACTGGACGAACATAATCTGAAGTTGGTCTAGGAATGGCCGGGCCACAATCAAGGTGCCTGGAGGAAACAACGTCCAAAGGGCGCTGTGCGTTATTGACCGTTCTTCAAAAAATGTGTTTCGATCCTTGAAGTAGCGGTCCAGTGGGAGATAGCCCGATGACGTTGAGATGATCTTGAGTAGTTCGCCGAGGTCGGTGCGAGCCTGTTTCTCTGCGGGTGATTCATCTTCAACAGTCTTGTGTGCCTGCGGACATGCCGTAAATATTAGCCACTGCCCTGGACTGGAGACTTAGATCAAGATCTTCGCATATTGGCCGGTAGTCAACCCGTTGAGTGACTTCAGGAGCGGCTTCCTACAGCCAAACCAAAACTTACGCACCTCTTCCATTGCCTCGGACCATGAGTGAACCAAGGGGATGTAGGGCGAACTGCAGTTCACAACGACCTCGCCCCAGCCCCATTTATTAGTAATCTTTCCGATCAGCCGCTGGAGCGGTTTTGATTCGATTTCCGCTTCCGAGGAGACAGATTGGCTCTGATCGCGATACGGCGCGTACCGATTTCGACCCATGGTCAGCTTTCGAAAGGTGAACGCCCGGTAATTCTCCGGGCCTATCTCTTTCTTCTCTTCCTTCTTGGTTGCATCGATGTCTTTGAACTCGGCGTCTTCTGAGTTCCATTTACTGATGATGATCCTGTATCTTGGCTCTTTTTCGTCCTCCCCCTTGCCCTGCTGGTGGAATTAGGGTTGCGCTAGTACACTATGCATGTGGTGGACTTATATACCAGCTTGGGTTCTTCCGCTGTCTTGTCATCGGCGTCGGTGGGGTTTTCATCGTTAACGGATTCTGGAGACTGGAGTACGTCAGTCAGTAAAGATTGGCCCAAAATCGGAAAGAAGAGGCCCCGACTGCTCGGATGAGATGGTACAGACGAACCTTCGCGTCGGAAATTGCCTCCTTCGATGTAGAGACAGATAGCTGAGACTCTAGACTCGCAATTTTTGATTGGAGAAGGTCGATGTAGCGTCGCTCGAGCTCCGAGATCTGATCTCTGGCGGATTGTGCCTGAGACGAATAAGTATAGCTGGAAGGGACGGACCTAGTAAGGTTACCTCGGGCGGACCGGCTCCATTTACTATTTCAGCCATGGTTGAATGATTTCCGCGAGGCGACGGACAGGCGTGCCCTTCTCAAAGAGCTCTGTTACTTTATAACGGACCAGGCGGCAGCCCATACTGGGGCCTACATATACCCCTCCCTAACGCGCGGGGATGGGGCTGAGATAGCACAGTTCCCGGCTTTAACTCCGTCTCTTGCAACATTTTCAGAGCCTCTATGTACCGGGTGTAACGCTAGTGCTGCAAGCCGCAGGACCCGGGGGTGAGGCCGAATACACCTTGGTGGATCCTAATTGGTACCAGCATACGAGATACAAGCTCTCTCTGGACCATGGCGTAGGATCGTGCGATCGTGCGCAGCCATAAGCTGATCCATGCATGTGGTCGCCAGAAGTGGATACAAGGCCGCCAGGTAGTCGGATGCGTTAACCGGCTCGCAAATGTACGGGGTATTCTTGTGCTGCTGGTAGCCGTTGAGACGTGACATTGCGCGAATCGCCGTGTCAATATTCATCACATTGTCGGGTTTAACGCCGCCTGCCCTGATGAATTGCTTTTTGGATCGAGCAGTGAAGGGCTTCAGTGCCTGCCGCGTAATGTCTCCAAATTGGGTAGGAACCCTGCAATCGTATGAGGCTGAGCACGAGCTGATGTTTGATAGCACAGAAGGGGTTCGAATCGCTCGCCAAAGCACGTAACGCCAGTGGCCGACCTATCAGATTCGATAAAGTGACAGCTTCCTCATCTGTGCGCACGCTAAAGCCCTCTTCAGACCTACCTCGCATAGCGTCTGATGACACAGGGTGCTAGGCAGAGACCGTGGGGGCCGAATGGCTCTGGCGCTCGTACTTCACCTATTCTGCGGTGAGACGGACTCTCGGTCGCAGCACCTCGCGAAAAACTTGGAGTCGACTCCGTGTTGTCTACTGTATCACAATAAGCTATCAGACCTTTCTGCGGAATCTTTGGAGACTGCTCACCGCGTTGCGCGTTTATGCGAAGAGATAATGACAGAGAAGCCAACCCAGTGGTTTGCGGATCCCGGCGCCAAGTGCGTCTTGTCTGAACGTTGCTAAAGGCGATATTGACTTGGTGTAGAAACAACGTATCGGCCCGTGAAGTCCTTAAGGATCATAGGAACTACCTCGAAAAGAGGTTGGGGCAATCAGGAGCGAGCGTACGAGACGAGCTTTACCGCATCGCTAAATCCGGACAGAAGAAAGATGTGCAAGGGCAAGGTCAAGAGCCCAAAGGTGGTGATAAGATGATGGATCTATTAACTTCAATGCCGCTCGAGACTCTCGGCGAGTATGTTAAAGCCGAGACTTCAGCACTGGAACGAGCACAATCCGGCTTGAATCAGAAGCGATCCACAGGCATCCGACGTGCGTATTCGAGCACCCAAAAATTCATTGTGGAGTTCGATCGTTTTCTCTCGGCTTACTCTGGGATTGTCGAGATCGTGAAATCGGCGGATCAGCAGTATGGCGGAGTGGCGGCTGCGACGCTTTCCCTATTATTTTCGGTGAGTACATTTCTCTCGACTAGAAATTCAAGTACTCGCATACCTCCTTTTCATACTAGGTCCTGAAGACGTTCAGCGTCTCGCACGGTAATAACTTCACCTTCTCACTAGGATCTGAAGTCCTTCGGCGTCGAATACGATTCAACCTCCCCCTTCTCATCTGCGTGCCTAAGATCCTCTATAGCATAACGCTGGAACTTCCCCATGCTGTTATCTCCCACATATCTGCCCAGCTGCCCACTCTTCTTCTTTCACGCCTCAATCTCCTTCAATGTGGCAGCTCGATCTACTAACAACAAGTACACAGACTGTCAAGATGAAGGTCAAAGACGAAGAGGCGATTATATCTGCCATGCAGCAGATTTCGGATCGCCTGCCTGACTTCAAGATCTATCGAAGGATCTACCCTGACCCATCGCTGGAATCAATGTTGGCCGACGCTTATAGGGACATCATCCTCTTAGCAAGAGAGGCGACGTCATATTTTGAGGTATCTACATTCCGTAAGTCCATATGCGAGATACCGCTGCTCTTAATCCATGGAACCGCACTACTTACCAGAGCTAGGACGCCACATACGAAGCATGGGTAAGCCTCTCGAGTTTGAGCTCATGGAGCAAAACATGAGGAATAACTTCAGTCGCATAAGGCTGAAGTGCGAGACGCTTTTGGCTCAGCGTGTCGATAGCCTTGCGGAGGAACTTGAAGGTATGTCTGCCCGCCGGCCGGATCTCACTTGAAGCCGAAGCTCAGCCTTAAGCAGAGATGCAGAAGCGGAATGATAACTATCTGATCATTGGTCTCCGAGCTTCTCTCTCCTTGGGCGACTATCGACCGGCCGAGGCAAAGGAACAACTCGCAGGATACCGAGAGTTTCTGCATGCCAAATTCGACAAGGATAGACATCGGCAAAAACTAGGACTGTCCGATTTCCTGGCCGACGCTACGTGCCAGTGCTGGACCACTGGAGGGTCAGTGGTGCTAGTTATGTCTGGTCGCAATGATTCCGGAATACCTTCGGTCAGTGAGTCTTGGCTGTCGCCTGTCGCGGTAGATTTGACGCAAGGTACGTAGATCAGGTAGACCAATGGTCCTATTCGACCCCGAAAGCCACTCCTGAAGGCATTTACCGGGTATTGCAAGACCGAACAGAGGCATAGTTGGCTGTGGCCTCCCTTCCCATTCAGTATTTGAAGGCAGTCGCTAACGTGTTATCTTGGGTTTGTAGACCTCCTTGACCGTCAACGCGTCGTTGCTTTCGAAATGTGCCACGACTCCAGCATCTTAGAGGTCGTACTAGCGCATCTCATATTCCAACTGCTAGAGAAGCGCCCCGGTGTAGTCCGAAGGGCGGACGACTGGAAAGATATCGAATCTTCAATCTCAAGCCGCTCCGACAGACAGGAAGGCCTAACAGCAGCGTTGCTGAGGATTATCGATCTGCAAAAGGAGCCCGTTTTCATAATCTTGGACCGCCCGGAGCTGAATGAAGACGAGGACGTGGCCGAGTATATCAGGACGATGGTGCGGTTAGCTAGGGAGACGAAGGGAGAGCTCAAGGTCCTGATAGTGCAGAGGTCTGAATTGTGGGATTTTGAGGAGAATAGGTACGGGATTATGCCGAAGGGAGTCGATCAGAAGCTCCTTCAGACTGTTCGGCTGGATCAGCGACGGATTAGGTAGTGGGACTAAATTGTGGTGATGCGACTCGAAAGGGTAGAGCAAGTGAAGCGAGGTGTCGGAACCAAGAAGAGCTAGCGCGCTAGACTCGAGATCCGCCCCCGAGATCTTTATCGATAAGGAAGCTGCATTCATAAATTTGGAGCAGGCGGGTCTTTTGCTCAGTGAACATCCTCCGATGGCTTTTAGGAAGCGCAATATCGCGCTGACACGCTCTCCTTCCGGTGAAGACACCTCGGCCTCTCCTTCGTCCCCTTCTCCAGTACCCACACCCGTCCGACCCCCTCCAGGTGTTCGCCCATCGCCCATCGATGGCCGCCTCACCACCTCAACCGGCACACCCTCACTCGACGGCGTCCTCGCAGGGCACGCGGGCTTACCGCTCGGTAACTCTATACTTATCGGCGAGAGCGGGACCACTGACTATGCGGGCGCCCTTTTGAGGTTCTATGCCGCGGAAGGCGTGGTGCAGGGCCACAAGGTGCACGTCGTGGGCATGGGTGAGGTGTGGGGGAGGGAATTGCCTGGCATAGCAGAGGACAAGGAGGATAGGAGGAAAGAGGGGAAGGAGAGGGCGGAGAAGATGAAGATTGCGTGGCGGTATGAGGGTTTGGGGCAGTTTGAGAGTGCGAGAGGTGCGTTGTACATTAGTACTACTTCCAATGGAATTTGTCTGGTTTGTTGATGTGGGTCTAAGGATCGATTGTGTAGGCGCTCCAACTCCGAATAGAAGTCCATCGCAAGTAGAAGGCGCCCACGGAGAGGTAGCGGCTGTGTTCTGCCATACGTTCGATCTGGCGAGACGGCTCACACTCCCTGTTGGTACAGCCATCAACTACGTGCCTATCCCGCGAACCTCCTCGCCCTTTCCAGCTATCCTCCAGGGTATACAGCGACAGCTCGCTTCGACGCCGCCGAACACCATTCATCGTCTCGTTATCCCATCCCTCCTCTCACCGGCGATATATCCTCCGATATCCTCACATCCCTCGTCGGTACTTCAATTCCTGCACGCCCTGCGGGCCTTATTGAGGCAATATCCCACGCGACTAACCGCCATCATCACACTCCCCTTATCCCTATACCCGAGAACGGCCGGCCTCGTTCGCTGGATGGAGATCCTCTCCGACGGTGTCCTCGAACTATCCCCGTTCCCATACTCGCATATGCAAACCCTTGCAACGTCAGCCGGTACGACCAAAGACGAAGAAAAGCCGCAGGGCATGCTTGCCGTGCACAAGCTGCCGGTGTTCCATGAGAAAGGTGGTGGAGGCGGTGCTGATGGGTTGGGCGAGGATCTCGCGTTTACGCTGAGCAGGCGCAAGTTCGTGATAGCGAAGTTTAGCTTGCCGCCATTGGAGGGTGACCGTGAAGCGCAGGAAGAAGCGGGGAGGGAGATGAGCGGCGGAAACGCGATGCCGAGGAAGGAGGAGCTCGAATTCTGAAAAGCGCAGTTGTCTGGCTCGGCTGTCGAAGATATACCCCGTAGAAGACTCAAATGGCTAGCGAGATTTGGCTGAGCATCGTGATATGCCAAGTCGCTGCCTGAGGACCTTCATGTCCTCAACCTAAGCAGGACCTCCTGTGTGACCCTGTTCTGAAGTTCTCAGGCATTGTGAGGGCCTGTTCATTCGATATCGCTGTCTTCTCCGAGCATATCCTCCATCTCAATTTGTTCCCAGCCTCCAGTCCCCGAGCCGCCACCAAGGCCTCTTGCGTAACTGCGGCCGAAGGAAGCGTGTCGGGGGTCGAAGGTAATGCCTGCGACTTGGGCGCGGAAATTGTCGCCCATGCACGATGACAGCGCAAGAAACACGAGGAAGAAGAGGAATGGGATGAAGAGCAATAGAGTGAGCAGGACGAGAATATTCATCGCGAGTGGGTATGGGAGGAAGCAGCGACGGCGGAACGTGAGCACGTGAAGTTGGTCCAGGGCTTCCAATCGGACCGACTGTTTTATGTTTCACCGGACTCCGACCCCTGTCCCGCCTCACATCACCTCAAAGCTCCTCCTTTCCCTACAAACAATGTTGGGTTAGCCTTCCATAGAAAGTGGGATATATAACGTTAGTATATATTAGAGTATAACATTATAGTATATACCTGATATTGTCTTCTAGGTTCCATTTGTCCTAAGCACCGCCAAAGACCAAAAGGCTTTGAATATTGATTCTGCCAAATCCACGTTGGCGCAACAGTTCCCGGCCACGGTGAACCGGGAACTCGGCCACGGCCATGATGCTGACACCCTGGGCGCTGATGCCAGCTTCATCTAATAGCTGTAGCACCGCACAAAGCGTCTCCCCCGTGGAAAGTACATCGTCCACCACCACCACTGACGCGCCCCTGGGGACCACGTCCCGCTCCATCTCGATTCGCTTCTCTTTCGAATTGTTGGATGCCAAAGACGAGATATACGACGGGGGCTTGGCAACAGAAAAGGTGGGTTGGGGGAGTTTGCCAGCTTCGCGAAGCAGCACCAAGGGCACATCGACCCGCAAGGCCAGCGCCGACGCGTAGACAAAGCCGCCGGCCTCGCAAGCCACCACCGCATCGACTTTGGCCCAGTCACCGGTGAAGTGGGTTTGCAACAGAGACGTGCACAGGGCCAGCCCACCCGGCTGCCGGGAGATGCCGAGCACGTGGTGGAACTCTACGCCCGGGCGTGGGAAGTCAGGTACCAAGGGCACCATTTTGGCCAGCCGCTGCAGGTCCTCGTGGAAGAAGGGAAACAGGCAATGTTCGGCAAACCTTTTCGCCGCCTCGTTTCCGGTCGTGTCATTGTCGAAGATGAGGCTGGGGCGATAGTCCAAGGCCGTCAAATCTGATCTGCTATTGTTGCTGTCCTTGCTGGGGTCCCTGTCGTCGTTACCGCCGTCGCACCCTCGGCGAATCTGCCGCGTCTGTTCACTAGCTTGGACGCGAACCTCGAGTAGCCTGCTGTCAGGCACCAAATGCGACAGGGCTGCCACGGGCGCCTCGTCTCTCATCCCGGTGATTAGCAGCACGTCCACATCTACGGCGCCGTACACCACATTCAGAAAATGTTCCTCTGGCAGCCGAGGCCGTTGCCGCACTTGTGCCTGGAAGAATGCGGTCAACGCTGGCCGGTGTTGCTCCTTGTAGGCACGGTCCCAAAGCAGGCGGCTCTGGTCGGCTCCGGTAGCCGCCGCGTATTCGCGCTTGGTCGCATCGCTAATGCTGACTGCACGCGCCGTGAGGCTCTTCTGGGCGCGGTTGATGAACACGGAGACCCAGACGTCGGCACAATAGTCCTTGCCGGCGCAGCTTTCGCCCGTGACAAGAATGATAAGCTTCGGCTCCAAGGGCGCTTTCGGGAGCGGGCAGGCGAAAGCCAGCACGTTACGCGGGTCCAAGCTCTGTTTGAGACGCGCTAGACGCGGCCGATTTGGCCCAAAAGCCTTGGCCGCCAACGCGGCGTCTCGGGGGTCCGGCCCCAGGTCGGCGCCGTAAGCTCCGCTGCTCAACGACAACAAGTCCCCAGCGACGTTGTAAACCCACCGCACAGCAGATCGTGCGGCTTCGGTGCCATCTTGATCGCGGGGCCAGACACCGGTTATCACACAGGCAAAGTCCCAGTCTCGACAGCCGAAAGCAGTGGCATCGGCCGCAACGTCGCCGACCGCTCCGCCGCCTTGCAGCAGATGGAGATAGCAGAGTGGCAAGGGACGAGACTCAACGGCCGCTACCAAGCGGTCGACGACGTTCGCTTCTCCGGTGCCATTTAAGAATAAACATCGCTTGAACGAGGACGTTTTGCCGCCGCCGTGCCCGCCGTGCATCCTGGCCACGTACATCTCTGCCTCGAACAAACCGACGCCGTCCACAGCCTTGAAATCGTCTCCCGGCTCCCACATTACACCTACGGGCGTGGGCGTGGGCGTGGGTGTCGCAAAGGCGCCCTTAGTCGTTGAAGATTCGAACATGGTCAGGCCAAGATGCAGCCGGCCGGCGTCCCAGTACAAATACGCATCTGCAGAGCAATTCCTGGGGAGCTTCCTGGCGACGAGTTTATCAAAGTCGCCGAGTCTGAGCTGCGCTTCGAGGTTGTCACTCAGCGGGACCACCCAGTTTCGAGTCAAATAGGTTGGAGCCACATAAGCTTTGAAAGTCACGCTGACCACGATGCCAAAGTTGGTCCCAGCGCCTTTCATCGCCCATAACAGACCCGATTCGTTTTCCGGGCGCACGGCACCGGCCGGCCGGTGTTGGCTGGGTACACGGCCGACGCAGAGGACCTGGCCGGAGTCGACGCTGACCACAACAGCACCGACAATGGCGTCGCATGCGAGCCCGTGCAACCTAGCCAGGTGCCCGATGCCGCCTTGTAGCCACAGCCCCGCACCTACGCTTGGGCGAGCCCCCAGGGGTACTGTCACGCCCGCTGCCATGGTCTTGCGCACGATATCCCCCGTCTTGCAGCCGGCCTCGGCGACGACCAAGGAACCGGAATTGGAACCGGAATCTCCTCCATCCTCCCCCGCCGTGAGAATGTTTACTTGGTCAAAGGCGCCCATGTCGACCGAGACAACGTTGGGCCAGAGACAGTGGCCGCTATGACCCCCGCCGACGACGGTCAGGCCGACCCCGTGCTCCACGGCCCATCGAACGCACTGCTGGACGTGTACGACCTCTGTCGGCCTGATAGTCGCGGCGGCCCGGTGGAGGCGAGCCTCCCTGTTTTTAACTGTCTGGTACCCCCTCACCAATGGCACCTGCGCCGTCAGCTCCGGCAACGTAGTCGCATGTTGGGTAAAGGCCGCCATGACGTTGGGCGAGCTGAACAAGAGATCGTCCGGGTGTGCTTCCTCGCGACGGCCCAAGGCGCGGCACACTTTACGCCACTCGACTCGGATAGCCTTGTCCACATCCGCATCCTGCATGACAAACCCCGTGATGAAAAGAGCAAAACGGTCTAGTACCTCGTCGTCATTTGCCACGCGAACGACTCCGGTAGGAAAAGAAGCCGTTCGATGGCACACCAAGCCGTCGAGGTGCAGGGCCCCGTCACGATGGAAAACTGCCACCATTCCGCCTTGTGGCCGCTCGACAAGCATTTCCAGCGTTCGTTCGATGAACCTGTGTTTCGGCTTCATGCCGTACATGCTGTGGCAGAATAGGATGATGTCGTATTTTTCATCTTCATCACTCGTACCGGTACCGGTGCCGGTCCCTATGTTGTCGTCCAGAACGAATGGAATTCGATGGATGTTGGGCGGGCTTTCCAGACAGGGCAGCGGGGACTCCGTGTCGGAGGTAGAGCGAAGCCATTCCTCCAACCTTGTGGAAAACAAGCCGTTAGGCTCGAACGCAGTGTATCTCCTTACCTTTCTTCTCAGACGGCCGGGAAGATATCCAAATAGGCTTTTCGGGCCGGGTCCGATTTCTAGTGCCGAGATACGGATACGCGAGTTGAAGAGAGGGTCTAGCAGCTGAGATAGTTGAGGGATAATGAACTCTTGGTACGTCGTCCATCCTGAGCCCCGCACTAAGATATCGAAGCCGGCGCTGTACTGTGTGTCGGACAACGGCTGCTTCGGGGACGACGCCGTTGCGCTTGCTTTCTGCCTAAGGGCTCGCTTTAGGGAGTCGAGGGTGGCCATTTCAGTTCGGCATGGCTGTGCGAGTATCTCGCGCTAGTGATGGCGACGATGGTTGATGTGGGAACTTAGTGAGATCAACAGCCGTACGTTAGCGGATTGAAGGTAATGATGAAGCAATGAGAGAGGGGCTGACTGCGAGAGCCCTGGAGATGAAAACACTCCAGACTGCGCGGCAGCGCTATACCCAATTGGGATATGCTGTGTACCGTATGATGCTGTCACCGACATGTCCAAGCAGGACCCATGCGTCTGCTAATAATAACGATTCTGTCTTCGCTCCCCACTCTCACTCCGCATGTCCAGCACCTTAACTCCAGCAGTATCTAGTGCTAGCAAACTCCTCCACCCATGTTCAACTCCGCTGTTATCTGCAAATAGCTCGCTAGCCTCCTAGCATCATCCTATCCTAAAATTACGCTCGTAGTCCCACCCTATAGGCACTACAACCTAAGCCATGTTGACAAAAAGAGAGCAAGGAGTGACAAGCTCCAGACCTGTGGCAGCGTAATATAGTATAGATCGCTTCATTAGCACTGGTGCCGTGGCAGAGAGTATGACAGGTCCGTCCACTTTTAGGGCTAGCATGATCTTTAGGTTGCAAACATAGTGCGATCAAACGCTGGTTATAACGGTCCATCCATTCAACGGCACTCTATATCCCCGGAAAATCACATACATGTGTAAGGTGGTGAGTCTATCGACGGTTAGCTCGCGCGCCTTTACACGATGATGGCCACGGCTGGCTCGGGCCTGCGCGTGGAAATGTTCAAATTCGAGTAGAGCGGCTTGCGTTACGAGATAAGAAAGGGGAGGTGGAATATAGACCAGGACAGATCCGCACAAGTGTCTAGTTAGCTGCGAGGTATGCTCTGAGAGTTAACTCTTTTACCTGTATCTTTAGTGGTATTATGCCTACATTCTCGCACAGCGCCCGGAGATCCTTAACGAGCGCGTATATGTCCTCTATGAAGTTATCCCACTCCGCATCCGTGACGCTATATGTGACCGGCTTGTTCAAGAGCTGCAGGTCGCTGGAGATCTTGGCCGGGCTCGGGGCCCGCTTTAGCTTGAATTCCCCGGATTGTGTAGGGGTGCTCGAGTTAGTGTAAGATGAGCGGGAGTGAGCGCGTTGGTGTATGAGCTGGACGGGACGACGTTGCCTACCACCGTGGTAGAAGGTGGATCCTAGGCGGCGCTCTCTCCTCTACATAACACCCCTCTAACAAGATGCCGTTTTGCCTGTGCTGAGGTTCTCTAGTCTAACGTTCCTTGCTGTCCTTCCGCCGTGGCGAGCAACGACTTATATTCGTATGCATAAACTCAAGCGGTCAGCATCGCTTAGTTTGTGTAGTGCCTGTGGGAATAGACTGCGGGACCGTTTTCGTAACGGATAAAGGCTACCTAACCGAGCGAGGCTGGCTGGTTAAGGAGGGCTATTCGTCGATGAGGATGGAGTTGAACGTCGGGGGAGAGGTGTACGGGCACCAGATGTTGCTAAGTAGCAGGCAGGCGGTTGTGGACATGCGGATCGTGAGTAGAGAGTGGAGGGATGTCGAAGGACTCGATTGTTTGTTGATGATCTCCGATTTTAGCTTCCGCTCGCGACATCGGCGCCAGGCACCGGTCGCAACCTGGACCATTCAAATCGTGCGTCTGATAGGGCCGTGCGCTAGCCGGTGGGACCCAGTCACGCTTCCCCGGAGGACGTATTAACGAAGTTGTGAACGCTTTTCTCCAATTCTTCAACCTCTCAACCGGAACCACAAAATCATGAGTCGACTACTCCCAATACCACTCAGCGCACTGCTGCTGCTATCCTGCGCCCTCAATGCCTCCGCGCATGGCGGCGCGCAGCATGAACAAGTCGTAGTTGCTCCTGACGCGGACTGGGCGACGCGACACATGGCCGGTAAGCACTCATTCCCGCTTCAAATTGTCAGATCCAGGATCGCATACTAAAACCTGAATCAGAGGAACACCACATCACCGCCTTTGACGCCGGCGTCTTCTTCTCGCTACACGACTACGACTCCACCGGTGTCTGGGCCAGCGAGGACATCCGGCGCACCTATGGGCTCACCGACGAGTCTACCTCGCACATTTCGGAGACCAAGAAGAACGCCGTCGTGCAAACAGTCCTCGACATGTTCGATATTAACAAAGACGGCGTCATCTCCGCAGAGGAATTTCACCGGAAGGACGCCGAAGGCGTAAAGCTGCCGGACTTTGGCATGGGACCGGGACACCATGGCGATGATGAGTACGAGTACGAGATTCACCATTGGGAGAAGTATCATAGTGGGGACGATGTCAAGGAGGAGGATCTGAATCATCCCGAGGACATTGAGCATTTCAAGAAGCATGAGGAGATGGAGAGACGGCAGGAGGAGTGGGAGAGGCTAGAGAGGAGTGGCGTTGTGGTGGGGAATATTCCGGCGAAGTTTAGGGTTAACTAGGGGAAGAAGGGGGTGGGTTTGGTTTTGGGATGTTTGGCGCATCCTGGAGGAATGATACTCAGCCTTTCCAAAACAGGCGGACTGCACATATCGTGTGGAATGCTTTGGGGTCATCGTAGGTCTATCTTGTTCCATGTATAATTTGACACGGCACGCCTCGAGGGCATTCACTTCTCATCACCCGTCCTGGCTGCACGAGAGACCTATGCTAGCGAGTCCTCCACATCTCTCAGGCCATCGACCCTTATGTCAAAAACCACATGAAGGACGCCCGGCGCATACGTCTTTACCCTCTCGACATGCTCGCACCGCACCCGTCTCCGATACGACCCGCAGCTGCCCTCTTCCGCCTTCCATTGATCTAGGCAATTCTGCATCTCAGCGACAACTTCTTGCTTCCTTTGTTCGACGTCATGGATACCCACGTTCTCGTGAGCATGGATCCAACCGCCCAGGTCGGCATCTATAAGTTTAATTGCGGTGGGCCAGGAAAGCCGGGATGAGGGGAGGAAGCCGCAATTGACATGTCGAATTGGGGGTAGAGTGAAGTTGGAAGAGGAGTGGAGTGCGACAATGGGGCTAAGGGCATACTCGTTCGACTGCTGGAAGACCAAGAAATCCGCATCCTCGACCTTATTAGCCCACTCCGTCCCCGCCTCATCCTCCTCTAGATAATCCGCAAAGATCTGCGTCGTCCAGCCGTTTCTTTCCGCACCTCTCCTCAATCCTTCAATGCTCCATGGATTCAGTTCCCAGCACAGCACTTTGCTAACACCGGCCTTGTACGAGAACGCAAAGTATCCGATCCCAGCGTAGAGATCTACGGCAGTGCATCCAGCCTTATACGCGTCGTGGACATTGTCGCTGGAGAAGGATGATTTATTCTTGCCTTTACCTGCGCGGATAGAGTCCAGAACGGAGGGTAGATTGAGGAGACGTGTTTTCTCGCGGATATTGCCGCGGCTGAACATGGTGTAGAGAGGGGCCCAGGTTTGGTGGATACCGTTTTGCGTGTGGGAGACCCAGAAGGCTTCGTCGAAGTCGGTGCGCGTGGGTGTCGAGTGGAGTTGCGGGGTGGGTAATGGGCCGAAGTCACCGTATAGGGGCGCTATGTTCACGGGGCTGCGTAGGATATTGTCTTTCGGTGGGACGGGTGACCTTCTGCCACAGAGGGAAGATGTGCCCGTTTCGAGAGGAATGCCAGCGTTGATGGCTATATGAGTAGCGCTTACGGCTCCTGCTACTTTCTTCCATACCGGCTGGAGAATTGACGAGTCGGCCGGATGAGAACAAAGGAGTTTGATCCAAGGTGCTGAACCGAAGGTATTATGGGGTAAGAGAAGCATAGGTTTATAGATCGTGTAGGAATCTGGAAAAGAGGACAAGAGTTCGTCGCATGAGACTTTAAGGGACACAAACAGTGCGTCCGGGAGTGACTTCAACGCTTCCCTCAGAGCTTTGTGGACGGGGTTCCGAGGTGTCGGGGTTGCTCTTAATGACTTGAGAGTATGGGATGATATTGAGACCTCGTTTTTGAGATCCACGAGTCCGAGATCCGCAAGTATAGCGTCCTTCTGGGGCACATTCTGCTTGCGTTTCTTTGTGTGATGCTCTCCGCGATTGGATGGGATGGTGGTTGGGATTACCATTCGAGGTCCCGCTCGTGTCCCATCTTCTTTATCTTTGAAATGGGTGTCCTCCGAAGTGATCTTTATAGCTTGATCAAGTAGGCTTTGCTGCTCCAAAGCAGATTTGACTTTCTTGACGTATCGTCGATGCACAAGTAGTGCGATCCGGTCGTTGTTGTTCATCCCCTGTTCCAATATGCGCTACAGGTTTACCTCGGAGAGCAAAGCGCTAGCGGAACCGGAAAAATGTGTAGGCACGCATATTCGACGGCTTTTGCGTACCCTTTAATCTTGGAATGAACGAGCGGCGCGAATGAGCAGAATAGCTCTTTAGTTTCGCTAACACCACACCATTAACAACAGTCCTTTGCCCCGCCACTATGAGTCCAAAGCTCGGGCCCGATATGACGCAGCTTTCAAGTATGCTTATGCATATGCTAATCTACCCTCCCTCACATCGCACACCTACATTGAGCGATAATCACAATGTCCCTCTCAAACTTAGATCTGATAAACGAATGTGACGCGTAAGTCGGCCTCCAGCCTTCCCTCAATCTTATTAACACGACATAGCTTCCCCTACTACCAAGTCGACCCCGACCACTACGCCGCAAGCATAAACACCTACTACGAACTCCGCGTCGAAGACCACGACTATGCAGTCGGCTACATGCTTCCCTCCGTCGCTGAGGTCTTCCGCGGAATACCGCACTGGTCAATCGACGACAACGAGCGCATATTGACACTCGCTGGAGGCTCCAATGTGGAAGAACGCTCCGCAGCTGTGGAGACGACATTGCTTGCCATGCGAACGACAGGGCACTTTAAGGTCCTTGAAAAATGGCGAGATGAGTTGTACCCGGTATATGGTAGGAACAAAGAACTGTTGTTCAATGTGGAGCGGTCTGCGAGTCCGCTGCTGGGCGTTGTTACGTATGGGGTACACTTGACGGCCTATCTGCGAACGACTGAGGGAGAGATAAAGATATGGATACCTCGGCGCGTATACAACAAGCAGACATACGGAGGGATGCTAGACAACGCTGTAGCAGGCGGCATCGCGTCGGGCGAAGGGCCCTTCGAGAGTCTGGTTCGTGAGTGTTCCGAAGAGGCTTCACTGTCTGAAGTTATCGTTCGGAGCAAGGCAAAAGCTTGCGGAACCGTCACGTACTTCTACATCCGGGACGAGAAAGCGGGAGGAGAGACGCGATTACTGCAGCCCGAATGCCAGTATATCTACGATCTCGAGCTTCCCGACGACGTAATCCCGAAGCCCGGCGACGATGAAGTCGAAGAGTTCTACCTCTGGTCCGTGGACGAGGTCAAAGAAGCTATGGCGAAGGGAGAATTCAAGCCCAACTGCGCGCTCGTTATGTTGGATTTCTTCGTTCGACACGGCATTCTGACGTGCGAGAACGAGAAGGATTATATTGAGATTGCTTCGCGACTGCATCGCAAACTCGAGTTTCCTACTCCGTAGAGGATTATCTGATCTAAAGGGCGCCTTTCCTTGGGTATCCGGGCACCTTTTGCCAAGCTGAATCAAATAGACTGACACCACACTAGATTCTTTTCCTAAACGCCGCCCCATGCTAGTTTTCGTGCGCTTCCGTGATATCCAAACCGACCGTTTAGAACCTCATTTCTTGACCAGCAGGTAGATGTGATCGATCTTCATGCCCGTCAGCTTCCTATACGGACCCTGCATGACAAGCAGCAGCCCGCCAAACGAAATGTACACCTTCCTGCACCCACATTAGCTTTTCTAGCCCTCTCCCACCCTCACAGCAACACTTACACCGTATCCGTATCCCCTTCCTCAACCCGATAGCACTTCCCAAAGCACACATAATCGAACATGTCCGCAAGCGTCGCTTCACCCTGCTTGCTAATCTCCCGCCACCCCTTCTCTTCCTTTGTCCCGTCGAGATTCAGCGTTGTTGCGAGCACTAGGTTGATGTTGTCGCCTACGGACACGGGGAACAGCTCGTGGTTTATGTCGAGCGTCATGGAGACTAAGTTGTCGGTTGAGGTGCCGGTGAGGCGCGAGACGCGGTCGTATTGTGCGCTGTTGACATTGGTTATGTTGAAGGTTTCTTCGAAGAGCTGTGCGTCTGCCATGGTGGGCTATCGGGAGGGTAGTAGCGACGGGCTTTGCGCTTTGGGTGCGAGCTCTTTCTGTAGACGAGCAGTTTGCGGACTTGCGTAGAAGGCGAGCAAGTTGTTAATCCAGATGAGAGAAGAGAGCAAATTCTTTCAGCGGAGGAGGCGAGTTGCACTGTGCTGTCTGGACACTACTTATGGTGCCTTTGCGACTGTTGCGATCAAAGCTAGAAGGGTGAAAGAAAAGAGCTCCAACTCAAGATGCGGGCCGGGTCGGAGAAATAAAGATCCGCGGATCACCTCCATCTCCGCAGCCTTGAATCCCGCCTTCACTCGGTTTACACACTTCTGCACTTTTACAGCGCAGGTATCTGCCCCACAGCGTTGTTTCTAGCTCTCCGACGTCATTGGAGAGCTTTTCACTTCCTGCAACCCCCAACAACGTGGCTAAACCCAGTGTCTGCCCCTCCGGCGGCTACAGCTCCCCGGACGCCGCATATATCGCCCTTTGCTGCTCGCAATCCCCCGCACGGCGTTTCCGTGCATGGGTAACGGTTCCTAAAGTGTTTTAGCGGGACACCCGCCTCTGATGAGCTTCCCACCACCGTTCATCCGTCTCTCTCATGTACTCGCCATGCCGCCGTACTCTCCCTCTTCCAGCTCGGGCGACAGCCGAGACACAAGCCCCATGCCCATGTCCTTCGGATCCCTGAATACCAATGGTGCGAAAAACAAAGTCCAGACGTCACCTTTTCTGAAGCTGCCGGTGGATATATTCAAGTGCGTTCTGGATTACCTCGATCGAGATGCCGCGTGGGCATTGAAACGACTGTGTCGAGGCATGTCGAAGTCCGAAGTGGTCGACGAGCTGCTGTATCGATATCCGATTCAGTTGGATGACGTGAGGGACATCAGGCTGGGCGATTGGAAGTATAGGACCATGGGACAGGCGCGGTGGATCAGCTTCAAGGTAAGCTCTGGTGCAGGAGCCGATGGGGTCTTGAAGGCCTTCAGGATGGGCTATACCAATTCGCGCCCTTCACGATCCCGCTCGGGCTGACAGAGATCAGGAAAGCATAAACGATTCGAATCGACGATATGTCCAGAAGCTGGCCATGTCTCATTGGGCCAGCATTGCCGACTTCGTCTGGATAGAGGAGAACCTCCCCGCCCTCACGAGTCTCGACATTTCCGCCATCAAGGATTTTGTTTGGACACCCGAAGAGATATGGACATGGAAAGAGCTAGCTGAAGCCTGTCCGAAGCTATTCGCGCGCTTGGAGGAAATAGAAGTGTCCAACTGGGCCGACTATACTGCTCACTCGCGGATCGAGTACAGCTACTCATACAACGATTACCGGTTCAAGCAGAAATTCAGGATGTCTAGACGGAGAGAGAAGGACGGAGGCTCTGTCGCCAAGATGATCTTTCCCGGCTGTACAAAACTCAAGACCCTCGCCATCAGGGAGCCATATTCTGGTTTCCATACTTGGAATGAGTGGGAAGTCCACCAGCGGGTGTGTTGTCTCGTCGATGGGGTTTCTAGATACTGCCCATCTAGTATGACGAAGCTGCGGGTGCGCGATTACGCGCCGTATCGCTCGCTCTTCTCCACTGATGCCTCCACATGGTCAAATCTTTCCGACATCGAAATCGGCTTGTACTCATGGATGGAGGACCGTCGAGACCGCGACGTCATCGGGCCGATACCTTACCGCATTACCCAGGGTCACCACCATCGGGATGAGGAGGAAGCATTCGATGATGACACCTTCAACGACTGCAAACGCGATCACATGACCCTAGGGAACCACGTCGTCCAGGGCGTTGGCGCCTCTTTCGAGGACCTACTACAGAGCTTGCGTGCTATCACGGAGAAATATCCGAACGTAAACATCAAGCCCATCAGCACTCTTCGAGGTACGTTTACTTGTAACAAGACCCTCCAGCGTCGCTTTCCAGGGCTCCCCTAGGGAGACAAAGCTAGAGCCCGGATGAGGTTGAACACTCTTGTCCCTGCTTCATATCAGCCTGTTGGTATGAATAGCTGCTAATGGGTACCGCGACTATAGATATCACGCTACATCCTTTCCACCTGGTGAACGTCAATCATCGAAGAGGTAAGCTGAGGCCTCGGTTCAAAGTCTATGCGTCTGTCGAAGTGTGTAATAGTTGTCTGAAATGACCTTCAAGGGGCGTTTCGCAATAACGAGCACTTAGCCGAGACGTAGACTTACCACCACTCCACAATTCAAGATCTACGCTGACTTGGTACCTGCATCTTAGGACTCTCACATCCTCCACAGCATAACGTCGTTCAACAGCCTGATCCGGTCTCGAACCAAGGAATTCAGGACGCCCTTCGCTGGCTGGCCGAGAAATGCGACTGGAGGCCGATCCTAGCATGGGACAGTATGATGTGTGACGTCTTTCCAGCCAATCTTGAACCGAGTCGCGCGTTCCTGCCGAAAGCTGACGTCCTAACTCGCATTCAAACGATGGTCTCGACCCTCCGATCCCTCAACATCCCAATCCGGCTGTCCATTGGCGACCGGACGAATAACTGCCCTAGTTCAGGCTTGGATGGCTCTCTCTATTTTGGCGACTACAAGACTTTCGTTGGCGAAGATGAGAATCGCCACGAAGTTCTGGCGCCTACACAAGCCTGCTTTAATTTAACAGGTATCGCCCACATGGTACGTACAAAATCGGACGCACACACATACTAGCTTGTCTTCCTTCCGGCACTGGATAGCCCATCCTGAGGCCCTTTATTATGTAAAGGTCTAACCACGTTTCACAGGTCGACGAGCTCACGATTCAGTACCCTGTCGATGTTCCCGGTGTACATGGCTGGCTTCGCGCGTCGAAGAGGCCAACAGATGCCGAGAAAGTACTACTGCAGCGCGAGATGAAGGGCTGGCGCCGGTTTTGGGCGCGTTACGCGCTGCAGTTCAAGAACCTCAAGAAGCTAACAGCCAACGTACCTAACGGAATCTACGACGACTGGGGAAGGTGTGAAGGCCTCCGGGAATTGCTATCAGATGATCGATGGGAGATGCTCGAAGTTGAGGAAGACGGTGGTGGATTCGGCTTTTTCGGGAGCTATTTCCCTTTCTCTAGCTTGCGGTACAGCTTTGCACGAAAGCGACCCCGCATGAAGTTCGTCCAGCGCGTGTTCTTCCGCCAGGACGATGCACCGCTTGATGTCAACATGCCAAACCCGAGACTCTCAGAGCTGGAGCACGAGGAGAATGAGATATCAGAGGAGCTCATTGCCGATAAGGAGTTGGGCGAGCATCGGTTCTGGCGGCAGAAGCAGGAGAAGAAGGAGAGGGGCGAAAAGAGGACGGCACAGGAGGATGGCCCGAATGACGAGGACGAAGAGGGGCCGTCGAGGAAGAAGCAAAAAAGGGCCGATTGACTATTGGCGAGGCAGGTCGAGGAGCTTCTAGATGACGTCTACGAGCTCCTTGGTCGATAGAAAGCGGACGAGCGTTGTGCGGTCCCGCGACTGAGAAGCGCCGGGCACCCGACCTTGGGTCGCGGGACGGCATTTGGTGATGATTTCTACGGATGCAATCGGACATTCGGTAGAATTAGGCAGTTGGTGCCGGGATGATATGGACTTGGGTGATGCACTCGGCTGCTCTCCGTGCGTGGAGTGGTCTTTCCTTCTGGACATTTGGTACATAGAGCGCTGCCTAAGGCTCTGGGGCTCATGATACATATGCGGTATTACTTTATATATACATGTCTTGGTAGTCCATATGAGGTACAACCGAGCTTCTTTCTGCTTATGGCGTGTTTTGCAGATTCCCATAACTTTTGAAATGGATGCATGCCTTGGTTTTGCATTAGGTCCTTGCAAAGATATCGGTGTACGAAATCAAAGCGATGTATGTAGATATAAATTCAATGTTGGTGGCACTCGGTCTTCATTTATCTCTTGCCAAGCAGTTGGGCTGGAGCCGTTTCTTGTCAATTTGTGGATTGCTAATGTGATTATATGTCTTGCACCTGAAAAAGCGCGCCCAATGTATGCGAGGGAACAGGTCGAGGTAGGGGTTGAAGCACGTGAGGGCCTCTAGCAGAAAAAATTCTGCGTTGGAATAGGCAGCTGAAGATCCTTAGGCTTCTAATTGTGCTGGCACAGTGGATCATCTCAAAAGCCTGCCCATTCGATGGAGAATGCTCGCACCGGCTTCGCAGAAGCACCGTCCTGCTCCTCTTCTTCAGCAGGCGTTGCCTCCGGATCTTCCCCGCCAATAAGATAGGCCTTCTTCACGCCTGTGCCCAGCCTTCCTCCTCCAACGATGTCGAGAAGCTCGAACTCTTCGTCCCAATCGAGGCCTGTTGCTAGAAAGTGGCTGTGGAAGCGGAGTGGGTCACCCGGATAGACGGAGTAGTTGCAGCCGAAGCGCAGACCGGGCATCGCGAAGTAGCCGCGCGAGTTAAGATAGCGGAAGAGTGGGTAGCTCTTGGGGACGGATGGAAGAGGGAGTGCGGCGTCTGTTGAGGGTGGAGAAAGCGGTGGGTAGGAGGTTGTTGGCGTGATGAAATGTGGTTCGAGCTTCTTCTCGGGCACAGCGACAGAGGGGGACGTAGACGGCGTGGAATCCAACAGCGAGTTAGAGGTAGATACCCCCTCAGCATCAGCACTTTCTTGCGGAGCCTCACTCTCCTCCTTGCCCCTCCTCCCCACCAATCCCTTTTCCCTCAATGCCCGCTCAGCTCTCTCCTCCGCCTTCTCCCTCACCCCCTTCGCAAACTCTAGCCCCTGCCTATCCATCTCCCTCAAATACTTCAGCCTCTCATCCCTACTCATCTCCAAGCACCCCTTCCTGTGCGCCCGCACGTCATCCACGATATACGCATGGCCCCGTTCTACCAGGACGCGCGCCTCCTCGGGCATAAGCTCGAGTGGGATGCCGAGGAAGACATTTTGCTGGCTGAGATTGGGGAGCGTGCCGATGAGCACGCCGCAGATGTTATGGTGCCGGCGCGCGTGGCTGATGGCGTTGATGTCGAACAGGAGATAGCGGCCTGCGATATGCGAGATGGGGAACGGTTCGGTGACCGGAGTGGGATCCGGCGCCATTGGGACTGCTTTTGGCGAGGCGTTAGCTGAGGTAGCCGTGGAGGAGTAGCGGGATGTGAGAGATATTGGAGGTTGAGATCATAGTGTGAATACAAAAATTGGAGTCATCAAGTCCCGAAGGAGTCAGTGGATTGACAGATTAATTTTTTTCTTAATCATGTAGGGGAAATAGAGCAAGAATAATCGCGGTATGCGGACTTACCTTCACTTGTACGGTTTCATGGTGCAAGATTCGAGGAGGATGGAAGTGGGAGAGAGCCAAGAGCTCTCTCTGAATTTTGAGAGCAAGTCTTGGCACGATGTCGCAGATGACTAAGGCAGTCCCAAGACACGTCGCTGTGGAGGGCAAGAGCTGGTCTAGCGATTACTCACTCTGGAGTCCTTCAAGACCCTTTGACTCTGCCAATTAAGATCATAAAATGATGGCATGGCGGGCGACGATCCAATTTACATATCGGCGGGGCCGTGAATGATTGTAGGTCGAGAGCATGGGTATCTTATTACGCTTATCAAATGCTATATACAGTCGCCGCTGAAGGAGATTCGCTGGACAGTTATGTGCAACATTATGCCATAGCTATGGCGGAACGCCTGCGCCTAGACCTAATAGTTCGAAGAAGATTGGGTTGCCTGCAACGGCTAACCATGCAATACCTGTAGATGTTAGACTTTCATGCCTCCCACAAATGGCCCGCAAACTCACCTCCATAAACGATCAACTTCGTGACGACTTCAACATCGTACCTCACACGAGGTTTCGTCAGCTGCATGAAAATCTCCCGTTTCTCATTTTCCTCCTCCTCTGCTGGTGACTGCTGGGCTTCGCCTGCGAAGTCCGTGTCGCTCTCTGGGGGAGTGAGGATTTGATTGTCCACGCGCCCCGCTCCCATCATGTGCTCGTACGAATGGACTCGGGAAGCCATTGGCGTAGGCAGAAGGCCGACACCTAGTGGAACATCCCAACGGGGTTTCGATTGGGGTTTGAGTGCGCCAGAGGCGTCTTCCTTTCTGGTGGGGGACCAAGAGCCCTCCTCAGGTACGGCACCGTCCAGCGAATTAATGCTCTCTCTTCGACGCCTGTTCCGGTAGGCAAGAGTCTCGTAAGCATCCGCGGCAGACTGAGGCCCCACGGACACGGAACGCTTGCGAGGGTGGGCCAGGTTTTTGAGCATTTGAGGTAGCTCTGAGGCGGGAGGAATTACATTGTCGTCTCCGCGCAAAGTCGGAATGCTGGTGTACTTGCTGCAGAACGATCAGTAACTTCGGCCGTCTACGGAGATCCGTATAGTGACTTACGAAGCATTCAAGAAGAAAGCGCGCGGCAAGTTGAGGCGCACATGCTCTAGTAGTCGAAATCCGGGGGGCAAGACCTTGAACAATGCTGGCTTCATAGTTGCTCGCCACATGAAGATGACCACCACGCCGACGAGGATCCGGAGAGCTGCCTTGATCAAGCCAACGTTCGCCAGCTGGAAGGGAATTGTCGAGGGAATTGGGTCGTTCACGGCGTATCCTGTAAGGTGATAATGCCAGGCTCCGATGTTGATACCAATGACAACACCAGCAAATGCTACGCTGTCATCAAAACAGGGGCAATCATCTGCGGGCTCGGGATGAATCCGGACAAGGACCAGGATTAGTAAAGTCACAATCAGGGGGTTCATGTAACCGCCGCTGAAGACCCAAGTATCCACCGCGTCGCCGTACAGCACCTGCAGAACAGCTATACCAGCGCCAAGAATGCTCCCGACGATAACATCCAGAAAGCCATGCATGCCGCAATATAGTCTACCGAAGACGATGGATGCGCCGTAGAAGTAGAAAAGGGCCTGCAATGCCATGAAAACGTTTGGGTGGTGCTGCTCGCGAGCGCCCTGGAGCATATAGATGGCGTAGAAGGCGACGGATACCGCATTGGTGGAGTGAGACGAGGGAAAGCCATACTCCAGGGCGGCGGAACCGGACATGGTGATGCGGGCCAGCGGAGGCGAGAGTGGACGTGGTAGACATAGCATGTCCTTGAAGAAGCCACTCCAGAAGACGCCGGCAGCCAGCATATGTACCATCCTGTGCAGGTCAATACCCACTCACGCAATGCTTCATGTGAAGACGTACGCTCGGCCGATGTTGGTGTATCCACACCAGAAGAGAATCGGCAGAAACACCATGAAGAAGGTATGCGTCCCAAGGTTCGCCGTGAAGGCGAAGTACGAGTCGAGCGCAGGAGTGCGCAGCTTGTCCTGCATGTAGGCGAGATATGGAGTCTCCCATCGAACGACGGGGATTAAGACCCGTCGCAGCGTATTGCGCCATGCCGGCAGCCGCTGAGCATCTGTTCAGGCAGCGGAGACATCAGCGTCTGCATCCTTTTGCGATTGGGGATTTTGGCAACGCACAGTGGTCATGGTCCTTGTTGCCGGCGTCGAGCCGCGGCTCCTTCTGCGCTGACAGGTGGCCTGCGGACGCCATTATTGCAGACGCGCTGGAGGGCAGACCCGGGCCATCAGGCTGGGGACACATGACAGCAGTCGACGAGGGGCTTTCGAGGGGCAGCGACAGCGCTCATGGCCATGCGCGGGCGGGGTGAATTGGGTCGACGGTGGTGAGTTGATAGGCGGCCCATGCAGGCGGCGCCCGCGGGTGGCGCTAAAGGGCTGCGAGGCACAAGCGAGCCGCCGGCGCGCTCGTTGCTGGGGAAGCGGCCAAACATCAACACGGCCAGCCCTAAATCTCGCCCGCTCGCTCCCACCGCGCACCCAGCTGCACAATCGTCGTCTATATTGATACCAATATCACCCCGTCGGACAGGCCTCACAACGCTCCCAAATGTCTGCCCACACGGCTCCTTCGCAGAACTACGACTATCTGCGCCGCAAGCAGTCGACCAAGGCGCCGCCCTCGTCAATTACTCCCGCCCGCAAGCCCGTTCGCACACCCAGCGAGCGGAATAGCAATGGCACCGTGAGCTCATACGCGACCACGGCGACGCGGGACACCAACATCACCGAGCCGCCCTCGTACTCGAAGAAGCTGGTTGTGGTCGGCGATGGCGGCTGCGGCAAGACGTGTCTGTTGATCAGCTACAGCTCGGGCAACTTCCCAGAGGTAGGGCGACAGCACGGAGCAACGCCTGATAGAGGACTAATGAAGTGCAGAAATATGTCCCCACCGTGTTCGAGAACTACATCACCCACACGCCGCACCCGCCCACCGGCAAGATGGTCGAGCTCGCCCTCTGGGACACGGCTGGGCAAGAAGAGTACGACCGGCTACGGCCTCTCTCATACCCTGAGACGGACATCATTTTCGTCTGCTTCGCCATTGACTGCCCCAACTCGCTTGAGAACGTCATGGACAAGGTACACCATCCTCACCACTACCATCGAGGCAGCTGCTGACATCAACAGTGGTACCCTGAAGTCCTCCACTTTTGCCCTACGACCCCGCTCATGCTCCTTGGCCTCAAGTCAGACTTGCGCAACAAGAAGAACTGCATCGAGCTCCTCAAGACCCAAGGCCTCACCCCGGTGACGCCCGAGCAGGGCCGCGCAGTCGCCAAGAAGATGGGCGCCCTCTACATGGAGTGCAGCAGCAAGGAGCAGGACGGCGTAGAAGACATCTTCGACATGGCTGTGACGCTAGCCGTGGCTGACGAGCAGAAGGAGCCTGAGACAAGCGCACCTTCGCGGCCGGCTTTCCCCACTGGCGGTAAGAAGAAGAAACGAAGCGGGTGCAAGATCCTCTAAGCACTTCCTTCGCTTCTGAGAGTCCATGGTATTCAGCAATATATCCCGTCCGTCATCGACTTCATCTTCACATTCACTGCTCCTTCCACCACAACGACGAGACGGGCATGAGATTCACGACGCTGGACGACACGATCGAGATGCTTTAATGACCATATCTTGGACGCTCTTGCCTCTTCCTTGGCCACTCTTTTCGCGCAGCATTTTAGCAGCGGCAAATATGCATTGGGTAGTAGCGTGCTTCCCGCTCGCTGCTGGCTTACTGGGGAACATGATTCCTATACATACATAAGTCATGGCGTTTGAGGGGAGGGTCTCATACACAGCGGGGGTGCATGGTCTGGCCACCAAGTTGCCAGTATCCTCCAAAGCTTCACATCTTCTTTTCCTTGTGTTTGTATTCGGTATTTTGGTACGCGTGGCGTGTGTGACTAGCCCTGCCGATAGGTGCAATACATTCTAAGTCCAAAAAGTCTTCTCCCGTTAATGCCTTGAGTGTTAGATATTGATCCGATCGATCTTTTCCTGCCGATGACCGAAGTGATGCTTCCTTTCCTAATTGCGCCTGAATCGGTGTGTGCCGTGTCTTCGTTTGCGTCTGACATGCGCCTGGGTATCATAAAACGGATATGAACCGCCTTCCTACCGTATCCATCCCATTCCCCTCGAACGCCTAAAACACTATATTACATTCCACAACTTCCATCTCGTGCCCCGCTATTCTATCCACGACGTCGCGCACGCTCACCTCCCCTCCTGCACCTCCGTATCGCGCTCCTCATCCTCCCCCGCCTCCCCCTCAGTATCTCTCCTCCCCTCCCCCTCGCCCTCCTGCTCCCCCTCCGCATCCTTCCCCATCACGCTCTCAAAATAGCTCCACAGGCTCTCCACCGGCGCAAACTCGTTCCCGACCTGGATGACTTCCTCAAGCGAGCGGTTGAGGCGGTTGATGTTCTGCAGCACGTGCTCGAGACTCTGTATTCATCGTACACACACCGCCAATTAGCCTTGCACTTGCGGAACCCGGATGGCTCGCCCGGGAGGGAGGGAGGGGAGTGGAAGTGTTTGTTTACCTGTGCGATTTCGGTAACGAGGAGCTCGCGCTGCTGCTCGTAGTAGGATTTGGGCGCGTCTGAGGAGGATGGGGCGTGCGTGCCGTTTGTGGTGGAGGCGCGGTTTTGCGTCGCCATTTTGCGATTCTGAGGTTCGAGTCGCATGGAGGTGCGCGCTGGTGGGATGGTATGACGCGTTGCGTGTGGTTGTCATGTGCGAAGTCAGCGCTTAGTAACACTAGGACAATGCACGTCAAGAGCGTTCATCCATGGATGTGCGCATTTCTCAACCAAGTTCACGTATTTCACATGGGATACGAATGCTTAGGAATGCTAGTGCAAACAATCAATGATCTCTGCAACTTTTTTCATTCACAAAATTGACTACCGATACTGTATACTCCTTGGGTTTTTATGTCCTGTCGCATACATCGCACCGCTCAAAGAAAGGGCAAAGTACACCATCGCTGCACACCCAGACCTGTTTGAGCCATGGCCCAACTACAGGGTCAAATGAAAGGGAAAACAAGGAGATGCAATAATACAAACGAGCGGGCTTTGCTCCATCAATGCGCCAGGATCTTGAGAACAGTTGTATGGCCGTGAGAGCCAGAGGAGACGGAGTGATAGCTATACAAGTAGTAAAGCCGCAGTATTATCCGGACAGGTAATGGAAAAGAAATGCTACCGCCGTCTGACTCTGTTCTGTTTGTGTGACCAACTCCTAGTACGCCGATGCAATGCTGTTGCCGAACAACCATGAAAATGTACAAGAGGCGGGAAACAAAAGGAAATGGGCCTCCAAGCCCAGGGCTGACACAAGGAAATATTAGAGCCGAGTGTATAGGGAAGAGTGAATAGGAGCACGTGCAGAAGAGAGCCCGTCTCATGACCCGGATGGCTTCGGCTTGTCCTCCAGCTTAGGGTCGCCGGAGAAGGGCCCGACGTTGAAGTTGGGCGTCGTCTCCGTATTCTGACTTGGCGGACCGCGATACTCATGTGGATCCGGGACGAGAATTGGATCAGTCGACTTCGTGTCGGGATGTAGCTCGATACCGTCTTGCGCTTCCAGGTCGGACTTGCTCCTATTCCGAGCGAATTTCAACGAATCGTTGTCGCCGTTCATCCTATCGATGGGTGACCATCCCGCTACACTGCCCGCCACAAGACCAGCCATTACGGTCGCTGGTCCGAAGGCGGAGTTTGATCGAGACCTGGTGCGACGGCGACTCCGCGAGTCTGGTGTTGGCGGTGCAGGCGAACTCTCAGCATCATGGTTCGGACCGTTGTTAGGAGTTCCGGGCAATGAGTGGCTGGACCGTGACCGGGAGAAGATCTCGCGTGGGTGCTGGACCTTGAACTTGAGGTTGCTGAGACGTCCTCCACGAACCTTCTTGATGAAAGCGAGTTCATCGCGGATCTCAAGTAGACCCTGGTTCCAATTATATTCGTCAGACACAACCAGCTCAGGTGTTCGTTTCCTCCTCATAAAGTTGGGAATGCACCGCCTGATGAGTTCGTCTGGAACCAGCCTGATGATTATGCCAATAGGGATAGACAGCGCTCCCAGAACGATCGAGTATGCCCATTGTGCTCCATTGAGCCTCTGAACGGAGAATGCTCGGCCACCGATAAAGATGATCATAGTCTGGCCAGCTACCATAATGCAGAAGATCATGATGAAGAAGTAGTTGTGAAGGATGCCTTCGAAGATGTTGAGCCGGTTGTCCAAGCGACGACTATTGATCATCTTAAAAATCTGCATCCAGACGAAGGTATTGAAGACCAGGCTCGACAATTTCTCCTTCTCTTCGTCGGTGTCGTATGACAAGATCGATTCGCCGGCGAAATAGAGAATAAGTGTCACCGTGAGCTGATATATGGCTTGGCCAATGATCATCTTCCACATGGTTAATGTGATCAGAGATGCTGACTTTGGCTCGGGTGGTCGATCGAGGAGACTCCGAGTCGGAGGGTCGGTGGCAAGGGCGAGGGCAGCAAACGTGTCCATAATGAGATTGACCCAGAGAAGTTGGACGGCAGTGAGGACAGATGCCTGGTCCTCGCTGGACACCGCAGTGATGAACGTGAGGGCGACGGCAGTGATGTTGACGGTGATCTGGAACTGCAGGAACTTCTTGACGGCGTCGTTGACAGCTCGACCCCAAAGAAGAGCCTTCACAATTGACGCAAAGTTGTCGTCCATCAGGATGATAGCGGAGGCCTCTTTTGCAACTTCAGTACCGGCAATACCCATGGAGAAGCCGACATCGGCGGTTTTAAGAGCGGGCGCATCGTTGGTACCATCGCCTGTGACAGCAACCGTCTCTCCTAACTCTTTCAGTCGCTTGACGAGCTTCCGTTTATCTTCAGGGCTCGACCGGGCGAGGACGCAAAGCTTGGGGATCACGGCGTCCATATCCCGTTTCGAGAGCTTTCGAAAGGTAGGGCCTTCCATGACAACGCCACCTGGGACAAGGATACCGCACTCCTCCGCGATCGCTTTGGCGGTCAGGACGTTGTCACCTGTCACCATACGTACGAAGACACCAGCATGTTGGCAGTCTTTGACAGCGTCTTGCACATTATCTCGGAGTGGATCTTGAATACCGACGACAGCGAGGAATACCATCTTCGTGAAGACGTCCTCAAAGATAGCCTGGGTGGGATCGTCCTCGTACTTGCGGGATTCTCTGGGCGGCCAGCTCTCGAAATCGCGGTAGACGAGAGCGATGGTTCGTAGGGAACGCGAGGCGTAAGTGGTGATGATCTGTTCCAATGTCTCGCGCTTTTCTCCGGTGAGTGGAGTGTCCACAAGCTCTTTCTCAGCGTCTTGCACAATCCTCTCGCACTTTCCAAGAAGTATTTCTGACGCGCCCTTGACGTACAACCTGTACCGGCCGTCATCGAGCTTCGCAACCGCGCCAGAACACTTGATAGCGGAGTCGAAGGGAACGACCTGGACGATGTTGGCATTCGAACGCTCTGTCGAAAGAGAGCCCATGCCCAGGTAGCTACGAGCAAATCCGAGGAGAGCAGTTTCTGTTTTGGATCCAATGAAAGGATCTAGCCCACCTTCTTCGTCCTCGAAAGCTGTAGTGTTCTGCACGATTGATTGTTCCAACAGCGTTTTCACGTCTTTACTCAGCGTAGAAACGAACTCGGAGGGCGAGACATCGTCGGAGCTTTCCACTGGGGAGTCTGCGTTTTGCTTCCCTTTGGAGCCATCGTCTAATGGGGATGAAGCTACAGAGGCTTTGAGCTTTTTGTCTCCGAACCGAAGCGCAGTGCCCAGAGTGCCAGAGACAACCGTCATCTTGTTCTGGGTCAGAGTTCCAGTCTTGTCAGAGCAGACTGTCGTCGCATTTCCCATGGTTTCGCAAGATCGCAGCACTCGTACCAGATTGTTGTCCTTCAACATGCGAGTGGTAGCAAAAGCTAATGCCAGGGTAACAGCGAGAGGGAGGCCTTCTGGAACGGCTACGACAACAACGGTAATGGCGACAATCAGGATGTTGAGGAAGTTTTGTCCCTTTTCGGCCGGTGTCGCATTACTAGTGCGGAGGTGCACCAGGAACTCGATGAAGAGTACGACAAAGAGCAGCAGAGCGGAGGCACCACCAAGCTTTGCGATGTAGGTGGCCAAGACGTTCAGCTTCGACTGCAGGGGAGTAACTTCGCCTTCTTCCCGCAGAGACATCATCGTCTTGCCATAGCTCGAGTGGATTCCAGTAGCAGTGACCATGAAGGTACCTACACCCTCGGACACCTTGGCGCCTGAGAGGATGAAGGGGTCCATTTTCTTCAGCGGCTCATGGTTCTCAATCGCTCGGAATACGTCGTCGCCGGGAGTCTTCTTCAGGAGATCAGATTCACCAGTAGCCGACGACTCGTCGCATTTGACGCCATGGCCCTGAATCAGAATGCCGTCCACAGGAACCATGTCGCCGGGTTCCAAGCTCACAACATCTCCGACGAGTACCTCGTAGACGGAGAGCTCGCGTGTTTTGCCTGATCGGATGACTTTGACGTAGCGGTCCTCTTTTTTCTTGTTGAGCTTGACGAACTGGCGCTCCTTCTGCCAGTCGTTGAGAGCACCCACGACGACGACGATAACAATGGCAACAACAATGGCGACGCCCTCAACCCACTCCACCCTGGGCTCTCCGGGTTTGTGTGCGATGCCAATCGACTCATATATTCCGAGCGAGAGTGAAATAACTGCGGCGATGGTAAGGAGGATAAGGACTTTGTCGTTGTATGCTATCCAAGCCAGCTGGAGAATGCTCTTTGGCTTGCGGACAGGTAACCGGTTGTCGCTATAAACCCGTTTCCTATCGGCGAAGGCTTCTTTGCTAGGTTCGCGATGATTTGTCTCGGTACGTCGCGGCTCGAGGTCGGGCGGGGGTTTATGCGGAGTTTGAGTCGTATTTGGCGTAATTGCTTCGTCGAAAGATACTGTGCCGTCGCAACGCTGCTCGTCGACGCTTAAGCCAGCCCTCCGATCACTCCTCAATCCCTTCTCCAAACCGTCCAAGCCACCCAAAGCATGGAATGCCCCTAAACTTTTAGGGTTGTACATTTTTGCCAGTTGACCTGGCGAAAACGCAAATGGATTATTTTCGACTTCGAAATCGGCCTCCGTCCCCGGGTCAGGGAGAAGCGCGTCCTTATCATTTAGAAGATCGTTGGGGTTATTCTCCGGTCTCATAGTCTCGCCTTGAGAAGAGGGTATATAGGTACCGCTAGACGCTGATCCGCCGTTGTCGGTAGCGGAGTCCAAAGAATTGCCTCGCGACCGCGCGCCAGGGACGGAGAGGAAGTTGTGGGAATTGCTCCAGTTCGCCGTCGGCGACGAGACGTTGTGCGGCGACGTCGGTCTACTTTCCCGGCTTTCGAAGGAGCTTGCGCCGCGCAGCTCTGCCGGCGGTTGCTTTGTTGCCGGAGACACGTCCGTGTTCTCCTCATTGTGTTGTTGTGATGAACCATTGTCCTGGAGATCACCTAAAGGTACTGAGTCTCCCATGTTCGTGTTGCTCGGATTGACAGCCGAAGTGTCGATGGTGATGGTGGGAGCCCGTTGTCGTCGACCAGGACCAGGCGATGGCGTGTTCCGCGCGCCGCCGTCTTTATTGTCAGCCATGGAGGGTGCCTTGTGGAAGGGCCAGGGGCGGCAGGTAGGGGGGCTGTATAGGTAGGCTGTGCTGCAGGCCAGCGATGGATGCGGCAGGAAGAATGCGCTGAGGCGTCTCGCCGGTGTGTCACGGTCGGTATAGCATGCGGGAATGCACTCGAAGTAATAAAGGGCGGACGAAGACGGTGAAGGCGAGTGGACGAGGCTGAGTTGTCTTGTGCAAACTATGGTCGCTTCCGATAGAGAAGGAACCACGGAAGAAAGAGCACCCCGGAGCTCTCAAAGGCGGCTACAGCAAACCACGGGTCAGCAAACGCTCTCAACGGCTCTTCGCTAGCAACGTATGCCGCACAGCCACATTCACTCAGGGCTGGGCGGTTGTTGTTTCCATGCCCGTCTGGCACTGCGGACGCGGATCTAGCTCACCTTCGCGCGGGTACGTAGAGGAAGGCGAAAAGGGTGGTCGCGGTCTGCTGGAACTCGTCGACAGCTGAATGCCGGCTCGCAACGGGCTGATGTGTGGGCGGGCGTGCGAGTCTATGACGGCGGAGGGAAGTGCTCGGCGTGGCAGTGTAGAGGGCTGCGCATAGTCGAGGGCGAATGCTGGGCTAGAGCGACATGTCTTCAAAAAAGAGCAAGGAGTGGAAGTGGCAATTAGGGGGAGTGTGAATGGAATCAAGGTCGGCCGCGAGGAATTGAGGCGAGCAATCCACGTCCGGTCCAGGAATCTCGCGCTGGAGAGGCCTGGTGTGCTGGGCGTTGGAGTCGCAGAAGCCCAAGAGCACTGCCCCAACGCGCTAGCCGCATCGGGCCTGGCGCGGACACAACGCCGTCTTGGGCTAAGCTTGGCCGATCTGGTGGTGACCACACGCATCCGCCGATTTATCCTCGAAGCAGACTCGTTTCACCTGGACCTAGCTGGCTCTTTCGGCGGCATACAGAAGGCTTCGATGCCGGAAGCCTCGCCAAGCCGAGAGAGCGAGCGCAGCGAGCAGCAGCCCGCCATGTGTCCGCCAAAAGGAGCCCGGGCACTCAGGGCCACCAGGTTGTACCTGTCGGGACGAGTGCTGTTCCGGGCGGCCACTGAGATGAGGCCAAGCAGCCGCGGCATCATGGGCTTTCTGCCTGCAAGAGTCAAAACACGCCCATTTCGCGCGAGGCTGCCTCGCTGTCGTAGCCGAGATGTGACGGCATGCCGAGTGCATTCCAAGGGGAGCCGGCCAAGGGACCTCCTGAATGGCATCAACCCCCCATTATCCTCCCCCCATCTGTCTGCTCGTCGCATGCGCTGTCGATGCCATCTGATTGTCTGGTTTGCCGCCAGCACAGCCCCCAAGTCACCTGGTTGAAATATCACCCTCGCCCCGGCGGTTGCGGGTCCTCAACATCTGGTCTCGACCCGACCTAACGTTCCTCGCCGTCATCAGACATCACCTGGCCAAAACGGACAAAGCAAGATGTCGACGTCGTCTTCGCCAAGCGCGCGAAAGCTTGGGATATTGGCCACCCGCAACCAATCCGCGCTGCGCCAGCCGCCCGCGTCAAGTTCTTGGTATGATTTGCGTAGGAGGCGCCCGCGCTGTTGCTCAACCGTCAACACCAAGACCTTCATCAAGAACTTCGGACGCACTGTGAACCCACGTTAATTCGCGCAAATGCCATGGCTCTTGGTACTGTGCATAGCCCCGAAGACGAGTACGTTGAGTACGTCACCACCGCAGCCGTGGGAGCTTTCGGCGTTGTTGTTCGTCATGCACGGCGGGAGCTGGCCATCAGACGCGCGGATCTCTCGATAAGACGCGCTGACCGCCGCAGGATTTGACAAAGATGCACCCTTCACCCCCATCTCGAGATCAGTCCCTCGATTCTTCCATTGCGGCAACCGGGCGGCCAATCAATACAGGGCGCTTGGCAGTGGGAACATGGGACACCACAATCCCCACAAGACCATTGCGACTCCAAGTCTCACAAAACTCTCGACTACCCCGCCAAAGCCGGCCTCAGATGCAGCCATTGTTTCCGCTGACATGCAGATCAAACCCACGGGCCTTCCGCGCCCGTCAGGCCGCCACGGGAGACAAACATCAAACGGTGATCGAAGGTTACTAAGCGCCAGCATTCACTCTGCACTGTTCTCGTCCAATTAACCGCCGGCGCTTCCTGCACGAGGTCGCGAAACGGTCATTTGGGGCTGTTCCCCATTATAGACTGCAGTTATCACTCTGCGTCGAGAGGGAAAATGCGGTCAGGGACGTAGTGCTATTCGCAGCGGAAGGAAGATAAAAGTAGGTAAAGGTAACGCCAGGCGCTTCCAATCGATGTGAATCTCACCGCAGATCGAGCCTCTACAGAACGACCCACCAACGGAATGAGCCCGCAACTCTAGAAAACACAAAGCCACCAACCATGCACTCAATACCGCCCGGTTTCAACGCTGCTATTTCTAACTCAATTCGCATCCGGTATTGAGGTTCAGATATCGGGCCTTCGGGCACAGAAGCGCTATTCTTGTTTCGCTGTTCTACTCCAGACCGTACCTGCATATCGGCCCCCGATCCTTCGTTCGCACACCCCAAAAAAAGATTCGGCGCTCCGCACTCCCACAACCAGGTTCCCGCGTGAATTGCGGCACGGATATCGATTGGGGGGCGCCTATCGGTGGTTGATAGCGACAACGACTTCACATCCAAGCACGAAATAGACCGGAGGCCGGTACTTGTGGACGATAGGAGCCAGCATCGTCGGCAGCGCATCTTCCCGTTCCTAGATTGGGGCCAACAGATACCAGCAATGTCCGTGTACATGCGCGTAGCGTCGAACTCGCGACTAAAATAAACGTACCTAGCGTTAATAGTATCATTCGAACCCCCGGTTTTCCATGAAGTCCGCCGAGAAGCTATTGCAAGCAATCGTATACCATGCAATTCTACGCTTCACTGAAACGAGAGCATTGTTCGGTAAGTGGGGGACGGTTGGACTACCTAGGCATTGCCATGCACTTCATTGTCGTTGAATGCAGCATCTGCAGTATTGTATCTGCCATCCCTTCGACTCGACGTGGCAACATTCCCATACCTACTCCAAACCTGGTTGCTCCCATTTTATCCAAACAATTTACGAAGTTTACGAACGCCCGGTACGTCATTGGGCAGCTCAACACAGCACGCAAGCAGAAACATCAAGTTTCGCCTTGGACATTACCATCATTAATGGTGCAGCGCAGATCTTTTTGTATTACCCAGATGTACCTCGCATACTCTCCATTTCGGCAACCCTATCCCAATCCAGCGATTCTACACGCGCCACCCGAGCAATGAGCTCGCCCACTCACACGCCAAGTCGCCGCAACATCTCGGCACATCAAGTGGATCTGCGAGAAAAGCGTCTAGCGATCTGAGACCATTTTCGCCGCATTCTCGTCTACCTCTGCACAGCCCACTTGCCAAGATCCACTGCATTCCAGTGTCCGCCTTCCGCCGGGCTCCGCCCAATGGAAGAAAGCGAACTCGGCGAGCGAAAGAAATGCAGTGGCGGCCAAGATTTAGCGGAGGAATGTCCCGAGAGGCACCGAGCTTGAGCACAGGGACAGGGGCAATGAGTGACTAAGTCCTGGATCTGGACCGGTCAAGAAGCTAAATGAGATGCGTGCCTGAGATCTGAGGCAGTCAGGCATGAAGTAAGATACTTGCCTTATAGGCACCCTTATTGTCCGTCAGCTTTGGGTGTTTATGTAGCGGTGTGTGTTTAGCGGGTTCAGTTCAGCTTCTCACCGGAATAAGCTGGAGAAGCACTCGTAGGGGGACACGCATCGCGGTTGGGCTTGACAACGGATGCCTAGGGGGCAAAGGAGTCGTTATTTCAGAAGCGAATTTCTTTCTGCCTGGTAGCTTTGCTCACGGTATGTGGAAGTCAGTCACGTCGCTTGTTCGTGATAATGGTGAGACGTTGGGACAACGGGCCCGACGCCAAACGCAGCATACGAAGCAGGGCTTCCACGAGGCTGCGAGCACGACTTATCCATCAAAGCTAGTAGTATCAACGAGGGGATGCCTATTCTCGTGCCAGACAACCCCCGAGGAAGTCGCATGTAGGTTGCAGTCGACAAGCCGAAGGCGAACACTTTGGCCGACATGTCTGAAGCGGTGCGCGTAACAACTCTCCAGCAGATAAGTCTGGTATTCAATAATTGCTATGGCGAGTTGATCGTGTGGACTACAGCAGTTACACGTATCGATCGGTAGATACTGGATCCGAGTGGAGCCGTGAAACATTAAGAAGGAAAAAGCCTTGCGACGGGAAACATTTATGCTTTACTTTCATGATCCGCTGTACACGGCTTTCCGTTCTCCGTTCAAGACGGCGGGTTGCGGCATGCATCTGTGTTTCGATGCGGTAGGGGTTTGGATAGTGAGCACTGAAGGGATACAGCATCATATCGCCGCTCACTTCGTCCTTGTCTCCAACCCCTGAAGCATCCAGGTTCGGTTTTCGGGAGCTGAACCCTAGCACACCATTCTACCACAGTAACTCTAATTAAAATTATTAACCTAGTACCTCATGAGACTTCAGACGATCCATCTTCCGCGCTGTCTTCCTCTTCCGTCTGTTTCCGCTTGAGATGGGGGAGGTTGATCGTGAATACGAGAGCGTTAGCGAGGATGAAGATGGCGATAGCCGATATGAAGGTGACACGGAGACTGCGGGCATAGGCGTCGATGACTGGAAGAGCCGTTAGCTTGCGTGGCTGTGTGATGTGGCGAAAATATGATCAGGGACTGGAGGCCTTCAGAAGTATGTACTCTGACTCCAAATTGACAGTCGATATGGGCCTGAAGGACTTCATGGGGTGCGATGCTAGGTCTAGCTTGTGAGGAGCTGCGAACATAGCTGACTTACCTTGGCTCTGGTGCTTGGGGTCAAGATCAAGAATTGCTCGGACCGACTTCCGGACGGTGAGAATAATCTGTATTGCACTCGTCAGCCATTACGCCAGCTACTGCGGCCAAAAACCAAGAAAAGATAAGAATCCCCCTACCTCATCCTTGTGGCGGCCTGTAACGAGGCGATTCAGGTACGCAGTCAAGGCGTTCTGCAAGATGACACTGCTAAACGAGACACCCATTACGATTCCCAGACTGCGCCACAGAACTAGAGTGCTGGCCATTACCGCTTGATCTTCTTGTGTGCTTGTTGCGAGGACGGCGAGCGAGGTCGCGGGGAAGGAGAGACCTTGCCCTACACTGGAAGGGACGAGGAAGATGGTCGCTATCCAGGTTGGTATGCCACCCCACATTATGGATAGACAGATAGCACCAAGGAGCATGGAAAGCGAGCCAACGACGATGAGCCATTTCATGCGTCCGGTAGCCGTCATGATAAAGCCTGCCGAGACACCGCAGATGGTGAGGGCTACTGAAGGACCTGCGAGTCGAAAGCCGGACATGGACGCCGTATCGAGTTTTACGGCTTGGAAGTACAGAGGGGCGTTGAAGATGATGGTGTTAATTCCGAGCTGTGCGAAGAAGTTGTTGAAGACGAGATTCCCGCGGGGCTTTGTGAAGAGCATAGCAAGCGGCATTACGGCTCTCTGTGCTTTGGCTTCTACGCGTACGAGAACTGCTCCAGCGATACCAGCTACGACGAGCGAGGAAATAACGAGTGGGTGCTTCCAAGGGTAAACATTTCCGCCGAGGTTAAGCCCTAAGATAAGGAAGGCGACGGAGCTGGTGAGGAGAATGGAGCCAGCGACGTCGAAGCCCTTCATAGCATCTCGTATGCCTTGACTCGAGCGCTTTGCAAGGTTCGGTCCGAGCGATGCGGGAGTGGTGAAGAAGGCGTTGACGAGAATGACAATGAGCATTGGGATTTGGATGCCGAAAGTCCAACGCCAGCCTATCTTGTCACAGAGGAAGCCACCGAAAGCGGCGCCTGCAGCCGAACCGCCTCCGTAGAAGAGATTAATGTACGCCTGATACGTCCCTCGGACTTCGATGCTGACGAGATCGTTGGTCATGATATTGCCCATTGATAGCACTCCCGCTGCACCAAGCCCGCAGAATGCTCTTGCGGCGATGAAGCTTCCGATGCTTTGAGCAAGAGCACACCATGCCGTGGTTGCTGCGAGAAATAGGAGACCAGCGAGGTACAGAGGCCGTCGTCCAATAGTGTCGGACATGCGACCCATGAGTGGCTGAAGTGAAGTAGAGGTGAGCAGGAAGGCGGTGGAGAGCCACGAAGCCGAATTGGAGGCGTTGAAGTAGGATGTGATTACTGGGTGGCTGGATGCCATTAGGGTAGAGTCGAACATGGCTATCTACTCATTGTCAAAAGCATTCTTAATAGCAACCGCGGACTTGTTTCGGTAGGTAAGGAGCGGTGCTGTGAATTTTCAACTTACGAAATAGCCTAATAAGATACCTCCAAAAATGAATCGAAATTTTGTTCTTGTGAGTCCTGCAAGCAGTCCATCATCCCCGAATTCGCCGGGGCTTTCCGGTTCTGGCCATTCGTTACAGTCATCCTCCGGGGCAAGCCAGTGGCTATGAGAATAGCTTCGTCTCTTTCCGAGCTCCGGATACCTTGGGGCCTCTAGTGGAGCCGCTCCAGCTACCTCTGCGGTTTGCACTCCATCGTCATCGATTGCTGTTTCGTTAGGATGATGGCCGTCGGAAACAGATCGTAGTAATGGTGTGCGCTCGGAGGGTTCATGATGGCCATTTGTTTGCTTGGGTGATGGCATCCCGTCAGCGTTCACCACAGGTCTTATAGTTCCTGAGGTGACGGAGCGTGAAATCGACACCTGAAGTCAGTCGAAATATCAAGCCTGACAAAGCGGGCGGACTCGCTCGGCTAACCTTTCAGCGTTAGCTCCACCGGCATATCTCCGAGTTCGCGCCCTTATCGCCTCCTGCATTTGCAATCCTTCGTTCGAACTTCGACTCAAAATGAAACCTCCTCTACGAATAGCTATCCTCGAGTGCGATACTCCGCCGGATGACATCGTCGCTAGATTCGGCAGATATGGCAAAATCTTTCGCACGCTTTTGGAGACTGCTGCAGACGGCTTAGGGTCTGGGTTTTCGAAGAATGACTTGGACCTGAGCGCATATGATGTTGTCACTGAGCAGAAGTACCCCGACCTGGAGAGTATAGATGCTGTGCTGATCAGTGGATCAAGTGAGTTACTCAGAGGCTACTTCATGGAAAATCACTGACCCCGCCAAGAACACAACTCCTTCGATAATGATCCATGGATCTTGAAACTCGTTGAGTTCACAGAGAAATTGCTCAAGCAAGATCGTATTCGTATTCTTGGGGTCTGCTTTGGACATCAAATCGTTGGACGAGCAGCCGGCGTCAAAGTAGGACGAAGCGAGGGGGGATGGGAGGTATCTGTGCTGCCTGTCGAGTTGACCGAAAAGGGCAAAGAGATCTTCCAGCAAGACAGCCTAGTATGTTTTCATCCCTTTCTTCTCACTTCACTCTGTCTAATCGATTATCTAGAGCATCCATCAAATGCATAGGGATGTTGTTTTTGAGTATCCAGAAGGCGTGGAGAAACTGGGCGCATCACCACGGTGTCTTGTGCAGGGCATGTACAAGAAGGGGAGGTTCATCTCTGTGCAAGGGCATCCGGAGTTTAACGAGGGTATTGTGAGCTATCTAGTGACGATGAGGAACAAGCAGGGGATCTTTAACACCGAGGAGGCCAAAGACGCGCTGGATAGAGTGGGGAAGCACCATGATGGAGTGGTAGTTGCGAAGGCTTTCCTCCGGTTCTTGCTGGAAGAGTAAGGTTACAGTCCAGTCCCATTTTGCAGACCGGGCGTGCTCCGAAGTGAATCAATCACGTGAAGGGAATTTTGGAAGCGGAGAAATGAGGTCATCGCAGCGGTATCCGCCGAGATTCTCCCGTTGCATTGCCCGAGGGCGGTATATGCGAGTTCTGTTTTGGGGCGGTCACAGTACCATTCACGGAAGGTACCGTGATAGATATACTATATTTGACGCAGTGTTCGAGATAATACGAAGTGGCGTGGGATGGTGAAGTCCACGGGTAACGGGGCCCTAACCTGAAACGGCGACGCCTCTATCGCCGCGTGCTACTAGGACTGGACCCTCGCAACGCTCCGCACCCAACACTTTCTTCAATCCTTCCACGTCGCTCGTTACAATTCTCCTCACTTTTCTCGTCGGCCGCGCCGCTTATATCGCATTTCGCACTTTCGTCAGCTTCGTAGTTCATAGTCGTTGCTGAATGCCGCTCGATCGGTAGTCTCAGGGTTACCATCGCCGATGGGCAAGTGTACGCAATCCCCTTCCGCTGGCTGCCACGGCCGCAACACGTCCCCGATGCTGACGACACTGGTCGCGCAGGGAGATATGGTGTCATTCTGGATGCTGGGTCCTCCGGGACGCGGGTCCACATATACAGATGGCTGAACAGCGACACGGCTCGCGAGACGGCGAGCGAGGCGCAACTGCACAAATTGCCTGAAATCGAGACAGATAAGAAGTGGATAAAGAAGATACACCCGGGCATATCGACCTTTGGCGAACACCCTCACGATGTGGGCCCAGAGCACCTTGACAAGCTCCTCAGCCATGCCCTCAAACATGTGCCGCTCGAAGAAGTACCGAATACGCCGCTCTTCCTCCTCGCGACCGCCGGCATGCGAATACTCCCGCCCGTCCAGCGCAAATCGGTGCTGAAAGAGGTGTGCGACTTTGCGCGCAAGACGACCAAGTTCCAGTTGCCGGACTGCGACGTCCACGTCCAAGTTATACCAGGGGAGACAGAGGGTCTGTACGGCTGGTTAGCGGCGAACTACTTGCTTGGTGGCTTTGACAATCCGGAAGGTCACGATCATGGCAAGGGACATCACACATACGGGTTTCTGGATATGGGAGGCGCATCTGCCCAAATTGCATTTGCGCCGAATGCGACAGAGGCCGAGAAGCACGCGAACGATCTCACGTTATTACGGCTGCGGACCATTGATGGTGCGCCGATGGAATACAAGGTCTTTGTAACAACGTGGCTGGGCTTTGGCGTCCATCAGGCGAGGCAGAGATTCGTGAAGGCCCTTCTGGAGTCGAGTCCGGGAGCTACAGAGCTTCCCGACCCCTGCTTACCCGCGGGTGCCAAAGTTACCGTTAACAAGGAGGGGAAATCTTTCGATCCGGATAAGGACGAAGGACACGGAACTGAGCTGGTAGGCACTGGCAAGTTTCCGGAATGCCTGCACCAGGCGTATCCCCTCCTAGAGAAAGAGAAGGAATGTCTGGACTCGCCGTGCCTTATCAACGGACAACACACACCCGCCATTGACTTCGATGTTAATCACTTCGTGGGCGTATCAGAGTATTACCATACCACTCACGAGATCTTCGAGATGGCGCATAGAGACGATGATGGATATGACTTCAAGAGCTATCAGAAGGGGGTCAACGAGTTTTGCAGCCAGAGCTGGAAAGACATCGAAAAGGGCATTGCGAAGAACAAGTGGGGTAAGAAGGTGGACGCGGAGACAGCGCTTGAAGTCTGTTTTAAAGCGTCATGGCTTATTAACGTGCTGCACGATGGTATCGGAGTACCACGCGTTGGAATTGAGGATTTGAACGGGAACCATAACGTCACCAAGGCGAAGATTGGTGGTGGGAAAACGAAGGGCTTCCTGAATCCCTTCCAGGCCGTCAACAAGATCAATGATGTAGAGGTTAGTTGGACGCTGGGAAAGATGGTCCTCTACGCTTCCAGCGAGATTCCCGCACCATCGACAGAAGCGCTAGCGGTCGGCTTCGGCAGCAACGAGCCTGGAATTCCCGATGACTTCCAGTACCCAGGAGGATCCTACCACGCTTACTCTGGTACCGAGGATGACTGGCACGACCGCCTCTTCTCCGAGAACCCTCGCCGTATCCCAGGTTTTCTCATCTTCATTCTCATCGTCTTCGTAATCGGCTACATGCTCTGCGGACGTGAGCGCCGGAAGATTGCGCGCCAGAAACTCGGGCGCATGTTCGGTAGAGGAGGGAGACCGTCGCTTCGGCGACGACGGGGCTTCCCAGGCAAATTATTCGGCCTCAGAAGTACGCCGTCCTACGAACGTGTCCTGGAGGAAGGCGAACCATCGAACGATTTCGAGCTCGGCTCCTTCTCCGACGCTTCCGATAACGACCATTCTGACTCAACGGATGGCTCTCGTGTGGGTCGTACTTCCGGATGGGCAACGCCTCAGATTAAAACTGGCATCGCCGAGCCCGGTACACCGTATGTGGACTCGGGGACAGACCTCATCGCACAGGGCGCCGGTTTGGGATTAGGACCTCCCGGGGCCTTTGGCAATGCTATTGAAAGAGGCGGGTTGATGGCGAGGACGGATAGTAGGGAAAGAATGGCGGGTGGGAGAAGAAGTAGAGCGAATAGTCCGAGGCGGAAGAGTCCGATGATGAAGCTGGAAGAGTGATATGTTTATATTTGGCGTTTATACTAGGTTTGGGCGACATGGTGCGGCTTGTGTATAGGTTGGCCTGAAGGCCTTCAGCTTGTTTTGCCATCGCCAAAGTGAGATCACATACGGCTATGGAGCACTTCTGTAGAGTTTAGCGCAGGACAGGATTTCAGACTTTTGGGAAGGCATCGAGGGCGACAGCGTAGATCCATGAGCACAGCGCTGTGGGGTTTCCGCTCGCAGCGGTTCTTGTTTAGCATCTACCGCTTCTCTTAACGTGGAGATTACTATATGCCCATGCATATTTTGGTACTTGATTTAATCCACCTCTTTCTCATCAGGCTTTGGTGCCCTTTCGTCGAGTCTAGAATTCGAAGCACTGGAAACAAAGTCTAAGCACACCGGCAGTATGTCCTCATTCTTTACACAGAGCGCAGAATGCTGATATGCATTAGAAGTTCGTCAGTCTCCGTTCAAATATCAGCAAGATCCCCCGGAAGCACCTCAAAGCCACGGCGGATTGAGTTCTGCGTAGGGGCCTTTCGAGAGGCACAATACAAAGAGCTGTTAACTTTCAAGTCAGTCCGAATAGCTCCGCCCTGTCCGCAGTCGACGCAGATATGCGCCAAGCCGAAGAGTCCCAGTCGGCGGTTTGGGGCTGTATGCGGCGAAGTTCAATCCTCCGCCAATGGGCTCCGCAATTTCTCCAGGCATAAGTTCTCTAGCGCCTACAAGCCCTCTTTCGTGTCCGACGGGCCGCAGCGGCCAAACAGAGCTTGTCGAGTGGGGTCGTTGGCAAGAGGTGCGTCTGAAGTTTGGAACGTGGTGTGGCGTGTGCGGCACAGGCACGTGGAGCTATCTTTATCTTAGGCGGCGATACTGGCTCTCTACAACACCAAACGTAAATACTTTGGTGGTTGTTTTATTGTTTACGCATCCGTTGTCGGTCTACGGTCGCCGTTGGAACCACAATCATGGCTATTCCGGCACCCTATGTCTTCCCTCCATCGCTGGTTTGGGAGGGAAACGACGGGGTATGGTCTACCTTCTATCTATCTGTGGGAAGCAAAGGGCAGTGGATCCGGGTTCTGCCAGACACCTACAGCCCGCAATTACTTTTGCCCCTGCCGGAAAGTTGCGACGAAACTAGAACTAATATCAATACCCTCGAATGTGGCTCTCGAAGCGGAGTGAGCTCAGGCGATGGCTTCGATTACAGCGAATCATCGACATGGGATGCAATTGGCGACTTCCTTGTAGGGGGAAGAGAAGACATTGGGTATACAGGGTCGTCCCTTTTCGGGTTGGACAACATCGGCCTTGACAATGGAACGCTCATCAACGGAAGTGGTCTTACTGGCTTGCAACTACCAGACCACCTCGTGGCTGGTGTTACCGGTCCAGGTCCTTTCTTAGGTCTTTTTGGTCTTGGACCTGGTTCGATTCCCACCGATGATAGTACTAGCTATCCAGGCGCAATGCAGGATTTAATGGACCGTAGCGAAATTCCTAGTCGCTCGTTTGGCTATACCGCCGGTGCGTACTACAGTAAGTCCCCAACACAACGCTATATCTGCATGGCTGACAGCTTCCTTAGGAGTTCCACGAAGTTTCGGGAGTCTCACACTCGGTGGCTATGATGCATCGAGGATCGAACCTTCATCCAGTGATGCAACCTTCCCCTTTGATGTCGACGACTGGCAGCCCCTACAGATTGGAATCCAGCGCATAACCGCGAACGCCACCCTACAAGGAGACAACATCACGCTCCTAGATAGCCCAATACAAGCCCTCATCGACTCAAGCACCCCTTACCTCTGGCTACCGGGTTCGGTCTGCGATGCCTTCACGAACGCCTTCAACGTCACGCACAATGTAACCACTGACCTCTACTCGGTAAACCACTGGGCAACACAGCAGCTCCTTCGAGACATCAAACCGACAATCACCATCGAACTTGGCTACAGCAACGATCCAGCGGGCACCGTCAAGATAGAGCTGCCCTACGACGCTTTCGATCTCCAGGCTACGTGGCCGGATTATCATGAAGACCCCGTCAATTATTTCCCGATCCGCCGCGCTCCCGACGATAGCATGCCATATACATATACGCTGGGACGAGCATTCCTTCAAGAAGCCTATATTATAGCGGACTATGAGCATAAGAACTTCTCGATTCATCAAGCACGGTTTCCAGCACCACCAGAGCGGGACATTGTACCGATACTTGCGGACAAATACCTCAACAGTACAATTGTAAACACAACGGGTACAGATAACGGTACCGTGACCAGTACTCAGTCCCAGCAAGAGGGCCACAAAATGTCGGCTGGAGCCATCGCTGGCATCGTAGTAGGATCACTCGTCGGTGTCGCCTTACTGGTCGCTCTGTGGTGGTTCATCCGGCAGTGGAGGCGAGGCGCGCTCCCATATCCTTTCCGGAAGAGAGCAGAACCCGGGGAGCACCAAGCATCAAGATTTAGTGGTGCAACGGTAGCGCCAACGTCCACCGCTCAACGGCCGTTTTCGGATCAGGGAACCATGAAGTACTGTTACCGTGGAGAAGAAGAGACGAGATACGAGATGGTTGAAGCTCAGAGCCCTAGGGAGATGGCAGGCACACCAGCCCGGTACGAGGTAGACGGCCACATGTCTGGGTTGTCGGCTGCAGATTTGGCGCAGTTGCCCGAGCTGGTGAATTCGGGTGCGCGTCGATGATGAAAATGGAGATTTGTCTTGCCGTGTCTTGCTGTGGTTCCTGGTTCGGATTTCTTGATATGGGGGCATATGACATGCAATGATACCACTACAGTTTATGTGATAAGATTCGCACACAGAAAGATGCGATTTTGAATCGGAGAAATGCGACTGAAGAAAACAGGTCCTGAAGACCTTCGCAGCGTTCAGCATTGGCCACTTTGACACCGCAAACTCACCCGAAGGACTCCACGCTGCCCTCTACCAATGCCAGTTCCACGGAGCGAAAAGGTCTCAACCCGCGGCGCAAGCTCATCTTCCGGTTCCCACTAAAATTCGCATGCCTCACAGCCGAGCTCCTCCCTCATATATCCAATCTACACCCTGTCGAATCCTTCGCAACTAACCGTTCTCATTTCATCAGCAGGTTCCTCAGCTTACCAAGCAGACATGAATAAGACAAGTCGTATGTTCACGAAAGCTAGCGGGGGGCTGATGTCAAAAAAGAAAGTTTATCCGTGAAGTCAAGATTCCGGACCCCACGCGCGAGAAGGCGTAACGGGGCGTAAGGCCTCATGCGGTAACTACAACGTCCGTAGTCGCAGGATGAGCTAGACAAGACATATATAAACGCCTCATCGGCCTGCGTTGATAATTAATCAGCGGAGAGAACCACTCCACCTAACATGCCGTAGGAAATCCGGTAGTCCGACCGTACCGGTGCGTAGGGCTGGGCGCAAGGCTCCCGTCCACTTCACTGTGCCGCACCAGCCAAGGGGCGCGTACAGCCTCATTGGGGCTAGAGAACGCAGATTGGCACGCTACTTAGAAATGGAGCACTCATGAAACGCAGAATGCCCCGTCACCAAGCCGAATCTACAATGCGGATTTCCCGTGCTCTCGCGCGAGAGTGCAGCTCCTCATATCAGAATCCCACGGCTCAAGCCATGCATCGCTTGAGAGACTAGGTACTCTTTTCTCCGCTTCGTTGCTCCTTCTTCTCTTCTGCGTTGGTGGTACATCGCTTTCCCTACGCTGTTTTGATGTCTTCGCGATGCGTTGTCAACACAGCACACTTCTCATACTCCCATTTTCCTTCTCCCTCCTCACACTAACTCGAGCGACAACATGTTACGCGCCCAACGGTAGTATAGAAACAAATACGGAATACCAGCCCTGCTCCAACGATACTTCAGACCCGCTCAGCACCATTTGTTGCGCCTGGAACCGCGCAAACGGACCCGATATCTGCGTGCCGAACGGCTTGTGTCAGCGAGGACCGAAGGAGGGTGAAACGGAGCAGGACGCCGAGTACACGAAGCCGCAGTGTACGGAGCAGAACTGGGATGATCCGGGGTGCTTGAACGTGTGTAATGTATGTCTCCGCCAACAGAGAGCTGGAGCCAACTTGCTGATGAAGGATACTCTGCAGGGCAAGAATCTGGAGTGGCTCACACCCTGCGATCGGAGCAACTCGAACGAAAGTCGGCGATGGTGTTGCGGTCTCAGTGATGAGTGCTGTAACGAGGATCTGCATTTGCAGATCGAGACGCTGGCCGCGCGATTTGGGGACCCGACGGACATACCCTCATTAGCATCGACCGCCACCACGCTCCCCCTCTCTACAATATCAGTCTCCGGCTCTGCAACAACAACGGCAACCAGTGATACCACACCGACAACGCTGACCGATTCTCCGCAATCCCAATCCAACAACGGACTCTCGTCCGGCGCAAAAGCCGGCATCGGGATCGGCGCCACGCTCGGCGGTCTCCTTCTTATCGGATTGGGAATATGGTTGGGCAAGTATCTGCACGCGAGGAAGGGCGGCGAGAATGAAAAAGCAGAGCTATACGGTGGCTACGAACGGGGCCAGGATGGGTCATTCTATGGGGCGCCGAGGGAGGGCGGTCTGTCGGTGTATAAGGCGAGAGATGAGGTGGAAGATCAGAGAGCGAATGTTGAATTACCGGATCATAGAGATAGAGATCCGACGGAGTTGCCGTAGATGCGAGGGCGCGGGTGCGGCCGCATAGTTTATGACAGTCGTAGTACAATTTCGAACACGCGCTACTCATGTCCCTACAGGCTTGTTAATATGCGAAACTAGATTAAGCATTGCCATGTTACCGTTTCCTAATCTCAATTAGCAGAGTCGAAATACTTGCCTAAGCAACTGTGGCATCATCTCACCTATTCTTGAAGGGGACTAGTACGCTTTCCCGACTCGGGAACCGCATGTTCGGGCCTTCACCCTCAGTTTCGTCACGACCTCAACATTCAGCAGCCATTATCCCTTTCTTGGGCGCGCAATGCCGCAAAGAAACCCGGACTACGCCGTGGTTCACCCAGAAGAATGCCGCTTTTGCCACGTCATCGCGGCGCAAACTCATACGGACGCGCCAGCAGCTCCTTGACAGGCCGCCGGGCCACTTGGTTTGTTAAGTACTTCTCGATAAGCGACTAGTCCTGACAGTAGCTTCGCTAGACACTCGTTGAGATTAGTTGTAGAGAGAGGGACACCGAGAAATTAACAACTTCTGGATTCCTAGAACAGCTAAAATTTGGACGAATGGAATAGATACGGATCTTACATTGTCACCTCATTTAAGTCGACACTGCTGGCTACTTTCCCTAGATAGGTAAACCGCGTGATACTGGCAGTCAATGCCCTTTTTCACGTCAGCTGAAACTCGTACTCAAGGCGTAGCGAGCAGTACTTACAGGAAACCGAGACCGCACAGTCCACATAGCAGAAGCTTTTCCTTCCTAGGTCCGTGAAGAGACCATAAGATAGTGTCGCGGGAGGTGATCCGGAGCTCGGCAGTACTATGGCTCTGGAGCTCCCATGTATATATAGAGCTCCTCCACCAATATACACCTCATCCGCTCCTGCTTCTGATGTGCCTCTGCCAGCTCGTTTTCCCCTCCACAGATTGGCATCGGAAGAATCAGAAGCATCAAATCTGCGAACGCAATTATGATGCCCGTCGATATTTCGTTAGCCGTCAAGTTCACACACTTTCCTTCGACACCTTTCGGCTCACCCCAGGTATATCTGCGTGGTCGGCATTGCCTGAGGACAATAATGGTCGATATCAGGCAATTAATGATGACGTAGCCGAATATTATATCCCAAGCCCGCTGGAATGGAACGATCACAAATGAGAAAATCGATCGGTATAAGGTGGGCGAAATTGTAGGTGGCGGTTGCAAGTAGCCTCACCTTTATCCTTCTCGTTAGCCTCGCCCGTGCGTGGACCTTGAGTTTCGTGTATCCGCGCAATACCTCGCAAAAGTCGATATCATACCCGGCCAAAGCGACCAAGTTTACCACAGCCGTCTATCCCAATGGTTCAACTCTCTTGCCACTCATTGAGCGTATTCCCCCTTTCTGCTTTGATGAAGAATCCGCACAAAACTCTCGTCAAGATCGCAGAAGAGTATGGGAAGATGTGCATGCTCTAGTTCGGAAAGAATCCTGTGCTTCTCATCAGCTCTCCGATCGCTGCAAAAGATCTCTTGGATAAGGTGAATCATCCACCTAATTGCATGCTGCAGCTCTAATACGCAGCAGGGAGGAATGACCTACTCATCTCAGCCTACTCAAACAGCTTTCGCGGCGAAGCCTGGCCGTGGAGGCTCGTTACGACTCCCACGGTGAGGTTTTCCCATTACTCAGAAGAGTATATCACAACCTACTAGGCTCGCAGCAATCGGCCAGCTTCCGGAAATACCAGGATTTCGAGTCGGAGATTATGGTGAATGCTCTTATTGACCGACTAGAAGGATTCCTCATGGACGTAGAGCGTTTAGCTATGAGTGTCATATTCAGCGCATGTTATGGCGTTCGATTAGCGCAACTTGATCACCCAACCATGACTGAATTCTATGCTGTATGGAAAATCATGCTTAGATGAAAGTGAGTATGTCCGTCTCCGCGCTTTGCATAGCCCTAATGGTTCGTTCATAAACTGAGCTGCGGCATTTGATCAAAACCTAGTAAGGCTTCGGTTTGGTAACCAGTCCAGCTGCAGTACGTTAATCCGACGGGCCAGAAGAATCTCTTAATAATGGGCCCGTACCTATCTTTGCATTCATGTCCAATAGTGAAGCGGTTAGTTTAAGGGTAATGATAAAGCTCCAAAAAACTCTCAATACCACGATATAGAGGCTTGCCTCAGCAACGAAGATACCTTGACAGAGGCGTCTCCCAAACACATAATGGAAATGGTCCCGCTTCTTGTGTCAGGATCTAGTGCGGACGCGGATGCATCTAGATCATCACCTAGAAAGCGTTCGGGAGCGAATATCTTGAGAACCTTGTATCATTCTGGACTCCTGCTGAAAGCCGTAAGGTTCGGGGAAACCACGTCGCCTTCTGGAATATGCCGTCCTTCGTACACGTCGCGCTTGGTTGTAGCATACGGACTACCAAGGCTTCCGATAGGTGCCCACCGGTGGACTTTGATGAGGGCTCGAACATAGGGAAGAGGCATTTCATCATCCCATGTAGGCAACCGCTGTGAACCGGCAATGTTACCCAGTTCTGATATCGTGAGCGTATGTATTGAAAGGCGACTGGAATGCTTACCCTCTTGTGCCTTCTTCATGGTTTGTGGGTGTATAGCCATAACTTTATAGGATTGTAGGTACGAAGAAGTAGTGTCCGCTCCGGCTCCAATGAGCATTGCGAGAATGTCGCACGCGCGATCATCACTGATACCTTCTTCCTCCTGGATCTGCATGTTTGTTAGCCTGCCCACTAGCCTAACATCTGCGCACGATGGACATGCTTGAACCAATAACGAGCCGAAGCACTGAGGAGCGTTTCCTGTCTCGGGCTGCCTACGGAGGAATGCCCGATGCAGATTCTGCTCCCTGACTCTCGATGAAGTAGCAAGCTTCCTCCACGGTTGCAGGAATGCCGGCAAGTACGCGAGAAAAGGAAAGAAATCCAACATTAGCGAGCCGGGTTGGAAGTCTACGTCATTAGCGTCGAGCCTCTCGTAAGTACACGGTAACTTTGATGATGTGAAGTTCAACATCTAAAAGCGCGGGCTTCGGCGACAACTTGTGAAACCATTACTAGTCTACACTGGTTTTGTTGGGGCGTGTAATTTCCGCCTTGTTTGGTCCGAAGTTGTGGTATAATGCGGCGTATCGCTGTGCAGGAATTAGATGCTTCACCTGATAAAACTGCGATGATGTCTCTCACTCACACTCTAACCACCACGCCGCATTTTATTTGGTAGATGCTTTACCTAATAGAACTACAATAGGGTCTCTTTTACTTACACTCTGACTACCACGCCGCATTTTATCTCGTAGATACTTTACGTAATGAAACTGCGATAGGTCTCTTTTACTCACACTCCAACTACTACGCCGCATTTTATTTAGTAGATGCTTGACCTCATAAAACTGCGATGGGGTCTCTTTCACTCACACTCTGGCCACCACGCCGCATTTCATTTGGGCTTCGCGAATTCGACTCTCGGCGTCCTCCAGCCTCCGTTGTTACCTCAACTCTTAGGTGCGTCGCTGCCTGGTTCATCCTCAACATACAAGGCTACATTCGCGGGATAAGCCATGGAACGGGAAGAGAGCTTACCGAAGACCGATCCCACCCGATGGCGACTCCGCACGAATGAAGAGGGTGTCCATTATTGGATTTACTTGGCGGAAGAATCCGTTAAAGAAGAACGACCTCAGGCGTTCCCCGAGAAGTACTTTCTGGGTCTACCTAGGGTATTGGCAAGCCTATTCCTCCCTCCATACTGTCGTCTAACATAAGCAGGAGAGTGATGCTTTGCCGGAACCGAAGACTTTTTCTGATGCCGCTCGTAATGGATTGACTTTCTACGCGAAACTTCAATTGGAAGACGGCCATTGGGGAGGCAGTTACGCCGGCCCAAGCTTTCTGCTTCCTGGCATCGTATTCGCGCTCTACATTACGGGCGGACATATCCCCCAAGAATGGGCAATCGAAATGACACGATGGATGAGCCATCATCAGAATGACGATGGAGGATGGGGCCTCCAGACCGATGGCCCCACAACCGTGTTTGCGACCGTACTATACTATGTTAGTCTCCGCATTCTCGGGATGAACGCCACTCATAAGGTGGTGGCGAAAGCCAGAGAGCGGATCGGAAACCTCGGTGAGCGTCTGTCGCGCCCCAAATTAAGACTGGATCATTGACGAGAAAAGGTGGTGCAATGCAGGCACCGCAATGGGCAAGGTACTGGCTCGCACTTCTCAACCTCTATGAGTGGGGAGGTGTGCAACTAGTGCCTTCAGAAATGTGGTATGTGGCTCATTCAGAAGAAAAGACAGAAGTCGTAACGTGCTCAGGATTCTTCCCGCGTGGGTGCCGGTTCACCCATGGAGATGGTGGGTGCAATGCCGCTCCGTCTACCTTCCCGTGTCGTACTTGTACTCGAACAAATGCCGAATGGAGCTGAACGACCTACTCCTCGATATACGAGGCGAGATCTACAGCCAACCCTACGAGACCATCGACTTCGCTTCATACTTGCATCAGGTTGGTCCATTGGACAGGAAGCGTGCCCTAAATTCGTTCCTCTCGGCCGCAAACCACGTCGCCCGGGCTTGGGAACGTTACGTGCGGCCATCCTGGATACACAAATGGGCCAATAGCGCCGTACGCGAACTGATCAGACGGGAGGACGAGAATACATCATACAACGACATAGCCCCGGTAAATAAAGCCTTCCATACCGTGGTGGTACACTTCTGCGATGGCGCAAATAGCGAGGCTGTAAGACGGCATCAAGAAAAGATGTTGCCATATCTCTGGAGAGACGAAGCCGGCATGAACTGCGGAGGGACCAATGGAGTTCAGCTCTGGGACACTGCTTTTTCAGTCGTCGGAATCACGGAAGCTGGATTAGGAAAGGAGCCACAATTTCGGGATACGCTGCAGAAGGCCCATAAGTTCCTGGATGTTTCGCAATTCCGCGACGACCTGTCGGATCCATTCCGTCAAAAGCGGAAAGGCGGGTGGCCATTCAGTACCAGGGATAACAGCTATATCGTATCCGATTGCACGGCAGAGGGCTTGAAGGCGACGATTTTCCTGCAAGAGGAACTGTAAGTCTTTGGCCGCCTGATGATCTTCACGGAAGCTAACACTGAGTAGTGGCTTCGAAAAACTCATCTCAGTGGAGCGTCTCTCTGACTGCGTCGATACACTCCTCACCATGCAGAACCCTGACTTTGGCTTTGGGAGCTACGAACGTGCCCGAACTGGTCCTCTCGTGGAGATGCTCAACCCTGCGGAGATCTTTGATCGATGCATGGTTGAGTATTCCTACCCCGAATGCACAGCGTCCGTCATCTCAGCACTAGTCCTGTTTCGCAAATACTATCCTTCGTATTCTTGGAACAGGATTGAGGCCGCTGTTCAGTCCGCAGCCAGGTTTCTTGAGAGCTGCCAGAACCCGAACGGCAGTTGGTATGGTTCATGGGGCATATGCTACACATATGGAACCATGTTCGGTTTGGAGGGTCTAGCCGCTGCTGGCCATACTTATGGCACATCCGAAGCCGTGAAGCGCGCCTGTCGGTTCCTTGTGGATAAGCAAAAAGACGATGGTGGTTGGGGCGAGCATTGGGAGAGTTGTGAGCGTCACGAATATGTCGAGCACGAAAAGAGTCAAGTCGTGAATACAGCTTGGGCTGTCCTTGGTCTGATGGCTGCTCGATATCCAGGCACAATGGTCGTAGCTCGGGGACTGGAGGTACGTCGGCTCGCGAAGACTTTCAAGTGATACTAACCCTGTCCATAGCTCATATGCCGACGACAATTACCAAACGGGGAATGGTTGCAAGAAGCGACCGAAGGTTCATTCAACTGCACGTGGTAAGTATCGTTCCTTTCGGTCCTCACTCGGTATTATTTATAACGTCTCTCAGCACAATTGAGTATCCCAATTACAAGTTCCACTTTACAATTCGGGCTCTGGGACGTTTCAGCCACGAATACGTTCCGGCCCTGAGCAAGGAGTAACCCCAGGCAATTCGTCTGGTTCTGAAGCAGCGGTGTCTGCAGCCTCGGTATCAGCATTGGAGGGATGTGCATCAATGGTTGGCACGGAGAGGGTGTCGACCTAGGTTGGTAACTGATAGCTATGGACCTAAAGCGGTGCCGGCGGCTCATGAGAGTAGATTGAAGGTTCGCTCCAATGGAGCTGCCAAGCTGCTCAGTTACTGTGCTAAATCCACAGCAATTAATCCGACTATCTTCGTCTTACCTCGCAATGCGCCATGGCCGCTTCCATCCACTTGCACGGATCCGATGCCTGACTTATGTGTTAATAATCTGTCAGCCTGTGGTGTGGAGTACGTGAAGGTCACTCCCTCTCTGCCAGAGATAAGACTCCAGTTCTCCTTGCACCTGTTCTCCGAGCTCAACATTGTACTTCCAGGCTCTTTTTGATGGCCTACGCTCGTTTCTCCTTAACCTATCGCTATCCTAGGCGTGTGGTCCTTCTTTGATAGTTGGATAGAGTCTGGGATTGGAGGTGAGATTGGCGAGCCTTCGTGTGGAAGCGCGGGCGGAACAATATTGACTAAGCCCGAAACGGCACCCCTGCCGTTAGTGGACTGCGTTCCATCTCCATCTACACTATCAGACCTCATCCCTCGCGTATACCCAGCTTTACGATTTGCAATGCCTTCTGCAAGAACGAAGTCCACGTGGCTGGTCCTGGCAGTCGCAAGCGGCGCTTGCGCAGCATTCAATGGCGTATTCGCGAAGCTGTATGGTCCCTGACGCCCTTCTCTCACCCACAGCTAATCCCCGCCAGGACGACCACAGAGCTCACTACCTCGTGGTCAAGCTCCATATCGCAAGCTTTCAATCTGAGTCCGTCAAATAAAGTGGTCGAATTCGGTATTCGCGGGGTACGCTCCCCCTACATCCCCGTTCTTGCCTAGACGTGAGCTAATGCTCGACCCCTAGATCTTCTTCGGCCTCAACCTCGTCTTCAACGCGGTAATGTGGGGCCTCTTCACGCGCGCTCTTACCCTCGCTTCCTCTACCGTGCGCGTCAGCGTCATAAACACGTCCGCAAACTTCATGATCACCGCCATACTCGGCACGTTGATATTCTCCGAGGCGCTACCCGGACTGTGGTGGCTGGGCGCAGCATTACTAGTGGCAGGGAGCGTGATTATCGGGAGGAGAGAAGAGGGGAATAAAGCGGGCGTTGAAGCTGCGACTGGAATCGAGCCGTTGCTGGAGGGCGAAAGACAGGGGGAGGGATTTCGGGACAGCGATGAGGAGGGAGAAGAAGACGTTGAGATGAATAGTGTGAAAGATGGTGATGAGGAGGAAGAGGGTAGTAGCGGGGATGAGGACGCGGTTCTGAAGTAGGATATCTGGATCTGTTCCTATTCCTAAGGAGCATCAGCTACGAGGACGAATATATGTGCACATCACGATACCCACCTCGAGCAAGTAATCGCCCGTCCAAGGAAGACTCGAGGAATGTTGAACTGGTATTCTGGCACATACGGTCTACGTTAAACTAGTCCCCAGCATCCTATGCAACGGCGCCGGGATAGACCAGGTTCTCGCGGGAACATGCATCGATGACGCGCAGGCGGCGACCTCAAATTTTGGGAACCCCTTTGACCTCGCCAATGCTCTTCAGATTCTCTCCCTTTGCCACCCCCGGAGCAAGCTACTCGAACACCATTCACAATCCTCAGGGCACCATGTCATAACGAAGTGCAACGCTCGGCGTGGTTCACATGATATCTCCTTTCACTTCTTCGCTCCTGCCGCAAATTAGCTCCTTGCGTGCCCGTCACTCCACCGCTAGTCTAATTTCCCGTTCCTCTACCTTTCACCACGCTCGCCTCGCGCACAAATTTCTGTCCGCCAGCTAGCATATTTAACTTCGACACCCTCACACCGCTACAACCTCTGTCTACTCTGCGCCGTCGCTAACAAGACCAAAGATAGCAGACAACTCTCCTCGTCCGCCACACACAATGGCTATCTCCGTCACCATCCACGCTGGAGGTGCTCAAGACCTCAAGCTCAAGCGCGCCGATACCCCAGTGTTCGGCGCCATGCGCTCCAAGCTCAACCCCCGCGCGGCCTCATTCATCCCAGGCGCGCTGTCCCACCCGCCAATGTCGCCCATGACTCTGCGCGCCTACCTCCACCCTACCAAGAACAGCCTCGTCTACAAGAACAAGACTGGGCTCACCTCGCTAGACGCCACGGCTCCGCCGTTCATCCCCAAGTACGCGCTCCCAAACTACAATATCGACCCGCGCGACCCCTTCTACAACCAGCTCCTCAAAGTCCAGCTGCAGCGCGGAACCCTGCAGGATCCCAACTACGATCCCAACCTCCCCGTCTATGACGGCTTCGCCTCGCGCTCTGGTTCCGGCTACGGCCTCTCCTCGCGCTCTGGTTCCGGCTATGGCTTCACCCCGCGCTCTGGTTCCGGCTACGGCCTCTCCTCGAGCTCTGGTCCCGGCTACGGCTTCACCTCGAGCTCTGACCCCGAATACGGCTACGGCTTCGACTATGACCATGAGTACGACGACGACATCGGCGCCTATGGTGCTGCCAATGGCGGTTACGGTCATGGACACGGATACGGTGGTGGTGGGATGTGCGGCTGCTCGCCGACGATGTATGCGCCGGGCCTGGGACAGCCGGCATGGTCGATTGCGCCGCAGCATTTCGAGGGCTACGAGACGGAGATGCATCACGAGGATGGTAAGGACGGCAAGGCCAAGAAGAAGGGCAAGAACAACAAGAGCAAGAAGGCGAGGAAGCCGTGGAAGGAGGGCTGGGATTAGCTATGTACTTGAGTGCGTCACGGTGTCTGTTCTGGCATAGTTAAGGTCGTGAATGGGATGTCGGGATATGGCGCGTACAAGGCGGCAGGATGTATGGGCGAAATGGTGTCTTTAACTTGGCACGGTGTGTCAAAAGCAATTTCCAGGCCACGATGTGCCCCTAATACTCGGCTGTAGTGGGTTTCTGGCGAGGTGTATACAAATTGCATGACTGGAACTTTAGCTTATGCATTATGAACGTGTTTTGATGCATAGGCTTCCAAACTGCATATGACGTTGATCTTTGATAGGACACCATGAACATAAGTACAATGGCATATGCACGATGATAAATCTACCGCGCTACTGGCCTACTACCCCCGCCCCCAGACGTAGAAATACAACCCGCGCAGTCAGCGGCTCCCATAGCCCGACATAAACAAAGCCCGGTAGAAAGACAACAAAACACCACAGCACCCAGCACTGCCAACCGGGAAGTCTTAATTGTCCCTCGACGTTTCCGTTGTCGAAACGTCCGGCCCGTTCGTGGGCAGCTTGCACTTCTCAAACAGTTCCTTGGACTGCGGTTGCTCCTTCAAAAGCCTCCTCTTCTCCTTGTTCCAAAAGGGCTCGGCCACCGGGAGCGACATGAGCAATTCATCCACCAGCCACATCAAGTGTTTCAGCTCGCTCATCGCCTCGTCCAATGCCCTAGGATCAGTGTGCGTATAACCGCGGACATTTGACCAAGCTTTGTAGACCCACGCATACATTTGCATGGCTTCGCCCTCTTTGATGAGCGGCCAACAATTACTGATAGCGCTTTGGGTAGCCTTCGCAGTAGCTACCAATAGCGGAGGATATGCGGGAGCCAGGGGGTCGTCGAGGATATTGCCAAGAAGAGGACGCAAGAGCTGCAGGTGCTTAACCGCCTGGATTCTCAACCCGTGGAGGAGGAAGACGAGTTGGGACACGATGAGAGTGGTGAGCTCGGGATATGCCATTGGATTTGTTAAATGGAACAGAGGAGCGACGACGCCTTCGCGTACGATTCTATCGAGGAGGTTTTCGTCCAGAGTTCCCCTAATGCGAATTAGGGATAGGAGAGCCGGATATACATGTTCGAGAAGCCTGACTGATTCGAATTGCGGAGTCAAAGAAGGTATGTAAGTGAAGAATTGCCACAATTCTTCCGAGAAAAGAAGGTCGTAACCGCGCTGAACGACGTAGTCTGGCGGAGCAGATTTGATGAGTAATGTGATCAATTCGCAGGCTCTCGCTTTCCATTCCAGGTCCGTGTCGTCCATCATCTGGAGAATTGGCTGGCGCAGCAACATGAAATTTCTCGGAATCTCTTCTGGTTCTGTGTTACACAGAACATACTTCAGCAAGTCTGTGGCATACTCATTGCCTGGTTCTTTCCATCTCTTGCCTTCGGTTGCCATCGCGTTCGCGGGCCGTTTAGTCTGCGCAAACATTTGTGGAATCGTAAGCCGAAGAAAATGCGATGCGAGATGAGGGGCAAGCGTACTGGTGGTCTTGTCGGCGCTCTTCTTGACTGCTTCAATCGCCAGGGCAGGGTTGGTGATCTCCGGGTTGCGCAGCTGCCACGCCATCACCACGTCGAGGGCGCCCTTCATCCACGGCCCGGGTTTGGTGCCTAAGGCTTCAGCCAGCTCCTTGCCATTAATCAGAGGCTTGAACTTGTCGGCTTCGAGCAGGTTTTCCTTGGTCAAAGTCTCCAGGAAGACGGAGTATAGGCGTAGAACCCCTGGATATAGTTAGTAAGGCGTTGTTAAATTGGGCGCTTAGCTGTCACAACGGATCCAGCCAAATGCCTTTGACCTAAGGTTGTTTTCTTTTCGAAGGAAGATTCAATGGCGACTTACAGTCTCTTGACACTCTCCCTAGCGCGATCTCGTAAACGAGAGAGAAGAAGAGTTGCATCCTCCAGGTTGAACCCCAACGTCGTATGGCCATGCCTAGGGTGTCCCTTGCTGAAGCGTCTTTCTGGAGGTTCGGTTCGGTCTTGGAATGTGAGATTTCCTTCCAGCACTGTTCTACTAGCTTCATAATATCTTCGCTGTTCTCCATAGAGGCGACAATGACTTCAGAGACCCTATTAGGAGCCTTGAAGCCTTCCTGAGCGACGAGATAAGCAGCGTGAAATGGATTCTTTGCTCGTTTCTTGTGCGGGACTTTCGGGGCATCGGCCCAGGGCATCACAGCGGCGCAGATCCAGGCAAAGTACCGCTCGTCCGAGTTCCGAATGAGTGTTTGAGGGATGACTGGAGGTATAAACTGGCTTGTGTTTTGGACAACCTCGTTGGCAAAATCGTACGCTGGCGCAAAGTACTTTGTTTCGGGTTGGTACTCGAAGTCCCTGGTGGGATCCGTGAAGATGGTCTCGTAGAGGCCGAACTTGTCGATGAGGCGGAGGGCCCTATGAGGATCAGGGCCCTTCAACATCTTCTCTAGCTCATCGCCGATCCGCTCCCGCTTGATCTTGACTCTCAAGGCTTTCTGGATATCTTTGTTCCCCATTGCGGTTTCTGTCTCTGGCTCGATGGTGTACTCCAGCCGGCTGGCAAATCGGATCAAACGGAGGACGCGAAGCGGATCGTCTATGAAGGTCTGGTACGGCTCTAGAGGGGTTCGGATGATCTTCGCCGCCATATCCTCGAATCCGCGGCCAGTAAAGTCCTCGATCTCCATGGTGTGCAAATTATAAAACATGGCGTTCACTGTGGCGTCTCGACGTAGGGCGTCTTCTTCGGCAGTTCCAAACTCCATCTGTGGGTTTCGACTGTTTTCGTTGTAGGTCTCCTTCCTAAGGTTGACGAGATCGAGGTCGATACCCATGATCCTGATGGTAGCAGTCTCCAGGTTCTTGGACGCCGCGGGGTTGGCCTTGATCTTGTGCAGTCCGGTCATGATCCTCGTTCCCTCCTGCTGCTCGATGCCGTACTTCTCGATGTTGCCTGGTATCTTGAGGTACTCCAGCATCTTGATCCCGAAGTGCTCGCCAGTCATCTTATTGATGGCGACGTCGATGTCATGGCTCCTGACGCCGAGCAACTTGTCTCGGACCCAGCCGCCAGTCCAGCGCAAGACGGTCTTCTCCTTGGTGAGCTCACCCGGTACTTGGACTCCGGTAGCGCCCTCTTCAGCGACAGGCGTCTCATCAATATAGGCGGCTACCCCCAGAAGGAGGTCACGCAGTTGAGTCTCGCTTTCGGTCAACTCAATGATGACCTGGTTTGAGCCCTCTTGGGAGGCCATGGTGCCGTAGGCTCGTATTGAGAGAGGGTGAGAAGGCTCACTTTTCTGCCGTTTGGGGTTCGGCTGCTCGTGCGTGTTGGGTGACGGTTGTCTTCTAGTCGGCATACGACAGAAGCGAAAGGTAGAAATGGGGTGGTACCGACGTATGGAGAGTGATGATCTTGTGTAGCGAGAATGTCGTGACAGTAATAGAGAGTTAGGTCTGAAGTGGAAAGAAATTGCTCGCGGTGAACAAAGCTGGCAGGCACGACTCATCGGCATCCATGTGACTTCGGCGGGCCTTTCCTCAGCGTTAATGGGCAGAAAGAGCCCCGGAGAGGATACACAGAGCGTGCAAACTAATGATTAGAAGGCAAATTTGGTGTTGAAGGAGCGTGGTGAACGAAAACTGGGATGGCGCCGGAGGTGTAGTGTTTCTGTACCTGCGATTCCGCTCTGGCAAATGAGAGCGCAGAAAGGCCGGCGAGCATCGTCACCTCTCTTCATACACTCCGAGCCTATAAACGCCGCAAAGCGCCCACACACGCCGCTTTCCCCCGCCGGACACAGACACGCAGCGCCAGACTACATGCCGGCACCCCCAGAAGTTGCGCGCACATCCAGATCCCCGTGGGCGCCCCGCCCGAGCCTCCCATGACGCCGCTGCAAGATGCCACGCCGAAGCCGCCCAGGTATCCCGCCGATCTGGAGGCCTCCATGATCCTGCCCAAACAGCGAGCGTCGCCTGCCTCTTCTCTGGCCTCCCTGCCCTACCGAAGATCGAACCCTTCGCTGCATAAGCTTTTCGAGTCGACCACATCGCTATCAGGCTCGCGCCCCAGCTCCGGCAGCGCCACACCGACCGCCTCCGTCGTACCCAGCTCTACCTTCTCTCCCGGATCGAGATTAAATGGCGCGGGGACCCCAGGGAGCCTGCCACCGGGCGTCTCGGACGAGCATAGGCTGCTCATACAAAGGGCATTTGCGCCCCACGTGGTGGTGCTTGCGGACACAGAGACGGAGGAACTGATGCGGAGAAAGGGCTTGGAGGGCGGATTGCTACAACTATTAAGGCCATTTGGGGAGTCGGTGCCTGGAAAGGTCACAATAAGAGATAGCGTTGGCGCAGGCAAGAGCTGCGACGACTTTGGCGTAAGGTTCGTTGGAATCAACGAGGGACTGGGGCTCCCCCCCAGGAATCCAAATCTGCGGGTCAATACAACAAATGGGCAAAGCGAAGGTGCGAGGACATCATCAAGCGCCGTGCCGCCGCGGCGGATAGGTGGAGATGTTGCGCAAATCGAAGAATTGGTGGATCGACATTTGCAATATTCCGAGTTCAACACCGAAGGCATGGTCTCCGACTACCTCAGCCAAAGCGAGCCGGTTCCGGCGGAAGCGACGTCTTCTCCCTTCTATACGTTATACTTGCGTCGGTTATTGTCAGGGCTCCCATTAGTGCCGCACGAGACGTTCGCACACCCCGTGGCAGGTGTCATTGCGATTAGCTCGCGGAATCCAAATCCGATAGAAGAGCTTAGGAGGCTCTATAAAAGGCAGCATGACGGTGACCTTCGGCTTCCTCAATGGGTGGAGAACGACTTTCTAAGATACTACTTGTTGATACATGACGAAGACACGGGAGATATTGCAAAGTCCAATCAGACTTTTGACGCCATGAAACGACATTTCGGCCTACATTGCCATCTGCTGAGGTTGAAGAGCCAACAATGTATACCATCCGATGACGACAGCGTGCGGTTACCAACCTGCGAATGGATGTCTGCTGGGGAGGAGCTAGCGGAGATCCAAAAGCGAGGTATGTCTAAATAAGCACTCAAGCAAACATATCGCTAAAATCTTTCAGAAACTGCGGACGATATAACGGATCCCACCCCATACATCCCCGACTCCGACATCACTGCCATAAAAACCTTTGTCCGCGAACTCGTCGCCCAATCTATCGTCCCCAACATGGAGCGCGCAATCGCCACCTGGAACGAGCAAGTCTTGGCCCGCCGTCGCGGGATCTCAGGTCGCTTCATGTCGCTCTCCAAGCGCTGGACGCCCTTTGGGTCGTCGCGCAACTCGTCCTCTCCCACGCTCTCCTCAAATTCAAACTACGACAGCCTGCAGGGCTTCTACCGGCCCGATGCGCCAGAAGCGCTCATGCGCAAACTAGCGGATTACTGCTTCATGCTGCGGGACTGGAAACTCGCGCTCAGCACGTACGATATTCTTAGGACGGATTTCCAAAATGATAAAGCGTGGCGGCACTACGCGGGCGCGGCGGAAATGGCCGCCCTATCTGCGCTCATGAGCACCACACCTCTGTCCTCAAAGACTCGCACCGAAAACATAGACGCCTGGATCGAAGCCGCATCCTACTCCTACACCGACCGCCAACGAAGCGCAGCACCCTACTACGCCCTCCGCACACTCGCCCTAGGCCTCGAACTCCTCCGACTCCGCGGCTCCGGCGCCGCCGACGACGCTGCGCGTTGGGCATCGCGCATCCTCGAAACGGGCCTCGTGGGTGCTGTCGGCACCGCGCTCTTCACGGAACGCATTTCCGCCTGCTACGCCGTCCGCACCGGTGTCGGCGCTTTCAAGCTAGGCTCAAGACGCAGGAAAGCAGCGCTCTGGGCCGTCCTCGCCGCAGAAAACTGGTGGCGGCTCGACAAAGCCCTGCAAGCGGAAAAATGTCTCGACGCCGCTACGCGCTTGTACGGTATCCACGGCCAAGAAACGCAGACTGGAGGGCCTGTTAAACTCCCTTTCCCGCAAATGCAAGCCTACATTGATGAGCTGCGTCAACAGATCCTCGGCTTGCGGCTCACGAATCGCGGGCTGCTGCTTGATGAGGATGGCGAGGGCGGCGCGGAGGTCGCGCAGAGTCTAATGGTGGAGGAAGCGACCGAGACGCTGGACAAGAGTCCGCGCGGGCATCGCAAGAGTCTGATCGGGATGGTGGCGCCTCCGCCGATTGATGTCGGTCCGCTGAGTCCGCGGCTAGAGAGGGGCCCGGAAGCGGACAGGAGGGATGACCAGTTCGAGGGCGCGTAGAGACAGACGTAATTGATGGATAGGCTTTTTTGCTTCTCTGCCCTGGCCCGCAAGGGGCTGTTTTACATTTTCCCAGTTTCCGTTTTGGCATGGTAACGGCGTTTTGCGGTGATGGATCATCAAGAGGGATTTTCGACGGGTACATAGGGTGAGCCTGGTTTGGGCGTTGAGCCCGTATAGCTGAAGTACGTTGAACGAGGCTGGGCTATAGTCACCGCGAAATGTACTATTCTCACTGTTGATCGATCGCATTCTTTGTGTCCCTCGGGCTTATGAGTGAGAGAGCAGGGCCAACTCTGTTGTGGACCGCGTTGATGCATGTCAGCCTCACCCGCATGAGGTAGCACAGGGACACGTTGATCGTCTAAGACACACAGGGAACATCACAAGGCACAACCCGGACGTCAATCAACAAGGCTGGACGGGTTTTGCATTCGAGCTGTCACCCAAGCATCTACAGAAGAGGAAACCTAACCAGAGAGCCGCCCAACGCCGAGCCAAACCCAGGACACAGGCCCAAGCACTTTGGTGCCTGCCCGGATCATTGGCCATGCAAAGTCTGATATATGCCGTGACCGTGTCATGCACCATGCTCGTATGCTATGCAAGAGAAGTAGAAAAATGAAAAATGTACGCCTAGGCTATGCATGATATGGTGATAGGGGTATCATCGTCTTGACGAAATGTATCTCAAGTCTTCGTCTCAAGCGTCGTTGCTGTCGTGGTCGTACTTGCGGCCGTGCTTGCGTGTGTAGGTGACGGTGGGGTGGAAGAAGGTTGTAGTGAAGAGGCAGAGGTGGAGGTTGGGGCCGTAGATGGCGGAATGGCAGTGCGAGGCTCGGTCGGATCGGTGGTCCTCAGACCTCGCAGCTTGATGGTGAGCTTTTGTGGCTTCAGTGGCTGCTCGGAGTCCGGAATATCTAGATGTGATTGGGATGGGATCGGGTCGTTGGACTCGTCCGATGAGCTCTCCGTGCCTTCGGGTGTGGAGTCGGAGTCGAAGAGCGGGAGGGGCGAGCGACGTTTACTAGCTCGCGGGATGGCATCATCGCTATCTCCGTCGATGCTAGGGCTAGGCCGTTTCTTTAGTGAGGTCCGCTGAGGGATCACGGTGACCTCGGGCAGGCCAGTGTGTGGTCCCGCGATGTTGCGGACGGATGAGTAGTGCTCCCAGTTCTGTGACAGTGTTAGCTCTTGGCTCTGGAACGTAGGATTGCGATTCACCTACATGATAAGCAATGTGCAGGACTTGTCGGTCATCGACATCATCTGGGCCGTCCGGGAGGTAATAGATGCGTGGTGAAAAGAGGTACGTGTAGTCAGCCTGCCAGAGGCGGACGTGAACGTTGAGGGCCGACGCGAACGCCGACACCTCCATGTTGTCGGCCCACTCGCCCGGCTGGCCCATCTTCTCGACGTGCTCTTCGAACTGCTTCTGCAGCTCTTCCTCGGTGTGGTAGGTGGTGTCGATGCGTGTTGGCAGCGCAGCCGTCGTCTTGCGTTTTGGGTTGCGGCGAACATTGTTCACGGCCATGTACTGGCGGTAGAAGTCTGAATTCTCGCGCATGTGCTCGATAGTCGCGGTGCGGAGCACCTCGTGCATCTCTTGGTGGCCGTAGAGCTGGTCTGACAAGGCGTTGAAGAGGCAGTTGCCTTGCACAAGTCAGCTTCAATTCGCGTCAAAAATAGATTTTGCACTCACCATCGCCTCTGATCTCGCCCGCATACAAGCCATTGGCGTCGAGAATGGGGAACTCAGGGGAGTCGGCTCGCTGCTTGCGGGGCGCCATATTGCCAGCTGGTGCAAGCTGTGTCGCGAGACAGGAGAAGGCGGAGTGCAGGAACAAAGGAACAAGGCGGAGTGTTTGTGGTCATGGATGAAAGACGGGCTGGTGGGCGGAGTGAAAGGTGTGGTGAGGCAGGGCGGCCACCGCGAGGTGGGTATTGTGTCGCCCTTCTCGGAGGTGGTGAAGAATATCGTACCTTTGTGGTGACGCGAGGAGAGCTTCGTAGCCCGCAGCCCGCCGAAACAGGGATAGTGAGGCCCGGCCAAGCCCACCCAGGAGGCAGAACACCGCCTTAGTCAGAGAGCGCCAGCCCGGGAGCCTGGAGGACAGCTGTGCCTTCAGCAAACTACACAATCGCGATTTTTGGGTCGCAGTACTCTCAAGCGGCCCGGAGGAATGTGAGGCCCAGCGGGAAAAATTGAATACGTACCTCGGGAGCAACAATGACGTACACGGGCCACGGCTTCCCTCTAGCCCTTCGCCTGCCGGAACACGCCCGCAGCCCTGGCGAAGGGGGAAAATAAGCGCGCGAAAATTCCCCAAAGATGGCCTGACAGCGGGTGCGGCTGCAGCAGGCGGTGTGAGCAGCAGCAGTCCGGACGTCTTCAGGCACGCGCAGCGCGGGCAATGGGTGAGTGAGTCTTGAAACAGCTGGAGCCTGGCCGGCTCGCAGGTAAATAAACACGCGTTATCTCGTGCCGGCCCAGATCCAGGCTCGAGATGCTCTCGTGCCGGCTGCCCTTGAGTTGTGGCGAGCGGCCAATCAGCGGCGACGCAAACAAAGCAGGGTTCCGCCTCACTCCACCGGACCACATCAGGTGCAAAATCTGGCATCCGTGGACATCATCTGCATTGCTCACCATACTTTGATGCTGCCTGATCTGCGCCGTGATTATGGCTACACGTGTCGTGATAGTCGGGTAAGCTTGTTCCGCAAGTTTCATCTCCATTCAGCCCTACCCGCGATGCGCATCTGGGAATGCCCATGCTAAATACGAGCATTCCAGTGCGGGCGTCGTGGGACTCACGACGGCCCTTGTCTTGTCCAAGCACAGGGACCTTGACATCACGGTCGTGGCCAAGCATATGCCTGGTGACTATGACATAGAATACGCATCCCCCTGGGCGGGAGCAAACTACTTTCCCGTCGGAACGCCGGGGTCAAACCTGCAAAAGTTTGAGAAGGCGACTTGGGGTGAATTGGACAGGATCTGCCGAGAGGTGCCGGAAGCAGGCATTCATTACCAAGAGACGGTCATTTACGGGAGGAAGAAGGACGCGGGAACTGCTACAGGGCAGTGGTTCAAAGAGCTAGTTAGAGAGGATGCGTGGTTTAAGGATGTCGTTCCAAATGTAGGTTTACATAAAACCTCAAAAAAGATACTATTTCTTCAATGCCTGTTGTGAACCAACAGAAAACGCGCTAATATGCTCACAGTTCCGCGTCCTACCTAAATCCGAGCTACCCTCAGACTGCGATACCGGTACCTCCTTCACCAGTGTCTGCATCAACACCGCCATCTTCCTCCCCTGGCTTCTCGGTCAATGCGTCAAAAACGGCGTCACCTTCAAACGCGGAATCCTCACTCACATTAACGAAGCTTCCCTGCACCACACCTCCGGCAGCGCCTCCATAATCATCAACTGCACCGGTCTGTTAGCCTCCAAGCTCGGGGGCGTCTTGGACTCCAACGTGTACCCCGGGCGCGGACAGATCGTGCTCGTGAGAAACGAGCCTAGAGTGATGGTCACGGTGAGTGGGACAGACGATGGAGACGATGAGGCAACGTACATCATGCAGCGCGCTGTCGGCGGGGGCACGATTCTCGGTGGATGCTTACAGCATGGGAATTGGGAATCACAGCCTGACCCGAATCTTGCGCAGCGCATCATGCAGCGCTCTATCGATCTATGTCCTGCGCTGGCGCCGAAGACGGGAAAGGTGACGGAGTTGAGCGTGATAAGACATGGCGTGGGACTGCGGCCGATGAGGAAGGGTGGCCCGAGGGTTGAGAGAGAGAGAATCGGGGGAAACTGGGTGGTGCATAATTATGGGCATGCGGGGTATGGATATCAGAGCGGGTTTGGGAGTGCGTGGGAGGCGGAGAGGTTGGTCAACGATATCTTGCGAGAGAGGGCGAGATTATAAATTAGATTACGAGGTCCTTCCTTCCCTTTGATGCCGCTATAGACTGGTAGATGTGGTAGATGTGGTAGATGCAGCTCGTCAGATTTTCTGACAACAATGCCGCCCTGAGCAGCTCGTTTATAGCTTCATCTGCGCCAGGTTCGTCACCATTTCTCGGCCCGTAATCCAGGTAGTTCTCCAAAGGGTGGGAAAGTCCAAAGTGCTCGTAAAGGCTAGCGGTCATTAGCCCGAATAATCTCAAGAATGGAGCAGAGTATCTTACTATCCGCATATCCGAAGAACAACATAGGTGGAATCCACCCCCTAGCATACTCAAGCGCAAAGCACGTATCCCGCATACTGTACTGCTTGACATCGCCGCGCTTCAAATGGTGCATACTGCCCTGCGGATACCTCTCCGGCTCAAAACTCCCAGGGCTATATGCCAACTCCTCGCCCTTGAGGATATAAAAGTAATCATCCGCCGTATGGCGTCCCGTATGGCCTTCCGTTCCGATCGCCGTGCCAAAAATGATCAAATATTCGGTGATGGAGGCGTGGATGATGTACATGGCACCCATAGCTCCGCCAGCGTTGTTAAAGATCCATTCTTCGTCCAGGTTCACGTGATTGGGGTGGGTTGTGGATAGATGAGAGACGATGTAGTGGACGGCGGAGCGGGTATCGTTGCCATGAGCCTCAATGGCGGCGAGAGATAGCTCATTCAGCTCTGAGGGCGTGAAGATGTAGAACTTTTCCAGATGGGAGTCTAGCATGTACATGAGGGAGGAGATTGCGGCGACGACGGCGCCGAGGATTGTGAGAGCCCGCATTTTCGGGCGTATGGACGGGGGTTGCGTGAACAACAGGACAAAAGAGAGTGGAGAGAATGAACGAATGGATCGAGAAACAAAAGACAGATGCTGAGAGAAGGACGTATGAGGCGGACGTTGCCTTGTGAGGAAATTTATTTTCGTGTTGTGAAAGGGGGCAGGGCGCTTCTGATTGGTTACTCGGAAAGCGTGCTTTCCGGTCCGGAAAGATCAGCTCATCTTCGCTCACACGCTCGAAGCTCGTGCCCTCCATCACAGAACACTAGTTCACGGTCGCCCTCAGTTCGCTTGCAATGTTGAAACGGAGGCCCGGAAATGGCGCCGCTCAAGGGTCGGGCCGTGGCGTGGGGGAACGGTACTTCGGACAGCGGAGCTGCACGAAGGGCGGCAAAAGACTTGCTAGGAACCTCGGCCTTTCCTCTCTCGAATTCCTGCATGCTGTCGAGTCAGGACTAGCATCGACACGTATGCTGATATCTTCAATGGGCGAAATAGCACCCAATGATAAATACACGGCCCAGCGGCATTTGGGAGGGCGGTGTACGATCACGCTACTGGAATCTGTAATCCGCGAGGCCTCACGGAACACAAAGGATTGAAGGGCTCGCCGGAGTTCAGAGACTCGTTTTCAATTGGCATCGTCCCATCACGCTCACACGATAAACGGCGGGGTAGTGAATGCTTTCCTCACGCTAAACGTATCCAGACTAGCTTGACCACCCCACAACAATTGAGTCCGATAGCATGGACCGCAAAGGAATCGAGGAAGAAGCTGGAAAATTGATACTGCGAGTCTCGAAAGCATGCATCTCACAATATGAGGGAACCCGGACGCTTACCTCGGTACACTCCCTCATGCTTTGATGGAAGTTTCGGTCCCTAATGAATCACTCTTGTAGGTCCTGAGCACCTTGGTCCAACTCGGGGTCTCGCGTCACCTCTTCGAGAACGCAGACGTCACCGGTGCTCTCAATGTTGTTGCTTCGCAGTTGCGCTCTGGCAGAGGCCTGGTCGGGCTCTGTGAGTCCCACATGAAGCCTTTTGCCGCGAAGGGTGAACTAACAAAGGAACCTTAGCTTCTGGAATGCTACCGGACATGGAAAGTACCGCAAAGGCTATATACCTCAATCACGCTCTTGGCCAATCCGTGTCCTTTGATGGACTGATATCTCGTTTCATGGCACCAGACGGCGACATGATGACAGACCTCGGAGAGCAGGACCTAAGCCTGAGTGCTAATTGCAATGCTATGATTTGCATCCTGGACTCTCCAGATCTGCAGGGGCATATCGAGGTGGTGAGAAAGATCGCCAGCTCCTTATGTGACCATTGGTGGGACGATAAATTGAGTGACAAATGGGTAAGGAGAAATCTTATTACGTACACTCGGCGACTGATGGCATCTTTCCAGTACCTCTCGGACACATATGCCGCTATGATGTTAGCCCAATCACTCACTAAATTACTGCAACGATGGGACTCTGGATCTTTGGATAAGAGTCTCGACTCTTTGGTCCAGGACCGCATTACGGTGGTGCTCTACCAGCTCCTCAATCGAATGCTGTTCAAGAGTGAATCGCTATGCAGTCCCAGCACGCAGCCGTATCCAGAGAGCGTGGCGTACGAAGTGTTGGCTTGCAACGCCCTCCGGTCCCTCCCGGTTCCCAAAACACTCCTCGCACAGCTTGGCTTGGTCATACAGCGAGGGCAAGAATACCTGACAGGTTCTCAGTCCGTTTGGAAGAGTGCCGAGTCTCAGGCGCTGTCCGAAGCCTATTGTCTTGGAGCATTGTACGCCAGACCGGAGCATCCGGAGTGGAACAAACCTACGAACAAGCTATTCCAGCCATCTTCAAAAATGACCTCGCAGTTATCGAGATTCTTCCACGCCGCCCAAGGGCAGCGCGATCCGCTTTGGAAGTTCGAAGCGTGTATTCTGGAAGGCAGCGCATTCACTCCGCAACTTCGAGCTTGCCGTGGCGAGATCTTCCCACTTCGCGAGGGCTTTAAAGACGAATACCTGGCGTACATCCCCGCCGCATGGACTATCATCAATAACATGCGCGGGTTGAGATGTCCCACAACCCTTCTATGGGAAATGATGAGGATTTCGCTCACTGACTTCCTCGTGGATGAATACATGGAGTCGAGCGTCGCATTTCTGGATGCGCCCGAGAGAAATGAGATCAGATCTTGGATCACCACGACTCTGCTCCCAACGATGGCTCCTGAAGCAAATGTCTCCCGGAAACGGCCCTTTACTCCCGACACCGATGACGATGATATCGCCACGTTCATCACCGACCCCAAGAGCTCGGAACGCGTCCAAACCGTAAAGAAGATCCTCGCTGGATACATCAAGGATGTTTTACTCCACGCCAAAGTCCGCATAGCATCCCAATACGACCGTAACCATGTCAGGCGCGAGCTGCACGACTTCCTCACCGCGCACATGCTCCAAATGGACGATAACATCAGCCTTCCCCCGCAAGACTCCAGCCTAGCTATCCTCTCGTCCCCACGCTCTTCCTTCTACGTGTGGGCACGAACAACCGGATCACAGCACATCTCGTGCCCGCTGTCCTTTGCCTTCTACAGTTGCCTTCTCGCCACGGACCGCCACGACTGCTTCCCCACGCCCGAGCAGAAGTACAAAGCCAGCAGCTTCTGCGCCCATCTCGCCGTTATGAGCCGCCTCTTCAACGACTGGGCGAGCGTGGCGCGCGACCGCAAAGAGGGGAATCTGAATAGTTTGAACTTTCCTGAGTTTCAGGTCCAGCGCGCAGCGGGTGATGCCGCGGACGGGCATGACTCTGCAAAGGTCGAAGAGGCGAGGAAGAGCCTGTTGCGTCTGTCCGAGTACGAGAGGCAGGCGTCGCGGCAAGCTATGGCTGATCTTCTCGGTGAGATGCAGGATGGGATGAAATGCAGGGCTATTGAGCTGTTCCACTACGTGACGGAGCTTTTTGCTGATATGTATGTTGCGAAGGATCTGACGAATGCGGCGGTGAGAGCTAGTTAGGGTACTATGCGAGTTCTTTGGTAGGCCGGTTCTTGCGTCTAATTCTTACATGAATAGAAAACTTCGGCGGAGTAATGGGATGAATGAAGCGATGGTGTGTTTTCTTCCTTCTCTCTTTCGATCCTCCTTCACACCTAACGTCCCTGTAGCGTGTCTTTCAATTGGTTGTGAAAATACGGGTGAGGAATGCAGACATGTCTGGATGGGATTTCACGGGGGCGGCGTAGGATCCGAATCTGAGGCGTGGCTGTGACAATTTTCCAGGAGTAGATCCCATGGTTTCCCCCATTAAATCAAGTGTAAACCTTTTTGTAAAGCTGCTCAGTCCGGTACGCTGTAAAGGTGTTCGAGGGAATTCGGGCTCAGCTCTCCCGCCATCAATAGATGTCCCACAAGTCGAGGTGGACTAGGTAGGGCGCTGTTCAGACATGTACGGACGTTGTCCGTAGTTGCTCCACGCCTGAGAACTGCATGACGGTTCATGCGCCACCTCGACCTATAATATCCACTGCGGAACCTGCTGCCTGGCGGCGGTGTAATCCATCTTATTTTAAGACATGTTCCTGAGCGGCGTCAGACGCTTAAAATCAGCCCAACGGGAGCCTGATGAGACGAAAGCCGTCACGTTACGGCCCGCACGCCCTGGTCGCCTGCTACCTAACGGCATACTCTAGCAAACGTCATTCGCTGCCGTGGTTGAGACTCTCTACCGTTGCGTGGCGTGTGGGCGGGAACTGTGGGTGGCACGCACACGACGACGGGCTGGGGTTGGAGGAGATATTATACCGGCGACGTGGACGCGGACGCGGACTTCGCGGTGACTCGAAACGAAATATCTCCGATGTGGTTTCGAAAGTGCGGTTGAGGCCGGTGAGGAGCGGACGTGTCTGATGAAGGGCCGGACGCATAAGCGACGTTTCGAAACGGCTGGCCAATGGCGAAGGCCGCTAGCGAACGAGCCACGCTAGCTTCGTATTCCCGAGCTGTGCTTCGCTTGTGCAACGCGGTCGCGCAGGGAGAGCCACGCAGCCCTATGCTCCTCCAACAGCGTGAGCTCATCTACAAGAAACCACCGCGGCGACGAGCAACGCCATTGCAATGCGCAACATGTCGAGCTGCAGGGGCCTGCGGCGCGCTCAAATACTCGGCTATCTCTGGCCAAATGCTGCCGGGCCATCAGCCAGGTTCGACGTCTCCACAGCCTCCTCGAGCGCAACGGGGGCCCAAGCTCAGCCTCCTTCCGCATTGGTGAAAAGCGGCCCTGATGGAGATGCCCTTTCGTCGCGACCACTCCTTCCTCGCCGCGCACCCACCTTCACTTCTTCCTGAGACATATCCTTCTGTCCAGCGCCGCCGCAGCCGTCAACAGCATCTGCGGCTTTCGTCTGTTCGGCGCTGCGACAGCGGGGACCTCGCGTCTGGCCGCGTCTGTAGCTTGACTCCAGGGGGCGGCCAGCGACCGCGGAGCATGGCAGCAGCTTACATCGCCAGCTCCCCCAGAACACATCTCGACAGCCCCGATCTTCCGCCCTCTCCCACCTCCACCCCAAAATCCTCGCGCTGGATCATATCGAGCCCCATCGGGCCCCCTTTCTACCCCGTCGCAGAAGACTACGGCGGATACAAGTTCACGCCTCAGCCGACCCGGTTCAGCGCGCGCACGCCAATGCATCCTGAACTCTCCATCCAGCATGCCCCTTGGCTCAGTCGGCTGCGATCAGCTCTCCGCCTGCTCATCATCGTACTGAGCGGCGCCGTCGTCGTCTTTCTGGTGCACACGCTGGAGATCTTTCGAGGGAACACTTATCTGGACCTCCGCAAGGGCGAATTGCCCATGACATGGCCGGCTAGGACGAACCTCATCCCTACCCTAATACTATTCGCAATCGCCGCCGCAAACTTCCTCGCCTCCGTCTCGACCCTCGCGCTTTCTTTCACCCGATCTTTCCGCAGACCAATTCGCTCACGCGACCTCTACCGCATAGTCGCAGGCAGCTTTGGAGTCCTGTCATGGGGCGCAGCGTTGGCAGCATTCACTTTGCTCGACAAGGCCAGTAAAGCCAGCTTGGGCAGGTATGCCTGCAGCAACAAAAATGTCATGAGCAACGGGCGATACCAGTATCGCACTGTCTGCGAAGAGCAGGTGAGATAGCAGCTCGATCAATACTATGTACGCGTGACTGACAGATCGCAGGGAGTCGCATTCTACCTCGCAATCGGCGCCGCGTCCGCAGAGCTCCTGACCCTGATGACCCTCGCCGTCTCCGCATACCTCTCCGTGAAGCAAAGAACACCCCATCTAAAAAGCGACCACGACAGAAAAGCATCAACAAGCGTCGGCATCCCCGGCCGCTATCCCTAATACGTCTCCTTTGTCGATAATTTGACATTCCGATTCTCTGTACAAATACTCACTTTTTCACCACCGCATGATACCCAGGGTTGCATGTTTTGGTCCTTTTGATTGGGCGGCTCAAAATACTGGCGTTTCCGCGAGCATGACGATCTCTTTTCGCGCCGTCTCCGCATGCATTTGCATTTATCGGAGTTGCATAGTCTTTCCGTTACGTTTTGACGATACCTTAGATGGTTGGGATACTCGAGCTCAAAAGCTCACGGCCTGATATCACGGCTACATTAAACTGCAATAAGGCAGCTTCCCATAACCCTTTGTAATCAACAACCAAATACCGATTCGTTTATCCCTACACAACATCGTTTCTCTGGTTTCAGTTTCGTTCTCACGCTTCTTCTTTCCGCTGGAACCGCGCTTCCGGACCGGGCTAAATTGGATGCCTGAGGACTTCCCGGTTTTCCTGAATTGCCATGCAAGCCAGCCCCCCGACCACGCGAGGCTGGAACAAGCCATAGCTTCAGCCTCAGCCCTGGAGGGTCCTCAGCCTCCGCTCGCACCACAATGCCATCCCGAGGCACGGCGCGCTGATTGGTGCATCTGCCGCATCGCCCCAATTGCGGCTTAATTTTAGAGGCTCTCTAAAACCCCAACACCGGCGGAGCCCCACAGATGCACGATAACTAACGCTAAACAGAAGTCCATCGTGGACGCAGAATTCCGTACTGGAGTGCGGAATACGGCGCCTCTGACCGCTCGGACCTACCGACACTATTTCGAGATCGACAAGCGGCTGCGGCTGGTGCGACCTGCTACACAGACTCACTCGTAGTCATTGGGTATCGGTTTGATTGGAGCCGATGGCGTATGTGAGCAATGATGGCAGAGGATCTGCTGGTTGCATTGTGTTGGACGCCTTACCAACGACATTACGTTTAAACCCGTCGCTGGCCCGCCAGGTCGCAACTTCTGCGGTTTTGCAATTGCTGCTTCTTCAATTGCAGTTCGAAATTCCTCCCGTCGTAATAGTATCGTGGCCTACGATGCAATGGCAGGTCGCATCCCGGACATCAATGTGATCCAGGACACGCCCACCTCCCCGAACCATGTACCAAGGCCGATATACACGTCGCCGGAATTACCGCGTGTTCCTGAAGATGGGCTTGCTGCGCCAGAGTTAGATCGGGACACGGAGGGACTACAGGTTGATCCGAATGGATCCTACCCGTACCCTACTACGAAAGAAATCGACAGCAAGTCGAAGCATTACCACTGGGTGCCTACGCCGGGGAAGCAGCTCTCTTATGACGATGCTGGTTTGATTCCGTACGAGGACGCTACCCGGAGAAAGAGAGAACGGATATGTGGGCTCAAGAGGAGGACATTTTTCATCGTCGCTGCCATAGTCGCAATTGTAATTGTTGCAGCGGCGGTGGGTGGAGGTGTAGGAGGCTATTATGCAAATAAGTCTTCAAGGTATGTACACACTTCCCTCTTTGTACTCTTCACCTCACAGTGCTAACCACTCTATAGTCCAACGTCCGAAGATGACTCCAACCCTGTAACCTCCGGCAACACAGGCATGGCCGCCCTCCCCTGCGCCCCCGCAACTGTCACCACCCCCGGCGCACCCCAAGCAACACCCCGAGGCATTAAGAATCCTTTCCTAGCCCGCGGCGCGACTTTCGACATCACATGTCGGCGTGGAGTCCCCAATACTGGCGACAAGAACGGCCACGCCATCAAAGATATCGCCCGCTTCACCGAATACAACATCACGAGCTGCATGGATAGATGCGCCGTGGACACGCTCTGTAAGGGTATCGTGTACAGCGCGAACCTGACGGAGATGGTGGCGGACGGAGACCCGGGCGGGAACTGCCTGCTCAAGAACGCGACGTGGGAGCCAACAGAGAAGAGGGAGACGTGGTGGGCTAGTGCGCTGAAGGAGGGGTCATGATTTGCTCAGATTCCGTTCATTGCATTTTTTGGGAGCTGGGAAGCGTTACTACGAAGGAAATTCTCCTAAAGAGGCGGGATACCCCGAGGGGCCCTAGAAGCTGATATAGGGCCTCCTCTCCAATTCCGGGACGTCAACGGCGGCTGCGGCTCTGTTGCGTGGTGTGCCTGTGAGACACAACAGCCACTCCCGCGAAGTTTGGACATGGCGAATGCGACTACCAGTACCAGGGGTCGGGCCAAGAACTAGTGGCGAGTTGGGTGAGCTTACTTGGACCTCGAATAAATTATTCGAGACAGTAAGACCCCCTCTGAGTCAGCGACGGGGAAAAGACTGTGGCGAACCAACAATGGGGTGGTTTTTAGGCATTGCGAAGTCTGCTGAAGAGTGATGGGGGAAGTTGTAACATCATTGTGTCAGCGTAGAAGGTAGCTGCAGCCTGTGCAGGTTAGGAAATCAACGAGATTACTGCAGGTGTGGTATACAGTAGCGTTCTCGCAACATGCCGTGCATGTGAATTTCTAGGGCAACTACTGCTAACTAGGGGGTTGGTTTACACAAACGGTCCGATATCTACGATCTAGCAAGGGGCTTGTGCGAAGTGAGGTGCGGCGTTCATCATCGTCATCATCAGCGGTGATCTGTCGATATTATCTCTCCTTTTATTATGGTGCGGTGCAAAGAGTGTCTTGGCGGGCTGTCACATCACTGTCATACAGACCAAGGTATACCATGTTCGTCCATCCGTATTTTCAGCCAATGACATTTCTTCGCCGCAATCAAGCCACGGTTGAAGCAGATGACGGGGCCACAGCTAGTCATGGCTACGCACTACCTCTACGCTCGCAACCTTGAACTAGGCTAGACTCCGCGTGATGCGGGGTGCATAGGGATACAGTAGTAACACAGAGAAAAAGTTTTTGGTACTACACTACTGTACAGCTCTATGATGCAATGCCGTCTGCCCAACGCGCCGGAAATGCTTGGGAGTGAATTACCTCCGATATGCGAGATCGAACGCCAACGATCGCCTCGCGAACCCGTTCAAATATATGCGACTAGCATATGTGCAAGAAGAGAAAATTTATTGTACAGCAAACGATTAGGTCCTGGGCTGCGATGCGTCGGAATGCTCCACGTTCAAGCTAAGATTCGGGGGGAGTCGGCCCTTGAGGAGCTCGTGCGCTTCGCTATGGAGCTGCCGTGTGCGCTGCTTGTGGTGCTTCTGCAGCGTGTCAAGCCTATGTAATGTCGACGGCTTAAGAACTTCGAGCTCCTCGGTCGGGTATTCGCCCTCATCGTCCGTGGGTGGACTACCAGACGCGAATGACCGCGTATCGTGCAAAACCTGTTCGACTGGATCTTGTGGCAGTTGGGCCGTAACGGTAGCTTGCAGTTCTGCCTCGGCGGTGAGCGCCTTTTCCTTCTCCTGTACTTTGAGCTCGCGCATGGCTTGGCTGCGCATCTTCTTCATGGCTGCCTTCGCTTCTGAGGTGAAAGAGAACTGCGTCAATGTCCGCTCGATAGCGTCTTCGACGAGCTTCTTTGCGTAGTTCGCAACCGATCTCGTCGTGAAAACGTTGGGGAAGCGGTAGCTGAGCCAGAGGTAGGTAACAAGCATTTTGTGCAGCTGCTCCAGCTCATAAAGATAGGGTCGCTCTGAAGACGGCGGCTTGTCGAGCACTTCGAGCGGGAGATGCGGCAAATCCAGGAGCTCACCGGACTTATTATCCGCGATGCACTCAGCGAGGCCCCGCAAGAAGTTCTTTTCGGCTTTGTCTTTCATATTGCTTGGCGCAGCGCATATCGTGATGCGATCTGTGATGCTCAGGTTCTTGACTGTGTGAATCGCGTCTGCAATTGCTAGCTGGTCCTTGAGGGCGCAAAGATGGAACCGCGGATGGATGTCGGATATTTCGTGCAGACGCAGCATGATGTAGCTGAAAGGCGTGCCGGGAGGGAAGTAATTGGCGAACCGCTCAACAATGAGCGACGGGGGAAACAGGCCTGCCGTCTCAATAGGCTCGGGTTCGCGCCTCATGCCCATCTTCAGATAGTCAAAGTCCAACTGCTCCAGGGTGGTAACGAATCCCACTGTGGGAGCTTGAGCCTTCTTTACTTCTTGAACATCTTCCGGCTTCACGTCATCTAAGCCGATGCTCGGGTCGCCGGTCGTTTCGGAGTCGATATTTGGTGTAGTTTCCTGCGTGATAGCCTGAAGAGAGGTGCGGTAGCGACCTGCTCGGCCTGCGATTTGCTTGATCTCAGATATTTGTAGTGGTACCAGTCGGCTCCCGTTACTCTTCATTGTAGATTCAAATATGACACGCTTGATGGCCAAGTTCAGCCCCATGCCGATGGCATCGCTCGCCACAAGGAAATCATAATCGTTGTCAGGGTCATTGAACAACCGAGCCTGCTGAGCTCTCGTCTCGGGAGGTAAACTGCCGTATACGATAGCACACTTTCTCCCCGTCTTCTTCTCGATTTCGCGTCGCAAGGCATGTATGCCCAGCACGGAAAAGGCAACAATGCAGTCGCCCTTCTCCAGCTGATTCAACTTTCCGTGGAGGCTTCGATCGGCTACTTTTAGAGGCGTTAAGCGCTCATACTCGTGCACGATGACCTTGTCGCCGACGAGAGCACACAGCTCACGCATTAGGGGTACTGTGCGTGCTTCGCCACAGAGATGAACCTCTCTGGCCTGTATGCCCAAGAATGCCTGCGTCCAGGCCCAACCTCGGTCTCTATGGTTGATCATCTGGATTTCATCAATGACAGCAACGTCCAGCTTCGTGTTCAAGGGCGCCATTTCCACGGTACAGCTCCACATGCTAGTTTCGCCCTCGGGTATACGCTGCTCCTCGCCAGTGACCAAAGCGCATGGCTTCCCCTTTGCGTTCAAGCGCGTATAGACCTCGTGAGCGAGCAGACGGAGGGGTCCTAGATAGACGCCTCTTTTGGCTTCCTCCAGCCGCTTCAGGGCATGGTATGTTTTCCCCGAGTTTGTCGGGCCAACGTGGAGATGCACCGTCCGCGGGATTTCTCGCGTCGCCGGATACCACTCGACGGGATAACGTAGATCGGCCACCTCTTTCTGGTTTTCTAGCTCGGCCTTGGTGAAGCGTCCGCCACATGTTTGCGCATAGAACAGATATCTTAACCGCGTTCCCAAGCCATCCCTTCCCCTTGATGCATCGCGGGCGAGAGCGCTGAGCTCCGGCGAAGCTTGCTTGATCCAAAGGCTAATGGAGCGTTCAAAGGCAAGCCATTCCTTGTCGAGTGACTCGCAATCCAACCCGAGGCTCTCGAGGAACTCTGGCTGCGCTAGTTCTTCCTTCAATTTCTCTAATCTGGTGTGAAGGGTGGGAAGAAAGCGATGGGGGAGCGTTTGCCTCAGCGGACTGGAGGAGCCCTGCATTCGTTAGCAGCTGCCCTTCAGCAACGGGGAGAGCAATGCACACCCTCCAAGTGAAATTGAATCCATCGCCCCGCCCGAACGGTTTTCCGCGACCTGGAGGGATGCCGCTGCGGTGCGCAGCCTGGACATTGGGAAGGAGGCGCTGGGTTTGCGGCCGCGATCTCGTCGCGAAGGCGCAGAAGAGACACAGCGAGGTGCGGCGCGGCGGCAGCGCAGGCATTCCCGCTGAGCGCAAGGAGGCAGCGAGCTACGGGCGCTCTCAGGATGCAGTGCGCAGTTGGACGCGCCGTTTCTATGCAATGGGCGTGCTGCAAGGAAAAAGTGAGCCAAGGAAGCTTGCGTCGGAGCAACTCGTGGCCGACGCCGCACTGCCAGGGCAAGGCTGCTGCTGCTGCTGCTGCTTCAACCCACCACCTCCGCCGCTGCACTCTTGAGCTCTCCTTCGGCCACTATTCACCCCCTCCGCTGCACCTCACCGAGACAGCCCCCTTCTTAGTCGCGTACGCTCGCTCAGCATCAAACAGCCTTCCGCTCGGTGGGCGGCAGGCTGCCAGAACGACCCCGCCGTCATGGGCGTTTCAATTATAGACATACAGAGAGACAGTATGCGCGCTCTCCACGACGCCTCCGCATGAGCACCGCTAATACGGCGCACAGTAATCCTCAATACGATCCGCAGCACCACGCGCGGCGACGTACGATCCCCCGCCTTCATCCCACACGCCGTGCTAATCCCCCCCAGTGGAAGGTCCTGATCGTGGACGATGACAGCCGCAAGCTCATCGACAATGTGGTCAAGGAGGATGACATTCTCAATGCCAACATTACGAGTGCGTTCCAAGCACGCCCGATGGACCAGCTGGTCTGACTCTGCGTAGACATCGAGAACATCACCGACAGGCGCCAGCCCCAGCCCGACATTGACGCCGTCTACTTCGTCACGCCGAAACCGCACATTGTCGACTGCATCATGGCAGACTTCGAGCGCCGGAGATACAGAGGGACATTCCTGATATGGACGACACGTAGGGACCCGGCCCCAACTCACATTCCCAGGGTCAATACTGATTCACCCAACAGTACCTCCCGCGCCGCTGAGAGAGCGGATAGAGCGCTCGCAGATGGCTCAGCAGCAGATCAGGGTATTCAAGGTCATGCACCTCGAGTTCTACCCCCGCGAATCCCACCTCGTGACGTTCAACGACCCCTGGAGCTTCCCAATACTCTTCCACCCAGAATGCAACAACCTCGTGAGGCACCACATGGAGGACATCGCGGAGAAGGTACTCATTTGGAAATATCCTCAGCGAGACTTGGCTGACCGTGCTTGTCCAGCTCATCGGTGTCTGTGTCGCCCTCGGCGAGTATCCGACCATTCGCTATTACCGCCCACGCACGCCCACCCACGAAGCTAGCGTGCTATGCTCACACCTAGCGCGCTTTGTTCAAGACAAGCTAGACATGTACACCCAGTTTAACCCCGATTTCCCTCCGCAATCGAATCGGCCCCGTGGCGCTCTGTACATCACCGACCGTTCCATGGATCTATGCGCGCCACTATTACATGAGTTCACGTATCAGGCAATGGCACATGATCTGCTACGGATACAAGACCAGGATAAAGTCACGTATAGGACTGTAGTAAACGAAGGCGAGCCGGGAGCTGAAGAGAAGGATATGGAAATCAGTGAAAAGGACAGGATATGGGTGGAGAATCGACATCGCCATATGAAGGATACCATCGACAAACTGATGACGGACTTCCAAAAATTTATTGCAGACAACCCCCACTTTACAAACCAAGATAGCCAAAACGCAACCGGCGTAAACGGCTTAAATGCGATCAAAGACATGATCGCTGGTCTTCCCCAATTCCAGGAGATGAAGGAAGTATACTCATTACATCTCACTATGGCACAGGAGTGTATGAACATTTTCCAGCAGCACAAGCTGCCAGACGTGGCCACTGTGGAACAGGTATTTGGCCACTTTCTTTTGCCTGGCTAGCTACTGACCTTCGGTAGTGTTTGGCTACTGGTCTCGACGAAGACTACCGAAAGGCCAAGGACATGGCCGCCCAGGTTGTCCGGACCCTGGATGAGGACGCCGTAACACCCTCCGACCGCCTACGCCTCATTGCCCTATACGTTCTCTACAAGGACGGCATCCTTCCTGCCGACCTCGAAAAGCTTCTGCTGCACGCCCAGCTTCCCCTTCCAGACGGAGACGTAATCCGAAACATGGACTTTCTGGGTGCTCGCGTATCTAAACAGTTGAAGGAAAAGCGAGACCCACCGCCACCACTTTTCCCACGCAAAACCACCCCTCCACCGAACGCAGAAGATTACGCGCTATCCAGATTCGACACCGTCCTACAAGAGGTCCTTGAAGAGCACGTTCATGGAAGATTACCCCTGGACATATTCCCATATACCAAAATGCAACCAGACGATCCTAGCATGATGCAGGACAATACACCTGCAGCATCGCTCCGATCCGCCAAACCGACATGGGCGAAGTCCAAGCTCTCGAGCGTCGAACCGCGACAGCGAATCATTGTGTTCATAGCCGGTGGGGCGACGTACTCCGAAGCTCGTGCATGCTACGACATCTCCCAAAAGACCTCTAGAGACATCTTCCTGGTCACCTCGCATATGCTGAACCCGGGCCTGTTTGTGCGACAAGTCGGGGACCTTAGCCAAGGCCGTCGCACTCTGCGGTTACCAGCCGATGGACCCCAGCCAAAAGCGCCAGCACACTTGTTCGAGAAACCAGAGCCACCGAAACCAGCTCCACCGCCAGCAGGTACGAAGCCGCCGCTTGTTAGGCCCGCTGGGCTGCCATCACGGCCTGGAGGTGGGCCCGCTCCGCCAACGGCCGGGCTTGGAGCTATGACACTCAACTCGGGGAGGTCACAAAGCCAGAGCCCCGCTCCGCCCATAAAGCTAAGCAAGGACCAAGAGAAGGAGAAGAAGAAAAAGAAGCATCATTTCTTCTCTTCCAAGTCATAACGCTGTCAGGATGGCTTCTAGAAGGCATTGCCGGTGGAGTTTGGGCGGAATTGTTCCCTTCTTTTTTTGCATGGCGTTTGCGAATCTGTCCATGCTTGGGGTGAACGCATTGGCATGGCACGGGAGGCGTTCAGTCGGTCGGAGTGACAGCCCCTGCGCCTTGTCTATGATACCACTGGTTGGAGCTAGACATTTAGGATAGGATAGCTAGGTAGGATAAAGATAAGTGTAGTCAATTTTCGGTGTTCCGTGCGCTTGATTCTTGTGGGGGTTGGGATACGAAGGGCACTGTTGTACGTTTCCCTTAATTCTCATTATACTCGTCTAACTGACTCAACGGTGTAGGAAACCCCACCGAGCTGTCTGGACCCAATCCATCTAGCGTTCGCGTCGCTGCTCTCTACAATACCGCACCCGAGTCGTAGAACCGCGGGATAGGCTCAGAACAGCCACTTTGTCGAATAGTCTTTTGGCGAGACTACGAGACCTTTGCCCTTACTCGCACCCTTGTACACCGTTTCGATGACGTCGATAAGCTCTTGCTTACCGGTTATCGGGAAGTTCAGCTTGTTGTTGTTGCCGGTGCCGAAGTCAACTTGCACGTGCTTGTTCCTACGCCCAGCTCTATCACCATTTCACCACAACACAAGGAACCGCCGGAGGATGAATAAAAGTGAGGAGGGGGAAGGGGGGCGGCTTACCTCCAGAAGAACATAACCGTACACGGGTCATAGAGCTCGTACATGATGTTGAAGTCCGGCACTTCCTTGTTGTCGACGACGTAGATGACGGCGAAGTTCTTGACGCGGTCGGCGATCTTGTACAGGAACTCGTCCATGGCCATGCACTCTCCGTTGGAGTCGGAACCGAAGCGCATGACGACTACGCGGTTCTCCTCGCTGAGCTGCAGTGGTGAAGATGTTAAGAGAGGGCGTGGGAAGAAATGAGGGGAAGGGAGAGAGGGGACTTACAATGGCCTGGTCGACGTGCCAGCCGGTGTGGAGGTGGGTTAGGACTACGGAGCCCATGGTCTTTGTCGTCGGGAGTGCTGGTTGTCGGTTGAAGATGTGATGATATGTCGGCGGCGGTCTTCGCGGAGTTGGATGTTAAGCAAACCAGGTCGATGCGGACTCCAACAAAGTTTTCGGTTCCTGGCTTCACTTCCGGGTACTCTCGCGTTCAATTCGCCTAGTGAAGCAAACGCGCATTTCCCAATCCGGTAATCGTGTGCACGGCCACCGCATGCTCCCCGCTAACTCGTATCCGGCTAGCGCCATGCGGTCAAGTGAATGTCTCAGCCACATCGGGCACCAAGCACGCGGCACTGCCATCTGTCTCATGAAGTCAACGTGATGCCAGATGCGTGCATGAGGGAACGGCATGTGATAAAGAAGGCGCCGCGATGAGCTGCTCATAAAGCGGTGTTTTCTTCCTGTTGGAAGGATAAGTCTATTAAATCTCGTTGCTGCCTAGATGGAAGTCACTGTTGCCGTTGTGCTGATCTGGAGTTGCCTTGTCATTTATCTGCTAGGCGTTTTTGAAGTAATATAGAGCGAAGAGCAGTATAGGAAAGAGAAAAGAGAAGAGATTTGTGGAAGTGAGCTTTCAAGATGTCGATTTTCAAGAGATCGAAGAGTGGCCGTTTCTCTCGGAGCTCGTCCGTACCCGCATCCAAGACGGCAGCGAAATCCTCTCGACTGGACTCTAACGGAAGGAGCCAGGAGAGTCATCTTCAAGCAGCAATTCCTCCACCACAAGCTGCACCAATCTGCAACCTCCCCCTCGAGATCATCCAACACATCGCCACTTACCTCTCCTCTGCAGCAGCAGCATCCTTCAGCCTCTCTTCTCGATACATCTACTACGCCCTCGGCACCGACCGTTTATCGCTATATCTGACGTCCCCTCGCTCCAAGCTCGACCGCCGCCGCAACATCGAGATCCTAGAGCGCGCCTTTCCCTCGCACTGGTACTGCGCTTGGTGCGACAAATTCCACGCCCACGAAAGGGACGGAGGGCCGAAGCGGTTCGAGCGAGAGGAGAAGAGAAACTGTGCGGAATTCAACAGCTATCTGCACAGTGGGCGGGATTACATGCTCTGCTATCACCACATTCGGCTGGCGATGAACAGGGAGCTGTGGGGAGGAGAGTACGGGATCCCCCCGAGCGCGTTCAATCTCCAGCAAGAAAACGACAAACTGAAGATCGGGAAGAGCACGGGGAGCGCGAGACTAGAATGCGAGGCTCGTGTCGTATCGGGCCATTTTCTCCTCCACGCCACATACCACCTCACCCTATCCTTCTCCCCCACGCGCCGCCTTCAACCACACACGTTCCTGTCTACTCTCTATCCCGCCCTCCCGCACGTCGTAGTCGGGCACCGCAACTCGCACTCCGGCCACACGGGCCTGCGCAGCGCGCTCGAAAGCGCGCTGGCGCGGAACTGGAAGTATGACGCGCAGCTCTGCTACGTCTGCGCAACCGACTACGCCGTCTCCTGCACCACCACCACCGACGTCCTCCCATCTACACCAACAACAGCAACATCGCTTCAATCCCCCACCACCGCGCAGCACAGACCGCACCTCAGCCTCTGCATCGAAGTCTGGCGCGACCTAGGCTCCGGGCGGAACCCGTTCGATGCGTCGTGGCGCGCACACGGCGAGCTGGGCCGCGGTGTGGAAGGCTGTGCGAGCGATGCAATGCGGCTCACGGGGCTCCAGACTGGAGACATTAAGAGGGCTTTTGAGAGCGGGAGGCCGATTAGACGGGGTGTGGTCGAGCTCGGGGCGGATAGGACTAAGAAATTGTATGAGGGGGGCGCTAGTCTGGGAGCTGGAGACTGTACGGAGCCGGACCAGAAGAGCGGTTCCTCGGTAAGGGCGGTTTTGGGGCGTTGGAGAAGTTAGTTGGGCGGAGGTGAAACGATGTTAATAGGACTTGAGCCGTTGTGGAGAGCTGGCAGCTTGTAAACGAGAGGGATTGAGCGGGTTAGCGAGGTGAGATGATGCTGTTTGGGTATCTATAGGGGAGGAACGCGGTGGTATCTGGAAGCGAGCTCTGTAGAAGTAGACGTTGGGGCATTGATTTACTTCAGCAGACTCCGCTTTTCTGGCATGTTTGTACCTTTTCGGGAATACGGGGTGGCTAGATGGAACAGAGCCTGTCAGACGTGCGCCTTCCTTCCAATCAGCGCCTGGATGTCAAGCTCGTCTTAATCCCATCAACGACCGGCTTCAAGCTCTTGCCCGGCAAACTCCAATCATGCCTCTTCAACCCATCTTCCTGTGTCAGCACCCACAGCGTTTCCGCCGCCGAAATGCGAATCTAGCATCCAGTCAGCGCACCCTCTTCAAAATTCGTGAAAGGTCTTGTCATACCTTCGGAAACGGATGCAACAGCATACTCGTGAGCTTCGTGATCGTATCCGCGCGGGTCGCAGAAATCGTACCAAGACCTCTGTAGACGTCAAGCGCGAGGTGCAGTTTCTGCATGTTTGTGGATTTGAAGTGAGCTTTTTGGGTATAAGAAAGGAGAGCGCGGAAACTGCACGCCCGGTTAGCAGGGACAGAGGGAACGAGGACGTACGAGGGCGTCCGAGTAGTCTTACTTGAAGGAGGTAGAGATCAGCCGATGTAGAACCTGCATGTCGAGCAGGAAGGCTAACGCTTCCAGAAGTGGTAGCAGGACTTTTTCGGTATCCAGATGGCGCTTGAGCAGATCGAGCAGACAATTGGCGAAATCGAGAAGGGTGAATTGCGCATGTATATCTTCCTGATTACCTGCAGGCCAAGCATCCACAGCGTCTAAGAGTGCCGCTCTAGAGTTCTGCACCACCGATTCCGAAGCCATGCCTGCGGAGCTAATATAGCCCAGGCACACGGCTTCCGTGATAGCTCTTGGAATCGTTGGCTGCAATACGGATAAAGCATTGGAAAAGTAGGCGTAGGAAGAAACACCCTCTAACACTCCGCCAGCCACTTTCTCGAAGTGCTCATATGAGCCTTTCTCCAAAACCTGAGCAGCTCGCAAGCGGACTTTGTCCAGCTTTTCCAGTGACAAGCGGAGAACATCTGCGTGCAGGTTCTCCTCATAGGTTGAACCATTGAGCAGTCCGGTCTCCCATGCAGTGCCGGCTGTGCTCAAGGCTTCGAGACGGACTAAAGAGCCCACGTCGCCGCGTTCGGTGACCGTGTAGTCGTTGAGACCAATATGCAACGCATCTGCGATCTTGTCTTTCACGCCAGGGTATAGTGGTCCAGCCGAGAGAGGATTTCGACAATTTCTCAACATGACATCGAACGCTTGGAGAGCCACCGTCCTAGCCTCTATCGCAACTGCCGCAGTACACCTGAAAGCGAGAATCTCAACGATGCTTGCCTGCTTCTCTGTGGGCGGTGATGTCGTGTCTTCATCCCCAAGTAAGGAATATGCTGCTCCGAGAGCAATGGCGTGACCTGAGCAGCGGAGCCCGTTATACGATGCCTCGTTTTCGAGCTTTGACAGCCATTCGGATACCAACTCATCCTTCTGTACGGGAGAGATAATGTTCAATAGCCGGAGGACGCCACGAGTCGTTCGAGGGATGGCTTCCAAGACTGAGTCTTCACGCCTCGCAAGACAGAGGTTGAAAAGGCGAACCATCGCAGTCGAGAGTTGCGAAGTCCCCGCTTCGTTCGCCCCCGGATATGTTATGGTGACCATTGCTCCTAAGAAATTACAGAAAGAGGACGCGGTAAGTTCGGGGCGTAAAGCTGGCGACGTGAACGCCTTCTCCTCGAGGTCCAGTTCTTTTTCTAGTAGGCTCCAAAGAGTAGTAAGATCAGCTCGCTCAGGACTATCCATAAATGACTGTGATTGAGTTGCTTGATCTACTAATGCAGCAAGCGCCGAGACCAGGCCCTGACGCTCTTCGACCTCTCGAGGCTTTAGGTGGGAAACTGCTGCCGACATCTGACCCGCCATTTCAAGGACGGCAGTCGGCGGCTGGTTGACAGATAAGAGTCCGATCGCGCGTGCTGCGAAGAGGCGCGATGGGGAGTCTAGTGACCCTGTGCCTCTCCAACCGAGAAGATTCTCAAACAGGGCTTCCCAGTACATCCGGGACAGCTTGCCAGCTCGGACGGAGACTTCGCACATAGCTCGTTCCCGCAATCCTACTGCGTGAAAGTCGACAACTTGCACAAGCGCAATGCCTTCCTCAACCGTATTGGGGTTCCGGCCTACGAGTTCCTGGAGAGCAGCCGATGAACCTCTTCGTATATTGCCAGCAGGATCCAGGCATGCGACAACAAGTAGCTCTATGGCAAGCACTTGAGGAACTGAAAGTGACTTCCGATGTGCAGAGGCTCGAATAGAAGAAGTTTCCACGGCAAGAAGGTCCTTCGTCGCATATCGTCGAGACAGTGCCCAAATTCCGTAACATGCTGCGTCCCGAACATTCGTACCGATCGATCCGCCAGTAGCGGATCGCTGCTCAAATGCCAGAGCTAGCAATAGCGCGTTGAGGATTTCAGGGAGTTGGGTCGTCGATATAGCTCTCCTATACAGAAGATGAGATAGCGTGAGAGTAAGACCATGCCACCGAAGAGAATTGACGCCGCTGAGGTTCCGCACTGATCCCTGCCAGTAGACGTTCTCGTTGAGCGAGCCCAGGATAGCTTCTACAATATCCCCTGCCATTTCGGGCTCTAGCTTCAATGTGACGATACTGAGTGCCTTACTGGCCGCATATCGTACCGGAGTGTCGCCGTCGGCCAGAGCTTCCAGTAAGAACTCTATTACTTCCTCAAGTACGGTTGTGCTGTCGAGCTTATTCGTCCCGTCCCCGGCCTGCAGGCAATGAATGACGATGTTGCGCAAGGTCTTGATAACTAGCTTTCTTGCCACTGCAGATGACCTGACAAAGGCAAGAGAAGTTTGATGTATGATGTTCTGACACGACTGGTATATCGCTGGGAGGAAGGGGCCAATCTCTTCATTCGTAGCAGATGTGACCAGACCAGCGAGGAATGAGAGCACGCCCAGACATTGGTGTATGTTGGAAAAGCCCTCTGAAATGCTGGTAAAAAAGGTTAGGGACCATTTGACAAGCGTATCAAGAAGCCCCAGCTTTTGCATATCAGGTCGGACGCAGAGCCTTACGAGAAGATTTGCTGCAGCACCGCGCTCTTTGGAGGCTGATTGAAGACCATTGATGCATATCGCCAATACACGGAGAGCGACGCCGGGTACCTCAGGAGGGAGATCGATTCCGAGAGCGATGGACGTTTCCTGAGAAGACTGAAGAGCAGACATTGAAGCCAAGGGAAATGGAGCTAGCATGAGATGCGACAGCCACAACAGGAGAACATAACGCTCTGCCCACGGTACAATGGATTGGGGCAGAGGTTCATCATCCACCGTCTCATAATTCTTGCCGCTTTCGAACTCCTTCAATATTGGCTCCAGGTGTCGGGGCTCGTTGTTGAGAAAGCCCTTGATGACCTTGTCTCCTCTGACTTTGCAGAAGAGATTTAGGATTTGACATATTCCGTGCGATAGAGGAACAAAACCTTTCTTCCGCCTTGGTCGTGAAGGGGCACGGAGAGAATCCAAATAGGCAGCAACCAGTGGAGGGATGAGCGTCTTCAGATGAGCGTCTAGGAGCTGTGGATCTTCTTGAAATGGCTCAATCTGCATGATATTAGCTGACGAATACCAAACTCAAGAACGCGATAGTACCGAAGCGAAGACTCTGTGCATATCAACTTCTCTCACGCGCTGGTGTACTTCGATAGAGTCGTGCTTCCGTTTTCGTAGTATTCTCGGAAGCAGCTTCTCGAGGTCGGCTAGCAGCGAGGCTGACGCCCGCAGCAGCTTGAGGTCGTCGTCTTCGGCCGCATTCATTATCGAGTATGGTGTGTTGAGAGTGAGAGAGCCTAGCGGGTCGTGGGAATATGTGTCTTAGCCGTAGGAGTCGTCTGATTGGCCACCACTTTGACGCGTGCACATGACCCCGCGACGCGCTCCTCACAAAAGTCTCCTCACGTTCGTTGAGCTACACCACATCACCACAACTTCCTCTCCGGTCCTGCAACACCCACGATGGCTGAGGAGAACTACAAGGAGTATCTTGCGGCTCGCGTTCTCACCGACAACCGACCGGTATGCCCTAGAAAGTGCAGCAGTTGAGATCCCAAATTCACGCTTCGCAGGCCACTTACCGGCTGCTCAGTCGAGCGCTGAAGGTCAATGTCAATACCGCGAAACAGTGTGTACAGGCCCACATCTAGAGACCATTTATCTCACCATGCATAGGATGCTCTACGAATTCCATTCCAAGCAGAACGCGAAGAAGCCAAAATCCGTTCACGCGACGTACCTCCTCACCGGCAAGAAGCGAAGCTCCGAGCACTCCAACGGGATCAAGGGCAAGGATGGAGAGGACACTGTCATGCGCAGCTCACCCTATATGAGCTCAATGCCTGAGCCGGAGGCGCCCGCGGAAGAGCCGGTGTCGAAGACGTCCATTGTGCTGGCGAGGGAAGAGGAGCTTGAGAGTTCGTGCCGTTACCGGTGGGGCATCTGAGGGAAGAAGCTGACATTGGCCGGCAGAGACCAAAGCCGAGTTCGACGAGATCACATCCATACACATATACAGCTTAGAGCCTGGTCCAATCGAGGTATGAGCGCGGTCACGGTTACGCTGGACACTATGAAAGCTAAAGGAAGCAGAATCTCAATGTGCTCTCGGTGTGCAACCAGGAGGTAGCTACTGAGTACGCGAACGAGGATCCTTTGGCGCGATGGAGGGTCTATGGATGCATACACAATCCCTATATCAAGGTAGACGCACTCTAATGTCTCCCATAGCTGTAGGCTAATCCATCTATAGCGGAGAACCACTAAATACAATCCTGCTCCACAGAAGCCAGCAACTAAACCTGCCTCTAAGCCCAGCGCTACCACTGCTGCGAAGAAAGAGGAGACGGCAGCACCTGCACGCAGAGGAAGTGCTTCGGAGGCTAACATTTCAGGACGATCAACACCCCAGCCCGGTCCAACTACTGCTTCGCTGAAAAGGTCTGATTCAAAATCGAATGTTAAGAAAAACATGACGGCGGGAGATATCTTCAAGTCATTCGCCAAGGCCAAGCCCAAGGCAAAGGAGGCTGAGAAATCGAAGGAATCCACGCCTGCCCCTGCTGAGGATGGTAGGTCTATAACGCCTCTCACACGGCATTGCTAACGTATCTAGAACAAATGCAAGGCATGTCCGAAGATGAAGGCGATGCGGACGATGAGCCCCAGGTCCAGTTCGACAAAGAAAAGGCAGAAACAGCACGAAAAGCCCGCGAAGAGCGTGAGGAAAAGCTACGAAAGATGATGGAAGCTGACATAGAGATGTCCGATGCCCCGCCAGAAGCAGAGAATGATTCACAAGACGCACCGTTAGACAAGGAAGCGACGAGCAAATCGGCCGAGAGCGAAGCCACCGTCATCGTCCAAGGCGGACGAAGACGAGGCCGCCGGCGCGTAATGAAGAAGAAGACAGTGAAAGATGAGGACGGGTATCTCGGTGAGTCCTAATTCCTGTAGCACCCTGGAAATCCTCCTGACCATCGGCAGTCACAAAGGAGGAGCCAGTCTGGGAGTCGTTCTCAGAAGACGAGCCACAGCCTAAGAAGCCAAAACCCGCCCCCAAGCCTGCGAGCACAGCGAAGGGCAAGAAGGGCGGCAAGCAAGGTCAAGGCAGCATTGCGAGCTTCTTCACTAAAGGCTGATGGCCTGCATGCACAACGGCCTGAGTTGCTCAAAGGAGCGGTCACGGCTTGTTTTCAATCATGGTGGATCATTCGCTCTCCTCTTGGTCCCACTTGCTCTTGAGCATATTGATCCTCTCGATCCTCCATATGTTGCCGAACCCTGTACCTCCACGATTTGCATCGATCATCCACGCGAGTAGATCGTATTGGACCCTTTCCAACCCAGTGTTAGGTCAAGCCGGCGGTCATCTCGGACGGGAGTATGTCGGAGGAAATCCGTATTGTACATCAAGCACATCATCCACAGATCATGCCTACACATGCCGCGAGAATATGCAAGTTAGCGCACACTAAGCCCCGGCTCCAACCAACACAGGACCCAGTGAGCAAATTCAACCACTCACAGAAATACACATATACTCAATAGTCCGCATTTTCGTATGCATGACTACTTCAACGGCCGGATGCGGCGCATCACGAGGCGTCTGTTCCTTGCTCACATCGTGTTGAGCCTCATGCGCATCAACAACTGCCTTGGCCGTGGAGAACGTTCATCCTGGCAGACAGGGCTTTTCCGACTTGATGATTCAGAGGAGCAAATGGGCAGCCACTACCGTTCTGCAACGTGATACCGCCGCCTCACCCTCCCAACAGTCCACAACGCTCATCCCTCTGTTAGTCCCTCGACACTACACACGCCTCACACCGCCTCCCCACTACCACCAAACGCCCAATCCCAAACACCAACCGCTAGGTAATCCTCACACAAAGCAAAACTCGCCACCTCTCACAGAACCCAAAAAAATCCCTTCGCCCAAAACACGTACAAGCCCCATCCCTACAAACCTGCCTCGCCTGCTCCGTATCCCCGTTTCCCCTCTTCCTTCCTGCCTCCCGGCGCTTACGCAGGCCAAGTCCCACATAGGCGAGCAGCTCGTGCTACAGCGCTACATGTTTTGTAACGCATGGTAACACATAGATCTTGACGACTGGTAGAGCGGTGGTACATGTCGGCGACTTGGGTGACGTCGCTATCTTACCGTGGGGATGGAAGTTACTAGTTGGTAGTTGTGTACCTTAAGAGAGCCATTTGCCTGAACCAGCATGGCGAAAGAGTGTACGGAGGTACAAGGAGAGGGGGTGTGGGTTGGTGTAAGGGGCACACGAGGGGGCACACGGGTGCGGAGGTCGGCGTTACGGCTGGGGCGTCCTGGTAGTTGGTGAGGGGCGTGAGGAGGTTCGTGATGCCTGTCCCCCCGGTGCGGATGTGGGGCTTGTGGTTGTGCGCAATCGCTTCGGAGGGCGCAAATCGCATTTCCACAGTCAGGATATGAGCTTCAATATCGCTCGCTGACCACCCATCCATCTTCGCGGATCTACGTTGGTGTGTTCTGAGATCATTCGATATGCTGTTGAGGTTTCAAGGTAGGTCGCATGGAAACACAATTTTCCCACCTCCTGCATCGAAGCATCTTGCTTTGTTCGTGTGCGGCTGTTGCTACTCGCCCACCACTGGGGACTCAGCTCAGATAAATTAACAGATCGACTATGTTTAGCGGCGCTAGAAGGGTTGGCTTGGAGCACTTTGAAACGGCACGATCGTGCTCAAAGAAAAAGGGATGAGCTACTGTACTAGCAAGCATGATCTTGCGCAATTTTCCGGGGTCGGAGGGGAGCGGCTAGGGTTCATGTGTAGCGGAGAGTTTTCCGGGCCTATCATCTCGCTTTTCCTTGACATAAAGTGATGAGCTGAGGAATTCTGAGGAAAGACACTCAGCTACACACATACCGTGCTGAAACCTTTCTGCAAGCCGCTTCACGCAGAAAGCAGAAGTGGTCACGTTCAACCGCGTAAAGGGCACATGATAGGCCACATCAGCAAAAAGGCCAAATAACAGCCCGCGAAGTCGCCAATAACCAGTCGCAGCGCTCTTTTCGTCGCCGATCCCCATCAACGGAGTCCAGCATCACGAGGCCCGCACGGCGTAAACCTTTCCCAAACAATAGCCGCGCACACTCATACGTACGGAACAACCTCTCCACCGACCGACGAGCGCATGCGTCCTTGTTCGTTAAAAAAGCACGCTTTCTTCCAAGGTTCAAAACCCTGAAGACGATCCTTCGAAACCCCCACCTCTGCTCTCCCCCTTTCTGATTCGCCCACACCATATTGCCCGACGAGCTGCCTGCCCAAACAGGCAGTTAATGCCTAGCCCTAAGGGCACAAAGGAATGCATGCCTCCCAAAATAGCAGCCCATCCTTCTCCCACTGCCGAACTTCTGAAACAGTAAAAACCTCCTTCTCTGCAGCCGTGCAGGGAATGATGGCGTGGACGATGAGATACTGTTTTGGGACGCTGGGCCTGCGAATCGGAGTGAAGCTGACGAAGCTTCATACACGAAAAGCAAGGGCAAGGCAGAAAGAGCGGGCAATTCACACGATGGACGTGCGCGTTCCTCGCTAAAGGCGCTCGGCCCGGCGCTGGCTGGGCAAGGCTCGGTCCGTTCAGATTGGGTGCGAGTGGCTGTCGCCCGATCAACACCAATTTGCGTTCGCGCCTTTCCCTGTTTGGAAAACGTTAAGGCTTCTCACACCCAGAGAGACACACAAGGCTAGACCTTGGATGACGCGTGGCGGCGTGGAGGCATTGAGTTAGAAACACCATTGGGTAGTATGTATACCGGTATTGCGCAACGTTGCTTCGCCGCCGGAGAAACACAGAGGCTAGCAGTGGCACAGTACTGAGAAATGCGAATGCGTAGAGGGAGTACCGGAGCTTGAACGATAATGGAAATGAATGAGGCGGAAGGATTTGATTGGACGGTTAATGATTGCTGAACTCGATCGCCTGCAGCGGAGGTCGGACGGCTGCTCAGGATGATCGACGCCCCAAATCTAGGCGAAAAAGCGAGAAGAGTGTTGACAAGGTGAAGCGGGTGCGTGATCAAGTCGCCGACCTGAGCCATAAGTTTGGAATACTTAGCTGGGCTTCGAGTATTGGAGAGTAAGCGGGTCTGCTGCACGGTCAATATGGGATAAGTTGCACGGCAGGTTGGTTGCAGGTAGCGAATACATTTGCTAAGAGGCACGGGTTTCGCAAGTTAGTGTACCGTTGGACTCATCAACGGCTATCGAATGGGCATTTGAAAGTCCCGTGTAGTGTGGCCCTAGATTGCTTACGGACCTTGACGCAATATGCGTTCGGATCGTAGCGACAGGCTCGGGACAATAATCAATCATACTTACAGCTGCACAAGCGGGTCGCAGGTTGCGGATCGAGTCCTTTCCGCCCACGTGAGAACTGTCGCACTGCGGCACAGCAAAACCGAAGGGAAGCTTGTGGAAGCCTTCATATGATAAATTGTTGTGGCTTGTGAAGTCATCTGGGTGGTGTATTCAGCCTTTTAACGGCTGCGTCCCCGGACATGGCTCGATCTGCACGTCAGAACGTTGTGACGCGCAGGTCGAACCGGGGCGCTCTACGGCCACAGCTCCTCGGTCCTCCAGCCAGCGTTTGCGCGTATGCTTTCATCAAACGTGTATAGGAATCGACGAGCTTTGGCAGGGTCGCTGAGGTCTGTCTGCTCGACGGAATCCGGAACAATGATGACGAGACGGAAGTTCTTGCGAGCAACAGGGTCGTTAAGATCATCCACTTTAGCGCCCAATTCAAGGTTCTTCTCGTCGTGCGGCTCAGTCGTTGGCCTACCCGGCGGAGGGGCACGGAAGGAGCCTCGACGGGGTTAGATCCAATCGTTCCACGGAAGACGGGGTGTTATACCTTTGATGCCTGGAGATTGATTTCCAAAAGAAGCTGTCAGCTCTCTCGTCCAGCTCCATTCCCTCTCTTTCGTGTCGTCAACGATTCTCATTCTCCTGCCTACCTCGCTCTTGACGGTCCTAACTCCGCTGCTCTCTTCTTTACCCTCAATGTCGTTGGCCACAATATATGCTCGCCCTTTAATCCGCCATTGAGTGCCCGTTTCCTCAATCCACCAAACGGCCTCCACAGGGCCACCGCCGCCGCTTCCCTGAGTTTGTTCGCTGCTCTCAGCGTGGCCGGCACTAGTCCCAAATATCTGGCCGACCTTCTCCATTCTCACATCCGTAGTCAAAGTAGGGCAATCACTTTCGTACACCTTTGGGTTCCTCTCGGCGTCATTGTGGCTGTTCTCTGGCAATTCCGTCCAGAACCCACGGAAGATGCAGTAGCGAGCTCTGGGGACGAAGGGCGTGGGGGAGCCGGGCGGGGCGGCGGCGAGTGTACTGAGGACGAATTGCGGCGTAGGCATCTTGGACACATGCTGGTTGAAGAGCGCCTTCCAGGGCGCCGGTGGGAGCACCGGTTTGGTAGGAGCTGTTGCGGACATGGTGTGCAGAAAACGCGCGAGGCGGCGAGGAGCGGTAGTGGAAGCTATGGTTGCTGCCTTGATGCTGCACTCGTAAGTTGAAGTCAGTTAGTGAGAAGAATTGAAGCTGTCGAGCTTGCGAGGCGTTCAAGATAATGATGTCGTCATCTATCGAGCAACCGCTGGATGGCGTGATGTCTGCTCCAGTCAAATGCTCCAGAGAACCATCACGATGCGGTCGCGAAAAGGCCTATCGAGCTTGCATTGAGGTGTTCGTTTGAGATTACGGCGCTGCGATGAGGCTCCCGCGCAGTGAGGTCGCGTCAGAGGCTCGTTCAGTGCGCATCGGCTGTCCGTCTTGGCACTATAGCCAAACTAGTCCACATCTCGACGGGCGCCACTATCAAACTGCAATTGACCAGGAGCAAAGAAATCGCCGACCATAATCCTACAGCCGGGGCTTCAGACCTCTCAAATCACCGTGTTGAGAGCGGATCTCAGACGCGCACAGGCCGCGTGATAGCTCGGCCTGGCACTCCTGGTCTGGTCGACGAGGATTTATGCTACCGTGTACGCCCAATGCTAGTCTAATGCCCGTTCAGGAGAGGACGAGATCGTGTTTCCCCATCGAGGTGCAACGACAAGGTAGCCCTTCACAACGGCGGGCATGAACCTGGCTGTTTCGTTGACGACATTCATGCCGCCGCGTCTTCAAGGGCTCGCTTTGTGTCCTGCTTCTACGCGCCCTCGTATGCGGCTAGCTCCGAGATGAATGACATACCGCTGCCCTTGCTCGCTGTGTTTCGTGACTCTCAATTCACCCACCATCTCTCGTCACCCAACGGGGACATGCAGTTGCCGCTGGGCACTGCGTGACGAGACGCACAAGAGGCCGGCTTGGTTGATTAGAGCATCATGGAAGAACCCCGCCGTCTCCGACTTGAATGCGCTTCCCTCCGTGGTGGACGTGTCCGCCAACATTGATCTGCAGATCAGGTGGGCTGCCTGTGCGCGGAAGCGTTTGCGAGGGACGATCCCGAGCGATATGGAAAGCCTGATTAAGATACAGTAGTCAGAAATGGCCGGCGGGCCCAGCGTGCCCAGCGTTCACCGCAACAATATGCAACAAGAAGCGCGGCGGCCACGAAATACAGGTGCGTGCTGACGCCGGAGGGGCCGGGAAGAGGCAGGTCGACGGCCGGCTGCAGCTGTGGATGCGGAGCAGGCAGCGTGCGTCAGGGGCGCGTTGATTGGCCGGCCATCCGCGATCCCTTCCGCGACGTCTTTGGATGGGCCCGGCCTGGACACTGATGCCCCATGCGCCTCCGGCAGATCCGCTTTATCCTCCCTCTCGTGCAGATGCGCCGGCACTGTCATGTTCAGGTTTCAACACGCACAGCAAACTGTCATCGCAGCGAGGCCAGCGATTTGAGAAGCCGGCGCGAGATGTCTGCCCGACGCGCCGATAGAGCAGCCCACGTGGAGGCTCACAGTCCGTCCGCCGTCCGCGATGTGGCTCCAACGCCCGGCGGCCTCGTCGACTCTTGCGCGACGCCGCAGCCGTGTGCAATATAGGACACGCGCGCCCGGGACATGCAGAAATGAAGCCGGTCAATAAAGCGAGTGCGGGATGCCAAGGATGCGCAATCAGCCAGAGCCAGAGACAAGCCAAGCCCCCGTCTTGCCCTAGCCCGCGCGCAAACAAATCGCTCCACAAGACACCACCCATTCCGCTGACATCGATTCCTTGCACCCGCTGCGCTACGCTGTTCCCTCTCTCCTGCATCTGCCCGTGATGCGCCGCGTCCTTGTACTCTATTAATCCCGCTGCGGCATACACGCAGCCGGACAAGCTTCCTGAGCCCGGCCTGTTGATCCCATCTCGCGCAAGACACCACCCCTGCCCGCCGCCCGCCTCTCTTAAAGTGTGCGCATCGCTCCCGGCCGCCAGCCATCCGACTACGCTGCCCTCTGTACACAAGCGCCATCGACCTCATCCGAACAACCTGACGACCGCACCGCCTGTCGTCGCCGGCTGGAGCACTCCCCCTTACTCCACCACGGCCGCATTGGACGACCCAGCGGCCCGCTCCCGATCCCGCTCGTCTTGACGCTCCACTGCACGCTCACGCTCGCGCTCGCCCGCCGTCCGCGTCAACCATGTCGGACATTGAGAAGTCCTTCAACTACCTGCACGACAACATACCACAATGGTTCCAGGACGTCGCTGCGGTAGAGGAGAAGATAGTGAAGATGCAGAGTGAGCTGGCCAAGGTCCCCGTGTCAAGATCACCGCCCATGAAACGAAAGACGGGTTCCGTCGAGTCGATACGGGGCCTTGACGCTATAAGGGAAGAGCCGGGCTCATCAACTGCCGCACACTCGAGCCCATTCACGTCGCGAAAACGGAAAACGCCCTCGGTGCTATCGGGCCAAGCATCGGGCCCTTCGAAATACCGGTCACGGACCATGGTTGTGGTCTACTACGATGGCCAGATCCAGAAGTCTTTCGAGACGCTTGTTCGAGCAATCGGCACTGGTCGCAACATGCTCCGAAAGGGTAAGATGGCGGCGAAGATGGACGAGATGGCAGCCCTGGCTGGCTCCGACGACGATGACGACGACGACGACGACGACGATGCAGTCATGTCTAAGATCGGGTACCGACATCGCACAGGCCTCTCCTCGATGCGGACTCGGGCGGCCATGATGCGAAGCGGACGCGGTCCCAACAACAGCAACAGTACACCTGTGGGGTTGTTCGACTCGACCGACAAGGCATTGGAGCAGGCCCAAGGCTTGTGTGAGAGGGCTGCTCACCAGTCACTACGCGAAGGAGACTGTCGGAAAGAACTGGACGGCGTCCGCAAACACTTCGAGGAAGTGCTCGAAACCGCTAAAAAGGAAGTCACAAAGTACGCCGAAAGGAAAGAGAAGGAGGCACAACAAGCAGCCCAACAAGAGCTGATAGTCAAATTGCAAACGCCAATACCAGCGCCAGTGCCAGAATCGAAGGCAATACTGCCTGCCGAAATCCGACCAGCAACTGGCACCACGCCCACAACAACAAAGGTAGTGGACATCGAAGTCGACGACGAAGAAGACGACGAGGACGACATAGACTTCGTGATGCCTCCGATAAGGCTAACGTCGCGCGTCTAAAAGTTTGCCTCTCGCTCTCATCTCCTTGGTTCCCGTCTGCGTTCAAGCGAATCTCATTTGCCGTATGGCTGGCGTTCTGGAGGCATTTTCTGGATGGAAAGGGCAAATGACCTTTACGCAGGATATGACACGGCTCCGCATTTTCCGATACACATCCCTACGTCGGCGTCTTCACGTTTAGATTCTCCAAAAACTATTCTCATACCCCTTTTTGCTCTGGCACTTGGACAAATGTCTTGATCCAGTTTGAGGCTTCGTGCAGCTTCCTTTCGCTGTCTCTCTCATATGTATCCAAAATGGATTGTAATTACTTTCGTTTTCTAGCAATTCCATCTTCCACATGCACCTATTAGTCTTGTTCTGTAAATGCGTGTCTCGCTGTCGTAAAGAGGATAGTGGCCTACCTGTCCCACCTTCAGGCGACCCGAATCTAGTCATTCCGCTCTCGCGAAGAAGTCGAATCCGCATAAGAGCTATATATTGGCAGAGTTATATGAAACTTCCCCAGCTCAGAGACAGGTATTGTCAAAGCTTCTATCTGTCGTCCAATACTACAAAGGGTAGAAGAGCCTTTTCCTCTCATACTCACTCCTTGCGACGCAGAGATGTCCGTCGCTCCTTCCTACCCAAACTTGACTAGTTCCCTGACTCTGGACCATACCTTTTGGTACTGATCATGTGAGGGCGCGTTTGCTGGGAACTCGAGGTGACGCGCTCTTTCCCAGAATGGCGGGCGCGGTCATCCGGCTCCAATTCAACTCTAGCTCACTTCGAATCCGATCCGCCTTCACCTCACCACTCGCTTCACCGTTCAGTGATTCGCTTAGCGGATCACAGATAAAAGCCTGTAGCCATGCCACCAGCACTGAGCGACTACGACTCCGACTCCGACTTCGACTGTCACCCTGCAGCGTCAACGGGCGTCGAAGAAGTTGAGGTATTACATCGCCTACAAACGCAGTGAAGCACAGCTCTCTGACCAGCTTGCAGGATTCAACACCGTGTGACGCGGGCCTGGAGGAGCATTCTGAGGGCAAGGAACCAAGAGCGAAGGTCAGAGCCGCCGTTGCAGTGCGCTCTCTTTCCACTCTCGAGCAATTCTATGCTAACGTGGCTAGCGTGTCGTCTCCAGGAAGAGGAAGCGCAACCCTGTTCTGGACGGTCTTGACCTAGATAACATCCTCGCTATCCCTGACGACGAGGACTGTCTCTCAGTTGAGGTCGATCCGCTTGGCTCATCTATTCCGACCTCATCGTACAGGACACGAGGTCAGACGCACAGCAAGCAGAAGAGTGAGCTTTGCTACGACCAGAAGTATCACCCAATGGACGACTTCCTCCGGCCTGCGAGGGCCGCCCAGCGCAAGGCCAAGCACGAGGATCTCGCCGAGGACAGCAGTGCTACCATTTTCGACGGAGGCGAACACAGCGATTCCTGTAGCGACGTTCAAGACCATCCGCAGAGCAAGAAGCGAAAGAAGAAGTCGAGCCCGCCGCGTTCCCAGGGCACTCGTCGTTCTTCCCGAAAGGTCAACCGTGACGTCTTCTACAACGCCGAGGTCCATCCGCAGGACGCTGAGCTGGAGCAGATGGACGAGGACGTCTACAGTGAGGAGGCTCACTTCCAAGAGATTTCCAGCGAAGAGCTTCAAGGCCAAGATGTTCAGAATGAAGGAGCCCAGTTCGAAGAGGAGTTGTCTGGCAGCCAGAGGCGTAATGAGATGGATGGAGCTGATGGAACTCTTGAGATCCGCGATACCGAAGGTAAGCAAACCCCAGAGTCTTCACCGCAAGCTGCCACCTGCCGGCGAAAGCATCCTCTGTCCTACGCAAGCAAGATTGTTCAAACTATCACTGGGCCGATCGCATCGTAGTGCCATCTAATACCGCCCATGCTAACCGAGGCCAGACGAGACGGATTCCGAGCAGTCCGCTTCCTCTCCGCTCAAGTCGTCGCCCTTATCCTCGATCGGACTTGTGCCTACCCCGGCAAGCGGCATCCGCCCGAATACAGAGTTCAATCCGAGGGCCATCGTTGTGCGAGATAGGCCTTCTGCGCGTACCATGCGTTCGTTGGCATTGTCCTTCAGCATCTACCAAGAGCCACTTTCGGTTCAGCTTGCGAGAGAGGCCACAGCTCCGCCTCCGATCGAGCTTCCTGATGATAATAAGGAGAACATCTCCCCGACAGGTTCAGATTTCGAGCAGACCCCGCGTCGCGACGTCATGCTCCAACCGTTGGCAGAGCGGAGCCTGAACTCACTAGGTGATCTCGAGAACGCCGAAATCGACTCAGATATTAATCAGCTCCTGAGCGACTTTACGTATGTCGAAGCCTCCACTGGAACCTCGCCTTACTTCACAGTCGGCGATGCGGCTTTCGACGAGGACGGTGAGCTGGCCGGCTATTACGATGGCCCGGGCTTCTTGTTCTATGAGGACAACAGAGATGAGTACGACTCGGTCCTTGGATACCCATCTTCACAGCCGACTTCGGACGTCGGCTCTGTCTTGGGCGAGGATGCCAACGACGAGAACGGCCCACCTCCCTTCCTGGCCTTCCTAGAGCGGTCCACCGGGACTGAATAGCGGCGGAGCTCACTGCTTACATAGCTATAGCACCAACGACTGTTTGCGGTAATAACGAATCGCTTCTCGAAAGCCGGCGACAGCTTGATGTACACGAAGAATTTCAGAAGGTGAGAAGAATTCCCTGTTTTTATTTCCGTTCTTGGGGTCGCCAGTCCCAAGGCTCTGCCACTGCCAGCACTGCCATGTTTTCTTTTCTTTCGCGGATCTCTGGATGCCTATGAGCGTATGTACTGGAGGATGAATGGAGGAGTGACGGGTTGTTGGAATGGAATGGTGTGGGTGGGTTGATGGACGGAGATGGATGGTTGAGAGGAGGATTGAAGCGGTTCACGCGATTCCGATACTCCAGCATCTTCGGCCACGGTATCCCCGACGTTTTCGACCCGTACATTCCGGCTTTTCGACCGTTATAATGACGCCTTTTCAACAAACATATTTACGGCTCTACGACGGCATCTATTGCATTCGAAGGATGTCTACCCGGTTATGCGCAGTTGGGCAGATGGCATGCAGTTGCGGAGCATGATTATCGAGCTAGGACCAAGAGGAGAGAAGGACGGGTGGTGGTTGATGGAGTCTGCTGTTCGACAGTCGGGTGGATAGTCCGCAAGGTTGGCTGTCTTCTGATGTGTCGAAGATATGGTGGATCTCATTCGGCATTCTTACCGTCCTGTACACTCCTGTAACTAGGCGGGATCATCTGGCTGTAAATCAAAAAGTGTTTCAACCCCCGCGATGGTTCCTTGCTCTCGTGCGATACAGAACATAGGGGCTGCCGCGCGACAGATGCTTCGCCAAAGCTTCATAACACGTCTCTGAAACACCGCCTTTCCGCTTCCGCGCGGTGGTGTTCCTGCGTCCGCCTTATCGCAGGGAGTTGGCGGCATGAAGGCCATGAATAACAGGGCGTTTACATTCCAACAGCCTCGCGTTGGTGGTGGCATTTCGGGGGCGCAGCTGCGCGGTGCCGCTCGTTCTCGTTTAAATGCCGAATGGGATGGGATCGGCTCCCGACGAGCGCCCAAAAATGCATCCTTCGAGCTTGATCTGACTACGCACCTAACCCAATAGCTTATACAGGCGTCAGATTCTTAAGAATAGGTGCCGGTGCCATGCGACGTACAGTAGAATAGGGCTTCGCCTACCTTGGCATCTCCCTTTTCGTACTTTGGTGTTCCGACGCCATGCGACGTCGGCGGCGAGACTCAACCGGGCCTCAACCACGCTGGCATGCTCACGACAGCGATCGCCCCATTCCAGGGCTGAGTTGTTCAAGCCTCTGGAGCCGCCCGCTGATGGTGCAGTCGAAATTGCGAGTTTCAATCGTGGAACATCACCACAGCTAGCATAGCAAGCCTGGAGTTCGAAACGGAGAACGATTCGATTGCGCCGTCATATCCGGACGATGCAAGAGCGGACGAGGACCGTCACCGGAGCAGTTTGGAACGGAGCATGAAGACAGATCATCCATCTGACAGCGAGGATGACTTGTGCGTACAATTTAGCTCGACCCCGGATTCTCCTCGCGTGAGCGCACACCGGGTAAGGAAGCTGCTCTGGAGGCAATATCGGAGACTGCAGCACGCGGAAGTATCATCTCCCGCTTTCGTTTCCACCTGCCCAACCTCTCTCCTAGCATTCGTTCACGAGTCTGTTTAATTCTCAAGCTCGTTTGCTACTCCTCTAGTCTCACTCTATGTTTCCAAGTTTTGATGCGGGGGAAACAGCGCTCCCTGGGCTCCTCGTGAGCCATATTTCTCGCTAGAATCCCAATAGCCGATACGGCCATATGCCGTCAATCTGTTTTGACTCCCGAAATTTACAGGGCTATAACGATTCACATCTAGAACATGGCTGACTTCCAGGGTTCCTTTGGTCCCTGGTGGGGAGTGGAGTCATGGAGACCACCGGCTGTTCTTACTTCAGCATCAGCCCTGCTTGCGGCACGAATTCATTGCCAAGGATACTGCCATCCTGGAGGAAGGGGCAGTTGTTGTTGGCACAGCCTTCCCGCGCGTGGTGCTATACTAGATTCTATCACCATTTTCCTGCTCGCGTGGTTTCCCGTTCCAACGGTAAAGGTTTGTGACTGCCTACTACTTATTCACATTACATGCATGCTGCTTATGCATGGTCGTCTGCCACAGGCTACTACTACCTGCTCAACTTATTTTATAATCCGGCTCCCCTCCTCGTTGTCACTACTTTTTCATCCTGGAAATTACTCTTTTGTTACCCGGATATAAGGCACCGAGTACTATCTGCCTTCACTCTTATCGCCACCGGCCGTCCCTTCCTGGTATATAAACTTATTATACCTCTACTGGGCCCTTTGTCTTCGCGACTGTTGGCCTCACCTCGACTCACACTACACGCGTCCGGAGTCAACCTCAACCATCTTCGCCATCAATCTCTCGACACTATCTCAACCCGTCAATTCGCACCATCTAGATACTGTCGACGGTCAAGATGGTCAAGTTGGGTCTCATTGCGACTGCACTCGGGTTCCTCGGTCTTGCCGCAAATACTGCAGCTCTCCCTCACTTCCAGACTCGACAAGACCAGTACGCCGACGCGAGTGCTATGACTGTGAAGATTATGCCGTTCGGTGCTTCCATCGTCCAGACAGTACGTACTTCCAATTTTACCCACGTTATCCCTACCTCTCACTTCTTGTCTTACGCGGCGGACCCACACCCCATTGCTTGATTCCACGTCAGTGCAATCTTACTGCGTGCGGCTCTACGCATTAGTCTAGCAGCACACGTCATGCTTCTTTTACTGTTTTCCTTACCCGTCATCAAGTGGAGAGCTGCGACCAGACTGTCTAAGACAACACCGAAATACTCGCTTTCCGTATCTCACACAACTGACACTTACGCAGACATGCTGGCGCGCAATGCTCTGGAAACAGCTGCAGGATGGCGGAATCACCAACTTCGATTTCGTCGGCTCCCAGAATGGTCCGACGACTTGCAACATTCCCGGCGCAGACCTGGACAATGAGGGCCACTCCGGAGCGAAGGCCACCGAGTACGCCAGCAATGGCAAGCTCGTCGGCTGGTTGCAGAACACGAAGCCGGGCATGATTCTCGTTCATGTCGGAACGAACGACGCGGTTGCGCGGACAAATACGAGCGAGATCATCAAGGCCTACGACACGCTGCTCGGCCAGATGCGCGCGTCAAATCCAAATATGGTGATTGTGGTATGTTCCTACTCCTCTTTTCCAATCAGTCACGTGGCTTTCCGCTCTACTGAGTCTAGAGATTTCGTAAGATGCGTGTCGAACTGACCTTGCTTGCAGATGTCCAAACTCATCCCCATCGACCCGGCCCTCTTCGGTGCCGACGTGTCCCAAGGCATCGTCAACCTCAACGCCGCCATCGATCCCTGGGTCAAGAAGAACCAGTCGCAGAAATCGCCCATCGTCGTCGTCGACATGTACACGGGCTTCGACTACAAGACGATGACGAAAGAGGGCGAGCACCCGAATGCGAAGGGCGATGCCTTCATGGCGAATCGCTTCTTCTCAGCCGTGAAGGACGCGCTTGTTGTAAGTACGGTTAGCATGCTACTCGAGAATGAGTAGGCTTGCATGAAATTTGCGCTGTGGAATTTTTGGATTATGAGTTTTTGCATTGCATTGCATTTTGTTTTGGCTATGCTATTGTATATTGAGGGTCCTGTATTCACCACTATGTTTTAGGAACGGTGCCGTGGGCATTGCGGCCGTTGCCCCTGGTGGATGAACTGCTCGCAGAAGAAGCCAGGAACTGGTGAGGTACTGGAGGAGAACTAAGGGAGGGTCAACTGGTAACATGGGAAGAGTGGTGAGGGATAGTGCTTACGCGGCGAAGGACATGGCTCCGTCCTGGCCAGGAGGCCGGCGGCGAAGGCTCCGTCACTTGGACACTTCAAACTTCTCGTCCTTTTCGGGTTTCGGGGCGAGAGTCTTGAGCTCTCGCTCCGGGAACGCGCCGAACACACGACCCGGACGATCCTTGGCGGACTATATATAGAGTTAGCACGTCATGATACCCAATGATAGACATTTCGATACACATACCTCGGGCAGCTTCTTCTTGTTCTTCCTCGCCTTCTCAATCGCAGCCTCCTCTGCCTTCTCCTCGGCTTTGCCCTAAGCCCGATTAGCTCAGAAGATGCAGTTATGGCCGAAGACCGCATACCTTGGCCTCGTCCTTCTTCGCCTGCTCGTCCTGCACAACGCCCATCCTGTCGATAGACAGGTCATAACCGCGGCGGCCCATGGCGTCCCGTTTGCCTATCCTGGCGTGCTTCGGAGTACGATATTGATGATGATTGAAATTGGTCTAGCAGACTGAAGACCTCCTGGCTATAAGAGAATATAAGGCTTTGAGGATGTCGATGTGCGAGTGTGGTGATGCAGGATGGATGTCGCTCGCCGCAAAAATTTAAGTAGGTGTGGGCCGTTGCTGGAGTGAAGGCGAGCAGTGCTTGGAAGCGTTTGGAAAGCATCGGAAGGGAAGGCGCGGCTGAGCGTCGCCGAGGGAACGACTTTCACCGTGACGTGGGAGCGTTTGCTGGGTGGCGGGTGGGAGTTGAGATGGTGGTGGTGAGCATCACCATCGGGAAGCCATCGCGAAGGTGTCCAGACGGTGCGGCCATATACTGTATGGTTCGAAATTTGGCTGGCTATATAGCCTTCTGTGTTAGTATTTTGGGCCTTTTTATATTCCCTGGGAGGTTCGTCATAGGCCGTGACCTGGTCAGCCGAGAACTTCATGAGGCTGGCGAAATGTGTTTGCGCTGGAGCCTTAGGACCACTGGGACAGCATCACATGGAATAGTAGGAAAGTAGGAGAAGTGACAAAGCAAGGAAAATCTTCTTAGTCTTGTATATACAACCGGCCCTTGGCGCGATACCTAGCTCTTACATCTTCCATCCCCTACTTCGTCCGGACAATCTTCAACTTTCCTGGGCTGTGGGTGAAGTTGTTCGCATATGCCTTGGGGACGAACTTCCGCTCGTTCGGCTCCTGCACGAAGTACTCGTAGCCCTGCTTGTTTGCAAAGTTGATCGCGTCCTCCTTGCTCTTGAACTGCATCCGGTGGCCCTGCATGAAATCGGCGGACGACTGCCAGCCCATCAGTGGGTTCTCCCATCGGTGTCCCTTCGGAAGCGGATCCCAGTCCATCAGCCAGTGGTGTGAATGCCAGTCGCCGGACTGAGTTGCCGTTTTGGTAGGGCGATAGATCCTGCAGCAGAGGTTAGTGCTGTGTTCGAGCAAACCCAAGGTGGGAAGCGGGAGAGGCCCGACATACCGAACAGTTCGCGCCTGCAGATCTATCGGAACGCCGGAAAGTACGGCAGCAGCTACCGATTCTCCAGGCTCACTTCCATCCATTACCCGCTTCGGAATCGGAGAGAAGTTCCTGGGAGCAATGTTAGGCTTCTGGCGCAGTGCTTGGCTCTTGGGTCACGCACGAGGTTCGGTAGTCCACAGCAACATTGTAATCCGGCTGGTGCCTCACATTTCCCTCAACTGGGCCCTCTCGTCGGATCTGGCTCGATTCAGTGAGCTTCGTAGCAGGCGCATCGCCGGAGCTGGTCTTCGATGGCGCCTCGGTGGAAGGTGGTTCAGAGGCGTAAGTGCGATATTTCGGGACAATGACTCTTGTCGCTGAAGGCCGAACGGCGGCTGTGAGCATTCGCGAGCCAATTGACCTGGGTAATGCGGACATGTTGGGCGGGGGTATGAAGCTTGAGGGTGCAATGGCGAGGTGATGTCGACGAGTTGAGGTTCGGCGGAAGGCGCCAAGCCTCTAGCCTCACTCGCAGCTTCTCTTCACGAACAACCTCCTTCAATCTCTTGCCCGACCTTCATCTCCACCCACCCATCTTGCCAGCCCAGGTGTGTCGCCCGAACCGAATCGAAGTTGTCGGGAAAAGCCAATTGATGCTAATTGGATGGAAGCGGACAAGATGAGCTTCGTACAAAAGCGCGGTCTCTCGACCCTTATTCCCCCCAAGGTACGCCTTTCCATGTCTGCTGTGGAGACGGGAGAGTGCTAATAGACGCTGGAGGTTGCTTCTCCAAATGTAAGAGTTCCACGAGCCTTTTCCAGGACGGACCGGACGTCCTTGAACCCGCGTGCACGCTTTCCCGGTCGACCGCAAACCGGCTTCGGCATCGCATCTCCCCCGCATATTCGTCGCTTTTGGTCATGGTGCAATACGGGAACATTTGCTGATCTGTGGTGAAGGCTATCGGAGCATCCCCAAATGCCGTCCGCATGCACAAGGTGGTGAGCTTCTACGAGAAGCTCCCGCGAGGACCGGCTCCCGAACCGCAGGCGAAGGGTCTCTTGGCACGATACCAGAAGGCATACTTTGGCAAGAACGCCTCCGCGAAGCGTACGTGTTCCAGTGGAAACCGCGATTCAGCTGTCAAAGAAAGCGCTGACTGTTGACTGCAGCGCTTGTCCACGTCATTGGCGTCCTCATTGCTCTCGGCTACGCACAGAACTACTACTTCCACCTGCGTAGGTGACAAAGACACTCCCTGATCCGCTTTGACTCACACCCTCCAGGCCACCACAAGAACAACGTGCATCATTAAGCGGAAAGCCGCCTCCCGGGAAATGGGAACCGAGTGGAAAAGGCAGCATGTGTAAATATAGAGTGTAGCAGTTTCCAATCCAAGTTCTGGCCAGCCACGTCGAGAAGTTCCGAGCCCATTTTCGTGATCCGTTCCTCGCCCAGGTGAGGAGACGTTGGCGCATGTACCCCGCTGGAGCGATATCCTGGAGCTCGTGAAGGCTGAAGGCGCGGGAGTCTTCCGCAGGTGCAAGAGGAATTATCGGACGTAAAAAGCAATAACATGCCGTGATACATTGCACTTTGTCTCTTCCCGATACGGCTGAGGCGGATGATCTCACGGATTCTTTCCGGGTCGCTGAGTGAATGGCGCTTCCGAAGGCTCCAGTATCTTTCCGGCGCGTCTTTTCCGGCATTTCACTCGTACCCTGCAAATAGTGAAGCTAGCGCGGAGGAGTGGCGACGAGGCGTGTGCAGCGGCCTCAGCTTCAGAGCAGCGCCAAGCCGCGGACGACCAACCGCATCGCGAACCTCGTTGACTCGCTGTTCTCAGTCTCCTCCCAAACATCCGCATCCACCACATCACGCGGCCACGACCACAGGGCCCTCCTCCCCCTCTACCTCCTCTGGACCGATATCTTCGCTCCCTTAACGACTTCGCCGCTCTTGAGCCGCTTGCAGCAACCGCCAGCAGCGCAGCGACACTTCGAAGCCGAACCTCCGCCTCGCCGCGCAAGCTCCCGAGAGCACGCAGTCGACGCTTCGTGCGGAAGCGCCTACTCTTCCCTCGTGGCGACCAGCAGATTCTGACACTAGGTGAATATATTCCGACTTTGTTCAGCGCTCCGCGGTACATGGACGCTGCGTCGCATGCGGCCGCGTCTCTTGTCACCCATGTCAACCCGCCCCGATAAAGAACACCATTCTGACAGAGCGTCTTCCGCTGCCGCAACAGACTCGCAAATTGTTATGGCAGAGCAGATCACCCACGATGTGGTAAAGGAAGCACAGTCGATGGGTGGCCCCTCGCCCGTCGACGATACTGCGTCAACTACCAACACTACCGCCGGCAACGGCGAGGCGCCCTCGGGCCCAACCACTCTCGATTCCACATCTTCAGACGCCCTTCCCACGACGACGAAAGCAAAGCCCGCGGATACAGCACCGGCTGATGTAGCGCAACCGTCCGAAACAGCTGGTGGAGATGCTGCGCAGGTAAGTTAGGGAAGGGACGAAGCTGTCGATCAGCGTTGACAATCATAGGCCTCCGCGACAGCCACCAGTGGCCAAGCGCAACCCGATGCAACCCCGAAGGAGACGAAAGAGCACCTAGCGAATGGTGATGCGGGCGAGCATTCAACGGCGGAATCACAGCATGCAGTTGGAGATGCAAGTGGCGGCTCGGACACGGATATCAGTCGCCCAGGCAGTGTCGACCAAGCCAAGAGGCCTGAAGGCCATCTGCGAACCAACTCTGTCAAGAAGCCCGCCTCGTTCAAATCTGTCTCGGTAACGAAGAATTTCCTGGCAAAGTCTGCCGTGTCCACGCCCATCGCGCGTCCGGGCGAAAAACCTGCACCTGCAGGGCCAACCACCGCCTCCACCCTACAAACAGCAAAGCCACGTCTGGTTGCGAAGTCCGGCGCTAGTAACGTCCCTCGTTCGTTGAAGCTGAACGGGGCAGGCTCAGGACCTGATGCGAGCAAAGTCTGGAACAAGAACCAGCCCATCCCGCCCCCTCCGCCCAAACAATTCACGGACGAGGAGCTACAGAAACAGTATGGCATTCATCTGGCAACCCGTCTACAAGCGGACGAGGCTGGCAAGGAATCAAAATGGGCAGACATTGATGACGACGAAGATGATTGGGCGCCGGAAACAGTGCAGTGGATGGACGGGACCAAGTCAACTGTTGCCGCGGTCGAAAATCTGCCACCTCCACCCGAGGATGCAAGACCCGCCGCGAATAAAGAGACGCTTTCGTTGGCTACAAAACCCACACCCAGCCCAGCTCCGGCTTCCCAGAAGCCGAGTACGACCGGCGGTACGAAGACGATCTTGAAGCCCGGAGCTCTTCTACAATCGAGCACTTCGAAGCCTAAGGGGCCGAACGACAAGCCTACACTGGTGGCTAAACCATCGCAAGCTGCTCCGGTCAAGTCGCCATGGGCACCCTTGCCTCCGGTGGAGAAGGTATCTCCAGTGCAGGTCAACCCTGCGGTGCAGCCGCCTCCGCCTCGGTATGGGCACCGAGAATCTCATGGATACGATGCTATGTCTGCACTGCCTGCTAAAGAGATCGCCCCCGACGATTTCAATCGCTCGTGGCGCGACGACCGCGGCAACCGGGAGCTCTTCAACGCGCACAGCGGTCGTTATGAGCAGTTCAGCGAGACCCGCCGTGGTTCCACACGAGACACCTTCCGCCACCAGCCTTCTGTCCTTCAGCGACCATTACAAGACAGCCCGGCAGAACCATCAGCAGCATTCCAGACTTCACGGACTAGCGCAGACGGACCAGCCTGGGGTAGGCGGAGAAATTCTTCGAATGTTAGCGGAGGCAGTGGCCGCCGGATGTCATTTGACAGGAGAGCCCCAGACTACCCTCCAATGCCCATGAACATGCATCGCCGAGAATCTCTGTCGTTTAACGGCATCGATGCCTCAGTTCCAGAAACCCCCGGGCACGTACTACCTCCGCAAGGAACCCCTACCGATCAGCCTCCTTCTTTTGCACAGAAACCATCCCCAGCCATATCACATGTGCAACCTGTTTCGCCTTTCGGCTCAGTAGGCTCATCAGCCAATCAAGAAGCTCTAACACCTGGTGGTACTCAGCCGATTCAGAACTTGGTGGAAGTTCAGCAGCGCCTTCTGCACGGCGATCTTGAGTCTATCAAGCTAAGGAAGCAGAGGGAGAAGGAACAAGAAGCAAAAGAAGAAGCAGAAAGGAAGGAGCGCCTTCGGAAGAAGTTGGAGGCTTTGGGATTCAACGAGGAACCTAAGTCTAAGGTCAAGGCCGAGTCACCTTCTCGAGCGCCTGACAAGTCGCCACAGAAAGAGAAGGCATTGCCTGCACCAGTACAATCGCCGCCGAAGCCGCCTGTACCGACCTCAGAGGGTGAGGTCGCTCAATACGGCATGATGAAGGTCCACCAACCTCAGCCTGTAAAGAAGCTGTACCCTACTGAGCCTCCACCGGCATCCAAGCCTGCTGCGCCGAAGCCTAGTCCTTCTCCGGTGAAGGCGCAGCCCGAGCTTCAAGCAAAGCCTGTGCCTTCACTGCACCAGCCTAGCGCGCCCGGGAACAATTCTACTCGCGAAGAGAACAAAAACCTGTCAGAAGCGGAACAATCGCAAGCGCAGCAATTGGAAGTGGCCGGCCCGCAAGGACCTAAGCCGCCGCAGCCTCCACAAGCTCCCTGGTCCACGTCTGTACCTCAGCGACCTTGGACCTCTACTGTTTGGGGACCCCCTCAAGCCAAAGACAGGGCTCTCGGGAACGGAACATTCGATTCTGGATACAATCGGAGCCAGCCTCACTCGGGCCCTCAGCAAATTCCCCCACAGGCCCAAGCCAATGCCGCGTCTATCGCGTTGAATCTTCCGCTGAAGCCGTCACCTCCGCAGCAACAACCTCAAGCACCGCCTAGCCAGCCGTTTGCACAACAAGCCATGTTCTCTCAGGCCGCGCCAGCGCCGCCCCAGGCTAACGCGGCCTCTAAGCCCGGACCTGGACCGATTGGTCCTCCTGCAGACAAAGGCTGGGGTAATTTCCATGCCCACATTCGACGTGACGATCGGGATATGGTTGTGAAAGCGCAACAAGATCTCGAGCGCTTGGGACCCGATGCTCTGCGACCCGAAATTCGGGAGACGTACACCGATCGACAGGGCAAATCGCAGACGACATTACATGGCAAGGCCGGTGGTATCGAGGCGAAGACTTCTCAACCGTCTGTTGCACCAGAGCTGAAACCGAAGGATGAGACTAGCAAAGCCGGACACGACGGTCCCTCACCGCCTCACATTATGAACCAGGGCTCTCACCATCAGCCATCGACCCAGGCTGGACGCTCATCACGCTTCTTTCCAAGGCCCTCGGAAACCGCCCAGCAGGCCTCGTCAGTTTCAAGCAAAGTCGATTCACCGCCTCCACCGGAGACGGAGTCTCATCCAGCATTCAGCGGCGACTCGCATCACCCTCGCGTTAAGATGCCCAAGCCCCCACCACGTGTGCGACTCCCTCCCACCGCCGTGGAGCCCGTCGCTCATGCTGAGGCTCCCGTAAGCATGCCTCCTCGTACGCGCGTGGGCTTTGGAGCGCAGCCTCTGGCTAGTACTCTGGAATGGCAAGCCAGGTTCAATGGTCTTCTTGGGAAGCCCTCTCCCGCTGGGGCACCGACCCCAATTGCTAGACCTCATCCACCTGCGCAAGCAGCAGCACACGGTAAATCTGGCACCCTCGCTGTATTTGCTTCCTCCAAGGCACCATTGGAAGTTCGTGAGACTTTGACATCCGCAACCGTCTCCCTCCCGACCGCCGCCACCCGGAAAGCCCCTTCCGATTATGACAACCGCGACATCATGACTCGTATTAGCGCGGAGGAAGCTCTCCTCGAAGATCGAGAATTTGGTTCTTTGCCTACCGTCAAGCCTCCTAAGGTCCCTCATCTTGCAGCGAACGAACCAGCAGCTGGCTTCCCACCGACTCCTCGTGGAAACTCTAGATTTCAGCGGCCCTTAGACATTTTCACCAGAACTATGTTCGATGGCGAAACGCATAGGCATGCGGATAACATCAACATCTCGATTTGGCTCAAGGAGAAGCGGGGCACTTTCACGAAATCCATCCCATGGAAGCGTAAGGGTGGAAAGGGCCCTGGGCCGAAGTCCAAACGTCCTTATACCCCTAATGGCACGTCCACCAACGGCCGGAACGAGCGTCCTCGTAAGCCGTCCAACTACCAAGGCCAACGATCGGACTCAAACAGCTCGACCCGCGCTTCCTCTGGCAACGGTTGGTCCAATAACCGCTCCACCCCGCCCCACAACAATCACCCGTGGGGCAGGCGCGCACCTTCTTCGGCCCCTGTTCACTGAAAGCTCACCAAGAGTAACATGAGACGCTCTAATATTCGCGTTTGCGGTTCGCCATCGGTGTTCAGCGCAGCAGATTCGCTGGCATGAGAGAAGAAGCGAGCCTTTGGCAGTGTTGGCGTCTTGGGCTGAGTCCTACCTCAACATTCGTTATCTGCATAGAAGGCGTTCGAGTCATCAGTCTTTATCGGCGAACCTGTTCCGCTTCCACGCAAGTCTAGATCACGACGAGCGGCTTCGGAGTGCTGTCGGTTTGGGTACCTCATTGTATTTCTGACAACATGCTTTTTCTCCCCTTCTTTCTCGACAGCAGCATGGCTTTCGACACTGTACCAATCTTTCTTCACGGCGGTACAAGCGGTCGGATATTTTGGAGGCACGATTACGTCCTCATCTTTCGGAATAGCACATGTATGCGTGTTACAGTTCCTGTTTTCCTCAGAGCTTCTTTCGGTGTGCCTTTCTTGGGCATGCGAGGGCTAATGCCCTCCTGTAGTGGGGCTTTTCCACTCCCATGATCAAAGACCATGGCATGGTCTCAGGAAGTCCTCATGGGATACTGCAGATAGATGCTTTTATACTGCAAATAATATCTGAAAACCTCAGACAATGCGATTTTATGCGCGTCCGTGATGGCAGAGCAACGACCCTTCACTTGAGCATTTCCTCACGCTGCTTTTCTCTGCTCTAGGTAGCCCTCTAGATTGCTGCCTTGTTGATCGCGCGAAAGAGTAGTATTTCTGCCTCCGTCCATATCCTGTTCTGGCTAGCGTGATCCTTCGCTCAACATCCAGCCCGAAATGTCCCTGAAAAGTCTATAAATACGCATATCTCTTTTCCAAGTCTTCGACACGGTCTGGCAGAGTCTCTGGTCATTTGGCAATACTCACTGGGCTTTTTCTTTTGGGAAAGAGATAGCTGCGGGTCAGTACTTTGTGTGCTCGCAAATTGCCGACGGGTGTCACGAAGAAGAGAGGCTCAGCAACATGGGAATGGCGCATTAGGAAGACGATATTTATTGACCTTGTGACTTTGGTCAGGTGCGACACTCTTTTGAGGCTTTGCGCGACGGAGGACCCGGGTGTTGTGAGAGAATTAAATTGGATGGATGGTGGTCGCTTGACTCACCGGCTTGGATTCAACTCAACGGCGTCCCCAACATACCAAGAATCTTTATAAAGACCACCATCCTCCTAAGCCTTCCATCGGACTTCCAGGCTTCGACTCCCAAAACTCACACGCAAAGCCAACCTCCACCTCGGCTGGAATCAACGACATGCCTTCTATCTTCAAGAAAATCTTCCACTCATCCTACGCCGGCGGGAAACGCAATCCGTACCGGGACCCCAAACATGTTCTCAACAAGTCCGCACCTTCGTTGCCAACGACGCCAGCCACCAAGCCTACGCCAGCGCCAGGGCGCCCCGCCTCGCCGCGGGGCTCACACGACTATCTTGCCGAAGCACGGGCGGTAGTTGGCCGGGATCCGGTTACGGGGAAGCGACTGCGGGATCGTTCGCAGATGGGAAGCAGGGGAGGTGTGGACGTGAGTGGATATGGGGGAGATGGAGCCGGCGCTGGCACGGCGAACGGAGAGGGTGCCGGGGGCAGTGGAAGAAGGGCGGGAGAAGGAGGAGAGAAGAGCGGGGTTGGTGAGAGAAATGAGGGCGCTCAGAAGGCTATGGGGATGCGGTATGATTTGCTTGTGCAGGAGATGCTAGAGAGCAAGAGGAAGAGAGAAGCGTGGAAGGACCCGGAGCAGGGTTATTATGCGCCTGAGAGGAGGGTGGGGGAGTTCTATGCCCCGCTGGGGAGGTGAGCAGTTTTTAGGCGAGGGGATTGGGAGGGAAGACAGAGGGCCTAGAGACGGAGATTGAGTATGGACGGTGGGCTGAGAGATTTCCAGGGGAGATACCCTAATTTCTTGTGTTAACCTAACTTTTGATCACCTATTTTCAGAACTTTCCTCAAGGATAGCGAGTAGCAATGGTAGCCTCGCTGTTGAAAACACCACTCCTCGACCATCGTGCTTCTTCACTCTCGTCTGCTCAAGATGAACCCCCGATCCACTCCGCCCCTCCATTCGCCGCAACCACGCTCCCCGTCTGCCACCGCGCCTTCTCACTCACCAGCCATCCTACCACGTCCGCCACATCCTCTGCATACCCTATCCGTCCGCCCTCCACAACCCTCACCTTCTTCAAGCGCTGCTCTTTCAGCGCTTCGACCGCCGCCGGCGGGAACGCTCTCAGTCCCGGCGTGTCTGTTAGCCCGACGCTCACAGCATTAACCGTCGTCCCCGGAAACTTAAGGGGTAGTTCGACCGCCCAGGAACGTGTTAGCGCTTCCAACCCGGCCTTCGTGGCGTTGAAGATGCCGGAGCCGGGGGATGGGTCACGAACGCGGTCAGACGAAATGATCACGATGCGGGAGGAGGGAGCGAAGAGGGACTGGCGGACGAGATTCTCCATGAGGATGATAGGCCAGTGCAAGTTCGCCGTCAGACTCTGCTGGATGTCGGCCTCGCTGGCGCTGCCGAGCTTTGGGCGTGCATTATATGCGGCATTGAGGACCAGGATGTCGAGCTTGTTGGTGTTGAAGTCGCGCTCGAGGGCTTCGAGGAGCTGGCCCACGGAGGAGAGGGATGTTATGTCGGCGACTACGCCTTTGAGTTTGGGACCGTTGGTGGAGCGGAGGTGGACTGGCGTGTCCGGCGCGCGGTACAGGTTCAAGATTGTGTGGCAGAGGGCGTCGAAGTTGTGCGCGCTTTGCGGGGAGGAGTAAGTTCCTAGGATAGAGCAGCCGCGGGTTGCGAGATTGAGGGCTATGGCGCGGCCGATGCCTTTTGTTGCTCCGCTGGGAGGGGTTAGATGGGTGGTCGAGAGAGAGATGGAGAGGAATTGATCTAGCAGCGAAAGACACGAACGGTAAAGACAGAAGCCAGAGTCGGAAAGGAAAGGATGGATTGAAGTGAATTCCTTACGTGACGATAGCTAGTTTGCCTTTCAAGTCCTGCTCTTGGAGTTTAGGTGCTTCGGGGCGATAGTCTGCCATTGTGCGCAATTCGACGAGGAAGGAATCAACACCTCCGAGACCTCTCCCTGGGGCCCCAGAGGCGTTTTATACTTCTGCTCCATCTCCACACCCCACGGTGACACACAGCAGCTGAAGCTGCACCAAAGTTGGCGGCTGCAATTGAGATGCATGTGGCGTCGTAGGTCCGCAGGTGGCGTGAAGCACCACAGCCGCATAATTACGGCCTCAGACCACGAGGAGCAACGCACGGAGAGATGTTATTCCAAACATGCTGCCAAAGACGTGCGTAGAGTTCCTTCTAGACGAAGCGGTGACGTCTAACTAGTGAATAGACACAAGCACGTGACGCTTACCCAGAAAGGGGCTTAGAGCCAATGAGCAAATCCCGCCAGCTTCCGCAAGCGCCCTTGCCAGCACCTCCCCCGAGCTCCTCTCACACCTCAGCGCATCCTCTCCACCACCACGCCGCGCACCGAAAAGCAGTTCTTAACGAGCATTCCTACCTCTTCGCTTCTGAGGATATTGAGCGTGGCGAGCCTTCTTCTTCCGTCGCGCCGCCTCCGCACGCGATCATGGCGCCTTCTCACAGTCTCTTCGAGTTGCCGCGCCCGCGGGTACGTCCAATCTCACACCCTTTTAACAATGCGACCACGGGATGATTGACACAGAGCAGAAGTTCTTCCAGAAGATGTCGCTGCGCACTGGCGCGGAGATAATTACGTTTCTGCAGGTTATCAACAAAGTCTCGGGGCTTTATGGTCTGCTCGCGCTCCTGACCGGCGCCTCGATCGACGGCTGGCAGTTGTCAATGTACCTCTACTCGACCATCCTCCTCCTCGCCACCGTGTACCTTTACAAGCACATCCGCCTACAGTCACCGTTTGAGTCTTTACTGCTCGCGCATTTGTATGCGCTTGACTCGGTGGTAAATGCGCTGTACACCGCTTTCTTTGGCGTCGTATGGTTCTACACGCTTGCTGCCCACCCCGACGACCCCTCCAACTCCACCGCGCCAGGCATGTCAGAGGTCGCCGGCTTCACGAGCCCAAAGTACAACGTTAGCGAGGTGAATGTGGTCGCCGAACCCGTGGACGGACTACAGGCCGGACAGAACGCTGTTGCCGTGGGTCAGGGCACATCGAACGCATCTACCGGCATTGGGGGTGCTGTCTTTCAAAGCGGCAGCATCATGAGCATCTCGCTCGTCTCTGGTTTCTGGGCGCTGCGAATCTACTTCGTCTTCGTCATGCTGGCTTTCGCGCGCCAGTGCCTCCGTCAACACATCGCTGCCAATACTTCGGCTGCGTGGTACAACAACAACGCTCAAACGGCACCCTCGAATCTCGCCGAGAACCCGTTCCAGCCGGGCAAGGAGGAGGGATATGGGCTGAAAGGCAAGGTTGGCAGGCTTATGCTGAGCGGCGCCCCACAGTATTGGCTCGGCGCTGATGAAGATGGAGACTGGATGCGCGGAGTCGGCGGCAAGTTTAGGAAGAGTACGCAGCTGGAGCAGCCGGCGGGAATTGGCGAGAGGGAGAGGAGGAGAAGGAGTGGTACCGGGCCACCCGCTCCGCCAAAGAATATAAGGGGGCCTCAGCTGGCAGATTTGACGGAGGTGCGATGAGCTAGGGACACTCCTCTAGATCCTTGAATGATGAAGCATTCTTCCACCTACGTTGGGCTGGTGCCCTATGTCAGGTTGGATGCTCGGAACGGGCGGGAGAAAGGAGTTGGGTGGTAATATCTAGCGCTGAAATTCAGAGCTGAAACCCGGGTCAGAGGGGATACCCAGATGGGTCTGTACAATAGGAAGAGCTTGGAGTTTGGGGTCATGGCTGGCGTGCAGCAGTTATTATTCTGGGTTGTGACTAGTCGTAGAGCATGCATAGCGTTGCGTCGCAATTTCTACTAATTCATAATATATCAAACGAATTTATGCAGTGTTCAGAAAGTGCATTCGAAGACTTGACGTTGAGATTATCGATGAATTGGATGAGAGCGTTGGTGATTCTCACGGTATGGCATTCTCCCGATAGAACGATGTGCGTAACAGCTAACCTGGAGGCCTTCGCGGGTGCGTACAGTGGTACAGTGGGACGTATAATTCGCGGCACTAATTCGTACGGCGAGCCCTGAGATCCGGAGAATTCCCGACCGCAAGAGGGTGAATACAATGAGGGGCTATGCCTAGATCAGTAAGCCGGACCCAACTTTCCTATGCCGATCTACCCACCCGTATGCGGCACTCATTATTCCTTGACACACATACAAAGATCGATCTTTCGGTCTTCATGATCCAAGTCTTCCTCTCTTCTCTCAGACTTTGATACATTCTACCCCGGACTCTGTGCATCCCGAAACCATGGCCACATATCCGCGTCCGGACTTCGAGCGCCCATACCTCAACTGGATTTCTCTCAACGGCCTGTGGTCCTTCCTCTTCGACGACAACGACATAGGCCTCACGCAAGGCTGGCATCTCTCCGGCCTTCCAAGTGAAGTCGTCGTAGACCCCACTCTTGGCTCGTCTTCGTCGTCATCGTCGAACAAGGAAAGCGAGAGCATCACCGCCAAGATCGCTGCAAACCCACACGACCTTATTAAAGGAAACACCTTCAAGAAAGAAGAGGAGAAGACGACGCATAAAAAACTCGGCATTGTAGTCCCGTACGTGTGGCAATGCCTGGCGTCGCGAATCGAGGAGAGGGGCGTGCACGAGGTGTTTTGGTATGAGAGGGAGATTGCGGATCTGAGAAGTACGGCGGAGAAGAGTAGCGGCGAGAGGGTGCTGCTTAGGTTCGGTGCTGTGGACTACGAGGCGAAGGTTTGGGTGGGCGGACAGTTTGTCGGCGGGCATAGAGGCGGGCATGTGCCGTTTGATATCGACATCACGGATGCTTTTGCGAGCGCTGAAACGCAGAGTTTGACCCTCAGAGTGTACGACTCGGCGTACGATCTGACGCAGCCGAGGGGTAAGCAGTACTGGGGCGCGCAGCCGGAGAGCATCTTTTACACGCCGAGTGGGGGGATCTGGCAGAGCGTTTGGATGGAGGTTGTGCCCCCTGTGAGGATTGGGGATTCGAGTTCTGGGACGGTACTGAGGAGCGATGATATTGAGGGTGGGAAGCTGAAGGCTAGTGTTAGAGTGCTGGGAAGACCGGCCGGGTATGGGTATGCAGTTGAGATGGAAGTGAGTTTGGGAGGCGTGGTGGTAAGCAAGACCGAGAAGGTGGAGCTTCCAAGGGAGACGGATATGGTGTCTTTTGACGCGGATATGCGACTTTCTGGCGAACAGCGCTCAAATTTACCAGCTACAATAACAGAAACAGCACCCCTCGACGACCCAACCTGCTGGCTCAACAACACCGCCCTTTGGACTCCCGAACATCCCACGCTTTACGACCTGACACTTCGGCTCTTCAATGCGACAGGATCCCAAGTCGACGAGATCCACACCACCGCCGGCATGCGCTCACTCTCCTGGACATCCTCCACCTTCCGCCTCAACAACCGGCCCTACTTCCAAGCCCTACTCCTCGACCAAGGCTACTGGCCCACCACCTTCATGACGCCGCCCACGCCCTCCGCCCTCAAACACGACATCCAGCTCTCCAAAGCCATGGGCTTCAACGGCTGCCGCAAGCATCAGAAAGTCGAAGACCCTATATTCCTGTACTACGCGGACCGTCTAGGCTTCCTCGTATGGGGAGAGATGGCGAACGCGTATCAGTTCTCTTCCCAGTACGTGGAGAGATTCGATGCCGAGTGGAGGGAGGCGGTGAAGAGGGATATTAACCATCCGTGTGTAGTTGCATGGACGCCTGTGAACGAGAGTTGGGGGTATACGAATTTGAAAGACGACGTTGAGCAGAGGAATCATATCAGGAGTCTCTACTACGCGACGAAGACGCTGGATCCGAGCAGGCCGATCAATGATAATTGCGGGTGGGAGCATGTCTGCACGGATTTGTCGACGTTCCACGATTACTCCGACGGCGAGGCGCTAACGCAGACGTGTGTGAGTTTGGAGGGTATATTGGCGCCGAAATCCGGACGCGGTATCTTCGTCCCTTCGACCTCAGGAGATCCGGGTTCGCGGCATAAAGACGGCGCTCCAGTGCTTTGCACGGAGTTCGGCGGCATTAATATCGCAAGGGACACTACTGCCTCGGGGGTAAGGGATTGGGGCTACACGACTGCAAGCGATCCGAAGGATCTACTGAAACGCATCGAGACGATGATGGCGGGCATTGTGAAAGGAGGGCATATCTGCGGCTTCGTGTACACACAGCTCACGGACATTGAGCAAGAGGTTAATGGACTGTACACGCCTGACAGGAAGGAGAAGCTCGATCCGGCGGAGATGAGGAAGATTGTTGACGGGGTAAAGCAGTACTACCACGGTCTGCATAAGTAGGATTTGGACGAGAGAAAAGGGGTAATCAGCCGCATAAAATAAGAGCATATATACGAGAAATATCATGATCGAACTTTCGCTATGCTCTCGGTTTGACTCGTAGGCAACAGCTAGCAAAAAAGGAAAGAGTCACCGCTAGTCGAAAGCCAGTAACGATTGTAAAGTTGCTACGCTCCAAATGCTTGGTTTTAAAGCCTCATGTTGACGGAAAATCCTGATGGATGCGAGTGGCCCGAGGGTCCTCTCCTGAGTGATTTAGCTATTTTCCTGGGTGTGCTGTGAATTAATGCGATATATAGCTTGAAAAGGGGTTTAGAGGAGCTCGCTATTTGGAGGGTAAATATTGCGGGCTGAGGGATTCGGATTCACCACTGCTGTCTGGAGCTTCGTCTATGTGGAAGGCGAGGGATCATTGGCTGGTTTGGAATGATATGGACGTTGGGGGTTTAGAGCACTGGTACCGAGAATCCAAGTTCCATGGAACGAAGTGAATGCCCGGACCCACAACTCACACGTGGGAGGCGATAATCGACGGATCTAGCCCCGGCCCCACAACTACCAAAAAAAGCATTCTTTATTACACAAGCGGGGAGAGAGCAGCAGCATCACAAAATCCACAGAGCACTATAGAATTGTAAAAGATTTGCATTCAACAATTGTAGGTATGGATATCGAACCCGGTTTCAATTCATGACGACATCAGGCTTGCAGGTTTCCTTCCCCTCTGCAGCGCGCCTTGAAAATACATATTCCGAAGAGAAAGCAATTCACGCACACATCGCCACGCTCCTGACTGACTATAGGCTCATTCATTCAAACATCGGCGCTTCCGGGTGATGAGGTGGGATTATTTGTTAACCCAGCCCTGCGTTATATTAGCATTGCTCTTTGACCTCTTAAGCCAGCACTCCGGGATAGAGAGGCTCCGCGCATGATCCAGAACACGACGATCGCAGTCTCCTCTCCAGACCGGGCCGTTATACACGTACCTTCTCCTTAAGCTTATCCCAATACGCCTGATCTCTTGAGCTGCCCTTCACATGTCCGTCTCTCGAGTTCGGCGTCGAATATATGCTGCCCTTGCGGCGCTGGAACTGCGAGGGCGGAACCTTCGAGGCGTCCCATTCCTTGCTCATGCGTCGGTTGCTGGGTGGGGACTGCGACAGGCGCATATCCTCGTTGCCGGCGACGTTCTCGAGCTTGTCTCCGGCGAAGGGGTCTATGGGAAGAAGTTAGGTTTCGAGATGACGAGGAAAGAGACACTGGGAGGAGAATGGTAGAGCGGAGGGTTTCTCGTACCCTGTCCTTCCTCGCGTTTGGAGGCGAAGGGGTCTTCTTTGGATATGGAGGGGTTGCCCGTGGGCGTGCCGTCGACAGCTGGGTGGTTGTTAGAACGAATTGAACTTGATAAATCTCCCTTCCTCCCATTGGAATAGTCTTGAGAGTGGAAGGCTGGTGGAAGAAGGCGATAACGTACCGTTGGCAGCCATGACTGTGTGGCTGATATCAAGTTCGACCGTGTGTACTGTATCTCGAATACCAAAGAGGTATGGGTTCTTAGTTTTGAGGTGTCGTGACAGTAACTTTCTCGACTGAAAGAAAGAAGCCAGCTACTAGAAGAGGGAAAGAGGGGCTGATATACCACCCGTCAAAGCGGCCCAAGACATGGCATAGGCAGAGGCGTCCCGGACGTCCAGTCACATCTCGATATCGCCCCTCGTAGCTAGGAGCTGTTGCGTCAAAGGCCCAAACCCGCACATGACGCCGCAAGCCCGGCTTTGCAAGTCGCACCACTCAAGCTCCCCCAAGCCGGGTAGCCTGGCCGGTTCATACGAGCGTTTTCGTCGACCGTCCGCGAGCACATCCCTCCCATTCACAACGATAGTCCTTCGCAGCTCAAACAGTCACCTCTACCCTATTGGCGCAAGCAGCTTCGCGAGACCGTACGCGACGTCGCATTACGTCAGGGAAGCCACTCGATTCGCGTTGCCCTCTATCACAGGGTGGTGCGCTAACTCGTTTGATTGGCCGATTCAAGGAGGCAGTGCTCCTCGTCTCCGCAGCCCTGGGCGTGATTGTGTGGAGAGGAGAAGCGATCGTTGGGTGCCCCAGACGCTGGTGAATAGGGTCGTGGGTCCTGATTGGTGGGGCGCCGCCAAGGGCTAGGCGTTGATAAGGGTCGAGAACTACGCGTGCGTGCGTATGACGGTGGAGCGGTGATGGATGCGGCAGCCGAGAAAGCACTACCTCAGAAAGTTGTTTGGGCGCCGTCGTGAGGGCCGCCGGAAGCCGCTGAGGCTTTCGTGAGCGCTTGCGGAGCTGTCCACGCGAGCAATGGCTTCAGCTTCCATCACATCCGCTATGGCGCCGCTCTCAAGCGCACACCCCTCCTCGAACCTCAGCAACCCTCCCCTCCCGTCTCGCAATGATCTCTTGCTCCCAACGCCTATTCCCCACTCCAACGCATTAGCTCCATCTCGGCCCTAAGACACTACTGCAGAGCCAATTCCACCGCGTCCATCCACTTCCCCCTCCTAGCAGCTCAAGCTCGCCTTCCCCAACCCTACGCAAGGCTTGAGGACGTAGCACATCTCTTGGGCTTTTCGAGCAAGGGAAGGGAGGGGCAGGCAATCGCAGATCTTGCTCGTTTATCTCGCGCCTTTGTCATCATACCTTCGCAATCTTGCAGGAAAGCTCATCTCGCGAGATTTAGATCTACCTGGAAAGATCTCAGGCGCGACTGCTGTGCAATATACGTAGGTAATCTCTTCGAAATGGCAGATTGGTTGCCGTCGAAAAAGGCAAACATAACCTAAGCCCCGAGCTTTCGCCCGAACGACGTCTGCATGCTTTCTTTTCCATTTGCTAGCGGAACTTGCATTCGATAGATCCGTCGGAAGGTGCCTTGAAGCGAGGCGCAGTGCGTGCATCGTAAATGCTTAAAACACCAGCTATACCACGTTACCCATGACCTATTTTCGCGCTCCACACAGACGCTGAGAAACCGCATGAAACACGCCACGGCCACGGATTCTGTCCGGGCTAAATGAAGGTCGTCTAGGCGGCCGCGCGAAGCGTAGCCCACATGCAGGTGAGATTTCGGTACTCGACAAACTGAGCAAAGTCGCCCATTCATTGATTGACACGGCGAGCGATGAAGAGACACTGCTTTGATTTTTTTTGGTGAGATGAAACTTTCTGTGACATCGGAGTATAGTAAAATCTTGCGTCCAAACATGTGAGGGCGTCGTATCCAGCTGGAGCGCTGACTGGTCTGGTAAACGCCCTTCCTCTCCCTCCACCGCGCTGCACTGTCTCGCCACCCGCCTAAGTCTCCAAGACAAAAGAAATCAAATCTCTCACAGAATAGCCCCTCCCGCCATGCCCACAATACGTTTTGTATCCACCAAGTTCAAACGCCGAATATGCATCCAGGTATCCATCGACAAAATATGTGCGCGAGATAGAAAGCAAAAGAGCTAGTAGCTTGAGGTGAACATTTACACAAACAAAAAAAACCGAAGGATAGAGTTGTTAGAGCCGAAGAACGCCGGGAAATGCAAGTCTACATCCTAAGCTGCCAAAGAGTCGTGAATCATAGATCGTCGTCGAGGTCAATGGCGTCAGGATTCGCCGCAGGAGCTTGCTCAACGGGTTTAATGTTGCCGCCTACCGGACCCGTGCTGGCAGCGACAAAGCCTTGTGGAGCCTTTGCCTGTCGTTCGAGAGCTGCCATGGCGTCTTCGGTATCGGCAGCGTCGCCGTTGACATGTTCCGCATCGCCGTTCTGCTGGCCTCGAGCAATTGCTTGAGATGCGATGAAATTGACATCGGTACTGCGAGACGTTAGTGATCTTGATAACAAATCGAAAAGCAATGAGGGTACATACTTGTACTGAGCTTGAACACTCCGCTTGATCCGAAGCATCTCTTTGTAGGTATCCTCGTTTCCGTGCTGTACTTCAAAGGATTCCCATTTCTTCCAGAAGTCGGGGTTGGTCCTCGGATCGCAGAATTGGCTGGCGTGGCCGTAGATTGCTCGTGCTCGGTCAATTTCTCCTAACCGCCTCTCCATCTCGGCAAACTTGAGACACATTTCTTTGGCCTCGTGGTCCGGCAAAGCAGAAATGGCGCGTTCGTAAATAGGCCTCGTCGAAGTCAGACCAAAGTTGGACGCTGACTTCGTGATGTAGAAGTTGAACATCTCCATGCGGTCCTCGTCGGCCACAGCACGCGTAGCCCGCTCATATATCCGCATGGCAGCGCGTGCTAGGCCTCGTTCTTCTTCGAGAGCGCCGTACATTAGGTACAACACTTTGGCAAACTTGGGCGGGCATCCTTCAACGGCTTGCTCAAAGAGGTCTCGTAACCGCTCCATGGCGATCTTTCGATCGACGGCTTTGGTCAGGTAAAGGTTCCACAGCTCGAAAGCGACTGGGTAGCTGAAGAGGTCCAATCCTCGCTCGTAGACTTTGAAGCACTCTTCGAAGTACTGATTCTCCTCCAGCAGATTGGCGTAATTGACGACTGTCTGCGGCGTCGCAATGCGTAGCTCGAATATCCTCTCGTACACCTTCCTTGTCTCTTCGAGCGTGCTGACGCTCTCCACAAGGTCGACGTAGAAGCTCCATAGTTTCCAGCTCTTGTGGACGCGCTGTTGCGGCGTTAATGATTCATCGAAGTAGTCGATGGTTGATCTTTTTGGAGCTTGTGTGGCCTTCGCCATGATTTCGACCGCTCTGTCGAAATTCTCGTTGCGCAGCTCCATTTCAGCCCACTCGCACCACATCTCGGCGAGTTCGGCGACCGACTTGAACGGAACTTTTACGGCCTTTTCCATGATTACGCGAGCGTTCCGCAGGTCGCCGCCAGCCTCGTAGAATTTCGCGTAATTGGCCCAGAGTTCGTGGAACTTGCCAACTGCCTGCTTTGGATTGATAGCGGCAATGGCATCCGTGTACGTTTGCACGACCTCCTTCTTGTTGTCGCCCCACAGGGCAACGCGTTTTTCCCACTCGATGACATTGTTCGGATTCTGCCTGAGCATGACATCGTTGAGTAGAAACGGCCTTCGCTGCATGAGCGATTCGAAACGGACCATCCGAATATCGAGGTCGGCGTCAGCGGCCTCGTCAACCTTGCCCTTATCGGACCGAGCAGCGGCCTCTTGGAGTTTAATCCCGATCATGGTCTCTTCTGCCTCGACGTACGTGTCAAACACGACCGAGAAGTCCCGCACGGTCATGACGGTGGTGACGGCCTCTTCGAAGACGTCGCGCGCCTTCTCGTATTCGTTCTTGTTCATCCAGTAGCGTGCTAGGCCGACCCAGAGGATACCCCGCTGGTCGGGGAATTTGGTGATACCGCTCCGAATGATCTTCTCGACATCAATCCCGCTGTCGTCACCTGTCTCGATGTCCTTGGCGTGGTCGATGAGCAGGTCCACCATCTCCGTCCAGAACTGGAACGGCCCCTTCGCTTCCTTGCTCTTGAAACGCGGGTTGTTGAGTATTTCCATGTACTTCCTGACGGCTTCGGTGTACTTGCGCATGTCCTTGAGCAGCTCGATAAAGTCCTCGGCATCCTCGGGGTGTATCTGCATGTATCTCCGCCAGATCTTGACGGCGGTCTCACCCGACGCGGACGTGGCAAATGGGCGGTAGAGAGCCCATATCCTGTTGTGCTGAGTAAGGGGGAGGGCGCGGAGGGCGCGGTCGAAGGTCCGGCGGGTGGTCGTGACGAGAGGCTGCTGCATGAGGAAGTGGAGATACATTTCCCATATGCGCGGCATCTTGTTCAGCAGCACGAGGGCGCGCTCGAACAGGGCGTTGACCTTGACATAGTGCGGCGCGTACTTGGCGGGGTTCTTCTTCTCAAGGTGCTTCGTGCGGATCTCGAGGTAGAGCTTCCAGAGCTTGTAGGAGCGCGGCAGCGTGGTGCATGCGCGCTCGAGGACGAAGGCCTGCTCCAGGATGCTGCCGCGCGACTTCTTGAAGCTGTAGTAGTCCAGCCACGGCTTGACGCTGCCGGGGTTGCGCTGAATGTCGTGCTCGTAGGCGACGTCCTGGTCGGTGATGAGGAAGAGGTCGTGGGAGCGCTCCATCTTGCGTTTGCCGGGCCGCGACAGGCTCGCCGTCACGGTCCGGATGAGCTCGCCAGGCATTGCGTCGCCGGAGAGGGCGGTCGAGGGCCCGCGGTGGGCTGAGACGCGACGGGGAGTGCGATGGCGATGGCGATGGCGGTGGACGGTGAAGGGTGGAGGTAAAGTTCTCGAGGACGGCGGCCGGAAGTTGCGGTGGGCAGGTGCGCTGGACCAATCAGGCGGCGCGCGTCTGGTGGCAGCTGCAAAACAAGCGCTGACGGCAGGCACGGGCCCCGTTCTTGCTCGACTGCAGCTCCCCGGTCCTACTCGCAGAGCTGCCGCGCCGTCACGCACGCCCCGACACCTTCACATCACCCACAGCGCCAGCTTCCGACTGGGCCCAGACTGCAACTGAGGCCTGCTGCTGCCGGCGTCTCTCTTTCTATTTCAGCCCCATAAGCCCGCCTGTCGGCCCATCGTCTCGCAATGTCGGGCAGCGGGGTACGTCTGAAGCTGCGCGCGTCAAGCTATGCGGCAGAATACTGACACCACCATCAGGCGAGGGAAGCCGTCTTCCCCACACGGCAGTCGCTGGGATTGATGAAGAGCAAGTTAAAGGGCGCGCAGACCGGCCACGACTTGCTGAAGCGGAAGAGCGAGGCCCTCACCAAGTATGCACCGCAATCTGCGCCATATCGCCTCTATTGAGCGCTGCTGACCTTCGTTCCCCGCAGGCGGTTTCGAGGTGCGACCATACTATATCTGGCCCCTATTGAAACCACATAGCTGAAACGCTGCTTAGAGATAACGCGCCGCATCGATGAGGCGAAGCGCAAGATGGGCCGGGTCATGCAGATTGCTGCATTCTCGCTCGCCGAAGTCACATATGCCGTCGGCGGCGATATTGGCTACCAGATCCAAGAGTCGGCAAAGCAGGCACGATTCCGCGTACGCACCAAGCAGGAGAACGTCTCGGGTGTTTTCCTGCCGCAGTTCGAGAGCTACACGGCCGAGAGCAACAACGACTTCGCCCTGACGGGTCTGGGCAAGGGCGGTCAACAGGTGCAGAGGTGTAGAGAGACATATGCAAGGGCAGTGGAGACACTGGTCGAGTTGGCTAGTCTGCAGACCGCCTTCGTTATATTGGACGAAGTTATCAAGGTTGTCAACCGCCGTGTAAACGCCATGTGGGTATCCCAAACCATTCGCCATGCCACCAACTCCTCCAGGCCCAATACTAGCTGAGACTAACGCCCTCTAGTGAGCACGTCATCATCCCCAGGACCGAGAACACGATCAAGTACATCAACTCCGAGCTGGACGAGCTAGACAGAGAAGAGTTCTACCGCCTGAAGAAGGTATCCGGGAAAAAACAGAGGGATGCCGCTGCGGAAGAGCAAGCGAGAGCAGCGGCCAAGGCATCTGCGGCCGAGAAGGAGGCTGCGGCCGATGAAGCAGCAGAGACACAGGACCTGTTGGGCGATAAGGAGAACGAGGACGTCATCTTCTGAGGACAGTTACCCATAAGGCATTGGCGGTCCATAGTGGATATCCGGACGATACGAGCGACGATCCCACGGACCCTGTGCATAATGATCGTGCTGCTCTCGTTCGAAATGTTCCTTTGACCTGAAGCCTACGCCACCTCCGAACTGATGGGTCGGAGTGAACGCCTGAGGTGCAGATCGGATCGGTAAAGTTTCCCTAAGTAGCCAGATGATAAGTACTCTGTGACAGTAAATGTGCATATAACGACAGAACACGACTGTATTGTGTTCGTTTTCGAGGTATCATAAATCCAAACGCATAAATCCACTTGCAATAACCTACTGTCGCTGATACGTGACCTTCATTGGCCTGCCCTCCGCACCGATTGGCATGTTCGCTGTCGCCTCCTTCGCCGTGATAGCAAACTGCTCGTTGTCGAATTCCGCAAAGGCGACTCCCCTGACTTGTACGTAACGAACTTCCCTGAAGCCCTCGAAGCGCTCGAATATGGTGGTGAGAGAATCTTCGTCCATATCTTTGGGTATATTCTGAAGGAAGAGCGTCTTGTTCGGGCGCACGTATTCGTCGGGCACGACGGCAGCTCCAGGCTTGACAGCGCGAGGCTTCTCGGCCGCCGCCGCAGGGTTTGCTTGCGCCTTTGCGGCCTCTTCGGCGCGTTTGAAGTCTATATTCGGGTTAGTAAGGGCATTCCTCTTGCGAAGCAATAAATATGCACCTTTCAGCATCAGCCGCTTCCGTTTGTGCTCGTCGAAAATCTCCGGCGCTTTTCGCTTGACGGTCTCGTCGCTGTGCGTCTTCGCCCTAGACACGCGCATGGCCTTGCCGTACATCTCGAAGCCGTTCATCTCCTCAACCGAATTCAGCACTGACTGCTCCTTGTCGAAGACAATGAATGCCTGACCCTTGCGCTTCAGGCTGCTCTTCGCTATTATGTCGAGAATGGGCCCGTAGTGTTTGAAGACGAGGGTAAGCGCCTCCTTCATGGTGTCGATCTTGACGCGCTCTTCGAGGTTGTTAACCTAGGAAGTCAGCATCGCGCCACGGTGTGCAATGTGAGAGCGTGCTGCGCTTCAGGTCAACTCACGTATATCCTACGACAGTTAGTGGGGAGCTCCAATTATGGCAGGTAGACTTACGTTTCAATTGGGACTGGGTATTTGCTGGGATCAACAAGTCCGCCGGCGGATACTACGCCCTCCATCTTGTCTGCCATAGCGAGTGACTGCGAGGTGTAGTTGACTGTTGTGGGTGCACGCCGGTGCAGGAAGGCGGAAGCTCTCGAAGGTCAGATCCCGAATTTCTGGGTGCCAAGGCGGCGCTAGTGACGGGCGGACCCCTCCACGTGATACCAACTCTGCACCTCTCGAAGTTATTGGCGTTCCTGAGAAGGCATCATCTACCTACTATATGATATAGGGAATGTGCGTTCATTGATCTTTTAATTGTGCTGTAGCCTTCAATGCCATATCGAGAGCTCGATGTCATACTATGTACAAAAAAAGCTGCGTCATACGATCTGATCCACAGACGTAGCTTCCGAAAATCCCACCATTGGACCGACATCTACAATTACTTCACATTATTCTTGCAGAGAACCCAGAAGAAGACTCGGCACTGCTCTTGTTCATCACTTCTGTCCAGGAAATTACCATCCTGTGCGGTCTCTACTGCACCTACTATGGCCAAGTCTAGCGCATAGGTACGCCGAATTCGACAACAACGGATCCTTTAGCCTACGGCTGAGTGTCACCACGGCTGAAACGAATTTTTCCATATCTAACTCACCTTTTCATGCTAAAGAGATGGGTGGTAACGGCCAGTCCGGCCCGATCGGCTTGAAATGGCGGTCGAATACCCTCTTCGTCTGCTGCACAGTCGGCATCGGAGCGTTTACGGATCTCTTCCTCTACGAATTGATTGGTACGTAACCACTGTATATCTAGATCACGGCTGCTTGGACCGTGGCTAGAAGTTCAGAACCTATGGGATCGGCACTTGAGTTACGAGTCGCGGCTTCTGCCACTCCAACCGGGGTGGTTTCAGCACAGGACGGGCCAATCCCCTCTCCCCATGTGCGCTCTATTGCCACACTCTCTCCGCGCTCGAGGATCTTGTCTAACTCTATTCAGTTCCGGTCCTTCCTTTCATGCTCAAGGATCGTGTTCACGTCCCCGATGCGCGGATTCAAAGCACCATATCCGACTTGCTCGCTGTCTACGCCGCAGCGTCATGTTTGACATCTCCAATTGCCGGTATACTGGCCGACAGACTTGCTTCCTCCCGGCAGCTCCCATTCCTTCTCGGTCTTATTCTCCTGTTGCTGTCCACTATCTTACTTGCATTCGGCAAGAGCGTTCCGGTATTAGTTCTTGCCCGCCTACTCCAAGGTGCTTCAGGCGGCATAGTGTGTAAGTATGCCCAAAATATAGTCTGGACATGCGCTAATTTTGCACAGGGACGATAGGACTCGCTATTTTGATCGAGACCGTGGGTCGCGAAAATCTGGGGAAGACAATCGGTACAATATTCAGCTTCATTACCGTGGGGTCGTTCTTCGCCCCGACATTAGGAGGCGTGCTCTACGCCAAAATAGGCTACAACGGCGTCTTCGGCGTCAGCATCGCGGTTATCGTCGTCGACTTTGTTCTGCGCCTGTTCATGGTCGAGAAGAAGGTTGCGGCCAGATATTTGCCTCCTAGCCCAGAGAGCCCACCATCGTCAAGCTCCGAGGGTCTAGATGCTACCGAATCAACTCCTCTACTGGCAAACAGATCGCAGGAGCTAAACGCGTACCACCTCTCCGAACCGAAGCATCGCATAACGAAAGCCTTCCCAATTCTCCTTGTCCTCCTTGATCCAGGACTTCTGACCGCTCTTTTTATCGGCTTCATACAGGCTCTGCTTCTCGGCGCTTTCGACGCAACGGTCCCTCTAGTCGCGTCAACGCGGTATGGCTTTGACAGCCTGAAGGCTGGCCTGCTCTTCGTTCCACTCGCTAGCGCGGACTTCTTCCTTGGGCCAGTGTTTGGATGGTGTGTTGATCGATGGGGTACGCGGCCCGTCTCTGTCATCGGCTTCTTATGGCTCGTTCCCTCTTTGGTACTCTTACGGCTACCCACCGAAGAAACTGTCACAGACCATCTTGCAATGGGTCACGAAATCGCACTCTACGCCTCCCTGCTTGCTCTCAACGGCATCGGCCTCGCCATCATCAATTCGACATCGATAGTGGAGTCCGGCAATATCGTCGAGAAGTACTGGGAAGCGAATAAGGAGTTGTTCAATCAGGCGCCGTATGCGCAATTATACGGCATCAACAGCATGATATGGAGCGGAGGTCTGACTATCGGGCCGCTCGTCGGTGGAACCTTGAGAGAGAAAATCGGCTATGGCAACATGAATGCCGTATTGGCAGGCATATGCGCGGTAACCACAGTATTCGCAGCACTTTTCGTGGGTGTGAGACGTAGGAACGGTGATGAGGGTAGTGACGGACATACGTAGGGGATAGCGGTGAAGCAGATGTTCTAGGACAGTATGCTTACACGAGCGCGTAGTACCGCCACATATGGTATGTGCGAACTACACGTCTTTATTATCTTGCCTAGGTATTTAACACACACGACACAATAGAACCAATTTCTGCGGAATATGATCCTCGGGCAAAGACTTTCGAGTTAAAAGTGCATTGTGGTAGACTGATTCTCGAAGCTTCTGCATCCACACTTCGCCCAATCAACCACCTCAGGCGTCCATCTCATCGAGCACGACACAGCTACCAATAGACAGCCATATTTTAAGGATCAGAATCCGAACCAAATGCTTTTAACAGTAAATACCTTCTTTCTTCAGAGATTGTCAGGAAAGTAGGGGTTACCACCGATTTACTTTTATCCCGTCTGAATCGTGCCTGCGTGTACCCTTTCCTTATTTTGCTACACTTGGGGTTTTCTGTAAGGGTTGACAGGGGTTAGGCAGCAGTGTAAGGGGAGGCTGAGGTTCGAGCCTTATGTGTAGCTTATGCTTTCGTGTGTCTAATCTTCAGCTTTGCTGCTGCTACTGCTGTCGGAAGGGGGATCATCCCTCATGGATACTTCGGCTCATAATAGAGGAAGATGCGATCTCTTTACTCATTTGAGTGTGCTAGAGCCCTCTAGGGATTCCAGCTGACATCCTCTGAGATGGCCTCTTCACTCTCGCAAGGTCATCAAGAGGCGAGAATAATGAAGGTTTATGGGAGTTATGTGAAGCCATGCCATCAGTCTCCTTCGATGCAAGGCCCTGATGAAGAGGGCGAAGCAAGCACAGTGTGCGTTCTATCTTCAAAGTATGTGTGTTAGGGTCATCGCATATTACTTGTGTTCCTGGATCATTTTTTTTTACCCGAAAGTGGGTCGGTCCTACTCGTTATAGATTTCACAGAAGCGTCTGCGAGGTCATTGGTATCCTAAGAGTAGGCAAACGTAAATACGAAACACACAGCAACTCAGATGAACCCTCAAAAAACAATACATGAACGCCGTCAACAAGAAAAAAAAAGGCCCGATTAGCAGCGTGGCTGATAGAAAGACAAAGAGAGAATATATCTGAAGTCGTCAAAGCTAGACTACAGAATGAAAAAGTGTGCGCGCAAGGAGGCAAGCCCGCACCAAGAATTTACGTGGTACGTCTGCTCTAGAACATGTTAAGGAATTGGCGGGCTGATTCAGCACTGAGGCTGGATGCCGAGGATGGTAAAGCAAAGTCTGAGAATGTTCCCGCCATAAGTGCAGGTAGGTGTTCCGGTTCACACGGTATACGCAGGAGACTCCTTTCGTAAGAAAGGTCCTACCGGCTCATGGGGTACCGAAAGAGCCGAAGGCAGATGCCCTGATAGAGCTAGGAAAGTCTTCTAGACGCAAGCCATACCGAAGGCTATACGCTAGGTTTCGTGCAGTCGTCCGACTCTGTGGATCTCCGAGAGTCCACCTGAAGTACGAACAGCCATTTAATCCGACCGGAAAGGATTTGGATCTTCGTCTCCAGAGGCAGCTTGTTCAGATGTAGAGTCTTTGACCACCGGAGCGGCTCAGGCGCGTCTTTCTTCCCTGTCACGCGGATCCGGCAGTCTGAGCCATGAGGCATTGACAGAGCGCTCTCAGTGTAGACATAAACAGTGCCTGGCCACCGTGATGGGACCTTCGACGCGATCACACGATCCCCTTCTAGAGTCAGAGTTTGCGCGTCCCAAACGTGTACCAGCATTTACCTTTCAGTGATCCTGCAGATCTAACCTTGAATTCGCGGTCGTTGAAGAATACAACCCGCGAGTCGTCTTCGGGGTAATCTTGCTCGGCTAAGATCCATCGAGACCCATCCATCGAGCAGGTGCAGTAGCCTTGACATTCAATTTTCTTATCTCGGGCTTTGACGTCTTTTCGCAGATTGGCGATTTCGCTCCGAAGTGTGGATTCTCGAGCTTCAACGTCCTTTCGCAGGTTATCATTATCCTGCAGAACCGATCGCCCAGCCGTCTGTATGTCTCTGATGACGTCGCGCAATTTGTCCCGATCTTCAACGTTGCCATAACTATGATAGAAGTAATCTCGGCAGTGATCCGTCATCTTCTATGCTTTGTTAACTTGATACGGGCGGATTAAGAAGGACAAGAAGGGAATGTAAGGAAGAGATGCGGCTGAGTCTTTATTGCAGAAGCGGAAGACGACTTAAATCATGTTGCGAGCTGATACAGGTGGTGTAGTAGTATTGGCGAGAAAGGCGAGTGGCTGCGCTTCAGCCGCCCCATTCCCTCTGATAAAGGAGCACACCACGGGGCCGATTTTCAGCCTTCCCAAAACGATTCGGCAAACATCTGCAACAAAGAAACTCCACGTGTCCTAAACGATCGCGGAACTAGACTAAAAAGAACGGTAGAACAGACCTTAAGTATGAGACTGCATCTCGCAAAACCATGCACTAACAGAACGAAAGGCTTACACTTCATCAAACTCCGAACTGATGGAGAAGGCTGGGCAGAAGATCATCTCCCCGGTATAGCCCTTTGTGGCGTCGCACCTGCTTTTGGAGGGATGGTGACACTTCTAATTCGACGCCTTTGCGGTTCCCGCAGTATTGAGGCTTGCTCCTGAGGCTCAATCTCTCTCAGCCTGGTGAGCGTGAAATGGACAAGAAGGATGTTCAAAAGGCGGCGCCGGGGCTGGTTGGAGGTTTAGAGCTGTCCGCAAACCTGTATACACTCCTAAACACCCTGAGGAACCCTTTGGCATTTTCACTTCATTCACAAGTGCGCACCAGCGAATCGCTATGGCGGTAGGCGAGGCTGAAGGCAGTATTGGCCGTCAGGAAATGCCCATCACTGGGCCATCAGGATACCAGGCGCAAGGCAGAAGCTCGGGACAAGTGGAGGATCCTTGGAGACTGAAGACAGTCTTGACCTTAGGTTAGAGACCCGAATCACGCGCACCCCTGGTACTAACATTTCGCAGATGGAGGGGGCGTGCGAGGCTACGGTAGCCTTCTGATGCTGCAGGTACTGATGGAAGAGGTCGCGAAGCTAGAGCAAAACCCCGACCAAGAAGATGGCCGGCATGAATCGAGCTTTAGCCCTTATGGAAAACCCAAGAGCAAAGTCAAGAGCCAGCCTGGCTCAAGAGTGGGTACTTTGGAAGAGACTACTACCAGGGCCAGGACCGAGACGATGAACAATTCGTCGCGTCCACCAGTAGCCGACAGCGGTGCTCCACAGGAAACCCTCAAACCCTCCTGTTCGGGCTACCTTCCGTGTCATTATTTTGATTACATGGGCGGTACTAGTACCGGGGGGTAAGCACATCTTCCTACAGAAGTTCTCGATCACATAGCCTAACGTCAGGGCAGGCTCAACGCTATCATGCTTGGCCGTCTAAGAATGTCAGTAGATCAGTGTGTCTGCAATTATCCGTCCATGGCGGAAAAAATCTTCTCCAAGGCCCGCAGGATGCAAGTCAAAGGCTGGCCCAACAGCCGATATGACGCGCAAATGCTATCAGACGCCATCCAGGAGGTTGTATGCGTACGGACTGGGAAGGACGCGAAGGATTACATCAGGAACTTCGAGTCCCCGGATGATTTATGCCGGACGTGAGTGAAGCCTCCTGTCGACCTTGGTGAATGCTAACGATAACGTAGTTTCGTGGTGGCAAAGAAGGTAGCACCTGAAGGAAACGCCGAGGACCCATGTATATTTCGCAGTTACGCCAACAATGGATCTCCTCAAGCCGCACGCCGAGGTTTGGGGCCCACCACACCTGGCCTTGCCAGCAAAGATCCTATCTGGAAGATTGGCCGTGCTACTGCTGCAGCTCCAACGTATTTCGATCCCATGAAAATAGGCGATGATCTTTACTCCGATGGAGGTATGGGATACAATAATCCGGCAGAGGAAGGCTATTCCGAAGTATTACACAAGGAGGGATTCTTCCAGCGCAGTGACTGTACCGTTCCTATCCGCTTGTTTCTCAGTATTGGAACTGGAGGCAGCGACCAGAATAGGCCGCCTGACAATCCCACCCAGACCACTCCCACGGCACAACCGAACGGAAAGAAAAAGAAAAGAAAGAGGCGTTTCATCCTGGGCCATTTGGGCGATCTGGGGGCTAGATTGCAGAAAGAAGTAGTCAAAGCAGAAGCTGTTGATCGCCGTATGCGCGAAGTGAGTTTCAAGGAGCGATGGCCGTACGTAAGATGGACGGGTGGCGAAGACCTGGCGAAGTTAGATCTGGATAAATGGAAATCGAAGAAGAGAGGCAAAAAGAAAGGAGACGAAGAGAAGGAAGGCAAGAAGAAAGAGGAGAAGAAAAAGAAAAAGAAAAAAGACAAGAACACGCAAACTGAAATCGAAGGCTGGATTCACGGCTACATGAATGATCCAATCCGTCGAGAAGAGGTCAAGAAAATCGCAAAAATTCTCGTCGACGTCCGAAGGAAGCGAATACGTCACGACGGAGACAGATGGCAGAGCCATACTTATTGCAGCCACTTAATCTGCCCCAATTGTAATACGAACGATTATCGGAAGACCGGCACAGAAGCTCAGCTCCAGAAGCACTTTGAGGAGGACGAAGGTCATCCAGATACGGTAGATCTTTCGGGATATTCTCGCTTCGCGCCGAAAGTGGATGGCGGTCCCTGGTGAGCCATTGTTGGACTATCCTTCGGAAAGGGACCTACGATGAGAACAAACTCATACATTTTAATGTACTCTAGTAATGTAAGCTTACGTATTGTCGTTCGGTCAGTAAGTAGCCTCCAAGTCTAGCTGCAGAAAGCTCTTCCTGGAGCCCTTCAGTGGGTAAAGACGAAGAGCAGGATAGAGAAACATCTATGAGTCATCTATATTTCGCGGACCATAGAAGAATACCGAAACCGTGACTCCACGCTATGCCGCTCTCAGAAATACTGTTTCGAATGAAACAAAGGAAAAGAATGCATCCAAGCCCAGAAGACTCATCCTCCTTTCTAGAAGCTAGGCAGGTTTAGATGTTAGCGCCCATCTTCTCTATGAGCGCCTCCTCCGTGTCAAGGCCCTGGGCATCACCGCAGACCAGATCCTCCTCGCAGTCACACCCATACGTCCTCCTATACTCGAACTCCGGCAAGCCATCCAGCTTCTCCAATGCCGCGTGACTGGCCTTGACCCTAGCGTATCTGCCACTAACAGCGACGCCATGAAAGTGGACCTTGTTGTGGATCATGATCATAGCGAGAACCTTGTCTTTGTCGCCGGGGAGGATGGACTTCTGGGTGTGCGTCGCCATGCGCCACTCACGGCAGCCAAAGTTGATTTGCAAGAGCTTGGAGAGCCTCGTGGTCGGATGATTGTTTGCAAACGAATCGTAAATGGACATGTCGAGGAAGAAAGGCTTGAGATGCATGTCGAAGAACTTTTGCACGACGCTGAAGTCGAACTCGGAGTCGACGAACATGGCGGCAACGTAGGCTTCGACGACGTCGGCTAAACACTTTGGGGGCTCAGATACGGTGCTCCAATAGTCGACCGCGCCGTTGGCCTCTCGCTCAGCTTCAGTGACTTCGTTGACGTAGTCGCGGATCTGGCTGCTGAGCATAGCGTTGTTCTGGCGGATGTGCTGGTGAAAGCCGACCTTGACACATACGGCACCCAGGAACTTATTGGACACCATAGGCATCTTGTGCTCCGTCAACCAAGCAGGATCCTTCCCAGGATAGCGGTAGAAGAGGTACATGATGAAGGCTTGATCGAGAAGCGCGTCGCCGAGGAACTCCAAGCGCTGATAGTTCGGAATATTTTCCCACATAAACGCCTGCGACGGATGTATGAAGGCTGACCGCAGAAGCCGAGGGTACTGGAAGTGGTAGGGGTGTTTCTTCTCAACCTTCTCCGCAAGGTCTTGCTGATTCGCGGTTGCCTTCGCAACCTGATACTTCGGCTTCACGTACTTTGCGTAGTAGTCGGAAAACCTCCTCATCTCGTGATCCTCGCTGTTGACGAGGACGGTGACGGCTTTGACAGCCTCATCCCAGTGTTTCGGATCCCATATGCCTTGCTTATTGTGTTCCATGAATGCGGCACCGATAAAGGCTTCGCAGACGTCGGCGATGGATTTATCACCTAGGCGGTGCTTTATGGCGTCATTTCCAGTATTCTTCATGCCTTTCCCTCTAAGCAATCTCAATTTAGGGTACCATAGGCGGCTTCTTATTGTTAGCCAACCATTATAGACCACAAGCAAAATGCTTACCGAGAGAATGATTCCGTCCGGATATAATCGACCAAGTTCAACTTCAAGGCAGTGTTGAACAGATTCTTGTTGCAGAGCATGAGCATGCGGCGCACGTGGAACTCGAATTCGTTCTCGTCGGGCTGCAATACAAACGTCGAGATAGAAGTAGCCATTTTGAGGAAGCAATCTCCCATGAACTCGAGACGCTCGTAGTTTGGACCCATACCACTCTTGAAGTTGATTTTCTCTTCGCCGTGCTCATCGGAGTTCTCTGAATCTTTTGTTAGGGCTTCCAACGCGAGGCCTGGTCCAACGTTCAATTGAAGCACTTTGCAAGCTTCGAGAGACACCAGGTAGTCCTCGAATCGGTGAATAACAGCGGGAAAGATATAGCACATAGCTACAAACGGGACTGAGAGCTGCCAAGATGTTAGTTTGGTACTGTAGCTGAGGTTGATTGAAGTGAACCTACAGTTGAGACTCGAAATGGCTCCGGACAGATATAGGCGATATTACCGCCTTTGATCCCGGTCTCCCCGGTCTCCACCTTAGCCAGCAAGTTCCGTCGGAAAGGGATCTTCTCCACTTTCATGACCGGTTGAGACCTATCCCAGAGCGGATCATGGAGCTCCCGTTGCTTCTTCCAAAGGCTGACAGAGTAGTCGAGGATATCCTTGGAGTATTTGTAAGCAGGGGCGGTCGAAGGAACAGGGTCTTCTGGCTTGAGTTCGGGTTCTATCGCAATCGAGTAGAAACGTCGCCCTCCGTCACCCCGATCTACGATGTATTTGCTAACGAGCTCTTCGGTGTCCATCTCTGGAGTCCATCGCTGCTCGCGCTCCTCGCAGAAATGGAACACCTGCTTCAGATCTATGACATCCTCAGGTTTCGATAACTGGGTAATGGAGCTAATTTTGTCGTGCCGAATTGGAACTATCCAGTATGACATCTTTAGAACGTCGTGTTCATACAGCTTGGCGAAGATGTCTTCAAAAATCTGGAGGAAGAACGTGGTGAATCGACCGAGATCCTCATTCGTGACTTGAAGGTGGTTCTTCAGTGGAATTGATATGACGTTAGAGGGTCGATCGTCCTTGAGGTAGATCGGGAACTTGGGCAGCTGAGGGAAGGGCACACGAGTGAGGAGGCCAAGAGGCTGATGGGGCCGCTCCAAGCCAGCGTCTACGTCCACTACGGTGAGGTAAAGGCACTTGGGAATGGTATCATATCCGATCTGCCAGAAATCCGGCTTGACTCGCATCGGATATAGGTCCTTCTTCTTCTCACTGATCGCCAGCTGTGCATTTCTCATAGCTGGGAGCTGCTTCGTATATATGGGCAGCAAGTTGGCGTCTAGGAAATCATTCTCCCGTAGTTTCAGACACATCTCGAAGGCGGCAGAGCATTTGGCGATGGCCTTCCTCCGACGAGGCTGCCCAATGGCGGAGATGATGGGTGAACACTCAGGAAGTATGACTTCACATTGGAAGCCTCTGTGGCCGATCTCGCTGCGGTCATGTCTGAGGTCGACGTGGCTCATGACGTAAGTCGCTTGCAAACAGACTTCTTGGTTCGGAGCAGGGAGAGACGCCACAAAATGAGCCAGTACAGATAAACTCGACCTGTACGTGAGTTTGGCGCCAGTCTCTGGGTCAATGTATGTACGGTACTCCTCTTCCGCATCGAGGTAAGTAGCGACATCGCTGTCAAGTTCGTTGAGCACGCGGTCTCCAGAAAGCCCTTCGCAAAAGCCCTTCATCACAGTCTCGGCATTACGAGCATTGCAAAGTAGCGCTTTGTGACTTGAGTTGTCCTGCTCGACCATATGAAGGTATTTCGAGTTCTGATGCCTGGCTCGGCCTCGTGATTGAACGTATCCGATCATGGTTCGGTACAGATCAAAACGGACGACAAGGTTGCATTGGGGGATATCAAGTCCCTCCTCGGCAACAGATGTTGCGAACAGGCAGTTGAGTTCTCCTTGTCGAAACTTGGTCACCGTGAGGATTTGGGACCGTAAGGAGATATGCTGCTCATCGGCGTAAGAGCCAGATCCGATTAGTACATCGCCGCGAAGGTGGGGCCCGCCGATATGTCCGAAGATGTAGTTGAGAAGACGTGCCGTCTGACGCTGTTCCACGAAGACGATGCACCGATGGTTCCCATGCCGATTGTAATATTGGTTAAGCCACCAAAGCAACTCCAGAACCTTGGAACTGAGATCCTGTGCTGTCGGGGTAGGCACGCCAAAGTCATGCTGTCTCACGAATTCGGCCGCCTCGCGCAGAAGGGCCTGGGCCTCATTCAATTCCTCCACTGGACCGTCCTTCTTGGTTTTGTGATACCTAAACTCTTGCCGGAGCTCGCGTTTCCGGCTCTCGTGCTCTGTAAAGGCCAATGACCAGTACATATCCGCGGCCCATTTCCCCAGTACGGAGCTGTAGTCTTTTGAGGTCTTGAAGAACTTCTGGAAGGCGGATACACCGCCGTAACGAGCCTTCATCTCCTGATAGAACGGTGTCTCCAAGCCAACGGGAAGCCGAGGGTATTCGACAACTTGCTCGAATGGTTTGTTGATGCTGTTCGCAAGGAGAGTTACATCGGAAGTAGTGGCGATCTTGCAATGAAGCATCTTTTCGAGTTTCATCGCTGCGTCCCGAACGGATGTATTGGCGTCGACTGGGGAGGCGGTCATACCAAAGACGCGGGGGCGTTTAGAGACATCCGGTTCGTTGAGATAGAATTCTTTCATAAGTTGAGCGTAAGGATGGTTGTTCTTCGCGTGGTGAGCCTCATCAAAGATGAGAAGGTTCACCTGAGCCATAGTAATGAAAGAATGCATCATGCACTGCTCGAGGACTGCAGCGGTGCAGACAATGACCATGTTGTCAGCAAAGTGCTTATCCCAGGTGGGCTTCTGCCAAAGGCTTGCTCCCATGGCGCCGCAAATGCCTTCGACGCGCTGATCGAGACCGCATCGCAATACATTCGCTTGCTGGAAGACCAGATTGACGGAGTTCACCTAGATACGGTCAGATTTGCATACGGAATACCAATGAGCACTTACAAGGAAGAATGCGATCCTTGGGCGTGCTCCTTTGGCACGAGCCTCAAGCTCCAAATCGAGGATATGGCGAAGTAGAAGGGTAGCAATGTGGGTCTTGCCGGAGCCGGTACCCAGAACAGCGATGATGTTTTCCTCCTTTGCCCGCTGGAAGAGCTCAGTTTGATAGTCTCGAGGATTGGTGATTTTAGCACTATTTTCCTGCTTGGCCAGAATATCCCGGATGGAGAGAACATCATTGTGAACGCCTTGGATAGCCACATTGAGCTCCTCGGTAATTCGCTCATTTGCTCCTGCTACAAAGGCCCGAAAAAGTTCGTTTTGAGCCCTGCGCTTCTCGGAAGTGGTTCTTGGACCATGTGCATGTCCCACGTCCGCATCGATGTCGCTGTCCTCGTCTGAGGCATCGGCGTTGTCATTGGAGTTCTCATCGTCCGTGAGATCGGTTTGCGGGGCCTCTTCAGCCTGCCGTTCGGCATCAGACTCGCCAGAGTCGGCGTAGCTCGAGTAGTCGTCCAGGTCATCCTCCTGCTCTTCGAAGGTATTGGCCCAAGGCATCTTGATTCACGTAGCTGTGGTCGAGCGTTAATGTGCTTGTCGACGATCGGGGAGTGGTCAGTCCAAGTATGGAGAAGGTGACAAGTCGAGAATGCTGGGAGGACGAGAAACTTGAGCGTTTGCTTGCTCTGAGGCGTTGCGCCGTGTCGCAGGAGCAAACGGAGGCAGGCGCCCGCTACTGGTCAAGGCAAGCCGAGCACCTTTACTTGCTCAATCACCTGTGATCGCGACATTTCATCGTTCACCAAGCCGACCAACGCTCCCTGAAAGAAGATATGCCTTCACGGTGTTTGAGTGTGGCTGGGAGACGCGTTCAAAGTCAAGCGCGGCTGACTCAGCAACGCCAACTCACGTGCCTCGTTCCCAATCAGAACTCCTCCACCCTCCACCTCACCTGTCAACAAACACCACCCAATATCAACATCAAACATGTCCGAGGAAGAACCCAGGAGTATCCGCGCGCTATTCTTGACTGCCGAGCGCCTCCGGCAAGACCTCTCCACCGGGCCCGACTCAAACTCTCCCACGTTCCAAGAAGCCCTCTCCACCGCCATCGCCACCTACGAGCAATGTCTCACGCTCTCGCAAAAAGTCTCTCTCTTCTCGCCAAACGAGACTCTAGAAGACGTCTCGTCGAATGATCTACAGTAAGCCACACTCAAAATCCCACAATCCCACCTTCCTTATCTTCCCGGCGGCGCCACCTCCCCCCATCCCCACAATGTTCCGAGTTTCGGTGAACTGACGACGCCCGGCAGGTACATGTCCATCTGCTATCACTTGGCAGAGCTCGTGCAGAAGCTCCGGAGCAGCGGTGGGGTGCAAGAGCGGAAGAAGAATTTGCTGCGCGCTAGGGATCTCTATGAGCGGTTTTTGAAGTTGCTGGATTCGTACGATGTGCTTGGCAAGGCGAATGCGAGGTTATTGGAGGCGTATCTAGAAGATAGGGAGCAGTTTTCTACGGCGGGCGCGCGGGATGCTGCCGCGCGGAGGGAGGCGAAGATAGGGCGGTTTCGCGAGGAGAAGGACTTGAAGAGGAAGTTGGAGGTGAGCCGCTTCATCTCGTTTGTGGGCGTGCGCATGGTGGGCTAATGTGGGCCACAGTATCTCCAGCGAAATCCCAAGGTCGCAGAACAGGACGAGCAAGCAGTCCGGGAGCTTCATCTAACGAATCTAGCTTTCATGGTGCATCAGACGTTCGCATCACTGGAGTCTATGGCGCAGGAACTGCACATCATATCCCTTGCGCCATCCGCGCCACCACAGGGTCCGAACGCCAACGCACCCACACTAGATGCGCGGCAACAAAACAATAACAACCCCCAAAACCGCGACACCTATTCGGACCGTCTCGACACCCAACTCCCAGGCCTCAAATATTCTGGACCCATTCTCAGCAGCGACGGCAAACCGCTCCGGCCATTCACGCTTCTAGACACCCGCCAGCACCTGCAAAAAGGCGTCTTCAGACCGGACCATAATCTGCCCACGATGTCCATTGACGAGTATCTGGAGGAAGAGAAACGGAGGGGCGGGATTATCGAGGGCGGCGGCGAGCAGTCCGGAATCCGACCGGAGCCCGATGAGGACGATCTTGATAAGGCGGATGAGGAGACGCTGAAGGCGCGTGCGTGGGATGAGTACAAGGAGGACAATCCCAAGGGGTCTGGGAATACGCTGAATAGAGGATAGCTGTGACGATCGTATGGAATAGAATAGGATAGTCTATTTTATCAGATACCCCTCTGGTTCAGCCTTGCGGACCGATTCATGTCAGGTTCTGTCTTGGGAGGACCCTGCGTCGATCCTTCGCACCAAAATGAAACGAAACGCGATCCCCCAGATATGCGTGTCATGCTGAGAGCCGGTCGGGCGCTAGGTCGGGCCATCTCGTCAACATCAATTCCAGCAGAGCTTTAGAGAGAACTTGGTAAGCCTGTCTTTATGTCAGCCTCGTCCTTCCAGCATAACTTTCTTTTCTTTGCACTTACCAGTGCATCCAAATGCAGCCCATCCGTGAAATACCCCTTCCTAAACTGCTTCGCCGTCTTCAGCCCACATCCAGGTAACCTCTCCTCATCATACCTATCCTCCGCCCCTCTCCCTTGATCCTCCAACCCCGCATCCACCAACTTCCTCCAATAATCCAACCCCGCCACTCTCCCAGTCTCCTCATACTCATTGGCAATCTGCATGATCTTCTCAGCATACCTCTTCTTGCTCAAATACGTCCTATATCCCCTCTCCGCCTTCGGATCGCCTCTCGCTGCTTCCATAGCCGCCATCATCGTAGGTCCAAGATCCATGTCGTCAACTTCCCCATCTTCCAGAACCGGGTCTGGGATGTTGATAGGCGGCGGAGTGATCAATACAATCTTCGTATCAGGCAAATTGTCCTGGATCAGAATCGTCTCCACGAATTCGCGAATGTTCGCTTCGAATTTGGGCAGTGCGACATATTCCCCGTCCCCGATGAGGCAGGCATCATTCGCGCCGAGGAAGATGGTGACGAGGAGCACAGACGGGGTATCCGGATCGGTCGTTTTCTCAATCATTGCCTGGAATTCGCGTTTGATGTTCTGGGATGTGTAGCTGAGTTGTTAGCCGGGGGGTGCGTTCTGCAAGTGTAGGTATCGGACTTCGTGTCCGGGTCACGACTCACCCTGCGTAGCCTGATGCGGCATGTTAGTATGCAAGAATTGGTTGGGTGTGACGGTGGGTTACACTGGGCTCACTCACCCTCGTTGATGATCTCGACTTTGCCCTCGTACCAGCTTTTCAGGTACCAGCCGAAGCCTTGTGTTTCCTCTTCGAAGCTCCATTCGGTGAGGGAGTCGCCGAAGAGGACGAATTGGGGGAGTTTCTTTGAGCTCATGCTTCCCATGCTCTCCTGACGGTGGTGACCCGCCTGCCCAGCGCTCCAAGGTTGTAGGCGCTGAGGTGGGGCTGACTGGGATGGTGCCTGGAGGTTTACTTAAATCTTAGACATGCATAGCGCTTCGCATTGTGTCGATCGAGAATGGCGAGATTTACGAGTAGGAGCATGTGCCTATGAAGAGGCAGACGTTGGAAGGAAGGCTGCGGCCTAACCGAATTAAATATAGTAACCTAAGAACGGCAGGAACTACCCAAGTAGCGTCACGTGCTACTCTTTGCCTCCAAACATTAATGCGACCTTCGAATATTCATATCACGTTCATTGTGCCTTCTTCGTAGCATTGTACTGTGCCAATAGCGCAGCTAGTTGTTTCGATGAAGAGCTCTAAGCGAGGAGCAAACTAGCTCAATGCTACCCGTAGCGAGAACGAGCCTTGCGGTGATTAGGCCGCCTGAATTGAATCTTAGATATATTAAGATGGATATATTAAGATGGCCGGCGAAAGATAACGGCTGGCAGGGAATGTATCAAGCTGTTGACATGATGTATTTGCGTTGAAGTTTGTGCGAGATGCAAAGCTCCAAGACGGTGGTAACTCCTGGCCAAATCCGGACTTCTTAAGCCTCGCCGTGATCATGTTTCGTTTCCTCTCTCAACGGAGTTCTCATGAAACATTCAGTTGACCTTTTCCGTCGATTTGCAGCTGTAACAAAAGGGATCGAGAGACAGCGTTGTTGTGCGCCGCGTACACCGGAAATCAACTGTACTGTACTACCGGACAATGTCCAACACAATGAGAGCGGAGCGATCAGCACATCTACCGGCGTGAACTAATCGCTAACCCAAGTCGCGTTCCTGCATTCTTGAGGAGCTACCGCTTCGTTCCGCTTCGCCGGGCTGCATTGAAAGTGTATTCATCGAGGCGAGGCGGAGCCTTTGAATCTTTGCCTCTGGGGGATTCACAACCGGGCCTGTGTCCCAACCAGATTATTCGAGAACCCTGGGCCTGCATGCACGCACTCCCAGGATACCGCTGTGTCGGTAATTGTCGAACGGCTGAGGAAAGTTCTGACAGGGCGCCGCCGTATTCAACGAGATCGAGCATGCGGTCCGATGCAACGTCTGCCCCCTTTCCTTGCGCTTGTCCGAATGTCGCTGACTGCAATTCGATAGTCATGCCACCAATGAGCCTGATGTGGTATATGGGCCGTGGCAGTGGCCTAGAGTTCAGAGACTAGGGTAGCACTGCAGGAATGTAGGAGATACAATATGAGAAGAGGACGCTAGGAGAGCAGACGGACCGAGACGGGAGAGATAACGGCGTGGCTGGCATACGTAATTCGCGCCTCGAAGCAATTGAAGAGAGAGCGGGAATCTTGGGACTGAATCGGTCGAAGGCCGCCACACGGCTGCAACCTCCCACCGCAGAAGGCGAACGGCTCGCCTGTTCCTGGCGGGCGTGCATGAGGTTGGGCGGTCGCTGCACCAGCTCCGTGGGGCCCTGATAGAGTCCTCGGTAGGCGCTGTGGACAAGCATCGACGCCACACTCTGATGGGCTGATGGGGGATTGCTCCACTTGGGCTTAGCATCGCAGCTGCATTGCTGACGCGCCCAGCACGCGCGGTCGAATAAATAGCCACTGGGTAAAGTGACACAATCTCGTTGATGAAGTGCTCGGAGCGGGCCAGGCAAAGACTGTCGTTGGGTTGGGAGCCAGGCGCGTGAAGTTGGGATGTAGGGGACGCAGCGGGCCACAGCCGGCGCAGATGCACTGATAGGCCTGCTCAATGTTACCAAACTCTATCATCAGAGCAAGGGCGCCGGCGCCGGGAGGCCGCGGGATAATTCTGTCCGTGCGCCGGCCGTTCGATGCCAAGCGTGATCCATGCCGCATCGCAAGGGACCGTCCACCATTCGTTCTACGCGTCTCACAGTCTTATTACTTTTCTGCTGGCACTGCTGGGATGCCGCCCTCCGCCCCAAGTCCGCTAAACAGCCCTGATGCCGTCACTCCGGACCCTGGCCGCCGCCATAAGGTTATTGAATTCCCGCTCGCGGCCTGTCCCTCCACTTGCCGCTGTCACTCCTCTTAGCACTTCACTATCTCTCGCGTAGCATGCTCACATTTCCTTTTGGCCAACTCTTTCCCTCGCCGTCTTGCTGCTCACACGACATTCCTGACCCGGACTCAAAAGGCGACCAATGACCGAATAGAGCAGCTTTTGAGCTTCTGACGCAGAGTCGCAACTCAATATGGCTTCTGGGTAAGCGCCTTCCCTGGCATAGTCGCGCCTTCCCCACCTCTGAAGCCCTGCGGAGGATCCTGACATAATGCAGGTCAATGCGGGAGACCATCAAGGCTCTCACCTCGACCTTCTCTGCGCCCACTGTGCCCTATCCTCTTCCCGACGAGCTCCGCGCGACCGTGGAGGGATTCCTAGAGCGCTATGACGATATCGAGGACCACGATTCGCAACGCTTCCACGAGGACCTGCTCTCGCTGTACATGCGCCATGTCGCCGGCAGCCCGGAGAAGCAGGGTCCTTTCCTCGGTGCACTGCGCCTGGCGCGGCCGGCACTCAAGGGCGAGTCAAGGTTGAGCGAGTGGTGGAACCTGGTGATAAAGCCCACGATCGACACAGTTGGACACAAGAGGCACGAGGTGGAGGATGCGGAGGCATTCCTGCAGAGCATATTGGTCTACGATGCAGAGGAGGATACGGATGGCGAACACGCACGCCTCTCAGGCCTCTTCACCAGGAAAATACTCGAGCTCTACCTTGCGCGGACCAAGGTGCCTTCGTCGGCAGAGGACGTCGTGTCTCCAGAGGACGACTACGTTTCGCATGAACTCGAGTCAATACTGGTAGCTTTTGGGCGCAGGAAACCGAAGGTATGTCTCTCAATCGCATGTCTTAACCTTTAAGCGTTGCTTCCTAGCGAGATCTTCTTGGTGCGCTTTGCTTAGGCAAGCTATTCTTGAACCTATCCACTCACCTACGCTATTATGCTATATTACGAGGACAGTCTTTCCATCTTATATCCGTATCTGACTCGCCTTCAGGATCTTCTCCTTGCTGTGGACGACCTATTCGTGCAGAAGCAGCACCGCATACAAGCTCTGTATCTGTTGAATGCGTTCGTGCGACTGCAAACGCCTCATCTCCATCTGGTGCTCGAGACACCCCTCATCCAGCACCTGGAGAAATGCTTGTTGATCGATACCTCCTCTACCGCCATTGGGCTAGCCTTGGTGGCCCTTATCATGTTCCTCCCGCACATCACTGCGGCCTTGACATCTGATCATCACCTCCCGAAGCTCTTCCTAATCTATAGCAGGATACTTTGCTGGGACAAGTTCGGTGGTCCGGAGGATTCGACGGGCTCGGACGAGGCTCAAGAAAAGGATGCAGAGGAAAGCTCGGAAGAAGGCGACTCGGAACCGGCTTGGGACCAATTGCAACAGTCGATGGACTATCCTGATACCTCTCCCCCTACGCTTCTTCATTACTTCACCTTCCTGTACGGCCTTTTCCCGCTCAACTTCATGAGCTTTATACGGAAACCCAGGAAGTTCCTCAAGTCTCTGAACTTTCCTGGCGCTGACGACTTTGATCTGGACCAGGATCTCATCCATAGCCGGACAGAACCCTATCGACGCGTTCACCTGTTGCACCCCAACATGTTTACCACCACTATTGAGGATGAAATCACGGAGAATCGATGGCTGAAGAGCGACCCTGCGGACGTGGTCATGGATTGCATGGACCTGTGCGTGGCTGTCTCTACCACACTGGACGATCCTGGACCACCGCCAGCTACGAAACTGCCTGACCTCCCCGTGCCGCCAATTCCTGATGCCCCTGCTGAATTCGCTCTCGATGATGGGACTACCGCCAATGAATCGGCAATTAGCTGGAGAAACACACAATCAACGATGTTCGCCCAATCAACGAACGATCAGCCGGATATGCCCGAGAGTTTCGAGATCCCCCCAAAGTCGAAATCGGTCAAATCTGCCCGATCCGCTTCTCCGCTACTGAAATGCAGGGACGTGATGGACTCGCCAACACTCCCTCCAGCAAAGGAGAGCCCCAGGAAGCAGAACTTCCTCGGCGCTCCTTTAGCGGCCCCACATCGTGTAGCGGCACATTCGTCGAGCCTTGAGGACTTCGCGCAAGCTGTGGGCGCGTCAGGCTCGCCTACTCATTCGGAGTTCCAGAATCAGAGCATGGCTTCCTTGCAGCGGGAAATCATGCTTTTGCGAAACGACTTGAACTTCGAACGTTACCTGAAATCCCAGCACCTGGCTCACATCGGGCAGCTCCAGCGAAAGCATATCAAGGAGGCAACGGCTGAAGCAGACACTCAGAACCTGATCAATACGAACAAGAGCCTGAAAGCGAAGCTCGCCAAAATGAATGAGCAATACGCTCAGCTGAAGAAAGAGACTCTGACCAGCAGAAGTCAATCGAAGAAGTGGGAAGGCGAGCTCAGCGGGAAGGTCCGCTCCTACAGAGACGATCAGAGGGTCTGGCAGAGCGAAGAGGAAAACCTGCGCTTCGAACTCAAGAAGACTCAGACGGACTGCGAGCACCTGAAGAAGATCGTGGAGAAGGCAGAAGCCGAGCAGCTACGGGCCCAGCAAAGGACACAAGCACTGGAATTCGAGCTTGAAGACTATAGTAACATGCGACGCGAACTGGAGGCTGCTCAAGACAAGATCATCTCGTACGAAGACCAGAGCAAGGAGCTCAACTCGCTCATCCAGCAACGCAACGAGCTACGAAACGACTTAGAGATTGCGAACATGCGCTTGAACAGCCGCGAGTTGGAGCGCGAACGCTCTATCAAAGCCTACGAGCGGCGAATCATGGAGCTTGAGTCACGATTGCAAGCAGTGGAGAGGACTTCTGGCAGACCAGGGCAGCTCCCTTCATCCGTACAGCAGATGCTTGATTCAGCAATGGCCGCCAACAACGCCAAGTTAGAGAAGATGAAGAAGATGTATCACCACATGCAGGATCACAAAACCGAGCTCGAAATCAAGTATCACGACCTTGAGGGCGAGCATCAAGCGCTTCTCGGCCGCCTCCGCAGCCTTGAGAAAAGAGATTATCCGGAGGAGAAGGATGCCATGAGTCGCAATTTCAGTGTGCGCTACAGCACGGCTTATGACTCCAAATACCTCCCGCCTCTATCGGCTGAGCACGCTCCCCCAGAAGCTTACGATTTCTACCCTGAATACCAGTCACCGATATCTACGAGCAGCCCGTCGACCCCAGTGTCCCCGCCGCGACCGGTGCGACTTGAGTCACTGCCCACCCAGACCCGCCGGGAGCCACCAAATGTGGGATTCGGCCAGGACCTCTCCGCAGCTTACGACGCCTCCCTCAACGCCCACTTCCAGGCCCAGTCCCAGAAGGCACCCGAAACTGTCCACTCAAGTAACAAGAGTACTTTCTCCGTCGATACCAGCAGCAGCAAGGGAGAGAAGAAAGACAAGGTGGTGCCGAAGTCCGAGGTCCGTGTCTTTGGTCGGGGTAAGTATCACAGTCTATTGTCAGAGACATGCATAAGCTAACGCAGAAGGCAGGCGGTGCTCAGAACATCGGCAAGAAGGTCAAAGACCCCAAGGAGCCAAAGAAACCAGGACAAAGCAAGACGGGAGGCTTTCGGGGCCTGAAGGGCATCATGTAAGGAGTAAACGGCGCAGCATCCACACCGTCAGCACTTCTTGACTCGGCATTCGCTTCTCCACCTTTATTCGATACACCAATCCGCGCACCAAGTGGACTGCAGTCTCACTAGATCGACCACCACAAAGTCCTTCGGAGTCGTACGCGCCACACAACATGAAGTGAAAAAAGTACCTTGCATTCGGCATACCACCCTATTGAGTGAAAGGCTAATGAGGCGACCTGCATACGCTCCCCACCAAACCTGTACCTCACCCTTCCGTCAGCGGGTTACACTTTCACCTGTAAATCTTTTCGGACATACATACGCTCGTCACCGGCGGGATCTTTCAATGCGGCAAATTCAGCGATTAGATCACGCAGCAGTCGACTCCTATTTCCTTCGTCATTTTGGGGGGTTACGACTTTCACGGCGTCGGACGTTGGGTTCACAGGACCCCTGGGCACGAATTTTCACGACTGGGATGGCTGTTTGAATCATCTATTCAAACTTTCTCATTTGTTCTCGCGCGATACCACCCTGGTTTCTATTCTACCGGCTTTGCATCGCTGTGCATGTTTCAGTCCTAGATGCACTAACTATTCGTTTCGAATGTATCATATTGCTACTCGCCGCGCCTGAATACCTAGCGTGCCAACCCTCGACGCAGTGTGCTCAACGTTGTCACGCTGCAGTGTGAGCAAATAGTACGTTTGAGGTTTTCCTCGTCCCAAGCCAAAAATACGGCCCCCACAGTGCTTTTACCGCACAGGCAACACCCCCGCCATCGCGATGCGATCCTAGCAGCCGCCCGCTGCCGAACTCTATTCGCCAGATCTTATGTTTCATGCTATAGCTATATCACGTACCCGACTATGATCTGTTTCAAGGGTACCGTTTGCTATACTGGTACATATCACATGCTGCTAAGGTTCGAAACTTCGCCTGGGGAAGACGAGAATACCCACTTCGGGTTCGTGTTCGCTAGTGGCGACGACACGAGACGGTTAGATGCAGGGCGGGTTTTTTTTGCTTTTGCTGAGGTCAACCGAGGTCGAGCTGTTTGCCATGCTTCTGTTTTGGGTGCCTTGCATTTGACTCTACTGTGTGTGTTTCTGGGCGGAGGTTTCCGCACGTGTTATGCAGGGTTCCAAGGTTTGCCAGGCCGCCTTCGAGGTCATAGACTTTTGCGTTGACGTTGCGGGGAGAAAAGATGTCTCTTGGGGGAGGTTTCGCCGATGGCCGCGATGAGGGACGAGGGAGCCTGTTGGTGACGGTTCACTACGAAGTTGCGGTTCGACGATACCGCGACGCAGGCCCGACCACAGAGCATAGCGAACGTTGGACAGAACAGAACCCAAAGGTTATGCGTTGGGCTACGTACAGTTAGTACTACAGTACAACGTGCGGATCGGGCTGATGATGAATGGCACAATGTGCCTTCGACGACCCGTCCCTCTCACTACTGCCCATCCCGTCGCAAGGCGGGAGAGGGGAGAACGTGCTGCGCTGCCACCTATAGCAAACCAACAACATCCCCTCAACCCCTCTCCCCTCACTCCGAACGAACAACGCCTCAAGACGCGAGTAGTTCCCGTCCATTTCGTACCGCAAGAGCGGGAGGAGCATTTCCAACCGCTCAAGCCCACAAACAAGCCCACAACACCAACCCAAGACCCTTCTCCCGCTTGCTGACGCCAACACGGTCTCCTCTCCCGTCCATCTCAAACACAAAACTTTATCATCAGCAACTCGTCGCTGCTATTCTACACCTGATCGCCCATCCCGGCCAACTCGTTTCCTCCAATCCCTCCTCCGATGCTTTCGCCATTCCAACTAAGATAGATACCGTCTCGATAGATCATCGCAAATTCTACTCGTTTTGCCTAGCATTGCATAAATCCAGCATCCAGCAATTCGGGCGAGCAATGCCGATCGCAACACCCACGCACTGGGCCGGTAGGTTCATGGTGCGCGATGCGGACGTGGACCCTGTTTTCATCGATTTGAAAGCGTGGGGAGGGGAGTGGGGAGGAAGCGCGAGGCGAAAACACGGCAGGTTTTCGGAACCCGGGGGGCGGGGGTTTTGTGGGAAAAGAAAATATAACAGACATGCAAGCGCAACAAGAGACTAAGAACCTGCTTTGCGGAGATAAAAGTAGCTGCATGTCTGCGCACACCGCTTCATGATAACGATACGGCGCCATTGCTGTTATGCGGGTTGATCTCACCGGGATGGCAACGTTAAAAGAGAGGAGCGATGTGTGAGAACGGCCTCTTTGGTTCGACCTTGTTATTTTGATTGATTTTTTGATACATGCTAGGTACCCTCGATCTGCTTCCCAAAGGGCGAATGCGATGGGGAGACCATCATGTTCACCATTTGGGTGTTTCTCAACATGCTCCACCTTGTCCTTGCTGAAATCCATTCTCCGCTCTTCCCCTTGATGATGTCTTCACCGTCCGGTGAGACATCCATGACCACGCAAGCTTTCTCTTTCATGACCCGACAGTAAATTCCGAACCATGCAGAGGCCTTTGACAGGCCTTGAAATGCAACATGACGCTGTGACGGTATGTGTGACGGTATGCAGCAAACCATGCGCCATGAAATGCTGAAAGAAAAAAGATCCCAGAAATGCTGGCAGAACTTAGGAAATGGGGTATCGTCCGTGGAAAACGCCGAGTGCTCCTCCGGTCATGCTCATGCTGCAATTCAATGCAGTTCATATCCCCCATAGTTGAAACCGCTCCTCAGGTACCGGCCATCCTCTTCGAGTTCAACAGGGCGTCGCTCCTCCCTCACGGGGACAGCGTAATCACGGGGCGGGAGAGCTCGTCTCTCATACCCCCTGTCAAGCTCAGGTATGTAAGCTCGAGACGACTCTCTTACGGGAACGTGGTAATACACAGTTCTCGCGTCACCGCGAGGAGGTGCAAGAACGTATGATGGGTTGCTTGGTCCAGCCATCATGCGTGGAGGGGCAGGTGCAAAGACCTCTCTGCCTCCGCCGTAAAGCGGTCGAGTTGGGCTAGAAGTTAGATTAATTGTCTCAACATAAGGTTGCACTCTGTGTCGACCGTACGAATCCATGGGCTCGCGGTCGCGAATCTGTCGGGGAATATCTGGTTGGGAAGGCGCCAACCGCATGTATGCATCGCTCGCATCATAGATGGGCTTCAGCCGTTTGGCGGCTTGCGGATGATTACCCTCCTCTGCATGGTACATTGACACAGGAAAATCTTTTCTCTTGGGCGATTGAACCTCAGCATAGCTGATAGAACCGGAGTTGCGATCATGCCGGAATTGAGGCGGGGCGTCTGGAGCGCGACGTGGAGACGACACACCGTCCGCCTCACGCTCGACGGACGGGAGGACAATATCTTGCTCGGATGTACGCCTGGAGGGTGCTAGCGTTGGCCTACTGGTACGGTTGCCTTCAAGTGAGTTCACTCGCCGCGGGGGCTGCATATATCCTTCCCGCACATGAGGCGCGACAGGATCAAAATCTCCGCTGCGAGGGCCGTAGTCTCGCGACGGCCTCGCGTGTCCTTGGGGCTCCTCAATGGGTTCAAGCTGAGAATATTAGTTGCTGATGGTGAAAGGGAAGGGAGATACTCCAGAATCGGCCTTCGAAAGGACGATGCTCCGTGTACTCACGTTGTACATCCGCCCGTCAGAGCCGCGCCCTTGCATGGGGTACGCTTCCCTCGCGACGGGCTCAAATACTGTACTTCTCATTCGCCTGCGGCAATGAGTCATATTCCAATATCTTTTAAGATCGAACACTTACGGGTCCATAGGTCTGCTGTGAACAAGTCGAAATGCCTCGGGCCGGAACTTTAGAGCTAGCTCAACCGCGGCGACAGGTTGGGGTGCTCGGCTGGGAGCTCGAAGGGTTTGTGCAACAGGGTAAGCAATTGGTGGAGCTGCGTTAACCGGATAGCGATAAGGAGCAGGCACTGCGGGAACGATAATGGTCCTCCGCGATGGTCGGCTCGCGTAATGGAAGTCTCCTCGAGGCATATCAACGTATTCCGGTTGAAGCTCCCGCGCCGTAGCTCGATGAGAGACGATCTCCATGCTCGACTCGCGCCCGTCACCGTCCGAAGGGGTATCTCCATCAGCGGACTCTTCGTCCTCGTCGTCAAGGACGATAACTTCACGGAAGGTCTCCTCCAGCTCGTGGCTCTCGTCACCCGCCTCATCTCTCCACTCTTTCAGCTTGGCGAGTGAGACGTGCTCCACCCTCGACCGCGCTTCGGCCCACGATCCGGTCCTTAGTATATTATCGTACTCTGTGTATGTATGACGGATATGGGCGACGACAGCAAGCTGAACTCGGCGGGCTAAGGGGAGCTCTTTTGCGTTACCCACTCGATTCGTTCCCTGTCGCATGTTAACGCTTTATCTTCTACTACAATAGCAATATGTACCTCTTCAAAGGCGTGATTAACGATCGCTGCCAGATCTGCATCAGGGATTTTGGGAAATAGCTCCCGCACGGCACCCCGAATGTGATCCTTCGTCTCCGTTTCAGCGACAGGGCGGCCATGGAGACGCTTCCGCTGTGTATACTCAGCTATATGCCGAGCGATGAAGTCCTCGCCGCCACGATTATTCTTCTTTAGGGAACCGGTATGCCGGTCATAATCGTATCCGAACTTGGTGCAACCCAACTCGATGATCTCGTTGGGAAAGTGATGTCCGATTCGGTGGACGTGGTGAGAGATCTTCTCTGGATCATGATGCGCTTTGTTTTTTGGTTTGGCCTAAGCGTATGTTGGAATATGGTCAGAACGCATAGAGAGTACACTGCTTACTGAGACAATGTGCACATCGAGATTCCGCTGCCGGCACTGTTCCTTGCACCACTCGGTGAAATCCGGATATCCGAGACGGACGAAGCCAAAGCCAGTGGGGGCGTTATCCTCGTATGTCAACTGCGAGGGTGTTAGTTAGCGAGAGCCATGGTTAGAAAGTAATGTGGCGACGGACGATTGACTGGAGTTTCCGCTTCTCTTGGGTGACAGCCTCGAGGATGATCTTGTACGGCTTCTTCTGCTTGTGAACAGGCCGCGGGCGATCAAGCGTCGCAGGCTGATGGACTCCACGATGGGAGTTTGCGTGTGAGACTCTGGTCATGGTGTTGGCGTGTGATGAATGCCATAGATCACGCAACAGGTGACTGAGAGCCGAGTCTATGGGAGCTGCAGGCTGTACTGGTGAGCGGTTAGTACTGCTTGTCGCACATCTATAGGTAGTCTCTGATAGTGTGCAATATGCCTATGCGGCGCCTACAGGCCCCGACTCACTGAGGTGGGCGAGCGGGTTGTGGTGGTGTATGAGCGGAAGAAGAGGCGAGGTTGCAGGCTGAAGAGCGGTAACGGTTCCAAGCGCCGTCGGCGCGGGACCATATTTCTCCGTGCTTCTGTTCTGCCCAATCACGGTTTACTCGCATTCCGCTACCATCGAATGTTTCCCTACCATGTCCAAACAGGATATTATTCACGCCTACAGGCATCTATATCGTCAGGGACTGAGAGCCGTTCAATACTCCAAGCCAGCCCGCTACACTTTGCGAGACCGTCTCCGTCTAGCCTTTCGCAAAGCCTCCGCGTCCGATTTCGATACCCAAAAAATCAACAACACGCTTGAGTTCCTACAGTACGCAACGATACAGAACGGCTTAGAGCATAAGATTGTCAAGAATCTTCTATTTGTCTGGTGGAATCAGGAAAGAGGAGGCAAAGCCAGACCACGGTCAAGGATCCTGTGAGAACAATCAGGTATTGTGCCCTACTACGCTAATGGTAACCAGGACTCAGGACGAAGTCCAGATCAAAACCACCACCTTTGATTCCCTCAATCATAACATACGGATGCTTAATGAAAGCATGGGCATGTGCATGCCAGCAATGACCGTTCGAGACCCGAATTGAGACTGCCTCGTCGCCTAGCGCTTGGATCTACGGAACACCTGCCCGCCCTATACATACCACAATAGCCTACAATGAGCATAGAAAGGCATGTTTATGGAATATGTCTCGTGCCATTAGGAAGTGGGAGAACGTCTGTCAAGTCTCCTAGGTCTGGAAAGGAGCTAGCCGAGGCTCAGCATGCGCTCAGAAGAAGTCGTCTAGGAAATCCTCGTCCCGGTTCTGGTTGCTTGACTCGGCAATGTTCTCCTCGGACATGATGTCGTCGTAGGCATGATCTCGCTGCCACGCCTTCTCCTTCCTCTCCTTGGCCACTCGTGCCTCTTCCTTCTTCTGCAGTCGGGGTTAGTAAGAGCCGAGCGGCATGGACAACGAGAGGGGTTGAGGCTAAGTCGAAGGTGGGCAATGAGAGAGACAGTACATGAGAATGTGAGGAATGTATTTGGCTTGGTGGGAAAGACGAGTGGGAGGAAATGCAATATAAGCATCTGGATACAAGAACACGAAAATGAAAATGCAGATGGACGGAAGACCTGAAGCAACAAATGTAAATCCACTCACCCTTGCCTGCTGTGCGTCCCTATCCCTCTTTCTGAGCTCTTTCTGCCTATTCTCCTTCTCCATCCTCAGATCCGGGTACTTCTCAACCTTAGTCTTGTTGAGGCGATTAACGATGGGGTTCTCCCTCTTCTCGACGTGTATCCGCTTGACCTAGCATAGCTTCAGCCACGTAATGGCAAGCAGCTTGACAGGGTAGACCAACCTTCCTCTGATCCTTGAAGCTGACCTGCCCCACAGCCATACTCCCATCCTTCTTCAAGTTCGACCACGGCGTATATACGATTGTGATGTTGTCTTTCTTGTTGCCTGCAGCAGTATCAGTACGTGAACCAAAGTCTGACCGTTCATACTCAGGCCTCGGGTTACATAGCACACCTTCAATGCTGTTCGCCTTGGTTAACTGCGCGCAATCCACCAGCAAGTCCTTGTCGATTGTCTCCCAATCCTGACCCTCCGGTAACCGCACGTAAATATGCGCCGAAGAGAGATTGTCGACGTGGAACCACACATCTTCTTCCCAGCCATACTTTATCAGCTCTTCGTCTGCAATCAGCGTTAGTAACCGCACGTAATCGACGTCGAGGAGGTCACTTGATGCGTACTTTCTACCTTGTCCTTGCCTACGTATATGAACGCCGCTGGAGAGACGGTATTCGAAGAGAAGTAGTAGACCATAGTGACAAGCTCTGAAGTGAGGTAGGATCCGCAATCGCAGTTCCTGAGGCCCAGAAGTGTAGACCTTAGTTTCTAAGTGGTGAATTTGGGGGGCACGTGGTGGGGTTATATGGCGGGGCAAGCCACTTTTGCGCCACAGTGTGGCGTCCAATATCTTCCCGAGGACAATATTCTCTAGATGTAGTCTATTGATCAGAGAGCTAAGCAAAATTATGCGGCATTCTCCGAACATTCGCGTAATGCAGTGATGATGCGGTACCCTGCTATACCTTATGCCGAACAGATATACATAGTTCAAGATGAGCTCACCGCCCAATTGGGCGTATTCGCAAGTAACGAATCCGGGCATTCTATTTTGGAGGCCTTCGGTGGATAAAGGCGATTTAAATCTGTCTCTGCAAAGCCGCTTCTAAAGACCTTCAATAGATGAACATAACTAAGGCATGTTAGTGTATCACGCCCTCTGGTCTTGGATGCAACACAACTGCTTTTATGCGGGGCAAGGCATGATATTGAGCTAATTTTTCTTGCGCTCCACTAACCAAGACAGCAGACGTCTTTGGCAGTCTTGTTGGGTAACTAGTTCCACATAGCGACAACTTCAATGCCGGCATTCGTATCATTACTCATACATTTTTTGAGGTTCCCGGAGCAGCTTCATGGGGCATGCCTCTACTGAGCTCCCCTCTTGTTCAAGAGATCCTCCTGGCTCATATCCTCCTCACCCGGTGCAGGCCGCACACCATGGTCGGCTTCGGTCGCCCTCGCGAAGTCATTCCTCTGCTTCGCGTGCTTATAGTATTGATCCGAACCCTTCGCTCGTGGATCCATTGGGGCATCGTCTTCTCACTGTTAGCGCTTATTCTCCCGCTCAACATAATGGATATCGACTTACCGAAGCTCTTCTTTTCGATATTGGAAGGCATCTGGTCGCCTGTGCCTGTCATGATTTCGCCCGTAGTTCCCCTATCTGCTGGTCCTCTAGGGATATCGAACGCGTTGTCCGCAGCATGGGCTGGGTTTGGGTGGGAGAAATCCTGCGGCGGAGGGTTCGCTTGATCAGGTCGAGCGACTGAGGGGATGGTGCGCTGGACGCCGGCATCTCCTGGGATTGAAGTACCCTTCTCAGCCATGTCTTCGAGACGGCCGCCTTGGTGAGGGTCTGGCGCCATTGTGGATATGTTGATGTGCGAAAAGCTTCAGGTTTGTATGGTAATTGAGAGCGTTTAGGCTTATGGGGGAGAGTGCAGCGGTTGATGCCAGCTCGGAACGGCCTCAAGGGCCATTATGTAGTCTGCTTAACCGCAGAGCCTCGGTGGTTGCGTCATGATGAAAAAGGTGTCGTCAAAGGGATCGGACTGTCGATGAGCTCATTCCCCGATCGAGCATGATGAGCAGAGGACAGCCCAATAGGCAGTGCTAACGAGTTAAGGACCAATGCGAGTGTGTACAAGGTAGCCTGGAGGTCTCTAGCTCTTTGCGGCAAGGTGCTCCACGGACTACATATAGGAGCTTAGTAAGGCTTGTTGTCACGTGCAGGATTCCCATATGCGGGGTGCGGGCTTGAAAGCGCGACTCGAAAGTTCAGTAAACACCCACCGCTCGAACAGTCTCCCAACCGATATACGCCCAATCGACACAGCTTCAATTCAACCGTGCCACAGTCAACATGCCCTCCGAAGCCCCCGCCCCCTCGCAAGACGTGAAGCGCAAAGCCGCCCGCGAAGTCATCGACATCCTGCACGAAATCGCAACACTTCTCGTACGCCTCCTCCCGTGCCTCCTCTCTCGTTTTAATCTAATACCAACACTTTGCAGAATACGCACCTCGATCGCCAACAGCTCTCCTACTGCGTGTCCTTAATCGAGAACGGCGCGAATCCTGAGGCACTCGCGGTATGTACCGCGCCGCACCGATCCCCCTCGCGCGCGGCGCATCACAAAACACTACGTGTAAACACCAGTTTGCTAATAATGGGGACAGAACGTCATAAGGCAGCTTCGAGAGGAATACGCGACGGATTCTGTCGATGGCGGAGCGGAGGAAGTAGGCGCGCGCTGACCTCGAAACGACACACTGGTTACATTGATGTCGCATTACCACCCTCGACCCTGTCAACACGACTCTACACTATATTCACAAGCCAAAAACGCATTGTTTCACCGCACTGCGAGAACGATACTATTGTTGGCTCCTTGGCACCCGTCTTATCAGCGAGCTACGGAAAAGTCGCATGTGAGCAATATCCAAGCATGCGGGGCAACGCACCGGACATCCCTGCCAAGGGTGTGAATGCATCGTTATCAGTAGGCAACCCGACAGACCCGAACGACATCCATGACGCGATAAGGTGTGCGAGGGAACCTGGGTGGCAGAACCAGCTAGCTTAGGGCCTGCCTGGTCGTTGGGACCGACTTCATTTACACAGCTGACGACGACTGATGGGGCCAAAAGGGAGGTGTAAATAGTGATGGATTGATATGGACGCTGAACGAGGGTTCTATGCGAAGTGAGGGTATCTCTTGGAATGGAAAACCGCCCTGAAACAATGCTCGCCGTGCTAAGCTGTCGTGATGGGTGAAGACGCAGATAGACGCAGAGTCTATCTGCTGCCCCAAGTAGGAGACGAACGCCGCTGTCTGAAATTTCCCTTCTCATCCGCGACCTTCTCAAGCCTTTTCTCCGCCCGCGCTTCCTTCTTATTCAGGAACCCGTTATAGAGACCGGGGAGAATCCTCTTCGAATCTAAAGCAGCATTAGCATCCTATCCCAAACTTCCTCAGAGCGTATGAGATAGAGCGTATGAGATGTGAACTTACTAGCATGGTCCCTCTCAAACACAATCCCATCCGCGCCCCTCTCCCCGGCCACCTTTACCGCCTCCTCCAACAATCCTTCACCCACCCCCTTTCCCCTGTACTTCAGCTTGACTGTCCAAGCCCGTACAACCGCTTTCCCCCTGCGCCTCCTCCCACCGCGCAGCTTCTTCGCAGCCTCTGCATCTGCCCAGCCCAGCACCAAAGCTCCGATGACTTCCTCGCCCCATTTCACGACGATCAGTCTGTCGTCGCCCAGCCAGTCCCAATTGATCTCCTCCGCGAGCGTGAGGTACCCGCCGGTTGCGAAACGCACGGCGGTCAGACACGCCATTGTGATACCGCCGATTGTAGTGCCGAGGAGGTATAGGTCGTCTGTCGTATGCCACATGCGCTGGGCCAGAATCGCAATGACCAAGAAGTACGCCGCTAGATTGACAGGGTGGAAGATGAGCATCTTGCTCGCGACCTGGCGTTGCTGAGCGACTGAATCGGCGACAAGCTTCAAGCCATCGATGCGGTCATCTTCGGACTCTGCGGTGTATGTCGTGAGGGACGGGAGCTCGTTAGAAGGAACCGCAGGCACAGGCGCCTCGCGCGAAGACATGATTTCTGTTGCTGCGGGCGACGGGTACGGGTTGTTGTAGTGCGATATCGTGTGGAACGACAGCGGCGATGGAGGCGGAAGTGGGAGGTGAGCGTTGTGCGGTCTGAAGCTATTCGGTGTGCCGAGCGGAGACGGAAGATCAGGATCGATTCGCAGATTCGCACTCAGCGAGGTAAGAAAAGCTGCGATCCCTCATCAGTAACCTCTTCCCTATCTCAAACCCATCTTCAAATGTGAAGAAAAATTTTGTGGCCTGCATGGTCTAGGCTCTCAGCCGCAAGAAGCACTCAACCACCACCAACAAACAAAGAATATTTGGCAAAAAACATACCCGCACTCGTTCGAAACCCTGGAATCGCAGGAATGAGCTTGTCGGTATTTGCGTAGTGATTCACCACGACCGTCTCTTGACCCAGAAACCTCTGTGGATACGATGTCGGCGTAGGAGGGACCTTCAAGTGACTGGGAGGAAGTTGGCGGGCAGGCATCATGAAGTCAAAATAACCAAAACAATTACATAAACAAGCGCCGACCAAATGCCCTAAAAAAAGGAATTACGAAAAAAGGCTGGCAGGAATCCGTGTTCGTCTGAAGGGGAAAGGTGAAGAAAAATGGTAATGGAGCATTTGCATGCAACAGAACTGCCTGAGGGCAACAACGTGCCTATATCAGTGGCGCCAAGCAAAGAAAGACCAAACGCACAAGCCGAGTCGGAGAGAGCCAGAACGATCGTCGTGACCCCCCCAGGCCTGCTGTTCGGTTCGCTCCCATTGGCCCAAGCTGTACGTGCGATAAGCGTCGGAGCACTCGCATCTCTCGAATCCGCTACGCCAGGCCCAGGTCATGCAGGTCTTCCTTTAGGCCAGCCAACAAACGCCGCTTCCTCTCTATCTGAAGGAGAGGAGAGGCCAGATTTTGCGTTGGACTGAGGGGCTAGCGATGGTGGTTGGATGTGGCTGCTAGCGGATGGACAGACAAGCCCACAAGACGAGCAGCAAATGGGTAACGCTACGCGAGGCGGTTCATAAATCTGACACTGAAACGAACCCACACAAAACACCTCCTCGTCGTCTCAGCTAATAACCCTGCACCCCTGCACTTTTTCGAACTGACGCCATCCCCCATCAGCAACGCCTCTCCCCACCCGTGCGGCGGTCCCGCATTGATGCTGGACTTTGCACACCTCTCCCTCCATTGAACTTTTCGCATGCCAAGCTCATGCCTGGAGGCGTTCGAAACCCTCTCGGAGACCAGCTCTGCGAGATTGTGTGATATGAACATGATGCACGCCGCTCCGTTTAAGTCCAGCCGGCAAGCAAGCGGACAAAGAGTGAGCACGATCGAGCCAATTACATAGCACACCCTTACGCAAGCTGTCTCCACCGGCAAAACAAGCCTTCGACCACAAGAGACCCGATGCCTGATGCGCACGAAAAAGTCCCGCGCTGAGACCAACCCTTGGCCGGGACCGAGTACGCTCACGTGCGGCCCATCCCGCCCGACCTCGGGAGGGCATAAGGAGGGCATAAGGAGGGTTAGAATATCATATATGCGTATAAGCCTAGGTTATACATGCAAGCAAACGCATATGTATTTCTTTCTTATGGCTAGTACTAGCTCTTCACCGCATGCCAAAGCATGTCCTTATCTACATCCGACGCGCCCTAATATCTTCAGTCGCTTCCATCCATACATTGTGATGCCGCCCTCCGCTAGAAGCCTCACCCAAAGTACACTACACGAATCGAGTATTCGCCGTCTGCAATATGTTCAAAAGGGAAGACAGAACCGCCAATCTATTCCGCAAAGCAAGTCAGCCGCCCCCGCTTCAAACAGACAACCATGATGATGCAATAGCCCGAAACCCAAAACGCCCGCTCTTTTATCGACAACGCCGTCGTTAATATTACCACAAATGTTAGGAGTTCAGTGTCTGAAATACGCAGGCTTCATGCTTCTGAGGATTTTCCTCGTGGTGGACACCGGAGCGGAAGGGGCGTCGTCTCGCCATTGGAGCGAAGCCGCCCTGGGAGTTTGTTAACAGAAAACCACGACAACGGAAGCAGTAGAAGGAGTGAGCTTCGGGGATTACTTCTTCTGCTGCGTGTTCGGCGCTGACGCGGATCCAGAGCCAGGCTCAAGCGTATGCTCGTGGTTTTCCGCCCGCAGCACCCTCCCGCCTTCTTCCTGCGAGCACACTTGGCTGTTCTTCACCCATTTGTCTTCGAGGATTTCATCTAGGGTAGCGCGCTTCTTCGGGTCCACTTCGAGCATCCTGCCGATGATGTGTCTACTCTCCCGAGGCAGGAGCCGCAAAAGCCGCCATGGACCCTTGATCACCTGAGGCGGCTGCTGTTCCTTGTTCTGGCCATTAGCCGGAGAGGAGGTTGGGCGACCCTCGTTGGTCACGGGTTCCGAGTGAGCAGCATCTTTGCGATGATGGTGGCGATGTGTGGCAGCTGATTGATCCGATGGTTGACGAGAAGCAGGTTCGGACTGCGGCCCGTATTTACGACGATCGTCGTCTCCCGCCTCCGAACTAAGGTCTGTAGCCGACTTCGAGGGATGCGTGATAGATCTCGGTCCATCATTCGGCGGGGAGACGAACAGCTTGTAGGAGTTGTCGGAGACACGCGGGGCTTTCCATGGGAAGCGGCGCAACGTCATACAACAGAAAATAATAGCCAGAGACCAGATATCCGTGGGTTGCGGGTCGTACTTCGACATGTCGTAGACTTCTGGCGCCAAATAGGGATCTGAGCCAACAATGCCTAGAAAGCATTAGCGACAATAACAGAGCAATCTGAGGTAATAAGACTTACCGCTCGCGAGCACAATGTCGTTCTCAAAAGGATACCGGAACACAGCAGCACTCCCAAAATCGATAATCTTCATGATACCGTGCTCGTTAACCACCACATTATCCAACTTCAGGTCTCGGTGCGCTAAACCCATGCCGTGCAGATAAGTCACTCCGCTCAGAATCTGGAGCGTACAGCAGCTGATCTCCTCGCGACTCATTTTCCCAGTCATCACAATCGCGAAGAGATCGTAGGGCGCGTATTCCATCACGACGTAGTAGTTCCCTTTCTCGCTTACGAGATCCATGGTCTCGATAATATTGCCGTGATGCAAGGTGGATCCTATGCAGAATTCTGCCGTGACCTTCTTGTTGTACTCCTTTTCTGATTCATATGAGTGTCTCGGCCTGAACTGCTTCACAGCGAACGTGACTCCATCGCTGCTTCTCTTCATCAGACGCACCGAGCCTCCGGCGCCAGAGCCAAGCACTTTACCGAATTTTCCGTACTTGCTCTGAAGCCCGTGATCGTCTGCAAAAGGGACAGCAACCGAGCCATGGGAGATCGGTGGAGTCATGGTCCCGGTCTTCTTTGGCTTGGTCCCTCTCTCTCTCATAGATGGTGCTGGCGACTGACCGCGCTTATGCTTATCCTTATCTTTATGTTTATGCCCCCCGAGCTTGAAGAATCGTTTCAATTCGGACATGGAGCCGTGATGGTGTTGTTTGCCGATGGCAGACCGGTGGTCGCTGTCGTCGGCCGAGCCATGGCGATCGTGAGGTTTCGAATTACCGCCGAACAAACTCGACCTTTTGTGCTCGTTTTCTAAAGCAGTTCCCCTCGAGCGAGGCAACGTGGTGGAGGATGCCGTGGGCGAGTGGTTGGGTCTCCGGCCCTGAGCGCCACCAAAGACAAACCGAGCGTCAAGAGCGTCTAAATTCCTAGGCTGCGGCGGGCGTTTGGCACGAGAGTATGGGTCATCTCTGTCACCTGCTGGAGTAAATGGTCTGCTGTACACCGGTGTCGATGTTCCTGGCGAATGCTGTCCCGGGGTCCGACCTCCGGCTGATCCGGATGGGCTTACGTCGCGGGACGGAGGCACTGAGTCACCTGTCGGGCCAACCTGGAAGCTGGTAGGATGCTTCAGGTGCGGTCCAACGACGCCTGGCATGTCAGATATGGATGCTGGTCGCGGAGACTGCGGAGACGACCTGGGTGAGTGAGGTACCGCAAGCGACTGAGGTCTCCTCTCGTTGCTGCTATGCACTGCATCCATCGACGTAGGCGGCGGTTCGTGGGGAGGGGAGATTTGCGGGGTCATCATGGCCGGATCTTTCCTCTGCTCTCCAGCAATGACAGGCTTTTCATCTTGCGAAGATGTGCCTGCTGGAGTCAGCGGCGGTGAATGCATTGCGGAGACGGGAGGGGATGGACGAGGACCAGTTGAGCCGCGGTGGGCGGAATGAGCCGAGGGCGTACGCGACGCTGGAGAGGGCGATGGAGCCTGGAATTGTCAGTTGAAATACGACTGTAGTCCAGAGCCTTTACCTACTCTTGAGGCGGGAAGGGAGACGGGCTCATATGAGAAGTTCTCCATGCGCCGGGCCTGACACCGAGACTTCTGTAGCGTCATTGACAGGTTCCTGATCTCCTGTTCTGCCTCGGGGCTGAGGGCCTCCTTTGCCTGTTCGCCTGTACCGCTGAGGGTCGCCACATGCTGCAGCGCGCTGTCGGGTTCGATCTCTTGGTTGACATCGCTGAAGCGCACCGTCTGCGGCGGTTCTTGGGAATTCGTGGGCATGGTTCGTTACACGATGAGGATACCTGCTTGAGTTAGTAAGCTTAGTGCGCGATAAGAGATTGCCTGCGCTGGATGTGTCTCACACAACGTGGAGCGGCCGACGGAATAGTGTGAAGCTCTACTCCGATTGAGCGCCGCGCAATGCACTTCAGAGAGCGATTGGCACCGACGGAGTCTTCGGATAGGAGAGTGTGGGTAACACGCGCTGCAGTGAGCGTGGAAAGAATGGGATGCGAGAAGAATATGGTGGTTGCGGCTAGGGAGTGTCCGAAGGCGTCATGAGCACGCGCCCCGCGATGATGATGATGATGTCGAAGCCTTACGGCGCGGGAGCCCTCGGAAGCGCCACAAATCTGGCACGAGCGACGCGAGCGTGAGTCCGGCGCGGGAACAACGGTCGAAGGGCTTCAAGATAGCTGAAGCCGAGTAGGATCTGTCGTGCAAGAGCGAAGAATCATGGAGGGGCTCAGATAACCATCTCGGATTACCGCACTAAGCCAATCCATGTCGCCGAGCAGCGTCCACAACATCGGATTTGGCAGGAACGTCCCTGGCGCCTGCCATTCAGACCCTGCCAACCTTGGAACAGTCGCATCCGCTGCTAGCCATCCCCCAACCCTTGGAACCACCAGCTCCCCTTCTCTTAGCCTCAACAGTTCGCTGTGTGGCGCTTATTCGCCGACGCCGCGCACATCTGCTATTCCCGCCGCGAAAACCCAAGCACCCCAAGCACATGCATCGGCACTAAATCGGCAAGACCGCCGCAGCGTTCCTGAAACTCGTCACCAGCAAACGGACCTGGGAAGAATTTTCTGAACAAGAGTTTTCCTCTCCCAGTCAGAGCTCCAGGCTATTTTTGGCCGTTACTTACCTCCGTCCTTGCTAGTGCGTCCAAAGAGGATGTTTCGTTGGGCCCAGCAACAGTCAGCTCCGCCTGCCCTTTGTACACGGCCGCGCCGTCGACTTACATCTGCACAGGTTGGCCAATGTCGCCGGCACCCAGGAGCCCGAGTATGGCCCGGAGGCCATCCAGCCCGTCGGCAAGAATGAGGGCGACCCAGCCTTCTCCGAGCTGACCAAGGCCGATCTCAAATGGAAGATAATAGAGTCAACCTGTGTCGAGACGCAGACCTTCTACCTGAACGCTGACAGCGGGCACGTTTGCTTTCTGCAGGTCATATACAGCAACGTCGCGTAAGAGGAATGCTGCCCCCATATTGACAGGCTTGCTAAATACTCATTGCGCCCAGCGGCCTGCGCATCACCACCCAGTTCAACTGCAAGATCTTCTACCCGAACAACGAGAAGCCCTTCCTCTGGTCCAGCGACCCTCTCGAGAACTACGGCTTCGACGAGGAGCAATACTCCTTCTACGCGGACGGCGTCTCGGTGGAGCTGTCCGAAGATGGCGCGTCCTACACCATCAAATCCGCCGTCAACGAGAATAGCATGGTGGATGTGAAGTTCATACGGGCGGCACCGGGATTCATGGGCGGAACGGACGGGACAAGCAACTTTGGCACGGATCCGAAGGCGCCGTGGGGTTCGATGCGCCACGCCTTCTGGCCTAGGGCGAATGTGGAGGGCAGAATCATCACAATGGATGGAGAGATTGATTTCAAGGGCAGAGGCATGTTCAGCATGGCCCTGCAAGGAATGAAGCCACACCATGCTGGTAAGTAGGCCATACTGGTCTCTACTTGCTCTTGCTAAGCATGCTAGCTGCTCGGTGGAATTTCGTCAACTTCCAGTCTCCCACCTATTCCGCAATCCTGATGGAGTTCACTACGCCTCCCTCGTACGGGTCGACTCTCGTCCGCGTCAGTGGAATCGCAACCGATGGCAAGCTGCTTTTCGCTGGGACCTCGAGCGGCGATGTCAAGCATACCGACACCAAGCAGGACTCAGAGAACGATTGGCCGGAGCCCACTGCTGCCAGCTATCACTGGGGAGGCAAGACTGAAGACGGAAGAGATGCTTCAGCGCACCTTGAAGGCAGCCTTGGGCCGCGCTTAGATCGGATCGACGTCATGGCGGAGGTCCCGGGATTCGTCAAGGCGATCGTTGCGACCGCGGCCGGCACCAAGCCGTACATCTACCAATTCCTCCCGAAGATGACTCTGGAGATTAAACTCGGAGATGAGGTCAAGAAGGAAGAGGGCATGCTGTTTACTGAGGCTACTTTCATCTCGTAAGGTGAAGCTTGGGAAGTCTGGACGAGATTGGATAGACCTATGACACTCTACGATCGCTTATACCTAGGTTTAATACACTACAGCTCTCAGGACTGGCGCTTGAGGACCTAATAATCAAATACCTTTACCTGACTATATCCTTCCTTTAACCAATCAAGTACCTTTACCTGGTTATATCCTTGTGATTTTTCTATATAGCTCAACCGGCCTACCCAGGTACACATCTGGCCATATCTCAGCGAATCCATGCTGGACTATCCTAGAATTTAGTCTATCCCTCCACCGGCCACGCTGCTCCATTCGCGCACAAGCAATACCCCGCATTTCTCGTCGCGTCCTAAGCTCACATGACGACGCGTTTGCTTACATAATCCGACCGCGATCTCCGTATATTCGAAACAGTCACCTACTTCACTCCACCTCAACATCACCAGCATCACGATGGTCAAGGAACGGAATCAGTTTGTGGGCGTACCTCGCTTCCAAGGCAGTCAGCGGCCGGGCACGGCGCTGTCCACAACGCTGTCGGCTTCCCCGCTCGCCTCTCGGGCGTCACAGCTAGGACTCGGATTGGGCAAGGGTGGTATGGGCCTCGGGAAGGGGAAGGCCATGAAGAGACACAAGTGAGTTGTCTGTATTGGGCGGTAGGGTGAGATGGGGCTAATGCGCGTGTAGGAAAGTACACCGAGACACCATCCAAGGCGTAACCAAAGGGGACATTCGGTACGTGACAGATCGCCACCTATACTGATGTCGGCTTCGCCGTCCACATCTTGGACTTTGGCTAACCTCCGCTATCAGTCGGTTGGCTCGACGAGGCGGGGTAAAGCGTATCTCCGCCACGATCTACGATGACGTCCGCTTTGAGCTCAAAGCTCGCCTGGAACTAGTATGTAAAGCCTACAACCAGAATCTCGGAATGCTTACCCTGTACAGCTCCTCAAAAATATCATAGCCCTGGTCGAGCACTCGGGCCGCAAGACGGTAGTCGTCACAGACGTCATCTTCACTCTCAATAGGGTACGCAACCTCATCCTTTGATCCACTTCAGGTTCCCAGCGCTACAGACTAATTTCCTGCTCTAGCTTGGTCGACCACTGTACGGGTTTGACCCATCATTCGATGGGCGTCACAGATGAGCGGGGTGTTGGAAATGGAGTGTGGACAAAGATCTGCTGCGGCAGACTTTACAGTGACCGACCGGCATTGATTTTGGCCATCCGAATGTAGTATTCATGAGCTGACGGAGGACCATCTCTAGCTTGCTCTTCACTGGCAAGGGGCACGGTAGCATCTCAAGAAAGACATCTCAAATCTCCATTTCCCGTATTCACACTCACATACGTGAGCAATCTGTCCCGCACTGAACCCCTTCCAGCCACAATTTCGCTGATGGCTTACCACTTTCCCAGAAACCGTCTTAATATCTCCACCTTACGATTCCACTCACCCTCCCACGTTGCCTTCTCCGCTCGGCTAGAACCCTGAAATATACCATCCAACCCATCCAACATATTCAAGGCCTCCTTCTTCATCTCGCTCTGCCTTCTCTCCCTCACCCAAGCTTGGTGCACACAAGGGAAAGAAAACGGCAGCAGACACACATCCAAGAACTGCTGTATGAGCGCCGCACGACTCGGCCACCCGCTCCAGCTCCACGCTGTAATCTCAACGGCATAATTCCACTTCATCTTCACATTCGCAGGTTTCCCACACCAAAGGAACCAATCCGCCAGCTTACAAAAGCTAATAAAGTGCAGCCTATGCTTCTCTCGGCGAATCGAATACATATTTCCAAACCGCTCCGTAGCTATCCAGCTCTGCGCTAAAGAAGCCCGCACCCATTCTCTCATCTCAATCCGAAGGTCCAGTCGCAAGTTAGTGTTCCGCGCCAGGAAGGTGCGGTGCGCGGCCGGCAACAATTCAACCCAGTACTTGATGGCCTTGAAGCTCAGGTCATGGATCGCGCAGATGAAGGTTGTCTGCATGTAGAAGACATAGGCGGCTTCTTGCCGGACTAGCCGGCTTACGCGGAGCAGGGCGGGCCAGAGTTGCTTGCCCCGACAGGCGACGCGTGCTCCATGTTGGGGTATGTAGACTGTCGGACAGACTCGCAGGACGTGTTCGAATATAAGGAGCCGTATTTCTGGGGGGAGCGTGGCGAGGCGACAGGCTTTCTTGGGGTTCTCGGGCTTGAGGGTGAAAGGCCCGGAGTCATGGTACTCCGCCCGGAATTTGGGACTTGGGAGTGTGGATGGGCGTTTGAGTTTCTTGGGAGTCGTCGCGTCTTCTTGGACTTTGGGAGATTTGGGACTGGATCTTGCGGCTGATGCAGCTGTGGCGCGGGCATATCTGGGTTGAGGACTCATAGTGATGATATGTGGTGCGCTTGGAGTCTGAGCTATCGTTGAGGTTTTCCCTTGGTAACGGATGTGTCGTCCCCCTCTGAGCGATCGTGCTGGAGGTAAAGCAGGTAATTGAGAGCGGGGTCGTTAATCCAACTTGCAGCCTGCAGCTCTTATGCAGAGCAATAGATCAGGCGTCAGTGGTAGGCAGCCGCATAAGCGAAGCGCGCAGGTGTGGCTGGGATAGCACGTGACTACGTGGATGCGGGGCGCGTCATCGCTCTTTCCACCAAACCTTCTCTCACCATTGATCAACACCACCACCGCCGATGAACATCTCAGCCCGCAACCATAGTGGAGGATATGGAAACTACGCTGCCGTCGCCTCGCGGCACGAAGAGAAAAGGCGATGACGGCCTGCCGCTTCCCGCGCCACGCCGAATCAAAGCGCTCGCTCAAGACGTCGTGAACAAGATCGCCGCAGGAGAGATCATCGTCGCGCCTGTCCACGCTCTGAAAGAGTTGATCGAGAATGCAGTGGATGCGGGGTCTTCTGCGTTGGAAGTCGTGGTCAAAGATGGCGGGCTGAAGCTTCTTCAGATCACGGATAATGGGCATGGGATTGATGTCTGTTCCCTCCCTGGCCACCTTTGAAGGCCGTTTTACTGACCTGCCTATAGAAAGAAGACCTGTCAATCCTCTGTGAGCGCTTTACCACCTCCAAGCTCAAGGCGTTCGAGGATCTCAGCACGATTGGCACCTATGGCTTCCGTGGCGAGGCGTTAGCCAGTATCAGCCATATCGCGCATCTAAGCGTTACCACGAGGACAAAGGAGTCTAGCTGTGCCTGGAGAGCGCATTATGCCGATGGGAAGCTCGTTAGTGCGAAGCCGGGTCAAAGTGCCGAGCCGAAGCCTATTGCAGGGCGACCAGGTACGCAGATCACGGTAGGTCAATGAGACCCTCGCATGAACAAAATCTTCGCGGCTGACATGGTTCAGGTAGAGGATCTATTTTACAATGTGCCTTCACGTCGGCGTGCCTTTCGCTCAGCAAGCGAGGAGTACGCGAAAATTCTCGAAATTGTGGGCAAATACGCCGTCCACTGCTCGGGTGTGTCATTCTCCTGCAAAAAGCACGGTGCCTCAAGCACAGACATTACAGTCCCAGTAGCCGCCGGAATCGTCGACCGTATTCGACAGATCCACGGAAGCACCGTCGCCAACGAACTAGTGTCGCTCAAGGCTGAGAACGAGCGTTGGGGCTTCAAGAGCGAGGGCTGGATCAGCAATGCAAACTACAGTGCCAAGCGGACTACTGTGCTTCTCTTCATCAACCACCGTGCTGTCGAGTCGCCAACAATAAAGAAGAGCGTAGAGCAGACCTATGCCACATTCCTACCGAAAGGCGGACACCCGTTCATCTACCTAAGTCTGGATATCGAGCCCCAACGGGTAGACGTCAACGTGCATCCCACTAAGCGCGAAGTCCACTTCCTCAATGAGGACGAAATCATCGCAATCATATGCGACGAGATTCGCAACAGCCTCAGCAAAGTCGACACTAGCCGCTCCTTCATGACCCAATCCCTCCTCTCCAACAACCCCAAAGTCCCCTTCGCCACGCCCATCAAACAAACCACACCCGGCACGCCAACCGCAGGCGACCCTACAACCGAGCGCAGCACCTCAAAAACCGCCACCAAAACCACCACTAAGAAACCGCACGAAAACAACCTCGTGCGCACCGATGCTTCAGCCCGTAAAATCACCTCCATGCTGCAAGCCCGTCCCTCGGCCGATGGAAGCGGCAACGGCAACGATGAGATGGACTACGAATACGCCGAACGCGAGCCCACTGTCTGCCGCCTAACCTCCATCAAGGACCTACGTGCCGACGTCCGCTCCGCCATGCACAGCGAGCTGACCGACATCATCTCCACGCACACCTTCATCGGCATCGTGGACGAACAGAAGCGCATCGCGGCTATCCAAGGCGGCGTCAAGCTCTTCCTCGTTGACTACGGTATGCTATGCAATGAGTACTTTTATCAGGTCGGACTCACCGATTTCGCAAATTATGGCGCGATACGGTTCAACCCACCCTTGTCTCTGCATGACTTGTTGAAAGTGGCGGCCGAGCAGGAGAAGAAAAATGCAGGAGAGGCGGCGGATGAGATCGATTGGGACGAAGTGGTTGAGAGCGTGGAGGAGCAATTGCTTAGTCGGGCTGTGCTGCTCTTGGAGTACTTCTCCATGGAGATCACAGAAGAAGGGGAGCTCTGCTCGATCCCGCTACTCGTAAAAGGATACACGCCGTCTCTCGCCAAACTCCCGCAATTCCTCCTCAGACTTGGTCCCTATGTCGACTGGGAGACTGAAAAGGAATGCTTCCAGTCTTTCCTCCGCGAGCTTGCATCATTCTACGTCCCGGAGAGTCTGCCGTTACCCCCGTCGGTGCCGCAAGATGATAGCGGTAAAGGAAAAGGGAAAGAGAAAGTAGTAGGTGAAGATCCTGAGATCGCGGCAAGGAGGAAAAAGATGAGGCATGCGATCGAATATGTGGTCTTTCCGGCTTGCAAGGCGCGACTAGTAGCTACGAAGGGGTTGTTGAAGGGCGTTATGGAGGTCGCAAATCTGAAGGGATTGTATCGCGTGTTTGAGCGATGCTAAGGTATGAGCGCAACGAAGGGATGAGCTCAAAGTGTAATCCGTAATCGATATACTACTTGTTACCTCTATTGATATCTGTCTCAAGAAGCGTTGTCGCGACGATGCGGGGCAGGAGGACCTTAGCGAAGATAGTAGGAGATCAGTAAGTAAGGCGGTTTTCCTGAGAATCTTTTATCTTTCAATATTTGTAGAGATACCTCTTGTGCGTCAATCGTTTTTAGAGTCAAGCCAATTAGAAGCCGCATGCCCCGTTCTAGCAATTTAAATGAAGAAGCCTGTTCTCGACGACATCTGTAGTCCTATATCTCAACAGTCAAGCTCTTTTCTTCCACTGCAGGGCAGCCTTTTCTGGGTGAAACATCTGCAGCAGCAACACCATCCCCGAATCATTCACAACATTCAAAACACGCAACCGAGCCGCCGCATCGTCCTCGCCTGCCTCCTTGACGGGCATTACACAGTGGTCGCGAAAAATAGCCGCCATAACAGCAACATGCTCCACCTGCGCAAACTTTTTGCCGGGACACGCCCGAAGACCCTCGCCCCATGGTAAGTAAGACCCTTTGACTGGGGTGATGAGCTCCTCGCCGCCGGCGCTTGCTCCTTCGCCTGGGACGGTCTTTATCCAGCGCGAAGGGCGCCAGTCGTGCCCGTCATTGCCCCAGTATCTCGGGTGTGTGTGTAGCGCGTTGAGATTCAGTAGGACTCGTGTGCCGGCGGGAATGGTGTGCTCTTTGTCGCCAATAGTAAGAATAGCAGCTCGATGTTCGGAGACTTTGACGAGAGAGAGGAGGGGGTCGTAAAGGCGGACTGTTTCAAGCTGGTTTGGAGGCATTAGTAGGGACTTCATTCGAGGAAGGGGGCCGTTGAGCCAACTCACTAGGACGGCCAGCGTGCGAGGAAGGTTTGGGAAGATATCGTAGTCCCATTGCTGAATGTCGTCGCTTTTCACAACATGGTTGATTTCTGCCGCTAGCCACTCTTGTACTTCTGGGTATACGGCTAGTAGCATGAATGTGTAGGCGAGCGTGATTGCAGTGGTGTCATGACCGGCAAAGTTGAAGACAAACATGTTGCCTAGCACCTCGTCTTGCGACAGTTGCTTGTCCTGGACGGCCGCTCGAACGAGAGAGGTCAGGAGGTTCGCCTGCGTGTCCCGTACATGTGATTCATGTTTACTCTGGTCTATAAGGTCGATCATGTACTGCTTGAATTCGACAGTTGCCTGAGCGAGCCTGCCCAGACCTGGGACAAAATACAGGCGCTGTAGGACTCTTGGACCGATCGCGAAGATGAGGACGGCATTCTCCAGAATTAGGGCCAAGGCATCGCGATAGCTGAGCGGTCCGGAGGGACTAGTTTTGGACTGGGCGGCCGTGAAGCTGAATGATTTGCCAAAACCAGCAGAGAGGAGAACGTCGAGCGCTAGGGTGCGGACATCGTGAGCGGTAGTGCGAACGCCCGCTTCCCCGGCAGATTTCCAGTAGTTTAACATTTGCCGAGCCTGGTGGAGCGATTCGGTCCATACGATGGCGTTGTTATGCTCGTTGAAGCTTGCTGCCGTACACTTGCGCTGGCGCTGCCAGTCTCGCCCGTGGACGGTAGAAAGATTGGGCCCAAACACATCCAGCATGGCGAGCATTTCGACCGGCCTCTCAAACTCTCCCTGTCGCTCGCGCCGAAGAACATCACTGACGGCCTCGGCATTGCACAGATAGACCCAGTTCTTACCCGGCGTCACCGTGATGAAGGCATCGCCAAACTCGACATGGGCTCGACTCTTGTCCTTGAACTCCCATCCCGTGTAGCAGAAGCGCGTGAAGTAGCCGCTTCCGAAAGGTACTCGTTCGAGTAGGGGTATGACATGCCGGACAAGCATCATCCAGAGAAGATTGGTTAGGCTAATAGGCAGGAAGATGATAGGCAGCCCAACCGACTGCGCCGCACGGTAATTGCGGACAACTCCCCACACGCTCGAGACGAGAACGCCTCCCGGAAGGATGAGGAGGGCGAGGAGCAAAGGGTGGGCCATGGCGGGGAGGTGAGGACAAAGGGCATAGGAGCTGTGGGGGAGCAGCCTGGGGGCGCAAGAAGTATTGTACGATACCTACGCCACCACGGGCACTAGCAACCGCACCTGCAGCGGGCGCTAAAGACTAACGAGTGCCTAAAAAGATGCATGCGTGTTCAACATATTGCGCCGCAGTGGGGTGATGCGAAGCCCTTATGTCATTGGTCGGCACGGACAAGAGACAATACATCCATTCCAGCGAATTCAATTTATCTCTCCACCCAACTGATTTCCATCCATGCTAGATTTCCGTTCCCCTGTCCACCAGCACATGCACCACTGCGGGCCGTCGCTTGTACCAGACAAGCGCCTGCGTTGCATAGGGAAGTCAGCGTGTCGCCAGCCTTGCCGCACCGGGAGCATACCAGCGTCATCAAGGTCAACCCTCCAGTCGCTATTGTAAGCATCGAATCGTCGCTGCGAGACAGGTGGCTAACTTACAATCATGGTAGTCCATTCCAGAGGAGATCCCTCGTGTCACCGATGTGAAAATGGTTGCTACAAGCAAGAGTAGAACGGTTGCGTCGCCAAACGTGCTAGGAGAAGTCGTAGGAGCAGGATGAAGAATCATGTTGGCGTGTAGCTCCGTCCCGTTTCTGGTTTCTGGGTCACGAAGAAGGCAATGGGTCCCAAATGCGGATCTGAGCAATGCAAATATTATATATCCCTCTCCAGACCGATCTCCCCACTTTAATATCCAACAGGCTATCTCAATTCGGATCCCGAGATTAGAAGTCTTGACATCAGGTCGTAATGGTGTGGTCTCTATCAAAGCTCGGAGTCCGCTCTTGCAGAGGCAATGTCGGCCAGGGGCATGGATTCTGCTTCATTGCGTGCCGTCCAACTACAGCTCAATACCTAGGTATCCATGATTGGGTATGACAGCCCCCGGAGGAGATACCAAGATGAAGTTTCTGGCTCCTCGAAGTGAGCAGACGAGCGGCACAGGATGCATTGGTACACGTCGGCTCGGTCCATCACGCTCGGCAGAGGCCTATGTGAGCACGTTAATGATGTGGAGCGACCTTCTTCCGCCTTATATGGGTATATGATTCATAAGTGCGAAGGTCTTCATTGTCCCTCAAACTCAGTTCAACGCCTACGAATCCTCATCACAGTCCAACCGCAGCAAGGAACCCTTCAATTCAAAATGCTTCTCGGCGCTCTGCAACTTGCTTATCTCTCCTTTCTCTCAGACCCCTCCAGATTTGTCTTGGAGCCCTTCGTTCTGGCCGGTGTTCTAGGTGTTCTGTACATCTGCTGGTGGCAATGGAAGTTTTCCATAGCGCCCTTGTTGTATCCGGAGAAGCCCCCGAGTGTCCCCTACTGGATCCCCCGTGAGTTAAGTCGAATACTGTTCTTGATATCCTCAACTGAAACTTTCTAGTTCTTGGTATATTCGACCAAACCACTCGATTACCGTGATGACCATTCACTTACAGCTACTGCAGGACATTCTTGGACCATGTTTGGAGACTCTGCATCCTTTATTTCGAGAAGCCTGTAAGCCAATTCACGGCTCAATACCATGTGTCCATGCTCACAACACTTTAGAGACTATTTCAACCGAGTGTACAAACCTTTCTCAGTCCAAGTCTTGGGCGACCAACTCTACGTTATTACTTGCCCGGATGACGTTTCGACCGTGTACAAGAGATCGACTGTGTTCTCCTGGCACGGGAGGATGGACATGCTTCTCTATGGATGGGGCCTTACCAAGGAAGCCAGAAGGATTTCCTGGAGAAAACCTCTTCCTAGCGAGCTCGATTCGGACAAGGGCAAGATCTTGAACCCACACAACAAATGTCTTATCGAAGTCATCGAGGATGCCTACAAAATGCAGCTTCTTCCGGGAGAGAGACTTGATGCAATGCGAAACTGCATTATCTCAAATATCAACGACTCGATCTCATGGAGCAACATGTTTGGTCCTTTCGTTCTGGAATCCGGCATTGGATCACGTCGTGTCTCTGCCAAAGATTTGTGCCGAATCCTGATCATTAAAGCAACCATACGGACCATGTTCGGTGACTTGATCTTTCAGTATGAGCCCAGCATCGTCGAGCAACTTATCACCATGAATGACAAAGCCTGGGCATACGTCTTCGGGTTCCCAAGTATTTTCGTGCCGAAATTATACCACGCGAGGAAGAAGCTCGATGCAGCGGTCCGAGCATACATCAATACCCCAGAGGCATATCGGCAAGGAGAGGGATGGGTAGTCCGCAGAGTTACCCAGTCATTGGAGTATTTTGGCATGGATGAAGACAGTCGGGTGTCCATGCTCTTGATGGTACTCTGGGCGTAAGTTGCTCTGATATTTCTGACTAAGATTCTGATCAAATTCGCGCTGACAACTCTACAGATCCTACAGTAACACCGTCTCCGCAGCTTTCTGGACGCTGTCCTACATCGTCTACCATCCTGAGCTCCTGGAAGATCTTCGCGACGAAACCCGGCCTGCAATCGAAAACGGAATCATCGACTCCGAATACCTCGACAAGCACTGCCCTCTTATGGATTCGACGTTTCACGAATGCCTCCGTCTCATAAGCGGCTCTGTTAGCATTCGGAGAGTCAACGAAGACGTCGTAATGTCCAACATGAAGCTCAAAGCTGGCAATAGCGTTCTGATTCCCGTTCGTGAGCTGCATTACAACAAAAACGTGTGGGGTCAGAGCAACGAAGAGTTCAAGCCGGATAGGTTTCTCAATCGCTCCAATCTGGCAAGCCATTCCGGATATCGTCCATTTGGCGGAGGAGTAAGCTATTGTCCGGGTCGTCATCTCGCAAAGGCTGAAATCTGTGGCTTTGTCGCTACTCTGATCAACCGTTTCGAGATCACTCTACCAGTCAACGCACAGGGAGAGCGCCAGCCGTTTCCCCAAATGGATTTCACGAGGCCTTCCCCAGGCGTAAGCCTCTGTTTGGAAAATATGGATCTCGTACTTGAAGTAACGCCGCGGAAGAAGCTGTTGTAGCTCGATTACAGTTTAGCAAGCAAGAAAGTTAGAAGAGGCCCATGATTCTAATGCAGTTTTGATCATAAGGCAGATGAGGACCACCTAGGCATAGATTCACAAACTCTACGAGCAACTTGCTATTTTCATTGATCATCTTCTAATTCCGTGTACAAATGCCACCACCACTCTATCATCTCATGAAACATCCACAAACTGATAGTATTTTGATAGATTCCGGTCAAGTACGCTTTGGAACCGATCGCCCTTATGCTTCGTACACTTCTCCGAAATGGGCTTACAATCGTACGATGTAGGTCGGTTCAGTAGCTTAAATGTTGCTTTACCTTTCTGTGGTACGACTATCTTGTATATTGGTTTCAAGGTTCCCCTTTTTGACGCCTTCTAGGTCACTGCAACCCGGATTGTGTGTTGCGGTCTTCTGTTTCTCTAGCCCCACACATCTATGCGCATACTTTGAATCGGTCTCCGAAATGTGCATGAGGGCAGAAGCATGAGGCAGAAACATGTGTGTTGCTTCATTATTAGGTGGGGCCATCTTCAATACCTTGTGCTGAAACCTCTGCCCTGGTATTTGAACTGCATGCAACTGGATACCATCTTCTGAACTGTGGCGTGGCAGAAATTTGGGCCCGGGGTCCATTCCTCCCTGGACGTAAGCAATCTCGTCGCCATCAATATAATCGTTCGACGCAGGGCGGTATCGGGAGGGTCCGCCGTCGTCGGGAGCGCTACGCCGCATGACTGCTGCTCGGGTGGAGTGATGAACCGAACCTTCCAAGGTTGAGAGGTCATTGCGACCTCTGCTGTGCCCCCAAACTTCATGTCCGTCTGCCCAGCCCTGCACTTAAAGTGTTCGTACTACTTTCATTAATATCATTGTTCATTGCATAGCAGAAACTCCGGTGTTATCAGTGGCCCGACGCCGTACTCATGCTGCTCGGATGGTGTGGTGGGGCCCACGGCCCGTACCTGTCCCCGCGAGCTCTAATGCCTTAAAATCTCGATCGGACACAGAGATTCTCTTTGCCCCGTACGGAGACTTTCTAGTTATCGATTACCATACAGATTTTATTCTTGCTGGGACAATTGCATTTTGTGGTCCTGCCCCTACCTTGCAGAAGTACAAGACGAAATGGAATCGCGACCTGGGATAAGCTCGAATTTGCTTCCCCCTCCAAAGATCTCCAAGGGTGCTTTTTTGGTATGAACGAATACGGATCCCGAGTTAAGGGCTCTGCTGATCAACCCTATAGGGGATTGTATGGGGAGGCTTCACCTTGTGTACCCTCTTCGTTGCCTCTTGGGCCGGCGTGCGGTTCAAGACATTTAGGCGGCTCTTCCCCGATGATGCATTTGTGCTCTTTGCCTGGGCTATCATCCTTTCAACATCAATCCTTTGGCAAACCATAGCGAAAGACATGTACTTTCACGGCGAGATCGTCAGAAGTTCGCAGGTGCCGCCCCCCGACTTCAAGCCAAGAGTCGAACGTTTCCTTAAAGGCTCTGCTGCATTTGTCTTTTTGTTTTACACGACATTATGGTCTATTAAGCTGTCCTTCCTGTTCTTTTTTCGACGCTTGTATCTTCACGTGGGAAGATGGATGTTGTTCTGGTGGGTTATTCTTGCGATCACGATGGCCTCATACTTCGCTTGCATTGGGGATATGGAGTATGATTGCCTGGTGGACCCACTGGAAGAGATTGCAACACACTGTCAGTCTCGGGAGTCGATCAACTTCCAGCGCAGAACCCTTATCGCGAATTGCGTCCTGGATGTCTTCACAGATATACTGAGTAAGTTTCCCGCACTTGGGTGAGAAAAAGAAATACTACTAACCACGAGGCAAGTCACATGTATTCCTATCACCATGCTCTGGAAAGTCCGCATAAGCACTAGGAGAAAACTGGCTTTGGGCGGCGTCTTCTGTGTCACCGTCATTACGGTAATATTCGCCATCGTCCGAGTAGCCGTCGTGGCTACATCGGCATCTGGTACTGCGGATATGAGCTGGCTTTATGCTTGGAGTAACATTGAAGCCGGCGCTGGTACTGCTCCTTTCTACCTTTCGGATGCACAAGCTGACGTCGCCGACTTTAGCCATCATCGTGTCTTGCATAGGGTCTTTCCGAAGCCTCTTCACATCTCAGGACTCTGCTCAAAGGCCAGACAAAGATTCTCCACCAACTATCGGAAGCCCTCAACATAAAAAACTGCACTCCTTCGCCCATATGTTTGCAACTTCCCTCATGAGGACTGAGTCGGATCGGGAGACGTTAAATACGTCGAGGGAGTTTTATATCCTTCAAGAATCGAAGAGCAGAGAATCTCCGTCAACAAAGATAGAACTTGCTGAAGAATGAGGTCCAGGCATTGGGGATGTCTCATGGGAGGACATCGAGAGAAATGCTGTGATGAGCTGGGAGGCGAAGTCTTCGATACCTGAAGGATTGGTGGAAGCGGCTAAGCGGTTGATGGTGGTGGGGTTGACTAACGCTAGTGCGGAAGGATGTATGCAACTGTGGATGCTGGACGTATGGAAATAGAATCAGAGCTGATGTCAGGTTATATCTACTCGTAGATAGCCCTATGCTTATGCTTTGGGGGATTCTATTACTCGCCTCTCATCATGCGCATCGCTATCTGTTCCACTTCTTGCTTGTTCTGACTAGAATCTTGGAATGTAATCCTTACTCCAGCCGCTGAGTGACGATTTTGGCCTGGAAACCGCGCGCAACGCCAGTCTTGCCCTCAACATCCCCAAGAGGCGGAAGAACAGTTCCATTCCAGTACGGCGACATGTGGATGTTTCTCTCTGATATCAACGGACGATGGACGATATGAAGATCTTCTCAATGAGACTGGGGAGGACGACGAGAAGCCGTACGATGATTGCGTGTACATCCTTTGGCGTTAAAGTTTTGGAGACTGGACACGACCAGCAGTATTTTCCATTCAGTTCGCCGCTCCATCTGACAACGCCTTGCAAGACGAGACAAATCCCCATGATTTCCGGCAATTGTACTCAGCTGTCTTTCGAGCATAATCCGGACTCGTTGTTCCGCATCCGTCTCTCAAGAGAACTGTGTCAAATCCATGGTTCGATGCATCTTGAATCGTCGCAAGAACGCACTGATCAGTATTTACGCCGCTAAAGAGCAATGCCTTGATGCCCTTCTCTTTCAGAAACTCGACGCAGGGCGTTGAACCACCCCAAAGCCCTGACCGCCTGGCTTTGTGGAATCGTAAGTCCGGGAGTGAGGTGTTTTGCGAGGCTTCAAAATCGGCTTTTAGTGGATCGTGTAGCTCCGTGTTCCATTGATCGCGCATCAGCAGCCTTCCTGCTTCGACCACGGAGCCGTCGGGTAGAGTAACATCCCCAATTGGTTCGCCGATACCTCCGTCTCCTTTGCTTTCTTTCTCACGGCCATTTTCGAATTCTTCGATCATGCAGTTGGTGGCATCAAAGTCGAATCCAAAAATGCGGAAGATGACTGGTGGTAAGACGGCCAATTCTTCTTCGCTGATACCCCAGGTGAGGTGCACGATTTGGATGCCGGCCTTTCGGGCTGCGGGAATGGCCTCTTCAAGCAATGCGGCCTCAGCCTCGTGGCCTTCTCCATTCTTGCGACCCATAGCGGACGACAGGAAGTAATTCTGCATATCAATGATGAGCAGCGCTGATTTGTTGGGATCTATGGTGATCGGGGTTGTGGTTGTGCTCAATTTGAGCCCGGGATTTGATGGCGGCGTAGACGGAGTTGCTGGATGTGTCAGATCCCAGCCAGTCCTCTGATCGAATGACCAGAAGTTTGACTGATCATGGCCCACGACCAACAGCTTTTTATCTGAGGCGTTTTCTAGTGTTCGGAAGTGATCGCTTGATGCAGCCATTCTGCCTAGACCGTGCTTGCTAGCGGAAGAAGATTAGAGAAGAAGCAAGGAGTATGAAGCGGAACATGTTATACCTTGACAAGTGCAGGCACCCGCCGCAAGAACATGAAAAAAACACCCGTACTCGCAAGAAGATGGAGTTACTGTGGTATCTGGCCGTGCTGGCATAACTTTTCTCACTTCACGCGCACGGCCACGCACGCTCTCAAAACGTCATCGATCACCAATTTTTCCCGAGGGTCCAACAACACAAAACCGCGGCAATATGTCGGGTTCTACTGCTTTTTCCAATTGCGAGGTGTCTTTGCAGTCTTTACAGCCCTCTCTTACATTCTCCTACCAATGTTGCGCGCAACGATCCCAGGGCCCTTGAAGGCTTTTCGCCGCTCGCGCAACGCGAATGCTGTGAACGGAATCCAGCAAAACGACGACAAGGATTATGCAAATGAAGCCGAGAGAGGAAAACCCCATGAAGAGACAGAAAATGGCCCTGTAGGGTTTTGGGATCCATCCTTGAGACAGGTGCGGAACCGAGCGTTTGCGAAATGGACTATAACAACTGCCGTGTTGATGGCCTTCATCCTCGCCGTTCTATCGATCTACTAGGCCGTCTTCTTCGAAGTTGAGCAACGAATCAACCATCTACTCGTATATGTTGTGGACTTTGATGGTGTCCCTCCATACGACAATACTGGAAACCCGTCGCTTGTTGGGCCTACGATCACGCGCCTGGTGGAGCAGCAATTGAGTTCGGGTCAACTTACGCTGGGTTTTGGGATTCGTCCTCCTTCGGATTTCGAAAACGATCCGTTGCAGGTCAGACAGGCCGTGTACAACTGGGATGCCTGGGCTGCGATCATCGTCAATCTGAACGCGACTGCGATGTTGTATTCTGCTATTGCGACGGGGAATACTTCCTACGACCCGCTAGGCGCCTGTCAGTTGGTATTCCAGGACTCGCGAGATGATACCAATTGGTACAATTTCATGTTGCCGATTCTCAGCCAATTCATGGCGGAGGCGCAAAGCATGGTTGGGCGACAATGGGCTCAATTAGTCCTCCAAAACGCTTCCGATCCAACGACACTGCGCAACATGGAGGCTGCACCCCAGGCTATAAATCCGGCTATCGGGTTCTCCGAGTTCAATTTGTGCCCTTTCTATCCTTACACCGGGATACCAGCTGTCAGCATCGGCCTCATCTACCTGATCATCATATCTTTCTTCAGCTTCTCCTTTTATCTGCTCATCCATATGCAGTATATCAACCCGAAAGGTCATCCACCACTCAAGTTCTACCAGCTTATCATCTGGCGCTGGTGCGCGACGATGTGCGCTTACTTTTTTCTTTCGCTGGCCTATTCCTTTGTCTCCATTGAGTTCCAGGTCAGCTTCACGCTTACGAACCCAATTACATCTGAGACGCAAGTTACAGACATTGCATACGGAAACCCGCCGGGATATGGGCATGGCACGTTCCTCGTATACTGGATGCTCAATCTCTTCGGCATGATTTCGCTGGGATTGGCATGCGAGAATGTTGCCATGGTTGTTGGCGCTCCGTGGATGGGCATGTGGCTTATCTTTTAGGTCATTACAAATATATCAACGAGCTTCTACGACATCGAGATCGCTCCCAGCTTCTATCGGCGGGGTTATGCTTGGCCTTTACACTCAGGTAAGGTATGCTCGCTATTTTTGGAAGCGCTGAGTCACTGACTTGGATTTCTTCACCTAGTAGTTGAAGGCAGTCGATAAATTCCGTTCGATCTTCATTCGCGTCTGGGGCTGGACTTTGGCATCTTGATCGCATGGGGTGCCGTCAATACTGCGTTCTTTCCACTCTGCTGTTGGTTCTAGCGTAAGTTGCACCATTGCATATGAATTTACAACACTGACCCTTTTTCAGGATGGAAGACACAGAGAGGCATCCACGAATACTGGCCGATGGAGTAACGCCGCGACGATGTACTATGTTCGAAGGCTAGCTGTGATCCTTCGCAAACTTAGTACCGCCTGCATATCAAAGGGATCGGCCTGGAGAGAATCCTTAGCGTAGTCGGTCTACCTAGTAACGCTAGAGCTGCGGTCAGAACTCCGTCGTGGAGGTGCTAATCCACTTTCGGCCACCACGATCTCACATGCAGCTAGTATCTGCCAGTCTTCAGCTTGCTTGCAGCCTTGTTCAGCCTAAAACGACTACTACCCCCGCTAGCCCAACCAGAGAACAGCTGAGCCGTATTCTCATCCCTGTCTTGCTCGCGCACGAATGCTGTGGCACCCGTTATATACGGCGTTGGTGGCTTACTAAATGGTCCAGCACTACACCGGGCTCCCTATGTGATTCTAGCGCCGTTTGATGGTACATCTCGTATTTAGTGTGATATTCGATATCTCGGTGTCTAAGAAAAACAGTTCAGCTCACGACATGGCGGTCACGGTATGGAGGGCTTGCAGCGGGTATGGGGCGGCGGTGGTGCTGTTGAGATGGGTCTGGAGGAGGTAAGAGGTTATGAAGTATAACATTAACTATAATGCTCGCCTCACTCGCCATTCAATCTTCTCAAGCTTTCCGCTCCCGCAGCGCTTATATTCTGCCCTCATAGTCCAATATTCTCCGAGCACGATAACTTTCCCTCACGGGCATTGCTCCTCTCCAACTGGATCTTTTCCCTTAAGTTCCATTGCACCCTACAATCCGGCGAAGGGGCCTTTCTCCAAACCCTCCGCTGGTACAGGTTTGATCCTACACATGGTCTTCCGAAGTCATGTCGTGTCCAGCTCTCCTCACAGCGCCTCCTGGCGTCATTCCCTTGGTACTCATTTCCAGTGCTTTTGTCTCTCATCCCAACTAATAACTTCTAGTTCAAGATCCTAGGCAACACGGTGGCTTTCGCCGATACGCTTTACCTATTCACTGCTAACGACTTCCTCACCTTCGCCATCCCTACCACACTTTTCGCAACATTCGGTTCCCTCTCCGGCCCCGTCATAACAACCAACCCCTCGCCCTCTCTGGTTTCAATCCTGTCCCGCATACCCATCGCACTTTTAGTCGTCTGGGCAAATCTCCTCATCTTCAACATCTCCAACCAACGCTCGCCCTTAGTAGTTGAAGACAAAGTTAACAAACCCCACCGCCCCCTCCCCAGCGGCCGAGTTACAAGCGATGGCGCCAGAAGAATACTACTTGTCACCATCCCACTCGTCCTCCTGCTCGGCTGGGCCCTGAACTGCTGGCAAGAAACCCTCATGCTTTTCATGATGACGTGGATGTACAACGCCATGGGCGGAAGCGATGATAATTGGGTGCTGCGAAACTTGTTCGTTGCGCTGGGGTATGGGATGTACTCTTCTGCCGCGCTGCGCGTTATGATCGGGGTTGGGGAGGAAGTTACGAGTAAAGGTTTGCAGTGGGTTGGCGGAGTCATGGTGGTGATGTTTGGGACGCAGCATATTTGCGATATTAAGGATGTGGAGGGAGATAAGGTGATGGGGCGACGGTCGGCGCCTATTGTGCTGGGGAATGATCTGGTGCGGTGGAGTGTCGCCCCCCCAGTCGTCGTTGGCTCGATGGTATGCTCCTACTTCTTCGACCTCGGTATCAGCTCCTATGTCATCGCCTTGGCTATTGGAGGACTCGTAGCATTCAGGACGCTGGCATATCGTGGTCTCAGGTCCGACAAGATGACCTGGAAGGTGTGGACGCTGTGGATTTGCTGGCTTTCGCGCTGCCGTTGATCAAAAATCCCGACGTATTCTTCCGCACATGGAGCGACTTTAAGATGATTTTTTGCCTGGGGGGAGAGTGCTCGGGGCCACTGAATCTAATGGCGGCCTCTGGTGTTGCGCTGGTCGTCAAGGGGAGAAGAGTGTTTGCACAGTTCGGGGGAGAGATGAACGCCAACGGGACGATACCTGAGATTAAGGTTGATGTTGTTGGATGAGAGAGTTTTCTTTCCATTTTGTACATAAGTCACCGTTTTATCCATAGACTCTCCTATCATTTCCACCTTCCTAAACCACAGCTAAAGTCTTCAGCCCATTGTCACCTCTCGTATACACCTACCTCTCGCCATCCCTCAGTCCTTCCATCCCCAATTCCCACATCCCCTCACACACCCTCCCCCTTCAAAATCCCCTCCACCTCCGCTACAACCGCCTTCTGCGTCCGCAGCATCAGTTGCGGGCCGACACTAATCCTACCGACACCAATCTCCTTCAACTCCACCAGCGTCAACCCCCCTGGCCTAATCCGCACCAGACTAACATTCAACTTCCCGTCTAGCTCCTTACACGCCTTCACTACCTCCTCCTTCGTCGTGCCGCCTCTCTTCGCCCCACCCCAGATGAAGACACTCGTTGCGCCAGCCTCGAGGTACGCTTTCCCACGCGCGATGGCATCGTCGATGGAAAGTCCGGTTAGGAGGGCGTCGGTGCGCGCATTTATGCAGAAGTCTGGGACGCCTAGTTCAGCTGCGACTTTCATGGCCTTCCGGATTCTCTCCTGGGCTGTTTCGACGGGGTACAAGCCGTCGGTCTCGCGGCTGAAGTCCTCGAGGTTGATGCCCACAGCGCCGAGTTTGATAAGTTTCCGTATGCCGTCTTCGAGCTGGTCGCCGTAGCCGTCTTGGAAGTCGACTGTGAGGGGCTTGTTGGATTCTTTTGCTACTTTGGCAATGGCTTCGGCGGCGCGGAGATTGGCGTCTAAGGTGAGTTCAGGATCCGGAAGGCCTGCTGCGGCGGCCACGGCGAAGGAGGCTGTTGCGAGGGCTTTTGTTTCTGGGAGAGCAGCGACTGTTTTTGCTGTGATGGCGTCCCAGACGTTTGTTAGGATGAGTGGGTTGCCCGGGACGTGCAGGGCGCGGAGGGCTTTGGCGAGGTCGTTTTGCGTGGACATGGTGTTTTTGAGGGCTTTAGCAAGAAGGGAAATACTCCTGGAATCGTGAGACGGATGTTGTTGGTGAATATGTAGTTGGCTGATGGAATATCTTGACGCTATGAATTTCCGCTCTTTATATACCTGCTTTCACATCCGCACATCGTCCGACATTCTCTTGGAGAAACGTAATTCATGAATGACTCACCGTAGCTTACATAATTTCCCCTCTTTCGATTATTCTTCTTGAAGCTTAGGATGCTTGAGTCTCGTATGCTCGGGTGGCCGAATTGAAGCGAGACGCCGCGGGCATTCGGGTGCTCTGGAATTGGCCACTCATAGCTGCAGCTGGTAACCGAACCCTGTAAGCCGGATACCAACGATAAGCCGATCCTCGTGACTTCGCGTCACATACCTGATTGCCGCTGCATGTCGTGCTGCAAGCCGCTGTAGTGTTTAGTGAGCAGGCTTGCTTTCAAAGCGGCTGGTCGCTCACATGCTCTCTCAAATGCGATATACGAAGGAAAAAGCAAAGAAACGATGGTTCAGAGGCAAGTATGGGTTGATTGATAATTGACTGTAGGTGAGACTGTAGGTGAGGAAACTGGGTATCGATGCAATCTTCGTCCGTTCCTCCGCCGAACTAAAAACAAAGGAAAACATGTGAGGGAAAGCAGCCCTGCTCTCCGCGAATTATGCACCGCAGCACCAACAGTAACCCGGAAGCAAGCGCAGCAAAAGGACACATCCTGGGTACCGAATTCTAGAACCAAAGGGGGGGTATATCATAGGATCAAACGCCGATTTCCTCAGATCGTCATTCATACTGACTCATTTCCATGTATTTGACCTCCTCTTGTCGTGTGCTCAGTCATTTTGTTTCCAACGATGCTAAGACGAGTAATTTTCAAGGCATTGGACGACTTTATGTACTTCCAAGGTTATAACAGGGCCTGGTTGTTCAAAGGTCCGGATCGCGCTGACGGACGACGTTCGGCTCGGGAAGATACTCCTTGAGCTGCTTCATTCTGTTCCGGCAATGGATGACGAAGATTGCGATAGCTAACGAGTTCCAGACATCATAGCCCTCCTCGCCGAAGTCGAACATTGCGATCATGCGAAGGAAAGCGGGCTTGCTTTCCATTGGTGGCACATAGCTGACAAAAGCCATAACTGTGTGAGAAGCGATAATGCCGTAGAGGGTAGGAAGCTCCGGAGGGGCGGTGAAGACGGATCCGCTGCCCTTCTCGTCGTGATATTTCAGAAAGGCGTCGTCCCACTTGTACTGCAGCTTCTCGAGCTTCTTAACCATCTTTCGCTCTGCAACGGTCGCATGCACACGGGGCGGGGTGGCAGCGACTTTACAGAGCGAAAGGTTCTCCCAGACGTGTTGCATGTCGCCGTCTTTCATGGCCCATTGAGAGTACTTCTTGACAGCCTCTCGAATGTGGTACCCGGGCGTACGAATGGGTGCCTTCGTAAGCACAGCGTCGCGAACGCGCCCACCCAGCGCAAAGAGGTCGGCTAGTGCGAGTTGAGCTGGCATCATATTAGCTCTGCTGACTTTCAGAGAACAGGCAATTTACATACCGTGGTGATCGTTGTCAGAGTCTGACTTGATGAAGGCTTTGTTCGCATTCACGGTAAACAGGTCCACGGGCAAGCTGTCGAAGTCGTTGACCCAATCAATGGGCATAAGCGGCTCGAATCCGCGCATGCCGAGCTTTTGGAAGAGGAAGACGGCATCCTCAGCCCAGCCAGCTTCGCGAAGCTCCTGACCTTGTTCCTCTCGTCTTCTCCTCTCTTTCTCGCGATCGATTCTCTTTTGCTCCTCGTAGTATGTACCATCATCGACCACGATCGTCTCCTCGTTCGCATCCCAGTCTTCGCCAGAACTCGTCTTCTCGGCTTTCTCTTGGTCCTCAATAGAATCTTCAATCAACGTATCTCCCTCGAGGTCCATATGATGATATACGGAGGTCGGCGGCGACGGAGGCAGCAGCGTACGATCGATTGAGCCGGCGGAGCTAGGAGTCTTCACCTCCCAGCTCTCGATGCGCTCAAGTCCGGTCGCAGGGGTCATGTCGACGACACCTCTCGTTGGCGTATGGGCCTTAGCTTTGACGGGGATTGCGGGCACCTTGAAAGGCTTATCGCGCCGCTGTTGCGTCTTGCGAGGGCTCACATAGTTCCAGAAGCGATCCGACACGTCGCGCAGGAATGCCATGACGGCGTCTCAGTCGTAGCGCAGATTGAGGGGTATCGGCGTTCTTGGAGTCGCGACTTTGAGGAGTGGCTATGAGGCGCCCGAAAGGAAGTCGAGGGGTTGGAAGGTGTAGGATGGTTGAAGTGAAGGTGATGCGGTCGAGGGATCCGGCGCGGCACCGGTCGTGCATTCGCGTAGTAATATATTTGCTGCTGTCGTAACTGTGCCCCTGGACACGGTGCGACCGAGGTAGTTATTGTTCACTTCATTGTCGTCGCAGTGAAAGGGGAGCAATGCACAGGAGGCTAGTGGATGGCTGGGGTCTTGGCAGGCGCTAAGGAGCGGTGTCACATGCGTTGCGGGGCAATCTTATCAGATCATCTCAAAATTTCAGGACCCACGCTTCGCCGGTCGAGAACTTGTGAAGGCCGTCTTTTCCTAACATTCGCAAGGCTCTAGGACGGATACATCAGGACCTCAGTACCGCTCCGCATCATGGCAGCTACAGGAGCCTCCGCCGAAGCAGACGCCCAAGTCCAAATCCTCCGCAAGATCCTCACCTCCGAACAAGAACCCCTCGCACGCCGCTTCCGTGCCCTCTTCTCGCTCAAGTACCTCGCCTCTCTGCAACCGCCCACCGAGCAGAACATTCCCGCTATCGCAGCAATTGCTGCTGCGTTTACTTCGCCCTCCGCGTTGCTCAAACACGAGCTGGCATACTGCTTGGGACAATCCCGCCATGACGCCGCGATATCCCCACTGCGACGTGTGCTAGAGGACAAGGCAGAAGATGCTATGTGCAGACACGAGGCGGCGGAGGCCCTGGGCGCTTTGGGTGATCTAGGGAGTTTAGATTTGCTCAAGGGACTACGGGACGACGCGCAGGAGCCTGATGTAGTTCGGGAGACCTGCGATATTGCGGTAGATAGGATAGAGTGGGAGCATGGGCTGCAGGGTAAGGACGAACAGTTGAAAAAGAGGTGTGTCCTTGCATTCCAATTCCTACCGACAGAGCTAACCGAATCAGCGATTTTGCATCCATCGATCCCGCGCCGCCACTACCGCAGAGTACCGAAAAGCCATCAATTCCAGAGCTCGAAAAGACCCTCCTCGACACTTCTCTCCCGCTGTTCAAGCGCTACCGAGCCATGTTTGCTCTGCGCGACCTGGCTTCCCCACCAGACCTCCCCACAGCCGTACCAGCTATTCAATCACTAGCCAAGGGTTTCACTGATCCCTCTGCGCTCTTCCGACATGAGATCGCATTTGTGTTCGGACAGCTATCGCATCCAGCATCCATTCCCAGCCTTGTCGAGACGCTCAGTAACACAAAGGAAGCTGGTATGGTCCGTCATGAAGCTGCTGAAGCGCTCGGAAGTCTAGGCGATGAAGAGGGAGTGGAGGATATATTGAGGAAATTCCTGGACGATCCGGAGCAGGTGGTGCGGGACAGCGTGATAGTGGCGCTCGACATGGCAGAATTCGAGAAAAACGGCGAAGCGGAGTATGCAATAGTACCGGAGGCGAAGCCTATTGCGGCGTAGGCAGGGTATTGGATGCATGCACGAAGGCGTTCCGGCTACACGGTGGGATGTTGGAGGATTGATGTGCCCAATATTCAGCTCAGTTGTTCGTGTTCCATCTGTAGGATAGCGGTTAGTGAAAACTCAATGCAAGTCTGAAACGAGTAAACGTACTTGTTCCCGCATTCGCATTCGTAGAAGACGGTGGTGCCCTCGTCGGCGCTGCGCAGCTGCTGCGTGTAGAAGCGGACCTCCTCCCTGCCGCACTCCTCGCATGTCTGGTTGATGACGGCGTGCGTCTGCATGTCGGCTTCGGTGATGGTTTGCACCTCCGACCTCTTCGCGCGCAACGACGACGGAAAGGCGGTGGGTTTTGAGTGCGTAACGATGACCTTGGAGGAGGTATCTGACTGCAGTCAGTTTTCATACTTCTCTTTCATACTTGTGCAGCTACGCGCAACAGGGAGCGCACCTTTGCATTGGGCGCCGCAGATCTGGCAGATTAGCATGGCGTTTTTCTTGCCTGCGCTGGCGTCGAGCAGGTTACCGCAGTCAGTACAGAAGACGAGCGAGCCGATTGCTGCCATTGTTGCTATCTTGTCGCAAGGGGCGGCGGACTGCAGGAAAGCGTCCTCTGTAGGCGTAGAGGCTGACTCTCAGATACGGTATACTGATTGGCTATGTGCGGTGGAGCGGATGATCGGTCGGCCCGTATACTGACGCACCCAGTTAGGCAGTTAAGTCCCCTCCTTTAGTCAGCCCCTCCTGAACAGCTGGGGTTTTTGGTTACTGGGATGTAGTCGTTTTGGCTAAGCCACTGCATGAAATTCCAAAGCCGCTTTCTGCACTATCAGGAAGGTATCTGTCCGTGCCATGATTAGGCACCGACAGAACATGCGGGCATAAAAGCATAGGCTACCCGCAACTTCGTTCTGAGACGCACCCTCCTTGACTAATACAAAAACCGCAACCATGGCGATTCAATGGAACACGGCCACCGAAGACGAAATCATCCAGCATTGCTTGCGTTCCAACCCGGACCGCGACGTCGTCAGCGAACTAGACGGAGGACTCTCAGTCGTCAGGATTTCAGAAGACGCAGTTGTCAAGTGCGGATTCGGCGTCAGCCAGTTCGAGGCCGCAAACCAACAGCGAGCATACGAGATTCTTGATCCGGCAATCATACGAGTCCCCCGAGTCTATCGCTTTTTCGTTAGGGACCTCAATGGCTATCTCATCATGGAGTACATCGACGGCCAGCCCGTCTCCTCCACGATGGATCCTGACGCCTACTTGCAGCCAATGGCAAAGGTCCTCAAGATTTTCGAACAGGTGCAACGAGCCAAGCCGGGGCCTTTTCACAAGAGCGTCGCTTTCGGCCAGCTGTGGCTGGACTACGATCCCATCGCTCCCGCTGCCGTATCAGACATCGAGGAGTACTACAACAAGCGACAGTTGAAGAATTCAACCCATCTCAACCTAGCCGGCTATCCGCTAATCTTCTGCCATCTCGATATTGCTCCTCGAAACATCCTTGTCTTGGGAGATGGCTCTCTTTGCCTCATCGACTGGAACTCCGCTGGCTTTTACCCGAGACTGTTCGAACGGACCGCGTTAGCAATCAATGTACGAGCAGAGAATGACTGGAACACCAAACTCCTGGCGCTGTTAGATGGGCTCGATGAGGGTGAGAAATCTCAGGCTCAGCTACTGGAGCGAGCTTACTATCTTGGGCAGAGATACATATAGTGAGTATATTGCCGTGCCTAAGGAGTGTAGGTTACTGACCAGACCAGCCGAACGCAAAAATTCAAGCCTCAACTACCGCCCGGAATGGTGCCCCCAAAGAAGGGCAAAAGAGCGACTGCCTCCGGGAAGAGGAAAACGAAAAGTAAGCAAGAGACGAGCGCGGAAAAGAAATAAAGAAAGACACAAAGCAGCGAAGACAAAAAGAACGACGGCTCCGAATCAGCCTTGTCAGGAGAACCCTGCATCCTTGGCTGAAGAATTACGGGTCTTCCAATGCTTCCATCCAATACCATTCTACTCCTTCATCTCACCTTCATCCTCATCCTCGTCATCCTCTTCTTCGTTGTCCTCTTCGTCGTCGTCCTCTTCCTCCTCGTCCTCTTCCTCCTCGTCCTCTTCCTCCTCGTCCTCTCCAAACCAATCGTTCCACCACTCCGCAAAGCTCTGAAACTGCCCCTGGAGGATAGGCTGGTTCAGTCTTTCCGCGCCAGTACGAGAATACCACTTCGAGAAGGCACCCCAAGCGTGGTTCGGCACCATAGCGTGCAAGGAGAATCTCGAATCGCCTACCATTTTATGCAGGAGTGAGCTTCTAGGAAGAGCGCGCGTTCCGCTCTCTCCTGCTCTTCATGCATTCCTAATCTAGATATTCGATTAAATCCTCGCTCGCTCTCGCTTTCGCAACAAGACCACTGTTCAGACTCCTACCTCCGGCTTTTCATGCTGGCCCTCAAGATTTCGAGTCCACTCGTCACCGAATCCTATGTCACCTCCATTCCCTATCCCACGACGCTTCGAGCAACGACAACAATCCCAGCCGAAGCCGATGCTGCTGTTGATAGCGACCGGTTGGACGGCACGATGACGGATACGACGGGTACCACGCCAGACGCAGCTACTGATGCGATGCTAGTACCCAAACTCCAGCGTCCATTATTCAGAGAATTGACCCTCGCTTGCTAACAGACGACTCGAGGCAAGGCTGGAAAAAGTCAAGGGGCTATCAGCTGGACAATCCTGAGGTTAGCGACGATGATAATCGCCCGAATGCCACATTGGAGCAAGAGTCTGCGGAAACCAGAGGCAACCAGCCACCTGAGGAAACCACACTCTCGGAGCTTATGCTGATCGATCATGGAGACGGTAGTCAATGTGGAAGGATCATCGAGAACTCGTTACCTAAACCTCATTATGAGGACGCTCCTCTAGTCCGCCTCCCGTCCCAAACCAAAATCGATGGATCAACTACAGCGATGACGCCCGAACCTAAGGACTCGGGAAGCGATATAACCAAGCTCTTGCCTCTTCAGCCAATAGGACCGGATGATCCTGCAGATGCCGTTCGATGCCGTCGCCGTGGCGATTCTCGTTGCAATGCAAGAACAGCTGAGAAGGCGACGCAACCACCACCGACGACGACGTAGTTCAAAATGATGTTGCAGATCGAATTTCGTTAACATGTTTGCGAATTGCTTGGGTTTGAAGGCTTGTTCGAATGTCGTACAGGTTTACTATAGAAGAAGAGAAAGAAGGAGAAGAACGAGCGAGGAGGTAGCGCAGACAAGAAATACCTGAAGTGGGCCGGTGTCCGCCACTATCCAATATCGGTCTAGACCGATAATGCCATCCAGGCTCCAGCCTGTAACTGAGATGAACAAGCTTGGACAGAAAATAACTCCAGGTTCGGCGTAACGCCCAAAGCATGTTCCGATCAGACAAAGCAGGTTCCAATCAGAGAAGCCTGATTGGCGGCTTGTTTCCTTACGGTACAGCCAGATACAAATCTCAGTGATATCTTCTGGGACCTCCCCATAACGGTCACGCCGGAGGAGGTACTACGAAAGTGCCATAACAGGAGGAAGCAGGGTTGTCTCAATTGGTATTTTCGGTGAAGCGATGCGTTAGTAATAATAGCAGACGCGATGGTTGACAGGGGGTCCCTGCTAGCGTCAAATCGAATTCGCTGCCTTCATCACGATCGCGCTCTTCCATTTAATCTTCATCCATAAGCTGTCTTATTGCCTAGCTTGAGTGTCACGTCGAAAACATTATGACTATTGAGATTACCTCTGATGCCGACCTTCCGAAGTGTTTGAACACGCCATCGAAGCAGACTACAAAGGCACGCCAACTGGCCCACTTGCACTCAGGCATCCCCGCCAAGAAGGCTCGAGGGCCCCGACCACAAGGCTTTTTCAGTAGGACAGTGATCGTAACGCTGCAGAATGGCGAAGACGTCGTCATACAGTTCCGACCCGAACCCCTAGATCTTGTGCCCTTCTTGGTTGCCCGGAGAGTGCTTGGCGTGGCTGTCCCTGACGCCAAAGTAATTCAGGACGAAGAGCTGGAATGTGAGGGCATATGGGTTTACTGGATGACGTGCATACCTGGGAAAACATGGCTTGATGGCGCAAGAGGGAGAGTCTCACAAACCAGGGTTACTACTGTCCGATCCTTGGGCCGGATTTTGTCAAGAGGCTATGTCGACGATAGCAGTGAGTTGGTTATTGATCACAAGCTTCACCCGCATCTAGAGCTACTCCTAGCCTCTGAGGATCCCCAGATTCGTCGATTCCACGTCGTGGCGAGAGATTTGATCGGCAAATTGGACCAGCTCAAGAACCTACCACTTTTTGTCGCTCACTTCGACCTAAACGATGTCAACATCATGGTTGATGATAACTGTGACGTTTCTGGCATCGTTGACTGGGAACTATCGACCCCTCTTCCCTTTGGCATGGGTTTTTGCCGCATCCACACACTTGCTGGCGAGTTTTCCGAGAAAAAGTTTCACATCCCGCCCGAATTTGAGGACGCGGAGAGAGGATTTTGGCAGGAGATTTGGGATGGGATTCCTGAGAATGTTCGTAGTCATGCCAACCCGGAAGCGGTCCAGATCGCCGTCACGCTAGGGACACTTCTGGATGACTTCCAGCTGGAGGAAGGCAAAATCGGACCCTATAATCCCGTAGTCGTTGACGCCCTCCCAAAGTTTCTTACCTACCGTATTCCCTTGATAAGGGGCTCAGGTTCACCACCATATTCAGAATGAGTGAGAATGGATGGTTTGAAATGTGGCTGCCGATGTAATGAGACAGTAGGATAAATACACGCGCCAGGGTTGTACAAGGACGTGGGAGGTGGCTGAAGAAGAAAAGGCTGACAAGGAGGCGTTGAGCTACCATCCACAATCTCCTCTCAATGTATGCTTTCAGTGCTAGTGTAATTTGTTCTTTCAACCCTCAAAATGGAATATGCATGCTAACTCTCACGGTTACCCCAAGATGTCTAAATTTGTCAGTGAACTTAAACCGTTTCCTCATGAAGATAGACATACCTCGCCAATAGTAAAGCATAATACTTAATGAATCCATATATACATATATGTTGTTCTATTTTAGGCCCGATCTAGCTCTTCTTGTCGAGGTCCATGCAGGCGAATCGCCGTGGTTTCGGGCAAAACCTTCCTCTGATAGCATACAGGTAATCCTTGAAATTGCCATGCCGCGATGTGATTGATGTTTTCCATGCTCTTGTCCGCCTTTGGCTAAGGCTTATGCAGAGGAAGTAAAACCCTAGTTCCGCCCCTAAGGCAGTAAGGACATATATGTGCCAGAACGGCACGTATATCCTCACTCCCGACATCCGCTGTTCTTGTCTGCCATGTGAACCGGTGCTTCTATCTAATCTATAAAGTCCTTAGGTAGAAGATATAGCAGAATCAGGTAATGCCCGAGTAGCTGCTCTTACTAGCGGCTACTCGGCGCCTTCCTTGCTCCTCTACTGCGTCTATGTATTCCTTACTCCTTAGCTCCTCCCGCGCTCGGTTTAGGTGTCTCTGTTCCCTACTCTTGCTAGCTAAGTAACTAAGGAACGTGCTGCAGGCAACCTTCACTACCCTAGGTGTACCCTATGGCCTAGGCTCTCTGTGCGCAGGCCCACAGAGAGAGCGAGAAAACCACGCAACTCCCTCTGCGGAGGTTCACCAATCCTCCACAAAGGTGGCAAAATCCAGACTAGCCGAGCACTAGGGATGAGCGTGCCGCATGCTCCGCGGGCACAGGTGCGAGTTGGAACTGCGCAAGCAGGCCGCTGCGGATTACCATGCAGGCTGCTTCCTTCGTGCTGACGTTGAGGAATGGTATAACGGGAGCATAGATACGCTGCGCACGAGAGAGAGCAGCTAGAAAATGGAGGAGCTGACGAGGATTAGGTAATAAACATGGATTGACCGCGGATGAAAGAGTCTCCGATGCCAAGAAATTGCTGGCTTGGATGCCTCCATATTCAGAGGCAAGACCCTCCAGATATGGAGGCGTCTAAGCCAACCTAACATGGTTTAAGAGGAGAGTCTATGGCGGCGGAAAGAAAGTTGCGGCATCCCCGCGGCGGCTTTTGACGCTAAGCTCAAACCGAAAGCGGTGTACGCCTGGGCACGAGCCGTCGCAACTCATCTGCAGATTGACATTCGCAGCGTCGCGGGCAGGACGCGCATCATCTGCCAGGCTCAAATGCTAGGTATCTAGTCACTCTCCAGCGCCGACTAGATCATGCGGCTTCCGCTGGCACCAGAGCGATTCTCCTCCTACACGCCTCCCCAATAACCGGCCTCCAACCATCGACCGAGCGCTGTTTGTGACCGCTTCGACCATCGACCGCAACCGCCATTGCGGCCGCCCGACAACCAACGCACGCGCCAAAATGTCTGGCTTCGAGAATGGAAATTGGCATAATGCCAATGGAGGCGGCTTGCCGTACCGTCCTCCGACCGTGGACGAGGCCCTTCCGTACTCTCCCTTTACCTCAGTGGTCCCCTTCTCGCCGGGTCAGTACCCCAACTTCACTTCCGGTTGCCCCTCACGCATATCACCCTCTCACCTGGTTTTCACAGGAAAACTAATAGTTCCCAGACATCATCCCCTTTCCCTCCACGGAGCCCCCTACACCACCGACCACCCTTTCACCAGACCAGCAGAGCGCCGCAAAAAAAGCCGTGGGGATACTAAACGAGGAGATCAAGGGCCCGCCCTCCACAGCACAGCACTTGGAGCATACTCTCCGCGAGTTGCGGACGCTGTTGGGGAATCCACATGAGATGACTGAGTAGTAAGAGCTGAGCGTCCTTTGAGGAGACCATTCGTACTAACATAGTCTCAGTCGCTTTAAACAAGCAACGCAGCTCGCAACGCCTCCACCGGAGAGCCCCGCCGGCCGGCCCAATGGTTCTGCGCCCACAAAGACCCCTGCTCTCAGCCCGTTTGCAAGCATGCTCTTAAGACAAACGGACGTTCACTACCTGCGTAGGTTTCTTTGTTCTGCTCTGACCTCGGATCGCTTGCTGATTTGACGCAGCCGCGGGTGCTCACTCACTCCAGCAGCTAAAAGCAAAGCAGGAAATCCAGCAGCAAACGGCCTCGCAAACCCCAGTTCGCACGCCGTCTCGGCCAGCGGCCCCCGTCCTCAACCACGCTGCGCTTGCTCAAAATGGGACCTCACCATACAAGCCTAGCCCGCCTTCGTCCGCCGTCAGCAGCACACCGTCTCGTTCCGGTCCAGCTGTTGTTATCAAGCCTTTAGGGCCAACCGCCCGAAGGGAGGAATACCAGCGGTACGACCACATTTCCGTGGACGCCCATCCATCCCAGCGAAAACGTGAGGAGCGTTCACAAGAAGACGTGCTGTCAGCCATGCGACCACAAGAACGCGAAATTGGCGAGCAAAGGATCGGCGAGCTGAACAAACTTGTGCAGAGGCTTCTCAAGGAGAAAGAGGATCCAGACGAGTCAGAGTACTTTTCCAAAGCTTCTAGTTTAGACTCTGAAGTCACAGTGATGATGAGCGGCACAATGGATCGCCTCTACGATAAAGTCATGGCTGTCTGTGGTCATGGCTGCTTCTCCTCTGTTCCCGTCGAGACTATTCTACGGATTCACTCGCTCTGCGAACCCTCCATCACAGCGACAGATCAATTTGGGGACCTCGATTCCCTCGACTTCTGGGCCGACGACTTCGCAAAGGCATCATCTGGAATGAAGGCATCGAAGCTGGTGCTGACTGCTATGCTCCAAGGTCGCGACGATCGGCGAATCAGCCCGGAAGATCTTATAGTCGCAGTCATCCAAGCCCTCAAACATGTTCTGCACTCTTGCATATTTCCGGTCCTGAGTTCTCGGCGAAACGGCGATTCATCTGAGACATTCAAATCTGCATCCAACCACAAGGATCAGATGCTCTCTCTTCTTCGACTATGCGGCAGTCTCCTGAGTCTCCTAGGAATGTTGATCGGCAAAGTCACTTTGACCGACACGGCCTTGACCCCTATTGAATTCCTGGCCTTGGCCCTGGTGATTCAACCAAACAGCGACTCCGAAAAGGACTCCGTCTTTGGCATCCAGAAGTTTGAGTCCTTGCGCCAAGCCGCCATGGAGGCCCTCACGCAGATATTTGCGTCCCATCCGGATCATCAGCTCTACATCATGACGGAGATTCTGAATAATCTAGAGAAGCTTCCCGACAAAGGCGCAAATGCCAGGCAGTACAAGTCCGCACGCGACCCGCCCATCATGTCAGTATCCGCCTTGTTCATGCGCTTTGTCCAGGTAGCTGCGACAAACCAGAAGGATCAGCATAGAAAAGCAGCTTCGCAAATCGAGAAAGACGAGTCCGCGGAAGACGAAGAAGACAGCGATTATGAACCCGATAATCCGTCATCGAAGAAAGCCAAGCCGAAAGGAAATAGCTCCGCAAAATCGGTCGCTCAACGCTTGATGCAGAGTGCCAAGGGCATTGCTGCCCGCATTGCTTCAACTCTCATAGACAGAGCTCTGAATGTATCCAAGTCTGGTGACAAGCCTTTCCGTAATCTCTTGGACATGTTTGTCGAGGACTTCTGCAACGTTCTCGGTTCTCCCGAGTGGCCCGCCGCAGTCATACTCCTCCAACAGTTGTTGCGACGCGCGAATATTGTCCTGCACTCTGGCAACAATAGGGACATGGCTCTCACCCTGATGGCCACAATGGGGTGTGGTATCATCGACTTCAGGCAGCGCATAAAACATCTCAAGCGAGACCTCGATATCTCTCAATCCGAATTATCGGCCAAGTTAGACCAGCTGGCGAACGAGGCCCTCAACAGCAGTGTCCATCCCAAGGACTTGCTTGGCTTTAAAGGGCCATATCGGATGGTCATAGAGTCTCTTCCCGATTACTTGAGTGTGCAAGCCAATCAGGACGACCCCCACCTGCTCTCTGTGCAAGGCTGCTATGTCACATGCTGGATAGATTCTGTTACCGAGACTCTCAAGTCAGCGAACGAACATCAGTCCCGAAATCAGGACATGTTCGACCTTCTGGCGCGGCTGGAGAACATGATCATGGATTCAAAGTGGCTGTCTCGGGAATAGTAAGTATGTCCAGTTAGTAGAAAGTTCCGGCTAATTGTTTGATTCAGCAAATTCCAAAATATGTCGGAAATCCAGAGCCGACTCGCTTCCGGCATCGTAACACTAGAGGACCAATTCTGTCGGTACCTTCAGTCAATCGTTACGATCATGGTTAGCTTCACGCGGGAAAGCGCAGCGACCCTCAAGTCGAGAGCCATCAAGAGCATCGAATCTTTTCTCAACAAGGATCCACAAATCATTTCAGGACAGGCTGTCGCGAACATAACACATCTATTCAATGACCACTCTCCACTCGTTCGGGCGGACGCGATCTCTCTCATTTCGAAATGTCTCGAAGGCAACCCGGCGTTGGAGCGACAATGTCTCCAAGGCATTCTTCGCCTGACCACTGACCCATCGAACGGGCCGAAGAAGAAGGCAATCAATCTGCTGAAGAAGATGTATTTGGGTTCCACATCCAAGGAGCACAGACGCTCCATCGCAGCAGCCTTGCTTCCACCATTGCAAGACCATGAGAAACCGATCGCAGAGCTAGCCCGCCAGGCTCTCGAAGAGATTTGGCTCCAACCGTTAGATCCAAACACGAGAGTCGATGAAAGCCAGCTCAGGCTGCGCCGCGCCGAGAGAGCATCGCTGCTAGTAGAAATCGTTCGGCAAATACAGGTGAACGGAGCCTCGCTCGAGCCATTCGAGAAATTCTTTGCAATTGCGCTGGCAGGCAAATCTACGAATCAGCCCGCTCATTTCAAGATTTGTAAAGAGATGGTTGCGGATATGATCGAAGGTGTAATCAGTCCCGAATCCATGTCATCTGGCAGTCCGCAAGGCGACGTGCTGCAGGCGCTCAGCATTTTTGCGAAGATCGATCCGAAGCTTTTCACCTTGGATCAAGTGCAGCTTCTCAAGCTTTATGTCAAGGACCTTGGGGGTAGGGAAGATCTCGCCACTCTCCGGCCAACAGTGACCATCTTCCGCTTCGTCTTTCCACATCTCTCGGGCCTTCAGACGGAGTTTGCGCAGGAAGTGCAGACATCGCTCACCAAGGTGATCTCTAAAATAGCTTCGTGGGCATCCTCAGGGTTGTCTACTTGCAAAGAGACGCTTTTGGATGTTGTGCATTGCTTATGGATTATCAGCCCCTTGACTAAGGACGGTATCAACAGACTGATGCTCCTCATTTCGTCGACAGTCACGCAATTGCACCCCCTAGCCTCGTTGACAAAGGAAGCGGCTTTACAAGCGAAGACTAGAATTACTTCTTACCTGATCCTCCTTGGCACGTTCGGGAAGGTCTGCAACCTGGACAACCACCTCCCTGCACTGCAACGCTATATTTCCACGAAAGCCCAAGACATAGTGAACAGAAAGGTTGCCACGCAAGAACAGATGAAGAGTCTTCTTGGGTGGAGTGGAACTTCAAGCTCCGTCCTGCTCCTGGAGACCGTACGCCCGTTTACTAAGCAGAACTGGGACTTGAGCATTCGCGAGCACGCTTTGTGCAGCGTAGGTGAGATCTGTCAAGGATCGCCTTCTCTGTTCATGCGTCCAGACGTTGAGGCAACTTTCAGGGTTGTCTTCAAGAACGACAACGCTCAGCTGCAACGAGTCGCTCTCGCCCAATTCAACGATTTCTTCGTGAAAGCGGAACGGCCGTCAGACGGTGACACAGAGGACCAGCCTACCGAAAGCAACCCAGGTGGCGCTGGACGGCTAGGTATCACCTTTGTTGCCGGCGATGGCCAGGTGACGACGAATTACCTCGCACGGAGATTCCTTCCCGACATCGTGGATATCGCCTTGAAGAACGATAACGAGCTCGCAGTCAGGGCGACCAACATAATCACCAGCATCAGTCGGCAGGGCTTAGTACATCCCAAAGAATGCGGTCCCGCACTCATTGCTCTGGGAACATCGCCTAACGCGCAGATCGCACAAAGCGCTTCCACTGAGCACAAAAAGATACACGATGCTCACGAGTCCATGTTCGAGAAGGAGTACATGTCAGCGGTCAGGATGGCTTTTACTTACCAGCAAGAAGTCTGCAAGGATACTCACGGCATGGTCGCTCAAACATACAAGCCCAAAATGCTCCAGGTTTTCAACGTTCTCAAAGGTGGTGGCAGGAAAACACTGAAGAAATTCATCGACAATCTCTGCAAACAGATGGATTTCGAGCTATCCAACCTTGACAACGCCGACACCGGCTCGGACACAGTCCTTTTTACTCGTTTCTGCCTGGAGAACTTGGCCTTGTTCGATGTCCCGAAGCTGGAAGATGTGGCCATTATGGTGAACGCGCTTGAGAACATCGTTTTAAAGCACACTGGTCCCTCAGTCGGCGTCGCCATCGAAACCGAAATGCCAAAGCAATCCCCCGTGCCTGAGCCTCAGCTTCAACAACTGCAGGATGGTACTAATGAAAGTATTTTGGTCGTACCGACTGTGCACGATTCCAGAGAGCCAATCTCTGACGCGCGACTGCTCCAGATCACGCGGGCTTGCATGATCCTCCTCATGATGTGGGAAGCCCGGTGCTTCGTTCGCCGCGCATACAACTTGCACAATCTCACCGGCCGAATCCCGCACAAAGACTATCAAAAGCCAGCTTCCAGGAACAACCTCGTCTCTGGAAAGGAGCTATGGGAGCGGCTCGAACCAATTCTCAACTCGACCGAGAGCCGCGATGCCATGACGGGGCGCTGCTACGAGTTCGCGGAGCTGCTGGAGGTGGACAAGGACGCGAAAATTGGAGACGAGGACCTGAACGGCGATGATCCCGCCGGCTATGCTACCCCGGCTGAAGGTGGCGATGATGAAGGTCCGGCCATGCCGACGAGCGGGCGGGGACGCAAGAGAAAGTCAAGCGCATCAGTTGGCAACACACCGAAGAAACAGCGAGCCCGTCCTAAGAACAAGAAGAGGAACTCTAGGACGCCCGACCTTGATGGATGGGATTGAGGACGAGAAAAATAAAGAGTTACGGGCTGTTAAACAGCGTCACGCTCTGACGGGCAGTCATGGGGAAGTCCAAATCTTCAGCCGACATACATTTCGGAGCATAGCATCTTTGCATCGCGTTGGCGTCTGTCGATATAGAACATATGTTCTATCTTAACACCATGTTCACGGCGTTTATGGGCTAGCGATTATGGGAGATACCCCTTATCATGGAGAGCCACGGGGCATTTTTGGCGTTCAATTTGGGGGTTCGAGCATGCTTATCGGTAGCATGATGGGCGCATCAGAGTCGGTATCGTGAGCAACCAGCTTCACGATCTTCGGCAAGCATTCATGGCTTGCCGCGCTTGAAGACCTGTGTAGTACATAGCCATGAAGACCCATATCTATGGCAGCATGACTAAGAACACCTTCATGATATCTTTGCCTCCTTTTCAATCTTCGGGGGTTTCTGTATATGCGCAACCTTTCTAGCAAGCCAACAGAATGCGCCAACGTCTCGACAGGACACTTGACTGACTTTAGGGCGCTGTGTGGAAGCCCTTCAGCAGTACCAGGCATGGGAGGGGGAGGGCGCTGCGCCTTCCAATTAGAGGCTTTCTTGGCACCCCGCTCTCAGGAACCCCACAACGACTACAAAAGTTCCAGGCAAGCCACCCGACTGTACAACCCACAGCGCCAATGGCATCGCTAGAGCGTCTTGAGGGCCTCCCGGCCGGTAAATCCCCCTCCATCCATTGAGACATTTGGGAACGTTAATGTTGCGTCTAGAGCTTCTGCTGATATGGCACACTCATCGCGTACCTCTCCTGCTGTCGGCGGCGTCCCTGATTGCGATTGTACGGCTCACGATATATATGCGCAGTAGAAGGACGAAGGTACGTATAGTAAGAGGCTTCAGCAAGTGAAATCTTTGCTAATGTGTCCACCTCCGCAGATTTCGCTCTCGCCGGCTCCCTCGTCACCCGTCGCGAAGGTCAATGCGGTCGAGTTGAAGCCCGAATGGCTTCCCGAGAGCACTACTCTTGATTCGAGGACGTCGAACCTGGATAATCATACGGAGGATACAGTGGTGGTTGCGAAGTTAAAGAAAGGACCGAAGACAGTCAGGGGCAGGAAGCTCCCACGAAGAAAGGCAGAGGCGCCGCCGAACTTCTACCACCAAACGGACAAGATTCAGCCGCTTATATTTTTCCAATCGCTCTCAGGGACGACGGAGCGGTACGCCGCACAATGCTCCAAAGCTCTCACAGAGTGGACTTCTGGCTGCGATCAATCTACCTCTTTCCTCCAACCGCAGCTTCATGACCTCTCATACATCGAATATGACGACTACTTCATTAGCCCGCCCAAGGCCGAACCGCACATCAAGCACTTCTACCTTGTCCTCCTGCCTACATACAACATCGACACCGTGCTTAGCACCTTCCTCGAGAACCTGCAGGATACGCACAATGATTTTAGGATTGATACTGCACCGTTGAGTGGCTTGCTGGGATACTCTGTTTTCGGGTTTGGAGATAAAGAGGGATGGCCAACAGAGGAGGAGGGCTTTTGCAGTCAGGCGAGGGAGGTGGATAAGTGGATGGCGAGGTTGACGGGGAGGAAGAGAGCGTATCCGTTAGGGATGGGGGATGTGAAGAGTGATGCTGAGATGAGGATGGAAGAATGGCGGATAGGTGTTCAGGAGGCGCTGGTGGAGATTGCCGAAGGAAGGGGCCTGGGCGAGGGAGTCTCCGGGAGTGGCGATCCGGCCGAGAGTGATGAAGAGGATGTCGATGTCGCGGAACATAGAGACGCACGACTGGACGACGTTGAAGATTTGGGTGCCACGGTACGTATGACACGCGTCGCTCTGGGTGTATAAATCCACTCCTGAAGGCATCCAACGAAGTTCCACCAGCAGGGCAGGCATGTCGCGGTCATTCTCCACTCGCGATGTGACTGCAAAGTCGTCCTGGGACCTTCAGCCTAGGCAGCGGACAAGACAATGCTTAGATGTGGCTCTCCTCCCCTACACCGTTTCCGAAATAGATGCTAATATGTATCGCTACGTCCGCAGGTCGATGCTTCAACCGCTCCAGTCCCTGTAGACTTCACGACCTATAAGTCTAGGACTATCTCCAAACCGACACCCAAAGAAATGGTGCCGGTTACTTCTCCCACTCACGCCGCCCTCACAAAACAAGGCTATACAATAATCGGTTCACACTCCGGCGTCAAAATATGCCGCTGGACCAAATCTGCCCTCCGAGGCCGCGGCTCTTGCTACAAATACTCCTTCTACGGTATCCAATCCCACCTCTGCATGGAGGCTACGCCCTCGCTCTCCTGCTCCAACAAATGCGTTTTCTGCTGGCGCCACGGTACCAATCCTGTGGGCACAACGTGGCGTTGGGTCACCGATGCCCCGGAACTAATCTTCGACGGCATCACTACAGCGCACTACAAGAAGATCAAGATGATGAAAGGCGTGCCTGGCGTGCGAGCTGAACGCTTCGCAGAGGCGATGCGAATACGGCATTGCGCGCTGAGTCTAGTTGGAGAACCTATCTTCTACCCGCATATCAACGAGTTATTAGAGATGATGCACAAGGAGCGCATTTCAACGTTTCTGGTTTGCAATGCCCAGCACCCGGCCCAACTCGCCTCCCTTATCCCCGTCACGCAACTGTACGTCTCCATCGACGCCTCCAATAAGGACAGCCTCCGCAAAATCGACCGCCCACTACACCGCGACTTTTGGGAGCGGTTCTGCGCGTGCCTCGACATACTCCGGAATAGGCGTTTCGAGCAGCGGACCGTGTTCCGGCTTACCCTAGTCAAGGGCTTCAACATGGCTGAGGAAGTTAAGGGATACGCGGATCTGGTGGAGAGAGCATTGCCCGGATTCGTCGAGGTCAAGGGCGTCACATATTGCGGTACCTCCGCAGCTGGTAGCGCCGGCCTCACCATGCAGAACGTCCCATTCTACGAAGAAGTTGCGCAATTCGTCACTGAACTCGAGAAGGAGCTCATATCCCGCGGGCTTAGCTACGGTATCGCGGCCGAGCATGCGCATTCGTGCTGTATCCTCCTCGCTGACTCTACGCGCTTCAAGAGGAGTGGCAAGTGGGCTACGAGGATCGACTTTGAGCGCTTCTACGACCTGTACGAGGGCAAGGTGCAGGGGACGAGGACGGATGAGGAAGGAAAAGTGGTGGGCTGGAGACCGGAGGATTATGTCGGCGAGGAGACGCCGGAGTGGGCGCTTTGGGGAAATGGTGGCTTTGATCCACGGGATCAGCGCGTGTGGCGGAAAGGGAAGGCGCCGAAGAGTGAAGGAGGAAGTGTGGGTATGGGGGCTAAAAAGGGCGACGTTGCAGTTCTAGAGATCTGATCCGTAGACATTGCGCCAGGTAGTTCATCGAAGTCCTTCGGGATATGCGAAGCCAAGGCCTTCTTTCTCTTACCGTACTCAATCCATGCACACGACGTACGGCAAACATGTGGTATCGTTCTCAGTGTCGGTTGCAAGGCTTGATCTTGATTATAAGACATAATACATGGTCCTACGTAGACACGGAAACATGCAATTTTGCCAACCGCCAACGCCGTGAAATGACTTGAACCACCGCCGCATCCGGTTAGCATATGCATGTTAACGAATGGAAGACAGTCGCATCTACCCTTTCTTTCCTCTTTGCCCGCCTTGGCAGATGACTATTCCTCGTCTGACTCCTCTTCCGCAGTCTGTGGTATCGGTTAGCTCAAGCTTTCAAGGACTTAGGACGTCCGCTTACGTTTTCGTGGAAGTTCGTTCCATGCGTCGTCTCATGGATATACCCCGTTCGGATAACGAAGTCTCCGAACTTCTCCCCAGGCTGCCGATCCTTAGCGTAGTGCTTGATCATCGGCCTCATGATGTCCAAGATCTCGTCTTCCTTGATGGAACTCCTGTAGAGTTTATTAAGTCGCTGACCATGGTAGCCGCCACCGAGGTACATGTTGTACGCGCCGTAGGCCTTGCCGACGAAGGCTACCTCCGCCAACCAGGGGCGAGCGCATCCATTGGGACAGCCCGTCATGCGCATGACGATGCTGTCTTGCCGCAAGCCTGCCTCTTCGAGCGTAGACTCGAGCTTCGTGATGAGTTCGGGGAGGTAGCGCTCCGATTCCGCCATTGCAAGACCGCAGGTTGGGAAGGCTACGCAAGCAGAGCTGCTCAGCCTCATGCCGGAGAAGTTCGTGTTGTCAAGCTTGTACTTCTTGAGCAGGTCTTTCATAGCTGGCAGGTCCTCATCCGCGACATTGGACAGGATGAGATGCTGGTTGCCCGTCAGCCTAAATTCGCCCTTGTGCGCTTTCGCGACCTCAATGAGCCCAGTCTTCATCGGGAAGTCCGGAGTGTCTTCGATGCGCCCGTTCTCAATGAAGAAAGTAAAGTGGTTAAGGCCATTCTCGTCCTTCTGCCAGCCGAATGTGTCGATGTTGGAGTCGAACTTGAAGTGTTTTGGATCAGCGAATTGGTCGCCCCAGAGCTCTTCGACCTTGCCGCGGAAGACGTCGACGCCCATGTCATCGATGGTGTACTTTAGACGCGCGTGCTTGCGGTTTTGGCGGTCACCATTATCCTTTTGGACGAGCATGATCTTCTCGCAGACAATGTGAGCGACGTTGGCGGGCACGTAGCCGAGCATGCTGCCGGTGCGCGGGTATGTCTTTTTGTTGTTGTGGGTGACGCCCATGCCACCGCCAGCAAGAACGTTGAAGCCTTCAAGGTGGCCGTTAGCGCCCTTGATCGCAATGAGACCGATGTCGTGTGCGTATACGTCTGTATCGTTGTGAGGAGGGATAGCGATCGTGATCTTGAACTTTCGAGGGAGGTAGGTCGGGCCATAGAGCGGCTCATGGTCTTGTACAGCTTCACCGGCAACCTTTCGCTTCTCCTTGGTCTCGTCGTCCTCAAGCCAAATCTCGTGGTAGGCAGTGGTGGAGGGAAGGAGGTGGTCGCTGATCTTCTGCGAGACGGCGTGCACCTCTGAATGGAAGCTTGAATGCTCGGGCAGAGAGCTGCACATGACGTTACGGTTGACATCGCCGCAAGCCGCAATCGTGGTCATTAGCGCCCTATTGATAGCTTGCATCGCGGGCTTGAGCTTGCCCTTGACAACACCGTGGAACTGGAATGTTTGTCGCGTAGTGAGCTTCATGGTCTCGTTTCCGAGCTTTGTGCTGATCTCGTCCATCTGGATCCATTGCTTGGGCGTAGCAACGCCACCGGGGAGTCGGCATCGGATCATGAACGAGTAGGCTGGCTCCAGCCCTTGTGCCTTTCGCTCGTCGCGGAGGTCTCGGTCGTCCTGCATGTACGTCCCATGAAATTTGGTGAGCTGCTGGTCGCTAGCTGAGATGGCGCCGGTCGTGGTATCCTGCAGACCTTCCTCGATAGTACCCCGTAGGTAATTTGAAGCGGCCTTGATATCCTCGTTGGTGATTGGTGGCGGCTCCTCTGGCAAACCCTCGACCTTGTCGACACCAAGGGCTTGCCAAAGCTTAGGCTCCCATTCGGAGTATGCAGTCTGGTAGGCATCTGGATCCTGATCATCTCCGAGACCACATTCTGTCAATGCGTTACCTCCGAGGGTTACTAACCGAGCATGGAGATCTTTGGCGGGCTTGTTGTAATAGATCTTGTCCTCCTTGCGCGGCCAGTAATGGCTGTCACCAAGACCGAAAACGGCGAAGTTGACAGTGGCGAGATCCAAATCAGTCGAATCCTTGACATGCTCCCAGAATGTCCTGCCATTCTGAGGGAACTCTCCTTGACCGGCCACACTGGTAATGAGAACGACGTTCTGCTCGCCGGAAAAGTCCTCAAGCGGGTAGTCGTCCATGGCCATGCACATTGTCTTTAGACCTCGAGCCTTACCCCGTCTTGCTAGGCGCTTCGCAAGGTTCTCCGAGTTACCGTTGTCGGATGCGAAAAGTACCGTCATTGGGTCTCCAGCAAGGCCATCAAGAAGCTTGCTGTAAGCATCTTTAGCCTTCCTCTTCTGGAGTTGCCTGACCTCAGCCCCGTAGGAGCCTGAGAGGTTAGCGGAGAACTCTGGGTGTCTCTTCATGAGCTGCGACATGTAATTGTCGCGCCTGAGGAACTCCTCCAGCTCCTGCTTGATCCTCTCGGAATCGAGCTGGAAGTTTGGTTCGCCCTTCTCGTCGCCACGTGGATCCCACCTATACAGCGGCCAGTATCCGACATCGACCGCCTTTTTCGTCTCTTGCAGGACTGTCAGAGGAGAGTCGTTCTCCTTCTCATATGGCAGGTAGGCAAGGACCACGGAGGGACCATCGAACTTGTCGGCCTCAATCATGGCCTCCAAGACCTGAGTATAGGAGCTATAGACGGCGACCGATGCGACATAGGCATTACCAAAGTTCATGGCATACAAGCCAATGTCCTTCTTCCGCCTTGTAGCATCAGCGGCAGCTCGCTCAGAGTACGGCTGAGAGTCAACGATCAGCATGTTTACGTTTTCGCCAGAAGCAAGTACATGGTGGACACCGGAATTTCCAAGGTCATAGGCCCAGGCATCCGAGCCAATCAACCACGGCGACTCGCGGTAGAAAAGACCCTTGGAGGAAAGGAGCTGATTGGCCGCGGAGGATCCGTCATTGCTTAGTCGAGCAATTACTTCAGGTGCTAATTCGTTTGCTTTGTCACCATTGTCCGCATCCAAAGCCCACTTGGCTAGCCACTCAAGCGGAGCCTTCGTAACGAAGTCGTTGCTCTTCGAAGCAGCTCGAACTTCATCGACAAAGCGCTTTCGGTGTTCTTTTCGCGCAATCAAGGATCCAAAGCCGTATTCCGGGCTCGAGGATGTCTGATTAGAGATGCCAGCGTGTTGTGCGCTCAACTGATTCGCAATGTGCAGTTTCTCGCCGAAGACCTGGTTCAGGATTTTCATATAAGCATTCTCCAAGGCAGGCTGCTGAAGCTTTGTTTCCTGCGGCTCCGGCCCGTCGAGGTTACCAATCTGAAGATTCTGCACAGGTGACTCGCTCATGAGGTTCTGGAAGACGCCTCGGAGCGCTTGCCGCACAGTCTTGCCGTTGATATAGCCCAGTTGATAGCCGACAATCATAGGTGAGTTTCCGCCGCTCGATTTTACGGACATTAGCAAATCCAAGAGCACAGGGCCCCACCGGGTGGTCTTCCGCCGGACCTGTTCGAGGACGGCGATGCGCTTGATGGACTGAGGGAGCAGTGGCGCCAAAGAGGCGCCTAACCACGGCCGGTACATCCGCGCTGTGATGATGCCTGCATTCGCATAACTCTCGGACTCATCGACTGTATCGATTTCCTCGGCAAACATGGAGGTGTCGGCGCCAAAGAGGAATATCGCAGCCTCTGCTTTCGCAGGACCAGTGTACTCAAAGGCATCGTAAGATCGGCCAGTAGCTTCCTTGATGTTGGCCCATATCTGGGAGGCGAAGCGGTAGATATCTTCTGACGAGATAGGTCTCGCGGCTAATGATTCTACGGTTGTGGCTGACGACTGAGTTGCGCCGCTAGCAGTGCTGGACTCGCGTCTTGAGGAGCCCGCAGAGGAGTCTGCTCTCGCACTGTTCCTCTCCGGGATTGGCAGTGTCCGTCCATGGTCGGTGGAGTCTACGGGTGCCGGTGGGGCAGCATTGGCCTGACTGCGGGCAACGGACAAGGTTGCGCTTCTTCCATCATCTGCATACAGCGAAGTCTGCTCCGATTTAGAGCTCTGGAAAGCAGCGGCAGCGTCCAGATCTATGACTCTGCGAAGGAGCTCCTTGTCTTCATACGGAATCTCCTTGCTGAATGCAAGAGAGCTCGAGTCGAAGAAGTGTATTACGCCCTTTCCGGACTTGATGGCCAGCGCATGGGCAGTCAATGCAATGTCCTGCGCTTGCTGCAGCGTTTCCGACTGAAGGAATGTGAAGCCGCATTGCCTGATGGATGTGATATCTGAGAAGTCTGGGAAGCCGGCGGGCTGGACCGACACGTGGATGACGACCGGGTACTGGGCGAGCTTGTATAGGTGCGGTATCGATTTTACGAGGATCGCGGAGGTGGTGGTCACGGAGGTTAGCTTGCCTCGGCGAATCGGCGTGAAGCACGAGAGAAGCGGATCCGCATTTTCTCGGACAGCAACGACCTAAGCAATTCTTGTCAGACGCTTTCCGTTTCCAATTGCTATACGGGATAGTACCTCTGGCTGCTGCTTCGCTACAACACTCGGCGTCTTGCTCTTCTCAAGCTGTCGGAGCGACTCTGAGAACTCGGAATGGGCTGCGAGGGAGGGCTGGACGGAGACGATTACATCGCTGGCAAGATGAGCAATGCGCGCCACTACGTGAAGACTTCGAGTTAGCGACCAGGTATTTGTAATTGGGGCCCCGAGCAGCTACTCGCATGTTGAGCTTCGGGGCAGATGAGGGGCACATACCGGCCTCTCCAGCAGTCGTGATAGAACCCATAGCGAAACTCAATGGCTGCGAGGATCCAGAGGGCAATGGGAGAGGGCGGTTGAAGTATGTGCGCTCGTCGGCATGTAATATAGCAGAACGGCAGCGGCAACTACTTTTTGACTGAAGGCGTGAACAGTTTTGCCGAATTAGACAAGGCCGAGATCGCGTCATCTCTAGTCGCTCCCTAGTCCCTGCGCTGGGCACGAGGGCGGGGCCCAATACAGCGACGCCGTTTTGTCAGGAACGCCTGCCCGTTCACGGCCGGTTTACTCATTCCCTCGCAGGCAGAGAAGGGCAATGCGTGGGGCAGTGGTGTGCACATCATTTGGCCGACGCCTAAGCCCGCCGTTACGGTCGTGCAGCGCAAAGACGGCAATCTGGCTGCTGAATGGGCCGGTGGAGGCGCACCCCCGCCACAGCCGCACTCAGAGGGGCCGAGCTGCCGATATCGATAACTCGTAGCCGACGCTTCCACCTCCGCTCATCGCCCGCCAGCGCTCCGACAGCCGCAGCATGTCTTGAGTACTCGAAACCGAGCCCTGGCCGCCACTTAGCCCGTCCCTTCTGCGTCTCATGTCGAGTCTGCAGCTCCTCCGCGATGACCACTGGAGACTCCGCCCGCGACGTTGACGTGCCCGCCTCGCCCCTCGTCTCCGACAGCCCGCTGCCGTTTCCGGAGCTGTGCGCAAGGATACATGGCCGCATCACCGCATTCCTGGGCGAGAAGAATGTTTCTGCGAGGGTGAAGAGCGTGCAAGAGCAGACGGCGATGTCGCTGGGCGTGATTGCAGAGGCTTTGGACAAGTACACGTATGCTGTATTGCTTCGTCTTCGGAAAGACATCGGAAAGCTGACGGGCGCGCAACAGTCTGCCGGAGCTCTCCCTTGCGTACAACGGCGGCAAGGACTGCCTCGTCCTCTTAATCCTATATCTATGCGCCCTCCATAAGAAGGGCCTGACCCCCGCGAACCCGAATGCCACCCCCGAGACTGCCATCAAGTGCGTCTACATCCAGGCGCCGCATCCTTTCCAGGAAGTAGAAGACTTCGTAACGTCCAGCGTCCAGACGTACTCGCTTTCGCTGCTCGAATATGCGAAGCCTATGAAAGCCGCATTTGCAGACTATCTGCACGACACGCCCCAAGTCAAGGCGATATTTGTTGGTACACGGCGGACGGATCCGCACGGCGAGCATTTAAAGCACTTCGATCCTACCGATCACGGCTGGCCAGACTTTATGCGCATACACCCTGTTATAGACTGGCACTATGTAGACATCTGGACTGTGAGTAGATTGAAGTGTCAGTTGGTTTACTCGCTGACTTTGCACAGTTCATCCGACATCTAAACATCCCTTATTGCAAGCTTTACGATCGCGGCTACACCTCGCTGGGTGGAACCGACGATACCCACCCGAACCCTGCGCTCGCCCGCAAGTCTAGTCATATGGCGAACGGCATCGCTTCGAACGGATACGCCAACGGCAACGGCAACGGCACCAGCACGCCCAAGTACCGGCCTGCGTACGAGTTGATCGATGACTATGAGGAGCGACTGGGGAGAGACAGATAAGGGGACGGCGACTGTAAATATAGCAAGCCATTCATATCCGGAGGGATTGATCACATATGGGCGTCTTCGGCGTATGAGAATATCCATAGCAAATACACACTCCTGAATAGAAGCATTTAGATTCCGCAATCTCAGAGGTTCTATTGCCTATCCTCATCACTGCACGGCTTCGCTCGCCTAGCTTCAAAGTCGGTACGCTTACAGTGATGATGCCGGGGTAGAAGATCAAGCCTAGTCCTTTCCCCTTCATAGACGGGATCGATCGGGTAAATCTTGTTGACTACCCCCAGAAGCACTGCAGAGGACAGTCCGCTGTAGAATTGAGCACTGCTTCGGCGCTTCGGGGCATCCGGGGCAGGTCTTTTCTAAGGGTGCGTTGGTAGTAACGAGTGAATCGTGCACATGCCATCCAGTCGATCCCAATCCCCGGTTCCTGCTGTCTCTTCCCGAGGACTTCTCAAGCAAGCTTGTACATGGGGTCCGCTTCTTTGCCCCTATTGTCTATGTTCACTGCACCATAATAAACTTGACGTGAAAATTAACTTGCAATCATCGGGTCCTACAAGATCCACGAAAAGCCAAAAGCTACAAAAAATGCTTCTTCATAATCTAATTTGATTTGATTTGCTGTGCTGTAGAAATGTAATTCCTTCCCTGTCATGGGTAAAAGTTCATGCGGCCGCTCGGGCGGAAGTAAGGGACAAAGCAACGGTGGTGTTGCGGGCCAGTCGATTGGTGAGGCAGCCGAGCGAGCGAGCGAGCGAGCCAGCACACAGGCAGAAAAAGACACAATATGCGTCATCTCTCACATCCACATGCCGTAACCGCCCAGGACGCACAATGGAAATCTGACATATGGTTATATGATATTCAATTTCAAAATTCAACAAAATGGGCCGGTAACTCAGTGGTAGAGTGTAGGACTGCAGCCCGTGACCTCTATACGTCGCTTCATACTGCCTTCCCGAAGTCACCGGTTCGACTCCGGTTCGGCCCTCTATCCCTAGCTTCGTCTCTTGGGACAAGCGTTTATTTTTTTGAGTGAATCTTTCTTTTGCGTGGGACATGTGGCTTTTGCTCTCCTGCGCCTACCCCTTTAAGGCTGCCTCCTCAGCTTTGGGACTTTGCTAGTACCTTTACTTTTAGTCCATGAGCCAACACCATGAATCAAACAGTGGAGTAAAAAATAGAAGATACACGCGTTTCGATCATATGATAATTAATATACAATTGCCCGCATCTATCCATCTATACTTTGGTTACTATTAGATAGCCACTCCAGTTCAGAATACCTGTTTCTGGCACCTTGAATTGATCGGTCATGCTTGCTTGCTCAGAAGGATACACAGGAAATCCGAGCAAAGCTTGATGGGAAGAGTGCAACAAATGTATCAATATTGAATTATCTTGGATCATTTGTTCAAATTGTGGGCGAATAATCAGCCCTAGAAGATCTGGGGTAGCGTGCACGGATCCCTCATGCGCGTCATCCAGGGACGCTCAGCTCTCCTTTTGCTGGGCGCTGTTTTCATCACAAACGAAACGCTTCCCTTCTTCATGTAATGAAACCATTTCCTATCTCACCTCTGGAAAGGACACCTAACTGGCACCATGCCAGCCCCCTACTCTCCACCCGTCCGTAATCCCCTCGAATCCTTCGCGAGCACAGATGACAGCCCCCCTCAACCAACACCATCCCCGCGCTCCTCGCGCTCCTCGGACGCCCTACCCCTAATAGAAGACGGTACCGAAGCCTACGAACTACATCCTATTTCCCCCGCCGGAAATGCCCGCGAAGCAGACCACGATGCCCTTCGCGTCCCGCACGCGGAGAACGCGAGCCTGCTACCTAGTCCACGGCGATTCTCGATAAGCTCGGTGCAGAGTTTTGAGCTTTATACGCCGGATGAGGATCGGGCGGTGTTGAGGAAGCTGGACAGGAAGCTGGTGCTCTTTATGGCATTGCTTTATTGTTTGAGCTTTTTAGATCGGTCGAGTGAGTTGTTTCTGGTTTGGGAAAGATAGATAGGAAGGCACACGCTGAAGATTGCAATATGCGCAAGTGGGTGATTGAGATGGGCCCTTGCTAACATTGGGCAACAGATATTGGCAATGCTCGGATAGCAGGGCTTGTTGAGGATCTGAATCTTAGCTCTGCTCAGTACGAGTGGCTGCTTTGGGCATTTTATATAACGTACAGTCAGTACCCACATCAAGACCTTACGTGACACTTACTAATGGGGAGCGCAGTAACGTTTGAATGGATGACGCTCATGTATCGAATAGTTCCACCTCACATCTACATCTCGATCTGTATACTAGCTTGGGGCATAATAGCGTCGGCACAAGCAGTCGCGACATCTTTCAGCTTTCTCCTCTTCCTTCGAGCGCTCCTTGGTATTGGCGAAGCAGCATTCGGCCCGGGCGTCCCTTTCTACCTATCCTTCTTCTTCCGGCGGCGTGAACTGGCATTCAGAACCGGCCTTTTCATTTCGGCGAGTCCGCTTTCGGCGTCTTTCGCGGGCGCTTTAGCATGGCTAATCACAAAAGTTGGCGAACATGGACCACTTAGTCCGTGGAGGCTGTTATTCCTGCTAGAAGGGTTCCCCAGCGTGCTGGTTGCTGTCTGGGCCTGGGATTTCGTGCCGGATGGCCCAGGCGTGGCGAAGTGGCTGACTCCCAGGCAAAGAGAGGTCGCGGTGCTACGGCTTAGGGCGGAAAAAGAAAACGAAGAGGAGGAGCAGATCAGAGAGAAATACGAGACCGGAACGGAAAGAAGGCGGGGCGTCAATATCCGTGAGGTGTTTCAGACACTTAAGGACCCCAAGTGCTACCTCACTGCCGTAAGCCCATCCTTGTTTAGTTGGCAATCAAAGAAGCTAAGCGATGGTAGTTCATGTTCTTTAGCTGCAATGTCGCATTCAGCTCCATGCCCGTCTTTCTGCCCACCATAATACGCGACATGGGTCACAAGTCAATCACGGCCCAAGCATTATCTGCACCTCCTTACTTCTTCTCGTTCATCATAGTATTAGTGACAGCATACTTCTCCGACCGCCTTCAGTCGCGCTCAGCCTTCATCATCCTTCATTCCATCCTCGCCACCATCGGTTACGGCACCATAGCCATCTCGGGCTACTATCAATCCCAGAATACAACCATCCGATACCTCGCGCTCTATCCCGCCGCCGCAGGCTTCTTCTCCGCCATCACCATCATCATAACCTGGACCATCAACAATCAAGAGAGCGATAGCAAAAAGGGCACCGGTGTTGCTATAATGAATGTGATAGGGCAGATGGGGCCGTTGGTGGGGACGAGTATCTTCCCGAAAGAGGACGGGCCGTGGTATGTCAGGGGTATGGCGATCTGCGCGGCTTTTATGCTTTTGGTGGGAGTATTGGCGGGGGTGCTGAGGGCGGTGTTGAAGAGGCAGAATCGGAGGTTGGTGGAGGAGAAAGGGGGAGGCGAGTATGCGGGAATACCACTTGAGGAGGGTGGGATGGCGAAGGAGGAGAGGAAGCCGTTCGTTTATATGATATAGGTGGTAATGTGAAATGATAAATTCTACGGTTCGAATATCCGTAGATGATTCTTCTTCATGGCATGATGCATTCTCAAGACCATTTTCTGATATCAAGTCCGAGACGGTCCTCATGAAGGAAGTGGCCTAGGACAAGGCTCACGTGGTGAGGTGTTTGCGCTTTGACCCACGCCAAGACCGTGATATCATGAAACCCAAAACGGAATGGCGCTCCTTTCCACAAGCACCTCAACAGCAACATATCGGTTTCCTAGCGAATAAACACGATCACTCCTGAACATTCTCGTCTGTTCCTCGTCTGGCAGGCACAGGAGCTCAAACGAACAGCCGATCCTATCACTGGCATCCACGTGGAGCTACAGTCCGGTGTCTCAGACAAGCAATCATGTGCCCGTGACGCGCCTCCAGCAAAAGCGGGGCCCCTAGACGCTTGAATCTGTCGGAGAGTTCGACATGGAGAGCTCAAAATCAAAGGCCGAGATGAACGAACGGCCAAGCTCCAAAGCCGGGTCAACAAAAACGGCAGGAACTCAGGAGAGCTCCCAAGAAAAGTACGAGGAGTCAGAAAAGTCGTCAATCGCCAACGGCACCCAAGAGATTACAGCCAAGAATGATGTCACTACTATCGACTTCAAGCCCGAGGCTGACGTGGAAAAGGCCCCGGGGATGCCGCGTGGGGACACGGAGTCCATGAGATTCGATGGCGAAGATGAGGATCCTGCTGTCCCAGTCTCGTTTCAGAGGTCATCAAGTCCAGCAGCCATGCAAAAGAATAAAGCTGCTGTGTACGAAAAGGTCGGCGAAGACGGGATTAACAGGATGCACAAGTTCTCACTGTACGAAACGAGCTCCCGGTATTACCTCGTGGGAGCGGACAATATGGACAAGCACTACCGGGTCTTGAAAATTGATCGTACTGCGCCGCCCGGCCATCTCAGCATCGTTGAGGACGATATAGTATACGACAAGCGAGAGATGAATCAGCTTCTCAATGCTATCGACGACGGCAACAAGGGAACCGGAGGCATGAAGCTCAAGTGCAGCACCTGGGGCTTGTTGGGTTTCATCAGATTCACCGAAGCTTACTACATGCTTCTCATCACGAAAAGGGCCCAGGTCGCTATGCTAGGCGGCCACTACATCTACCAGGTCGACGGGACTGAGCTGATACCGCTCACGACTGGCGCTACATCTCGATTCCAAAAGGATCGAAACCCGGACGAAGCCAAGTTTCTCACAATTCTCAATAGCCTGGACCTGACACGATTTTTCTACTTCAGCTACTCATACAACATCACCAGAAACCTCCAGGAAAACATCATTCGCGAGAGGACAGCGCTGAATGAAGGCCGGGAGCACCCGAACCGCGACTACCAGGACATGTTCGTATGGAATCATTACCTTCTGGAGCCCGCCAGCGACGTTCTCAAGAATGTCTACGACTGGTGTCATCCTGTCATCCATGGCTACATTGATCAGTCATCGCTCGATGTATTCGGGCGCAGAGTGTACCTCACACTCCTAGCAAGGCGGTCGAGGTTCTTCGCAGGTGCCCGGTTTCTAAAGCGCGGAACAAACGATCTAGGCTACGTAGCCAATGATGTAGAAACCGAGCAGATCGTTTCCGAGGCGCTCACCACCTCATTCCATGCGCCTGGGCCGCGACTGTACGCGAATCCAACGTACACTTCGTACGTTCAGCACCGCGGTAGTATTCCACTTTATTGGACGCAGGATAACACTGGGGTTACTCCCAAACCGGACATCGACCTGAACTTGCCAGATCCTTTCTTCAGCGCCGCGGCGCTCCACTTCGACAATCTCTTCGAGAGATACGGGGCTCCGGTATACGTAATCAATTTGATTAAGCAGCGAGAACGGACGCCGCGAGAATCGAAACTCCTTCACGAGTATAAGCGCGCACTTGATTATCTCAACCAGTCGTTGCCGAAGGACAAGAAGATCCTTTACGAGGCGTTCGATATGGCTCGGGCTTCCAAGACGCGGGGTGGGGACGTTATAGGCACTCTAGAGCAGATTGCAGAGAAAGTACTTCGAAAGACTGGGTTCTTCCATAACGGCGATCACGAATTGGACTCACCACAGGTTCAAAACGGAGTGGCGAGGACGAACTGCATTGACTGCCTCGATCGAACAAACGCCGCCCAATTCGTTATTGCAAAGCGAGCGCTCGGACGACAGCTCCAAGCTCTGGGTATCATTGCAGGAAACACGGTGGATTATGATACGGACTGCGTCGATATCTTCACTCAAATGTTCCACGGCCATGGAGACGCAATAGCTATGCAATACGGAGGCTCCCACCTGGTCAACACAATGGCTACCTACCGAAAGATCAACCAGTGGCAGAGTAGCTCGCGAGACATGGTGGAGAGCTTCAAGCGGTACTATCACAACTCGTTCCTTGACTCTCAACGTCAAGAAGCGTACAATCTCTTCCTAGGAAACTATATCTTTACACAGGGCCAGCCTATGCTTTGGGATCTCACGACAGACTATTACCTCCACCACGAAGATCCACGCGCGTTGTTGATCAAACCCAGAAGAGACTACATACACTGGTACAGTCCGGACAATCTTCGACCACGAGAACTTCCTGCTTCAACCGCACCTTGTAAGAAGCAACTCCAGCTGGCACAAGAGGGCGTCGCTTCCTATGACGACTATTGGCTGGAATATTACCGTCCGCTAGCGGTGACTTCCTTCCTCAAAGTGTACGCCTTCCGACTGAATTGCCCCCCGAAAGACTTCAAGGACACTACGCACCCGTCGCGTCACCGTGACGTCTCTCCCTTTGTCGTCCGCAAGAAGCAGCATGATCAGAGCTCCCCAGGAAAGAAGCCGCCGCGAAAAGGCGTAACCATCCTGGACCCCTGCAGCGAAACGGAGTCCCGTAGAGACAGCATCATTTCTCGTCGCCGTAGAGACATCCATCTCAACATCCCTGAAACCGGCTCACCCATTAAACAATCTATCCTTCGAGATAGGCATTTTGAACCCTATATGCCATCTTCGGCGCCGGCGGTCACTGGGACCTTCCCCTCCCTCACCAACTCGACCTCGACGGGCGTTTCCAGCTTCAGCAAGCCCTTCAAACCCGCCGACAAGTCGCTCATACATCAATGGACACTTGCGCAGTTCCACGAAAACAGTCTCAATCCTTCTGTTTCCGGAGCTGAGGAGGATGAATACAGTCGCTATATCGAGCACCCGCTTCACCTGCCGCTCGTCGTGAGCGGCGAGACGCCAAGCGCAGATGATCCCAGTGCGCTGGAGTTCTACGAGTACTTATGCATGTCCGAGGGCAGACTCCCACACCCAGCTCGCGATCCAGAAACAGCCTCCATCCGGCCCTTGACCACCGACCTCCCCCCCCTCGACACCGATACGTCCTCTATCCGCTCTTTCAGCACGCGGCCCACCTCTGCCGCTGGCCACTCCATAAACATCCCGTTCTCGCACCCATCGGCACACCCCTACCCCCACCCACACATTCCCTCGAACTACAGCCTCTATCCGCACCAACACCCGCACTATCCACATTCTGCCCAACATCACCATCATCATGACCTGCCAGCCTTCCACGCCGGTGCCGGTAACGGCAAGTTCCAGACCGCGGAAGAAGACATCGAGGAGTTCGAAGAGTTTCTCAACGTCAAGGACAACCCGCTGGATGTGGAGGAGCAGGATGGCGGCAAGAAGAGGTACAAGGCGTACAGGCAGTGGTTGAGGGGCAAGAGCTTTTTCAAGCAGAGCAAGGTGGATCCCGAGTGGCAGAATCAGTTGCCCGTGAGGTAGGTAGTAGCTCTAGGTGCAATTCAAGCATGGGAGAGGTAGATTGTCGTGTTGAGGATTGGGAAAGAGTGGCTTACTGGAGGCTTTTGGCAGCGTTTTCAGCGATGCGCTTCCGTGGTAATAGGGTCAAGGGCTATGCGAAAGTACATACTGTACGTTAGGCTGGCCACATCATGAACTCGAGCAAGTAATGCATCACGATAATGATATCGAATCGAGTTTCATATCTGAAATTGAATTTCGCAAAAGAGAAGCTACGGAACGGGTATCTTGCAACCGAAAAACCAAGTAGCTGAGATCAAGATCGATGCGATTATACACTAGGTAGCATTCCTTATCTCTCCGCGATATTAGGTGCCAATAATCGCATGCAAAGGCGCCGCGAAGATACTCCGTTCAACCTCCAAGATGCGTCCATTAGCCGTCATTATTTTAGTGTCGTTGCGTCGTTATTGCTGTTCATGCCGGTCGGTGATATACAGAGCGCTGATCCGGTGTAGGTTCTACGTCTCCTTGACTAGTTCGAGCAATGGTTCTTTCTCGCTGGCATCGCCAACCTCTTCCTCGATGTCTTTTCTCCACCCCTTCAACCCAGCATATGTACCATATTTCACAATGTCCTTCGTCTCGCCCGCGGCACCGAAACAGCAATGCTCCACCTTCCCAAGCGGGCCCTCTCTTGGATCTTCTTCGAGCAAAACGCCAAATCTCAGCTTGGTTTCCCTGAGCTCCTTCGGGAAAGGATCGCCTCCGAGACAAGCGCCGACGCTCAACCGATCAAGCGTCGGGTTCCTGGTAGTGACCAAGATGCGGGAGAACAAGGTATCGGACGCTACACCGTTTTGATGGATGGCCCAGGCCCCCACCAAGATGAAGCCGAATGTGCATGCGACGGCAATGGCATACCCGATCCAGAGGCCTTCTCTGTGATACACGAAGACGTTGACCGTCCGAGATTTCTGGCAGGGAACTTTTTGGGTGTCGGCTACGACCAAGTGCGGCTCGCTGAGAAGGGTGATGAGCATATCTTCGTATAGGTCCTGCACCTGCTCCATTAGATCTTCCAGGGGATATGAGGTCCTCGCCTCCATGAGTCGCGTCTCCGAGATATCGCTCTTCGTCACAAAGTACGGAGCATTATAGCTGATCTGACCGCGGAGGAAATTGCGAAGCAAAGAGCCCATGGCATGGTAGCTTGCGGTGAGCTTGTATGGCTCAGCATCTTGTGGTCTTACGAAGTTTGAATCAGGCTCGGCCACAAACTCGCTGTTGTTGGACGGATTTGTGGTGATGGTTGTATCAACGACGGGGTTGAGAAAGTCTCGCTGGGTCCGCCGGTGTGTCTGAACGGTATCGGTATAGTTCATGTGGAAGGTGTAATTCGTATGATACGCGACACATTTGAAGATTTTGGGTTCGTGCACATTGCCCCACGTTTTAGCGTAAGGCGAATTCTGATCGTAGGCTTTATCGGTCTTGATCGCATAGCCTACCCAGAGAACGGGCTCCGACTCGAACACACCCAGGGATTCCGGGTAAGGCGGCGGTGGGATTGGTACACCATGGTCATTGGTTTCGATTTGCGGATTTTTGTAGTCGTCCAAGTCCACCTGCGAATAGTAAATCATGCTGCCTTGAGGAGCAAGAATACTAAGATTGAAGGGAGCATCTCCTGCATCGGGATGGCTGCTACTTGCAATTTCGTCACACTTGTACCCCGGGGCCCGGAAGTTGATGGAGTAGGTGCAGTTCCACCGTTCGCCGCACGAGTCGATAGACGCGTTTGGGTTCGTGGCCGGCTTTCTCAAATACGCGCTGGTGACTGCGAGGCGCCTCGCGTTCTTGGACGGCTGGTCGTAATAGTCGAAATAATTCGGCGCCTTCCCTTCGGTGTCGGTGGTGTTGTAATAGACGAGTGACGCCCCGGGATATACACTTTCGTTCCTGAAGTTGTAAAGCGACTCGTGCGTGAAATTTAGAGCAGCGACGGTCTTGCAAAATGTTTGGTTGTACGAGGTTTGCACCTCTGATGTTAAGGAGGCGGGCGACAGCACGGATGCTATCGGAATGAGCCTGAAGCCATATTAGCAGTCTTGATCGTCTCGCCCCAAATTCACAATGCTCACCAGCTGCACGCCGCCATCAAGGTCGCCAGCTTTCCGTTTCTTATCATCTCCCAGTTATAGAAGAATTGAGACGGGTCCTCAGTTGCCGAAAAGAGGCCATCAATACCCTTGATCGTCATCGCCTTTTTCCGGAAGGTATGCCATATCCGCTGTCTGTAGCACATGATAACCGTGCCAACCAGAGTGCTTTTGACGAAGAAAGCCAGCGCTGTCCCGTAGCGGATCATTCGCAACTGGTCCTTTGCGGGATGACCGTCCAGATGCACGTAGAACAGGTGGTGGCCCACAGCTGCCATCAAGCCCGCGACAAACAGCGCTGCTATCACCGCTGGCGTTATCCAGTGCACATGCCACTGCGCGAGCTCTCCCGCTCTTCGGTCTACCAGTGCCTGCGTGTCCGCATCCATCGTCTTGTAGCGATTCAGCGAGTTCAACGAGTATAGGGACGCCGCCGCCGATTGCACCGTCGGCGCTCGCCGTTCGACGCCTTGTACCGGCTCATACTGGCTTCCCCGATGGCCGCGCGCTGTAGGGAAGTATGATCTGGACGGCGATGGTCTGGCGGACGACTCGTCCGGTGAAGGAGCTCTGCGAAGGTCTGGAGTGCTCTGTGCGTCCATCGATGGTCGCGAGAAGCTGGCCATCTCGATGGGGTCCAATGGCGGGTCGAAAGGGTCGTACTGGTCAGAGAAGGGATCTGGCGACGCCGATCGCGAGGAGTGAGACAGGCGCTTTCCCCGAGAAGCCATGCTGAAGGCGTTCGGAGGTTTTCTACTGTGTTACGGACATTTAGCGGCAGAGGGGAAGCTGGCATGCATGAGCACAGCGCTGGACCTGAACGCGCTGCTTCGGGGTCGGTGAACTCGCACCGCACGACGCGCTACCTTTCCTTCGTGGGACGTCGGGCGCGGGTCTGGGCGATTGTCTGCGTTCTTGTGTCGCGAAGGAGTCTGCGAGGCACAAGCGGCGGCAGCAATACCGATACGGACGAAAACATGGCTTGCATTTAGCGGCTCATCAAAGATATGACGGGGCACATATGCGGAGGGGGATGGCGAGACCAGCTGTGAGCCAGCCACAGGGCCACCAAGCTGCATAAGCGCTAAAGCGCATTGGGTCACCATGCATCAGAGAACGCCTATAGTCGCCGCTGAGTCTGTGTGTGCGGATGACGTCTCGGCGAGGCTGCAGGCCGGGTCAGCTCGCACGTTTTCGAGTCCCGAGGGGCTGGGCAGGTGTGGTAGGATTCCCCGGGACAGCGATGAGCCTCGTGAAACCTACGATATCTGAAACATATGCTAATCATAGCCTCATTCAGCGCGAGGCTAGCGGGCGCGCTTGTGGTCCGTGGCTTGTAGGGCTGGTTCGCCATGAAGTCTTGCCTTGAGCATGGATGGAAGAAAGGTAAGACGCAACACTGTCCGTGCCTCTGCTGTTCTATGCGGTCTGTGATTGGTGATCTTATTCCAATTCTATGTAAGGCACCTCAAGGGCCTCCAGGTAGATACCGACATATTGTGTATACCCTCCTCCATCCCTATAGAGGCGACGGGAAGGGCCCCGAAAGGCGTCAGGACTCCCTATACCTACGCGATCTTGACGCACAGTTTGCCAAAGTGCTTCTGGTCCCACATGTACTCATACGCCTCCTTCAGCTGCGTCAGCTCGAACATCTTCTCGTCCACAATGGGGTGGATGTCGTTCGCTTCGATGGCGCGATTCATGTCCTCAAACTGCAGCCTGCTGCCCACGAGGAGACCGCGGACAGTGCAGACGTTGTTCAAGCAGTCGAGGAACGAGGGCTGCTGCTTGTCGAAGCCTCCAATGAAGCCGATGATCGAAATCACGCCGTCGATCTTGATGGCTTTGAGGGACTGCGCCATTGTGGTCGGACCGCCGACCTCGACGACGTGCTCGACGCCGGCGCCGCCGGGGGTCAGTTTCTTGGCTTCCTCGCCCCAGTTGGGATTCTCTTTGTAGTTGATGATGTGGTCGGCGCCGTATTTCTTGAGTAGTTCGGCTTTTTGGGGTGACGAGGTGGTGGCGATGACCCGGGCGCCTGCCGCTTTTGCGAATTGAAGGGCGAAGATGCTGACGCCGCCAGTGCCCTGGGTGAGCACAGTCTGGCCGGGCTTGAGTGCTCGTGTCTCGAGGCCGTAGAGCGCATTCCAGGCAGTGAGCGCAGCGCAGCTGAGCGTGCTGGCTTCGAGGAAGTTGAGGTTGGTCGGCATCTGCACGAGGCCTTGCTCATCGAAGGAGGCATATTCGCGAAGGGTGCCGTCCACGACGCCTCCAAGGCCGGTTTGGAGGCTTGCGCCATCAAGCGAGCCGCCAAGGTGGCCTTGGTTGAAGAGCGTTACGACCTTGTCTGTGTCCCAAAGTCAGCCAGCATGCTCCACAGCACCGCGGGACATCAAGCACGAACCTCCAGGCTTGAATCGCGTTACCCGCGGTCCGACAGCTTCGACAGTGCCGGCGCCGTCGGATCCAGGGACGACACCGTCTTTGACGCCGAACGGGTATTTTCCCTAGGGCAGTTAGAAGGTGGTCGCGTCGTCACGTGGCATGACATCGTACTTTGGGAATGATGAGGTCGCGGTAATTCAGAGACGCTGCGTGCACTGGGGCCAATTAGCCTGGAGTGGTACGAACTGCAGCATGCAATGCCTACTCTTGACGAGAACATCCTTGTCGCCCAATTGAGGAACGGGCGCGTTCGCATTGAGCTTCAGCGAATCGAAGCCGGACGTTCCGTGCACATTCCACTGCTTGGCCGTTGAGGGTGCCATGGTGCTAAATCTGGAGACGGATGTTCGTAAGAGTAGATGAGAAGTAAGGGGGAGAACCGGATATGGGAGGGCAATGCGCGATCAATTAATGGAAAGAGCGCGGCAATGCAATGTGGTGCATCATCGGCAGTGAGAACCTTCCATTATTTGTATACCGATGTGGGGTCCTGTCGTGACGCAATATCTAGCTACAAACGTCGTCCACATTCTAGCCGTACTACCTATGGAACGGCACGGAATGTTCCAGTTGGCTCGGCTGGTGTTTAAGATTTCTGGAGCAAAGGCATTCTTGCTCCATGGAGAAGGTGGGACGAGGTGTCGATGCAAACCCGCTCGGAACTGGCTCGGACTGGCTCGGAGATGGATTCAAGAGGAAGTTTTGAAGCCTACAACTGGTCGCACATGACAAATCAGGCTCATTTTCTAATCAAGTCTATCGGATTCATAATCATACAATTACTTCTTGGTAGTACAGTCAGTTACGGGCAGCCGCCCAGGGGTATCGCTCATGGTCTCATAGCCATCCCCGCCGTAGCCGTGACGAACGCCTGAGCTATGCAAAACAAAGAAAAGGAAATAAACCTCATTGGACGCCATACTCTCTTCAATCCACCAGTCAGTCCAGCTCCGTCGTCGGCTGGCCGGCGAGAAGAGAGACGGCCAGCCGACGACGGGCATCGTCCATGAACTCGACAGGCACAACCCGGCTGTGCTCCTCACCGCGGAGCAGACACAGAGCATTGAGTAGGGTGAATACACCGCAGTCACTGGAGTTCTGCTGCTTCTGGCTACGCTCCCGCTGCTGGTCGTCCTTCCACTCGGCGGCGACGTAGAGGTCACCCAGTTCCATCTTGAGCCAATCACGAGCGACCTTCACAATACCCCCCTCACTCTTTCTGCCCAATGAATCGTAAACCTCGATGAAGCGTTCTCTACCCTTGATGGCGAGTAGTACCCAGTGGTTTCCGCCCAAGCAGATCGGGAAGAGCATCAACCTGGCATCGAGCAGCAGCGTTCCGGCGAGGTTCTTCCTGAAAGCCCAACGCGCGACTGAAGTAGGATTGTTGCACATGTTGTTGTACCATTGGGAAGCGAAAGCGTGCACAGAGGGAGCAGGCCCATCCTTCTGATGTTCATAGCCCTCCTTCTTCTTGATGTCGTCGACGAGGGTGTTGAGATATTCATTGACAATGTTGTCATTCAGCCAGGCCCTAGGATCACCATTGAATTCCCGGGGCAAGAGAGTGCTGAAGTCGTGAGTGGATAGCTTGCCGGGGACAAGCTGAATGTGGTTCCTTCCATTATCGGTGGCCTTGATTGCAGCATTCAGGATATCCTTCTCTGCATCCGTCAACGGGGACACGAGGGGCTTCGTAGTCGGAGCTGGCACGAGCGGGATGTTCTGGGGTGGAGCGATCTTCAATTGTTGCTCAACGTCTTCGTAAAGCTCGTCGACCAGCTCAATGGACAACTGTGATTCTTCGAGGGAATCTTCATCGTCAGAGTAGTCGAAGATGTCCTGGGGCACTCCGCGGAAACCGCCGTCGTCACTGTCAATATGCAGGGCGGCTGTCAAGTCTTCGACGAGAGAGACTTCGGGAATGTCGGACTTCGGAGGAGCCTTCCTGGTCGGACTGTCCGGGCACTTCTCAGGCGACTTGCTCTCTTCGAAAAAGTGGCCTTCTTCAGCTAACCGGCCCTCTTCAGCTAACAGGCCCTCTTCGGATGACTGGCTCATCCTAAGAGCAGCCCTCGCCGCAGCCGGGTCCGTGCACGAGATGATGCTGAGCAGCGTGGAGTCTTGGTACTCCGAGACAAGGGCATCCTGATAGAAAGTCCTCACATGTTGGTTCACAGTGAAAGTGACTGACTTCTTTGCTGGTGGCGTCGGCGCATCCGGCAGCGTGGAGAGGTCGTTGTCATACGAAGAGGTGGTGTGGATGGAGACCTGGGTGTTGTCCCCAGTCTCTTCAACATCGAGGTTATCCTTGGCTCGGGCCTCGGCGTTTCCGTTGTTCCGGGCATCATGTGCAGCCTTGTATTTAGCGTGCGCGACGCGCGCCGCCGTCGCAATCGCTCGTGCGCGCTCCAGGTGGAGAGCGGACTTAAGGACGTTGGTTCTGAGGGGGCCCCTGTGGGGAGGGGGGCTTGATGGCCTAGTGTGATAGCCTCGCGCTGAGAACGTGGGCGACAGGCGGTGGAGCTCAAGGAGCTTGTTGCACGGGCTTGGAGAACCGGAGATAGAGGTCTTCGAGCCGATCATGGCCGGTGAGTTGGTGGATGCCTTCGTCGGAGTGCTCACAGGAGTATCATTCTTCCGAGCAGGCGATGGTGAGACGTGGTTACAGTCCGGAGCCTTGGTGGTGGGGCTGGACGCACGGCGGCTAGTGGAGTCATCATCAGATGGCTTGGGTGCGAATATGTTGGGCGGAGTATTGTCGAAGTCTGGCGGAACATAGTATCCTCCTGTCGGCCACATCTGGGTAATATTGAATGACATGCCCTGACTGTTTGGCAAGGCAGGCGTCATTTTGATGGGCGACGGGGGGGCAGTAGGAAAGGATGGTTCGACGCGGCGTCTGACAGGCGTAACAGGCGTAACGGGTTCGACGGGTAGAGCCTTGACAGGCGAATCGCTGGATTCGAAGACGTGACGTGGGGTCGATGTAAGCGAGGGTTCAAACTCACTCCAGTCGGCGGCGTCCTCCATGGCGCAGTCCACGATGGCGTCCTTCATAGCGCAGTCCTCCTCAAGGCCAATTGGGGAGCCATCAACAGAGGTGAAGCTCGCATCCTGAGGTGATGACGGTGGGGTCATGTCGACATCGACATCGCTGATAGGAGTGACATTGTGGGTAGGGGTAGCGTTGGCGATGAAGGCAGCTTCGACGGTGAGGGCAGTGTTGGTCGTGAGGGCAGCAACAGTATCAGGTTGCACGACGGGGCTGTCTGGCCACGTGCCCGGGAGCCAACAGTTGAACTTGAGAGAGCTTGGTGGGCTCCGACGTAATTGCTGTAATTGCTGCTTGCTGCGTCGAGCGTTGCCAGCGCGCGGCTTGGTGGGCGTGACGGGGTCAGCAGCGCCCATGTCAATGAGTCGCTTCTTGCGGGCTCCATCCTGGCGTGTGACTGACTCGACGCGGATGAGCTGCGGGCGAAGGAAACGCTGAGCGAGGTTGTACGGAAGGCCGAGTATGTTTCGAATCGCAACGGTCGGGACGAACTTGCGGATGGTGGTGAAGAACCAAACCGCGACGGGGTTGGAGGACTCGGACAGTGGGCTCTGGTTGCAAATGCGCGGCCACTGGCCCGGAATGGGGAGCAGTGACGGTGAAGTCGGGGGCGAGGAAGGTGTCTGCTGTTTGCGTGAGCTGCTTGTTTGCTGTCGAAGGTGGGGTGCGACGGAAACGAACCTGCGACCGAGGGGCGCCGAAGCCGTCGCCGGCATCGACTAGCATGTCGTCAGACGTATGGGAAGTGGCCGCGAAGGCACGTTTCCGTGACATCGTGGATTTCGCAATTGCTGCTGTGTGTGCAGATTGCGAAGTCACGACGTGAAAGCGTGGTGGAGGGAAGAGGGAAGTCGCGAACGCGCAGGTAAAAGTAGGCGGGGAGCAATTCTTGGCAGGTACGGGGGCCCGTGCGAAGCGAGGAGCTGCAGCCTTGGCAACGCCCGGAGCTTTGCCGACGAACAACCCCACCTTCTGTGTTTGTGCCCCTGCGCAGGGCCGGAACAGGCAGGCTCCCCATTGGCTTGGAATGCGCGGCGACGGCCAGGCCAGCATGCAATTATCGTCCTCCATTGCACTGCTTCGGCTTCGTCTTTCTTCGCTAACTCGCCTATTGAATTAGCACACGAGCGCCGGCCTCGTAAATCTACGAGTCATTCCCAATTGACCTCGCCCTAGATTCCACACTCAATATCCAAACGGATCCGGAGTACTCCCCCGTACCCTATCCGCATGGAACACATCGAAAAGCACGGATTAGGCCTCCGACCCTGCAGTGGTTGCTATGATCTTTCCCCTGGTCAACACAGCAGAGTGCGATTGCGGTATGATATGATGTGCGATGCGGCTGAAAGCGGTTGCGTTGGCTGCATCCATTTACGACGGGCTGTAGAGCATTGTGTACCCAATGTTACTGGAGAGAGCGTGGACGCTATGATCCTGTATCGGGTGTCGCGCTTCGGAGAAAACAGTCTAGAGCTAGAGGTCGAACACTGCCACGACAGGATTGCTATTGAGTTCTTCTGTATTCCTGGTGAGGGCGCTCTACAAAGATTCCAGGGGTTGCACCCAGTACTGACGACATTGCCGACAGATACGGACTGCCCCTGGTCCAACATTCTACGAAGAGATCTCGAAACACCAGGGGATACACGCTCAGAGCAGAGCCTTGAACAAGTGCGGCTTTGGCTAGACTACTGTTTACGCAATCATGCGCCCTGCGGTCGAAATACTTCAACCATGCTCCCCACGAGAATCTTAGACGTTAGTGGGGATGATCCCATCATCACTCTTCGCGAGACCAACCAACAGAGAGCGCAATACATTGCTTTGAGCCATTGCTGGGGTCCTTCCCAAATCATCCGAACAACCACGGCAACTCTTGAATCACACAAGCGTGGTGTCCCGCTATCAGCACTTAGCAACACATTCCGGGATACGGTTCACATAGCGAGGGCGCTAGGGATACGTTACTTGTGGATCGATAGCCTCTGCATCATTCAAGATAGTGCAGCAGACTGGGAATGCGAGGCCGCTCGCATGGCATCAGTCTACTCGAACGCTGTTCTGACCATCTCGGCGGTCAAGTCAGCAAGCGGAGAAGGAGGTCTGTTCAGCCAGAACCCCGAGATAGAACTCAGAGGTACGAATGCCGATGGCTCTCCATACATAATGATGGCTCGCAGGAAGATCCAACACTGGTACCGTCCCCACACGCCACTACTGAGCCGTGGTTGGGTATACCAAGAACGTCTACTTTCGCCACGCCTCTTGCATTTTGGCGAACAAGAGCTGTTCTGGGAGTGTATGGCTAGTACGACATGCCAGTGTACTGGCATCGGCGACGCAGCTATAGGCGGCCTCGATCGTTACGAAGACGGACTGTTGGGAAAGCAGATGTATGCCTCAATATACGGAAACAGTAGCCTAGAGTCCGTCAACACGCCGGATATTTTAGGCAGACTTTGGCGTAGGATGGTGCGAGAGTATTCGTTCCTCAGCCTCACGGTTACGTCTGATAAGCTGCCTGCGCTGCTTGGCCTGGCCACCTCTATGGAAGCTTATCGCAACTCAAGGTACCTCAACGGGGTGTGGGAGGACAGTCTTCTGGCTGATCTGCTGTGGTTCCAAATTTACCCACGCGAGGCTCGATCCCTGGTTACCGAACCGAGCTGGACCTGGGCGTCTGTCGACGGTAGGATACATTTCTTCGACACCTTCGATCTCAAGGAGTCAATCGTAGATACACTTTGTGAAGTCAGTCTCGTGACACCGGATGGTGACGGTGACGTTGAGGCGGGGAAACTAGCTCTAAGGCTACGAGGCGAAGTGGATCCGATGAGGGGCTCGATAAGACATCCGAAAGTGGTAGGCGGGAAGACCACCATTGGGTTCGAAGATGGCCGTGTATTTGATGGGATAATCTTCTTCGAGGACTTTGTTCTCTCTCGAAAGGGGAGCGATGTATCTGACGGGCTGGAGGTACTCTGTATTCCGATGGCTCTCACGTCTAGCGGCAGGGAGTACTCCTTGGCCCTTAAGAGATTGGAACAACGGAAAAATGTTTTCGAGCGGATCGGCCTTCTTCAGATACGAGACAGAGCAAGGATAGGAGGAGTCCATGGACACCAACTAAATCTAGAAGATATGCGTGAGGGACGAGGGAGGGCTGTGGAAGTAATCTGACCACGCAATACGGGATTATTGGGGACAGCATAGAGTCCGTGCCCAGGTGCATTCATCCATTGAGACCTCACAGAGGCGCGTTTCAAGCCGGAAGTAGAACACCTTGTTTTGCATGTGGCAGTGTACGTAGAGAGTTCACCAAAGGGCGTAGGCACTTCTGTGTGTACCGTATTAATAATAGTGTCAGACGGTGCACGATCCTGAATGAAATGAACAACATAGTGACAATGTGAACTAGAGCGCATCAAAGCCGCGTCTCAACGAAGAACAGGGGTTGGTAGCCCGGGATGACTTATTGCGTCGGAAGCGGCGAATGGTTTAACCGATGCTCTGCCAAGGCTGTATTCATGCAGGCAAGGGTGCGACTCTCAATTCACAACCCATTCTTCTGCCCAAGCCCTGCTCCACCCTCGAAGCCCTTCTGATCGCTGCATATACCTGCCTAGACTTCGACCTCACTTCCACAGCCGCCTGCGATCTGCGCACGGCGTCTTTTGAGCCTTGCACGTCATTGACCCAGTTTGAAGCGGCAAGAACCCCCTCGCACGACAGCACCCACGACAACAAGCGACACCCATCTGCAGAACAACGCCAGCCCCCGCATACCCAACATGGATACCAATATGGAGGATGTCAAGATTTCCGAGCCTATGCAGATGTCGTCAGTTCCGCTCACCGAGCCCGCATCAATTCCGACGCTGGACGGCTGGATTGAGGGTCTCATGAACTGCAAACAGTTGGCGGAGAGTGACGTGCAGAGACTTTGCGATAAGGTATGCGAGAGCTCCCGCTCAAAAGTGTCGGTGAGAATTGTGCATTGACAGCCGCTGTTTGATAGGCTCGTGAGGTTCTTCAGGAGGAGTCAAACGTGCAGCCAGTCGTAAGTACCATATCCCTCCGAGGCCTGGCGACTAGCTCACAAAGATTAGAAATGCCCTGTCACGGTGTGCGGTGATATCCATGGCCAGTTTCACGATTTGATGGAGCTGTTCAAGATCGGTGGCCCCAATCCCGATACCAACTATCTGTTCATGGGTACGCTCGCAGCTCGCATTCCGTAAGGCTCCTCTAACAGTTTACAGGAGACTACGTCGACCGAGGCTATTTCTCCGTCGAGACCGTGACCCTCCTCGTTGCACTCAAGATTCGATACCCCCAGCGCATCACGATCCTGCGTGGTAACCACGAGTCGCGACAAATCACTCAAGTGTATGGCTTCTACGACGAGTGCTTGCGAAAGTACGGCAACGCCAATGTCTGGAAATACTTCACGGATCTCTTCGATTATCTGCCGCTCACCGCTTTGATCGACAATCAGATCTTCTGCCTCCACGGTGGGCTGTCTCCCAGCATCGACACCCTCGACAACATCCGCGCTCTTGATCGGATACAAGAGGTGCCGCACGAGGGACCAATGTGCGATCTCCTCTGGTCGGACCCGGACGACAGGTGCGGCTGGGGCATATCTCCCCGAGGTGCTGGATACACCTTTGGCCAGGACATCTCCGAGGCCTTCAACCACAACAACGGCCTAACCCTCGTAGCAAGGGCACATCAGCTTGTCATGGAAGGGTACAATTGGTCTCAGGATAGGAACGTGGTAACGATATTCTCTGGTATGATTTTCCCTCTGTTCTTCAAGCTTTGCTAACAGCGATAGCGCCAAACTACTGCTACAGGTGCGGCAACCAGGCGGCTATTATGGAGATTGACGAGCATCTGAAGTATACCTTGTATGTGTTCTTACTCTACCCTTGTAGATCATTGCTAATATACCACGTAGCTTGCAGTTCGACCCGTGCCCGCGAGCTGGTGAGCCTATGGTGTCTCGCAGGACTCCGGACTACTTCCTTTAAAGTGGCGCCGTACCTCATGTTTCTTAAAACAGCATCATAGAAGGGAATTGCATTAGTCTATTCCAATAATTGCAGGGCGCAGCTTCGTTAGTAATGACTTCTAGCGTCGTGAAGCCTGGAGGGAGGCGGCCAGCCTTGAAGTGCCCTGGGCACAACCACAGGGTGGATAAGGGCGAATTGCGGCGACTCACAGAATCTGATAGCGTTTGGTGGGTGCCTTCAGTATGACAGGTGATATACGACAAAGGAAACACATTTGAGAAAGGCCCTCTTGATGTAAAGTGACTATGACACGCAGACAAAATCTATCAAAAGCACAGGCGAAAGAGTGTTGGCCAGCGTGTCGACTATAACAGGGACCAAAGGCTTCTGATGGTCGAGCCGGCAGCGCTGGCAGCCTCGCTTTCCAAGGCTGGTCCAGGGGTTGAAATCGACCATTCCCAAATAGGAAAGCTAATTGAGAAAACGCGACACTGCGACGCGTCGACGCGCCCCTCCTCCCCGCGGCAAAACTCGCAACCTTCAGACTCCCGCAGCACAATCGCACAACACAACGCCTCGCTCACCATGTCTTCCCTTCTGGATGCTGTTCTCAACTCGGATGCCGCTCCCACTCCTTCAAGCGACGTTGGAAACCCAAGGCGGTCGCAAATGCGCTCCTCGTCCGCCCGGCCCCGTGCACCCCCTTCCGAAAGCGCCGGTGCGAACAGCGACGTCGACGGCTTTCCAGATGACGAAGTCGTAGGTGCGAGGGTGCCTGGCCGGAGAGCCAACGGACCCAGAGCGGATATACCCAAGGTGGTCGACCTGACGGGAGAAACGCTGTCTGTTCGATTTCAGGAGTTCCTGGAGAGGTAGGCTCGATCACGCTGCTGAGGGTCGCCAGCTTTTAACACAATGGCAGCTACACGGAAGATCCGACGTCGTCAGCGCTGCCGGTGTCGAGTATCCCCACCACGGACAAATACTACATTGACCAAATCAGAGGCATGAAGCTGTACGGCCTCTCCACACTCTACGTCGATTACACGCACTTGCAGAGGCACGAGGATGGTGTCGTGGCAGCGGCTGTTGCCAGCGAGTACTACCGATTTCTCCCATACATGGTCCGCGCCCTCCACGCCCTCATTGCGAAGTATGAGCCGGACTACTTCCGCCAGCATCGCCAGCCCACATCGACCACATCGGTCTCTGCTACGTCGAACGCCGGCAACGCGACGAGTCAGAATGAGAGCCTCAACGAGAAGACAGCGAACCAGCAGACCGACAAGCTGTTCACACTCGCCTTCTACAACCTTCCCCTCATCTCCCGCATCCGACAGCTGCGAACAGAATCCATTGGTCGATTGTTGTCCATCTCGGGCACTGTCACTCGCACTTCGGAAGTCCGGCCTGAGCTTTCTTTGGCCACCTTTATATGCGAGGCTTGCAATACCGTAGTACCGAGCATCGAGCAGACGTTCAAATACACAGAACCCACCCAATGTCCAAACACGACATGCATGAACCGAGAAGGGTGGCGACTAGATATCAGACAATCTACCTTCGTGGACTGGCAGAAGGTACGGATTCAAGAGAACAGTTCTGAGATCCCAACAGGCAGCATGCCTCGGACAATGGACGTCATCTTGCGAGGCGAAATGGTCGATCGCGCCAAAGCTGGAGAGAAGTGCATCTTCACGGGAACCGTCATCGTAATTCCGGACGTGAGTCAGTTCAGAGTACCAGGTGTGAGGCCTCAGGCGACTCGAGACAACTCAAACAGCGCCCGCGGTAATGATGTCGGCGGCTCCGGCGTCAGCGGTCTCAAAGCGTTGGGTGTACGCGACCTTACCTACCGGATGTCATTCTTGGCCTGCATGGTGACGCCAGACACTTCTACCCCAGGGCAGCCGTCGAATCATCGTATGACTGGTCAAGCAGGAAACATCCTCGCTTCGCTCAACCAGGTACAAGCACTGGAGACGACGGCATCTGGCGAAGAAGCGCAGGCAGAATACCTCGCAACTCTCACTCCCTCCGAGATCCAGGACTTGAAGGATATGGTCCAGAAACCCCACATCTATATGCGCCTGGTGGACTCGATTGCACCTACAGTCTATGGTCACCAGGTCATCAAGAAAGGGCTTTTGCTCCAGCTTATGAGTGGTGTCTCCAAAGAGACGCCTGAAGGCATGGCTTTGCGTGGAGATATCAATATTTGCATTGTTGGGGATCCTTCTACGTCCAAGTCCCAATTCCTGAAGTATATCTGCAGCTTCTTGCCACGGGCAGTCTACACCTCCGGCAAGGCCTCTTCCGCCGCAGGTCTCACAGCTGCAGTAGTCAAGGACGAGGAAACTGGAGATTTCACCATCGAAGCCGGAGCCCTCATGCTCGCAGACAATGGCATCTGCGCCATCGACGAGTTCGACAAAATGGACATCGCCGACCAAGTCGCTATCCACGAAGCCATGGAACAACAGACCATCTCCATCGCCAAAGCAGGTATCCAAGCAACCCTCAATGCGCGTACTTCCATCCTTGCGGCAGCCAACCCCGTCGGCGGCCGCTACAACCGCAAGACGACTCTCCGTGCCAACGTCAACATGTCTGCACCTATCATGTCCCGCTTTGATCTCTTCTTCGTTGTTCTAGACGAGTGCGACGAGGACGTCGACCGCCACCTCGCAGAGCACATCGTCGGTATCCACAAAGACCGCGATGACGCTATCGAGCCTGAGTTCAGCACCGAGCAGCTTCAGCGCTACATCCGCTTTGCGCGTACGTTCAAGCCAGAGTTCACCGACGAGGCGAAGGAGACGCTGGTGGAGAAGTACAAGGAACTGCGCGCGGACGACGCGCAGGGTGGCATTGGTCGCAATAGCTATCGCATAACGGTCCGTCAACTAGAGAGCATGATTCGGTTGTCTGAGGCTATTGCGAAGGCGAACTGTGTCAGCGAGATCACGCCCGAGTTCGTCAAGGAAGCGTACAATCTCCTCCGTCAATCCATCATCAGCGTTGAGAAAGACGACGTCGAAGTTGAAGACGAGGACGACGAGGCGATGCTCGCTGCGGCAGCAGCCGCTGAAACGCAAGATGGCGACGCGGAGATGGATGATGAGCAGCAGGGCGAACGGGTGCGGACAGCGAGCCGTACACCTGCACCTGCGCCGCGCGAGAAGACGAAGATCACGCACGACAAATACGTCGCGATGCGCAACCTCTTCGTCAAGCGCGTCAACGACGATCAAGCCTCGACTGAAGATGGCGTCGAGGAAGAGGAGCTCTTGGTCTGGTACTTGGAGCAGAAGGAAGCGGAGCTTGATACCCAGGAGGATCTGGAGAAGGAGAGGGCGCTTGCGAAGAAGGTGCTCAAGAAGGTCTGCAAGGTACGTGTGCTATCCAGCCCTTGCCTAGAGCACAGGACTAACAGAATGTACAGGAGCAATATCTCATGCAGATTCGCGGCGAGGGTCTAGCGGACGACCAGGGTCAGGGACCTCAGGATTCGGAGAAGGTGGTATACGTGTTGCATCCGAACTGCCCGGTGGAGGATATTGTTTGATTGCAGCGCTGATGGGAACGTGGACACGCATAATGAGGTAATAAATGCGGCTTCCGGGGTGTCAGAACCAGGCGTTTTGTGGATATAGTGCAGCATAGGTTCTGGATAGGCGTCTTTTCAATGTTCAGAAGATTCATATGCCTTAAGCTTGTTCCTCTGTGTGGAGGACCGTTCTCGCATTTGGAGATATTGCTAGGCCTCAAGTCCTTCAACGCGGTCTTATAGGTAGATGCACGTTTGACTGTGCTCTTAATCGCTCCTAAAAGGGCAATGGAAAACCATTCAGGTCCTTGAAGAAGAATTTCCCATTGTGGTATCATGACCGTTATTCTTAGACGCCGTGTCCCCGAAACCAAGTCCAACGCCCATGTCCATGCCGTGCCGTGATCATGCCAATATCGTTCAGTCATACACCATAGCGCTAGTGATGATTCTCCGAAGATGTAGCACGAATTGTATCGTAGGATGAAATGGAGCAGGCCCATCCTATTGGACCATGACATCCACGGCTTCCCTATTACTGCCGTTTGTCTGACTCCCATTCTCTTCCCCATCCTGCAAACCCAGCGGCAACGATGGCGGTAAGTCTTTGCCAACCTCCCTTGCTTTGGTTTCTGCCCACAGCCGAAGCCGGACGAGACTGCGCATGCGGGACTCGCCGCGCGTGCCCATGCTTGTGAGGATTGCTTCGTTAACTTTGCTAGCGACTTGCCGTCGTAATGTTGGTTTCAGCAGCTCCGCCAGCTGAGGCTGGAGGTTGTCGGAAGGAAGGAAGATAAGGAGGGACATGGTAAGCTCGAGGTCTCTTAGAAAATCGGGGTTCGTCGCGGCGCGCGGGGCGAGCTGTGATGAGGCGAAGTTTAGGGCGGGCGTTATGTCTGAGGTCTGGGACGAGGTGCACTTGCGGATAAGTTCGATAAGCTGAAGACGTAATAGAGCGAAGTGTAGAGCGGGGTCTGTATCGAGAATCTATAAGAAATTGTCAGCCGAGCTCAGGAGAGTAGCTTATTGACTCGATGTTCTTGAGCTGCTTGCGTATCATACTGAGGACTGAAGGTTTGTTTATCATCAAAACCCGTAGGCTATGCGTGGTGCATGAAACTGGTTATAATCCTGCAAGGGAGGGGATAGGGAAATGGTGAACATGAGAAAGACGTACCTGCGGATTGAGATCGTTGATCTTATTGATAGCGGTATCAATATCGCCAGCATGAATGGCCCTCCGGATCTCTACGCGCGACTGAATGGACTCCTCCTCAAGAGGAAGCTGAATGTTCGCTTCCTTTGCAAATTTCTCCGCAGCCCGCGGATATCCTTCGCTGATAAGGTAATCCATGACGACGAAGTTGATGTCCCTGCGGAGAGCACAATTAGCACCGTGTGCACTGTTTTCCTATAAAAAATTTGGTGGGAAAGATAGTGAAGCAAGAAATACTTGCTTTGAAAATCAGAAAACAAGTTAACACGTTCTCCACACGTAGTTTCGGAGAGATTCCCAACTTGATATCGACACATCATGTGAACGGTGCATGGTTTGCAATAGATGCATAGCACAGAAGAACGACTTACGTTTTGGAGGGCTTAATTTCATCGACCTTCCGCTGGAAGGGATGCTGCGTTGGCGTCGCAGCCGACACAGAGACGGTGGAAGAGCTCTAGAGCAATCGGTTAGCAGCTGAGCATAGCTTTTGAGCAGCGGAAACTGACCATGGTAGTCTTCAGTGTCCTCGCCGGACGTCCATCAGTAAAAGTGATAGGCGGCTCGACCGTGGCCGAGGAAGCGTGGGCCCATGCAGAGTTTGCGAGTGGAACAAGTGAGGTTTGAGGTGCAAGCTGCGGGCAGACCGAGCTCTTTAGCGAGATTGTGGCTCGTGCGCTTTTTATGTAAGCCAGCCGTCCCGAGTTCAAGTTCGTCGCACAAGCCTCGGCGTCATCCTTGCCATTACATTCGCATTTCTCTATTTCTTGCCATATAGATTTATTTGTCACTCGTTATGAGGTGATACTCTCAAGTAATTGGCTGTTCGACTCGAAGTCCAGCCATGGCGATGACAACTCCAACTCGCCGAATCCACTACTCTCCCCCGTGGGGAAATGCCAGCATCATTGGAGTAGCAGGGAGCTCCGGATCAGGAAAGACATCTTTAGCCTTAGCTATCGTGGCTTCCCTGAACCTCCCCTGGGTTGTGATCCTGTCCATGGTGCGTTAGCGCTCTCGGACACCCGCATAAGAAGGTCACGTGTGCCAACATTAAGTGGAACAGGATTCTTTCTACAAGCCGTTGACGCCGGCCCAATCCGCAGCGGCTTTCAGAAATGAGTTCGATTTTGACTCGCCGGACGCCATTGACTTTGACGTGCTAGTGGACAGGTTACGAGACGTCAAAAATGGGTATGCTACAAAGTAAAGAGCATATAAACCAATGGCTGATATGATGCTTAGAAAGGTTGCTGACATACCAGTCTACTCTTTTCAGAAACATGCTAGGCTGGAGCAAACCACGACCATCTACTCTCCGCATGTGCTTATTTTGGAAGGCATCTTTGCCCTGCACGATCAGCGTGTATTGGATATGCTGGACTTGAAGATCTTCGCCGAAGCAGATGCAGACCTTTGTCTCTCTAGAAGGCGTATGGCTTATATTACACTCCGGCCATATAGTTAGTAGTTAACGAAGCACAGTGGTCCGAGATGTCAAAGAACGCGGCCGCGATATCGACGGCTGCATAAAACAATGGTTCGGCTTCGTCAAGCCAAACTTCTCCAAATACGTCGCGCCCCAGCGCGAAATCGCCGACATTATTATTCCGCGCGGCATCGAAAATAAAGTGGCCATCGCCATGATCAGCTCCCAAATCCAGAAGACGTTGCAGCACAAGTCGGCCCAGCACCAACTCGAGCTTACTCGGCTTGGGAAGATCGCAGAGGACAGCCCGTTGTCCCCAAACGCAATTATCATTAAGCAGACGAATCAGGTTAAGGCCATCCATACGCTCCTCATGGATGAGACGACCAGTACGGAAGACTATATATTTTACTTTGACCGGATGGTCGCTTTGCTCATTGAGACGGCGGTTGACTTCCTACCCTTCACGCCCTCTCAAGTCACGACGCCACAAGGACACGTGTACATGGGCCTTAAGAAGACTGCGGAAATCAGTGCGGTGGTAGTCCTCCGCGGTGGCAGCGCCTTCGAAACTGGGCTTCGACGCACGATCCCCGATTGTCGCATCGGCAGGATACTCATCCAGACGAACTATCGGACGGGCGAGCCAGAACTGCATTACCGGGCGCTGCCCGCGAACATCAAGCAGTGTGGGCTTGTGTTGGTGCTTGATCCGCAGATGTCAAGTGGTGGAGCGGCGCTGATGGCGGTTAAGGTGTTGGTGGATCATGGAGTGCCAGAAGACAGGATTGTGTTCGTGACGTACATGGCGGGAAGAGTGGGCGTGAATCGGGTGTTGAGGGTTTTCCCGGAGGCCCGTTGCGTGGTGGCTAGGATGGGGGACGATATGGAGAATCGATGGGTAGAAACTAGATATTTAGGATGTTGACAAGGGTCGATTAACTGTCATTAGGCTATAGCGGCCTGATAAGCGGTTGGATAGACAGGGTTTTGGCTGGGGAATGTATCCGGGCGTGCCATGGCAGCGGGACAGTTGATGCATATCACGCATGAAGGTAACACAATCAGGAGGGTAGCTTTCATGCATATATTATTACATCGGCAGCTCTAAGATACGGAAAGCTTGATGCGATTCTCACACCTTGCCACCAAGCCATGTCCATAAACGCCACGTAGCCCTAGGCCGCTATTACCAACGCCGTCATCCCAAACCGCATTCCTGACGTATATACACTGCGCTTGTTAAGGGTATCATAGGAAGTACTCCGTCGTTACCTCCTTCCCTTGTTGCTGCTGCTGTTCCGCCCGGTGTACGTCGTTGTCCGGGCTTGCATCGAAAACGTTGAAAAACCTTTCCCCGGTATCGCTAACTTCCAGCACGCTTGCCATATTCCCGCATCGATAACAGTAGTTCGGTGCGCTCCATACTGTGCTTAAACGATCGTCGTATAACACTTGAAATCCTTCCTGACATAGCTGGTGTGCCCGTAATATGTGGGACATGGCATTGACCTCCAGGAATTTCTTGACCACCTGAGCCCCAAACGTATACCCCGCCCCTCTCGGGCTGAGCGAAAATTCATCTCTTTCTGGATCTGGATCACTCCACACAAGATCCGCCATGGGCCCTTCGTGAGGTATTTCCCGGAAGCGGTCAATGATCTTGATTTGATCGATCGAGTGTATGGAGGGCGACAGGCCGCCGTGGACGCAGAATATCTGGTCGTTGATCACCACCGAAAGGGTGAGGAAATCAAACATGTCGGTAAAGTAGTGCCATACGTTCGCATTCCCGTATTTTCGAGAGCACTCGGTGTAGAAACCGTAGGACTGCGTGACGCCGCGAGACTCGTGGTTCCCGCGAATAAGGTGGACTCGGTGCGGGTAGCGGAGCTTGAGGCAGACAAGCAACGAAATCGTTTCGACGGAAAAGAGACCGCGGTCGACATAATCGCCTATAGAGCACAGCCTCGTCAGTTAAGGTCGCGTGCCATGGGTGGAGGCCGCCCACGTACCCAGGAAGAGGTAGTTGGTGTCCGGACAAGGCCCGCCAATCTTGAATATCTCAATCATGTCGAAGAACTGGCCGTGTATGTCGCCGACAACGGTCACGGGCGCCTTGATATGCACCACATTGCTCTCTTTCATGAGCAGCTCCTTCGTCTTCGCGCATATTGCCTCGATGACAGACTCGGCGAGCAGCTCCTTCTTGTACAGCCGCGAGATGCACTCATCGAGGTCGACGGTAGCTGCAGCAGGTTAGCACGGCCGCGCACAAGTTGGCATCGAAGGCGTCGGGAGCTGGCGTACAGGGAAGACCGGGCATGGTAGTATTGGTAAGGGCGGGACGGATGCTCCTGCATTCGCGACGGGCTCAGGGTATGGAGTCTATACTGGTCGCGAGCAGATGTCGATATCGCACAATCATTCTCGGAGGCTCATCGAGGCATGCGACGGCGGGGGTGGCGGCGTGAGAGCAGGACGGGCGAGGCAAAGGTTGCGCTGTTGTTTCGCCCGTCCGGTGCAATCCCGCTTCCCGCCTCGGAGGGCCCGTGCTCCTGCTGCTGCTCCGATTGGGCTAGCGCCGCTCCAGCAGACTTCACGCCTCGACTTTTTCCCAAACCTCCCACGTTCCGCTACCATTCCCATCTCCTTTCCTCTTCTCAGCCCTGCCTAGAACGCGAATGGTCTGCTCCCGGCGGTCTCGGTGCCCGCGTGCTTTCCCAGTCTCTCATTTCGAGTCTCCATGTCCGTCGTGCTCTCGGTCGCTACTTCTTTCCTTCCCCTCACATCAGCAGCCTAGCCAGCTCTATCACGTACCAACCCTCGTCAGCCCCCAATATTCTCCTCCTTAGAACCCCTCTATGCCAATCAGTCTCAAGGATCGACTTTTCATACTGCGTCATTCATCGGGGAGACTGAGGGCTTTGGGCGTTCCTGGCACGTGCGTTTGACCGACCAAATTTGAGAACGCGCACCTCAGTCTTCGCTTCCCCTCCACCCCCACCTCTCAAATCCGTCCTCTCTCCACAATTATTCATCCCCAAGACTTCGGCAAATAGACTCCTTCATAGAGGACCCTTCGGAGTAGCGGACAACGTTTCCAAGTGGTGGAATGTCGTGGAGCGGACCGGTGGCAGGCACCGCACCGTACCAGCCGCCGCAATATGCGAATGGCCAGGCAGGCTTCAGTCAACCTCAGCCATTCCAGTATGGCCAACAACTAGCATACGGGCAATATCAATCTGGACCATCATTTCCCCAGCCGGCCGCGCCTCAGCGCCCGCCCGACAGCAGGTAAGCAAGAATTCGATTTTCCATCATGTCCTTCCCGAGTCAGCCCAACACGATGTCTCTTGTGTGTATGGCGACCGAGTATCATTTTAATGTACTAATTGGGCTTCAGAGCGCCTAAGAAGAAGGGCAATCCTATAATCACGCGATATCCTCCTCCACCAGGCTATCGCGGTCCCGCCCAGCCTCAAGGACCGTTCGGCACTAACCAGTATCCAAACCAGTATCAACAGCCACACCAACCGTACCCGCAAGGCCCTCCAGCACCTCCTGCTTATTCAAATCAAGGCTACCAGGCCGCTCCCCCAACGCCAGCATATTCGCCACAGAGCTATGGGCCTCCTCAGACTCATCCGCAGCAGCCGACATATCCTCAGGCCGGTTATCCGCAGACACCGACCTATCAGTGGCCTCAGCATCAACAGAGCTATCCCCGGCAACCGGCCTATTCGCAAACCCCAAGCTATCCTAATGGCCAAGGTTATGCTCCGCCCCATAATACCTACCAGGGGTATCCACCTCAACCAGCGCCAGTAGACGCAAATCAACAAGCGTACCCCCAAGCCCAAGGCTGGCCACAATCGAATGAACAAGCCGCCTATCCCACAGCTAGTCAATACAACTCCTTTAACGGCCCTCCGAACGGGCTTCCCGGGCCTGATCCAAATGCCACACCGACCCCGACGTCGGCCTATCCTGCCACAACTCAAACTACTCCGACGCTTGGCCAGCCAGAAAGTGTTACAAGCGCACCAGGAGAGAAACCACAGTTGTTTTTGGCATGGGATGATTGGGACTTTGACTTCGACGGTGCTATCTGGCCAAAGGCTAACGAGCCTGTTGATCCGAATTTGAGTCTAGGTGTCATAATTTGGCGCCCCGCCAAACAGGTGACGCGCGCGCTGCCTTCAACGTTTTCCGACGCCGAAGAGCAAGCGCTCAAACCGCCTGCAGAGAAGCTTGGCAACGGAGAGTCGGTGTCCATCTACTTTACGCCGGAGAACTCGCACGAGGCTTTCTTGGACGTGAGGCAGACCGACGAGTGGGATAAGATCAAGAGAGATCCGATTTTTGTGGTTTTTACAGACGAAGAGATGTCTCGAAATCTCGTGTCGATCGAAGAGTGCATTGCATTGCGTGACCGCCCTGATGAGCCTCTGCACGACGTCAAAGAGGAAGAAGACGAAGAGATGCACGACTCGACATGGAATGTTATGGACCACCTTGAGCAGGTACTGTCAGCCAATACTGAGGACCCTAAACCCATGATGCCCCGTCAAGAAACGGATCTATCGAGAGACCAGATGCAGGAGGACATACTTGCAAGACTAGGAGTGACGGGAACTCCAAAACCACCGTCGAATGATCCGATGGCAATCCCCTTCCCCTTTGACGAAAAGCCTTCAGCTTCCTTACCCGAGAAGCCTCCCGCACCGCCACCCGCTCAGTAAGTATCTTGATCCCTTCATCGAACTGCCTTATCTAACACTTGCAGGATTCCTCCACGTCCAGAACAGGGCCCGCATAGGGCACATTCTTACGGTGGCCATGGCAACTCCACATATGGAGCTCCGCCCCAACGTCCCTATGGCTCTATGTCATCCTCCCTACACTCACGGCCGCCGCCTCCAGGCCGCCAACCTTACGATCCTTGGAATGCCAGCAATTCGCAGAATCAGCCCAACGGTCACGCTTTTGATGGCTCGCGAGAAAGCCCTGCACGCTCTGAAGGCAGCAATCGAACGCTTGCCGGCTCCGACTTTGAACCCGAGAAGCCTGCTACCAATGGGGCTGATAAAGCTCCCCCGCCTGTGCCATCACTGAAACGCAGTGACAGCTCCTTGACCCGTAAAAGGAGTTACGAAGATTCGGACCAAGACGACGAGAAACTGCGTCAACAAGACGACCATACAAAGCGCAAGCGACGTTCCGAAGTCGCTGCCGCCTATAGGTAAGCTTACTCAACGTTGCCTTTAACGCTTCCGTTATCGCGGCCCTATGGGCAAGGTTAAGCATGCTGCTAACTTAACATAGTCGGCGCTAGAACGCCAAGTCTTGCTTATCGAACCTATCCTAAGTCGTACACGTACAATATCCTCCGCGTTTCACTGAGAAACTACGGAAGGCTAGACTCTAGTCACCTACTCGAATCTTTGTTCAGGCACCATCGCTGCATCGGGCCCTAGGCTGCAATACGGTGGCTTTCTCTTCTTCCAGTCATTTTCACGTCAATCATGGTTGTGGTCTTTTTCCGCGTAAGCATAGGGTAACATGGTATCTGGCGTCACTGGTAGTTGGCGTTTCCGCCTCTCAGGCGAGCGAAGTGCCTTTCATCTTGAGATATTCGGCGGGCGGTCGAACTCCAAAAGTCTCATCCCTTCTATGCCCGGCGGAGCTGTCCGTTTCTTTCGTCTCCCGCCATTTATGGCTGGCACTTAGTCGACACCATATTTTTCCTGACGAACCTGTTGTTGCGTCTTCTCTTATCACTATGTCATGTCTTTTCGGACTGTAGTAATCTTATCCCACCCTTCTCCGCGCGCCACTTGGTAGCGCCAGTCGTCGACTCTCACCGTTTCCGTCGCATCGTCTTTCGTCTGATATGTCTCCATACCCTCTGTCGTCTACTTCTCGTCTCCATGCTAGTCAATTGAGACTACGACCCAGGTAAAGCGAAAATGAAGCCGTGCGAGCGACTTCCCACTGTTTGTAACCAGCAGGGTGACTTCGTCGGACTTCATCTAGGGTTTCGCTCTTTCCGCATATATGGAAGAGGGACGGTAGGGAGGCCAACTAGATTTGCTCTTAGACCTCGTTATCCCTCGCAAGAGCATCCTGAAGACGCTGAATCAGCCTGAAGATCTGGATTCAGAGGCCTTGAATCTGAAAAGGCCACTGGACTAGAGGCCCCGCGTCAAGTTGCTACTTTTAGATATGATGTGGACGGACTGACGGACACGGCGTCGGAGACCAACCGACGACACTACGACCTCCCGGCTGGCGCCGGCAATAGGATCTAGAAACACTGATCGTACTCGCGATACTTAAATCGAAGAACTTCAGAACCAGGGGAAGCAGGTCTGCAGGCACAATGTCGGTAGGGCAGATTATTACGATAGAGCCAATAGCATGCAATAAGTTTCAGTCACGGCATAACTATAATGCAAAAACTCGCCATTTATCAGCATTCATGGTATTAGCGCTAGTCTACTTGACAAGTCTATCGCCCTCTCCTTCGTCCTCGCTCTCGGTCTCATACTCAGAGCTTTCCTCCTCCTCCTCCGTCTCTTTTTCTTCGTCCGTTTCGTCCTCGCTCTCCTCTTCCTCAGCCAACCACTCATCCAGCGTCTTCTCCTTCTCCTTCGCCTCACCCGCGCCTGACCCGGAACCTAGTCCGTCCAAGCTCCTACCAGGCGATACCGTTCTTTCGGGCGGTGCAGCCCGACTCGCAGCATCCAGCCTCTCCGCGGCACTCAAACTCTTTGCCGCCTCATACGTTGACGCAGCGCCCGAGGCCCCTTCTTCTCGCAGCGCGGGGTCAGGCTCATGGCCTTCTTTCACCCAGGGCGGTAGATCTTCGTAGCCTTTTAATCCGCCTACGCCGCCCTCGTCGCCGATGACGAGGCTGGCGCTGCCAAGGGCGTAGCCTTTGCGTGTCTCGCTCGGGCTAGGAGTTTGCGGGACGGGTTTTGGTGCGAGGAGAAGAAGTGATGCGAGTTGGGTGGATGTCGGTGTTGAGAGAAGTGCTTTGTAGACACGAGCTCGGTCGCGGAGGTCGTAGGATGTGTCATAGCGGGTGAGGAGAATGATGTAGTTCCATAGCGCTTCGATGGGGTGTGGTTTGTCCTGCGTTTGGCTGGGCGTAGGTTGCGGTGGAGAAACGGAGTCCAAGTGCGTGTCTCGAAATCCGCCTTGCTCTTCGTAGTTCTCCAGCAATGAAGGACTCGGTTTCGGTGATGGCGCTCTCACGGGTTCTGGTGGTGGATTCGCGTTCAGATGATGGACGTAGACCTTCGCGGCGAGAAGTACGATCTGCAGTTTCGCCGGCTCCGCTTCGTCGGCGAAACCTTTTACTAGTATACGCAAGACGTCTGCTGCGATGTTGTTTTCTGGATCTAGGCCTGCAAATTCTCCGACAAGCCAGACGATGCTTGCGCGGGCTTGCGGGCTGGTGGCTGCGTCTAAGTGCTTAGCTAACCGAACGACAGTGGTGCGGTGGTTTTCCGGATCGCGCTGGATGAGATGGCGGATAACCTCTAGCGACTCCGCCACCAAATGCATGTCTGCCGATCCGATGTGCGCTAGCAGTAGTCTCAGACATCTTGCAGAAGTTTTCGGGTTGGTTGTCTGTGAACAGCGGCCAATCGCCCGAACAGCTTCCTTGACTAGCCCGGGATCCAAACTTCCTGAATGTGAGAAATGGCTGAGTTCCGCTAATATGAGACTTTGCAACCTAGGCGGTGCGTGAGGGAAGATTAGAGTGAGGAGTTCGAGCTTTAATCGCCAGATGTGAGGGGAATCCGTCGATCGGACGAGGAAATGCGTGTAGTATTTCACGAATGGTTCCGGGTGCGAGAGGCAGACCTGGACGATGTTGTAGAGCGCTATGTGCTGGACGTCGCCCGGCGAGCGCAAGAGTGATATCAGAGGTCCAATGGCTAGGGATAGGTAATCCGGCGTGCCCAGGTATAAATACGTCCTCGCTACTGCGATCACCACGGCAGAGTTCCGGGATTGAAGGAGCGATTGGCAGGCTTTCAAGAGAAGCTCGAGGTCAGGATCCAGAACAACCAAATCTTCCATCTCTTGATCCTCCGACTCTTCTGACTCGCTTTCTGTGTCATAAAATCCCTTCGTGCCCTTCGATCTCGCATTAGGATTAGGATTAGTCGTAGTCTTCTTAATCTTCTTCGTCCGTCTGGGGAAACATTTCCGTGAATATGACATCATAAGTCGTAAAGTCGCCAGCTGCCCCCACTCGTCCATGTCCACAAGCTTGCGTATGAGCGACCGGTAGTGTGGGTGTATCAGATCCAACCGGTTGGGGCACACCTCCAAGAAGGCGGCTACTGCTGCGCCAGTCACAAAGTACTGCTTGTCCCCCAACAGCGTCGAAAGGTATTCCAGTAACTGCGGCTCCGTGCTCGGGTCCAAGCGGTAGCATTTCGGTATCGCGAGTGCGGCGGCCCTCCTCACGTACGGCGACATGTCTCCCACTCCTCGCTTGATAGCCAAGCTCACAATTTGACTTATGACCGGCACCCGTATTCCAGACATGACTCGTAACGCGAGGGCGCGCAGCTGAGGGTTGGAATCCGTGAGTGATTTCTGAATCGTGTTGATAGAGAGGAGGGCGGTGTCCGGCTCATGTTCGGCATGCTGAAGGAGATATATGTATACGAGCTTCTTGATGGGGAGCGACGGCGACGCGATGTTCTTGATTACGTGGGAGAAGAAGGGTAATGTCTGGGACGGGGGCTGTCTGTAGGACATCTGCATAGTCATAGTCAGCTATGTTCCCTCCACAAAAGCCGTAACTACACTCAACCCATGGTGGGGCAGAGGGGAATTCCCGACCGTGACGACTCTCCGCAGTCCTTCGAGCACATCGCGCTCGGACCGGCTGTCCAGGAGCTTCTTGAGCTGGCCCGAGGGCAGCATTCGCGTCGACGACTTGCGGGCATTGCTAGCATCGCGGGCGGCTTCGAGGGTGAGGTCGCGGGCTGTAGACAGGGACCAGTGAGCAAAGTTGGACGGGTGCATAGCGACAGCCGCTACAACGCAACATGGGGAAGGCTACGAGGAAATAAGAGGGAATAAAGAAGCAGCGGCAGTCGAGAACCGGGTCGGGCCGTCTATACATGTGCGATTTGTGCATGGGGGAAAGCAACGCACCCGTGTCAATGAAGTGGCTGATGCGCGATATGCTCTCCATGGCGGGCGTCTTTGGCGGCCGCGGGAGCTTCAGCGGGGCTGCGCTGGCATCTGCTGCCGTCCAGAACGGTGTCGATTATGCAGAGGGCGGCAAGGGAGTCGAGTGGTGATGTGGTGGATTGTGCTGCTGGCTGCATGCTTGGACCTGCTGTGTGCGTCGGTGGTGGTGGGGCAAAAGTGCGGCATCGCTCGCGGTTCCCCGAGCGCGAGACGACCCCTCTAACCCATAACCCATATCGCTGCCGGGGTTTTCCTTACGTACAGACGGACAGACGGCGAGAGCACAAGGCACGAGGGCGCAGATACAGCTGCGCGCAAGCAGGAAATGGCCTACTCGCCCACGGTCCTGTCCCCGCTCACGCTGCCCGCGCTGCTCAACCACGTCCTCACGACCCAGTCCAGCGACGCTCCGACGACGCTCATTATCTGCTCTAGCCGGGAGGTGTTCCTGCAGGATCTCTGGGCCTCCCTGCAGCATCAGGCCGGACGGGAGGAAGAAAGCCTACACCAGCTAATCGCCCCCTCGCTTCACAACCTGTTCACGGCGCGTCACATCGGGATCGCCTTCTGTGCGTCTGTGCCGGTGCTGCTAGCTCATCTTACAGCATATGGCGCAGCTGGAAGTAAGCAGAGCGGGTTAAGCGAAGGAAGAGACAAGGAAAGAGTTGTTCTAGTCAATCCGCTCAGTCTGCATGAGCCAACTCCATCATTCTCTGCCCAAGGGCTGTCCCGGACGTTTGCTGTAGCCGTCGAGACCACTGCCAGAGTTGGCGCGCTGCTCTGTCTCGTGGAATGCCAGGGAACAAGGAGGGACCTCGATCTACACAGCGAGGAAGCGGATGTTGAAATGCGGAATGGAGAAAACGAGGGCCATGACGCCAAAGATCCGTGGGAGCAGGAAGTCTCGATACTAAACGTCTCCGCCCGGCGATTTGGCTCTGGAAGCGGTGATCGAGCGTGGGCTGGCCGCACCGTCAAAGTGAAGAGAATCGCGGGACGGTGGTTTCGGTTTCAGAGACACTACGGATTGCAAGAAGGGGAAGGGCCAGGATGAACTCAGCTCGAAAGAGCGTAACCCGAGGCAAAGTATAACAGGCGCTGAGAGTTTGATCCATTCGGAACCCCTTGGCTTCCTGCCTAGCATCTTTTAAATTATCATATCATTCGCCATCAAGCTCGTAAATTCTCAAGGTGAGCATTTCCGCCCTCCTCGTACGTGACCAAACATGTCAGCTCATCATGCCGCTTAGATACCGCCATTCACCGGACTCCACTCCATGATGAGGCCTACCAGTCCTTCTTGATGTCGAAAGACCACTCGAATTGCAGGTGGGTCTGGTTGTCGTCGTCGACGAACTTGGAGACGGCCTTGTAGTGGCCTCGAGCGGCGAAACCGGAAGGCGCGGTGTCGGACTGGACTGCAAGAAAGTGTCAGAGGTGTATTCTGTGGAGTAATCTTGCGGGATTGCTTACACTTCTTCTCGTAGAAAGGCTTCTCCTCGGTACTCGGACCGTATGAGCCCTATATGCCGCGTTACCACTAGGCCTTACTTATAGGCCACCAGACTCACCATCATCTCCTGCATCTTGTTGCTGATACCCATCCTCGAGACCTTCTGGAGGTACTTCAGCCCCGCCAGGATCTCATGCTGGACCTTGAAGGTAGCCTTCATGCGGAACTGCGCGCCTTCTTTAATTGTGAACGGCTTGTCCTTGAGAGTCTCGACGGCGCCAGGGCTCTTCAGGTCGATGATTATGTCGGGGCGGCCCTCGACCTCGAGGCCGAGCGAGAGGATGATGCATTTGCGCGGGTCGTTGGGGTCCGAGATGTCCTTGCCCTGGCCGAGGCCGAGCGATTCTTTCCACTTGCGGAGGGACTCGTCGTTCTGGTCTGTAGGGTGTTAGCCTCGTGCAAGTCCACAGAGAGGGTTGGTAGCACACGCCTAGCTTCTGGTACTCGTCAATTGTCTTCTTCTCGCCGACCTTGAAGCCCTCGGTGGGCTCAGCCGTCAGATCGTCGTCGTGGTCGCCAGCCATAGCGTGAAATAGAGGTTGGGTGGGCACAGGTCGAGAGAGGTATAAAGCCGCGTTAAGGTCCTCAGCGGGAGTTTAAAAGGTGAGAGTGAGGGTAGCGGAGCGGGAATGGTCTTCTTGAGCCTCGCCTCGACAGCGTTGGCGGGGCACGCACCCGTGGACCTTCACCGACAATTCTCTGCCCCGCGCTGATTGATTGGCCGCTCTCTGTGACGCGAAACGGCGTCAGGCACGTCAGCCCCAAACCGCCAACGTCCTCAAAGTCGGTTGGCGTGAGCTATATTAAGCTTTGGTGAATATTCTTCAATGCTACGAATGACACCGACCCTCTGAAGAGCCAGGCCCGAGAGCATTGTATGCTTCCGTCATTGAAGTCCAACGCTCAGCCAAGATGCGCCCCGCGGGTTCGGCGGATGCAGCCTGTATATATCCTTGAATGGAAGCTGTCAATCTGCCTCAGCAACCGCAGTGCTCCCACGTACGTGATCTCGAAACGAACTTCGCAATGCACATAACCGCAATCACTACGCGGTGTCCCTGAACTGCGGTGCCTGATACATCCGCCTGAAGGTGTCAAGGGGTCCAAGCACGGCCTTCTGAGGCAAGACATTGTCCAGTTTGACGAATACAAAGGGTTGTTGTAGATGCAAGACCGTCATTTTGACTTACGACGGCGTCCAGTGTACGCTGACTTGCCATACATGCTCAGACCAGGGACGCCTTCTCGTTTAAAGTCATTCTCAGACTTCGGTTGGATTCTGGAATGGCTGTCTATCCGTTAATGGAACGCTTCACATCACTGTTCTTCGGACATTGCTGTACACGGTACATTTCAAGCCCCTCGCCCCCAGAAAGTCGAGCCTAAACACCTTCAGTGGATGAACATAAAGTAGTATTTGCCGAGTGCTTTCTGTCCTATTCCTTGCCCTCAAGACCGCTCGCTAGTCACCTTGGGTTTCGCGCGGGTTTTCAAGGCCATTCGGAGCAACCGTCAGGGCAAGATATGTCCGTACAATCTGTCGATTCATTCCTCAAAGAAGAACCAGGATGGTCGCGTACTCCCGCCTCGCACTCGACGCGCCGGCGTGCCCTGATGGCATTCCCGCGCTAGCCGCTTCGGTCATCCCAGCTGTGGACACGCTTCTTCTGCCCTGCGCTGAGCTGGCAAACTCCCCGCGGCCAATCGGCATATCGCTGTGATAGACTGAGGACCAAAGCGGAAAGCAGAATTTTTGCCATTGCGGTTAGGGAGGGCCCCGTCCGGGGAAGAGGCTGGTCGATTCGCCAGGCCGTCCAGCCACCGATTACTGGCAGGGTACCCCGTGCAACCCTCGAACTCTTCTTCCTCAGACCATCTCCCTCGCTCTCGACCGTCGCCCGCCCAGCCTGCACTCACCCCGAGTCGCGCCGCACACCTACGCCAGTATTCGCGTCGCCGTCGCAGCTGTCACTTCACTGTGCCCAGCTGCTCCGTCTTCGGCTGGAAAAGTGCGCTCCGTCCTCGCTGTCAGTTGCGCGCCGAGCACGTCACCAACATTCCGTCATCCCGCGACCTCTTTCGCGCTGCGCGCTTCATCTCACACACCTATATCTTGTTGTAATCCTCTACCAATAATTCCAAAATGGTTGCGAAACGGACTCTGCCCGAGCGACGGAACCCGCTCATCGAGCCGGCGAATTCTCCGTCGAGTACGTCCACGTAGCGCATCGCGAGCATCGCGACACCCCGCTGACCATCCTGCGCAGACGAAATTCTTGCGGAGCGACGCCGATTGGGCCAGACGAAGATCCAAGTGAAGCCGGGCGTCGTGGGGCTCACCAACGCGTCGAAAGCGGAGAACCTGGGGACGTTCGACTATGCGCATCTGCGGGTACCGCTGCCCAAGGACCTGAGCGGCTCGGGCGTATTCACGCTCAAGAGCACGACGTCGTACCCCGAGTCGTATTTTCTGATGGTATGGCGATGGAAATACACCGTGTCCTGATGGAGCAATCGATCGACTAACGAGGGGACAGCGGCGCAGTAGCGATGGATACATTAGCGCGACGGGAATGTTCAAGGCAGCGTTCCCGTGGGCATCGCTAGCAGAGGAGGAGGCCGAGCGCAAGTACCAGAAGAACTTCCCCTCCGCTGGCCCTGAGGAGGTTGCCGGAAGCGTTTGGGTTGCGCCGGAAGAGGGTAGGTGAATGTCTTGAGCGAGCCACTCACTTCTCCGCAAGAGCATGGCTGACGCAAACCCACTTCGCAGCGCTCGCACTGTCCGAGCAGTATGGCATGCGACCTTGGATTGAGGCTCTTTTGGACCCCGCGCCGATAGAAAAGGCCTCCAAGGACAAGCACAACACACACATACAGATGCCCCCCAAGTTCGACATGAATAAAGTACCTTCGCCCGCCGTTGTCCTACCACCTTCCTCCGCTCTCCGCGCCTCAACTCGCGCTCGCTCCTCGCGCTCAGCCTCACCAAGCAAAATCGCAACACCCAGTCGCAAAATGGCAAGCCCGCGGAAGTCGCGCACTACAAGGGCCGCCAAAGCCGAATCGCTCAGGGCGGAGGAGATCTTCGAGACCCCGAAGGCGACGACTGCATCAAGCGCATTGCAGAACGTCCTTGAAAACGGCACCAACGCGTCGGAGTCTGTCGCATCTGAATCGGTAAATGGCGAGATGAAGGACTCCAATACTGTGCGCATCGAAGTGCAGGAGACCGTTGAGCAGAATGGGGACGTTGAGACTACCACGACCAACGTCAAGGTTGACGTCCCCGCCGACCACCCAGAGCTCCCCGTGCCGGAGGACCCGACCAAGATGATCGAGGAGGCGAAGAAGATGGTAGAAGAAGCAAACAAGTACGAGGGCGGGCCAGTAAAAGGCGTGAAGTCGAAGCGCAAGGCTGAAGAGCTGTCCAAGGATGAAAACGAGGTTGCAGGGCCCTCGCGGGAACGTCCGGCGAAGCTGGCAAGAACGATGTCAACGACGGAGCAAAAGCTGGCGAAAGAGAAAGTCACTCGGAGGGCACTTGTTGGTCTTACTGTGATGGCGGCCATTGGGTACATTTACACCAACCCCCCTCTTCTCATTGTCCATGCAGCTAACTTGCTTTAGGTCCGCCATCACATACTTCGCGTCGGCTGTTTAACCTCAGGAAAACTTCACCTTACGGCTTTACCAGTTGATGTTTTGCTTATTTAGTCCTTTCCCCAGCCCTTCCCCTTGTTTCCTTACCCCAGATACCACGGCCCCTATGTCTGATCTTGTCTCCATCTACGGGCGCGGAGGTTGCGGTTTGGCTTGTGGTTTTCTGTTTCGGTGGGCGTTGAAAGAGCTCCTCCTGTTTTCCTCCTCCCTTGTGCGCACACGCTCGCTCGTACGCGATACGGCTGTTCGTCTGGTACCAACGACGAAGTAGATATTTTAATCCCACCGTCCCCCTTAGCCTTCGTTCCCCTCCGATACGTTCACACTCCCGACAATCACGCAGATGAAAGGATATGCCCCTGGTTCGGGCAGGAAGGAAACGGTACGATATTAGGTAGCTGAACGATGCAATATGGCTACGGCAAGATTTAACATCGTCTTTAGAGGAGATCTATGAACCACGCTATTCTATGTCTACGATTGTGACGCTTGTCCCCCGTTCGCTAAGCGCCCAACTTCCAGCACCGCTTCTTCAAAGTCGTCGAATGCTTTAATGGGAAGATTGGCCTGGCGCAATATCTCTTGCCCTTTCTCCTCATTCGTGCCTCGCAGTCTGACCACGACTGGCTTGTCCACACCGACTTCTCTAAATGCCAATATAATGCCTTCCGCGATCATATCGCAGAGCGTAAGTCCCCCAAAGATATTGACAAACACAACGCTGACCCGCGGATCGGACAGAATGAGCTTAAAAGAAGTACTAATCGTCTGGCTCGTAGCCTTGCCGCCGGTATCCAAGAAATTCGCGGAGGCTGTCGAGTACGGAGGCGGCGACAGACGCAGGGAGAGCACGTCGTTCGTGTTCATCGCCAGGCCTGCGCCGTTGACCAGCGTGCCGACGAGGTTCCTGGGTTCTCCTTCCTGCGGCGTGGCAGGAGGCGTCTGCGTATCTTTCTGCGCCGTTGCCCCGGGGAACTTGGGGCTCTCGAGCGGAATGAAAACGATGCCGCTCTGCTCGGCTTCGAGCTCCGTGGGCGGGATGCTCGACGTATCGCGCAGCCCGTGCAGCGCCGCCTGCCGCTTATTCGACTTGAACGCTGCGTCGTCGAAGAAGAGATAGGGGTCGTACACCAGCACTTCGTCGCTCTCCTGCGGGACGGCGAGAGATACGGTGGCGGTGATGGCTTCTTTCTCGCGGTACAGCTCCCAGAGGGCTCGGATTAGCTGGGCGGTCTGGGCTTTGGGTTTTGGCGGCGCGGCGTCGAGTTGGAGATACGCTATTGCGTCGTTGATGATGGAGGGAGACGGGCCGGAGCGGTAGTCGAAGGGAAGGCGGCGGACGCGGTGGGCGAGCTGGCTGGGGTTGGTGGTGGGCGCGGCGATTATGCAGGGGGAGCGGGCGGAGCGGGCGACCGTTATGCCGAGGAAATGGGTTGATGGTGGTGTAGGAGAAGGGGGTGGAGAGGTGTTGATGTCGTAGGATTTGAGGAGGGTGGTGGATTGGTCTGCTGTGAGGTGGAGAGAGCGTTTCTGCTGGGCGGAGGTTGGCGTAGAGGCGGATAGAGGCCGTCGTGGGTATCGAGAAGCTGTGTGGTATGAGCGGCGCTGCTGGGCTTGGGCTGCTGATTGCTCCTGGAAGGTAGTTAGGCTCCGTTACTACAGGGTGAGTAGAGAGAGGACCGACATACGATCTTCTTGACGTTCCGACCAGATTTGGCCAGGAGGTTTTTCATGACGCCTCCGAACTTCGCGGGATGATCCACCATTGTGACCCCGGCATTTTCGAGAGCCTTGTACTTTGACTCTGCAGTGCCTTCGCCGATACCTGTCCAGGCGCCTGCGTGGCCCATTATACGGCCTGGTGGTGCTTGGAAGCCACATATGACTGCTGCAATGGGTCTACAACGGTTAGTATATCTCTCTCTTCGTCCAATCCCGCCGCCTGACTTACTTCGGGTCCTTGACTCTTCTCCTATACTCCTTAATCCAATCTGCAGCCTCCTCTTCGCTCGTCCCACCCAACTCTCCCACCAAAATGATAGCTTCCGTGTCCTCATCCTTCTCAAACACCTTCAGCGCATCCACAAAGTTCGTCCCCGCAATGACATCGCCACCCATTCCAATACACAAGCTCTGTCCCAATCCCGCTCTTGTCAAAGATCCCACCGTCTCGTAAGAAAGCGTGCCGGACTTCGCTACAATGCCGATATGTCCCGGTGAGAAGGTCGGAAGAGGCTGGAAACCAATCCTGCACCTTCCGATTGCTGAAATGATGCCCGGGGCATTCGCACCCACAAGCCTTGACCGTGACTGTGTCGCGAGCATAGAGTGTATCTACGCTGCTCATTAGACCTCCCTTGCCGTCACGTGCATCTATACTCCCAGGCCCAAACTCACCCTCATAATATCATGCAGTGGAATATGCTCCGCAACTGCTACGATCAACGGCACTTCCGCTTCAACCGCCTCCTCAATAGCAGCCGCCGCCTGATGCGCCGCGACGTAGATACCCGTTGCATCCGGCCTCAACTGCTCCATCGCTGCTCTTACTGATGGTAGCACAGGCAGACCCAGGTGCTCGCCGGCGCTCCCGGGCTTGACCCCACCCACAATATTGGTGCCCCATTCTATCGACTCTTTGGCGTTGGCGGTCGCCTGTCTGCCGGTGAAGCCCTGGAAAATGACGCGGGTGTCCTTTCCGATTTGGAGGTTCTGGATAGTGTCGTCATAGCCTCCTCGCCTTCTTGATGAGGACGAGAAGGATGCGGAGCAGGGACGAAGAGAAAGACGGAAAGATGAAACATTGACGCGTAGGCGTCTGCTCAGGCAGTGTGACCGATGCAGAATCATGCTGGGCTATAAGAGCCCTAAGAAGCTTGGTCTATCAGATGCAAAGACGGGAAGGAAATGCCAACGCCAGCGCCGAGTACGCGCCAATTGGGCTCCAAATGAGAAATGATGGGCCCAATTGACTTGGGGAAAGCGACAATATACTTCTTCTCTATGCAGAGTTGACGATAGGAAGAAGAGTCGTGATTTTGTACAACGTCGGGAATACAAAGGGAATAACTGAAGTACCTGTACCTAGTCGATGTCAAACCGCACTAAGATCAAGTAACCGACGAACCCCTCTCATCGCCGGCCCCTCCCATCATCACGCTTCCGATCCTCGGTCCAGCCCTCCATCGGAATCTGCGAATCTGCAAGAACCCGATCTGCGTCGTAACACGTCGGCGCTACCCGTAGCCGACAGTGCCTCAACAAGCAAACCCCCACCGATTGCTTTTTATATCGTCTTTCTAGAAGCCCGTCGACGCAAGCAAAAGTGGACCTCGAAAAAGGGATGAAAGGGGCATGATGACGAGTGCAGCCACGACCACGCTTTGGCCCTTCCCCACATGTGGCTGCGCTTCGAGGCCCGGGGTTGGGCAATAATGGGGCGTCTTCCTTTCACAGCCAGCAGCAGTCTCACGCAGCGAGTCCCGAATATATCGCAGCTGCTGGCTTGCCCCCTTGCGCGTCACTTACTTTGTATATAAAGGAAAGAGCGCTTCGTAGCTGCTCTATCGCATATTCAGCCGCTCGCTTCTAGAATCACTCGCTTTTTTCCCGTGGGGAGATCGAACGTTCGCTACGCCATTGCGGTCTCGTGTCGATATAAGAGACCGGGAGCTACCCCGCAAACCCCAGCAATTCAGTCACGCATCGCAACGCAATGGCTCACGCAACACCGTCGGAAGCCGGTACAACCGCCCCCATACCAGGTATTACACATCACATTTTGCTAATCGGCATGCAGAAGTAGCAAGCACGCTCTCGCACCTCAAGCTCTCCACCAAGACGCCCGAAAAGCCCGCCGCGAAGCCCAAATCCCGCCCCGTCGCCGACTCGTGGGACGAGGATCTCGATTCTGGCAGCGACACCGAAACCGAGTCTTCAAACCCTGCGTCCAACCTCTCGCGCTCCTCCACAAAAGAGCACTCGCCACTCTCCCCCATAACCACCACCACCTCCGTAGACATCCCGAACCCGCCGCCGCCGACGCCTGCGTCCCCGACTCTGTTCGCTTTTCCCGATAACGTGCCGTATGGCGTGGGCCCGGTGAAGAGCAGAGACGGGAGTAACGGCGGAAGCGGGGCGAATAGTCCGGCCAAACGGCCGGAGAAGACGACGGCGGTGGCGGGACGGCTGATTGCGGGCGCGTTGGGGGTGCGGGCGCCGAAGAGGACGGAGGAAGAGAGGGAGTATGACAGGGCGATGAGGGAGAAGGAGAGGAAGAGGAGGGAGGAGGAGAGGAGTAGGGAGAAGAGGGAGAAGGAGGCGGCCGAGGAGAGGAAGAGGTCTGTTTGGGAGGATTGATTGAGTGGGATGCTGGAGGATTGGGAACTAGCGTGGAAGGGCGGATTTCTAAGAGGCGAATCGACTTGTGCTGCGGCATGGATCGCACTTGTATTTACGGACGCTTTTTTTCAGGCTAGTAGGGTCATTGTGTGGTATTCGGTATGCGCCATTGAGTCTGTAGGAGCTCAGTCGTAGGCAGGAAGGGTGTGTGAATAGACCTTCTCGTGGTTTCTTTGCCTCAGAGCCCTGAGAGGGTAATGTATATATATAGCCGTTGGTCATGAATATTCGTATCTTGAGTTGGGATCGTAAATCAATGGTAATCCGTGCGCAAGCAGGCCCCATGCACTGTATGACAGGTCGCCTTGCAAGGATCAAAATCACTGAGCCATTTCAAGGGAAGGGAACCAGAAAAGTCCGTACGCTATCGAAATTCAATCACGGCGGAGGTGGTGTCGTAAACTACATGAAGGCATGAAGGAGGCGCGCCGCTGGAGGCGTGCCCGATGGCACCAAAGACGCCAGAATCCGGACCCATTGCCGCTCGTTAACAAGTAAGAAGAACCCCGTCCCCTGTTCCATGCCGCTCGCTAAATGCCCTTTCCACCCATCGCGGTCACGGTAAGAAAATCTTGACGATCGAGGGCCCGGGCATGTGTCGTTGGCGGCCTCAATCGACGCATCGTGCGGCAGAGAGACTAGCAGCAGCCACCGATCTGTTCCTGGTGGACTTCGAGCGTGTCTCCGTCTTGCATGTCCAGCTACACCATATTAGCCTGAAACCAAAACGTCGCGGGCGAGGCGGCGATTGTAATGGCAAACGTACCGTCTCGGGGTTGTCTGTCGGCTGTACTCGCTGGCCATCGAACAGAAACCGCACGCTCGAGATGTTCTTGCCCTGGCGGTCGCAGAAGGCGTCCATGAGCTTCTTCAGCTGCGTAGTCCGCTTGATTTTGAAGAAGACCTCGTTGTTGTTGTCCGTCACCTTGATGTTGAGGTGCTCCGACTGGCCGCCCTCCTCAGGCTTCTGCTGCATGTTGTTCGGCGAGCCGCTGTCAGACATTGTGATGGTTGCGAGGAGTGGGTCGTGCTGTCGAAGCGGGGTGGTGGGTACTCGGAGCGCAGGTGCTGCTGTGAGACGTTAGAAGGCGCGGACGCGTGGAAGGTGGTAGAAGTGGAGTGAGACGCACGACCGAGCGCGGAGCAGACGTTGCTTTTGTAGTTGCAGGGAGGAGCTGGGTGTCGCCGAGCGCTGCTTGCAAGTTGAGAAGCAGAAGAGCAAAGGTGTGAAGCCCGTGCGGACGCGTCGAAGCTATTTATACGGCGGGTGGCGAATGGTGAGTGAAGGAGAGAGCGAGCGTTGCTGTGGGAGAAGAGTCGGGTAGTGAGGTGGGAGACAGTGGCTAGTGGGGTTCTCGTTCAAGGTCGCTCAAAGAAAATGGACCAGCCGAGCCGGCGGCCTCTCACCTTCACTACCCTTAGTTTTGTCCTACTTCCGTGCCCTATCTCCTCACCCTGCTGCCTAGGCAATTCCTTATCGCCGGCTGGGCTGTCGGCGCCTTGTGCGCTGAACTTCGCAGTTGGGCAATTTCGCCTGTCCACGTGACGCAAAATGGTGCGTTTCTGATGTCACTGCATCACCAAGTATGAAACTTACGGCTTGGGAAGGGAACGAAGGAGGACCTCCAGACGGACCCCCCGTGCCATCCTCGGGCATGCGCTATTCAGGGTATGTAAAATTGTTGACCTTGGTAGGCAATTGCTCATCCACACGGTGCAGACTGCCTACAGAAGAACAACTACAAGGAAGAGAAGTGCCAAAAGCAGGTATGTGTCGGCTTCACACTGTGTGCTTCCCTACGAATACTGCTATCCAGAGAGGCGTGCAATTGATCCATGGAATCAATTGAACGGGTATCTGGAACGCTTTAAGCCCTAGTACTCGCTCTAACAAAATTCAGGTTGATGCTCTCTATGAATGCTGTAATGCCTTCTACCAGGAAAAGGGAGAGAACGCGAGCACGGTGAGCTGTCCGAAATATTCTCTTCTGAAGTAGGTACCGTCCGTCCGTCAGAGAATTCCCACTGACGAGATTAGATTGAAGATGAAGCAGAGGAGTCAGGCATCATGATAGACACGGGAGGCCGTGAATAAGGAAGGCACTCCCAAAGCATGCCAGCATGGAGAGCCGTCGAACTCGTCATGTATCCATAGAAGCCTGTCCTGCAGGTGTGTATATAAATCGCTGGTGTAATTTAAGAAACAGAGTTTTCCCCAATGATGGCATGTCATACCTCCTCTATTTCTGCACCTTCAAGCCTCACGAGGAAGTCCAGGCAGTCACCAGGAGGTACGTTGTTCTAAGACGGTCGTGAGCGCGCAAAGAGACCGCGTGGGGCCTGCTCAAACACTGAGCGGGTTTGAACCGAGACTCTAATGACCACCTAAAAGACATTGAAGAAAGAGAAGCGGAGCACAAGGCCTTCGCGAATTTTATACGGCGCCCCGGCGCCAAGCAAGAGTGCGCTAGTGCGGCGCGCGGACCACCTCCGCTGGGAGCTGGTTCGCGATGTTTTGTCGGAGTGGATGCCTTTGACAACAGCCTCGCCCGCCCCGAGGACCCCATATAGCGACCTCAGCGCGCCGCTCTGTGAGGCGCTTGAGGCACGACTAGTACTCTATATCGCGTCCGCCATTCTGCAACCATGGCCTCGCTCTCTCGCCGGTCGGAGTCTGCAGCGCTTCAGGTACGTTAGCAGCTCAAGCTTCAGTGATTCAATGATGGAGATGTATATTTCATGATAAAAAATGGCTGACATCTTAGAAGACAACTGGCAACAGTGCGATCTCAATTGGAGCTTCCCGGAGCACGAATACCCTTGCACCGAGCGATCCCCTGCAACCGCTGCGAGCCATGGCCGACCGGGTAGGCAAAGAGGTGGAGAAGTTCGCCGAGAGGGTCGACCACTGGCACACCCATGGAAATGAAGATTTGAAGGCGAAATACCAGACAACGGTAAAGATGGTGGGCAAATTTCGGGACCTGGCAGAGTCAACCGTCAAGGAATTGAAGAAACACACCGGCGCCGAGAACAAAGGCGAACTGGACAAGAGCGTGCGGCGGCGAATTCAAGACATGGCTGATGAGCCTTCTTCGAGCGGTGAGAACTCGCTTGACCAGTCTCTCCAGTCTGTCGTTCCATCAGTCGAACCCAGCGCTGCTCCAGATTCATCGTCCGTCCGAGAGCTACGACAATGGCAGGCGGAACTTGCGACATGGGAGCTCCTCCGGATAATCATCGAACATTACCATCCCCAACCTGGTACTGACGTGGTTGCGGAGAAGCGGTCGCGCTTACAGAAGGTGGGAGGAGCAATGCGCTACTGCCCCAAGAGCGAAATATGGGACCGCTTTATACTGGAAGACGATCAAGCGAGAGAAAAGAAAGTCATTCTCAAGTGGCTCCAACAGACAGCGAAGAATAGCGAGAACGACATCGAATCCATTACCGAACAGCTGGAGGAGCTTTCGGGCAAGGACACGCAGACTTGGACAAGTGGGTGGCTGGACACCAAGTCAAAGATAAAGCAATTCAAACGCGTACAGGGCTTGGATCATCCTTTGGATTCGGACTTCACTCTTCAGAGTAGCGACAGGACTCTGTCTCTCGTCACTCAACTAGATCCGGATGCGCCAACGAGACAGAAGCGAAACCTGGAGAAGTCGGACGAATACTACGAGCGCGCCCTGTGGATGGTCTGCTACGAAATGCTACGTCGGGGTGAGCCTTGGGACAAGGTGGCCGATTGGTGCAAAGAGAGGAACGAGGCATGGCGCGGCGTCAGCGTAGGTGCCGCGTACGACTCCCACCCTGACGGCGGTCCTAATGTCGCTGGAAACGACATCGGCTACTTGTTTCGCCGGATGTGCTTCCACGCCGCTAGAGGCGCCCGGATTCCTTACGAAGCTGCTGTGTACGGCCTTCTGAGCGGAGACCTGAAGCAAGTCCAGACAGTATGTCGATCTTGGGACGATCACCTTCATGCACACTACAACGCCCTTCTCCTCTCCAGATTCGACAACTATCTGCAAAAAGGTCCCAGTGCCCGGGTATCCCAGATCCTAGCCCGAAAGTTCGTCTTCCAGGATGAAACCGCAAAAATTGGCAACTGGGAAACTGCAAACAGCCATGTGATAGAGCTACTGAAGCAGAACAAGGCCACAGCTGCGCAGGCAGTGTCTCCCATGAAACTCATTCAAGGCGCTCTCATCAGCAGGACCGAGGATGAGCTCATATACAAGGTCGGCATAGCGATCGCTGATATGCTGCAGGGGGATGATCGGCTTCTCAACCTGATCATAGACCCAGACTCGGAAGAAACACCTCCTAGCTCCAAGATGTCCGGGGAGCACCGCCGCGTCAACGCAGAGAGATATCACCAGACCCTCGCAAACGATCCGCAGGCTCTTCGCATTCTCGTTCACGTTTTCATCACTCTACAGAATGGACTGGGTCTGGCAATGTCGGACACGTGGCAAAAGAAAGAAGCGACGTTCAACGTCATCGCCGCATACATCGAGTTTCTCAGGATCACCAACCGCACTCAGCTGATACCTTTATACGCATCGCAGCTCGATAGCGGCCGAGCGGTGCATTGTCTCTCACGCGTTATGCCCGACATCAAGAACATCGAAGAACGGAAGCGCTGTGTGACTCTCATGGAGCAGTATCGTGTCAACACAAGCCACGCAATGGATCGCAATATCGACCTCGCTCTCCGAGGGAGCGGGCTTGTTTCTGGACCAGACGGCACCGTAGCGAATCCCATCTCAAGGTTCACAATGCTCGAAGGGACGACGGACCAGCAAGAGCCCTATCTGTGGCCCGGGCAACGCATCAAGCTCGATTTCTCTGGCTTGGACATCTCCGCTGGGGATGAAGCGGTCATTGAGAGCGTGCAGTGGTTTAATCATCTCAACGCGGAGGATGACAAAACGTTTGGCTATCTCTACCATGTGCTCAAAGTCTTCTTGCGTAAGTTCTTATTCACTTTCATAACGCTGAACTCGGGCTAATCTTTATGGTATAGTCAATGGCCGTCTGGGTGCCGCCGAGAAGCTCATCACCGAAATGAGCGTCGAAAACGTATCGCTAGTAAAGACAGCCATGTATTGCGGCTACGCCTTCGACTTTACCCAAGCTGGTGCCGAGGAACAAGACGAAACTCAAGTCACCGCCTCGATGCACAAATCGCTCTCCGCCTCCGGCCGGGGTTCTGTCCGCCCCTCCCAGATCGTTTCCGCTCAAGAGCACACCCAGCTTGTGCAATGGTTGCGGGGCACAAGCGCCGCCTACTTCGACCTGCAGCAGCTCGTCCGCCTCATTACGCTCTTCCGCCACTGGCGCTCAGAAGAAGAACTCCTTATCGCCGACCGCGCAAATGCCTCCACCGAAGGCATAAAAGATCTCTTCCGCAGCATCGAAGCCACCTTCCCCACCCTCCTCGAACCTTCGTTCATCCCTACGCGCGACGAGGAGATGTACCTGCTATATAAAGCGTACCTTCCGGACCTCGTTATTTCCTACCTCTCCGTCATGCAGACAGGTTCGTACTTCATCCACCGCGAAAGCGCGATCAAGGCAATGGATGTGGCGGCGGTTGTCGCGGATGAGGACAAGGAGTGGATCCGGAAGATGTTTCTGGACACGGGCAAGATGAGCTTGCTGGTGGATACGCTTGCGCAGGTAGGCAAGGCAATGTTGAAACTGGCCGAGCATCCGGCTAGCAAGCGGGCGGCGGGGAAGAAGAGGGGGAGTAAGGGCGAGACGTTGAAGATTTGGGACGTTAATGTTAGGAATTGAGGGATGGTTGGGCAAGGATTGGGACTTTTTTGGATTAGAGCATGCAGAGCAAAAAGTACTTGGGCGAGGGGCCTTGGATTCCACTGCACTGCACTAGGGACGCGTGGAGAGCATTGCAATATAACACATGACCATTTTTCAAACAGACCGATTCAAACTCTCTTTGGCGGCCCGACGGGCCTCTCCAGCGGATGCAAAACCGTACTATACAAGTGTATGCAAGAATGCGACGGCGGGCCTCAAGATGCACTATCCGAGGTTCACCATGCCCAAACGCCCAAGTGCTGCTGCATGCCTTAACATATGAAAAACCCGCTATCGTGACCTCATCCGCATCGTGGCCGGCACCTTCTGCTTGAACGTGATAACCGAATGCGAAAAGTAAACAAACAAGTAAACAAGAAAAAAAGGAAAAAAGAAACCTATAAACAAAGAAGCGGCGCGCAACAACAACTTGCAAGAATCGGAAAAGAAAAAAAAGTGCCAAAAGTACCCCATGCCAAGCAATGCTAGAGATGCCGCAGACAGTGATGCGATGCGCGTAGTAAAGTGCAAGCCTAGCATCGTTATGCAATTGGAAAGTGGGAATAAACGATGCAAGTGAAGATGAATGCGAGATGCGTATTCCCAAAAGGAGGATCGTGCGTGCGTGGAGAGTGGGCAGGGTATGGACATGGCTTTCAAAAGTCCACGCTCCATCGCATCCTGGGGTCCCGCTCTGTGACCCTGTGGCTATCGAACGGCGCAAGCAACTCGCCATCAACTTGATCGGTGCCCCAGGTCCGGCTGATGGCGAAACCGCTGCCGGGCCAGTCTCCATTCGTAGCGAGGATCTCCTCTTCTTCGTTGTTGGACGGGGGGAGCTTGATCCGGGCCTCCATAAGTGGTGCTGAGACGAAGCGCGAGTTCAGGAGAGCACGGGGCGATACCAGATCCTGCAGAACGTTGAGCGAAGACACGTCTGAAGAGGCGAGCGGAGGTCGATGTTTTGCATAGTACGGTATCGAGTCGGAAGACTGCGTAGACGAGTACTTGATGCGCTGGGCGGTATTGTTTTCATTTTCGGAAGACCGGTTAAGGGAGATGTTCTCGGTAGGTGAAGGTGGGTTTCCCGAACCGCTAGACATGACGGTGGAAAGCGGTTGGCGGCTGGTACGGACGCGGACGACTTTGATGCCGGGGACATTGCTCGATTTTGGCGTGGGCGTACGTCTTACGATGGTATCGCTTGAATCCCCGGAGGACTGGTCCTTCGTATCGGTCTTCGTCATTGCAGTGTCGCGGCGCTTCTTCTTCAGGGAGCTAGCTGCCGAAGAGGGGCGTACCCCTGGCGTCTTCGGTCGGTCGTGGCGTTGACCGGCGACCAGGTTGCTGTAGGAGCTCCCTCTCGACAATGGCGGCATCTCCGGCGTCTCTCCGCGATCGAGTTTCTGGCGCAATTGCCGAGCGCTGACTTGGCGCTGCAGACTCAATTCCACGCGACTACTTGCGCCGCTCCCACTGCGACTCCTGTTCTTGGCTCGCTCCTTCCCGCTCATGACGCTAGCTTTGGGCGGAGGTTGGAGCATCCAGCGGTTATCGGAGGGATGTGGAGAGGGCAGGCTGACGACGGGAGGATGCAGGTCGTTCACCGGCGGCGCTCGCGCGGAGTAGTAGCTCCCTGATGATGTATCAGGTCTAGTGATGCCGGCGACACCCACAGAAGAGCCGGACATGGTGGGCGCAAGGGGAACCACCAGCTCATCGACGCCCCACAGGTCCTCGTCTTCCCGCTGGTATCGCTTGCGGTTCCAATTGTCGTCATCCAAGGTCTCGTCGCTCAGGCGCAAGTCGTCGGACTGATTGACGTCGATGCTGCTTCCGCCCTGGCTCACAACGGTGCTGTGCGTTCCCGCCGTGGTGATTGCCCTCGTGCTACCCGTGTTCGCCCTCTTTGCTCTCCGCGGAGGCGGTCCCGGACCTATAGATATCTCTTCCTGCCAGTACGGATTGGTGCCGGTTGGTTCCGGATGGTGGTACAGATCGGGACGTTCCAATTCCAGCTTTATCCTGGCCTTCCTGGCCCTCTTCGCCTGCTTCCGCCGCTGCTTCTTATACATGTAGCCTGTACACGGCGTGCATGATGCGTAGTGGAAGATGGCCGACTGCAGTCCCTTCATGAGCCACGACATGGCGGCGCGGGAACGCGGTCTGCCGTGCCCGAATGCAGAGCGGACCTGCGCTGATGCGGCGGTGCGGATTGAGAGGCAGTCTTCGAGCGGGCGGCGCGGTGGGCGTCGGCGTCGGACCCTAGCGGGGATGCTACGGCTTGTCGAGGCACGGTCACAGAGGTTCGGCGTCGCAGGTTGGGGGGTCCATTCTCCTCCCTCGACGGCTGAGGAGAGGAGGGAAAGCGTCAATTGCGCGCGGTGCGCAAAGCGAAGCGGTGTCTGGCAGGCGGCGACTCCCTCCGGCGGCGCCCGCTGCTGCGTGGTGAGTTGGTCGGCGGGAGCGGAGACGAGGACGGGAAGTGCGACGACGACGACGACGACGATGTGGAAACGCGCCGATCAGCGAAGCTTGGTCCTCTTAGCGCGGGGGCTGGGCCGTTAATAAACCGATGCTTCACTCCTCCGCGTCTGCAGTCTGTACAGACCTATTTGGCCGCCGTCCGGGATATGCAGAGCGACGAGGGGCGCGCAATCAAGATGAGATGAAGGAGCCCGGCGAATTCGGCCGGACCAACACCGGGCGCCGTTGCGACTGCTGAACGATCCCCGAGGAATTCGAAACATTTAACGAAACACCTGCTTCGCGTTTACGCTGCGAGGTCGTAATCCGCGAGGCCATACGAGACGGGTTGCGCCTCCTCATCTTACCTGTCATCCTCCTCGTCGTACGGCCGAACTACCCTCCTGCCAGTCCCTTGTCAGCAGAAAAGCGGTAAATGCGCAACAACTCATCACCTTCTCATCACACTCACGTTAGCGGACGGTCATGATACAGCGTGTGCGCGGGGTCACCAATCGCGGGGAAGAGGAATCATTTCCATGCATGAGCTGGCGAGGCGGTTGACGCACGCGGCGGGGCGAGGCTGGGCGGCCGAATATGGAGTGGAGAAGACGACCACGCCGACGACTGATCGCATAGACGAACCCATTTTGACCGTTGCGTTCCGGGCCTGAGGAGATGAGCAAACAAGGCGGCTGAATGGGTCCCTGGAATATCCCCCCGCGGACCAGGCTCTCGTCTGCGGGCGCTGCACGCACGGCAAGCGCTGCAATAACGCCTCGTATACTGCGCACTATCCTCTTCCGCAACGGCGCCCCTGAGGCTCAGTCAGCACATCGTGCCCACGTAGCTTGGCGGCAGGTAGAGAGAGAGGTCCGGCTCGTATGGAAATGCCCGGGAAACAAAAGAGCACCGCAGTCCAAGGAGTCAGGGGATGATGGCTTTGGAGTCTCCGTTTCCGTTAGTATGCACACAAACCCCCATCAGCACTCAATCCTGTTGGATTCTTGCGGGTCCAACCATATGCGATAAAGCGGGCACTTCCAGTGAACTAGAAGACTCTTAGGTCTGCGATATCTCAACTGACGTGTCGACTACTCAATCCTTTCTCTGGACAACTAGGTCATTCAACCCCCACGAGGAAGTCTCGCAGCTCACCCTTAACGGAGAAAGCTAAGTCGTAGGTTCTCAATTCTTTTTTATTCTACTGCAGCACCCTACACTTTGTCGTTTCTGCGCGGGCAAGGATGAGTCAACGTACCCTTCAAAACTATCATTGTTGCCTGCGAGGGAAAGGGCAAGTGAATCCATCACTGCGACCCGCATTTCTTCGCTGCTGCATTGGAGCTTCGATTCGCGAGAACACACAAACTCTTACCACATACTTCGTTACCGCCCGACACAACCCAGCACAAACATTCATTCATTCCTCAGCCTTCAGAAGAGCAGAACATGTCGCGGCCCTCAACTCGCCGCCCCTTCGGGGCCAGAGCAGCTCTGGAGGCGCTCTCCGAGGACCTCGGAGCTATGCATATCCCGCCTCTTCCCAAGGGACCTACGACTCTGGATTCTCTCCCGGAGGAACTTCTCGACCAAATAATCTCGTACTTTACTCCAAATCCCGGCCCAATCTCCGCGACATCGACAGCACATCGGATCGCCAACCTACCGCGCATCTCCCACGTCTCCAATCTCGCAAACCTCTCCCTACTCTCTCGGAAATTCAACCGCATCACAGAACCTCACTTATACCATACCATCCCTGTCGTTCTCGCTGAATTCGAGCGCTGGGAAAAAGTCCTGGTCCGTGGCGGGGCGGATCTCTCGTATGCAGTGCCAACGACGAGGGGATGCAACGCCTCTCTACTCCTCCGAACGTTTAAGGCTCATCCGCAACTCGCCCAACATGCCCGCATTATCATTGTATGGCGCCACGACCTCGGATTTCACGCGCGCCGACAGCTTGGCTTATATGGCTACGAGTCCGGATCTCCCTTCAAGGTCAACGCGGACGACTTAGCCCTCATGGAGAAATCACGGGTCCCGCTCGTCGACAGCTATAGCTTGGAGCGAAGCAAGCCCCACACTCTCAGCATAGAAATGGATCCCGTCTACAACGTGTTCCGCGAATTGCTGCGAGTGCTGCCACGCGTGGAGAGGTACGAGATGAGCTTATACAGAACGGATGCGCCATGGAATACGGTGCTAGATGCTCTGCAGAGCATTGGAAGTCTGGGCGTTAGTTTCCCTAGGACGCCGCTTCCGAAAATCCTCGATTCAGTCAAGGACGTGACATTAGCGAGCTGCGGGGATGTGATGGAGTACTGGCCTCTGTTTACGCTGCCTGCTCTTGCGACTCTCGAGCTATGTGGTGCGCACTTCAAGGTACGTACATACTTCGCGTTGCACATACTTCGCGTTGCACATACTTCGCGTTGCACATACTAGTCTGTATTAGTCCCTTCTATTGCAGGCGGGCTCCGCAACACCCATCCTTAGAGCTCTTCAAGGGATAGAATAGAGCGGGACGGATTTCGACGTGCCACCCCTCCCCTTTTTCTAGACATCATGCTTACATATACCCTCTACATCTATAGAAAAAGAGCAACAGGAGGTTACTGCGAAATTGGGCCTCCCTCTCCCCCTCATCGAGCTTAAAGGATCTTACACTCTCACGAATCCTCGCCGCCGCTAACCTCTCCGCGGCCGAAAACCCCATGGCCCTCCTCTCCCGCGCCTGCACCGCTCTCACAGCTCTTCGTATAACGCAAGCTGCACTTCCGGGAGGCACGGTCGCACGTGATTTCACTCGAGCCTGCATATCCAATTTCCTCCTCCACCTTCCCACCCTGAGGGACGTCGCTATTCACGATGAGTACATGCGGCCGATCTCGTACAATGTCCTAGAGGCCCTCACACTCCAGGATACCATGGCCCAGTTTCGAGACTCTACTGGAAACCTACGGCACCTAATACTCAACGCGGTCGATCTGACCAAGCTTATGCCCGCTAAGGAATGCCACGCCGAAATAGAAGGCATCATATGGAAGAAGTGCACCACCACCCAAAGCCAGCGCCTCTTCCCGCGCATCGACATCACGCTGCCGCGTACGCTGCAAACCTTTACCCTACGAGTCAGAAGCGAGCGTGAGCACCGGGCAGCCCTCTTCTCCGTGATACGAGCTTTGGGCCTCGACATCCGTGCGCGGTTTCCTCAGCTGAAGCGCTTTACCATCTGCTGGCTTCCGGGTTCGGGAAAGCCGTACGGGCTGCAGGCCCATCGCGGCCACGTTGAGACATTCGCTGAGCAGGGGGTTGAGCTAAGTGAATGGGTTCTGGATCCGCCGACGGAGAGGGCGCGGCTGGCGGGAGTGGATGCGCAGAGAGTAGCGCGCGGCTTGGGACGTCTTAGTGAATATGGCGCGTTCATGGAATGAACTGTTCCGCTGCAGCTCGAGGGGTATTGAACACAGAAGCCGGCCGGTTAACGCAAAGCTGGGCATGGATATGTGAAGATTGTTCAGATTCCTCATGCCCCTTCATCAACTGCATGTCTGTTCTGTTATATACAGTACCTATACATCCACCATTCGTAGCTTCAGACGACCCACAGCTCCAGTTACAGCTTCGCAGGCACCTCTAACCTCTTCCTCCTTCCCCTCCCCTTCGCCTTAGCCACAACGGCCCGCTCATCCTCCTCGTCCCCCGCCCTCTCAACTCTCGCCTCCTCCCACAGCTCCCTGCCCACGATATCCGCCAAGTTCAGCACCCTACTCTGCACCGTCATGCCATCCCTGCGATTCTTCCCCTCCCTCCTACTCAGACTGATCCTCTCCGCGAACATCCACAGCGGACCCTGCGCTATAATGCCTGCCTTCTTCGTGTCCCGCGAGGGCACCCATTCATCCGCTAGCCGGATCGTGGAGGAGACTTTAGAGTCCTTAGAGCGCATGACGAGGATGATGCCTTCGTCTTCCAGGCGCTGGTATGTGTTTTTCAGCGTTTCCTTGTTGACGGCTTCGAAGTAGGACAGGTCGCCCTGGTGATACAGCGTCTTCCCGAGCAATTGCGCGCGATCCTGTACCTTCTTCAAATCCAGCCACGTTGCCTCCTTGCCCCCATATGCTACGGGCGGGGTCAACATCATCAAGCTAATCGCACCCAGCCACGCCGCCTCAATAAACGGCCATATCAAAAAGCAATAAAAGTCGAAGTTCTCGCGTCCCGTTTCCCTCTCCGCGTCGCTCAGCTCGACAAACTCGACGGCCTGCGTTTCCGGATTGCGGGTTACTTTAATGACGTTGTCGGATTCGAGGGAGGCGATAGTGCTGGCGAGATTGACGTCGAGACCCTCGGTCGGGAAGATGAATTCGCCGCGGAAGAGCTGCGAGAGGAAGTAGACTTGGTCGCGGAGATCAGCGTACGAGATGCGTTGGAATTCGGGGCCACCGCCGAGCTTGACTTTGGTGTACATGGAGGCGGAGACGAGGGATTGGAGGATGAAGAGGTGGATGGTCATGTTGCGGTAGAAGGAGAGCTGGAATCTGGATGGTGTTAGCTTTCGCGCGCGGGAGAGTGCAGAACCGCGATAACTACATTAAAGGTTTGGCTTACCTGTCCACGGCGTAGAAGGTCTCTTCTGGTAAACCTGGGACGAGGCCCACAAGGCCCGGACCCAGGACTTCCAGAGCCCTTTCCACCACTACGCTAGTCGGCAGACTGGCAAAGTGCGCTACTCTCCCTCCCTGGGCTCTTACACGCCCACTGAGCCATTCAACTCTCCTAATCAACTCCGACTTGCCGACGCCTCTCCCTCTTAGCGTCAGCAGAACCGTTCCTACTAGCGCTGTGGGCATAACAACGGAAACTTCGTTGATCTCGCTGAGTACTTTGTAGCCCAGGGTCCTTAAAAGACGCAGTCGTTCGTCTTTGAGATCCAACTTTTGTGGCAGCTTGCTGAAGCGGTCTTGCTGTTCGTTGATGAATTTGCGGAGAGACCATGGCTCGTGGAACCGGACATCTACGCGGCCGAGCTTGAGGGAGAGGACAGAGGATGCGGAGAGGAAGTCCATGAGGTTCTCCTTAGGCTTCGGCTGGCCGAGGAGTTCGCTGATGTATGAGCTATATCCAGTTAGCTAGCCTTCTTTCTCCTCATGAGATGTCACTTACTCCACTTCAATGACTTTGTCGTACTGCGTCGACACCGGGCAGATAATCGCATCGTCCACCCTGCCACTCGCAATACTATCCAGCATATAGCTTAATATACCAAACTTCGGCGGTAATAGCTTGCCCGTCCTACTCCTGCCTCCTTCCACAAAGCACTCCAGATTATATCCGTTCTGGAGCAACGTATCGATATACGCTTGCACCAGTGTCTGGTACAGCTGGTCCTCCCCAAAGCTCCGTCTTATCCACATAGCGCCCGCATGCTGCAAGAATGCCCCCACAACCGGGAAATTGAGGTTATCCCCCGCCACAACCGTAGGCAGCGCCAAACCCAGCCGATAGCAAATAATCTGGAGCGAGACGTAATCGACATGGGACCGATGGCATGGTAGGAAGATAATGCTGTGCTTATCCCTCGCCGCCTTTTCCGCCACCCCTCTTAGCCTCAGCACCTCCTCGCTCGAAACATGGACACCTTGGTGATACGCGCGCGTCAAAAGCTGCGTCGTTAGATAATAAGCGCCCCGTATAAATCGCCTACTTTCCATCTTGCAAATCATCTGATCCGTCAATGTCTCGCTAACCTCCATCAAGCTCTCCTCGATCTGCGCCCTGCGCTTCCTCCTCTTATCCTTCTCCCCCACCTGCTCCTCCCCACCCAACAGCCCTTCCTTAGCCTCCACTTCCACTCTCTTACTCGCCAGCTCGCGCACCTTGCTGACCAGCATGTTGTTTAATAGGACCTTGGCTTTCATCTCCTCGCTGAAGCCCGAGTAGAATATAGGCTGCCCGACAATGTTGTCATACGAGCGCCAACCCGTGCCGGAGACGTGCAGCGATACTTCGCGGATGAAGTCGAGCGGCGAGGAGCGGAAGCGCCGCATGCTGTGTATGAGCCCGCGCTCGGGGGATTCATCGTAGCCGGCGGCGTGCAGGTAGACCTGGTCGTCAGCGGTAATGGAGAGGTCGGGGGCTTGTTCGGAAGGGGGCGCATGTCGCGTTTTGGTGGAGGACGGCATTTTTGGTACAGGCGGGCGGCTTGGTGAGGCGCGAGGCGTGAGGTGCGTATTGTGAGGTCTCGGGGATGCTGTTACGGCGAGGTACTCGGGTTCAGGATGTCCATGGAGCCGCGTGCTATGGGGGGGTCAGCGCACGCGGGTGGTTCTGACCAATTGCCCTAAATCGCTGAAGAATGAACGATTCATTTCGCTGGGAAGAGCTTCGCTCTAGGAAAGCCAGGATCTGCTAAAGGCGTTAACCCCATCCAAGCTCTGACGATCCCGGCGCCATGCACATGAGCCGAGGCATGCGGGGAATGACGCCACATCTAGCTTAGATCGCATCTCCAACCGTTCCTTTGTGTGGCCTAACTTAAAAGACCAGTGGGTGCTGACGTACTGAAGCCTCCGGCGAAGCATTACTGATAGCAGTCTCACGATCAATTGGGCAAGTAGTCAATGTTGAGAGCAGCAGTCGGGGCAGCCGTAAACGTTTCCGTACACATTTCAACCCCAATCCATCACCCAGTGACCAGGACATACGCATGGCACGTAGAATACACAGAGAAGTCATACGACTAAATCTCCCCCTTTAGAGCCGGTAAACCAATACACCAGTGGAACGCCGGGTATGCCTGTCCCCCCCTAGGCTCCAATGACGGAGCTATAATGATGCAAAACGAAAACCTGACCCAGAATATCGTCTCTTCACCGTTCACCTATAGCCAATGCTACGCCGTCTTCCAACGTAGACTCCCAAGATTACCATGAAGACGAGGAGTACGATAACAGGACGGAGGACCCACCAGACCCATACGGAAGCATCGATCGGTGCACTTGTTTCGAAAGTCAGACGGTGTGCTGGAAGAAGCGGACGTTCTATACGTTGGGCCGTGACCGGGACGTGACTTGGGAGCAAGAAACTAACAACTTATTGTTCCTGTTCATACCCTTCTGGCTTCGTCATCCCGTTGGTCTCGAAGAATCGAGACGTGCCTGCGGAGTTAGGGTTAGCTCAATCAAAAGTCCTTCTACGAGCGGTACTTACAGCTATAGCCATTCCAGTCAAAGTTGTCCTTGGGGTTGCAATGGCACTTGTGCTCCAGGCGATACTGCTCGCCGGTCGGGCAATGGGTGAAAGGGACGTGGTAGTATGCAATATCGTTGAAGAAATGGAGCTCCTCCTTCTTGAGCATCAACGCAGCGGCAATCGAGTGCACGGGTGCGTCGCCCCAGCGCTCATAGAAAAATCCACCAGCCTTGTCTAAGGAGTTGAAGTAGTCGATGTAGGCCTCCGAGCGGAGCCAGTTGAGGTTGCCAATCTCGAAGTTAGACCAGAAGTGGCAGTGATTATACGTCTTGCCATCGTCGTCGCTGAGGAACTTCATCGAATTGCCCTCCGCCACGTGCTGCGGGTAGGTAGCCGTGAAGTTCTTGACCGCATCCCACAGCGTCGGGATTGTTTCCACATATTCGTACAAACTCAGAACAAAGCTGTATTTCTTGTTGTTCTCAGACATGAACTTGAAGGTGTCGTAACCGATGTCGCAGTAGAGCTCAATGCTAGGCTCCACGCGCCAGTACCACTCGTAATCGAGCATCAACGGGTGGCGGAAGAAGAAGCCGGACTCGTAGCGGCACATGTGCCTGTAGCTGATAGAGTCACCGTAGATGATCTTCTTTTCTTTCATCTCCTCGCGAACCTTTGCGGCGCGGTCCTGGTCGATGAAGTCCGGGAACGACCAGTGCTCCTTCGGGATCTTGCCGTACTTTGTCTTACCAGATACCAATGCCGATGTGACCTTTTTAAACTCATCGTCGAAATCATCATCGTTGAGGAACACCCAGTCATAGTTGAACTTGCGGTTGAAGCGGTCCTCGACGTGGCGGATCGACTTGGCAATCTCCCAGATATCCGAATTGCGCGCGAGGGTTACGAAGGTCGCGTTCATGCGGTCGCCGGGTGCAGTAGCGGGTGGGAGCTTCTTGTTGTCGCTGGGTGTCGTCGTGGGCTTCGGCTGCTCCTGGCCCTCCTTGGGCGACTGAGGGCTCGTCTCTGCCTCATTCGCGCCATCGGGCTTGTAGGAGGGCCACTGCGCTGAGGGCACAGAGGAAGATGAGGATATAAAGAAGAGGAGGATTAGACACTGCCAGAGTCAGTCGAGTTCAACCAGGAGCCGCCAGATGAGCATACGATAAGCGCAAAAATGATGTAGCGGAGGTACCGCTGGTGGCCCGCCATTGCGCCACGAGGCTGCTGGTGGTGCGCGTCGAACCGCTGGCTCTTCTCGGGCTTCGTCTTGCCCTCCACCTTGCCGGCTGACGGGTGTTGCGGGCGGTGGCTCGAGTCTCGGGCGGGTCTATTTGATTTCTTGAGGCGACGTCGTCGGAGGCCCAGAGCGTAGGGAGCGGCCGGACGCGCGTGGCTGAAAGAGGGATGGCGACGGGCTACAATGTAACGAGTGAAAAGAGAGCACGGCGCTTGTGCATTAGAAGTAGCGCTGGAGTATGGAGATGGCGCAGAGGAAGGAGGCGTGGGGTGGAGGCAGTCACCAGAGCATGTGCGCGAAAAGGGGAAGGAAATGCTGCCGTTGCTTCGGTGGTGAGGCCAGCCCTGTGGTGGCGCAAGGACCGGGGCGCGCAGCTCCACGGCGGCCCTGGGAGCTGACGCATGCCACTATATTTCTACAAGACGCAATCAAGACGCGCAGCCGCAGTAGACTAGGCTCAGGCAAAGGGATTCTTGCGCTTTACCCTGCAGCCGAGACAGCACACTGACTGAGATCTGCCACCCGAATCCGTGGCCCGGCGCATTTGTTGTTTCTTGGGGCGTGGTGCGTAGTGCGGCAAGTGCCGCTCGGAACCAAGCACCAGCACCAGCAGCTCCACGAAACGACTCCACCACCACGACACTGCACTCCAGCACGGCGCTCCTCGTCCCGCTCGCTGTGGCGTTGCATATCTTCATTCCTAGCGTAGACCTGCGATCTCGGTGGAACGTGATCGTGCCGATGCGACCGCCGCCCTGCCTTTACCTTCGCTTCGCAGCACGTCACCATCGCCGATTATTTGATATCTGACCACAACGCCTCTACGATCTTTCCCACCGCGCACCATAGCACGCTCAAACTCGACCACCAACGCTAGACACTGCCCGCCATGTCGTTCTTCGGCTTTGACACGACGCACCCGAAGGACCGCGGTCACTCCACGGGCGCTCCCGGCTTCGGCCACCATGACGCCTTTGCCGGCCTGGGCGGAGGGGCAGCCGACGACGATGCGTATGTCAGATCGATCAAGCACAAGGAATCCTGCTAATACAATTACCCAGCATCGATTTCGAAGAGACATACGACGGTCTCGGCGAGCAGCTTGACGAGACAGATGACGCTTTCAACGATGACACGTTCGGCGGCGGCCCCGCGTCCCAGCAGACCATTGGCAAAGACTTCGACTTCGCCGGCCAGACCTCCAAGATAGCAAACACTCTGCAAGAAGAGCAGATGCTTTACCAGGCTCGCCAGCCCCCGCCGCCGCAGAAGCCTCCCGTCCCGCACGCCTCGAAGCCCAACAGGACTGGCTACGAGAGCTACCATGACCCGGATTACATCCCTCAATTAGAGGCGAGGGCCGATATCTGGGGCCTGAAGCCCAAGCAGCCCGCCGCTGCAAAACAGCCGGAGTCCCAGCCAGCTGTGCATGCTGCGCCGGGGAAGAGGATGATGAGCCTCGAAGAGGTCGAGGCCATGATGCGTGCTCAAACTCTCGGCCAACTACACGCTACCCCTCCCATGCAGCCTGCCCCAGCTCAAGCTGCGCCCGCACCAGCTCCTGCACCCCATCCACAGCAGATCCCACATGGCCAACCACAGTACCCTGGAATGCCCGGTCAATTTGTGCCTCAGATCCTACAGCGACCCCAGCAGCATCAGCCTCAAGCTCCAGCTACATCTAGACAACAGCCGGTTCATGTCGAACTCCCAGGCCATCCCGTTCGTGGCCAGGCCCCGCAGCCTGCGACCATTCTGCAGCGACAGAGACCAGCCAATGAACCTGTGGCCCAGCAACAGCGGCACGCGCCGCCCCATGCCCAGACACAGGGACAGTCCTCCCAGCCCAGACAAATCCTGCAGAATCCGAACCGCTTATCTGGTCATGGCCAGCCAATGGCACAGTCAGGTCAGATGGGTCCTCGTGGTTCCGTGCCAGGCCACACCAGAGGTCCATCGTTCCCAGGGATGGTCATCACTCACCCGGAGCAGCTCCTGGCGCTCTCAGCGGAAGAGCGCGCAGCTTATCTTGAGGAGGACGCCAAGCGTGCCAAGCGGAACCACAAGATTGCTCTGCTGGCCAAGGACAATGGATTGATGACCCCGCAGGACAAGAACTTCATTACCAGGATCCAACTGCAGCAGCTCATGTCGGCCACAGGCAACCTAGATGAGAAAAGTCCAGAGGCTGCTATCGCTGAAGATTTCTACTACCAGGTCTTCAGCCAGATGCGTGCTCCGCGACAGAACCCCAACCAGCCTGCGAACCAGTTTGCGCAAACTTATCTGTTCCAGACCAACAGCAGGTTCGGTCCACGCAGGCACGGACGTGGCGGCGACAATCATATGCAACGCATGGAGCAACAGGTTCAACGGGCGGTTGAAGCAGCAAAAGCCAAGCCAAAGGGGAAACAACTTGTCATTGAAGGCAGCCTTGGAAAGATTGCATTCAGCAACGCGAAGACTCCTAGACCTCTGTTGAACCTCAAGCGGCCGGAGACGGGTGACAAACATCCGAAACACCACAAGTCTTCTGTCGCCGACCGAAAAGAGACTCTTCGCAACATCGAATCGGTCTACATGACTCTGATGCACATGGAGGATCACGAGCGAGCCCTGCCTCCTCCTATTAACGAAGATAGCCCTCCGGAGGCGATCCAAAACCATATGGAATGGCGCAGCAAGATCGAGGCCTTGCACAAGAGACTTTGGCAAGCCATCAAGATCATGGAACCAATCAACCCTCAGTAAGTATCTGTACCACCTACAGCTTCGCTAGTGCTCACATAGCAGGTCCTCCACTCCGCACCCGTTCATCTCGATCCTCTCACATGCCAAGGGAAAGAAAGCCATTCCACGGATCTTCCGTCATATTGATGAGCAAGAGCGCATCACGGTTGTTACCATGATTGTTGTTCACCTCGACAACCTCTCCGTTGTTTCTCACGCTATTGCAACGCCAGAGGAGCCATTGACTGCCGCTATGCGCGAAGAAGTAGAGCTCTTCTCGCACACCGTCATGCCGCCTGTCTTCGCTCATATCTCTGAATCGCCACTCAACATTGTTATTGGCCTTCTTGGGTTGATTCTTGATCGGACGAACCTGCACATTGTGGTCCGCAGCAAGATTGGCATGACCTTGCTTACGATCCTCATTTCCCGCGCAGAGCTCTTGAAGCAATCGGCTCCCGAGATCGATGTGACCGACTGGGAGCAGTGGACAGAGCTCTACAACCGCTTGTTCGACACGGTCGAGCCTGTCTTGCCTTTGCTCTTCCCTGGCACCGTCAACGACACCGAGGATATGTATGTCTGGCAGTTCTTGGCTGCAATGGGCGTTGGTGCCAGTCCCGAGCAGCAGCAGAGACTTGTCATTGGGGTCAAGGACCGCGTTATGGAGACTGTCACCGTGAGCAAGGCGCTGCCAGCCGAGATGGCTGGAGCACGGCTGGCGAATGTCAACCTCTTCATGAGAGCTATTGGCTTGGACGTGGAATTGCTTGGTTGAAGCAACGCAATGACAGATGAGGTGAACGTTCCAAATCCGCTGCCCTCCGCTTTCAGAAGGGAGGATCAAGTAGCGCGGGGAAGGATTGCTATCGACCAAAGAAGCCGCTGCCGGTGCTTTGTGGCGGAGCATCGCAGCGCCATCTTGGTCGTTGCATAGCTAGGATGATGAAGAGGTCGTAGAGAGTTGAGGGCAGGCTAAATGGACGACTGTAGGTAGACAAGGCCGATGAACTCACCATTTGTTTGTGGAAGAGACGCTGGTGGGTGAGGAAATAGCGGAGGAGATTCCTGCATTATCATAGTCAACAACCAAAAGCTTTCTTGTCATTGCGCCCGTTCAGCGTTCGATGTGGCAACCAGCCCGCGTATTGGCGGACTAATTAGGTTCCAAAACAGAGACGGATGTTTAACGTCGGTCACGCGATGATGATGGATTGGAGGATGGTGGGTTGGCGAGCCTTTGTTTTAAGGTGATTTGATGCTCCGCACGGAGTGCTCGAGGCTCATCGTTTATGCCTCAGGCAAGTGAGTCCCGTGCCTTCCTTCACGTTGTCCGAGCATCGCGGCTTCCCGTCTGGTCCTCGTCTTCCCTCAACCCCACACTACTCACTTTCGGATATGAATTCTCCAGGCGCTTCACACTCTCATCACAAACCCACCAGTCAAATATTTGAGTTTCCCAATCTTATATCACACCTGCACACAGCTCGGATAGTGCCAACCGAAGCGCACAGCGTCTCTGCATCCAGCCTACCACTCCAACCACAGCCTCTCAACCCCGGGACCTCGACTTCCCATGCCCGGTTTGGCCGTTTGCCGAAACACTCACGAGAGCGCTCGAAACACGGGCTGGATGGATGGCGCCGAGGCTTGCGAGATCGTTTATAGACTGACATGGTGGAGCGGAGGGGCCCGCGGTCTACGCGAAACATGTTCCAGTGGTGGCTTGCGGGGTGGGGACGCCAGCACGAAGCTTGATTTGCTTGTCTCGACGCCTCTTCAAACAACGCGGCCGCCACTGCGGGCTGGCATGCTGGCAGAACGGGCGTTTCGCATTGCCAAGCGCCTGACGAGCTAAGTGGACGCATCCCAGTGCTGAAACTGCCAGCTTTCGTAAGCTCCCGCCGCAACGACAGGTCGAAGGCTCGACCGCGATCTCAGCAGGCTCCATCGCGTTGTCTTCGTTTTCAAAGACAGCCGCGATCAACTTTTGCTGACACCGAATCGCAAATGCGCTTTCTTCGTGCCGAAATGGCCTCAATCCGACATCCAACCGCTTGGTGGGCGCCGCAATGCTGAAACAGAGTTGCTAAGCTTCGTTGGCCCCTGTTTTATGCCCGCGCCAATCTTCTCCACAAATCTTCCGCTTCATCGACCAGGCTCAAGCACTACGCGTATGAGGCATTGAGCCTACGCAAAGTCCGTCGGCAGTACTTTCGTACAAGCCGTCCAATCAATGGGCGCCCCGAGGACAACACCGTCTCATTCTGGGAATCCGCTAACCTGTTTCCGTGCATTTTCTAGACTGAGACCTGATCGACTTACGAATACTCAGCCTGATCACCGCATGGATGGTCGCAATGGTGGCACACAAAGCTTCTGTTTGTGAGGGCTCGTGCCGCGCTGGTGTCGCCGCCTGGATCCACTCCAGTCTGGGAAGCAGGCTTAGCCCGCTCATATACTACTTGTCCGCATGGTCATGCATCGGCATCCGTCTAGGCCTGGAGTTTCATCGGGACGTCTCCTTCCCTTCCTTCTTTGCCATTTTTACATCTTCGTCTTCCTTCTTTTAACCAGCCCTGCCCCGCTCAGCGAGTGGTTTATCCTTCACCTTCAGGCCGAGCCTTTCTGTTCTTTTGAGAGAGTATTAGCACGTCGGCTATATTCTTCTCTTTCTTCATTCACTCCCTCCTTGCGTTCAGTATATTCAACAGACCATTTACCCTCTTTTCTCGACGAGCTTCGTAATCGTCCGGCTGCCGGTCAGCATTAGTCCACCATGGCAACACTCCGCCTCGTCTTCTTCGTCACTCTTTTGGCGGCTATAGTATTAGCTGCCCCAGCCTCGCAGAGGAGGACAATCCAGAAACGGTCCTTCAAGGTCCCGCGGAGTCTCAACCGGAACCATCCCCGGGGGCTCAATGGCGCCGATGCTATGAGGAAGGTTTTCATGAAGTACAACTTCAAGGGAGGCTTCATTTCCGCCTTCAAGAACGGAGAGAAGTTCGACGACTTCAGGGTGGCCGCCCAAAACGGCTCTGCTTCCAACAGCTCTGGCACTGTTGCTGCCAACCCAGAGGACAACGCCGCTCTGTTCCTGTCGCCCGTAGATATTGGTGGCCAGACCCTGAACCTCGACTTCGACTCTGGCTCATCGGACCTGTAAGTTCTACTTTCATTCTGACTGGAGCGAGCTAACTCTTGTCTAGCTGGGTCTTCAGCACCGATCTCCCGCAGCGAGCCATCGGACAACACACGGCCTTCGATGCTTCCAAGTCCGCCAACTTCAAGGTCATGCAGGGCGCACAGTTCTCCATCTCTTACGGCGATGGCTCCGGAGCTGCTGGCACTGTGGGCACGGACACTGTGACTATTGGCGGTGTCAGCGTTCAGAACCAGGCTGTTGAACTCGCCAATGCTGTGTCGCAGTCCTTCGTTCAGGACACCAACACTGACGGTCTTGTCGGGCTTGCCTTCTCTCAGCTCAACACCGGTAAGGAGCGCAGTTGATCTCCTGCCTTTAAAAAAAAAAATACTGACATGATGATAGTCAACGATGGCCAGCAGAAGACCCCACAGAAGACTTTCTTCGACAACGTAATGGGTGATCTGGACATGCCCGTCTTCACTGCAGACCTTGATCCTGATGGCACTGGTGTGTACGAGTTCGGCAAGATCGACGCGACGAAGTTTCAGGGCGAGATGGCATGGATTCCCGTCAACGCTTCATCCGGTTTCTGGCAGTTTGCCTCCACCAAGTTCGCTGTTGGCGACCAGGTGATGGACAACCCTACTGCGTCCGACGCAATTGCCGACACCGGAACCTCCCTCTTGCTCGTCGACCAAGCCGTCGCAGAGGCCTACTATTCTCAAGTCCAAGGCGCCCAGAACAACGCGCAAGTTGGTGGCTTTATCTATCCCTGCGACGCCCAGCTCCCCGACATGTCCGTTGCGATCGGCGACACTTATATGGCCAAGATCCCCGGCAACCAAATCACCTTTGCGGCCGTCGACCAGGCCAACACGACCTGCTTCGGTGGTGTGCAAGGCAATCAGGGTGCTGGTCTTCAGATTTTCGGAGACACTATGTTCAAAGCGCAGTTTGTGGCCTTCAACGGTGGCAACCAGTCGCTTGGATTCGGGGAGAAGCCCCCTGTTGCGTAGGGCTCGACGGATACCCTTGGGTGGTCGCTATGACCGGTTTCTTTTTTGAGCGGCAAGTGCCGATTGTTGATATGCTCGGCCTGAGGGAAGGTTCTGTACATAGTTTCTATTTGGGAATACGGTTATTTGGGGAAGACAGACAGGGAACGGCTTAACGACTGCCCACATGAAGATGATAAGAATAGATTCTATATCAACACTCACTCTCTTTCCCGCCCTTCGATTTATGCGTCTAGAGTCGTGCTTCGCCAAACTATTCCGCCCAACATGTCTCCGTCCGCGGAACGGTTGATGAAAGTGCGAAGCCTGTTCTTGACCCACCAGGCATGAAACTAACTCGTAATCCGTCGTATGACGGTCCACCACACACCCACACTCGTCGGACACCAATGAAACGTTTGATTCCTAAGCGCTGTAGGCCCTGCAGACGGGTTTAAGGGCCTCGTATTCGGCCTCGTACCGAATGAAACTAGAATGCGAGGCAATGCGTGCGAATATCGTTTCAATCTTGCTCTGTTCATCGTCCATGTATGGGCACGTGTGCCCAGAGACATGATGGGACCTCGGAAGACACGCTCTCACGTGATTAGGCCGAGTCGCGCTTTCCTCGGAACGCGAGCTCCACTTCATTGGTTTCGACCAGCACTTAATAGCCCGCCATCGCAAAGATCTTCGCGCGGCATTCTCGCTAATTATCAACAGCCCGCAGGCATGTGGCTACAGCATGGAGCTCAACCTTGAAGAGCAGGAACCCACCGTGCTGGAATACGCACGCTTCCATGGGCTCTGCAAAGACTACACACAGGACGAATTACTCCTCAGTGTCATTCAGGCTTCATCGGATGAAATTTTTGATTCAGATCTTCGGGATCCTGCAGATGCTCCTCCAGTCACTAACCCCGCCACTGAACTAACGAGAGAGCGATTAGCTGTCAGCAAAGAAGCTGTACTTCTGCTAAAGGCAGTCCACTCACTCCAGGAGCTTTCTGATGACGCGCATGCGATCGAGAATGGGAGAAAGCGCATCCTCGGCCTGAAGCAGGAAGTTCCGATTTTGTGCACCGACAACGACCTCGATCTACTGCATTTCGGAAGTATTGCGATCCCGAGCTTTAACGACGTGAGAATCCCACTTGAGCCAGTTGATGAAGAGAATGATGAAGGGTTTGAGTGGCCGTCGAAGTATTTTGCGTATCCGGCACAATGCAATGAGCGAGCGAGCGCTGAAAAGCTAGCCGTCTCAAGGGAGGTTCTCATCCATCTACAGGACGCCATAAGAGACTCATACACGCCCGAGGACTCAGACCAGATTAAAGCTGAAAGTCTCAACTACAACCTCGTAAGTAAGATGATGCTGTTGGAGAGCCGTTACTGAAGGCCGCAGAACACAGCAGCACAGCCTCTGACCCCGCCACTGTTACCTCTATCGCCGCCATTGACGCCATACATTCCCTCTTCTCCCGGAAATCGCCTCGAGCTTCTCTCAGAAGAATCGCATTCAACGGCTGCAGAGGCCAAAACACTTGAGCTGCAGATCATGGCAACTGATGCTCCTGTGCTTCATGGATCGGACGATGGCGACCTGATGTTGTTCGATATAGCCGAAGCATGGAATGACAGTACTATCTTCGATCAACCAACATTGCCGACCCCAAAGCGAAGGCTAGAGGACCTGCGGGTCGAGGGACCGCTTACGCCACCTATGTTCTTCGAGTCGCCGGCGAAGAAACTGAAATCGGTAACGTTCTCAGACATGCCTCAATATATCCCAGAACTGCCCTCGGACTATGAGAACGGCGATGATATTTTGAGCCCTGAGGATGACTTTGCCGGCTTCTACAGGGGAGCTGAAGCAGCAAAGGGAAGAGTCGAGCATGAGAGCCTCTCGGGCGCAGACACCACAAAGCGAGTTGATGCCCCCCGTGTCGATTTCGCTCTACCGGTGGCTCCTTGGGATGAATACAAACACAATCCCCGAATTCCCCAAGCTCAAGAGACAGCACTAGATGCACAGATGAAGCTGCTGCTCCAAGTAAAGCGAAATGATTTAAAGTCCGCTACAACGTGGCATGGAAATTCTAAGCTCGATAAAGTGTTGAATTGGGATCCCTTTCCCTTTCAGTCAGCAACGGTCACAATCGACGAAAAGCTCCACGGCGAAGAGAACCTAAGCAAAGTGCTTGCCGAATTGACTTTAGGCGAGATTGCCACTAGCTCGACGGATCTCTGGAAGAGGGACGGGCTCCGGCTTCTCGAAGATGAAGAAGACAGCGAGTACGAGCTAGAGCCGGTCGAGCTACAAGAACACAAAGATATGGAAGCATTAATCAGAAAACGAAAGCTGGAAATGGAAGAGGCGGTTTCTGACGCGGCTTTGAAGCGCAAGGATACACAGCCAGCAGAGTGGAAGCCCCCTCAACGTTTGGGATCCGGCCGCGAAAGCCTTGAGAGTCATCACTGGAACGGAGGAGCGCCACGGCTCCGCAAAGGTCCCAAAACTCGATCCAAGACAAGTGAGCCCCAGCACGAGAAACCCTCTCGAAGCAAAACTTCGGGAGCGCCGAATGAACTAGACAGAAGCCTCATGTTCGGTGGGAGATTCTCGGCGTCATCCGCTCTTGAGAACTTCATGGCTATGCACGGAGTGTCTGCAGAACCGGCTAAGGCAGCGGAAAATCGGGAGTCCGCCGCCACCCGACCTCCGGCTTCTTCAATGACAGTACCAGTCCGCTCAGCAGAGCAGTCATATGAAGCTCTATCCAGACCTTCCCACGCTTCTGAAGAAAAGCTGCCGAAACTCCCATCTTTACCTAAAGATTTACCGCCGTGTTCTTTCATTATCTCGTTAGCCTTTTCTCAGCAACGAAGCCTTACGAAACAATTAGAGAAGCTCTACCAGGACGCAGATTTGGTTGTCCGGGACTTCGATTTACCGCATTCAGCGTCCAGAGAAGCGGATCTGATCCTGTCCCCTTCGACTGGCCTGATCATTACGACGTTGCAGCAGATAAAACAACGCGCACTCCCTGGGCAGCCTGACACATCGCCAATCAAAGAGCGCATCTCCACCCTTCAGTATAGATATGAGAGGCTTGTGGTGATGGTCACTGACGGCCTCAGCCGAGAGGCGGAAGAGTATGGATCTGGTCGGCCGGTAGATCCGCGCGATCAAGCAGCAATATCGCAATTCGAGAGCTTTGCTTCTCGGATAGGAGGTGAAGTACTTGTAAGGTACGTGCCCGGTGGTGAACAGGCACTCGCTCGATCGATTGTCGGAGAGATGGCCAGATACGGGTTGCCCCATGGATCCAGAGATATTGGAGACATCAAGCCACTGCCGGGCGAGACTACCGTAGGTACTCTTCCATTATTCTCACCATGAACAACAAGCTAACACACCGTAGTGGGAGCTCTTCCTCCGTCGCGCGGGTCTCAACCCACTCGCCGCGCAAGTCATCCTCGCACTGCTGAAAGAAGATGTGGATTATCCGCTCACGCCCAGCTCTCCTCATTTCACTGGACAGGCCTCCGTAACCTTACCAGTCTTTGGTCTGCATCGTTTTCTGCTCATGTCGGATGAGCAGCGGGTGCAGAGCTTCCAGACCATGCTCGGTGGGAGCAGGATCTTGAAGAGGGTGAATGCGTTGCTGGATCAAGAGTGGGTTAGTGCGGCGCATGGCTTTCGGATGTGAGGGGTTTATGTGGGAGATGAGATGGTAGGATGTTCTGGGGGAAGCTATGGCAGGCTGTGGGATGTTTCGGGAAGATGGTGTTGTAGGTGACCATTCGGCTTTGGAGCATTTCATTCATTTGCCCACACTTGCAAATTCCCCTTCGCCCTCCCCGCCTCAAACCCTTCGCTACCCACTCCACACAGGCGGCCCCGGCGGCACATACCCCAACAGCCCCGTCTCCGGCCACTCATAGATGTGCTCTGGAACCCAGATCCCTGTGTCCCCCTCTCCATCAGTCACGGTCCAGCTGCACAACGATGACATAACTTACCGGGATCCGACAAATTATACGCCCCCGGAAACTTCACCAGCGGTCCCGGACTCCCTCCCCCCGGCCCCAGAACTTCAATCTGCGCACACGCGATGTAGAATTGCGTCGTGTTGAAGGCGGGACGCACGTAGAGATGTTCGACTCGCAGGATATATTTCCCTGGTGGTGTTGTGCGGGGAAGGATGAAGTTCATCTTTGGAGGGGTTAGATGGCTTAAGTGGCCAGGAACAGTGGAAATGGGGAATAGGGTGGGAAAGAGAGGAGGGAAAGTTACGCCAGTCTGGTCGCGCGTGAGCCAGTAGGAGTCGTTTTTGGGCCCGAGGTAAGCTATCTTAAACCACTCCGCGTCTCCCTCATACCCATCCAAATCATCTGTCGGCGACCTGCTTAAGTACGCTTGGCCGGGGCCGTTGTGGTAGATGATGTAAGGTTCGAGAGGCTGCGTGCGTCACGTTAGTATCTCCTTCAATTATCTCAACTGAACAATCATGTATAGGTGGGTACCTCGTCTGCACTCCGGCCTACTACGAAGCCCACTTCGTCGCCGGCGAGCACGGTGGCGGTTCTGGTGCCTGGGCCGGATGTTGCGGCGCCCCGGCCGCAGCGTATATTTGCGTCGTAGATGTCGTAGTAGGGCATGTATTGGTCTTGCGCTAGGGCGTCATCGGCGGCGAAGCCGGCCGTTATGTTGCTTGTGCATAGTCAGGATTGCTGCACCGGAAAGAATGGAGGGAGGGGTGTGACGGCATACCGAACGTATTCCCATTGCTCGGTCACAGTGTTGTTGAACATGAAACGGCTGAAAACATCTGTAATCCGCGTAGAACCGGGAGGTCAGCTTGCATGGGGGACGAGGTGTGCGTGAATGCATGCCATTGAAGGTAACGTACAGTGTGCATTCACGAGGCGCCAGGGACTGAAGAACCATAGCCAAGGCACCAAGAATAGAGGCCCGGAATGCATGGTGGAAGTGCCCGCCAGGGGTAGCCAAGTTTCTCGCATGGACACAGGGCGTTGAAGCAGCAGCAGAATCGGAGGAAGAGCGCGCGGGAGCGGATTAGTTTCAATGATGGTCCGCAGAGCTTTACCCGGCAGATAGATTACCGGACGAAACCTGAGTATGGGCAGTAATATGCATTCCTGTTATGACTGCGGAACAGCTTCTCTCAGGTTGCCATCACTATAATGTGCCGTGTGCTGTAGAAGGCGTTTGTTCTAGGCCTTATACATTACAGGGACGCAAAAGCTCGGTAAACCGAGTTGTGTGTCGTATTGCTCCATCGCAACAGTCGACGGTTTCATTACGATTGTCGCGCCATACTGATTTTGCAGAGCGTTTAAGGATGAGCGAGATAAGCTTTCGGGATATTCCTGGAGGATGAAGGCCAGTGGGTCGTCCCGAATGCTCAGTTGAGGTGAATGCATTGGCCATCTGCTTACTAACTAGCGTAGTAGTGCTAATTTAAGCCCGTCTTCTCCCATCCCACTAACACTCCTCCCTGTTGCCTCCCGATTCTTTGTGCCTACACCCCAACGCCCCTTTTAATTGTCGACTTTAAGTTCGTCACCTTGAACTCTGATGCAGCTGCGAATCTGAGTCAGCCCGTGTTCGGCACGTCAGATATAGATCCTCCCGACCGGGTAACCAAGAGTCTAGGCTTACTACATTAACTATGAGCGCTTAATGCTCCTCCCGCAGTGGTTCCTTGCATTTTAACCGAGACTGCTTAAACACCCGACTTGTACAGTACTGTTGGCGTCTTCTTTTTCCGTCGCATGTACATATACGGCATCGCTTTTGGCTACACGCGCGTTCGCTTGAGTAGTTAGGAGTTCCTTTGAGAATACAGGCTAGCTTACTTCCGAGTCCTAGGAGGTAGCTAGCCCCGCTATCGTGCGGAGATATGGGATATATTATAAGTGTCTGGATGCAGGAACCCGCGATCGTTTTGATGAGCTGAAATCAACGGCATGTAGTGATATAACCAGTGGTTCCCCACTATCTCTACGCTTTCGTCCCGCCGTTCCCTTCCGCTTTCGTATTTCGCAATGTCTGAACTCGAATCCCGGTTCGTCAAGCGTGGTCTATGGACAGACCTGGATAGGGGCTATGTGATGGGTAAAACTATCACGGCGGACACTCAGACCGGAGCATTCGTCATTGCGCTACTCGCCATCCTATCTTCTTTGGCGACGGCCCACTTGTGGCATCTTGTCACTTTCTTCATCCACCAGCTGCGAGCCAATGGACGACCCAGAGACGCGCTTTTCCGGCAGCAACAGGCCATCCTTCGAACACTGCCAACTCCCGGAGCGCTGATTGCCGACTCTCTTAAGCTCTTCTGGCACTGGAGGATCAAGGAGGGCACATGGTTAGCTTTGGCACGGCTATCGTTCTTGGTGGTTCTTGCCGGACTCTTCGTGGCTATGACGTGGGCCGCCAGTATCTTCTCCTCTCTTGTGGTCGATACATCGCATCTCCGTGTGCTTGTCGACAGTCCTTATTGCGGAGCCGTGAATCTGACATTCGAGACCATCAACGATATCGGGCTCTCGTATCTGACTGAGATTGTTTCGGTGGCTGAACCATTCGCTGAGGAGTGTTACTTGAATCACAATGAGTCGCTACCGGCACTGTGTGATGCCCGTAAGTAAAGTTTCTGTTTCTCAACTATCCCACTACGCAGACTGGCGCATGTACGACGTCGCGGAACTGTGGAGTAACTTAAATACACTTTCCCGGATGATTGCTAAGGCGCGCCTATAGTCATCCGTCCAAAGCAGCTGTTCACAATGGAGAACGTTAGTTGTCCTTGGGATCCCTCTATGTGTGCGGGTGGAGACAAGCCCGCCATCCGAATAGACTCTGGCCTCATCGACCTAAACGAATTCGGCCTCAACCTACCACCTCCGGATCGCGTCCAGTTTCGGAAGGCCACCACGTGCGCCGTCTTGCCCCTGGAGAATCGTACAACGATTATTCCCGCTTCTGAATTCCAGGAGTTGAACCGTGAAGCGCTCCCGGAGGAACAGCTTCTGCTCATGTTCTATGGAGATGTTCTGTACTATGAGTACTGGAAGAATGCTACGTTCCTGTGGTCGTTAGCCGCGGCTAATACAACCACAAAATTTGACTCACGGTAAGTGGCTGATAATGACTCTACAGAGCTCCTATGATTGACGGATGCCCACAACAGAGTGTCAAGCGCGGCTGGCTCCTCCGACTGGTACGAGTTCGGAAGCCAGATTGCACTCCCTGAGATGCAAGGAAACAATTCGGACATAGCATATAGGCTGATCGCGAAGAACTATGTCATGTATCGGGAGCCAAACGAGGATTTGGTCTTTTCTGCACACAAGACCAATCCTACTATTACGAATCTCGGGCAGAAAGGAGATCGATACTATTCCGACTTCCCAGTCTCAGTCGTCGCATGCGCTCAGCAGGTGAGTAGTCACGAGCGACTAGCCATTGAAGGAGATTGCTGAGCATGTCCATAGTACCAATACTGCGTCGCGCAAGAGAAAGGCCCGCCATTGTGCACCGAGTTCAGTGCGCTTCCTGGAAACCCGACCAAAGACAATTTCCCAACGGCGAGTGATGTCCAACTCGCCGCCTTACGAGTTCTCGTCACTTCAGGCGCTATGTTTGATCAGCTGTCTTCTAAAACCTTCGATGCCATGGGGGATAATTGGGACGGCGAAGTTATCTCTCTCCCAAATGACCAATGGCAACGAGAGGTTGTGCGATGGGAGGCAATCGCTTGGGCGGGCTTACAAGCTTTGCTCACCGACTTTGCCATTGGACCCAAGCATCGCGACCCAAATGCCGACTCGTATGTCAAGCAGGCGTCAACGCCTGGAGAGAAGCAGCTGTGTCAGTCGCAAAAGATGCAGAAGTCAGGAGGTTTCGTGTAAGTTACTACCATAATACCAATAGTGCGCCTCCATCAAATGCTTACGTTTCTCAGCAACATCAATGTCTTCGGCTTTGTGTTCATCATCGCCGTCTCATGCGTCGTCGTAACGCTCGACATCACACTACTCAAATTCCTCATCTTCATCAGCGAATTCCAGCGTCTCACACACCTGTCCGCTCGTCTTAATCGATGGACGCAAGAGGGAGTCCTGCAACTCCAACGCCGAGCTTACGAGGCGCATGGCAGAGGGGCATGGATGAACCTCGAAGAAGACGTTCCGTTGACTAGTGAGAAGGAAGTACTTGAAGACCTGCCTATGGAGTCGATACCTTTATCTAGTATATTCGTCGACTGCAAAGAGTCGAACAGTTCGAAGGATAGAAGCAGTTATGAGGAGGAATTCTCGCCTCGGCCGTTACCGTCTATGAAGACGTGGGCGACGCAGGATACAATTGTTTCTGTCGGTCAAAACTCACTGGCAGAATCCAAATCAAAGGGGTCTACCTGGCGGGAAGAGAAAGAGTAGGTTCTTGGACCTGAGAAGCTCAGGCGTTCGGCTGTATTGCCAGGACGCAACGCTGTTGGTCACGCCGATTACTCAGCACGGCAGTATGAAGACTTTGCCTCCTTCAGCCCCACTATACATGTTTCTTTAGAATATCAATTCGGATTAGTGAAGAAGCGTTCTTCCATCTCATCATGTACAGTCTGAAGTAAGCTCGGCTATGCGACGTCACGCCACCTGTGCTTTACCCCGCCATTCTTCCCATTTTACTGTCTACCTCTTGCAAAGCGACTATCACTGCTCGAACCTTGCGACAGGGGTGAATCCATCCTCTCGGGCTTATATCCTAACTTCCGTGTGCTCCATTTGCCTTTTTGAGACGAGCTCTTCGGTATCAGTAATCCCCGTGCTGTTTCGCGACCAGAGATTTCGCGGCCGAGAGATTATTCGCGCGATATTCCGTCCATCTATTGTTTATTTATTGAAACATCCATCGCCAACTGCAATTACTCTTCAGCCGAGTCGTCCAGTCACCTGTTGTGACTACCACGTCCTCGAAGATGGAATACCGCTACAACCTTGGGACCTTCCAGCGGAAAGTCAGCACCACAAATGCCGCCGCACAAGCTTGGTTTAACAGAGGCTTAGTGTGGAGCTATGCATTCCACCATGAGGAATCGGCGAGATGCTTTGAGAAAGCGATAGGAGAGGATCCGACTTTCGCTATGGCGTACTGGGGAGTAAGCTCACCCAACCCTGTATTGCAGCAATCCAGATGCTGATCCTTACAGCGTGCGTTTGCACTTGGGCCGAATTACAACAAGCCATGGGATCTATTCGACGAGACCGATCTGAAGAACACGCTGGAGCAAATCAATAACGCTAACACAAGAGCGAAGGAGCATGCTCAAGGCGTTACGGAACTCGAACGAGCTCTCATCGATGCGATACAATCCCGGGTACCCCAAGGTCTAGACCAAATTGCTTTCCGTGCTTGTAACGAAGCGTATGCGGAAGCCATGGCACTCGTCTACCAAAAGTATCCTCAAGATCTCGATATCGCGTCCCTGTACGCAGACTCGATCATGAATCTCTCCGCGTGGGATCTGTGGGACCTGAAAACGGGAGAACCTGCCCCTGGAGCTCGCTCACCGGAAGCCAAAGCGGTGCTTGATGCTGCCCTATCCCAAGACGGCGCATATAAACACCCAGGCATCCTGCATCTGTACATCCATCTAATGGAGATGTCGAAGACGCCTGAAATCGCTCTCGTCGCAGCAGATCATCTCCGGAACCTCATCCCTGACGCTGGGCACCTTGTCCACATGCCATCTCATCTTGATATCCTAGTCGGCGACTACCGGCGCGCTATCGCATCAAACGCAGACGCCTGTCTCGCGGACGAGAAGTACCTCGCGGAGCATGGAGGAGACAACTTCTATGCCTTCTACCGCCTCCACGACTATCATTCGCTCGTGTACGCTGCAATGTTTGCCGGGCAGTTCAAGACCTGCATCGACACAGTGACGCGCATGGAAGCCTCACTCCCCGAATCCCTTCTCCGAATCGAAAGTCCACCGATGGCAGACTGGCTCGAGAATTTTGTCTCAGTGCGCATCCACGTTCTAGTGCGTTTCGGCCGGTGGAAGGATCTGCTTGCGCTCGAGTTACCAAAAGACGAGGAACTGTACTGTGTTACAACGGCTATGATACACTATGGCAAGGGCATAGCGTACGCAGCAACAGGAGATGTCAAGAAGGGAGCGGAAGAGCGAGAGTTGCTCTGGGCCGCCGTGGATCGCGTCCCTTCTGCCCGCATCGCCGGTGACTTCCCGAACAAGAGCAACGTTGTATTGCAAGTCGCCAAAGCCATGCTCGACGGAGAACTAGAATACCGCAAGGGCAACTATGAAGCTGCATTCTCGCACATCTGCACAGCAATCGAGCGTGACGACGCACTTAACTACGCCGAGCCGTGGCCATGGATGATGCCGACCCGCCATGCATACGCTGCCTTGATGATGGAGCAGGGAAACGTTGAAGAGGCTACGCACGCATTGACAGCGGACTTAGGGTTCGATGAGACGCTGCCGAGAGCTAGACAACACCCGAACAATGTGTGGGCGCTGCATGGATATCACGAGTGCCTAGTAAAATTGGGAAGAAAGGACGAGGCTGGAATTGTGATGCAGCAGTTGAGGCTGGCACAGGCGGTTGCTGATGTGCCTGTGAAGGCGGCTTGTTATTGTCGGACGTCGTGCTGTGGACCCTAAGCAAAGACTGCAAGATGCGCGTCAAGAGCACCTGGAAAGATGGGAATCGATCAGCATCAACTACCTAGGTATGATGGGTAATGGACAATTCAGAATGTGAATTGTCTCGCATCTCTGAGATCGGGCAGCATCGCCGTTAACGATGTGATGCTGTCTTCGGCTCACTTGCATATCTTCCTCCTAGTCACGAAGACGGACCGACCGGTTCCTCCCCTTTCCTGTTGATCAAAGAGATGAACTGAAGATCCAAGGCATCCCGATTGATAGATTGCAGATCATTGATGCCTTGCTCATAACTCAAGCCCCAAACCTTGGCTTTTCCGGCCCAACTTTGGACCTGAAGGCCACCGGCGTTATATAGCCGGGGTCGCGAACGTACAGCTAGAACTAATGGAATTTTCCGTCATTGGTGCATTGCGCAATACAGAAACCTACCACATAGAACCCTAGGAATGTCAAGAGATTTGGACGTTTGGTCTCGACTCGGGGGCAAGACGGACCGATATAGGTCCGGGAAATGGAAACTTCCGTCATGGTATCAGGATTTCTTTCATTATTGACATCGGCCCGCGGCGCTCCCTATATCTCGTCGCCCCGGCCTCAGATGTCCCGTTCAACGCTGTTTAACAATAATGTGCGTGAACAGCGCCCTCAAGAAAGCCGTTACTTCCAGATCGTCCTTGTCTCCTGAGCTCCCTAACCCCGCATTTCGCAGAATCCCATCCAATCCCTTTTCACACCCCTCGGTCATGCCTCGGTGCTTTCCCAAATATTGTTGAACGATCCCATTGATCAGCAGGATCGCCACGTGGGCCCATCACAAAACTATTCACGGGTTATACTGCATTAGGGCTAGCGCGGTGTTTCATCCATCGACGGCGTCGGCCGCGTCGGAGCTTGTCAACCCAAGAGAGGTTTAACTTCGGATGCAGCACCAGAAAGCGGGATGAACCGTTCAGGAACCTCAAGCCACGTCGCCGATGTCACGCTGGCTGATGGTGTTAGGATGCGTTTTTCACAAATGCCGATGTGGGTCGGACTGTCGGTGTGCGCCACCATGCCCAGGCGATGGCTTACAGAACCAAGCGAAACACAGTTTGACGGCTTCTTGATGTCTTTCTAGATGCAGTTGGGTCTTTCAACTAGGACTGTCCATCTGAGCAGAGACCAAGGAGCGTAGGCAGGTAAAGGCCTCTGAACAAGAGCTCTAGTCTTTGAGTATCAAAAGATCGCCCCTTTCTTCCTCCCCGGTTTCTTCCGTGGATTAAGCATGTCAAGCCGTCCCGTTCATGCAATGGCATCCCGCGGAGGAGAACTCCTGCACCCCTACCGTTTCCCCTTACGTAGATGCCGGCCATCCTTCCCCTTTCGCTCCCATCCAGGCCTGAACCCCAAAACTTACTCAGGGCCCATGTGCATAGTACAGTAGGTCGCGGGCCTTTGCCATGCCTGCAGCCTCCCTGCATGGCGAGCACGCGTCCTGGGCACGGCGGCGTGATGGGATTTTCGAGGATTTGAGGCTCTGCTTCCCCACACTCTCCTCTGCTTTTGAGAACCTTTTTGGAGAGCTGTTCCTTGAGTTCGGCTCGGTTCTCAACCGTCTCTCCGGTTCCCTTCGCTGTTGTCCAGCTCACGATGGTGGAGAATCGAGGGCCGCAATTACAGGCGGTATGTATACGAACCTCTCACCAAGAATGAGGTGATGCAATGCTAACGAACACAGGTATGCGCGACGTTCGTTTCCATGGCCTTCGTGGCTACCGTACTCCGTATTTACGTCCGACTCCGCATCGTGAGGAATTTTGGTTGGGATGATGCTTGGATGGTATCCGCTATAGTAGGCATTTCCCCCGAGATCCTCTCTAGGCGCTTTTCCGTATTGACTTTCACAGCTTACCCATATCATGTTCGCGACATGTTCAATATCCGGCGTACACTATGGCACCGGACGCCACATGAAAGACCTCACCGAAGAAGGCATCTACAAAGCCCTCCGAGTGCGTTCTTCCATCTCCACTCGCCCTCTTCCCAACTAACTCTCTCCCAGTACTGGTGGCTCTGCTACGTTGCCTACTGTCTCACCATGATCGCGGCCAAAATCTCCATCGGCCTCTTCCTTCTCCGCGTCACTGTTCAAAAAGTCCACCGATGGATCATCCTCATCGTTATGGGCCTTACAGTCCTCACCGGCATCGTATTCTTCTTCGTCACGCTTCTGCAATGCAAGCCTGTGTCCTACTTCTGGGACAAGTCCATCGTCGGAGGCTCGTGTGTCAACGTCTATGTCATCATTGGCTTGACGTACTTGTACAGTGTGATATCGGGTGTATGCGACTTCACATTTGGAATCTTGCCAGTGTTTTTGGTGTGGAATCTGAATATGTCGAAGCGGAGCAAGATTATGCTGGTTCCCATCTTGAGTATGGCTTGCGTGTAAGTTCCCCCGCAGAGCTTCCCTCATCAAAGCCGTCACTGAGCTAATCTTCGGTTTAGTGCGAGCACAGCGGTCATAGTCCGTATGGCATACGTCATGGACTTCCGAAGCGACGATTTCCTTTACAAAACTGTCGACATAGCCATCTGGTCCGACATCGAGCAAGGCCTCGCCATCACCGCCGGAAGTCTGGCCACCCTGCGCCCCCTCTACCGCATCGTAGCGCAACGGCTAGGCTTGACAGAATCCGCAACGAACCAGAAGGCCTCCGAAAAGAATAGCCGAGAATGGTATCGTCAATCATCCAGCAACAAGCGTAAGCGGAGTGGACCGTTCAGTCTCGTGACGTTGACACGGCCCGACAAAACAGCGCATGGTCGAGATTCAGACGAAGAGTATGGAATGGGCAATCTGCAGCCGATTCAGTTGCGAGATGATCTGATCGAGGAGAATCCGCAGGAGAAAGGATACAATTCCTGGAGAATCCAGGTCGGTAGCGGAGATGGGAGTGAAGAAGAACTGAACAAGGACGGGCTGGGTGGCATCACGCGGCAGACGGATATCTCATGGGAGTCGGCTCAACATGAAAAATCGTAACTCAGTCAAAAGAATTGAAGCCGAGCTAGGTGTGAGGTGGGAAAAGGTCTTTTTGCTTGGATACACATTTGGGAGGATTCTGTGAGCGTTCGGATACCCTGTAAGCTCTAATATTATTAGGAAATCGTACATGTGATACGAAATCGTGAGGAGGCTAACGGGAACTCGACTGATACTTAGCTCGCAGCATTTCCTCCACCTGTATGTCTTCGAGCTTCCTCTTGTCCATTCCTCCGGCCTGCGCATCTGGACCTCGAACTGCTCCGTTACTTTCGCCATGAAACCGTTCACTGCGTGCCGGCTGCTCAGTCTTCGGACTATTATACCCGCTTCCCGGACCATTGGCCTCATTCCTCTGAATTCTCTGGTTGTTGAAGACCTTCCTGGTTGGCAATAGATTGCCATGGTATGGTTTCTGTGTATCGATTGCATCCTTATCGACTTTCCATATACCTCCAGCTGGATCGACGGTGAAGGAGTCCTTGCCTGCCGCGGACAGCTTCTCAAGAAGCGGGTCGTTGGTCTGTCTCCGGTAAAAAACTCGTTGCCATTTTTCTCCACGCGCTTCTTCGTCTCGACGCATCTGCCGCTGGCCCGTTTCCACGTCCGATTTGGCATCGGTGGTACCCTTCATGTCGCCTCTGCCTAGTGCATCAATAACCCCACCCCAGGCTTTCCGTGACTCCCACGGATCTTGATCTGATAGGTCTGCGACGGTGATGGGTATTGACTTTTCCATATTAATGTTGAGTGTGTCGATTTCTTCTACGGTCCTTGCATTCTGAATGTTGAAGCTCCCATTCCACTGTCCTTTGGCCGTGTATAGGTCGTCTGAAGAAGCGTCTGCTCTATATAAACGAGCCTCGAAGCCGTTCTTACTGCCTCCACCCAACAGCCCCTTCCCTTCGAACTTGATCTCGGAAACCAACGCTGTCGGCGAGACAATGCAGTAATTTCCGACCAACTCGGGATACGGTGTCCCGCTTATGATTCCCTTCACTTTCACATTGGGCACCGGAATCAGATAGTCCTCCTTGTAGTGATCAATATGCAGAATTGCATACCCCTTCTGTTTAATATTAACACTCCCCGAGAACGTTATCTCTTGTTGCGTGAATCCTTCTGCCCGGATACCCTGCCTATCGTTCCATAGGTAGCAGGCTGTCACTGGCGGGTGGTGACTGACTTGTTCCGATATCAGTTTCGTTTCGCCGATACCGTCATCATGGAAGCCGCCCAAGAATAACTCTCCGAGAAATGCGTTGAGAGGCTTCTTACTATCTTGTTCTTTGCGCCCTGCGTACTGCTGATTTCGCAATGACCCTAGGAACCACTTTAGAATTAATAGGGCTCTTTTCTCCGCGTCAGCCTCTAGAGCCTGTGCTACGAACAATGACAGATGATCGGCCCAATACTGCGGTAGTTCGACCGTGGAATGTTCTGCAAGAACGAAAGGAGGTGCAGTGATGTTGCTCAAATCGCCTTGTATGGTCGCGATGGAAGCGAGAAACTCCTTCAATGTGGAACGATTGGATGCAATAGAACCAGACATGTCTTTGAATTCCGTGGGTACAATTCTGGAAATCTCGAAGTGTTGAAGAAAAAGATCATAGAGGGTCTTTGTGAGCCATGCCAAGCGTGTTTAAAGCCATGACGGCGCTGCCACGCGTTGATCTTAAGGCTGAGACCCGCTTTCCAGGCCACTTGGGCCTCTGGCAAACTAGGAGAAGAAGGTGGCGATAGGTCAGCGAACTGTTTTGCTTTGCTGCACAGTCCCGTCATTGGAGGTATCTAGAACGCGAAGTGCCTGGATCAGACGTGTCAAATAGCAAGGTATCGGTCTGTCCGGAGATACCGGAGCATTCTCTATTGAACCCCTAGTCTGTTGTTAGTCACACCGAGGAGTATAGAGAGTAGCGATCTGCTAACGGTCGTAAAGTCGAGAAGATGCGAAGAGGAGAACGAATGGAGGTGCGCCAGGAACGAGAGGTGTGAGGACGCTAACCGAAAAAGAACTAATCGAATCGAGCAGCCAGGCAGCCACGCTCGTCCTCCTCACTTCACCATCCTCAACACCTTACATGCCGCCGATTTAGTGTCTCCGCCTCCCAATTGTACATTGACTGGTGCTCATTGACCGAAGTCCTTCCAATTCTCGCCATCGTAGTACCGGTCCATCTTGTCTGGATGCCTCTGCCATCCGAGGATGGCATCTTCCATCTGTCCCCATGGCCCTTGGACCCATACCCAGGTCGAGCCATTTTGGTAATACCAGCGGGTATGCTCCTTGCTCCATTTGAACTCTGGCAGAGTTGGGGCTGGATAATCGGAGGGACCTGCAGCAATATCTATTTCGGAACCCGAATTATTGAGAAGTTGCCTTCACGCTACTCAGCATGGACCCTTCTCATGAGCTTGGAATGTTGGAACAGGATACTCACGGGCCACTTCCAAGTAAAACCATGTTGTTCCAGTCATCAGATGTCAGCCCCGAGAAGTCCTGCTTTCCCTCCTCGAAAGGTACTGGCACAGGATTGTCAACTTGCAGCTTCTTGTTGTGAGGTGTCCAAGCGAAGCCGTAAGGATTCGTCCACGGTTTGACAGCCGATACGGTGAAATCGGAATCGGTCTCTACCACCACAGCCGCCCTAACTATTCTAGGGACCCCGGCTTTCGCACGACCATCTTCTTCCATCTGGAAAGAAAGCGCGTCCTGTCGCGTACTCCCTTTCTGGAGTTTCCGATGGCCTTGAACTTTTCCGGAGTGTAATTGGGTCCACGAGGATTGGCGATTTGCGCCGATAGTGGCCTCGACACCTTGGATGGTTGGGACGCTCACGGCTACCTGCCCATTTGTGCTGTTGACGTGTTCCTCCTTCGTGGGCTCCGATTCGAGGCGCACAGGACCGTAGTTTTTGATCTCCGGATTTTCGCCGTCGGTGGCAGAGAAAAGCAACTCGATTCTTGCTTCACGGAACCTCTGGTCTCTGCCATACCGGAAGTCGACCTGGAAGCGAAGGAGACACGCGTTCTTCGTACCAAGCTTTCCCCATTCGTGGTCAGTTAGACTGACTGTCACTGATCTTTGATCGCCGTCGGGGCGGTCAAAGAGTACCGGCATCTTCGATTGATTTTAGTCGACTTTCCCGATTCACCGCTCTTCGGGGGTTAAAAGTGATCGAGACACATTAAATAGGGTCTTCGAAAGTTCATGGGCATTGAAGGATTGTGGGGGCCGTTTCACCATACCCAGGCTTAGCAGCTCGGCTGTCTGCGAAGCTAAGAAGATTTGGGAACAGAAGGATTCATACATCACCCACTAACCTCTTCTAGGGAATCATGCGATGTGCGGGACCTCGCGGAGTCATCTTCATGGAAAACACGAGCCACCAGGCTGAGCGCTCCCTCCTGTAGTAGGGGATTCTCCTAGTTTAAGGGCTCGCCGTATAGAAAACATTGCTCGTGTAGCTGACTACACGTGCGATTCTACGCACCTGCGAGGCTTCTGGGGCAGCTGTTACGTACTTTGTCATATCTGGAGAATTCCGCACTGTAAGAGCTCCCACACCAACACGCCATTGCATCCTCAGCTCCATGGCCGTCCTGCTTTGAGGGCCCGCACCTTGTTAATATTCGGATATATGAGGACTGCTAGGCCTGCCCTTGAGAGGAAGGCATGGTAAGTAGGTATGTCATCTAAGAGTAGGACTTAGCTTCTAGAGCGCCGATGCACTTATCCGGAATGAGGAACAGGGTCCTGAAGGCCTCTCATACTCAAGGTACGCTCTGGCACTTTCTTACCCTTAGAGCCCTTCACCTACACTTCCTGCTACCATCCAGACTAAGGTTCCTTCTACCAGATGCGGTACGATAAGAGATATATGGACACCGATCTCAGGGAGCTTAAGGCCAAGCCTGAGGAAGACCACTCCGCGATTCAGGAGGGTGGCAGTGCTATTATAAGTCCTGAATCTGTATGGAAGTTTAAGCAGAATGTCATTGCGTACAGCGCAAGGCCTCTGCCGGAAGAATTGGTGGAGTTACGGAGAAGTCACTGGGTATCGTGGGGGAAGGATACATAGGCCATCGTTCAATACTGAGCCGGAGACCTCTATGGTATAGAGGGTCTAGGCGCCCAGCCGTTGGACTTACCGATGCCTTGGTTCGGGAAGAAACATCCGCATCACTGACCCGAAGAACAAGGTCAAGTATCAGGATCTGATTGGACGGCCGTCCGGTCGGAGTTTTACATGTCTCCGTTGAACAACCTGATGGCACTGCGCTTCTTACTGAGCCTTTCCTTCACCCCACTATTGAACGACCTTACCGAGTGCTTCTGCAAGACATTTCTGAGGTGCAATGCGCTCCGAAGCCAGGTTAGCGGGCCCTTGGCGAACTACTAAACTTACCCAGTTCGTTGTAGCGTTCTTGGCAATGTGGGTGGATGCATGCCGCCTCCGCTGATAACGACCATCATCACCCAAAAGACGGCATTCGTCTTACATAAAAAAGCAAATGTCATCCTGTCGGAATGTGCTCCGCACGCTTTCTGGGCGAAGTAATGACGAGAGGGCGCTCGCGCCTAGCTCCGATCTGAGGATTTCGATTCGGACGAAGAGATAACGGCAAGCTTGCGATAAGTCCTCCAAGCCGGCTTCGGAATGGCTTGCAGAGAAGGATTGGTGAGAAAGATGTATAAAGAAAGAGCTCATGGCATAAAAAATCGTAGGTCGACAGGACCAACACTCCACTCCCCTCCGTCAAGATGAAGTTCTCTTCCGTGCACGTGCTATCAACCTTCACGGCTTTGACCTTGGCAACACCCATCGAGCTAGTCGCTCGTCAAGAAGTCCACCACCTCTTCGAACGTCAAGACATCCAAACTGCTATTAATGCCAGCCTACCAAATGTCACTATCTTCGCGACCGGAGGAACTATTGCTTCCCAAGGTTCCTCAAACACGCAAACCGTAGGCTACCAAGTGGGGCTCGGAGTCCAGCAGCTCGTCGACGCCGTGCCCGAGATCCTTAACATCTCCAACATCGCTGGCTACCAGATCTCCAATGTCGGCAGTGGGAGCATCAATGAGACGATTTCGCTGAAGCTAAGCCACATGATAAAGGAGGAGCTGGCCAAGGAGGAAATTGCCGGTGTGGTGATTACGCACGGCACGGACACGCTGGAGGAGACGGCGTTCTTTATGGAGTTGAGCGTGAATTCGAGTAAACCGGTAGTTTGCGTAGGAGCTATGAGGCCCGCGACGGCCCTGAGCGCAGATGGACCGTTGAATTTGCTCCAAGCGGTGACATTGGCGGCGAGCCCAAATGCAATGGACAGAGGAACGATGATCACGCTGAATGAGTGAGTTATAATTTCCTCTTCCTCGTCCCATAGCTGAAGCTCACTGACAATACTTCAGCCGAATTGGATCAGCATTCTACACCACGAAGAACAACGCCAATTCCCTGGACACCTTCTTCTCCACCGAAGCCGGCCAACTAGGTGTCTTCATAAACCAAATCCCCTACTTCTACTACGCGCCGGCTGATCCAATCGGTCTCGTGCACTTCGACCTAACCGACATATCCGACCTCGCACAAGTCGATATCCTCTACGCGCATCAAGACATGGACCCCGCTCTTTTCAACGCCTCCGCCGCCGCCGGTGCGCAGGGCATCGTATTCGCGGGCGTCGGGGCCGGCGGCATGTCGAGTAAGGCCAGCTTAGCCGCGGAAGAGCTTTTCAACGCCACGGGAATCCCGATTGTAGCGAGTCACCGCAGTGCAGATGGATTTGTTCCCGCGGATGATGAGGACTTTGCGATTGTGAGCGGGTTTTATAATCCGCAGAAGGCGAGGGTGTTGCTGCAGATGGCGCTTACAATCGGGTACGAATATGAGGAGATTAAGGAGTTGTTTGCGAAGAGTTATCCCATGCCCTAATGGATGAGATGATGGAAGGCGCACTAAGCTACGTATAATGGCAGCGGGGAGTGGGAAACCTGTATGGTTAGAAGAGACTTAGTAATAGTCTCATGTACATAGAATGACTGAACGGGATATGATTGTTATCTACCATATTTTCCTCGGTCATTGTGCTCGACAAGCTAGTCACTGGGACTTACCGCTGGAGTCCAAGGTTACTCGATCCCGGAAGGCTGAGGCGCAACAGCGCGCTCCATGTGATTTCCAAGTCACTAAGGAGTTATTAGGGGCCGATAAGGTTATCCAGTCTCATGGCGATGCGGTCCGTGTCCTATCGTTTTCGCATCTGGTGGCATGCCCAGTCTTGTTGTGGCGGATCCAAGTGGGCAACGGCTTTTAGCGGAGAACCTACTGCTTCCTTCTCCGCTAAGGCTGTTGGGGAACGCTCAGCTTGAGACGCAATTCGACTGTTGCTGAGATGTAACTAATTGCACTACCTTCACCTCCTTTCAATCTGATTTCTTTGCGTTCATGATCCGCCGTCTCGTAGACAGGGAAGTTTTGAGAATGTTCTCTCTTTTTTTCGCTTGCATTTCCTCTTTGAGGAAATTCGACAATAAGGCGTGGAGCCACGAGCGATGCGGCTTTGTAAACCTGAAAGAGACCGCGAACTTCACGTTCTTACCATACCTGACAATAAGGCGTGAAGTATTTGTAACCTCTTATTTGATGATAGGGCGCGGGCAGGAGAATAAATCTCAGACGAAGAGTCGTGGAATATCGATTTGAGCCATTTCCCCATAACTACGGGCCTTTCACCGAACATATCCAATCGGCACTGCTCTTTACTTTCTGAAGGTCTCCGGTCCTCCCTATCCCCGCTCAAGATGTGTCCTCCAGAGGCTTTCGCATCGTCCGATCTAGCAACTATCCCTCCGTCTCTTGAGCCTGAGTCGTTCATCCCGCCCACAGACATCAGCCAATCTGCCTATGACCTGGCTTCTTCGCTTCTTGCACCAGCCATTCTGAGCCACAGCATCCGCACCTATCTGTACGCCCAGACGCTCGCCGCCAGCTCCAACTCAATCTATCACGCCGACCCCGCAAAGCGTGATCTTCTTTTCGTGGCCTGTATTTTGCACGACATTGGCACGACGGAGACGTACAATGGGCCTCAACGCTTCGAAGTCGAAGGTGGTGATGCGGCCGTCGAGCACCTATCTAGGTTCGGTGTTGTCGAAGAGGATAAGAAGGATGTCTGGACTGCAATCGCACTACACACGTGTAATGGGATTGTGCAGAGGATGGGCGAACTCCCCGCTCTGGTGAGGAAGGCGATCGAGATCGATTTCGGACGGCGTAGCGAAGTCGAAGGTGTCGAGGACTTGGCAGAGCTGAAAGAACGCTTTGAGCGCAGGTTTGCGAGACAGCAAATCGAAAAGGTGTTGGGCGACGCTGTCGTGGCGCAAGCTATTAAGAATCCAGATAAGGCGCCGGCGGCCAGCTGGCCCGGGGGTATGTATAGGGCGCATTTGACGGATCCAGATTGGAAGGGGGTCAATAAGGCGTTTTGAAGGCCGTGATGGTGTCACCAAGGGCTTCCCAGTAAGGTCGTTGCAGGCTACGTAGGATGAAGAATAAATGTCGTATTTGCTTATTAAATGGACGAAGTTTTGTTTCAGCCTGCTATGGCATTCAGCAGATGTATCGAGGATGTTGCGCCGCTATAGACATGAGACTGAAAGGGCTCATGGACTTACACGCCGCTGGCATGATGTATGTCGTGGAGATACCTGAGTATGTTTTTTCATATCAAGATTCATCCGCCATCGCTCCTCTCTAAGAATCCCGGGTCTCTCTCAATCTTGGATTCGAACTTTGTCCACCAAGCCTGAAACGCCTTCAACGGTACCGTATCCCCAGTTCCCCAGCTCGTCAGGAAATCGTAGCAGTTTTTGATGATGCGCTGAGCGAGCGCCTTCGTAGTCATTGTGTTCTGCCCTCGCAGCACGAGTTCACCTCCCGTCATGGGAACTGCCGATGCTGCCGCATCCTGAGCCTTCTTTTGCTCTAGATTCGCTACCACCTGCGCAGCCGGCTCCACCGAGATGCCCAATGCTAGAGCCGGTGCGGCGCCGTCGGCGGCTGCTGGAGTCCCTTCGTCGACCATTGCATCGTCGTCGCCTACGCCCCCGCCAGCAGGCCCTCCAGCCTTGTTATTGACCTTGAAGATAGCGCTCGGTTTCTCGTTCGCAATCGCACCAAGTAGCTTGAACTCGGTTGTGTTGGGGAGTTGTGCATACACGGCAGCGGCAGTGCCATCTGGAAGCGTAGTTCCCGGTAGGAGGAATACTACGATATGCGAAAACGAGGGTGTGGACGGTATCTGGAACGCGAATTGGGTTTGCGAGACGGCTTGCGCATCTGTCAAGACGGGTCGACCGGATACTATAACGCCGAACATTGTTCGATACCTATTAGTCTTGGACTTTTACTTGTATCTGCGAGAGCTCACGGGAGCTTTTGAATGATTTTGGCGGTTTGACCCTCGACGTGCGAACGTTCGTGAGCTTTCGGAAGATTTCCGTCACTGGTGGTCCAAGCTCCAAGCTTTCCCTAAGACGGCATAGCTCAACTCACTCGGACTGCCTTCACATGTGCGCATTTCCTTTCTCAACGCACCCATGATGGGATATGCACGCCAGTACCAAGTCAACTTCAATATGGGTAAAGAAACGGAGAATGCGCATCGTGTTCGGGCTTGTCCAAACACCCAGACATTCGTACGACCAATCCCCAGTGTCCATCACCCTCTCCTCCTCCGCTTCGCGCCTCTCATCCTTCTAATATTCCGATATTTGTCATTACTCTCCCGCACTTTTCTTATTGCGCGTGTTCCTTCCTTCCAATAAGAGCGAAATTGACTGTACGGCGCGTGGCCATTTAGCCTGCCAGGAACCTAACCCTCCAAAAACCCGGACACGAACAAATGTCAATTTCGTGGGGAACCACAACTCATGATCAGGTCACTGGAGGGTCGTGAAAGATTTGCAATCTTTTCGTAAGCGGTCTAGAGAAGGATGGCTTGCCTTAGGAACGATACGAGTTCAGGGTTGGCGTCGAGGGTATATAGGGTAGAGGTGAGCGTTCACTATGCAAGGGAGGAACGGCGAAGATCGTTTTGCACGCCCTGGGTCAAAACTCTATATGACATTTCGCTAGAATTTCATTCGCCATGGCGTCCTTGCGCAATGTTCTCTCCCTGCTGGCTTTGGCGGCCCTTCTCAGTGCTAGTCCAGTCGAAGTTAAACGGCACGAAGTAAAACGGCAAGCTTGGAACCCATACAGCCCATGCAAGTCATGCTTTCGAAGCTCGTGGACCCAAGGGCCAGAGTGCACGACAAATTCTTTGCTTCAGGCCACGATCAGTCGCATCCTAAACCCGTAAGTGGTGGCTTTTGCAGCACTACGAATCAGTTGCTCTCGCTAACAAGTCTCCAGGCCAGCATCTGAAACGTCCACATACACACCAACGAAATGGTGCACAGATTATTTGCGCCAAACGGATTGGTCGACCAGCTATACCACAAGCTCCGGAATCTCCACATACACTGACTGGACCATCACGCACCTCTTTATCACGGTGACTGACAATGAGTCAGTTCATAAAAAAACCCTTTCCCCGTCTACCTCAGATATACTAACGCAGCCAAGCCACCCCACATCAACAATGTACTGCCCAATCCCATCCTCCGGCATGGAGTGCGGCTGGGACACCAACACCATCGCCCCGATCGACCAGGGCGAGGACTACAGCATCGAGCACTACTATAACCCCGAAGAGTGCCAGCAAGTCTGCCTCGAGCATCCGCTGTGCAGAGCGTACCGCGTTGACGGGAGTGACGCTAATGGCTGGAGTTGTGAGATCTGTAAGTATTCCGGCCCTGCTTCTGCGCAATTCAATTAGGAATGGGGCGCAAGTTAACTCTGGGTATAGTCAACCTCGGCATCGGAGCAAATGGGACCAATCTCGTTAACCCCACGCCAAAAGGACACCAATGGTGGGATCGAGACTGCCAGGTGCACATCCCAGTACGCCTCCTTCTCCGCCTTCACTCACTGCCTCCAAGCTAATACCTCCCATAGAGCCCCTGCCGCAGCAAAACAGGTCCCACAGCGCCCCCGGCAAACACCACAGCTCTTCCCGTGCTAACCACGGACTCCGCCGCCGTAACCCCAACGTCTTCAACCCTTTCAACGCCTTCTCCAGCCCAACCAACCATCACCACCGCGCCCACAGCCGTCCCGCGCAGCCTTTTTAAGCGCGATGCCCCGCTCCCGCCCTACATGTCCGACTTCAGCTATTTCTGGTCGGGTGTGTACGTTACGCCGGCATGTAGCTGCATTATCAGCTCGGCGCTGCCGCCTGTGCCATCCACCACTACTAGCACTGTGACGAAGTGGACATCCAGCACAGTAAGTACCCTCATGTTGAACAGGTATGAAGAAGGAGGGGAAGGCTGATCATGAGCAGACTGTGTCGAGCACTTACGAAGATTGGTTCAGGGTTACAACGACGCCTAGGGAGACGACGATATATACCAGCATCAACTAGATATGCGAACAAATCGCATTGAAGGAGTATGGAACGTAAGGTAGTTGAGGATGGCGTAGTGAGTAGAAATACAGAAGAACCACTCTACGATATCAAAAAGTGCGCTATTGATCTGAACGCAAAATGCAACGAGACATTATACACTAAATCCACCCAATGCAGGCGTGATATGCTACAATCTTTTATCTAAACCCCTTTCTTCCCTTCCGTTCCTTGACCTTTTTTAAATCATGCACTTCTCCTCCCCCGCCTCTGCCTTCCTACGCATCACGGACTCAACCTCTCAATCACCCACCCCTCCCCTTCCTTCCTATATCTAAACCGATCATGCAGCCTACTCTCCCTTCCCTGCCAAAGCTCCACCGTCTCAGGCACCACCCTAATCCCGCCCCAAAACTCCGGCACAGGAATTCTATCCTTGCCCTCAAACCTCTTCTCCACCTCCTCGACCCTCTTCACCAGCTCCTCCCTACTCTGCAGCACCAGGCTCTGCGGGCTCGCCCACGCGCCAATCCTACTCCCCCGGATCCTCGTGTCGTAGTAGACCTGCGACTCCTCCGCCGAGAGCCGCTCAACCGTGCCCTCGACGCGCACCTGGCGCTCGACTTCGCGCCACCAGAAGGACAGGGCGGCCTGCGGATTCGACTCCACATCCTTCGCCTTGCGGCTCGTTTCCCAATTCGAGTAGATGACAAACCCTCTCTCGTCCAGCTCTTTCATGAACACGATTCGCGCGCTGGGCTTGCCATCTGGCAGGCTCGCTGTCGCCAGGGTGACGGTTTCAGGCTGGTAGACGCCCGCGGATAGCGCTTCCTGGAACCATATGTGGAATTGCTCCGTGGGGCTGGGCAGCAGGTCAGAGATTTCGAGCGTGCCGCGCTGGTACTGGACGGCGTGGCCGGGGTCGTTGGAGCCGCCGGTGGGCGCGAAGATGCGCTTGGAGGAGGAGGAGGAGACGGTGGGTTTGGAGGAGTAGAGCATGCCGGTGTTTGCTTGATGAGTCTGATGGAAGAATCGAAGGGTTGGCTTAGGCTGAGTGAAGGGTGCGACTCTAGCAGCTTTGCGTCTTAAGTGTATAGCTTCAGGCGATGTGTCAAGCAGTATAAGCTTGGTAGGGCTGCGTATCAGCATGAGGATAGGAGCATATATAGCGGTGAGGTCGATCTCGATCTGCCACGTGGGGGAAGCACACAAGGCGGCTGTGCGCTGTACCTGCAGGTCGTGGAGAGAGTAGCACGTGCTGTTGCAAGTTGCGCGAATTTTCCACAGTCTTCGAGGAGAAATGGCGGGGGCCCCAAGAAGTCGTTGTTGAAGAAAGTGGGGTGATGTCATATACTTAGCGCGGCTGGAATGCGCGGGAATCTTACAGTATCCTGATTTCGTAACATTCTTTGGCATAGAAAGGGCGTGCTGCACAATTTAATGCCTCATGAGCCTCGCTGGAACTCAGAAATAGATGTTCCATGTGTTTCTGTGGCTGTGATGGCTGGCGATGTGGCGCGATTCTGCCACCAGCGCTCCCACAAGCCTAGCCTCTTGCCAGCCTTTCTTAGCGAGGTCCGTGTAACCGTTTTACTCAATCTTTACCAATGCTATACCGTAAACTTCATGCGACTGTACTTCTAAGGGCTAAGCAGATCATATGGGTATCCAAGCGCAGAACCACTGAACGAGAGGAGACCAAACACAAACTATGCTCTACAAGACCATCTATCCCTCCCCTCAGACCACTCTCACTCCAGCAAAGAGCCCATAATTAATCATCATTCTCAAAACATCCTTCCAATTTCTCTTCACCGTGGGTCTATCCTCCTCACCCACATTATGCTTCTCCACGACTCTCAAGAAAACCTCGTCGAACGTGGACGGTGAGACGGAGTAGAACTGGATACCCAGCCTCTCCTTGTTTTCCTCAAGCAGAACAAAAAGCCTACCGACCGACATCCCCTCGTCTTCTGGCTCCTTCTCCGACGTCGGTGCCGAGTGGGCCGGGATGTTGTATCGGAGCTGTCCGTGGTAAGGATAGCCTTCTTGCTCTGCTCCGGGCAGAGAGGCCTCGACCCACTGCTTAACGGCTTCTATTTCCTCCGTGGGGGTGTACGGTGCTGATTTGCATATGAGCTGGATGTGGAAGCCGTAGCCGTGCTTGTAGCGCAGATGTGCTGTAGTACCCATGTCTAGCATACGCTTTGCGAGGACGCCGACGCGGTCGGCAAGGTGGTCTGCTTCTTCCATGGAGTGCGTTGTAAGCAAGACACTGCGCCCGGGAACGAACTCAGCTAGAGTCTTCCACATCGTTCGTTTGGCGAGTGGGTCCATTCCACTAGAAGGCTCGTCGAGGAGTACGAGCTCTGGGTTGCCAATGAGTGCGATGCCGACGCTCAGCTTCCTCTTGTTTCCGCCCGACAGTCTTGATGCCATAGTGTTGGCGAATTTGCCCAACCCAACCGCTTTTACGATCTGCTGGGCGTTGCGTTTGGCATCCGAGACCCCGCGGACGCCGGCGTAGAATTCGAGGTGTTCAAGAACGGTCATCTGGTCGACGGCATCGAACTGGGGGCACACACCCATGCGAGCGCGGGCTGTCCGTCTGTCGCGCATGACGTCGATATTGTCCAGGTGGACCTCTGCACCATCCCGGGAGGGCTGGATCTCCCCTCTAAGCATCCCAATTGTCGTACTCTTTCCTGCACCATTAGGCCCGACGACCGCAAAAACCTCGCCTTTCTTAACACCGAACGTGAGGTCATCTACCGCAGGAATGATGACCCTTCCTTGCTTGAATGTCTTCGTGAGATGTTGGAGACGAAGTCCATCAGTCGCATTCGCGACACGCTCGATCTCATCCGAGACCTCTTTCTCCCGGGTCTCCTGGTCCTCGGCGTCCCTCCTGGGAGACTTCTTGTGGAACCATCTGGCCGCCCACCTGTGATCATGGATCATCAAGATAAGGAACATCAAGAGCGATTGTCCAATGAGGTATACGATAGGGGCGCCGTAGAGCTTGATCTCCCCAGGGTACGTCGCGATGCGTGGCGGGGCACCGCGGCAGAGGGCGGTAAACATGTTCATGGAGACGATCAATGCCCTCGTCAGGCAACCGATGGGCGTCACGAGATTGAACGTGAAGTTGAAGATGTCTTTCGCAGACTCGACCTTGCTTGCTTCCGTATTCGTAGTAATGTTCATGACCCCGGTGAAGTACATCAGGAGCATGAATCTGAGCAAAGTCAGCGGCTTCGTCACTCTGAATAGGATATACATACGCCTGAAGGCCAGCGGCAATGGCGAAAGCAGACAGCTGGGATTTGGCGAAGAGCGCGATCATGTACGACAAAAGCAATGAAGCGAACCCATAGAGGAACAAGACGACGAAGAGATATCCCAGGTTCCACCAGTTATCGGGCGCACTCGCTGCCAATATTATCGTCATGAGCACCGTGGCAATGAGGACGTTTAACCAGTCGAAGGATAGATACGCAAACCTAGTGGGAAGTTGTTAGTATATAATAGCTTTGGGCGTTGACTAAGATCGTACCAAAGAGGGAATGGTCGAGCTCCATTGCCGTACTGCAATGCTCGGATGTTTAGCAAACGTTCTCGCGTAGGGTAGAGCGCAAAGAAGGCAGGATAGCACGCCATGATGAGACCGAAGTAGAAGATAAATTGTATCTGGTTGGTGGCGTCCTGCGGCCAAGGAATGGCGAAATAGCTATGATCTGTTAGCCCACACTGTCAATAAAACGAGCTGAGACATGCGCTTACCTCAAGCTAGTCGAGATGGTGGTATTGGTGAGGAGCATGTCGACTGCATTTTGCATGAAGATGGCGGGGAACAGACCTAAACCGCTGAGGTCGGAGTAAAAAGCATACACCGGTTCGTCGCCTAGGAAAAAGCCGCCAGGAATGACCCTACTGTAGTTGGCTCTGATGAAGGCGTGGAAGTCATCAACTGTTTCCACGACGCTGATATAGTTCATAAGAGCCTCCACAGATGTACTGGCATCGCCAAATTGGGGTGGCAGCAAGCTTTGAAATGCTGTCAAGTTGACATTGGCTAAAGCGGCCGTCGGGCCGACCACGAGAAAAGGCTTGACGTTAGACTTCTTCGAGAGGTCCAAGAGGTCTGCGTCCCTTACTTGCTGGTTGGGCGAGCATCCTGGGTACTCCTTTCCTCGGATAAGAATCGAAATAAAGGCGGTGGCGATGATCGGGATAAGGAATGCGGCGGCATACGGTAGATAATTGCGCTGGAGCACGACCGCTCGTTTCTTGAAGAAGATGAAGGATTGTTGCAGGAAGCTTAGCGGCTTGCCCGTCAAGAGGCGGTCATCGTTCGCCTCATGGACGCTGTGTTTGATCGCTTTCTCGTGGCTGTTCGACGGAGTAGGGCTGACGTCCGATGGAGCATTTGACGAATCCGTAGGCGGGTTGTCGTCGGGATCCTCGGCGAGCTTCATGAAGACTTCCTCCATCGTAGGACCGGTGACCTGGTATGTCTTGATTTGCCGGTGCTCTAGCTCCTTGATGATCCGCATTGAGCGTTGGGTATCCTTAACCGTGTAGATCGTTTGGTCGAAGAGCTGTTCCATTGGATCACCAACAAAGAGCTCCTCGACATCCGGCATGTCTCCGTAGCCAGCGCCATGCAAGAACCGGAATCTATAGCCGCCACCGAGTTTGCTCTTGAGCTCCGACACGGAGCCTTCAGCGGCTTTGCGGCCCTTAGACATGATGACCATATGGTCAGCTAAGAACTCAGCTTCGTCGAGGAAGTGCGTCGTTAAGACAATGGTTCGCCTGCCGCGCGCAGCAAGCATGATGTCCCATATCTTCCTCCGCGACAACGGATCCAAACCGCCCGACACTTCGTCCACGCAGCAGACTGAGCTGCCTCCGGTCAACATCATGATGAGCTGGAGTTTGCGCTTCTGGCCTCCAGAAAGATTTTTCGACATAGCCTTTATCTTGTGCGTGAGGCCGCAATCGAAGATGAGCTGACTGAGATCGGCGTTCGCAGTGGGACTCATCGTGGTACTCTTGATGCGGTCAAAGATTTGAGCATGCTGCTCGACGGTCAAGAAGTCCCACAATACGTTCTGGGCTATGTTAGCACTAGCCTCTACTATAGGGGCAACTACAAACCTTTTGTGGACAAATACCAATCCCTCCTGATCCGTTGACGGTGATGGTACCCTTGGTGACACTACCAAGGCCTGCAATTGCATTCTGTAACTTCAATTAGTATGCTTGGCCGTTATTGTACTCCAATGGACTCACCAATGTTGTGGACTTGCCGCATCCATTAGCGCCTACAAGCACCATGACCTGGCCTTTCATGGGCGCCACCGACAGATCGTCGACGGCATGGACGGTCGGCCTTCTGACCCCAAACAAAGGAGCAATGTTCCTGAAAAACCAGTTCGGCTTATAGTGTTTCGTGAAGTTCGAAAGGATCACCGGTTGCGCGGTATCGTCGTACACTGTCTGCCGACCCTGGGCGCTGGTATGATACAATGCCCGCTCGACCAAAGCGGCCAAGATGGGATAGACGATAGTTTGGACGATCATCATAATCCAAAACGCTATCCCGGGCACCCTCCATTTAGCTCCTGGGGCGCCTTCGACTAGGTTTGGAGAGATCTGCGCGTGCTGTAAAGGTAGAGGCACACGTCAGCATTGTCTCATTAATAAGGGTGAAGGATGAAAAACCAAAGCATGTCCGGATCGCATTTATCTGTGGAAGACCTCCGGAAAGGGCATTCTAGGGTTGCAATCAAGGCATGTTGCTCTAGTACCATTCATACGTACCTCGTACCTCGCCATCCATATCATGTTAAAGACGAAGGTCATCGGTGTGAAAAGTATACCCAGGATAACGACCGCCGCAGTCGTAAGATATTTCGCCGAGATCTGGGCTGCGATACCGATCACGAACGCAACCACGACTACAGTGATACCGCTGAGCTGTGCCCGTTTGAAGATTGAGGCGCCAAGGATGGAGTAGGAGTTGAGGGATACACCAGCGAGGATGCAGTAGACGATGAGGATGCCCACATTCGTCTTCGGGAATATGCCCACCTTCGCGATAATTGCGATGATAATCCACGAAGGAAAGTAGACCTGAGAAGAGTCAACGGCATCCAACAGGAGAGGGAGTGTCACTCACGATCGTGAAGGCGATCCAATGCCCAAAGAGGCGTGCAACTTGAGGTTGCCATCGCTTGGCGTTCGGCATCATAGACTCAAGCAGGTCCGACATGCCTATTTCTCGCTCTCTTGCCATGATACCAACAAGCTGGTAACACAGGCCAATGAAGCCAATATACCAGACGATTGCAATGTACTTCGCGGTGACGTTCTGGATGTCTCTGACCAGGGAATCATCCCACTGCTTCTGCGTCTTGGATGTATATGGATACTCCTTGATGGTATCAGGTAGGGCTTTTGCTCCGTTCGCGGATCCAACTTCAGCAATGGCAGAGTCGATAGCGTGCTGCAGTGGGATCGGAAAGACTTCGGCATCGTTCTTATTCTGCTTGACGTTGATCTTGTATCCATGGGCAGCGTCGACGCGAATGGTATAATTCCAGATACCGCCTTCGCCTTCCGTAGGAGAGGAATGAAACTCGGCCGACCCGTAGCATTTAGTAACACCGCTCAGGGAAGACCTGCAAAGGGTGAGGAGCTCGTCTGGGTTGCGGAGGATGTGGACATCCTGTCCCTCGTTGCCCCTTGCTTTCGATGCAACAATCTCGATTACTCGATCAATATCGCCGCCAGTTTGTCCATAGTTGCAGAGCGCGAGCGTCCTTCGACTGCCGACAGCCTCAGCGATGGCTTGGGATAGGGGCCGTATGTCGGATGGGTTGCCGATTCCGTACGTCTCTTTCGGCCAGTAGACTTTCAGAATGAACGACATGTAGACAACGAAAATGATAGGGATTGTGATGGCGCGGAAGATGGTCGAGGTCCTCCGCTTGCTGTTGAGAACTAAGAGCAGGTCCTTCCGCGCCAGCGTCCATATCTGGCGCAGGAACAGAGACGCAGTCATCGTGTCGGCGTTATGGCAGAGACCAGAAGGAGTGATAGACCAGACGGCAGAAGCTCGAGAAGTTGAAGGGCATCAACCGTCATTTCATGCTTCCTCACTCTCGGCATAGAAACACGAATGCGAAAAGTACGGGAGTGACTGAGGCTGTGAATGCGGACGCCAGTTGCCGCTCTGGGCACGTGTGCAACAAACGAAGAAATATAGCCTGATCCCTTCTGCCTTGCAGCCACTCGTATTGAAGCCACTTCGCATTGGACCTCTCACCGGTTTGGCTTGCTGGGCGCTGAGGCGGCGGATACGAACTGGCCATTCTGAGCCCTGGAGGAGCTCCGTTGCGCGTCCTTTGTGAGTGATTCTAATTTCAACCTCAGACACGCCTGCTTCCCGCTGAAATAGACAAGACGACTGTGTTTGCGACGAGCTGGACGCGTGAACTTGGTGCGCTGGGGCGATGGCTGGGGGGATGTTTTGGGTGAAAGGGCACCGAATGCCTGGAGGCGATCGTCGCCTATGCCGCCTCGGCAGGCGCTAGCGGGCGGTCCCCCAGCCTGGACTCCAGACCTCGCAAGCCAGACCTCACACCACGGCATCCTCTTCTTCATGGCAGTGCCCGTCGCTTCGAACTCGCGCTGAGCGCGACGCGCCACTGGCGTCTTTCTGCTGCCCCTCCAGTCGTTGTACCCCGCGCCTGCCCAACCGTCACCCCACAGTTCCCGTCCTGAACACTTTTCCTGCTGCGCCAACCGCAACCACGCTCCCCTGAATTCGACATCGTGGCTCATACAGACCAGCTGTTCTAATCCATCCCTCTACGCGACATTACCTCGTAGTCACACCTATACCACGCCAGCCGTCTTTCAGCCCCGCCAAGCAGAACGCGTCACCGCGCAGAGGCTCGCAAGCCCTTCCAGTTCAAGACACTCAGATTCAGCCTAACTTCACGAGCTGCCACGCCGGCCAACCAAGCATGGCGGAGCCCATTCCCTTCCCGCAAGAACTCCTCGAGCGCGCCCACTCGCCATCCACCGCGGCCTCGCACTATACCGAACGCGTCATCAAGCGTCCGCTCTACGTCCGCCCAACCTCACCGGTCCCTTCTGCTCGCGCCCTCCGCCGCCGAGCTCTCAACGAGCGCCAAGAGAAAGCTCGAAAGCGCAGCAAGCTCAAGCCCCGCCCGCTCTCCGCTGCCAAGAAGCGCGCCTTGGGGTTGCTAGAGATCCCGAATGAGCAGCAGAAGTATGCCATCTATGAGGGGCTGCATCGGCTTTGGACGGGGTATATGAGGGATGTGCTTGGGCTGAACGCGGAGAGGACGCATGTCACGGCAGCGAGCGCTGGGCAGATCCTCGCGAGCGCGGATATGCACGGTGCGATTCTGGAGGTAGTGAGAAGTCGATGCGTGAGCCGCGTGGGCTTGAAAGGAATTGTGGTGAGAGACACCAAGTTTACGTTCGAGATCATCACGGACAAGAATGTGGTCAAATCCGTCCCGAAGGAGCACACCATGTTCAGGTTTGAGGTCCCTTTAACGGCAAGCGAAGGCGAGGAAGCACCCAAGCCTCTACTCTTCGAAATCCTGGGCGAGCAGTTCCAGGCTCGAGCGCCCGACAGAGCGAACAAGAAGTTCCGGATGCACTACCAGCCCGATATATGAGATTCTGCGAGAAAGCAGCATTAACTGGTCGCAAGACGAGGAGGTAAGGCGTCCTACAGCGGGCGACCTCAGATCACGCGTCTGCCTCGCCCCGTGATTAACCCACCGGAAGCGCCCTTCCTTTGGGATCGGCAGTCCGAAATATATTCACGGACAGAACTTTCTGCACAGCACGCTCCGAGGGATGTTTGAAATCCGAGCAATGCGAGAGTCAGCTGGGATGATCTGTCCTTTGGGTTCATAGCACGTCAGTGGCACATGAGGACAAGCCCTTCTCGCCGGAGCAGGTGATGACTTCGCCTCGCATATCGTACAGTATAGAGGCAGTTTTGATTGAGCAATGATGGACTTTAAATCAATTATTTGTGTCTTTCTACCTCCAAACTCACCCGATCGTGTACGGCTCCGCGTCCTTACCAAACAGCAAATGCGGTTTCCTCTGAGCCAAGTCCAAAATAGTCTGCGCAAACACCGAGTTCGCCCAGGCGAACCAACTCCCTGCACGCTCATTAGCATCGCCCACGAATAACCACACGCAAGGAACGACTCACGGGTATAATCCGACCCATAGTCCACGTTAACGCTCTCATGAATAAGCCCATTCCTACTCACATTCTTCACCGCACCAAGACACCTCATAATCTCCTCGTCGCTCTCGCTCGTCATGGCCTGCACGAGAACGCTCATTGGCCACGCGTGCCGGAGTCCAACGTGCGGGCCGCCGATGCCATGGAATTCGTCGCCGGAGAGGTAGTATGGGTTTCCGGGCTTCTGGAGGATCATCTTGCGCGTGTTTTGGTAGACTTCGTTATCTGCGCTGACAAAGCCGAGTAGGGGAAGCGCGAGCAGAGACGGGAGATTTGCGTCGTCCATGAGGATGGAGGAGCCGTAGCCGTCGACTTCAAAGGCGAAGACCCTGCCGAATTTCTTGTGTTGCACCACTCCGTGTTCCCAGATTCCGTCCTCGATGGTTTTACTCCATGTTTGAACGCTTTCGGCAAGCTGCTTCTTGCCTGCTTTGCGGAGCATGGCTTCAGTACGCTTAAGCTCAACCGATATCATGGCGTTCGCAGGGATAAAGAAGCCGAGGATGGTGGCGTCATCGCTGGGGCGGAAGGCGCTCCGAATGAGGCCTGTTCCACTATTTAGGGGATTGCCGACACCGCCTAGGTTGAGGGTCTCGGTGCCGGTGTTGGTTTGCCGTTGGAAGGAGTATTCGTTGCGCTCGTAGGCGCCGGTCTTCTCATTAAAGGTCGGCTTGGACTGGGCTTTAAGGACCTCCAGTAACGTATCCAAAGCGAGAAGCCAGCGGGCTGTGAGGAACTCGGTGGAGCCGGTGTGGTTGTGGAATTGGTTTGTCAGGGAGAGGAAGTGAGCTAGAGAGTCGAGCTCATACTTGCATTCAAAGACGAAGGAGTTTTCGTACCCTGGATGAACGGTGTCGCCATCGCCTTGGTACGTCGGGTTCAACCCGCTGGGTGGAGGCGGCTGGAAGGCATTGCAATATGGCGATCCAATCACATACTCCGCTTGGGTGTTGATAGCGCCTAGAATTAGCTGGTGGATCTCTTTATCTTTCTTTGCCAGCAGCTGGTATTGCGCCAATTGGTTCGTAGAGTCTCGTAGCCACTCCGCATTGATGTCTCCGGTAACTATAAAGCTCTGCGGGCCTTTCCAAGCATTCGAATCCCACGTCTTTCTTGATTTATGCTTCACGGTACCGTCGGCGTGCCACCGGACTGTAGTGTCAAGCGTATTCGGGAATGCGTTTTCGAATATGCGTGCCAGGTCCTTGTCCATCAACTTCTTGTTCATATCGTCTATGACCTTCTCGACGAGCGGCGACTCGAAGGTGCGGCAGTACTTCGATGGCCGTTGGAAGGGAAGCTCGAGCGGGCCTTCGCTATACGGTGGGCTACAAGGAACAATTAGCTATGAAATATTTCAGTAGTAGGAATATTGCCCTACTGTTGGCGCATAGCATAGCTCCTGTAGTCGGGACATGCTGCCTTGTATTTGGTTGGGTCAATAGGACCTCTCAGAGGTTCTTGGATTCCACCAGCGCCTGGAACGCTGGCAGAGGCACAAGAGAGTAGAAGGGGGAATAGTCCCAGGGAAGACGACATCATTCGTGACTTCATCTTCAATGGTTGTGTGGGTCTGCGAGGGCTCGAGGGTCCCTGGAGAACAACGGTTCAGCAGCTGGAGCGCGTAGGACGTGAGAGATGCGCCTGCAAGTTGGCACGGAGGAGGGAGCGCTCAACGAGGGAAAGTCGTGATCATGACCCCGTTCGCCCGTATCAGCTTCTGCATTGACAGCGTATGCGGGCAGTGGGGCCACGGACAAGTCTCAATGGTTGTGGTTGAGCGAGCGCCAGTGTCTTTGAGCTCTGACAAGGTGGCTTTCTAACCCCTGCTCGAATCATCCGCACGCGCCCCGCATCAAGCGCGCGTTTAGCGTGTCGCGGTTGCTTGACGTCCCTTGTCCCTGCAATAGCTCTTTCCTTCACCTACTTCACCTACTCCGACATTTCTAGTTGCGAAGGCGCGCCGACATTGCCCATCGCCCCGCTTCGATGCGGTCGTGAAAGGAAGTTCTAACCTGCACAATGACCGCAAGTTCATGAAAGAGCATCCACCTCCCAGGCAGCCGAAAGAGCTATTTCACTTTTCAACAGGACCAACCTTGCCCTAGCCTCCTTCTGCAACAGCACCATATAGGAGGATAGAGCTTGGGTTGATACGGCCTGTCTAACCCACCTCCCCCACTTTACCTGGACGCAAAGTCACCCTCCACTGTCTAACCCAGTTACCGAGAGTCGCGAAAATGATATCCCTCCCGGGTCTGAACCTCGGCGCTCAACCTACCGAACCTCTTCTCAACCTTCCGACTTCGACCGTAACACGGACCCAAGACCTCGCCGCAAATACCGAGTACCGCTTCGAAGTCAGCTTCACCCGCAGCCTCACAATCAAGCTTCTGTCGGGAACTGCAGAGTTCTTCGGTACTGAGCTCGCGCCCTCCAATACCTACACCTTTCAGGGCACAAAAGGCGCCGTCTTTACATGGCACGGTTGCAGGCTCGAAATCGGAGGGGATGCTGAAAGCGAATACGTCGCGGAAGAGACGCAGATGATGAGCTGCGCGAACGCACATTTTGCGCTGGAGATGCTGAGGGATAAGAGTGCACAGAGCGGAAAGTTGGGACCGAGAATACTCGTGGTAGGGCCCGAGAATGCTGGCAAGACATCTCTCGTCAGGATTTTGACCGCGTATGCTGTGAAAACCGGGCGGCAGCCTATGGTGGTCAATCTGGATCCGCGACAGGGCATGCTATCTGTGCCAGGCTCGCTGACGGCAGCAGCATTCTCCTCGATCGTGGATATCGAGGACGGATGGGGAAGCAGTCCAATATCAGGGCCAAGCCCAATACCAGTCAAAATGCCGCTGGTTTACCATTACGGGCTGAAGGATCCAGAAGAGGGCAAGCTGTTCAAGCCTCTGGTGACGCGCATGGCGCTAGCTGTGACGAGCAGACTGGAGGAGGACAAGGCGAGCAAACACTCAGGCTTCATCATAGACAGCCCTGGCGGTATTAGTCAGGGGAGAGGAGGGGTCTACGAGAACATAGAGCATATAATATCCGAGTTTTCTGGTGCGTGTGATGTCTCATCAGGAGCAACAACCCTTCTTTGGTCCCTGTACAAGGAGTCCAGCCCATTAACGCTATCCGCTCGCAGATATCAAACGCTAACACTAAGCAGTCAACGTTCTCTTTGTCCTCGGCTCTGAACGCCTCTACTCCGACCTCTCTCGCAGATACTCCAGCCGCGCTGCCGAAGAACCTGTCCATGTTATCCGTCTCGACAAATCCGGCGGCTGCGTCGACCGAACAGAAGACTACATGAAAGCCCTCCGACACGCCCAAATACGCTCCTACTTCTTCGGCCACGGCGAAAACTCACTCGCCCCAACTAGCCAAACAGCTGACTTCGGCGACCTGAGCATCTTCAAAATCATCGAAGGTACCTACCGCCTCCTCTCCCTTCCCAAACTCGCCACTAACCCCTCCTATCAGGCTCAAACGAGAACCCCGAATTCCGCCCTGGCGACGACGACGACGAGGTCTACGGCTCCTCGAGCGAGATATACGAGAAAGTCACGCCGTCGCCTATGATGGTGAACTCGCTGCTGGCGATTACGTCGGCGTCCGCGGGAGACAAGCAGGATGTGATAAGGGATTCCAGCGTCAAGGGGTATATGTATGTGGCGGATATTGATGAGGCGAAGAAGAGGGTGAAGCTGCTGAGTCCGCAGCCGGGACAGGTTCCGGGGAATGCTATGGTGTTGGGGAGTTTTCCGGAGGATGTGCCGGGCTTGGTGAGCTAAAAGCATCACATCAAAAAATGGCGGCACCAACGGGTTCGGAGTCAGATGGGCGGGTTAGAATCTTTCAAGGTTTGGCAATGATTTGTATACTAGAGGGTATCTAGCGGTCTACCTTGTCTACCGCAATCCAGATCCAATCCCACAAATCCAACTTGTCTACCTATTTGCCGCTCACGCCTCCTCCGTAGCCTCCAAATCCTTCTCTGCCTTATCCAACAACCCCTTCAACACCGCGGCCGTACTCCTCATCCCCCTAAGCGCATTCTCATCCGGCCCCTTTCCAGGCTGCCACGTAGCATGCGCGAAATCAATCATCTTAACCGCCGCCAACTTGGGCAAATCCTCCTCCTCATCCTCGCCATCCTCCGGCACCGGCGCACTCCTCAGCTTCTGCTTCGTGCTCGCATACTCGTCCACATCGCCCTCATACACCAGCAATATACTCGCAGAGTACATCCTACTCTCCTTACTCTCAAATACGCTGATTATATCCTTCACCTCGCCCAGGAAGTATGCAAGGATTTCGCGCGCGCGCTCGAGCTCGGGCTTCGATTTGGACTGCGGCAGAACGTACGAGACGAAGCCTTCTTCTACGTCTGCGGCGCTGAACTTGCGCCCGTACATCTTGTTGTAGACCCAAAAGCCGCCATCACCGTTGCCCTCTATGTACTCTTTCAGATCGTCGGGAATAGGCGGCGTGGGCACGCCCTTCCACGTCCGCATGCCGGCGATGCGGAATCCGAGACCGCCACTTGTCGTCGCGACGCTGACTTCGTCTAGTCGTGCGCGCTTCTCAGGCTTCGCGTCTTCGTCCCATAGCTGTGCGCCGAGCTTTAAGTCCAGCACGTTGGGTCTCTTGAACCCGTGCGTCACGTTCTCGAGCACGATGTGCAGCTCCGTCTCCAACTTTCTCCCGTGCAGCCGCTCGACTGCTCCGCTAGCTGTCACGATGGTTCCGGAATCGGCGTCGCCGGCATGAGGCACGGTGTGGTCAGCACTGAGCGACAACGTGCCCATGAAGGTGGGGAGGTGCGGGGCGAGGTCTGTGTGTGATTGCGCGACGGATTCGTAGAAGGCGATTTCGGCTTTCGTGCAGGGCTTAACTACTACCGCGCCGGATTCGTCGGAGAGGACGCCATCGCTGGAGAGGGAGGTCAATTGGAGTGTTCTAGGCAGCATGGGAGCTGAGGGAGGCGCTTACTGGCCTGCTGCGGCGTTGCCGAAGGCTTGGAGGCTGGAGGGGTCGAAGGGTTTCTTCGTCATGGTGATGGTGGAGGGGGAGTTGGTTATGCTGGGGTCGTAGAAGGTAGGTCTGGTAATAGGCAGTGCTGTGAAGGCGGATAGGTAGGGGCGAGGCGTTGAGGCTGAAGCTTATGGAGGACCCCCGCGTTTCAGGGTCCACGCTCGAGTAAGACGTAGCGCGATCCGGGGGATGCCTGACTCGAGGCTTTACATGTTAACAGGAACAGCACCCTCTGAAAGACTTGTCCATCATCCCCATCTTCTGCTTCTATGCGCGATGATGGACACCACGTGCTCACGCGTTCGCGTGTCGCGAAGCCCCGCAGAGCGCAGATCAGCTCCCGCTCCGCACTTACACACCTGCAGCATTGCGCCTGCCGCTCTCATACCGCAGCAGGAAATCCTCACCTGCTCTCCGCTGCAAACGCAGCATACCATATAGCCCGTTTGCTCGCTCACTAACCCTTGCTGACCTTCCTAACTTAAACGCTTTCCATCGTTTTCCCTTCTCTCTCAATCTGCCATCTGAACAACAGTCCTTCGCCTCTCAAAACCTAACCATCCAGTCCACAATGGCTGAGGATCCTCAATTGCAAGTAACGGACATGGCGCCCGCCACGGAGCAAGTAGCTGTTGAGGAGGAGCATCCTGACGCGCCGATTATCCGACGTCAAGTGAGTCTACCGTTTACAGGTCGCGATGCCCTTCAATGCTTTTTCCACCAATACAGCTCGACGTGGAGCAACGAGATCACTAACCAGTGCCAGGTGGAATACTACTTCTCCGACGAGAACCTTCCCTCGGATCTACACCTCCTCCAATGCTGCGGCGGCCGCGAGAACCTCCCCGTGTCCATCAACCGCATCTGCGGCTTCAAGAAGATGCGCTCCTTCAAGCCCCGAGACATGGTCATCGCCGCCCTTCGCAAGTCCCCATTCCTCGTCGTCTCCGAAGACGGCAAGACCATCCGGCGCAAATTGCCCCTACAGGGACCTTGCGCGCTCGATCCGGACTTCTACAACGACGAGGAGATAGCGTATGACCCGCGTGCGCGGAAGCCAGCTGCGTACCCGGTCCCGCTTCTGCCGCAGAAGAAGAAGGAGTATCCAGAGGGGATGACTAAGAATATGATGAAGCCAACGGGGTTCGAGGAGACGTATGTGGAGGCGCCGCTTACGCCGGCAGAAGCAGCGGAGGAGCAGGCCCTGTATGATCCGGACAAGCCATTCGTTGAGCGCATCGAGATCGCCATTCAGCGTTTCAAGCAGAAGCGGCGCATGCACGAAATGTACGCCAACGTCTTCAACAAGTGGATGCGGTTCGGTGGCGTGGAGTGCTCGCCCAATATGTTCGGTGGCCTCTCGAGGCAGGATATGAAGGGTATGGACGCTGAAGAGATCGCGCGGGCGATGGCTATTCACAATGTCCCATGGGATCGATCTGATGAGAAGCATTGGGTAGTCGACTTTGTGGGGGTTGGAGAGGCATTTCTGTAAGTTGAACTATGCCCTAATCCTCTCCAGGCGTATATATGCTGACGTTCTGACAGCTCATCCTATTATCCAGCCCACTACGGCTTTGCGCCGCGGCAGATCGAGAATGCCTGCAAGGTGCTTCGATCCTTCTACAACTACCTCCTCTTCCACTCTGTCTGCGATGAGTACCGCACAGACCTTGGTAAGGCTCGGGAACTCTGCGACATCGCCGAATCCCAACTCCCCAAAACCCATGCTGCCGGATTGGCCCTCCCTGGTGCCTTCAATAGCGCCGCTAGCACCATCTTCGGGGGGTCGAAAGCGGGCACGTACGCTGGAAACAATACCTGGGCCATCCAGTTGAAAGAGGAGGGCGTGGACCTTGGGGATATCGGAGTGATGGACGAGGAGGCAAGAATCACCTTTAGGACTGGGGTCGCGATCATGGGTACGGATGAGCAGCAGAGCATGCTTGATACAAAAGTCGTCAGGGTGTTGAAGGACGAATCCTTCGGCCTAGAGGTCCTCGCTATCCACCCCGCAGACGAGCTCACCAAGGAAATGTACAACATCCAGAACGGGCAAACGAAGCGCAAGCTCTGTCTCCAGCCACTTGGCAAGCTCGTCTGCCGCTCCTGGCACATTGCCGACTTCCACGAGTACGATCTACCCAAGGACAAATACCCTAACGGTCGCCTGCCCAAAGCAGAAGAGGGCAAGGAGTACGAGTTCTGGGTCGAGGACAGCGTGTTGGCGGAGTGCTTTGTGGGCATGAAGATGGATGCGCGCATCATTACGCTTGAAGGGGGCATTACGATCTTGGATGAGGTCAAAGAGACGATGTGCAGCTTCTACAAGTGGCTCCCGAATGAGCTGTGGATGGAGCGGCATCCGAAGCAAGTGGTGGTCAGGAAGAAAGAGTGGGAGGAAGATGAGGAGGGGAAGGAGAAGATTGAGGTGAATGGGGAGGATAAGGGCGGGGAGAAGTTTGCGGATGATGACTCGGACTTCGAGTAGATGCGAATGCCGATGATATGGCTCGCGCATGAGGAGACATGCAGAGTCTGAATGAATCCTCAACGTGGCACGGGTTGGACCTGCATCTTGGGGCGCAGGAACAGAAGGACGATTCTTCAGCACTGCGGTACGGCGTCCCGTTAGGGTAGCGAATGGCTTCAGACTAGCATGGACTATGTATTAGTATTAGAAAGCTCGTTAGAATGAATATTATCTACCAGAAGAGACGATCTGATCAAGTGTCGTATGTAAGAAAACACTCCAGAGATCATTTTCTCACTCGATGCATATATCTTACAGCACAGCCCTATAGGACAGCCAGTCGAGTATTTTCGAAAACGCTCTTTTCCGCCTCCCACCTTTGCTCATAGGCGTAGGACTCTGAGAGCCCCGCGTGCCTGAATCCGCCGACCAAGAAAGCATACCTCTCCTCCGCCATTGCCGCGCAAACCGTTCGTACCGTTCGACTTGCTCGGGCATGTCTCTGAAACGGCGCCGAAGGACATCGCGCACCGTACCGTCAGATCCAAGCGAAATATCATAGCCTGCACCGTACTCAAGAAATATCTCGCATGTAACAGCCTCGAGTTGCTTCAACGTGATATCCTAGGAGGACTCTTGCGCGGTGTACAGTATTCGAAATGGAGCGGGATCGGCCCACCGAGTGCTACTTTCGATGTTAACTTTGTCGCTGATTAACATGACTAGCGGTCCAAATTGTGTGTTCCTTCCACAGCTGTTGCGTAACTCTGTTCGGCGAATCCGCCATGCACGCGTTGGGGTTTGCGCCGTGCTCGAACAAGATGCGTAGCATACGGGGCACTCGGTGGCGCGCCCGTGGCTTTTACTCTGTGGGTCGAAGGCGAGGTACTTCAGTGCGTAGGTGGCGTCGAACTCGGGTTCTTCAATCCGCTGGTCGACGTACGAGTAGAGAAAGTGAGAGATGGCAGCTTCCATGAAATCCTTAGCTGAAGTTCTGGCCTGCACGAGGGCCGCCTTGCATGTGTCAAGGGGGCCAAGGTTGTAGGATGCCTGCCCTCTTTCGAGTTTCGATGCGTTGCGGAGGAGGAGCTGTACAACCGGATGGGTTATAGCCAGCTTGGGAGGTGTCGATGCTAGGTAGCGCGCGGAACATTCGTAAATGGCAGTAGAGGGACCGAAAGACTCCGGAACGCGCCCTTGAAGCTTCTTCCGGACTGATGGAGTACGAAGGAAGTCATCAACTGTGCGATGAAGGAAGTCGATTCTTTGCTTTGTGTCTTCAAAATCATCACTCCGTTCTGTGACCACCGTAACCAGGTCGCCGCAATTAGCCTTCAGCCTTGCATGTAGTTTCCGAAACGAGTAAGCATGGCGGCGCGCTATGGGGATTCCGACTTGAGCTTCTGTTTTGTCGTCCTCAGGCATAATGTGTGCCACGAGGACCAAAGGGAGTAAATCCTCGCTTTCCATCGCCATAAGCAATATGGCTGTAGATCGCTCGTGGTATCGTCTCGCGATGGTATCGAGCATTCGCTCAAAGTAGGGTTCCAATTCAGACGGGAACTCGTCGATGGTTTGCTCCAGGCTCTCGACTGTATCTTCGTTGGGAAGGGATTCTTCCAGATTTCTTACGACGAGGAACACCCACAAAAAGACACCGTTCGCCTTCTGAACGAGATTTTGGAGCACTCTCTCATACCGGGCGTCCTCAGCCTCGAGTTGTTTATAGACCTTGTGTTGTCCAAGAATCTGGTGCACGTACAGTCTTATGTCTTCTTGAGTGTGCTCGTGGAGTCGGAACGTTGTTTCTGGCTGCGCACCAAAGGCCGATTCAAAAACGTTCCTAGGACGACTCGATACGCAGAGTTTGATGTTCGCCGACGCTCCTATCTCCTGCACCGTCGGCCGAGGCTCGAAGGTCACTATGGATGGTTGTAGATCCTTCAGTAGATTTGTATATCTCTAACCCTTTGCCCACAAGTGTGGAAGCGAAGTCCACGAACTGGAGGATATTGCTGGCGAGCCCAACAGCGGAGAGAGGGTCCATGTTCTCTATCAGGGTGAAAGGACATGGAGTAGAGACTGACAACCAAGAAGTCGACGATGAAGGTTAGTGGATCAAGCTGTGGTCACGGTTATCCTTGAAACGGCTGAGTAAATGTGGCGTGCCATGTGAGCGCAATCTTCACCCAACCACAGAGCAGGACGCCATCTGATTCAGCGCGCTCGGTGAGATGTAAACTAGAACGTGTCGTAAGTTAGAACGCAAGTTAGCAAGAGGTTCTTCCCATAGCGTCCTGAAAAGTACCCCTTTCATCGGAAATCGCGCCCTAGCGATGACGTGCGCGGGGGACTGCGGGGAAGCTCCGCAGCTTTCTCGGAGATGTGCGCAGGACATTTCTCAGCATCCATTCTTTCTCCGCTTTGCTTTGCAATTGCCGTGCCGTCAATTGCGTTGCGTTCTTCATAAGAATCCCTTTCCCTTTCCCTTCTTTCTCTGATTCATGTCTCTCATCTCCCACGTTGCCCGCACATCTTCCCGCTTCCCTGGCTCTTCAATTGCATCCACGAGACTCTCTACGCTAAGCGCCCAAGTAACTCCGAGCTCTATTCACGCAAGAAGAAGCATGGCAAGCGTTTCTTCGCTCCCGAAGACGATGAAGGGCGTGCAGATTGAGAAGACTGGTGGGACCGAGGTACTGCAGTTGAAGACTGAGATACCGGTCCCGGAGCCGAAGGAGGGCGAGGTGCTAGTCAAGAACGAGTTTATCGGGATTAATTATATTGATACGTGAGTTTGCTTTCCTGTCTTTTTCTCCTCACGTACTGTAAACGGGTTAATTGGAATTGGAATTGACATAACGCAGCTACTTCCGCTCCGGCGTCTACTCTCCCCCGTCCTTCCCCTACACCCTCGGCCGCGAAGGCGCCGGCACCATCGCCGCCCTCGGCCCCAACACGCCCTCGGACCTCCAACTCGGCACCCGCGTAGCCTACATGGGCCCCGCCGCCTACGCGGAATACACGCCCGTAACCGCAAACTACATGATCCCCATCCCGGACTCCATCAGCACAAAAGTCGCCGCCGCCTCGCTGCTGCAAGCCCTCACAGCCGTGACGCTCATCCGCGAAGCGTACCCCGTGCAAAAGGGCGACTGGGTGCTTGTCACCGCGGCGGCGGGGGGCGTGGGCCTGTGGCTGTGCCAGCTGCTGAAGGCCGTGGGCGCGCACACGATAGCGACGGCGAGCACGGCGGAGAAGCGGGAGTTGGCGCGGCGGAATGGCGCCGAGGTGCTGCTGGAGTATCACGAGGAGGACAGGGAGAAGTTTGTGAAGAAGGTGCTTGAGGTTACGGGCGGCGAGGGTGTGCATGCCGTGTTCGACTCGGTCGGGAAAGCGACGTTCGACAGCTGCCTTGCAGTAGTGCGCCGCAAGGGCACGATGGTATCCTTCGGGAATGCCTCCGGCCCTGTTACGGGTTTCGCGTTGGCGTAAGTAACCCCGTCTCTCTTTCCCCGGCGTCATGTGTATGCAAAATACTAATTCCTGCCCCAGGCGGCTTTCATCAAGGAACGTCAAGCTCCTCCGCCCTACGCTGTTCAACTACATCGCCACGCGCGAGGAGCTGCAGCAGTACGCGCAGGAGCTGTGGAACTTCATCGAGAAGGACGGCTTGAATGTTAAGATCCACGACGTGTATCCTCTATCGGACGTGGTACGCGCGACGCAGGATATTGAGTCGAGGAAGACGACGGGGAAGTTGTTGCTGCAGCCTTAAAGAAAGGGAAACGTTGGTAGGGGAATGATAGAAAGGGGAACGGGCAAGCAAGGCAGATGTCGCCTAATGGAAATAATGACAGCATCGTGGGGGGTTTCTCGGGCTGAGGGTAGCCATGGAAAAGTCCAAATGGAACCAGGCCAAGGGCGACAATAAGAAACACTATGAAAAAGCTTCTATTCATCCACTCATGCTCGTCATAAATGCTTGCAACTATGCCATACGAAAACTCCCAAACCGATATCCACCGCCGACATGCTGGGAAGTAATCTCGCCCACAGGGCATGAGCTACAAGGAAAGGGTATATGAAAAAATGCTCCCAATATGCACAAGCGAACTGAAACGGGAGCCCCACCCCCGGCACCAAGCCGCTACCTCAAGCCATTACCATTAATCCGCTCGGCAACAGGAGGGGCACAGCGGGTAAGGCATCCTCCTCTAATAGAGAAGCAACAAGCCAACCAACCACGGTCCCGCCCTCGCACACAGCCTATCCGCGCCGCCTCTCTTCAACGCAAACGTGGGACTCGCGACGCCGGACGGGGATGAAATCGCATCCGGCTCTACAACCATCGAAGGCGCATCATCTTACAAGGCGGTTAGCAAGGCGAAAAACACAGCAACGAGCAGTCCCCAGCCGCCAGTAATCTTACTAGCCGCACCCGTCTTGCTTGGCTCTGCCGCGCTTCCCGTCCCCGTCCCAGACGGACTTGTCGTCTCGCCACTCGGCCCGTTCGCCTCGTCATTAGGCAGGAGCTTGAGTGTGAGGCCCTCAACTTCGGTGCCCGTGGAACCGTAGATGGCGTTCGGCGCTTCGGTTGCTGTGACCTCGACAAGCTGGCCGCGCGTAGGGTTGTCGATGCCGTTCTCGATGAGGTCGGCGCAGCCGGGGCAGACATCCGGGATCGTGAAGTTTGTATCGAAGGCCTGGTTGGTGATGAGCCTTGAGGTGCACTCAGGTGCGTCGATAGAGGTCGCTGTGGGGTTGAGCGATTCGATGCGGGCCATGTCGAGCTTGTTGAACTGTTCCTGCAGGTTATCGTAGTCTACGCGGAGAGTGACAGTGCCGTTGTCATTGATGATGGCCAGGCCGTAGTCAGATTCTTCCTGGCTGTACTCGTAGACGAGGCCGCCGCTGAGGACGGTCATCTGCTCGCCGTAGAGGGCTTGCACTTCGTCGAAGACGCGCGGCTTGACTTCGTTGCAGCCGTATTCGGAGAAGAAGACGGGGATGCTGCTGTTCTTGAACATGTCGACCAAGACATCGTACTGTGCCGACTCGAAGGTAGCGTCGCCTCCGCACCAGGAGTACGAATTCAGGCCGAAGAAGTCGGACGAGGACTGGTCATCGTCATGCGCGCACTGGAGATAGGCCCAGGTATCCTGAAGGATTTCGCGGACGTCGGCGGCCGAGTAGCCAACGGGGATGGTACGGTCGGCGTGGTTCTTGATGTAGTTCTTCAGATCGCGTTGTACGGCCTGCTTATCGTCAGCACCCATTCCTTCCTACCCTCACATCCCATGACTTACCCGAATATACTGCGGATTGACCTTCCCGGTATCCATATCATTCATAACTTCATTCGCGGCAAAGAACCCTAGCGTATTCGGATACCCCATGAAGTTCTCCACGACACCAAATATCCTCTTGAGATAATCCTCATGGTAGCTCGTCCACGGCTCAGCCCTGTTAATGCTTTCGCCGGAGAACGGGCCATTAACGTCAATGATCATATAGATCCCCGCCGCATTGAAGATGCTGGCGCACTCGTCGTGGTTGAGCGTCGGATCGACATTGTACACACGGATCGTGTTGACGCCCAGCCGCTGAAGCATAATCGCATCTCGCAGGCAGATATCGACCTCAGACAGCGGATCGCGCCCCTCCTGTGGTTTGTAGCCCGCCTGACCGCCGGGCTGGTAGTCGACGCCGATGACCATCAATCGCTTCTTCGTGACCGTGTCCACGAAGCTCTGGCCTTGGACTTCGACGGTGTGCACGGCAGATGCGACGCGGGCGAGGAGCGCGACGAGCAGCGCGAGGGAGTGGAAGAGCTGTCGTTGGTGAGCACCATTCGTCAATGGGACTTGGAAATTCGCATACCGAACGCATGGTTGAGCGAGAGACTGAACTGAGCCGCGGGGGTGCGATCGCTATCGGCTCCGCTGGCCGTCTTATACCAAGATACGGCTACCTCGAAGTGAAGTCAGATGTGGGATATGCGCCAATACTAGCTGCAGCAACGCAAGCCACAAATCCTGCTCGTCAATTCACACCAAAAGGCCAAAAACAACAAAAAGAGTGACAGTTGCAAACGAGTGCGATAAGGAACGAAGGCGCCTCAAGAGCAGATAGATGGCGTGCCGTGTCACAGTGGAGTGAGTGAAAGCTCGGCCAGGGCGGAAGCGGAGGTTCATAAGAGGAACCCGTGCCCCCGCCAGCCTCGCGGGAGGCAAGCGCCATCGTGTAATTTCTTGGTGTGCCATTTGGGCCGGTTCGAGGCGTTGGTGGGCTGCTGCATGTGCTGCATGCCGAGAGTGTTCTAGTGATGCAACCACATTTCCGAGGCCTAGGCAGGGGCCCTGCGCCGCTAAGATGGCGCGCTATCCACCAATAGGAGCATGGCAACTGTTTCACGGCCCCAGCAATGTTTCATTCTAGATGACGGCGGTCTGCATTTGCGGGTACACGCTGACACGAGTGGAACGACTACTTCGCGACAAGAATACCTTGCCGACATCATGGCTTCCTCTCTATCCTACGGTACCTGCCTCTGTGCCGTACACCTGTTCTACACCTGCTTTGCATCCTCATGCCTCCACCTTCGCTTCCTCCCCCTTCGCCGCCACCTTCTCGTTCTCTTTCTCGTTCTCTTTACTTTCCCTCGACTTCCTCTCTCCTTTCGGCTTCTGCCCTTCCTCGGGAAACAGCTCAGCGAAGAAGTTCGGCAGGAAGCGATTGATGCGCTTCCACGTCTCGTTCCAGAGTTCTTCTTGCTCGGGCTTCTCGTCTGGCGGGGCCAGGTAGCCGCCATTGGACATGACGAGGAGCATGTTTTTCAGGTTCTCGGATACCGCTTCTTCCTGCGAATGTGTTAGCGCGAGTTAGGAACTGGGCACGAAGCAACATGCCAGGTTATCACCCTGACCGCTGTTCATCAGGCGGTCCATGATGGTGATGATTTTGAGCCACAGATCTAGCAGTTCGTCCGTCTCCGACAGCATGACGAGATAGTGTAGAAAGACCTTGGAAAGCAGCGTTGCCGCGCGCACGCGCGTTTCGCTCATGCCCAGCGGATCGGACTGATACACCTCCGGCTTGAGCAGCTGCGTGATTAGAGGGAACAGGACTTCGCTGAAAATCGCCGTCCATTCTTTGTGGTCCGGAGAAGCGAGCTCGTTGGACAGCAGCGTGCGTTGCAGCGACCCAAAGGCCTGCTGGCGGATCTCGCGGCAGGGATTTAGGCATTGATGCGTAAGCGTCTTAAGAATAGGCGACCAGTATGCCGTCCAAGCTGTTGTGGTTAGCAACGTCACGAGGCGCAGGTTCAGCGCAACATACCTTCGGTCGTCTCCAGATGCGAGTGCTCGATGAAGCTGGGCACTCTGCTGGACATCTGGAAGACGATTGTCATAGCTTTGCTGCCGCGTACTACCATCTCATTGCTCCTGTGTCCCGTCAGCTCTTATCCATGCAGTATTGATGGCATACATACTCGGGCTTCTTCGACTTCTGCACCTTTCCTCGCCTCGTAGCCTGATCATGCAGCTGTTCTTGCCTCGCACCGACTTGCGCCGCTGTAGCAAACTCATTAAGCAATGCGATAGCAGCTTCGTAGTTGTCTGCTGTGATTCCAGGCTGCGCAGAAGTGCTGAGGTCCTCAACTAGCTGGAACGCGTCTCCCGCCACCTTAGGCACTCGGTGTAGTGTGTTCAGAATAGACCAAAAGTCTGGCGAGCTTGCCAGCTCAATCCGCAGACCGCTCGGCCCTTTACAGCAATCCGAGAGTCCCTTCAACAACGGGTCTGCGCACTGCTTCAGAAGCTCTTCGTCGAATGTGGAGAATGTATGAAGAAGGACAGGTGCTCGGATGAAGTCATAGTCCTGCTGCACTTAGTAAATCGTCGGGGGAGAGGAATCAGGCTGCTTACATTGCTCGCCTTTAGCAGGCTTAAGAGATAATACACAGACCGCGCTATCACCACGGGATGCAGCTTGGGCGCATCTCGGATAACGCTCGCTAAAGCGTCTGAGACATCCTTCGCCAGCTCTTTCACTGTCTCCTCATCCCGCAGCGCCAGCACGGTAGCCAGCTCCAGCACGAATACCAGACTGGGATCGTAGATAGGGCGGTTCATCTTCGCTTTATTGCCATTTGGCCGTGTTGGTGCTGGGGCCGGCAACTCGGGCTTTACCACAATGACCCTCGGGGAGCCGTCCTCTGGTATCTGTTCCAGCAGAGACATGAGCAATGAGCGGAGCGCCTCTAGTGGAAGCTGGCTGATGTTGGCTAAAATGTCCTCGAAGTGACACTCCTTGACCGTGTCAACCGTGCAAAGCGTGTACTCGATCTCCTGATCTGATGGCTCTGGGGGCTCGTCGTTCGCGAAGCTCGATACGTACGATGTCAAGGCTGAGAAAATGCCGGTATCTGCAGGCCGTTCGGCGCGATCGATGATTTGCGCCGGACTCTGAAGAGGTATAGGAGGCAATGCCAGAGTCTTTTGGAAAGAGAGAAAGTAGGGAGGTATTAGCGAATTAACAAATAGGTTGACCATGATGTGGATGAGCTGTGACGGTGAGCTTTAGATATCCAACACTTGGGCAAAACACTCACATGGTTCCACCCATCCCGTATAGCGGATTCATTGCCTTTGATGACCTGGAATAGCACAACAGTCGCCAGTTGCGCTCTTCCATCTCTTCCAAACCTGACGGCTGTCTCGCTGACCATGACGCTCTTCTTCTCTACTTGCACCTCGGTATTCAGCGCTGTGCTAGGAGGCATATCCGGCGCTAACGTGCTAATGTAGGAGAGGCACGAGATGATGCGGTCTAACGCATCACTCAAGCCGTACTTCGCCGCGATCTGCGCGCACTGGTCGAAGCCAGTAACCACTCGCGAGAAGACTGCATCATCCGTCGCCGACATGAACACATACGACAAAGTCGCTACAATCGGCTTCCATGTCGCAGCGAACATATCCGCATCGAAGATGTTCGTATCGCAGATGATAAGATCCGACGTGGATTGGATCTTGATCAGCAGCTCTTTCCATGCGTGATCATACGCATGGCGGTTGTCATGCTCCTCTGGGAGAATGATCTCCCGAGTCTTGATAGCCTCATATATGGCTTGCAAGTACTCTGGATCAAAGTCTTTTCCGTCGTTGACCCCCCTCAGGTTCTTCGAGAAATCTTCCACCTTCATGCGTTTCGCTCCTTTTAGGTTCGGATTGTGTTGATCCGTGTTGAGCATAATGACGGCATAGGTGAGGACGAAGATCGCGTCTTTATTAGCCACCTCTTCAGGTTGTGCCTGCTGGTAATACTGCTCAGAGAACACATTGATGATTCGCTCAATGAGCGCGGATTCGCCCGGCAGTCGGAAGGAGTTTAGAAGCTGCCGGAGCGCCTCATCAACGCGCAGACCTCTGAAGTCAAACAGTCCGATGAATGCTTTCAAGAGCTCCTCGTTCGACCTCTTCGAGATGAACTCTCCGAGAACTTTCTTGTCCACACGAGTCGTGCCTTTGACAAATTCGGCGATGCATTTTGGGTCATCAGGATCTCTTATGATACCCTGCGAAGTGAGGAATGCTATGCCTGCTTTGGGGCTCTCATTGAACTTTGTCGCGCCTCGAATGATGATCTTCTTCCGCGCACATTGTACGCGAAGCGCCTCTGGGTTGGGATAGCCGTTCGTCACTGGCTCGTCCTCTAGCCGATCAGCGATAGACTGAACAAACCCAAGAAGCGCATCCAAGCAAAGCGGAGGTACGTTGACTGTGCTCCAGGTTGCCGAGTCTGGGAACGCGTTTCGCGAAAGCAGGCCAACAATGTCCATGCAGACATCACCACGATCAATCTCGCAGTCATAGTTGACGAATAGCTCTGCCATGAAGGAAGGTATCCGAACCAATCCACCCAGATTCTCGACCATGGCCTCTCGAGCGTCGGGCTTCCTAGCACCGCCTTCAAGGCCAAGCTTCTGCCGGTCTTTCACGGGTACGGGCGTTGAGCGGCCGGATGTGCTATTCTGTTGAGGTGCCGGCTTGACCAGGCCAGGGGCTTGTGGAACACCTTCGTATAATGATGGCTCGATCCCAGGCTCCAGTGGAATTTCCACACGTGGGAAAAGGCAAGCCACCAGATAAGACAAGTACAGCTCTTGCTGCAATTTCAGGACACTTCGGCAAGTCGCGAGCAGTGTGCCGGCAACGCGGAGAGACTCGTTCAGAATCGCCATGTTCTCGGAGCGTACAAGCTGGAAGAGATGTCGGCAAAGAGTATCCTTAGCGAGGTTCGCTAAGCTTGGATGGCTTGCTATTGATGGTCCGGCGACTTCAAGTGCAACATCCACAATCCGTAGTGCCATGACACGCATAGTGTCGGTGTGCTGCCGGTCATGAGGATCTAGTAGATCAACCAATACCCGAAACAGCTCCCGTATGGACGGGAGAGAATACGGTTTGATCTCAACGGGCTGTAGTTCGGGTTCTGTCGTTCCTGGGAGGTCTATAGTGCTGCCCGCTGGGTTCGGCACATTGCTGTCGGTATCCTCCTGGCCCTGCTCAGAAGAGCCGGGCTGCTGTGGCTCCTCGACTTTGGTTGGCGCGGCGACACTGTCCCCATTCATCGAGGGCTCCATCTTTAAGCCATCCTGCGAAGCCTCGTTGTCCAGCTCTTCATCTAAAGCATCAAGCTCGTCCGGCGCCTCAATCTCCAGGGTCTTTAGACGTTTGAATATGACCTGGCACATAGACACCATCGCAATCTCCGCTGATCGACGCAATAGCTCGGACAGCCTGGCCTGACAGCACATGCTCAAGCCCGTCTCCATCATCTCGCATATGCTCTCGTCGCCCAGCACTTCGCCCCCTGGTCCAGAGACCATACCCTCCATGAGCTTCAATATCCGAAGGAGCACGATCTCGTCAGCGGGGGAGTCGCTCGCTTCGAAGCGGCAATGTGTGATGGCTGAGGAGAGCTGCTGCATAGCTTCTGGGAGGCGCGGTGAGTCGCTTCCAATGATATTGTACGCTAGGAACTTCGTGATGGCGATCAGGGCGAGCGAAGTAATCGGCGCGGAGGTCGACGAGGAGCGAATAACTTGGAGGAACGGGTGGAGCATCGACGGGGTATCAAAGGTCCTAATATCTAGCACCGCATCAGCATTGCTCCAGCTCAAGCCCAGCAATTACACACACCTTTGCATCCCTTGAGCTCGCTCCTCAGGCGCGCAAACGCTGACATTAGGGGATTATCCTGCATGCTCTTGCCCTTCTTCCCCCGCAATCCCCATCTACTAGGCACAGCTTCCTCTTGCTCTCCTCCCCCGCCTACAATGCCTTGCCCAGCCCTGTCCCGCTTCTGTATTGCGGGCGTCTTATTCGAGGAGCCTCCGAGGATAGCTGCCACCGAGGAATGCGCCCAGCGGGCATGCTTCCGCATCGCAGACGTGACCGTTATACATTCTGTGACCACGAGCGCTACCGGATTGACTGCGACGGAAATAGGACGGGGCTCCAGGCGTGCGGCGGTATCTTGGAGGGCATCTGGGGGCGCATTTTCGGCCTCGGTACTCGCCATATTCAGGAAAGGGGTTTCCTCAGGCAAATCGCGCGTTGTGGGTGTGGTGAGCGCGAAAGACGAGGTGCGCTGATTGCGGTGGGGACATGAACGGCTGCGCTCTCCAATCAGTAAGATCAGGAAAGGAAACTCATGCTCTCAAAGGAATTTGCCTTGAGAAGCAGCGGTTAAGAATGGGACAAATTCGAAGAGACCGTGTCCTCTTCGCGGATGGAGCCGTGGTAGGCATCAATAATAGGGCTGCCGGGTACATCGACAATTCGACATGTCGAGTGCCAAGCCATGTTTCACGGCCCGTGAAAGGCCAGGGTGGCCTGCGGCTGACTATGCTAAACGGACATACCGCTAAGCAGCACACTGCCTGCACGTCCACATGAGTCCGTGAAGTTGCATGATTTCATATTGGTACAAACGTGGCGCTCCATCTTGCTGCTGCACGCTCAACGCCCAATGATGCAAGAATCTCTAATATATACAATCCAACCGCCAAACAAAACCCTGGCCCTAAACGCCTAAGAAAGCAAAAAGCGAGCTTCGAAGCTCATTGGCGAGGGAGACCGGCTCAGCGAATCCTCGCCTGTCTGCTAAACCTCTTGGGCCTCGACCATGTTGGGCGGAAATGTTCCATGGGCGGCTTTGCCGTCATGGCTATTAAAAAGAATATGCTGACGAGGACCCGTCCTTGAGTCCCTGCATCGTGTTCGTCAATTGTCGTTGTTGCTTAGCAGCTTTGCCCACTACGCGGCATCCTCGTTCTTCGGTCTAGAGGGTGGTTAGAATATGGTTTCACCAAAAACAGAACCATGTGTTCCTTACTGTTTCGGCTCGAGCTTCTGTTTCTCGTCTACCCCCCGGGCCTCATGGATTTCCTCCGGCTCCAGGAAGTTGTCGGCCCGTTTAGCTTGCTCGCCTGCCTCTTTAACTTCCTCCTTCGGTTTCTCCTGCTTCGCTTGCTCAGCCTTTGCCTTTTCTTGCTTCTCTTTCTCCTTTTCCTCGTTCTTCGCTTTCTGGACTAAGTTCTGGACTTCGGCCTTCTCCCTCTCCCAATCGCTAGATTTGGAATCGAACTGGTCCTTGATCTTCTCCATGCGCTCTTTCTTGGCGGCCTCTTCGGCTTCCTTCGCTTTACGCTCCTTCTCCATCTCCTCCATGTGCCGGATGTCGTCGACGCTAGGTTCGTAGAGATGCCAGATGGTGTAGTGCGGAAGACCGACGACGGAGAACTTCATGCGCTTGGCCATCTAAACGCAGTTAGTAAACGGATACTTGGCTTCAGGACTATCACCGACCTTTCCAAACCCTTCCGTTTCGGCGTGCTTTTCGAAACTGAAGGCTGGGAAGTGGACTCCTTGACGGAACACCTTCGCTTTAGCCAGAATACTAACTCCACCAACACCGTCGATCTCCATCTCCATGTCGGGGTCGCCATACGGATCACGAAGGTATGCCAAATGAGGCCGCCAGGTAGCATACTCTGCATAACCTTCGACAATAACGGCGTCTTCGTCAAGGGTATCCGCAAGCGCGAGGGCGGTTTCCGATTCCTGCCAGGAGTTCAAATCGTAGGGCTGTTCTCCACCCAGCCAGTCGGGGAGCGGTCGCCATACGTCTGGGATGCCATGTTAGCTGTTGAAAGAATGCAAGCTCTAGCCTATCTTACTCGGAACAATAATGTCCTTGTTGTGCCGCATAAGATCTTCTAGAATCGTAAACGGCGCAGTTTCCACATCAACGTCCCTCCAGTATACCCAGCTGTGCGTCGGCCGGAGCGCGGCACTGAGGAGCCAGTTGCGAGCCTGGGCCATAGACTTTCGCCGCCCCGCTTGAGCCGCGAAACCGTGCCTGCTCTCAACGTTCTGATCGACCTTTTGCCCAAAATCTTTCTCCAGTATTGAAATCTCTCCAAAATGCTGCTTGGGGTTTGCGTCTGCCTGCAGGTCCTCCAGCAACGCATTCAGCTTTGGGAGTGTGTTGTCCTTTGAATCTCCGACCAGGAAGGCCAAGTCAATCAGATTGTGTGGATACGTGAGGTTCTTCAGGTGGCCGAAGAACATGTCCAGATGCTGTGCGGCGTCTCGTAGTGGGGCGCAGAGCAATATCCTCTCCTCTCTCTCCCAGCCCCTTGCTGTGCCCTGGACATTGTTCAAATCGTAGTATCGCACCGTCTCGAGCTGCGAGTCTTCGCTGGACGTGAAGAAACTGAGCGGGCCGGAGCCAAGGTTCGGCCGCAGGTTGGGGAAGAAGAAGAAGACGCCGGTGAAGAAGAGCGAGGCGACGAGCAGTAACCGCTGTATGAGCTGTCTCCGCCGTCTTAGGGCGGGCTGTGATCGCGGCTGGAATCTGCAGCGACAATAGGAGTTAGCATCGTGTCGCCAGGAATGGCGGTGATGGAGAAGAGAGGGCAGATGCGGCGGAAGCGGTGGGCGGAACATTGCGACTGCCAACGTACTTGTGAGGCTGAATAGAAAAGGTGCCGCTGCCGCCCATGGACGGGTATGCAGCATGCCCGTTCGAATAGACATGGCGATGCATTTTCGACTTTCCATGTAAGGGCAGCATCCAGGAGGGCGTTCTGGAGACTCGGCTCGCGCTGAGCTATCCCTTGATCGCCCCGGTCACCGTCGACCCGCGAGTTCACGGAGCCGAAGAACGCGCGGCGATTCCAGCGCAGGCCGCGGAGTGTTGCTGGGTCGCTCGGCGGACGGAATTGGGGCCACGATAGCCGCTGCGGATGGCGACGAGTGTCGAAGGGATCGCGTGCACCCTTGGGGGTTGTCGTACACGGCGCTGGAAGAGAAGACTTGGCCTCTGGGATTTATTTCGCTAAGGCCACCGTTGACGTCCTGCGATGCCCCGAGGACCCTGGCGGCGCGTACCGAAGCGGCGACAGGCCGAACAAGGGATGGCGAGGGGCGTGGGCGGACGGCGTGCAGTTGTTGCGAGGAATTCTGCACGAAACTGCTTCTTTGGGTGTGAAATGGAACTCGGAGGTGCAGCTGTGCGGCGGTTGATCCCGGCTGTGCCAAGCCCGCTAGCATCGATCCATGGATGTTTCAGATAGCAATCAGATCTGTTGGGGCGGACGACGAGCACGCTGTGTGTAATGGCATTCGAGCGTGCGCAGTAGTGAATACATGCGTGAGTTTTTGTAGCTGGGTGGCTTCGAGTGCACGAGTTCACGAGTTCAAGCTCAGCTCCAAATTTAGAGCACCCCGTACCTTGCGCGTCCCACTGTATCAGCGTGCTGCTTATGGTGCTGAACTGCAACGTTAAATGATGACGGACCGGCGCCAAGATGAACCACGGCTTACACACGCACATGTCGAGTATATTATATTGGAAAGGGCAGCATTCGGTCTCTTGCCATCCCACTGTTAAAGAAGAACCAGACAGCAATGAGCAGCGGCGACTCAAAACTCGCGCCGTTTGAACTGCAGCACTGGACCCTCGTGCATACTCACAAACCGGTCCCAGGTCTGGAATTCCTTCCGTCTCTGCCGCCCAGTGCCCAGCTTCTTACTCCCTTCCCCAAGCGTCGACCCCGGCTCAAGACGCATATCAAAACCCCAGAGGGTCCGAGCGACGACGAGCGAAATCTCTTGGTACGCGAGATACTTTCCGATGCACGACGTCCTACCGACCCCGAATGCGGTGAACGCGCTGGCAGCAAGCGACTCTGGTGAACTCGAAGCCTTGTCTTGCGCGTCGTTCGGCGTCTCCAGATCCAGGCCAACGTCGATGGTTTCGGAGGAGTCTTTTGAAAGCCACCGTTGTGGCTTGAAGGTGAAGGGGTCAGGATAGTATTGTTCGTCGTGATGGAGCGCATAGTGCGGCACCGCTATGTCAGTCCCCGGTGGGAACCACTCCCCGTCGACAGTAAGGCCGCCCGGCAACACCTCACGCATTAGCGTGGAGCCAACAGGAGGACTAAGACGGAGTGTTTCCTCAATGCATGCCAGGAGATAGTGGCATGACGCTAGTTGAGTGCCGATGCGGATGTCCTCAATGCTAGCAAAGGTACTGCGAATTTCCTTCTCCAGGCGAGAGCGGCATGAGGGGTAATGCGACAGATAGAAGAATATTGCTGTTGTGGCACTGACCGTAGTATCGGATCCAGCAATGGTAAGGAGTCCGGCCTCGGAGATAAGTTGGTCTGTTGAGAAGCCTCGCCCAGTCTTCTCGTCTCGCGCCTGGAGCAGGGCCGAGAAGACGTCATTGCAATTTTCTTGTGCGAAGCGCCATTGAAAGGTCGACGCGCTGAGGCTGGTGAATCGGGCAATGCCAGCGATCAGATTCTGAAAGAAAATCTTGTGGAGTCTGAACGTGACAATTTCGGGCATATAACCTACCTGCTCACCATGTTAATCCACTGCCCAAAGGCCAGGAGTATTGCTGTTGTCGCTTACTAAGTGAATACCCGCGACAGCCTGGGGCAGGGAAGTGAGAAGATCGCGATTGTCGGGCTTCCTTTGGACGTCAAAGCTTTTGCTGAACGTGATGTCTCCCATGATGTCCGAGACAAGATACCCAACGAGCTTGCTCATGTCGTGTGGGGAGCTCCAATCATGCCCATCACCATCGACCAGAGTCTCACAGAAGTATCGAACATTCTTCAGTATCTGTTCCTCCATTCCTTTGATATTTGCTGGACTGAGGGCACGAACATTTACCCTGCGTCTAAATGCATGCTCCTTCATGTCGGGTGTGGTGTTGGAGGAGGGCGTCCCGCCAAAGAAGTGGGCCGTGGAGGCATAGACTTGCGACCTCTTAACATTGGCGTTGACACTGTAGATGTCTTTAAGCGCGGTTGCGGACCGAATGGAGATCCGCCGTGGGCCGAATCGGACGATGTTGCCTGTACCACTCTCAGTCAGAACGCTTTCTGCTGCATCATGGGGTCTTTTCATACCATATTTCTCATGTAGGCGATAGAAGTCAATGTGCCGGTCGCCTTTAACGATGTGGTAGACAGAATACCAGTCGGTCAGAGCTGCCCACCATGGGCCCGGGTATTTAGCAAGCGGATGCCAAAGGGCTCGATACGTAGCCACTAGGAGCAACTTGAATGCGTCAGCTGATAGTATCCCATGATTTCCAAAGCGGCAAGCTCAAACGGACAAACTCCAAGACCAGCAGAGGGATCGCAGTTATAAGTAGGCCTAGAACCACTTTGATGCTGAGCGACTCCGTGTTGATACCTTGATAGTGCTGAGCTAGAACACTCAGCGAACAACAGTTGAGGAAGACGAGAATAGACTTGGTAAACATGTTGCGAAGGCGATCAAATGAGTCGTGGTGCAAATTCCGTTGCAATACATAAGGAGGGGAATCTCGCATATATACAACTTACCTTAAGTCGAAAGGCACAGTTCTGTGCCCCATTGCCAAGCTGGCTGCAGGTGAGACTCCATGGCTACCTGCAAGGACATCCAGAAGTATCACAGTCAGACACGGCTGTGCCGCAACTTCGGCACTGTAGGCGCAAGACAATGGCGCCGCGGGGGCGGGGGTGTTTGTTCTCCATATGCATGCAGGCGGTGCAGGCGGTGCAGCGTAATCTGAGGGTTTTGTTGCACGTTGGGAGGTGTGGTGCGCTGTGCACGGCCCCGTTTCGAAAGGGGTTAGCTGTATCTGCATCTACACTGTTTTTAGCGCATCTGAAGTCGATCTCAGGTCTTTACTCCTCCCGGTCTCTCTTCTGCCTGCTTTTCCTACCCTCGCTGCCGCATTCCAGAGAAGGCAATCATTCAACACACTTGACCCGCTTTTACTCTTTCTGCTCCTTCCTGTTTTTCTTCTCCTTCCTGCCTTCTCGGATCCTTCTGCACCTGCACTCCCGGGTCTCCTGATATCGCTGCATATCTTTACGACTCCTTTCCTTGGGGTCTTCACGTCGGCGCTTCATCTGCCTACAGCACTATCAGTAGTCGGAAGGAGCGGATACCGACACACAATCACCAGCTAAGACCCCAAAAACAGGAAGAGAACGTTATCAATGTAGTGTTACCGGACTTCGGGGTCTATCGACACCATCACTCTAACACCTCTCCTCCCATAATCCCAAGCGGAAATCATATATCGAGGATCTGCCATAGTAAGCTTATACTTGTAACACACCACCGAGGAACAGCAGGGCATCATGTCCTCTACCATTGACGGATAACCCTAGCCAGGGGAGAGAGCGAACACTGATCGTCATACCATACTTGCGTTCCTTCCCGGCGCATGTCTCTTGGAGCTTGGGGTCTTGGTCTGAACCCGGTCGAGCCGCAGGTCATCGTTCCTACGGCCTCAAGTTCAGAAAATGCAGAGAGTGATCCCTCGCTTCGCACCGCAGGCCAAGATTATTTTCATCTCGGCCTTGCGAATCACGGAATGAATCCTTCCATGCAGGCTTTCTCCACGACAAGGCTGAATGGACGCGATGCCCCGACGCTTAGCAGCTTTGCTTTGCCATCACAATGCTCCTCGGACTCCCTGGCGGCACATAGCCAGTACTCACAGCAGTACCATCGGCCCGAGCAATATATATGTGCTTTGGAGTCTTCCTTTTAGGTTCACAACCTTCTAAGTAGATCGGCTTCCAGAGCATAATCTTTATTCTCTTGCTACTCCAAAACACACCCACACCTCCCCCACAGATTTGTTAGGCGGAATGGAACCTACCCAGACTTCGGCTTTCTCACCTGGGCTTGCGGACACGCCTTCGACCATCACAAAAGTCCACCAGAAACGATCAGTTGCCTACCATCTACACACCCTATGGCTCTTCGCTCGGAGCGATCTCAAGACCGTCGTCTTTCCTCAGACGGTCTTCGGTTGCGTTGCCCTGCTTTCCAGTGGGGCCTTCGGCGTCTATGGGCCCGCCGAACCCTTTGGCACACTCTCTCGCTTACCTCTCATTATGGCCTGGACCTGGATCAATCTCCTCGGCGAAGTAGTTGCCAACCAACGACGCGCGGGCTCCATTATTGAGGATACTATCAACAAGCCTTGGAGACCGCTTCCGAGCAAGAGACTGACACCGGACGAAGCAAGACACCTACTCCTATGGATCCTGCCCTCAAGCTACCTAGCTGGTGTGGTACTCGGGGGGTCCGACGCTTCTGTCGCCCTGATGGTATTCTCGTACATGTACAACGACCTTGGCGGGGCAAACGAGAATTGGCTCCTCAGAAATCTCCTCAATGCCTGCGGATTGTCCTCTTTCAGCTTCGGCGCTGCTCAAGTGGCCTGGGGGCCGCGATCCACCCTCAGTAAAACCGTCTATGCATGGATTGCAATCCTGGCTGCCGTTATATCTTCGACCGTTCAGCTGCAGGATCTCCCGGATATCGAAGGCGATAAAGCAAGAGGTCGCAGAACCATGCCGCTTATTTACGGCGACACTCCTGTTCGCTGGTCGGTCTGCATCCCCGCTCTGTTTTGGTCTTTCTATTGCCCATTTTACTGGAACCTGGATCTATTTGGATACCTCCCTTCACTTTTGCTTGGTTCCATCATTGCCGCCCGCACTTTGATTGCAAGATACAGTGAGGCCGACGCAGTGACTTGGAAATTGTGGTGTGCGTGGATGGGTATTTTGTACCTGCTTCCTTTGCTCGCGCACCGTCGTAACTGAGCAAGTCTTCTTACAGGAAAGGAAGCCTTTTAGCATCCCCGCTAGTCGGAAATGTCTATTGAACAAGATTCTCTTCCGATGAACGCCTGGGCCCTTCGTTTCAAGGTCAGCGGCATCGGGTGCACGTTCGCTCTACAAATGACGGGAATATAACTGTCTGTCACCGCGGTGCTGGGCATGGATAGCGCGGCGATTATGTGGAGTCTGTGTCGATACGTTCTGCATAGTCCATGGACTTTCTATCACTATCTGCCTCGCTCATCATTGGACAAAAAGTTCCTCCAGGGTGCAACCGTCTATCCCGCGCATTCTAAACGAGACAGATCTTCAGGGAACGCCCTGTGACGCCTTCTAGCTTACAGAGGCATTCAGTTCATGCCCGCTGCACTCCGTGACTAGGATGTCTATGCCCGGCACTGCGTTACCGAACAAGCGGCACTCGTCCTTCGAGGAAAGGATCCATGGGTCCCGGTGCAGGTTAGCGCAACCCTCCTTTTGAGGCTGGCATCGCCCCTTTATGCAAGCCCACCTCCAATTAGAGAGTCCAAGACGAAGGATGAACTCGGGGCTAATATGAGCGAAGGACAAGGCGCCTGCAAAGCAGCAACCGGCTTTATCTTGCCCTTGGCGTAAGCCTGCAGCGCCTGAATCCCCACACTCGGGAGGAACGGCCCGCGCCCATTAGTCGATGGTCGCGCTTCCGGCCTATTCATGGCAGGGTTGAATCAACCTGCAGCTCCTCATCGCTCCTTGTTCGCAATTCTGTTCCTCCGCTGATCTTTCGCAGCATCCACATCCATCTCAGTCATTCACCTGACGGCTTCCTATCGGCCTCTTCATTTTCCATACCAGGGAAGAAGACGATTAGGGAAGTCGCTCTTGCCGGCTGCATTCATCTATAGAGGGTCCACGACATCGGAATCCGCCCCTCCGGATGCTGGTGCTACTTTCCTTTTACGACATACACATGTCCTGCGCCGTAAGATTACGGTCCCTATCCTCGGGATACCATTAGCGCTGTCTTGATATGCCCAGGTATTCCGCAGCGCGCTGGAGTTCAGTCTCGGCATGCCGAAGGACGGATTAGGTTTGCAAACTCTGGTCTACGCTGCATATCAGTGATCCTGCAGCTGCACTGCTTACGCGGACGGCGGTGGATGACCGCGAGGATCAGCGTGGTAAGCGCAAGGCTCGGCAGCGAACGCACAAGAGCAGGTTCCCGAGTGATCTGTTCTGCACGGGGCCTTTGCTTCCGTTGCCCGTGAGGAGGTTATCGGTGTATATCAAGGCTGGATAATCGCTTGGTGAGAGCGCTGTCAGCCTCGCCAGCCGGTCTTTAGCTGACAGCACTTCACAAGTACGACAACACTCTTCATCATTAGGCCTCGGTTGCATCCTGCACTTCAAAGCGTCCGCCGCAAATATGTCCCGACCGCCTACTCCCTCCGAGATACAGTATATGGTCAATCATGCTCAAGATGATCTGAGAACAGCAATGATAGTGAGCAGTGCCGTCGCTGGGGTCATGTCAATCGTGTTCGTGGCCTTGCGAATCGCAGCAAGGAAGCTACCTGGTATTCCCTTCGGTGCAGACGATTGGTGGATGTTTGTAAGCTTGGTAAGTGCTGAAGCAACGAAAAGGCCGTGACTGATCCTCAAAAGTTCTTGTTTCTCGGCACGCCGATAACATTCGCGTGGACCACAAGATACGGCGCTGGACGGCATGTGATTCTCCTTACAGATCCGAAAACCTTCTCCACGGTGAGTGGCTCTCGGACTCTCCTGTCAATATCTCTAATTATATGCAGTTGTTACTCATCGCGGAGATCCTCTACTTCACGAACATATACACGATCAAGATATCACTGCTGTATCTTTACCGCCGCATCTTTCCCCTCCAGTGGTTCAAGCGTGTCCTTTTGGCGTTCGGAATATTTCTAACGGCAATGACGCTGGCTTCTTTGCTGGTCTGCGTTCTTCAATGCATACCGCTTCAGAAGATGTGGAACCCGGCTGTGTCTGGCCACTGTGTCGAGTTTGGAAAGTTTGCCCTGGCTATGTCGTGTATCAACATTTGTACCGACGTTTTCATGCTTGCTCTGCCCTTACCGGTCGTCTGGGGACTCAAAATCAACGCCACCCAGAAATGGCTAGTGAGCTTGTCATTCGTCATGGGAGGATCGTAAGTGATATTGGCTTCGTTGTGGCTAAAAGCGGCTTACTGACTTCAGAGTTATAGTGCCTGCATCGTCTGCCTTATCCGGTTGCTATTCGTACTTCGAGTGGCCTCTACACCGGATCCGACTTGTAAGCTTCCCAACGACTGCTATCATGGCCCTCGCTAACTAAGTGGAAAGGGGACAGCATCCCGTCCGGCATTACATCTACCTTCGAGCTTTCTGTTGGTATTTTTGCGGCCTCCTTCCCAACGTATCGCCCGCTGTACAAAATGATATTCAAGGGTAAAGGTGCCGATACGACTGCACAGAGCAGCGGCTATGGGAGTGGACAGTCTTCTCAGAGGAAGCGGTCCCGAACCCAACGCGCTGAGCCTCATCGGATCATAAAGATGACCACGATTCGGAGCGAGACGGGTCCACGGGATACAGATGAGGAAAGACTGTACGTGGTGGGGTCAGATCTCGACACAAACCGGGACGGTTCGCCATGACCAGGGGTCAAAAGGTGAAAGGACACAGGCGTAGTGATGGTGCTTGTGGCTTCGAAGCAGATATTACCAGCCGGCGCAGGCAAATACGATTTACATGCCACGTTTAGATCATAACACGCAAAGATCGCTTGAGAATGAACGGACGGGGGCGATGATTCTCCACGGGGTTTGTCAATTTGGACGAGACTAAACCGAAACTGCTTAGCCTATTACGTAAGCCACCCCCTAACCATTATTGGGCTAGTCGCATCACTTACCCCGTGGACGTTCCGTCTGCATCTCCATCACGTAGACTATCGCTGGATTTCGCCCTTGAGAAATTCTCTAGTATTATAACGCGACCTGATGGCTCGTAGACAGTTTGTATTCTCTCATGTCTTACGTGCGACGATTTCACGTGTCGCACGACGCAGGGCTTCCGAGTGCTCCTCGACACCCAAACACGTACGGAGTAGAAGTGCTAGGGGACTGAATCATGGTATCGGAGAGCTACCGTCTACAAGGTAGGTCTCGCGACAATGACGCACTCATCTAACCGCGTTTCTCATTCAATTCTCACTTCTCCGCTTGGACATTTATCCAGTCGAGCCTGGTTGGCAGTCTACTGTCTACCTGTGCCCCCGTGGAAGCACGCTGGTGAAGCCCGTTCCGACTATCCACCTGTAGTACGCAGGCATAGGAGCCTTTAGCCCTAAGCCTGGGGCTCCACGCGACTACCCTTTGTACCGGTCGCGCCCTTTAGACGCGAATAAGCCGTAGCTTCAATCTGAAAGGCGTAATGTTTACACAGACTGCCGGCCGCTGCGAGCCCAAACACCAGGGAACACTAGGCTAAGCCATGGATCTGACGCTCGCTTCCGGACTCGCTACCATTTCGTCGATATTAATTTAAGCTTGTGATCCTGATCATTCGGCGTTCGCGGACGACGACCTATAAGTGGTAAGGCTGGTAAAGCACCGACGCCAAGACCACACTCCACAACCATCCGGCTGCTTGATTTGGGACTTTGGACCGCTATCCCACCGTCTCCCCGGATTGATCTCCCTCTGCGCCCTGCTTCCATCGTGACGAACCTAAGACTGAGGCTTCTTCTCATTCGCTACAACTCGGTCCGACGCGATGGGGATACTCAAATCTCCGTCAATGGCTTCTTGCATCATTGGGCAACTTTTCGGCATCATGAAACCAAACGGGTAAGGGCGAAGGTACCCCATGGGGAGCTTCAAAGTCGCGCAACGAGGGAGGAAGCATGAGCTCATAACACCGGAATATAAATTGCACGCGAGAGCTACTTGCAACCATCACAACTTCAAGCAGCTTCTCTTGTGAGATTGCTTTGAAATACCGTCGCCATCATGGAGTTCTTCTACTCTCTCTTTACTGTTCTTCTGCATTTGGTTACCATAGTTACCGCAGCGGACACCAGTGCATGGAAGTCTCGCAGCATCTACTTCACCTTAACCGACCGTGTTGCTCGCAGCAGCAGCGATACCGGAGGTGGCTCATGCAGCGACCTGGGCAACTACTGTGGTGGAACTTTCAAGGGCCTTGAGTCCAAGCTGGACTACATCAAGGGCCTGGGTTTTGATGCTATTTGGATGACCCCCGTGGTGACGAGTGAGCAGTCCCCCAGTTGCATTCTACAATACTGGCTAACGTTGCCGACAGACAGTGCTGGCGGGTATCACGGTAGTCACTCAGCCTTCAGTCAGACCCGACAACTCTAACATCTTGGAAGGCTATTGGGCTCAGGACCTCTACGGAATCAATTCGAACTACGGTACTACAGACGACCTTAAGAGCCTCGTCAATACTGCTCACTCTAAGGTAAGTGGCGTGACCTTTCCGCTCACTTCTGCGGAGTCACTGATTCGGCATAGGGAATCTATGTCATGGTCGACGTCGTCGCCAACCATATGGGCTTCGCCGCCATCTCCGACAACAGGCCCTCACCTCTAGATCAGTCCAGCTCGTACCACACCGCCTGCGACATCAACTACTCGGACCAGAACAGCATCCAAGAATGCCGCATTGCCAATCTCCCCGACGTATACACCGAGAAGTCGGAAATCCGGACTCTCTACCAGGACTGGATCAGATACCTCGTGCAAGAGTACCAGTTCGACGGCGTGCGCATCGACACGGTCAAGCACGTGGAGAAGGAGTTCTGGCCTCCGTTTGTCTCGGCCTCGGGCGTGTATTGCATCGGTGAAGTCTTCGACGGCAGTCCCACCTACCTCGCGGGTTATGCTTCCACCATGCCTGGATTGCTCAATTACGCCATCTACTACCCGATGAATAGGTTCTACCAGCAACAAGGTTCTGCACAAGACATGGTCGATATGCACAACCAGATCAGCTCACTCTTCCCGGACCCCACTGCTCTCGGCACCTTCCTGGACAACCATGACAACGTGCGGTGGCTGAATCAGAAGAACGACGTCTCGCTCCTGAAGAACGCACTGGCATATGTCGTCCTGTCCAGAGGTATACCCATTCTATACTACGGAACTGAACAGGGCTATTCTGGCGGGGCTGATCCAGCCAACCGCGAGGATCTTTGGCGCAGTGGATTCAACAATCAGTCCGATCTCTACCAGGCCATCTCCCGCCTGTCGAGCGCCAGAAAGTCCGCTGGTGGCCTAGCAGGCGACGATCAGGTCCATCTCTACGTCACCAGCAATGCCTATGCGTGGAGTCGCGCTGGCGGCAATCTGGTCGTTCTCACCACAAACACCGGCGCCGGTACAAGCGGATCGTACTGCTTCAATGCGCAGAAGAACAACGGCCAATGGACCAATGTCTTCGGCAGCGGGACCTACACCTCCGACGGAAGCGGCAACCTCTGCGTCAGCGTCACAAACGGCGAGCCTGTCGTTCTCGTCGCGAGCACCGGAAGCACAACTCCAACTTCGACCTCGAGCCCAACAAGGACGACGGCAACCGCTACAACGCTCGCCACCTCGGCTTGTCCAACCGCAGTCTCAGTAACTTTCAGCCACAAGATTACTACTGCATACGGCGACTCAGTCAAGATTGCAGGCAACACAGAGCAGCTGGGCAACTGGGACACAGCAAAGGCTCCCGCCCTCTCGGCTTCGCAGTACACCGCCAGTAATCCAATTTGGACGATTACGCTGAGCCTTCCAGCTGGCCAGTCGATTCAGTACAAGTTCATTAAAGTGTCGAGCTCGGGCGCAGTGACGTGGGAGAGCGACCCCAATCGCTCTTATACTGTGCCGTCCTGCCAGGCCAGCAGCACGGTTAGTAGTGAGAATCGTTGATTGCTTGGTTTGAGGAGGCTTTGACCTTTCACGAGCAGACGAATCGCGACGCAGCTTCTTTATGTCGTTTCACGAAGTTGCTCCATTGCGTTGGTTCAAAAAGTATCTCTTGAGCACACGAGAATTAGGTAGAGCCGTGAGTCGGCCGCGAACACCCGCACTTAATTTAGTAAATATACACTGCTCTCAATACTTACCCACCCCTCGCGCTCTTCGGTGTTCTAAGGCGCGTTTATGGGCTGCCAAGCATCATTCTCTCCCCTGATCAGCCCACCTCATCTTGCCACGCATGAAAATGAGGCTTGAGCAATCATTCGCAATTAGTCACCCTTGTCCTGTAGTTACGATTTTGATCCGCCTTCTGCATAAGTGGCGGTGCGCATGTCGTGGCGACAAGGGTTGTGCAAATGCATAGCCAGGGGCCATTACCGTTCATATCTATCGGCAACTGCGTTGCTGTGCATAAGACATGGCAGATAGGTTTGGATGTGAATTAAGACGGCGTCACGAAGTTTTGACTCCCTAGGGTCTCAGAATCAGCGTTCGTCTACGATCAGTCGAGAAGAAACAGAGGATCAACGGTTCGTGCTCAGTAAGCCGATTTAGTCATGCCCCACCGCCGGCCTCGTATCGAGACAGCCCAAGACGGACCGCCGCAATCCTTGGCTCGAAGACCACAATTACGCGCCGTTGGCGAGCCTCCAGCGCAACTCCACAACTCGTCATCCCAGCCGAGACTGGTAGAGTGCGGGAGGGTGACCCGGCGGCGGATGTCGTTGAATGGATAGACTGGTTTTCGTCCTAGCGGGGCGGGGAGCGAAGGTATAGCTTACCTTTATGCAAAGAGATAGGCTCGATTCGAATTCCGTTTCCGAGAAATCTGTTTGCAAGTCAGCAAAAGCTCCACTGTGTCCAAATGGAAGTAAGAAGTGGGAGTAGCATGTATCAGAAATATGGTAAGCTTGGTATAGGTTGTCTTCAAAAGAGTTCAGTAGCAGAACTGTTTTACATACACAATCATCATAAAATGGGGCAGGAGGTGGGATCGGGTTGCTCACTTACTAGACTCGCAATGTAAGTCGAATGCATCGACTATCTCCGGTTAGCTAGACAGATGCACATCGACTGGACAATGTGTGCTTCAGGAAGACTGAGAGGAGCCCGGGGAACTGCTGTTCAACAACGCATCATGCAGATCAACTAGCTGGACCACTGAGCGCATCTGCACGTCTTCGTTCCGGGATGCTTGAAGCCGAATGTAATATTGTCGTGTCGCTCAGTCATCGAGGAGATCTAGAAGCCAGTCAGCACAGCTTCCCAAGCAGACGCGGGTGGGGTGCTACAGCCAGCAAAAGACATCAGACGGTGGTGCATGTTGTTCAATGCTCATTATAGATCGCTCGAACAATCTCAGGAAAGTATCAATCATGAAGGGCAAGACGAAAGCAGAAAAGGGAGCATGCATACCTATGCGCGGATTGTTGGTGGAAGGTTGAAGTCGCGCGCAAGCGAAGAGAAAATTATCCAGGCCGACGCGAAATCTTGGCAGCTTAGTCATCCGCCTTTTGAACTCTCAACTTCAAGCGGGCGGGCATTCCGAATACACAGGCAGTGCAAGCTCACCTACAATGGCAGTCAATCTGGATAGGAGGAGAATTAACGCCCCGAGTGGTGGCACTTTGGCCCCGGTGTTTGCGAGAACGGTAAAAGAGCCTGGGTACCTTCAATCGCTGCGGCCGTCACGAACAAGAGGTCCAAACGAGCCCCGCCAGATCTGTAAGTGTTTGTATTTCTCTTCAAACTTGGCCATGACAAAGTCTTTGGGAATTGTATGGCTTAGGGAGCTTCTAAGAGCTCTCCTTGCCTCGCAAAGTTTCGCATTGGACCCTAGAGCCTTGCTCAAAGCTCAGACTGACGCCAACCACAGTCCTCCAAACCGGCATCGTCCCCTCCGCCTCCGGCTCCGCATACCTCGAAATTCCCTCCGCCTCTTCACCTTCGAAATCGACGCTTATACCTCCTACAAGTTCCCTCAAAATCGCCGCATCTGTCCAAGGCCCAAAGCCCCTCCCTCGTAGCGCCTCTTTCTCCCCTTCCCTCCTCCTCACCACAACCGTAAAGTTCGCGCCCTTTGCAACGCGCCACCGGCGCGGCTACATACGAGACTCCACAGAACGCGATCTGGGGGTACATGTCGAGACCGCACTGCGGGGCGTCATGATAGGAGAGCGATGGCCGAAGAGCGGGGTTGAAGTGGTTGTTACGGTGCTAGAGGGCGATGAGAATGGATGGTGGGGAGATGTTGAGGGGAATGGGACGGGCAATGGAGGCGGGTGGGGTTTGCTGAATGTGCTGGCAGGATGCATAACGGTGGCCAGTGCCGCGATTGTGGATGCGGGGATTGACTGTGTGGATATGGTTTCTGGGGGAGTGGCGGCGATCATACGGAACCCAGAGGCGAAAGATGCGAAAGAGAAGGTGATGCGGATACTGGATCCGTGTCCGGCAGAGCATCAGGAGATTGTTGCGGCTTGTGCGGTCGGATATCTGGCGAGCAGGGATGAGATTACGGAAATTTGGGTGAAGGGCGATGTTGGCACCGACCCGGATGGGCTCATTGAGGGTGCTACGCATGCGGCGGTGGGGAGCTTGAGCGTGCTGAAAGAGGTGTTGCTTGAGGCTTTGGAGGCAAAGTTTCAGACCCAGTCCGCTGACGCGAACGGGGGACTGAAGCGGAAGCAACAGGATGTGCAAATGACAGGATGATACCGAGTAGACTTCTTTCGACTATTCTTTAGGAACTTGAGCACGAACGGACAGGAAAGGGTCGCGGATCTCTCTCGCATAGCGCCGGCGTTTTGGGCGGAAGGCGGATATACCAAAAAGCTCGTGCATCTGACGGCTGACTTTGCATTCGGAGCCATTCGAGCGGCTGCGCAAGGAAAGTCGTGTTACCACGAGATGAGCTGGATTCCAGCAACGCAACTCGAAGCGTCATCATCCAGCCGTCTAGCCAGTTTTCCCCGAAAATAAACATTTTCCCCAAACCTCCGGATGCCGCCCAGTAGCCCCAAGCAAACCGAGACCAAATCATGAATGAGACTCCACAGGAATTCTGGACTAACCTAACACCGAGAACTCCACACCAAATCACCACCAAAAGCCTCATCCAACCCCTGCCAACCTAGCCAGCTCCTCACTAGATCGCTAGATCTCCTGCTGATCCTCCAGCCAATCTTGAACTCCTACACCAAGCGCATTAGCCACCCAGTCTGCCCTACACTCGCAAAGCTGGCAGTCTGCCATTTGGACATCGCACTCACTCTCTTGCGCAACGGCTTCTTCCTCAACGCCCTCGACAGCGTCGTAGAAATGCTCGTCTGCCTTCTCCTCGTCCTCAACCGATCGGTTGGGGTTCATGCCCGGATCCGACTTGATGAAGGTGGTCGCTTCGGTGGGGTTGAAGGAGGTGGAAGCTTTCGGCGTGGGGAGGGGAAGGGAGTCGCCGGGGGCTTCGTTCTTGATGGTGGTGCTGGCTCCGTTGGCCTTGGTCTTGGTGGACTTGGACTTGGTAGTAGCACTCGCTTTCGCGGTCCCGGCTCGAGCGCGCTTTGGCTTTGAGGGAGTGAAGTCCTCGTCATCGTCCGGCTCCTCATCGCCTGGTTTGTACTTGCCCACGTCCTTGGAGGCTTTCTTAGTGGCCGAGACGCGCTTCCGCTTGGTGGTCGTAGTCGGAGTTGTATCGCCGTTGGTGGTGGCCTTGGACTTAGTGGGCGTGGTGGAAGACGGAGTAGCATCGCCCTTCTCGAAAGCTTGCTTCATGCGAGAGTAGCGCTTGGAAGCTGCGCCAGGGGTTGTTCCGCAGGCTTTAGCAATCGAATGCCAATCCGGAGTCTGTACTACGCGTTAGCCAAAGCATCATCGCGCATCGCTCCTTTTTCCGATCCGGGCAGGAACCTGAATTTGGTAAACGCGACAGAAAGAGCCGGAAGTTCGGTCAATCCCCTGAAAGCCTTCACACAGCTTTTACCCCACTACAAGGCTGGCTCCCCGTCCAGAGAAGAGGGAAAGACCTACCTTATCCCTCGTACTATGCTTGACGCACAACCAGAGGAAGCCGTACGAGCCCGCACTGGGATACTTGCCCTGCTCCATGGCCTGCTTCAGCCGGGACCAGCGTTTGCTCGTCGCACCTGGTGAGAGGTCGAGAGCCTTGCTGACGGCCACCATGTCGATCTGAGACCTCGGTTAGCACGAGAAACCTCGACCAAATGGGCGGGAAGAAACGCACTTGCGGAGGCCCGCCATTGGTCAGGACGAGGTACAGGTACTGGACGTTCTCCCCCTCAGTCGGCATCTTGAAGTCCGCTTGAAGGTTAGGTGGTAGTGGATTGTCTGTCTGAGCCTGAGGACAAGCCGGAGATTTGTGTCAAGCTGTTGTAGAAGAGAGGACGAGGACTAGAGGCGGGCGACCAATATATAGCTCTTCGATCTAAGGTGAAGGTGAGCCCGTCCTCTGGCGACGACAGCTCATTTCTTGGCACGGTGGGCTTGCAGCAGAAGACGGGGAAGGTGAGAGATAAGCGGTGAGCATGAGCAAACTACTCGAAGTGAAATCGAGAAAGTAGGTGGCAAAGTGTGAGGAAGTGAGAGAACGTCTTTCACCATCTCGGCGAGTACAGGCGCATCAGGCTCGAAGGGTTGATTGACGAAATGTCTGATGAATTGAAGCGCTGGCCTGTAGGACTCCCCAACGCCTCGCTGACCTCGCTGAACGCTCATAGCCTATACAGAACCCGACGTTATATGCAACTCCAAACACGCCTCTATACAACCGCTCACGAGCTGACCCCAAGCCCGACAGGCCTCTCTTCCTCTGTCTCTTCCACGCCCTTGCCCACCAGCTCCGAGAAATCTAAGCCCACCTCCCTCAACATAGCGGCATGTTCATGCGCCTGATTCATGCAGTCTTTCCACACCTGTGTGTTCTCACCTACGCTACCCAACTGTCGTCTCAGGAGCACATTAAACTGATCGACATGCTCTTTGGCCCACTTGACGCACGCAGACATGAGTACCTGCGGGAAGCACTTCTGGTAGATGTCGACTGTGTTCTTGATGACGGTGAAGTAAATATAGGAGATTTGGAAGATGTAGTCCGGAAGGTTGCCTTCAAAAATGCATTGGCTGAAACCCAGGGTTAGCGAACGAGTAAGAGTACATGTGGAGGTCAACGTACCGTGATCGCGTCTTGATGAGGTTTCCTCGAGCCTCAAGGTACGCTTCTCGCGCTCGATCTTCGAAGCCTAATCGTACTACCCAGGTGACGTGTTTCTTTACCGATTCCATCCAGTTGTTGTTTTCCACGAGCTGTTTGATAAGTACGCTGGCCAGCTTCGTCGCCCGCTCGTTCACTTTGAAGGACACGATGCCTTGGGCCATTGAGTTGCCTCTGATGTTCTTCGCTAGTGCTTTCAGCCGCTCCACCTTCTTCACCGCTTCTTCGAAGTGCTGTAGCGCAATATCGATGTCGAGCTCATCGAGCTGGCTTTCTACCATTCGGATGTTCTGTTGCTTGCCATCGATATCGACGAACATGCTTGCTCGGTTATTCACGACGTTGTCCGACAAGCTCTCCATCAGATCCGTCTTCTTCAGGATGTTCGGATCCCGCGTGGCGAAGTAGTTGTATGAGTCCTGGGCCCTGCCTCGTTCTTCGATTTCGGCTTCTTGGCTCTTCCGTAGATCTTCGACGGCCTTTCGATATGTGGAAAGTAGTTGGGCTTTGTCTGCGTCTTCCCCTGGGTAAACGGCGTATGTAAATGATTCACTCCCGACCCGAATATTGATCGCATTGGCAGTGCCGGACTTGCCATCTTGACCTCCGGGTTTTGTTTTCGAGGAAAGATCTGCCATCTGCACGTCCTGAAGTGGCCAGCATCGCTGCGCTACCCATTCCTGCGCGGCGTTCTTCTTGTCTCGCGAGCTTTGCGCGGCCTCGCTTCGCTGTTTCTTTTCTGCAGCGACTAGCAGATGGTCATTCAGGAGGAACAGATGGACTCGTCTTTTTGCTTTCCACGTCGCAGCGTTCAATTCCACCCATTTCCTAGACTCCCACACCACGTGTCGACCAGGAATAGCCGGCAGATACTTCTGTGACCCTTCAATGCGCTTCCAAAGCTGGTGCAGCTGGGAATTCCAAAGCGCCTCCAGATTTGCTACCGAGCTCCGATTTGCAGCTTTCCGCGCGGTGATTGCGTCCCCGTTCGTATTCGCGGCGGACGCGGTCTGCCCCAGTGTAGCCGTCAATTCAGACATCAGCTGCTTAAGCGTCCGCATTTCGCCCTTGAGCTTCTCCGCCTCTTTACTAATCTTGATAAACTGCGTGCGATTCTGATACACATTGTGCTGGAGGTCGGTCGAGGTGCGATTCTTCACTTTGCGGAGGTCGTCCTGGAAGCGGCGGATGTCTTCTTCGGAGGCGTCTGCTAGTATCGAGTTCACGTCTGGATCTGTCAGTCACTTGGGGCTTGCATTTCGATTGGGCGGCTCACAAGAGTCCACTTTCAGGCTGGGATCACGCAATGCCCTCATGTCTACCTTCAAGGCACGCCCATCCGAGCTCCCGGGCGGCCTCCCGTCCCTGCTTGGCGGCGCCTCCCTATACTGAGCCGGTATGGCTGGCATATCTGGCATCGGCGCGCCATTGCCAAAGTCGCTCGGGAGCTGCGTTATCCGCTGCGAGTACCTCCTCTTGACCAGATCGGCCGTCTTATCCGCCCTCTGCGGCCTTTCGCGGGGCGCGTCAAGCCTCTTTCCCGACCGGTTCGACTCTGTAGAAGGGCGTCCGGAGCTTGAAAGCGTTGCAGCAGCGAGCCCAGCGGGCATGGGCGCGCTAATCTGTCGTGGAGCGCTGATGGTCGGCGCGCCGCCTTTGACCTTCTGCGTGCGCTTCTTGCGCAGCGAGATTCCTTTGCCGCGTTCTTCCGACATGTTGCCTGCCAGACGGAGGATGCCAGCAATCCGTCGAGGGTGTGTTTAGCGGGGTATTGAGCAGTGACAGGTGGTGTCTTGCCGCGTACGAGTCCCAATGCACACATCCCGGTCCGCTGGAGCTCGGGCCCGCAGTCCTGCCGGTCTTTCCCTGCTCCAAAAAAGTTCGACCCCATTTCATCAACATCATCCCTTCTCCCTTCGCCATTTCCCTTTCTTCCTCTCTCTGCTTCTTCAATTCATCTTCTTTCTGTTCCCAACTCGGCGGCCAAACCATAATGTCTTCCTCGCTAAAACCATCAACTATCGCCGCGATCAGCGTCGGCACTGTCGTCACCGGCTTCGTCGCATACGCCATCTACTTTGACCACCGGCGGCGCACCGATCCCGAGTTCCGCAAACAATTGAAGCGCGAATCGAAGCGGCAAGCGCGCGCCGCGAAGGAGGAGGCTGAGGCGCAGGGCAAGGAGCAGAAGAAAGCCATCCGGGAGGCTGTAGCGCGCGCGAACGAGGACGGCTTCCCCAAGGATCCCGAGGAGGTTGAGGCATACTTCATGCAGGAAGTTGCGCAGGGAGAGGGCATGGTCCAGTCGGGTATGTGGAGAGTGTGCCTAGCGGCATTCGGAGATGGTACTAATCGTTCAGCAGGCGCCGATTCGATAGAGGCCGCGCTGTGCTTCTACCGCGCATTGAAGGTCTACCCGAACCCGAGAGAGCTGATTAACATCTACGACAAGACCGTGCCCAAGGTAGGGCTCCTTCTTCAGAAGTGTCATAGATGCCGCTGATGCGCTCCAGCCCGTCCTCGATATCCTCGCCGAGATGATAGCCGTCGACACTAGCATTCCCGTTGGCGGCAGCAAGGCACCGTCGGAAGCTGGTTCAGCTGGCGGAATTGAGTAGGATGCTGCTCTGCAGCAATATTCGATCTAGGACCCCTCTCTACGCACGGTCGCAGCTCATTGTAATATTCTTGTACATGTAAAAGTATCGCGTGCTATTGGTCTGGTCGAGTTGCTGGCCGGCGTTTTGGGATGGCATGATACGCGGTATCGACGGGTGGTATAGATGGCGATCTGAATGACGATACCATATCCGGACCGAAGCGTGAGTCGGGGGCCGCTCATCCCTCACAAGCACAGCGTGGAGGCAGTGTACAGTCATGAAGCGCTCGAATGCTTGGTATACTACAAATTACAACTGCCAGGTCTCCCAAAGTCGTGCTTTGCATGCTCGAGATACAGTCCATGCCCAAACGCCTTGCTCACAATGTCGTCTGCTCAACACGCAAAAGAACCCGAATAGATACAACAAAGTCTAAGCGAAGGCAAAAGATAACTGCTCGGAGGAATGCCTAACATTGGCAGGAGCTCGATTCCTGTGGTTGGCTCGGGTTGATGTTGACGTCGATCACTGCAGCAGTTGTCAGTCCTATCCCAAACAGCATCCTCCAAAGAATACGACATACTCTGACTCTGCCCCTGCTGCCCCTCCCCTTCCATCCCCGGCAGTGCCTGCGCGATCCTCTTAAACAATGTCTTAACGTTGTGCCCGACCTTTGCGCTCGTCTCGATGAACATCAAATTATTCTTCTTGGCCTCCTCCTCGCCCTGCTGCGTCGTGACTTCCCGCTTGTCGTTCAAATCTGTCTTGTTGCCTACCAGCACGATGATCACGTCGTTGCCACGCTCGCCCCGCACGTCATCGACCCATTTGCGAGTGTTCTCGAAGGTCTTTTTGTTGGTAATGTCATAGACAACAACGGCAACGGACGAGTCGCGGATGTAGGAGGGGATGAGCGAGCGGAAGCGTTCTTGGCCGGCGGTATCCCAGAGCTGCAGGCGGACGGTGCGGTCTTCGAGGTACATTGTCTGAAAGAGTCAGCGGTTGCCCGGAAACCCAAGGTACATATATGCAGCGTGGGTCGCACCTTTGACAAGAAGTCTATGCCGATGGTCGCCTGATATGTGTTGTCGAATGAATCGTACATGAACCGTGTGATCAACGACGTCTTGCCCACTGCGCAATCGCATTAGCATCCTCTCTTCCCTGGCAATCTCCATGCCTCGCTAGACATACCGCTCTGCTCCCCCAGAAACACAAGCCTACATTACATCAGCATCCCTTTTCCGTCGCAGCGCCGCAATGCACTCACTTGAATTTCTTCAGCGGATTCGAATACCCCGACTGCGCCATTGTGTGTAGAAGCGACCCGCGAACCCTATGCAGCGAAGGAGAGAATAGAAAGGAAGAGTACTGAGTTGGCTTGTCGACGTGGCAGCGCGGAAGTGTGTGAATAGGAGAAAGCAGTTTGCTGTGCAGTCCTGGAAGCCTTGACGACCCCCGGATGCCGTGCCGTTAGTGTGGCGCCAGGGTGTTCCCTCGACCGGTCCGCATGAAGCACGTGACGTAATTCGAGCTCGAGCCACTGGAGCGCGGGCGGAATTTTGGCGAGATTCCAACTTTTGCAACTCTCGAAATTCAAGCGCGACTGGCTTCGCAACATATCTACGACAAACAACAATGGCGAATACGGAAACGGCGCCCGCACAGTACAAACAGCCCAGCCGCAAGGGTAAGAAGGCCTGGCGCAAAAATGTGGACGTTACGGAGGTTCAGTCCGGCCTCGACGAGGTGCGGGAGCAGATCATCCAAGGGTAATTCACACCGATACCACAATAACAATTGTTTTCTGACCCCCCGCAGTGGCGTTATTGCAGAGAAACCTTCAGAAGAACTCTTCGCCGTCGACACTACTGGTGACGCCGACATCCAAAAACGAGTCCTGAAGCGCCACAAGCCCCTCAAAGTCGACGAGATCCTCGCTCAGCGCTCCGCTGTACCCGCCGTTTCCTCGAAGAAACGTCTGTCAGATTTCGTCGAAGAGAAGAAGAGGAAGAAACCTAGAGTCTCGAACAAGGATTATGACAGGCTGAGGTCAATTGCATACGGAGGCGAGCAGGTACAGAAGGACGTCGTGCAGACGGGCGATGCAGCAGATCACGATCCATGGGCGATGCAGGAGGCGCACAAAGACCCGAAGTTTTCATTCTTGGAAGAGAAGAAGCCAAAGAAAGAGCCGGTCACGCTAAAACGCGCACCAGTGTCACTGGCAAAAAGCGGCAAAGCAATTCCAGCAGTCAAGAAACCAGAAGCGGGCAAGAGCTACAATCCCAACTTCAACGATTGGCAGGAGCTCATCACGAGGGAAGGTGACAAGGCGGTCGAGGACGAGAAGAAGCGACTGCAGGAGGCGAGAGAAGAGGCTGAGCGGTTAGAGCGAGCATTAGCCGCGCCAGACTCAGAATCGGATGGCAACACGAGTGCATGGGAAAGTGAGTGGGAGGGCTTCAGCGACAACGATGAGAATGACTTGAAGACGAAGAGGCCGGAGCGAAAGACCCAGGCTCAACGGAACAAGATCAAGAGAAGGAAGGAGGCAGAGCGGTTGGCGAAGCATGAAGCGAAGATGAAGGCAAAGGAGCAGCAAGCGCTAAAGGTTAAGGAGCTCGCGAAGTCCGTGGAGGAGAGGGAGAAGGCTCGTGCAGCCGCCCGCGAAATGGTTCTCGCTCCGAAAGACGACGAGTCGTCTGACGACGGAGACGAGGTCCTCCGTAAGAAGCGCTGGGGCAAGCATCCGTAAGTTCTGCCGTGAGCATTACATTCTAGACCGTGCTGACGGACTTCAGTATCCCAGAAGCTCCTCTCGAAGTCGTCTTGGCCGACGAGCTCCAAGATTCTCTCCGCCGGCTAAAACCAGAAGGCAACCTACTCAAGGACAGGTTCCGAAGTATGATGGTTCGCGGCAAGGTCGAGCCGCGGAAGCAAATCCCCTATGCGAAGAAAAAGAAGGTTGTCGTTACAGAAAAGTGGTCGTACAAGGATTGGAAATTACAGTAAGCGTATATGTATTGTCTCCATTCATCAGTTTCGGACTCTTCCTGCTATTTACCCTCAATTGTTCGTTCAGGTTTTGCCCCGACCTTCTCATGCTTCATACGTCATGCTTCAGCCGTGGCGGCTGCGCCTTAATACATGCACTCCAATGAGCTGCCAATGGTGTCGCGACGCAAGGTTCCGTTTACAGGGGGCCTGCATTTCAGCTCGCGATCTACATGGTCCTTCGACTGCAATGCCACGACCAATGAGCAATGAACTGAGAAAGTTCGGAACCCCTCCCAGTTCCAAGATAAACTCACCGGCCCCACTCCAAGCAGAAACAAGTCACCTATTTCGGAGTTCTAACCCTCCCAGCAAAAACTGCCCCTTTGAATTCTCTGTCCTCTGAACCATATGGAGTCCGGTCCTTCTGATGCCTTCGTTGAAGTGGTGAAGAGGCGGCTTTTTATTTGCTGTGATGGTACATGGCAGGACGGCGTAAACAACAAAGGCCAGCCGCTCACAAACGTGGCAAGGCTCGCCAGGTCTATCAAGGGTGTCTCTGACGATGGCTACCTCCAGCTTGTCTACTATGATAGTGGCGTCGGTAACGGCACTGGCTTGTTTGGGCTTGGACAAGGTGTTGACGGAGCAACTGGACGAGGTTAGCCTCCTTCAAGGACAGAACGTCGTCGCATGTGAGGTGCTGAACTACTTCAACAGGAATATCAGCCAAGATCAGGAATGCCTACAGCTTCGTCTCATACAACTACCAAGACGGCGACGAGATCATCCTTGTTGGATTTTCACGAGGCGCATTCACAGTCCAATGTGTGGCATCACTGATAGGTCAGATTGGATTGCTTAGGAAGGAAGATTTGCAGTATCTTCGGCCCCTGTTCACGCTATGGGCAAATCAAGACCTGAGGACTTGGTCGAACATGACACCGTTGCAAGTTTTGTTGAAGGAAATCACCGATGCGCTAAAGGCTCCGGGAAAGATCGAGGCACCGACCACGCGGAAAGTCAAAATCAAGGCACTTGCAGTCTGGGACACAGTCAGCGCTCTCGGGTTCCCTACGCCGACTCTGTCACCCAGACCCCTATCTTTCGTCGGCAAATCTGCACCACGTGTGCTTGAACATGCCTTTCAGGCTTTAGCGCTGAATGAGAGCAGACGCCTTTTTAAACCGGTTGTGTGGAGAGAGGGCAACGAGGGCTGTAGGAACGTTACGCAATGTTGGTTCCTTGGCTCGCACGCAGACGTCGGCGGCGGCAGTGGAGATCCCGAATTAGCAACTATCTCCCTCATATGGATGGCCTCGAAGCTGATAGCGCTTGGTGTTACCTTCGAGACCGGGAGTCTCATCGAATTCTTGGGCGGTCGGCACATGAAATGGATCATAATGGTAAATAGACCGTTGGGAAGATACAAAGCAACCTTGAAGCTGCCGTCTCACGCACGGAGACAAGGTACGTATTCAAACATTCTCTCTCTCTCCTTATACCATGCTCTTTCCTAGTTGACTTCGTGAACGCTGATGAGTAACAGGCTTTGTCACAAAAACGGCTTGGTACTGGTGGTTTGCAGGTCTCAAAAGGCGACGAAAATATTTCAAAGCTAGTGCTGATGGCGGCGAGGATCGTCGGACAGGTACAGCTGATGGGTCCAATGCTACGGCCGATACTCCTAGTAAGAGCCGCTCAGGAGAGACATTCGGTCGAAGGCGTAGATCGGATGCCACTAGCACTTCGCCATCGACGAGTCATTCCGAAGGTACGAGCCGGGCCAGCGAGGTTCATACGGACAGTCCAGGCCATGAATCTGCGTCGGACAGCAAAGGTAAAGGGAAAGACCTACTCGCTGGAGGGGCCGAAACCGACGATTCTCAACAGCGTGCTGCCGAGCTAAGCGAGCAACCTTTCGCGATGAACATCCACTTCTCAGTGCGGCTCATGATGGCGAAAAAGAAGAACAAGTGCAACGTGCTTGAGAAATGGAAGAACGTCCCGGAGCATGGCAGGATCATGTGGGAGCATCCGAACATGGCCCAGAAAAAGATTCCGGAAGACGAAAGCGGCCCAGGGGAGTGGAAATTGCTGCGAGGTCACGGGAAGGATAGGCAAGCAATGGTCGCAAAGACTGTCCTTTCTCCGTTTCTCTATCATGTCCTTGAACTGGCCGGCGGTGAGCCTGCCCGCGTGAGAGTGCTGTACAACAATGTGGAGTCGAGGGATCAGGGCAGTGATTCGACCAACATCACTTCCGCGGACATTGGCTGATACTACAAGGGGGCAATGAGGAATTACATGGGCAGTCAATGTCCTTGACTATTCATCTCCACCGTTGTTGTTGTGCATTCCGTTGTCTCCATTTCGTGCTTTCGTGCCTTCCTGGCATTCGTTCTGCCGGTGCTTGCCGCCTCGCTAAAATGCCCGCATTGGGCCGGGAGCGCAAAACGCCTCCGAGACGCGACCGCTCCACCATCACCGTCCTCACGCGTGCGGCGGCGCTGGAGCTTAACTGAGGAAAATGCTGGATTATCGCATCGCTAGGCATCGAGGGCTCCGTCAGTGTTAACAGCCGCCGCATCATAGCGACCCCGCGCGACAGGTCCTCGACGCGTCGACCGCTTCCAGGGTTGCCATCTGTATTCCACGTGTTTACCGTTCTGCTGCAGCAACCCGCTCTCACCGACAACGACGACTCCAGCGCGCACAGCAGAGAAGGACCAGAAAACGTCGCCAGTCTTTCAGGCTGGGAGAGGGGCGCAAGAGGTGCTTTTCAAAGCGGAAGTGGTAAGTCTTGGGTGATGCTCAGCAATCCCTGTTGGCGTGGTGAAAGCTTCATCAGGCTGCTCCTCTTCGCCAATCTGCCCACCAGTCCGCTTTCACCGCATCTCTTTCCTTCCAAATTTGTGCCTTGTCTCTCCATCCGCCCCACTTTTCGGTCACACACTCGTCTCTGTTGGCCCACCGACGAAATCTTCACCTTCTTCCTTTCCTTTCCTCAAACCATCCCCCCACAGCCCGAGCTGACGAGCACAAAGCTTCCGCGAATCTCGTCGCAGCATCAGCAGCACCACGCAGCTTCTCGCTCATTGGTGACTCACCAAGAGGCATCGTCATGTCGCAAGCCGGCAGTGAGTACGGCGGACCCGTCCGCCGCTCGACACGTCTCTCGCAACCTCACTCGATGGTTTCCCAGTCAGTGGTTACCACGAGCGCTCCCACTGCTGCGACCCCGTCTCGTCGCAAGAGGGCCCTCCCCAAGGTCAACCCTCGCAAATCAACCGCTTATGGCGCCAGTGGACGGAGTGTAGAGGCTGCTGTACTGACCGTAACGGCCACCGGCTTCTCTCAGGCATTCGAGGCCCAGCGTGAAACTGCCGTCGGTCGCGACGATGAAGAGAAGGGTGAGGAGGAGGAGCCGATGATGAGCGGCGCACTCAATGGTGGTCCTGCCGGTTTGCCACCCCTTCCGGACCATCACAGCGGCGAGGAGTCGTCGAGCGAAGATGAGCGGAGCCAGCCCGCCGCCGACACCTCAAAGTCATTCGGAATGACCAGAGAGGCCGGCATGACCCACGCAACCACTGCGCGTGTACGACCTTCAAGGACCCGTATCGGCCAACAGGAGTTCACCCCAGAGGATCTGGATACTTCGATTGATGAGCTGATTGCCGACGGTCGTCGGGAGGCAGGTGAGCGTGCAAGCCGACGCGCCCGCCGCGAAGCTGAGCAGCGAGCTCGCCACGCTCAAGAACAGGCGCGCGAAGCGGCTCAAGAGCTAGCCCGCGAGGAAGCCGATCGGCTTGTCCGCGACGGAAACAGGCAGGTACGCCGGTCAGAAGCCGGCCCACGTCGTGCTGTTCCTCTCCCAGCTCGTGTGCTGGTTCAGCAGTCTATCGAAGGAGACGTGCAGGATGCCTTCGACGAGCCTAAGAGCGGGAACCGGTGGTGGTGGGTCCCTTACCTTGTCGGAGCGCTTGCAATCTTTCTCCCCCTTGTCGTAATCCCGCTACGACAGTACACACCGCCTTCTGGCTTCGCCGAAACCGCTCCTCAGACTCCGGGAATGTTCAAGGCCGTAGGCTCTCGCTTCTCTTATCATTGGAACGACTGGGCACGGTGGATCATGCCCCCGGAGACAACGGAAGAGGAGGCTATACGTGCATTCCGTCAAGGCGAAGCAGTCCACGACGACATTCTATGGAACCGCATGTACCTCTTGAACAAGAAATGGGAGGAGAAGTTTGGCGTCGTCGACGACACGATCCAGGGACTAAAAGATCACCTTCCTGAGCAACTCGTCGTTACTCGCCAGCGTGATGGTTCGGTGGAAATTCCAGATGAATTCTGGAGGGCGCTTCTTCTCAAAGTCCGCTCCAACGATACCGCCTGGAACGAGTTCCTCAGGGAGAGCCAGCTCAAGATAAAAGAGCTTCGTGGCTCAATCGACCTCGGCACGTCCGAAGCCTGGCCCATGCCCATCTCACGAGAAGAGTTTGCAAAGATCATGGAGAAGCAATACGCTGAGCTCTCCGATCGCGTGGACGCGAAGGTTGCTGAAGCGATGTCTGCGAACGCTAAGCAACTCAAATTCCTTATGAACAATGAAGTCAAGAAAGCAGCCGTCGACCAAATGCGTCTCCAATCCCTCGCTCTCACCAACCTCATCGCCAATATGGAGCTCACCGAAAAGAAAGCCAACTACTTCTCCCCGGGTCTAGGCGCTAGAGTCGACTCGAGCATCACATCCGGCACCTACAGCGATGATCCCGCAGCCCTTGCCAGAGTGGCGAGGCGGCTGTCTTTGATTCCGCAACGTCGTCCACCTTCGGCCGCCTTATACCCTTGGCAGGAGCCCGGTGAATGCTGGTGCTCTGCAGGTGACGCGAGTCATACAGGCAAAGCACAGCTAGGTGTCACTGTGCCAAAACCTATGTTCCCAAGCCAGATCACGATCGAGCATCTACCAATCGACGTCGTCCCAGACGAGAACATTGCCAATGCGCCAAGGGATGTCGAACTCTGGGTCCAGGCGGCAGCGCCGCCCACTTTCCACTTCCAGCATCGCAAAGATCAGTGTGGTCCGGGTCTTGCTGGGTGGGTCTGCCTTGGCAGCGTCCGATACGACATCCACGGCTCCAATCATGTCCAGACCTTCAATCTGGATGGGCAGAGCGCCGTTCCCATCACCAAGGCTATGGTTCGCATCGCCAGCAACTATGGCGCCGACCACACCTGCCTCTACCGTATCCGACTCCATGGACATCACGCCGGCACGAAGCATGAGTACGATGTTCACGATTAACTCTTTCCGTCTGGTGCATGTTCATTTTCGGCTAGCAAAACCAGATATCATGTTGCATCAGGGTCTCGAAGGCGTTCGGAATGGTTGCAAATACCCTAGGTCTCTTTTCATATGTGCATACACGGGCGTCGCGGGTTTCGATGGTGGATGGGCCATATCATTGTATACCCTGTTTCTGCATTGTGTAGGGCGGCTGGTGGTGAAGTCCCTGGATAGTCTCTCGATAGCCTCGTCGCTAAGAATGGATCCTGAATACCCTCAATAGACAGTGTTCAGCCAGAATGACTCTGCTTTTGGATCCCCACAGCCTCCAGCCTTCGTTCTAACCACAACAGCAACAGCACGAGGACTGCTACCGTGATATTAGCGAGCTACCAATTCACTGACAAAGCCACCCACGATCCAGCATCCGCGTTCCAGTCCGTACATGACCCTCCAGTAACGGTGACGTTGCAAAGGTCATTGAAGCGATCTAGGCTAGCTAATCCCTAGTACCAAGTCACTGAAAATGCAACACACAATCTAACATCCGCGTTCTAGTCCACATATGAACCTCTAGTAAGGGTGACGTTGCAAAGGTTATTGAAGTGACCTTGGTTAGCTAATCCCCAGTTCTACGTTACTGAAAAAGACGCCCGCGATCTAGCACGCGTCCCCAGCCAATACATAACCTTCTGGTAATAGTGATGTTGCAAAGGTCACTGAAGTAAGCTAGGCTAGCTAATCCCTAGTACTAAGTTACTGAAAAAGCCACCTAGGATCCAGGATCTACGTTCTAGCCAATACATAACCCTGTGGTAAGGGTGACGTTGCAAAGGTCGTTGAAGTCATTCAGGCTAGCTAGTCCCCGGTACGCCCCCTCCACTCATAGCTTCTCCTCCGCATCCCCCTTCTCGTAGATCAAATCCAATTGGCCGCATCGAAAATCTGCACCGTGTCCATAACGCGGTGCGCCAGCTCAGTGCCCATGAGCACCTCGCCCACATACGGATCCATGTGCGTGGAGTCCATTTCGTGGATCGCCAGCCAGCGCGGTGCAGACCCATCTACTGATCGGTAACGCGTGGAGCGCCGGTAGTTGGACAGCATGCTGAGCATGTCCAGGTGCTGCGCTCACTCATCAGCACTAACTGCATCACAGAAGCAAAGTGCGTCATGAAGAAGGGGAAGGGGAAGGTAAGTCACCTACCTGATAGCGATACCACTCCTCCACATTCCTCTCGCCGTCCGCGCCAGCAGCCGGCTCCAACCTCACGATACACGCAACCCTCGGCCTCCCCTCCGGTACATCGCCCCTCCCCTCCCTCAAACTCTCAAACGTCTGGACCGGCGTCCAAGCACTGAGTTCGATCGCCACATCATCCGGTCCGATATCCCTCTTCCCGTTAGTAGTGCCGGAATGATGGAGATCAAAGATGTGCGCAGTGGCAGACGCCGCCGTTGCATTCAGCTCCTCGTGCGTCTTATAGACCGCGACGTAGGGCCATGTGGGCGTGCGGGTCGAGTTGGCGAAGGGGATGTATTTGTAGCGGACGGCGAGCGAGGCGTTGTGGTTGGCCATGAAGCTGGGGAGGAGTTGGGTGTTGTACCAGGTGTTGAATTGGAAGTCGGTTATGGTGGGGTTTGTGAGGCGGGCGAAGACGAGCCAGAGGTATGGGGCAGTGGCGTTTGCGAGCAGCATTGTGGTTGTGGCGGCCTGCGTTGGAGTGGGCAAGTGCGATTCGGTAAGCGGTAGCGATTTTGTTCCTGGTGGTCGGAGTAGCAGCAGTGTTATAATTATGGGGGGGTATGTAAGACGAACTCGGGTCCTAGGTTTGAGTATATGGGGTTCTTATTGTGCGTAGGGTTAAGTAATATATTTGGGACTTTAGCCATAAGAGCCAAGGTATTTAGAACCTGAATATTCGAAAGCTGAATGTTGTAGGCTCACGTGGAAAGTAGAGCGAGGGTTTAAAGAGACGAAAATCGAAAATGATGTTCTAAGGAAGGAGTAGACCAAAGGCAGACGTTCGGTGGCTAACTGTAACGCGAAATGCAGACAAGAACAACGGGGCACCATAAACAAACTTGAAGTATTCTGTATCGTATGCATTAGAAACCTTCATTTGTCTCGCGACGACCAGTAATCAGCCCGCCGCCCTTTCCTCAACTTAACCTCCCTCCCCTAAACATTACACCTAAAGCTGCCCACCCTCCCATCGGCCCGCCAATCGTAGCACCCACTGTACTGATCTGGCTCGCCAATAGGCTCCGGAAGCATGTCCTACCCACAATGCTGATCGGCCCAAAAATTGCAGCCGGCGCCGCCCCCATCGTCCTGAAAGATGCTGCTTGCCGTCGTCGGCTGTCCGTTGCCCGTGCAGTCGCCGTTGTTGAACCCGCCGTTCCAGTAGTAGCGGCAGTTGGAATTGGCGAGCTCCAGCTCGTGGCAGTCGGTGTCGTCGCCTTCCCAGTAATAGTAAGTTTCAGGCGCCATGCCGGTGTCGCAGAAGTGCTCTTGGTAGATGGCGAAGGAGTAGCTGTCGGCGGTCGTGGTGGGGAGGAGGGCGGTCAGAGCGAGGAGGGTGGAGAGAAGGGAGGTGGTGAAGCGCATTTTTCGATGGTGAGAGACTGTAGTGTGATGAACAGTGTGGCTAGGAGCGGTTTCCGGAGTGTTGAGAATGTTGTGCCGGAGTGAGCGCAGGTCTGATGCCTTTTTGTATTCTTTTGAGGACGAGTGTGGCTTCCATGGGCGACTTCCTCGCGCTCTCGGCCTACCTTTTTTTCATGTATTATGCGCTGCATGCAGTCGAGATGCGTACGGATGAAGTCATACGCACGGCAACGATGCAACGGTCAAGGGGCATTAGAAAGATGTTGTATTGAGATGGGTTCTTAGTATCTTGGGGCAGGCAGTCTTCTTCCTCGATGGCATTCTCTCCTCCAGTCAGCCCTTCCAAGCCCAAGTCTCGCGCGACAAACTTCATTGGCATGACGTTGATAATGACATGAAGAGCGGTGGCATTGTGTTGGTTCGAAATCGCTTGCCATTTGCGTGAACACCCATCGGCTCGAGCGGCCATTATCGAATACGTTTGAACTGAACGAGTTGGAGGATTATACCCATTCCGTGCCGGTTTGCCGCGGACCTAGTCGTAGAACTATGTCTCCTTGTGTGGGGGCGGTTGTCTTCAGTGAACAGCTCCGCTCCCAGTGCGGTCCGTATGAAAACATAGCCGCAGCAATCCCGTGCAAATCCAGCACTACTCTCGCCGCGTTCCTAGCCTTGATCTCTAGGTCCACATTCCGATAGCGTACACGAGGATAACGAAAGCGCTGGAAACGGCCCACGTAGCATACGATTCCCAATATGTTAGATCCTCTTGCTTCCAAGCGGCGAAATGCATCCAAGCCATCCTCACGAAGCCGGTAAGGCTACCAACGACGAGGTAGTCCTTCAGTCCTACTTTCATGGGGTCCATGTCTGCAATGGCATATCAGCACCAGTTCACAAAGGGGAAGCTATGCACTCACGGGTAGTCCTCCGACGCTTCCAGGGTACAGCGTCAGCGGCTGGTGAATATTTGAGCAGTTCTCCTTGCGAGGCGCAAAAGAGTCGGCTAGGCGAGGGAGGGCGTTGTGTTGGTTGAGAAGGAATTGGGTGTTTTCCACGGTTATAGCTGGGCAGTCCCTCATTATGTCATTTAGGCGTTGGCCCATAGTGATTGGACGAGATTGTTCTGAACTAAACCGCCAACAGTTCAGGACGGCCCGTTGTGAAACCTCCGGATCTTGCGGCACAGCGCTCAATCAAAGAGCGGCTACTTCTTAGTTGGGAAGGGAAGCACATGAATGTACTACCATTATAATTGTGTTTGTAGATCCCCGTGTGCGGCTTTCTCGCACGAGTGGCTTTGATGCTCCAACGCCTTCCGACGCCCGCAAGGTAACGAAAACTCGGGAATGCCATTTCGTAGCACCATGATCCACGAAGCTGACAGCTGATCTGTGGACTCCGCGGGCTGGGACGGGGAGAGCAGTTCTCAGAGTGGAAGGAGGAGAGAATTGGCACGCCACGGCGTGGGCCAGTTCAAATGCCCGCACGAACGCGATTCTTCATTACATCAATAACTATTGCCAGGTAAGTGTATGTCTCGTATTCATTCTCTTTGCGGTACCCAAGGGCTGACTGTTTGGACAGACCGCGAAGAATAGTCAGAAGGCCACGCAAGGTGGGGGATTGTTGCTGAGCAGCTTAGCGGTTGCTCACAACAGCCGTGCAACAACCGGGCAGAAGCTATAATGGATCCAAACCGAGCGTAAGGGGGAGGATGCTCCATCTGGAGGTTGCGATCTTCCTGGAAACACATCGAGGGATTGTATATGCGCATCCTGCAGTCGTTGGTATCCTTCCTTGGTTGTGTCCGGGCTTGTGGAACAGGAGCTTCGTCTGAGTTTCAATAACTGCACATGTGTCAGAATTGCTCAGATAAAATCCTCTATTTTTCATCAACTAGTCAAGAGTGCGGTGAAGCTTTGCACTGGGATGTGTTTTGTTGTCATGTTTTCTGAGTGATCGTTTTGATGAAGACGCGCACGGCTCGGTAGATCCATACTTAGAGACCCTCGTCCCAGCATATCCTTCTATTAGAACCGGAACTTTTTCCAACGCCCGCTTCACTATGCTCCCATTTAACCAAGCCCCTGTCCTTCACCTGCAGGCAGTTACGCATTCTTCTTCAGCGCCTCCACAAACTGCTTCGGCGGCTCTTGATTGTAGCCTTCGGGGTTGTTCTCCGTCCACTTCCACAGGTCGGCGCATGCGTCTTCGAGCGTCAGCTCTGTCTTCCACTCGAGTTCCCGGTTCGCCAGCGTTGGATTCGCCGTCAAATCAAGCACGTCGCCTTGGCGGCGCTCGACGACCTGGTAGGGGAGATCACGGCCGACCACCTTGCTGAAGGCTTTGATCATATCGAAGACGGTGGATCCTTTGCCGGTGCCGAGATTCCAAGCTTTTACGCCAGGGTGGTGCTCGCGGAGGTAGTTGAGGGCGACCAGGTGCCCCTTGGCCAGGTCGAGCACGTGGATGTAGTCGCGGATCGCGGTGCCGTCCTTGGACTTGTAATCTATGCTTTATTAATGCCCACAGGATACTGGCAGGAATCACTATGTTTGACCTACCGTCACCGAAGACGAGCAGCTTTTCTCGCTTGCCGATAGCTACCTGCGCAAGGAGAGGAAGCAGGTTATACGGCACCCCGAGCGGATTCTCGCCCATGACACCGCTTGGGTGCGCACCAGCGGGGTTGAAATACCTCAGCAACGCCGCGTTCCACTTGTCGCCGTCGGTCTCACCCCTCTTCTTGGCCATCATCCGCTGAGCCTCGATGTGGTCGCTGATCACGTTCTCGACAGTGCTCTTGGTGCGACCGTACGTGTTCGTAGGGCCAATAGGGCAGTGCTCTGGAATTGGGATCATGTTGGGGAAGCGCGTGGCATCCCCGTACACGGTGGCTGAGGATGAGAAGACAATGTTTGTGACGTTGTGCTTGGTCATGGCGCGGAGGAGGGAGATACTGCCCCCCACGTTCACGCGGTAGTACTCCAGCGGGATCTCTCCAGATTCGCCAACCGCCTACCATATCTCTTAATGGTCTGACTTGGTGACGTAGTTAGGCTGTGGAATCTTACCTTCAACGCAGCGAAGTGGATCACATTGTCGATGTCAGGGTGCTCGGCGAAGACTTTGTCCAGAGCAGCTTCCTCGGTGATGTCGATCTCGTAGAAGACTGGCCGCTTCCCGCAGATGAGCTCGATGCGGTTGACGACTTCTTTTGAGGAATTGCGAAGGTTGTCGACTATGACGACTTTGTAGTCGGCTTCCAGCAGAGCGAGCGCCGTGAAGGAGCCAATGTAGCCCGTACCACTGCCAATTGTCAGTTATGTTAGATCTTCATTCCTTTTTGGAGGGGTGTTTACCCGGTGACGAGGACAGAACCAACGACCATGTTGACAGCGCGTTCGTGGATGAAATTGGACAGTGAGCTTTGTTGTGCCTGCTCTTTTCCGTCTCAACGATTCGAATTGGCGCCGGTGCTGCGAGGTTGTAGGAGTATTAAAAGTCGTGGCCACCTCGATGGTGCAACTCGACCGCCCACTTTTCGCGGGAGCGGTGAGCGGATCGCTTCCTGTTTCGGGCTTAGCGCAGAACGAGCATCAGCTCTCCCTTGCAGCGCCATAAAACGCCAGTCATTCAGCTCTCTGTTTCGCCTCCATTGATCCGGCTACCACCTCAGAAAGTGGCTGTTGCCACAGCGGAGCCTATGGTGGCGCCTAGTTGTGGGTTAAATTAAGCTTCAGATGTCCCTTGCCTAGCTCAAACGCTACAGTACTACCTCCTGTGGGTTACAATATGGAAGAGCCACCCAGACGGCACTTCTAAGCGGAGCTCTGGTGGTACGCTTTATTGCACAGACCAGAAATTCGGAGGCTAGGAAGTCACGAGAGCCGGAGGACTCAGCGATCGCGGACATGAATGAAGGACATCAAGACTGGATGGGACGTAGTGAGAAGGGCAGCTTAATGGACTCTGAGCCCGCCTCTACTTCTAGTTTTATATCTTGCTGTTATCGTGTGGGTTCCCACAAGGTTTTCGCTCGCATTCCATCTGCGTGTAGACGACGGCGCGGCATTTTGATCGTCATCGCGCGCGGCGAGGGTCTGAGTTGTGCGGCACAACTCACCCTGCTCTAGATATGCCAAAGCATGATCCATGTTTACCTCACGGTAGCCCCCTTCAGTGTGCTCACCGTGCAGAGACCGGCGGCGGTCTTGAGCTTAGCCACGCCCATCTTCTTGTCCGCTCCCTCTCCTGAGAGCTGTGGCACGCCCTCAACGTCGAATCCGACCTCTAGAGAGTCCGTTGTCGTAAACCCTGGCTGGATCATCTCCCAGATCTTCTTCTTCGGGTTCAGTACAGTCTCCGGCTCTCCTTCCCATCCTTCGAAATACACCCTGTCTCCAGCCTTGGAGTCCGCGGGCGGGTTCACAAGCTCAACCGGGCCCTTGTGGTTGTCCTCTCCTTCGGCAACTCGTGGTGATGCAGCGAGGACCATGGCGCAAGACTTGATGCCGCGCATGGTGACTGGCTTGAGGTTGCAGACTGCGACGATCTTGCGGTTCTGCATATCCTCGAGCGGGATCAGGCCGTTGAGACCTGAGCACACTGTCCGCACGACCTGCCCCTCGTACTCAGACGTGTTTTCTGTGCCTGGTGCATCGCCGCACGCGATGGTGCTGACGTATAATGAATCGGCGTTGGGGTGGGCCTCGGCTTTCAGAATGTGACCGACTCGGAGATCGATGAGGGCAGGTGACAGTGGCTTCTCGACTGGTGCTCTGCACTGAGTTAGAAGGCAATCGCAACCTCGCATGAAGAACTTACGCTTTCTGAGGCTTGGGCTGCTTCTCTTTCTTCTCCTTCTTCTTCGTCAGCGCACCTTCTGGAGGGGTTCCACCCGCGGCCTTCCCAGCGGCGGTCGAGGCCACAGCTTCGCCAGCTGCCTGCAGCTTGTCCTTTGCCTTCTCTTTTTTACTTTTCCTGCCTTCAGATGGTGTCGAAGTCCCCGTGAGAGTGCTAGGCGTAGCGGTTCCCGACGCAGCAGCACTTGTAGCCGCAGACTCCCTCTCCTTCTTCTTGCGCTCCTTCTCCGCCTTCGCGTCTACCGGCTTGATCTTGAACATGACATTGTCAGGGTCGACGCTGACCTTCTCATCCAGCTTCAGGCCGAACACGGGCGAGTTCTGCACGAAGTCGACGTGTCGGACAATGTGATGGTAACCCTGCTCTCCGGTCCTCTCCTCCGGACTCCATTTCGATACCTCGGGCGCAAGCTTCTGGTAGAGTGCAATGTCAGCGACCGACGGTTTCGCGCCGAGGACGGTAGTCCGGCTCGATAGGTGCGTGTTCAGCGAGGACAGCCTCTCGGCGGACTTCGCGGCATCTTCGCCCGGAGAGACGATGTGTTCAGCGGTTATGAGCCACTGGCCAATATCGGCCTTCTCGGCATCGGTGTAGGTGGCGGAGGGGAAGAGTGCCTGGGAGGCCTTGATCGCGTCGGTTTCGGCGGCTGCGTTGTTCGGCGCGTGCGTCTTGAGGAAGGCGAGGAAGCTCTCGTCGAGGGGGAAGGTGGCCATGACGGGCAGCGTGGGTCGGAAGAAGTTGACCAGCAGCGGTTGCAGTGGGGTAAAGAAAGCTGGCTGGTGATTGTTTGATGCAGTAGTTATGCGTTGCAGCGGCCCAAGTCTTGCACGCCGGGGTCGCACGACTCGGAAGGGACTTGGGCGGGAGAATTGGAGAAGTCTGGTGCGGGAGGCAGGCAGGGCGGCGGAGGGATTTTGAATATGCATGGCCAACGTGACTCAATGCAGGTCAAAATTCACTGAGGGGCACAGGTCGGCGCCACACCACGCCACGCGCACAGGCCATCTGCTGCATGCCTTAATTGGCGAGCTCAGACGACTGGCATCTCAGGCGGGCCGAGACTGTCGTGATGTGATTGCTCAGAACACCATTGCTAGGCTCCTCCTGCATGATTGTGCCTTTCTACGAGCGTGTTAGGGCGCCGTGACGCCACTCGTTTGCTGCCTGCAGGAAGTGCCCCGCGTCGCGTACTTCAAAAGCTCCAACCTCCGCGACTCCTCCCACCACACCCTTCCACCTGAACAATTACCTTCCATCATGGCGGCAGAGAACTCTCCAGACTGCCCGCCCACGGCGAAGAGGTTCATCCCTCTAGGTGCGTCTCACTTTCGGCCTGAGTTGCTCCGGCTAACGCGCCCCGCCAGAGAACAACCCCGAGGTCATGTCCTCGCTGGTCCACAAGCTAGGCCTCTCCAAGAAGCTCGCATTCCACGATGTTTTCAGTATCGACGAGCCGGAGCTGCTTGCCTTTGTCCCGCGTCCCGCCTATGCTCTCCTCCTCATCTTCCCCGTGAGTGAGACATACGAAAAGTTCCGCGTTCAGGAAGACAAAGACAAGCCCGAGTACGAAGGCCACGGCCCCGACGAGGAAGTCGTGTGGTATAAGCAGACCATTGGAAATGCTTGCGGCCTGATCGGCCTGCTTCATGGTGTCTCGAATGGCGCAGTACGCACACACATCGGTTAGTAGACCTACACGTTGCTCTACCGAGCACTGACACTTGCGCTAGAACCCAACTCGAGCCTGTCTAAGCTGCTAAGCGATGCGATACCTCTCAAACCTGCCCAGCGGGCGGACCTGCTATACGAATCCGAAGCTCTTGAGAGCGCCCACCAGACTGCCGCTGCTGGAGGCGATACTGCCGCCCCAGCCGCCGAGGACAAGGTCGACTTGCACTACGTTTGCTTTGTGAAATCGCAAAACAACCGTCTGTGGGAGATGGATGGCAGGCGCAAAGGACCTCTCGACCGTGGCGAGCTCTCTGCGGACGAGGATGTGCTCAGTGACAAAGCGCTCAATCTCGGCGTTCGCAGCTTCCTCAAGCGCGAGGCAGAGGCTGGAGGAGGAGATCTTCGGTTCTCGCTGATCGTCCTCGCTGAGTCTCTCGACTGAGCGACCCACGCTGCTCTCTCGACGTGTCTGGGATGCGCCTACGTCAGAAGCTCCTGCAGATGATCATCAGAACAGGAGAAACCGTGTCCGGAGCTGCGCACTTCTCGGACGCATCTGTCTGCCGCGCGGCAAAGCGGCAATCTGGTCCCAGCTCGCGGGTATGATGAGGTCGCCATTTCCATGGCTTTTGCGCCGAAAGCGGAAAAGGTGTCAGTCCAAAAATGAATAATCAGGGGCATCTTTTGGCGAATGGGAGTGATGAGAATACTAACACCTATCTCTCGATCGCGCCAGAAGAGCCCATGCCGGGGACCGATAAACGAATGTCGCAATAGACGCCACCTGAATGTTGAAGACGTCCCTGTTGAACCTCCATCCGCGACTTGCGAGCCTCGTGGGGAGATTAGTTGTGCATACCAGGTCGTTGGAAATTGCCAACTGTCGTACGCCGCGCATTTGTTTGACCTGTTTTCAGCATCACCAACCACGAGAATCTCGCTGAACAGCGGGTGCTAACCCTCAGGAATCCGCATTGCGCCCATTTCATCCGAGACACGACGGAGATGCGGGTGTAGGACCGACTTCGAACGCCAACTTCCATGTACCAATTGACCCATCCTCCACACAACCTTCTTAAGGCCTCCCGTTTCCCGAGAGCCATTGCGCCATTGTCTATAAATGAGCAGCCGAGAGGAACCAACATGTGGGATACTGAAAAGAGAAGTCTGCGGAACCGTCTCCCTTATTTTTATATCTCTGCCTCGTGCAGCTGCTGCCCTCCAGTTCTCCTCTTCCTTGTCAGCCTGTTCTCGTCCCATGCTGCTTCCTCGCCTGTACCCGGGCTTTCCCATCACAACGGCTCGGCATCAACCAGACTGTACACCCTCAATAGAACGTTCAACATCAGACTGGCGGCGACACTATGCGCGGCCGTCAGCGTGATGGCTTCTTTTCTTGCCTTTTACTGGTTTTATCGGATGGAGAAGCGCTTTCGCCACAAGTGAGTCTAACGCACTCAGCACCTAAGGCAATTACGTTCTTAACAATTAGTCCAGGTTGATCATGCTTCTCATTTACGGAGACTTGATGAAGGCAACGTGGCTGCTCATTTTTGCCGTCGTGTCGATCACGAGAGGGACCGTTCGAACGGAGTCCGGTTTTTGTCAGTCAAGTGGGTTCTTCGTGCAATATGGCACTGAGACAAGCGGTCAGTGTCAACGCCCTTGCAGAAAGGCATCTGCTGACATACCAACGTTTCAGATTACGCTGTCCTGGTCATTGGCATCCACAGTGCTATCCAGGTGTTCCGTCCTTCGAATTTGGTTCGCTCGGATGGACTGTATCCATATCGCTACTTCGTCTACATCGGCGCACTTCTAGTCCCTGCGACCATGGCTGGCCTCGCCTTTATTAATCCTCGCTGGGGCTACGTGTCCCAAGGAGCCTTTTGTTCCCTTCCCCGTCGTCCGTTCTGGTACCGTTTGGCACTGGCCTGGATCCCTCGTTACGCCATCGCCATCATCATTCTTGGTCTAGCCGGCGCAATCTACGCTCATGTTGGCTTCGAATTTCGCTCTTTTACAGAGACCACTAGGCCCTCCTTCGCCACCGCTACACCGATACTATCGGCGGGCGAGATGGAGGAAGGCGCAACCCCTGACATGTCAGAGCCGCCCAATAACCCCCACCGCAGAGGCTCGTCCGTAGTCTCCTTTACCGGTACCCCACGTCGAGCTTCAATCGTAGTATCGCTAGGGGAAACGACGAGTCCACGCTCGGAATGCCCGGCTCCCCGTCGCTCGCACTCAGTCCCGAATATCTCGGGAGGTATCGACGGCAACCGCATCCTCCCGCCCTTTCCTTTACAGGCATGCGGCACGGCAGCACACGGCAATCCAGCCTTACTAGAAAATAGTTGCAACAACTCCGGCAACACTTCGCCAATGAGCAACTGTCCAACCGCGCACGTCAACCGGCAAATCGAGAGACAGAGAGCTCACATCCACAGACAGCTGCGTCTTCTGTTCATCTACCCTATCGTCTATATTCTGATGTGGATCGTACCGTTCGTCAGCCACTGTATGATGTATTACGACAAGTGGGCTGCGCATCCGGTGTACGGACTCTCCCTCGCAAGCACCATCTGCATCGCACTCATGGGAGCTGTCGACTGTCTGATCTTCTCTCTACGTGAGCGGCCGTGGCGGTATATTCCTTCGTCAGATGGCACCTTCCTCGGGTCCCTCGTATATTGGCGTACATATAGCCAGAGCAGCCTGAACGGTGCACCGACAGGCGGACACGCCCGCCCCTCGGGGACGCTGCAACGCCCTATATCCAACGCGAATCCGGAGACGCCATCCGGGGGCGTGATGTCCCAACCGAGCTTTACGAGGAGCGTGGCCCGGGTCGGCAGAACTATGCGAACGGGCGGGAGCAGCGACCATGCGAAAGAAGCGGCAGAGATGGCGCGCACAAGGCTGGAGATGGAGAAGCAGGATCGCAGGAGGGCGGCGAGCACGACTAGAGACGGTGGAGAGAGGGCCGGCAGGAGTAATACGAGACTGGACGTCATTGAAAGTCCCGGTGATGAGATCGAGGGTTTTGAGGTTGGTGAGGAAGCGAGTGCACGCCAGAACAGCGCTGAGGCAGCCGAGAGTGAGAAAGAGAGGGAGGATAGTGACGCTGCGCCCGAAGGGATCAGTATCAGCGACTATGGTGATGATAGTAGGCGGCAGAGCAGGACGGGCAGAACTAGGGCTGCAGAAGGGGACAAGACGAGTGGATCGACTTGGGAGTAAGCCACTGGCATTGTTACGGCCGCTATCGCAGCATTTGGTCGGCTATTTCGGTTATCATGTATGGCGTTGTGGGCTGTTTCATGCTTTAGCTATTGCATCGCATCCGACCTGCCTGCGGAGCTGGCGAGCTCTCATTTAATATCTAATCCTCTTTCTATCCCAGTGTCCCTATCAGAACTTCTTAAAAGGTACCAACATCCACTACTCCACCTTCCTTCAAGGGCAGGAATACCTTCTCCCACAGCTCGCTCGCCTCGCCTAAGTGATATGTCAGGCTCACGTTTTGCATCCCCGCTTCAGGCCCTCCCTGCATGGTTTCGAGCTGGGAGATGATGCTTTCAAGACCGAGCGCTTTACCAGTGGCTTGCGTGTTGCCCGCTTCGAGGGCGACGTGCACGATGTGGATATGGAAGTGGTGGTAAGTGGGCTGGTCTGGGGACAAGTCAGACGATGGATGAGCATATGAGAGGTATGGGCTGGGGGCATACAGTGTACGTAAAGCTTCAACTGATCCCTGTCAATGTCGGGATACAGCTTCACAGTGCTGTCGAGGAAGTGGTTCCGCATATGTTTGAGCCATTCGATATTGCTTTTCTTGAGGTCTCGCACGCTCCATATATCTCTGCGCTCCACGAGGCCGAGGAGATGCAGGCCGGGCAGAGTCTTCCGGTCCCAATTCAGATCGGGCAGTAGGAGGAAGCCTTCGTCCCCGTGCTCGCGGTATATCACGTCTTCTTGCTCTGTCCGGCCCTCGATGATGTTAAATACCCAGTTCAGCGTTCCCTTTTCGCGCTGCCGTTGGATCCACGGCCGTATGTAGGAGGAGTAGACTTCGGGCGTTTCGCTCACCACCCGCAATCCTTGGGCGGAGTACTTCTTAGCATGCTTCTCCGTACACGGATAGATGAGGTTGAGCTTGAAATCCGGCGGCGTTTCTGCCTGCCCTGTAGAGTCCGGATTGGAGTTGGCGAGAAACCACGAGTAGATGTCGTTTGCGCCGAGGTTCTTGATCTTGGTGAGGGAAGTCGGAAAGGAGGCTAGGTGGTCATGGTCTGCGGCAAAAGCGGCGCGCTCTGCTATGAGAACCGCGGGCTGAGAGTCAATTTCGCCCAGGAGGGATATTCGACGTCCGGCTTGGTCTTGGTTTAGGAGACGGGTGAGTTTGAAGCGGGGGATGTAGGCCTCTACGCGGGCGGCGACTTCGGGGGGTGTTGTGGATGTCATCGTGGGGGCGTGGAATATGGATAGTAGGGGGACCAGGCTGGAGAAATGGTTAGCTTGTAGAGTTGGGGTAGAAGCTGAATACGAAAATTGTACGTCGCCGGGGTTGGAGCTATCCGAAGCCCAACGGACCGAATGAATGAAATTCCACACAAAATGACTAAACAGGGCTATTATGAGAAATGATTAGGAAAACACACCGTAAAGGACGCGTTAGGCTAGGTGAATGGTTATACAAGCCTGAGCAATTTTTGAAATGTTCTCATAGACTACGTGCCGGGCGCATTTTAGATTCTGGATTATAGACCGACTTACAAGCGACTGTATTCAGAACTCGTTCCCCGTGCCGAAGACTGGACTCTTTTTGCGGTTGCGAAAGAGGAGAGTGAAAGTGGATTTCCACGGTCACATGCTGACGCGAATAGCGCGTGTCTCCTAGCCAACCAGGGTAGGCTCGATCCGGCGCCGCCAAGCCGCCTCCCTTGCCTAATGAGGTCACGTCTCCAGCCTCACCCCACGATCACCATCTCATCAACCACAACCAGCGCCTTGGATAACTGCTCATCTACCTATAGCATCGATTGAGCATCACTTACAATGCCGCCGAAACGCCGCAGCACAGGCGCAACGCCGAAATCACAGCAATCGACTCTCGCTTTCCATGGCGCATCCAACAAAGTCACCAAGCCCGGCACACGAGCGTCAAGCGCAAAGAAGAGCCTCCTTACTGAGTCAGCCAAGAAGGATGCGAAGCCGGATTTTGCGGTGGTAGATACGCGGGAAGAGGACGAGCCTACCACTGCGGAGGCGGCTATCATCGAGCAGACGGAGCAGGTGCAGCTGCAGACGCAGAGCACACCCGAGGAGGATGAAGCTAGGCGCATTACGGATGCTAGAATAAAGAAGTACTGGGCGGCGAAGGAGAGGGAGAGGCTGGCGCCACGGGTACATCAGAATGATTTGAGCCTGCACGAGAAGATCCTGAGGGAGTTTGATATGAGCGGGCACTACGGGGTAAGCATCTGAACAACCACTCTTCAGGATTTATAGCGACATGTGCTAACACGGGTTGCCATATAGCCCTGCACCGGCATCGCTCGACTAAAGCGCTGGAAGCGAGCGCACCGGCTCGATCTCAACCCGCCCATCGAAGTGCTGGCCGTGCTGCTGAAAGAGCAGGAAGGGAAGGACAAGCTGACGGTTCAGAGATCGCGCGTCGATGAGCTGCTGAACGCCCATGCAGAGAATGACCTATAAGAGCTCGGCGCTCAGGTGGACTAGGCAAGTTCCGCTGTCCGACCCGTGGCATCCGGCGCGCATCTCGGAGAGCGTCTTCATGTTGCGATTGCACAAATCAAGTGGCGGGTTTCTGAGCTAGGAGTCTGGAGTGCTTGGAAAGAGATATCGGAATCACATTGCTTATTTCCACGTCCATTTGCCTGATCAACGAGCTGCGTATACGATTTTAGCACGACGATCAGAGAATCTAACCTACTCTCACGGACAGCAAGCATGCGTCGGTCTTAGCCTGTGCCTGCACCTCGGACTGAACGTTTTCCTCGAGCCCTCATTACGTTGCTCGCCCAGACTTCTCTTCTTGGAACGCCCAAGGAAATACTTTATCGAGTGAACGGGATTCTTCAACTGCGGCTTGTACCCGTGCAGGCAGTGAATCTGGCAAAGCCCCTAGATAAGAGATGTAAGAAATGCTGACCTTGCAGTGCTATTTTCTATTGTCTGCTACCCCACCACTGCCACCACGTCGCCGTGGGCTATTGGTGTCGCTACACTGCCTCTCATAAGTGGACGCAATCCCATTCGCTTACTGTAGTCTAGCAGGGCTACATCATCGCAGAGTGCTGTGGTGGGTTGATTTGTAGCGTGCAGGAGAATAAACAGCCAATGCAGCACAAGCGCAGGAATTAATCTAGCGGAAGCCAGGGTGTGGCAGTCGGTTCCTCGGCACAGACCACGGCGGGCATGTCGACATCTGGAGACCGAACATGTCGCGCTTCTCCCCACGACCTCGGACGGGCACGTTCGGGGTCAGGAGACGGCAAGACGCGCCTGAATGCAGCCGGAGCGCGCTCAAACACGGGGGCAGAGAAGATGCAAGGAGCGCGGGCGTGAAACGGGCGCGATGATGGGCAATCCGTTTGACTGCGGTGGGACGGTTGAGGCCGCGGGGCTTGAATCTCGATGCGCTTGGACGCCTGGGCTGGCTGGGCTGGCTGGTGGTGGAGTGGTGGGTGGCGAACGGCGGTGGTGCGTGCGCAGTGTGGGGTAGCGCCTTGTGGACCACTACGGCCAGGCCAGACTACCAGACTACGCTGCGTGGAAGTCGTCTGGATCCGCACCCGAAGGGCCCCCGCCGACGGCGCGAACCCCAGCTGTCGGCGGCATCGCAGCCGTGAAAGAGCTGGAAACGGGCCCCTGACGTCGCTGTCGTTGCGCACAAACACCCGCTGCCTCGCTCGCTTGGCCCAGCGCAGCGTGGATATCGATAAGGACGCGATAAGGAAGCGTAAGGAAGCGAAGGACGCGTGCGCACCTACTGCGCCGTCGTTGAAGCGCTGGCCGTCGACGAAGGGACTATTTTTGAGCCTACGGGCCTGCGCCAGCGTGCTCGCGGCCAACCGAAGAGCGCCGTCTGCACCGGCTGCATACGGCGTGCAGGAGCTCGCACCGTACGGGCTGGTTTAACGGCGCCTTGTTCTAAAAGTGCCGGGGTGCGGGCGATAGCCACAGCGGGGGGCCCACTAGAGCATTCCCGCCGCGCTTGTATCACCACCACCACCACCCCCATCGCTGCTCGATTCCTCCTCCTCCTCCCTCGGATCACACCAATTCACCCTTCGCTCCGCCGCTCCTCACCCGCAATGCCCACCGTGCGCCGCGCCGTCGCACCCGTCATCGTCGCCCTTTGAACCCGCCGCTTCCCAATCGGGCCCGCCCCGGACTGCCCTTCCTCAAACGCTCGCGTGCTGATCAACTCAGCATCTCGAAGCTTGAAACGATTCGTGCCGAGTAGGCCCCCCCGGCCCTGATCTGGTATGCCATCACCTCAATGCCTCTCCCGCTGCGGCGTGCTTATCAATTGTCGTAGACAGCAGCCGTCGCCGTCACTCCACTGTACCGTGATACGCTTCACCCCGCATTGAGCAAATCACCCAGCAGTGGCATGTCCATCTGTCCTGCTGGACGCAGACGCCGGTAGCCGCTCACCCTCGGACCTGCCGCGCTTTTGGACGGCTGCTTCTTAACTAGCGCAGTGCTACCGTCCGAAAGCGCATCCTACCCCATCGGCGAATCCCACCTCCCCTACGAAGCGCACCAATTCGCGTTGCGTGCCTTCAACTGCACCTCGCCTGGACAGCCAGCACTCGCAACCATGGCAGCTGTCGTCGCAAGGGCGCCGCCCATGCCCGGCCGCTCGTCGACGCCCCCGCCGCATCTCACGCTCAACACGTCCTCCCGCGGAACGCCTGCTGCGGTCCCAAACAAGCACATTCCGGTGTGCTCGCCAGGCCCTGTGCCCGCCCGCGGATTAGAAACCCCTCCCGCGTCGCCGCCGTCCAAGGATAGCGCCCTCGAGACGTCGTCTATCACGTATCCGCCCACTGCATACTGCGAAGAGTACCTGAATGATCCGCCGCTGTTCACCATCACAGCGCAGAGGCTATCACAGGCTTTGGAGCACATGGCGACGCAGCCATTGCCCAACCCGGAGCAAGTCTTCCCATGGCTGCACGGACTGCACGCCGATAACCAGATTCAGCTCGCCTTCTTCACGAATCGGCGGAAGAGCGTCCGGAAGGTGCCACGATGCATCCGCAGCATTACGGTGGTCAAGACGGGCGGAGACTTGTCGTCGTCGAAGCTGAAGGGCGCCATTGCGCCCGAGGAGCTGCTACCGCCGTCTTCTGACGAGCATGACTTTCTCGAGTGCGATCCCAAGGATGGATTCTCAGTCCGTAACTTCCAGATCCAGGCTTGCAAGCTGGCTATGGTGTCGGACATCATAGTCTACGGTGACGAGAAGACTAGCCCGAGCGAGACTATCGCCCTCGCAAAGCGCATCTCTAAAGCACAGAGGCAGTACGAACTGAGCCATGGATTTCCGCGCTGCCTGTTCAACACCTTTATGCTATCTGGTGAGTGCCACATTGGCAGCCAATGGGCAGTGCTGACGCCTGCAGATTCATTCAACTATGTCCAAGCGCACTACCCCGAGCTAATCGCAGTAGACACGACGGGAGCCATGACGGGCAAGGTTGTCGATTTCTGTATGTCGCACACCCCCTTGCCTATTCCATATCTAACATGTCACAGTCTACTGGGAGCGATATGAGATGTGCGCCATGTCGAAGGCTTCGGAGATTAGCGCCAATGTATTTCTGGGACCCACACCAGATCCGGTCTTGGACTCTGGGTGCTTGAGCGAGCAGGCTTTTGACGTCCTCGTCGAAGCGAGCGATCTCGCCCATGTGCCGGATTCAGTATCGCTACGAAAGCTTCGCAACGCTCTGGAGAAGGCGGATCGCAAGGGCCCTCTTCACATGGAGTTCCCGTCGTCAGGGAGCATTATGCCGCCTTCGTGGTCGCACGCCGAAGTGGATGGCCTCATGGACATGTGCAAGTGGATGTACGAATTGGCGAACCCGCACGAGGTCACGCGAAGCAAGCGGAAGAAGGGCGAGGATGACGAAGCCATCGAGTTGGATGACATGGTTCAGCCGCGCAAGCTTCTTATCCACTGCACGGACGGCTACACTGAGACATCCTTGCTCGGTCTTGCATACTTCATGTACGCTGAGGGCCTCCCAGCGCACGATGCGTGGGTGCAGCTGCATCGCGACAAGGGTCGCAACTTCTTTGCCTATCCAACAGACGTGGCTCTTTTGACCCAAATCCAGCCGCGCATTCTGCAAGAGTCTCCGCAATTTGACGGCAGCGTGTTTCACATCAACGAACCACAGTGGCTGACGCGTATCGACGGGAGCTTGCCCAGCCGAATTCTCCCTTACATGTACCTTGGGAACCTGGGTCACGCAAACAACCCGGAGCTGCTTCGCGAGTTGGGTATCACGCGAATCCTAAGTGTTGGAGAGACACTGAGCTGGTCGGAAGATGTAAAGCAGCAGCTGAATTGGCCTACGGAGCTTCTGATGATGGTCGACCGCGTCCAGGATAATGGCGTAGACCCTCTTTGGGACGAGTTTGGCCGATGTCTGCAGTTTATAGGTAGGCGCCTCTTCAGCACTTTGTCTTCACGCTAACATTCGGTAGAAGCCGGGAAGCGAGACGGAGGAGCCACGCTTGTGCATTGCCGAGTCGGCGTCTCCCGGTCAGCAACCATCTGCATTGCGGAGGTCATGAATGAGCTGGGCCTCTCATTCCCGCGTGCGTACTGCTTTGTCCGTGCGAGGCGGCTCAACGTCATCATCCAGCCTCACCTTCGATTCACGTACGAACTCCTCAAGTGGGAAGAGTACCAGCGTCAGCGACGCAACGAGCCTCTTCGCCGCGAGCTCGAGTGGGCCACCATCGCGCGCGAGATTGCGCTCATGAACAAGCCCTACTCGGCAAGATAAACGCCCACCTATCCTCCACACATGATATTTACAGGAACACGATTTACGACAGTATGACTCGGTAATATAACGACCCGGAACCAGATCTATCAGCCAGGATACGAATGCCTCTGTTTACGACATGGGATGAGCTGTCTACGGCGTTTGGATCTGGCTCCGTTGAATTCATGGGTGGCTACCTGTCGGGTTCAAAACCTACGGATGGGATCTTCGGGCTTGTTTGTGTGTTTTCGATTTAAGCATCTGTTTCTTGTTTTCTCTGCTTTGATGCTGGTCGCCTTTCCGTATTTGCTGTGTTTCGGACGCGTGGCAACCGTGGGGCGGTGGCCGTTTTGCGTCCCTTCTTCTGGATGTCGACCGGGTCCGGATTTCGATGGGGAAATCAGCTGGGGACATCTGTTTCCTTTCTTTCAAGATTTGTATTACTTCTGGAGTTACAGCTCTGGCCTCCATCCGGAGTGCTTCGAATTCAAGGAACAGGACTCGACGGCAGTGGCGGTGGAGACACATACGTGGTATATATGCAATGCGGGCGTAAGGCCTTTTGACTGTCTTGGTCTTGGTGTTCTTAGAAGTGACGGTCAGCGCTCGACTAGTCTTGTCCTTTCACGAGAGCGAAGGTAAGCCCCGCTCCCGCTCTACTAAGCCGCCACTAAGTATCAAGCAGGAAGATCACTCAAAGCGTCGGTAGGATGTGTTTGAGCTGTTCAACACTTTGTTCCTGCAGTTCGTCTTGCCTCGGAGTTTTTATTCTTCGAACTTCCATATACGCATTTGGTCATGCCTACTATTGATCAAACACGACTGCGAAAGGCGAGAAGCCAAGTACAAGTAGCAAGCAATAGACGCCCTTGGCGAGATGATGTCCCACTAGCAAAGTAAGCTTAAAGGCGTGGGGTATATGTAGTGACTAGTAAGCAGTAACCTGAGTAGGGCTAACACTGCGAATGGTAGCGCTGCAGCTAGATCACAAAGGTCAGATTCTCCAAGCTTCAGGCCTCCCATATCTGACAAGTACATAAAACCCAAATCATACCGGTAGACAGACATGAGCATAATTTGCTAGTCCTCGCGACACTAAGACTGAGAATCATTCAGCATGCGGTTGCTTCCCATCCTTTTCGTATCCGCAGCATTGGCTACGGCGTGGTATGAAAAAGACGCAAGTACGGGGATACTCAAAGAGCTGGGACCGAAGCTTTCTCAAGGTGCACGAGTGGTGTTTCAAGGAGAAGAGGGCTTTGAAGAGAGGATTAAGAGACGGCAGGGCTGGGAAGCGCCAGATTTTAGGGCTATCGTGGATGTGAAGAGTGAGGAGGATGTGCAGGAGACCGTATGCGTCCCCTCCCTTGTTCAACTATTCCCTTCCCCATTACCATGATTCCTAACCCAAACCAGATCCGATACGCAACCCGCCACAATATCCCTTTCCTAGCAGTGTCTACCGGCCATGGCCAGTCCGCTTCTCTCTCGAAAGTGCAAGACGGAATCATGATCAATATGCGCGGGTTAAACGCAATTAGTATTTCGGACGATGCGACGTATGCAACAGTCGGAGGCGGAATCAAGGGGAAAGAAGTCATCGACCACCTATGGGCCCACGGCAAGCAAACCGTAACCGGCGTCTGCGAATGCGTGAGCCTCAGCGGCGTCGCGCTCGGCGGCGGCCACGGCATCTTGCAAGGCCACCACGGCCTGCTGTCCGACCAGATCCTCTCCTTGCGCCTCGTCCTCGCCAACGGCTCCGCAATCACGGTTTCCGAGACCGAGAACACAGAGCTCTTCTGGGCGCTGCGCGGCGCGGGGCATAACTTCGGCGTCGTCACTGAGCTCAAGTACAGGATCTATGGAATTGACCAGTATCCTGGCGGGGAGACGTGGAGCTACGAAGCGCTCACGTATCCGGCGACGCGCGAGAATGTTCGCGCAGTGTATAGCATTGCGAAGGGTCAGATGGACACCCAGCTCGAGGGCATGATGATATACGGCATGGTAACGCTGAACCCGCAAGTCTCCAACGAACCCATCCTCATGCACCACGTCGCGCTCAACGGGCCCCTCGCCAACCTCTCCGCATGGACGAAACCATACCATGACCTAGCCCCCGCGGCCGTAGCAAAAGAAGAAGGCACCTTCCTCGACCTGCCGCGCTTCTTCCAAATCGAGGACCGCGGCCCCGCCTGCAACGCAGCCGCGCACCTGCCCGGCACGGGGAAGGTCCGCGTCCCCGTCGACATACCGACCTACAACGTCGACGCCCTCGTCGCCGCCGTCGACAAGTTCGTCCAGGTACGGACCAGCAATCCCGAGTTCGCCGGCAGCTTCATGGTCATCGAGCAGTACTCGACCAAGGGCGTGCGCAGCATCGACCCCGCGGTGTCCGTCTTCCCTTCCCGCCAGGACAAGCTGCTTCTCGCGCCCGAGATATTCTACCCCTCCCTGGACGCCGAGACCGGGGAACAGAATCGCGCATTGCACGAGCTAGCGGTGCAGTCGGGCGAGGAGATTAAGAGGTTATTGGTGCAAGGGGCGAAGGAGCAGGGTGGCGGGTCGCATTCGTATGTTAATTATGCGTATGGTGGGGAGACGCTGGAGGAGGTGTATGGGAAGGAGGGGTTGGGGCGGTTGAGGAAGCTGAAGAGGGAGTTTGATCCGCGGAATAGGTTTGGGTACTATGTGCCGGTTGAGCCGGCGGAGGAGACTGAGGGGCACGATGAGCTGTAGTGGGTGGAGCAGGAAGAGGAAAGACGGCGTGAAGAAGGAGAAGCGGATGGCATCACGAACGAAAGGCAAAAGATCTGATCCACCACCGAACATCATCCATTTATCTATCTACTCCTCCACTCTCCCTCCACCCCTCTCCTCGCACTCTAGCGATGCTGCTTCTTACTCTGGCGCTTACTGCGGCTGCTTGGTATTGGACATGGGACCTCACATCATATTCACATCACGCAGAGGCACAGAGATGGCACCAACTTATCCATTCCACTCTATCTACCGCGAAGGAGCTGCGGCGGGCAGCCGATGCGTCTCAAGCGCACTATGTGCGAGAGGCAGCGTCCTCGTCCTTTTCCTTGCCCTTGTCGGGCGAGGTCATGTAGTCCTCAAGGACTACGGTATTCCCGCTGACGCTGAGCACGCCGCTAGCCTTCGCTTCCTTCCCTTCTCCTCCCTTCTGCTCCTCCGCAGAGCGAGCCTTGCGCTTGGTCTGCTCGCGGCGGGCACCTCTGCAGCAGCGGACGGGAACTGGTGTTGCATTACGCGCCGCTGCGCCGGAGTGAGGTTACCTAGATCCTCGAGGAAGTTCTGGTTCTTCTACGTCGCCCACGGAGAGTCCTCGGGCACGGCGGCCTCCTTGAAGTCGGGCGCCTTGGTGAAAACCCTGCCGTCGCGCTGGAATCGCGGCACATCGCTGTTGTAGCCGGATTTCGCGTCGTCGGGAGAGTATTGCTGGAGCTTGCCGGCCTTTCGTGCCTTGGCGTACCAGTCCTTGTCAGCCCACCGTCGTTCCAACCCGTCGAGGAGCCACTCGCGCCAAAAGCAGCACCCTTCATTGGGACAGCGGAGCTTTAGGTTGGGATCGAACGTGAACGGGCAGAGGCCGAGATCGAACTCGCTGAGCGCATTGTACACGTTGACGGGAAGTGGTCCGTCGCCGTACTTCTTGTGTACATGGGGCTTGAGACCGAGATCTGCGGGCGGGCGCGACTTCGGATTCACGGCCTCCCATCTCGAAGGACGCTTCGAGATCTCATCCGTGATCTGAGGACGGTTGGGGTTTGCGGGTGGAGCCTGGGCAGGCGCAGGACGAGCCATGGCCGGCTGCTGAGCAGTCTGCGGCGGCGTGGGTCGAGTGTTCTGCTGCCGAGGACGGCCAGCCGGGACGCCGCACTTTGCCTGAGCAGTCTGCTGAGGAGACGGACGTGTCTGCGGTGGGGCGGGACCTGGCGCCTCTTGCTCCTGTGCCGCGTTGTGCTTCTTACCGCGTCGGCCACGGCGGGTGCGCTTCTTGGGGCCATCCGTGGGCTTCGGCTCGTCCTCGTCGTCCGAGTTGAAGCCCCAAGGCGTCTGTTCTTTCGAGAAGAGAGGACTCGGAGTCCGACTGGCATACAGCGGGAATCCACCCGGGCCTTCAGGAAGCGGCTGGCTAAACGCTCCAGTAGAGGCAGGCGGAGGTGACCCAAAGGCACTGGAGACTGTCGCCGGGGGCGCAGGCGCAGGCGCGTACGCGCACGGCGGGGCGACACTCTGTCCGTACTGATGGTAGTAGGACGAGTAGCTACCGGCCGAGAAGTGCAGAGACTGCCGGCTTGCCTCGAGTGCTTCGTGACGAGACACGAGCGCGTCATAGCTGGGCTTGAGCAGCTGCCAGCGAGCGCTGATGTCTGGGAAGTGCGGGTATAGGCAGAACGCGGCGTCTGGCCTATATGGGGGGAGAGCGGGGTCGTTGAGGTTAACGTACGCTTCAGTCCGCACAACTGTGGTCAAAGCGAGGTTGTACGCCCGCGGCCGCTCCTCGTCCCGCAGCGGATATATATCTGTTGGGCCACCAGGATCTGGCGGCCGAGCTTGAGGGGTTGCCCCGGGAATGTTGGAAACCATTGCCTCGAAACGTCAGCTGCCGTAGAAGAAGTTGAGGGGGGGCGTACCAGAGCAGTGTGTGGTGTTGAAGAGAAAGCGGGAGGCGACGAAAACTCTTATATAGCGGAGCTTTGGCTGACTCAGCGACGGTGAAGGTGACTCTCACGGTGTGGAATTCTCCGGATAGAACGACGTGCACAACAGCTACCCTAGAGGCCTTCGCGGGTACGTACAATAGGACAGCTAATCTTGCTTACTTGTACGGCGAGCCCTTAGATCCGGAGAATTCCCTGCCGCAAGAGGGTGACAGTGGGACAAGGTGAGTGGGACAGGCGCTCGCACACCGCTCGGTCTCCTCTCTCACTTTGCGGGACCACGCCGACTTACTCTCTCCCCGATCATGAGACCGTCGTCGGGAGCGTTATTGCACGGGTTGGCTCGATTTCTCACCGCGGAGACGTTCTTGTTCACATGCGGATTTATAGTGGCGAGTGGAGGAACAAGGCGACGAGGGAGTGGTGGCCGGTGACTATATTTGACAGTTTTGAACCGTCCACTAGGAAGATGCGACGCATATAAATATAATGTAGCGGTAGAATGAATATGAACTGTATATGGACTTGAATGAGACGTGCGATACTTGCGCTTGTAACCTATTTTGCAAGACTGAAGAATGGCTCCAGTGGTGCCATGATACGAACGACACTTTCCCTTCACTAATCCAGGACACGAATACGAATCTATTGTGCTTACGGACACTCCAAGCAGCGTCGTGAGTAGCCCTACCTTGAGTCTAACCTACTTGGCTATGCATATGGAGGGTGACACATTCAAGTACTACGGGTCGACAGAGAAAGGCTGACACGATAGGCTCGAGCGCGAGAGTTTGCATGTGGAAATGGGCTAGAAGTGGTGCGAAGCAGGGCTTGTTACCTTGGGAGTCGGTTAGCATTTGCGCTGCGCGACAACGGTTGGAAGTGGAATCGGGAAGACGGTGGAGGGACGCCAGTGCGCATGCCCTCTACTAGGTATCTAGGCTTCGAGCTGCACCGGGTGACGTCGACCAGGATGCAAGTCGGAATCACTCGTTGGAGTGACACTTGCAGCAGTAGAGCATGAGAAAATGAAGACGCATCAGGTGGAAGAAGCCTCGAAGAGACCGCTTTGCCGCTATGCTCCGCGAATCGAGGCTGAGTACAGCCAGGATCAGCTATGCGATGTGGGCGGGTTGGATGCTGGAGGCATGGGAGGGCCGGACGCGAAAAGCTTACTACACGCTGTCCGTCCAGGTCGGATCGAAGAGTCTGAGACAAGTTGCCGGCAAGAGTGACGCGTAATGGACGGCCTCCGGAGGTGAAGCTCCTACTGTAGACCCCTCCATTTCCATTGCGCAAATGCTGCTAGTGCCACTTTCCTTCTGTTACGAGGGTTGCAGACGTCTTATGACTATGATGGGCGTCTGGCTTCGGTCGTCTGGCCCTTCTTGAAGTTTCGTCGAAAGCGGTATCGAAGAAACCGAGTTAGCTGCAATGAAGCCATAGATGCGCTCTCAGCAAAGGAGATCCATGTGTAGGGGCGCGGAAGCGTGGTATATCATTCCGAAGTCGTGTTCTCACTACTGGACCACTCAAGGCGGGAGTGAACACTGACACTGATGGAGATCAGAAAAGCGGGGCTGGACGTCGACGCGCAGTGTATCCATGGTAACCGACATACACGCCTGTGAGGCTGCTGGACCTTGAGATGCGATGTTGCTTCTCTGAAGCCGGAGCTGTTGCAGTCCTGGTCCCCTGAAAAGCACTTTCACGATTGGCGATAGACCTCTGTTGGTGGAGGCAAATATGGAAACTCGCAAACACTGAGTGTTGGCTATTAATAATTTCTTCGAGGTCGCGGTTTTAATGTATTCGCCTCTGAGATGCCTTCGAAAGCGGGCCCTGATGTGGAAGATATTGGTGGCGCCGAGGCCGCAGGAGATGTCGAGTCGGACCCCGAACTTAAGCATAGCGAGGTGGCTGCCGGAAGTAGTATCGCTCTTTGTCTCTTCCGAGATACTCCCTTCCCATCGCTCTCGTGATCTGTGGTTCGTGGATGACGATTCCCGATTGTTCCGACTATCATAGGACGTCCGCAGAGCGAGGTAGAGGTCGTAGAGGTACGGAGGCCGCAGATTGTATGAGGCACGCCCTTCGGAAGATAGCAGCCGCTCAACGTCACGTTTCTGACTCTTGCGGTCGCCTCTCAATGATATTTCAGACCCAGGGAGGCAATCCCGAATAATCCGACCGTCATAGGAATTTCTGCGGCACGGGAGGAATTGGATCATGCATAGCCTGCAAGTTTGTATGAGAACGCTTTCCGAAGCCGCATTCCCCCTGCGTTATCTATGAGATTTTCTCGCTTGGCCCTGATGACGTTTGGGATGGTAGAATCAAAATCCCAAAGTATGCGCCATTCATGAATACGCTGGGCGGCGGAGGAATGACTGGCAAAACGAACAGGCGGATATTTGTATGGCGGTAAGTGTCTCGTATACTGCTCGCTATGCGTGCGTAGACTTTTTTCTTGCGCGCGTTTCCCGGCATTGGTGGCTCCTGAGGAATGATTCCCGAGCACTCCGAGGGAGAAAAAGGATGGACAGCCGGAGGCATAGACTGGGAGGCTGCGTACGCAGAAATTTGTATGGGGGAACGCATTCTCGCGCTCTGGAGCTGCCTGTCCGAGAACAATTCTCTGGCGCGCTTCCCGTCACTTCTACCCGGTGAAGAGAGATTTCCGAGGTCTCCGAGTTGGGAGAAGAGCAGGTGGAGGCAAAGAGGAAGATGATGCCTGCGCAGCATTTGTATGGCAGAGCTCGTTCGGGAAGGCCTTATTCCCCTCGCCTGTCCGTGGGTTCTTCGCTGGTCCGTCTCTAGGCTTCTCTGGCTCTAGAAAGCAATTGCGGCAATGTCCGAGGGCGATTGAAATTGCGCAGCTGGAGTAAGAGGAGAGACGCCGGGACACGCGTAGTTTTTATGCGGATAGGGTCCGGAGCATCTTCTCACGGCTGCCTGCTCCAGGGGATTTCACCGAGCGGGGGCAGTGATTCTGAGCTTGGGAAGCCCCGTTTCCGGCTCATCCGGAGTCGACACAGCGTACCTAAACGGAGGCATTCATCGTAGACTGTTCTTTCGCTTGCATTGGTGCATGCGGTCCGGAGCAGTTCCCCACGCCTGCCATATTTCGGCCGTCTTTTCGACACCGGCAATCAATGAGCGCATGTTTGCAGTGGCTTTTTCGCAAAGTCCGAGATCCCTGAATGGTATGCAGCGACAGTAGGCATCGCAGTCGTCTCCTCGCCGTCGCGATGTTGTTGGCGTTCGCGGAAGGAGTTCTTCGTGGTTCACGACACCACCTCCCCCACACACTCCATGTAAGACGCCATTATCGCGGCCGCGTATCGGTTGGTCTGAGTAGCGGGCTTCTCGAGTTCAATTTTCTTCGGCGCAAGGCCGTCTTGATTCTGTACCGCTAGGGCGGCGACGGAGGGGTCTGTCTGAACGGCAATCCAGAGCCCTTCACGCTAAAGGGTTGACGCTATCGTTCACTCGTGCCATGCTTTTGAATGAGTTAAATTTGCCTGGCAGTGTACGAGAACGCAGTATTTATTCCGTGCTTCGAGAGGATGAGACTGGCCGAATCTAAAAGAGGAGCACATGGGTTGAAGAGAAATGTAGGAGAGTTCAATCACCGGAAGTAGAGCTTGATATGCCAGCTATGCCAGACTGGTTGAACTTGGCGAGCACAAGGACTGTGGAATCTCCTGGAGCGAGCAAGGACAGCGATGAGAGTCTAGATGCGGCTTGACGAGTGTCACATGAAATTAAAGAGCCATATGGATATAGGTAGCATAACGTGGGAATATAGCAAAGCCGCCCTCTCAGATGCAGCTATGCCCGATAACGCCAATGGTGCAATGCAGATAGGACAGATCATGACTGAGAAAGAAACCGAGGAAAACCGAGCGTCTGCGGCATTGCGGAGACCTAGTCGGGGAGATCCTGAGATGTGCTAGTGTTGAGCTCGTTAGGCTCCAAAAGCCTGCTGTGGTCAGCGATTGCATCAATTTGACGGAGGCAAACTCACGAGTACTGCTTGAACAGCGTCCCCTCTCCTCCCTTCTCGAGGTCCACATTGAAGACATAGTAGTTGCCTTCGCTTGTGACCACCATGACTTGCGGCCCATTGTTGCTCAGAGCGACTACTGTCCGCACCGGCCCGGTGGAGGAGCTGCTAGGCGAACGGGGTATCTTGACCCAGGCGAAATCTCGTGCGGGCTCCCAGATCTCGGCTACGGCGCTTGGAAGATAGCCCCCCACGGTAGCTGCAAAAGACTTGCCGACGTTCTGCGATGTCCGCCGAATCATGCTTGCAAATGTCGGGTTTAAAGGTTTCCGCTCTGGCGCCGAGCTCTCTGCCATGCTGTCTTCGTAGTCATCCGCTGTTTCCTCGCTGGCACGACTGCTGCTGCGCTCCCGGGATGACGATGATGGCCTATTGGATAATGAGGATACGCTGTTGCTTCGACCTGCATTGGGGGTTCCAAGCCGGAAGATGTGGACCGTCTCCGTGGCCGACGACACGCAGAGCAGGGTAGAGGTAGAGTTGAACGACATGCTGTATATCCTCGCAGGTATTGACCCCCTCCGGAACTGGTAGAGCTTCTGCGCATCCGGAATGGAGAAGACGCGTATTATGGTGCCCTTCTCGGATGCCGTCGCCAACAGCGTGCCATCGTTGTTCAGCGCAATACACGACAGCGGCGAATTGTGTGCCTCTATTACGTTTACCGCCTCCATCTTGGTCGCATCGTATATGAGAACTTCGCCGCTGGTAGGAGCAATGTGTTCGGATTTCGGCGGGGCGTGCGAAGGCGGTTGGAAGGAAGCAGGCGCGGCTTTGGTAGGGAGGGGATAGACAAGGTAGTTATTCTCGGAGGAAGCCGACAGGGCGCATATTGCTAGAGCAGTCAGCGTACGCCAACAACACTCTCATGACCACCTACCGTTGGGATTCGGCGACGTCTTCTCCGTCTTCAGCATCTGCATGTTGCTGATGTCGTAGATGTACAGCTCCGATTCCAGCACGACTACAAGCCGCTTCCTATTCAGTCGCATTGCCAGTATCGCTGTGCGGAAGGTCATCTCGCATATTGTCGAATGCCTCTTTCCTATCGTCAGTGCCTGTCTCCATCGTTGCACGCGTGTGACCGACCTTGGTGTTCTGTATCCGCAGAACCCGCGGCGACAGTGTGAGAGCGACCAGCGAGGTCGAGAAGAGCATCTCTAGACTGGAAACATCTCCTTCTCGCGATTCCGAGTACTTGTTAAACGGGTCGGTGGTGTAGATGCGGTATCCTTTGGTGGTGCCTGCGGTTGGGTGGTCAGTAACGCTGCTTCCATGCCTTCGCATTTCCGCTCACCGACGCCGAGGTGGCTGTGGTCCTGATTGAACGTAACGAAGTTCATGGACGTCATATTGGGCGCCGGAGTCCAATGTCGAATGCGTAGGTCGAGGTTAAGAGCTTTGGGTTGTGGAGCATGGACCGCCGTTCGCGGGGTTCAGCGATGGGGTTGGTGCAACGAACTGCTAAAATAAGTAGCCTGCTGGAATGCGGTGAAAGACATGTGTGAGTAAGGCGGCGATGCAGGATGCGCGAAGCTCGAAGTGCAGCAAGAGAGTGCCTCGAGCTTCCGCCTGGTGAAGTGATGCTGTCCATCGGGCGGCAGGGATTAGCCCCGCGAGGACTGCACCAGCCACAAGTGGCTTGACCGTTCCCACCTGAAAATCATTCACGCTGCAATCCAGCACCCCAATACCGAGAACGAGCATGTCGGCATCTCTGAACAAGCGCTCCAGGAAGAGCGAGCCGCAGAAGGAAGGCGATATGCGCTCGGTGCGGGAGAAGAAGGATGATTCAATCATGAATGTGAGGAACACCCGGCATTATTCCAGTCATGATACCTACTAAACAAATCTAGACGAACGACAGCAGTATCGTGTCGAAAAGGAGCGTGTCGAGGTTGTACTTTCCAAACGAACCAGACTTTTACCAGCCCTTCGTTCAGAAGTACGTCCGCAGAAATCCTCTCATCAACCGCGGCTACTGGCTTCGAATGCACGCCATCGAGCAGGTAGTCCGACGGTTCCTCGGGGACACCGACAAGGCAAAAGTAGTTGTGAACCTGGGATGCGGATAGTGAGTAAGAATGCCCTGGATGGCGTCCCTTCAAGATACGCCTCTAATACCAGTAAGCGATCCACTGCCCTTTCAATTCTGGCACAGACATGCCTCGATCTCTCAAAAGACTACCTTTGTCGATGTCGACTACCCGCAGCTTATCGGTAGAAAGAGAGATCGCATTCTGGCTAGTGATCTTCTGCGCAATACGCTGCTCGAAACGAACCTACGCCCTTCACAGTCACCCGTGCACCTCCGCAGCGATCAGTACGTGGCACTCGGTTGCGACCTGCGGGACCTCGGCACCCTCGAGAGGATTTTGCGCTCTGAATTCGACATCTCATCTTCTTCCATTCTCTTCCTGGCCGAAGTGTCTTTGACCTACATGCCGGTGCTGGACTCCGACTCACTCATCCAGTGGGCAAGCACCCTCGACGACGGCAAGTAGTCTCTGGGCAGGCCCCTTGCATAGCTTCTAACATGCGGGTAGCTCGATTCTGCCTGCTAGAGCAGTACCTCCCTCAGGGTCCCGAACACCCCTTCGCACAAACCATGTTGAGACACTTTGACAAGCTGCAGACACCTATCCAGGCCGTGAAGCGGTATCCCTCCCTGAGCCAACAGATATCCCGGTTTCAAAATTCCGGGTGGCCCACAGTGCAGATTGCTCGCAATCTCTGGGATCTGTGGTCCGATGATGCCTTTACTCCTCCGGCTGTACGACGTGGGTTAGATGCGGTCGAACCCTTCGACGAATGGGAAGAATATGCGCTTTTCTCCGCGCACTACTTCCTGCTGCTTGCTTCCAATGCCGTGTCAGAAAAGCCAATCGGGGCGTCTATGGTCGAGGAACCCAACACGAATGCTCCACGGGTCAACGGCGGTGGTGCTCGGCCCGTCAAGCTAACCCATTATGTACCTCCACGACACTCTCTATTAGACCAACGGCGTTTTGGTGCTGCATTTTCTCTTGGCCGCGACACTGTTGCCTTCCACGGCGGACAGGGTCCACAGTCTCGACTGGCGAGCATGGATGTCATGGGACGGGAAGCTTCGCCGCCCAAGATTCAGCCCTGCCCGAGGGCGCCGCCACAAGCACGCATATGTCACACAGTCACGCCTATCAACGATGCTGCAGCACTGTTGGTGGGCGGCAGGGGATCGCCAGCCGACGCGCTTGCAGACTGCTGGCTGATCAAGCAAGAAATCTGGCAACAAGTGCATGACCTGACTCCGGCTCGTTTCAGGCAGAGCTCTATTAGATTGGCTATGCCATCCGGTGGGTCCCATATTGAGGGCGTGTTGGTCTTCGGCGGCAAGACGAGCGATGGCACGGTCCTCGATGAATGGACGCTCTGGACACCCTGCGAAGGCTGGCGGACGGTCCCCGTCGACGGTACTTGCCCCTCGCCGCGTTTTGGTGCCGCAATATCGTCGATGGGGGCGGCTGAGGATCGGGGTTTGCTGGTGGGCGGCATTGGCCCCAGCGGCGCAGTCCTCGAAGAGATCTGGGAGTGGCACGTCTCTGCGGCGCCGCACTTACACCTCAAAATTATTGACCGCACCAATGACGTCCGGTACAACACCGCAATCCCAACATGCGGACGGTTCGGTGCAAGCCTTGTGCCTTTCGGAAATGCACTGCTTCTCATTGGGGGTATTTCAAAAAAGGAAGTCTGTAGTGCATCATCCGACATCCTGGTGATTTCTGCCCCCAGCACCACGCTTCATATCGACAGCCCGGCGATTTTGTTGTCCAATTCAACCTGGCCTCTTCTTGTTGGAGTCGGTGCAGCTGCAGTGTCTCGAGACGAGATCGTGCTCGCAGGAGGCGGCGCGGTCTGTTTTTCAATGGGCAGCTTCTGGAACAAGGGTTTCCTCACGATCACGGATGAAGCGGCAGATTTGCCCCCGTGGACAGTTCCCATGTCTCAGAGCGCCGACGCAGCGAAGGCAGAAGCGCCGCAAGCACTCCTCAGGTTGAACGGCAAAAAGCAAGGGAAGACGAAGAAGGTCGCTGGGCCGAAGCCGGAGACGGTAGCGCGAATACAGCTGCATCCAGCAGAGAACTTCGCCGAGCTGCTGGCTGTCGCGAAGCCGGCCATTATCGAAGGCTTGGATGTCGGTCCCTGCACGGAGCTTTGGACTCTGGACTATCTTCGAAAAAAGATTGGCGTGGATCGAGAGGTCGTTATCCATGAGTGCTCTTCGGATCGCATGACATTCAAGAACAAGAATTTCCAATACGTCAAGAAGCCCTTCAGTGAGTTCGTGGACGGTATATCGCGAGGTTCCCAAGCATACTTGCGCGCCGTGTCATCAAGCCAGCCAAACAAGTTGCCTACGAAACTCGAAGACGACTTCCCCACCATCGCCGGAGACTTCGTATTACCAGATATATTCGGCGACATGTTAGCTAACGCCCATAGCTCACCGCTGCGCATCTCCGGCCCCGTCGCCCTTTGGCTCCATTATGACGTCCTGGCTAACGTTCTCTGCCAAATTCGCGGCGCCAAAACCTTGCACCTCTACCCTCCTGCCGATGTCAAATATCTGTCCTATCCACCGGGGGGCTCTAGCTCAAACATCGACGTCCTGACCTCAAAAGACCCTGCGCTCCGCAATACCCATCCGCACGTTGCGTCGTTAAAGCCCGGCGACGTTCTCTTCATCCCACCAATGTGGAGCCATACAGCTATGCCTGAGGAAGGCGTGAGTGTTGCAGTCAACGTATTCTTCAGGAACTTGGAGACTGGATATGCAGCCGGGAGGGACGTGTACGGGAATCGAGATCTGCAGGCATACGAGAATGGTAGGAGAGACGTTGAGCGTATCGCTAAAGCGTTCAAGAACGTCCCGGGGGACATTGCGAGGTTTTATCTCGACCGGCTAGCTGCTGAGCTGCAGGGGAAAGCGGACGAAGTGGGGAGCCATAGTGGATAGTGCGCTTCTGCAGAGCCCAGCATTCAACTGGTTGTAAAGGGAACTCATCGCTCTTGTCCATTTGCGGCCCATATCAGCTCGTCTTTTTCACCGTTGCCCTGGGTAATAGCTGCCCCGATGCGTAGCGAGTCGTATACCAGCTTGTCGTACTTCGTATACCGAAGGTGATGTTGATTATCGATTGCGTGAATCATTATTGATGGAGCGCGGCTCCTCACCCTGCCCATCCTGTGGATTGAGTGAACACGCCGCTCACGTGACTGCCCCGCTGGTTACACTGCCCCGCCTCGACTGACGCGACTGACGTACTTGAGGTAGCCTAAGCGCGTCCCGACCTTTTCTCAGGCCACCCCATGTTTCTCTCGACCACACCCACCACGTCCCGCACTGCATCCGCCCGAGTTTCATACGCAGCGTCTAACTCTACGAACGCGATACGATGGTCCAACCTAACACCGCGGGGAATCCGCTGAGCGCGGGCTCGCTCGCCCTCTTCATGGCGGCTAGCCTGCCCAAAAGCGCCGGATCGCAACTCAAGAACCCGTTCGAGGCCGTGGCGCTCGCGGTCCATGCCGGCATGATCGCGGTAGGCTTCCGGCTCATCGGACTCGGCGAGGACGATAGAATAGGTGAGTTTGACCGTCGTCTGTCGCTGCCGTAGAGTGGTACTGACGCGCCGCAGAAGCGCAGGCAGACGCGCAGAACCCGCAGCCGTTACCGACAGAATGGAACGCTTCCAACTCATACGCCTTTCGCTACGCGCACTCACAATCGTCCATGGAATACATGGTAAAGGTGAATAGACTGGGCGGCAAGGCCGTGGTGTTCGGAATTGCAATGGGCGACGACAAGACGACGACTTTCGACGTCGCGGTCAAGGACTATCTCTCCGAGTCCTCGCTGCCCGTCTCGGTGTCGGAAGACACAACGACAGAGGACCTTTCGAGGACATTGCAAGACGTATTCATCTCGTCGGGCCGCCTCAACGACCTCGGCTCGCTGCTCAAGATCTCAATCATACAGAAACTGGCGCCTGGCCTGCACAAAGAAGGATATGAGGAGTCGAGCACAGAGAACAACCGTGATGCAAGCGGCGCACGGCAGCCCAGAGAGCCAGCGCGCGGAGGCGAACCTGGCAATCCGCCACGCATACCGGAAACCGAGCCTGAGCCTGCGCGTCCATATCCTTTCAATGACCCTCTCGCTGAGCCGCGCCGCCCTGGACGACCGCTGCCAGAACCCATCCCAGGCTTCGAAGACGAGTACGAGATCAGCCGCCCGCCGCGCGGCCTACGGGACGACAGATTCCCAGCCGGCATCGGTCACGACGACCTCTATCCGCCTGGCCTGGGACCTCATGATCCGCTCCGCCCGCATCTTGGCGGGGGACTACCACGCCCGGGTGGCATGGGCGGCGGCATGCATCCCACTTTCGACGACCCGCTGTTTGGTGGTCGAGGGGGACAGGGTGGGTACGACCCTACGGCACCTCCTGGTTCGCGGTACGACCCCGTGGGGCCTGGAGGTGCGCCACGGGATAATCGGGGTGGTGGGCCTCGGTTTCCCGGTGGTGGGGGCTTTGGTGGGCCTGGAGGTAGGCCGCCAAATCCTTTCAGTGGCTTTGGCGATGGGGATTTCATCTAGTCCCGCTGCTGTAGGGCTGGCTTGAGTCTCGCGGCGGCATCGCGAGGTGGAAAAATTGATGACGAGGATGATTTGCATTGCATTTTCTTGCGGTATGGGTCTACAGGTTGCATGGATATGGGCGGGCTGCATTTATGATGTTCACATTTGTTTTGGGTGGGCACGCCAGTGGTATTTATGATTCGGTGGGGAATTCCAAGGCTGCAATGAGATGACCTTTCCTTCCGTATCATTAGCGAGGGCAGCAGCAAATGTACGCCTTCTCATCGTCTATGGTTTCGTGAAAGAGTTATTACCCCAAAAAGCAAGATGGTGCGAGGTTACCTCCAGCCTGTTCGGCACCTTCCTCTGTACTGTCTTTAGTCGTGAAGCCTAATTAGTCCCACATACCTAATGAGGTTCTTTTTGCCTCGTTTTATCTCCCTTCAAGAGCACTAGATGCGGCGTAGTTGTGGCAGCGGCGCGAAGGGGTACGTAACCACAACACGATAGGCGAAGGACGTTTCTCGCCCTTTCCGTCGCCTTACCCGCTTGCAGGCGAGGCAACAGCTGCGGCGTATGCTGCACATCATGGAAAGCGCGGGGAAGCTTGCCTTTCGATCGCGCAATGCGGCGTGGTAGCAAACTTTATCTGGACGTCTCGATTGCGAGATGCGGCGTGGTGTGCAGTCCGAGATGCGCCATGCCGTTGGAACCTTAACGGAACGGCTCTGCAGCCTTGTGGGAGCCATGTGCGAGATGCGGCGTGGTAGCGAAGCTTAATAGAAACGGCGCTGTAGCCTGGTTGATGAGCTGTGGGGTGGAATGGTTCCTGATGTATTCGTACGGCGTAGAGAAAAGCTTAAAGTAACATCGGAGGTGAATGTGCTAAGCGACCGAAGTCTTTCAAGGCCATCTCTGGACTGCGTTGAGTACGCGAGACCGTACGCTGAAGTTACTCGAAAAGCCGGTAGGAGTACCTGCGAAATAGGTCTTTGACCCTCGAGTGCATTCAGGTCAGTATGCGCAGTCGACTCTGACGGTGTAATGGTTGTCCCGGAGTCCTTCACGGGATAGAGCAGGGGCCAACACACCGTGTCAACTAAACACGAATGCTTCTGCAGCGACAACGTGGCATTCGCTGGATGCGATCCCATCCCGGCCTTTGGATTAAGTTTCTCGCGCGAGAGGACGTATTGGACTCCGCCTAGCGATCCTAAGGAGCAGGCCCTCTTCGGTCCGCCTCGTACGACTTACCCGCCCGAGAGCTTAAGCTTGTTTGCCGAGGCTTCAGCCTTATGCAGAGCCTTGCGGCCGCAAAGCTAGCCTCATATATACGCGTAGCAATTGCAGGCCCAATGCCGTCCCTGGATTAAGCGCGGCTGCGGCACAAACAAGCGCGATATTCGCCCCAGAGCCACGAGGCCTTCCACGTCCCTGGAGCGAGGAACCCTGACTACGCCCAAGCAAATATAGGTCGCCCAGGTCTATGCTTATAAGAAAGCAGAAGGCAGTGCTTGTCTTGACGTGCAGGTCGACCTGAGTTGGATCTGCGCTGGGGTGGCGAGACCAGGATCCGACATTCCTTTTCGCACGTAGACGGCTCTATCGGTCTGTGTTAGTGTAAATAGTCGGTCTTAGTCGGTCAACGAACTTTCCGAAAACTCTCCTTAGGGTAAGGGTTTCGTCGTAGGAGAGGCGCTTAACGATAGGCTAACCGGGTGCCAAGACCAAGTAAGCGTGCAGCTTCGTGTACCTGTACGAGATCGGGGACACTGGACTCCGAACGCTCGTTTCGAAGCAACCGGTAGGGCTGAATGCTGTGCGACGCATCGTTCTCAACTCCGACGGTGCCGCGTGAGAGCGCACGTGTAGTCCCGGCGCACAATGTCATCTGAGAATTTCGGAATTCGCGAGTGCCGCTTCGCCCGATCATTTTTAGAGATGTCTTTCCCGGATGACGTCCTGAATGGCGATGCGAATCTGCGGTGTCGCCTGATGCTGGGCAGCCGAGTCAGCTTCTGCCGTATTCAGATCGTATCGCTAGATTTGGCTATGGTTCGATTGAAGGGGGTTCGATTGGTACCCTGGGATGAGCGAATGGAGTGTCATGGAGTGAAGGTACTCCAGGTCAGTAATGTTGGCGAATAGGTGTGGGCATACCAGCATTCTTACGGGATGTTTACTTTCAGCCCCGAAGCTTGAGACTGGGGAGTAGGGGGTCGCGACTTGTCGCGCGAGATATAGTCGACGCGCTGCAGCAGTGCCCAAGTAACGGGATAGCTTTTGCTGGGTAAAGGAAGGAGGGCAGGATCGGCAGAGCACCGTGGAGTAGGGCTTCGCGTTAAGCTTAGTGGATACATTTGAGCTCCCTGCAATGCCGCTGGTAGTGTCGCACGCTGCAGTTGGACTGCCACCTTCTGGAATGGGTCTACCCAACAAACAATAACGCACTCGCCCGGATTTCGAGATCCGTCTGCTACGGGGCGTGCCCGTTCTGCGTCATAGCCCTGGAGGGCTCGACAAGGCGGTGAAGCCGGCCGGATGCGGGGTCGTGAACACCGATCGGTCAAGAGCTGCAGCAATGTAACCACTCGAACACGGGCAAGTGCAGCACCTCTGCCTCCTCAAGTTTGTTGACTCGTGGCGCAAATGCAGAGTTTCAGATTCGGGGTCCAGGGTCGCATTTAGCGGACGCAGGGGCGCTCTCCCCTAACGTTTCCCGGAGACGAGATTGAAAGGAGTGTCGCGCTGGTGGAGCGAGCTATTTCTTCCGCAGATGATGAGAGGGGTGGTGGGTCGAGGAAATCTGGGTTGACACGGGTGGTAGCAGGTGACGCGGTCAGACAGCGTGCCAGGGCAAGCGAGTGCGGACGCGCGGTGAGATCATCTATGGTTCTCCAGAAGATGAGCAGCAAAGCATCCAACAAAAGCACTCCAGGCTTTGGAAGCTGCAACCCCGCCACAAGACGCACGTCGCCGACTTCTGTGCTCCAGCACTCGATCGCTACCGCTGGTGAACGAGCAAAATGAGCGGTGAAGCCAATGATACATCCGCAAACCCGTCTCCTGGGACCCGGACCAATTGCTGCAGACGTCGTGCAGGTGTAAAAGCCGCCGGGAATTGTGCGTGGGATCCCTTGGTCGCGGTACATACCGAGGGAGTGCCAAGACGTTAAGATGTTAAGCATATCTGAGTAGTGAGATCCACCACGAAAGACCTACCGAAAAGGGAAGTCAGTCAATGACCGGGCCAGTTCCGCCCCTTAGTCAAGAGGAGAGTTGCGGCCTTTGCCGAGCAACTTCGCGTTCATCAAGGGATTAACGGGGATAAGCTTCTCAATCCGTTCACAAAACTGCTCCCTATGCAGAGGCCAGCCGATGTCCTTGACTTGCAGTCAGAAAAGGATCTTAGGTGGACGGACAAACGTGCAACGTCGTCCGCAGTAAGAAAAGGGACGGGGCAAATGAGTCAGCATGGGACACGCTAATTCGAGTACCGTCCAGTGGTTTTCTGAATGTAGGCGCCGGGCGTAAATGCCAATGCGAATCGCGTGGGGTTCCTACGCCCCACGGACAGGCTTCCCCGGCTCGCTCCCCTTCCCTCGTCAACGCATTTAAGCCTTGCTCCATCGACAGGCCCGAGCGTGTGAGGCTGAAAGAGCGAAGGAGCGAAAGTCGGTCGCTCGGACGGACTAGGGTCCTGATCTTCGAGGCGGTTTTCAGGACTCAGCCACCGTCTTTCGCCAGCGCAACCAAGAGTACGTTCCCACGATGAGCGGTGGCTCTAGCGAAGACAATGCTTCGTGACGCGCGATGCGAGACCGAGCCGGCGAACACGGTGCTGACTCTTGGCCGTCCAGCTAGGAAGCGTGCATGTGGTTAGGCGAGGAGGGAACCAGGGGCGTGAGCTGACGTTGCTTTAAAGCTCGCGAACGCGCGCTAAGTAAACGCAGGGCGGCTCTCGCGTATAGTTTGCAAGCCGCGCGCGCGGTTCTGCGGCTGATCATCCAAGGATCTAGGCGTCAGACGCCTACCGAGCGGCATCGCGCTTGTGCAGGGATTTCCGATCGCCTCTGGGGTTTCGTCAGGCGCTCGTGCGTTATGCTCGCCAACGTCGCACTCGCGCGAGAACCGAGCGGAAAGAGGGTTACACGACCCATTGAACGTCGTATGGGGTGCGTACAGCATGAGCCCAAAGCCATGAGAGCGGCGTCTCAATAAAGAGCACGTGGGCAGGATTCGTCGGGCGTCAGGTTTCTCAAGAGAGACGCGGAATTGAGTCTTGGCGCTGGCATGTGCGGGTGAAAGGGGGGATCTAGCGTTCAAAAGCGGACAGACAGGGAGAGCCGTCATTGCAGGTAGTGTGGTAAACAGCGCCGTGAGCCATGTTGCCTGAAAGCAGCATTAGAAAAGCATGGTGGGCTCACGTGGAGTGGCATATTGCGCAGGCAGAAGCTGAGCTAAACGTGCATGTCAGAAGTTTAACTGACCTAAGGTTGACCGCAGGATTCCTTCTAGAAGGCCGCAGCCCTATTTCATCATGGCAAGGCTTTGTGAGGCGCAACGTCACTCGACGGACTTTGGCTGTAGGAGAGTGAAACGCGGGCAGAGCCAGGGCGGACTAAGGTGCTTCGCCTGGCGTGGTGGACAGGTGGCAAAGCAAGGTAGCACAGTAGCTGCAGCCCAGGACGAGCGTTCGGTGCACCGTCGCTGTCCGGAATGCAAACTGGAGGACCGCGAAGTGGGAAGCAATCTCGCGCGAAAGGATGACGGCACGTCTCTGCCTGGGGCTCCCGCTGTGCCAGGCTTAAGGAAGTGCTTACTGCTGTTATGCAGTGGAGAGACGAATGGCGTGGGCAGGCAGGCAGGCAGGCAGGCAGGCAGGCGTTGCGCAGCAGGAGACGTTGGCATTAGATTGGGAGAGTGCTGCCAGTGAGGGGCATGCTGTCTCTGGGGCAGGCACGGAGCACTGCTACAGACCGCGCTGGGGAGCTGCAAGCAAGCGCGAAATGAGCACGCTGACGCTGGGGATGGGCATCTGGCGACGGAGCCAGCTGTGCGTCGTGGATGGCCGGCACAGGCGGACGGGATGGATGCAGGCGATGCGCAATGATTTGCAGAGCTGGCGGCGGCTGCCCAATGGGGAGGCGGGAACGGGCGTGCTCGCCGTTGAGCTTGCGCCGTGCTGCAGCACTCCGGTGACACGGCGGGTGAGCGGGGAGCAGGTCGCGGTGCTCGCGGTTCAGTGAAGTTGGCCGCAGTCGAGAGGGGAGAGGGGAGGTGGCTCCACTGTCTGCTGGCTGGAGGGGTGGCAGCTGCAAGCCGGTGCCGACGAGGAGCCCGCGGAGCAGATGGATGGAGGAACGGTCCGCCAATGCGAGCAGCAGGCCGGGGCCCGCATGTCGCTGCGGTCATGTGCTGGAGCGCGGCAGTGAGACACTGAGACAGGTGTCCGTCCGCTGCCCACCGGCCGGCCACCATCAGGAGAGGCGGGCGAAGAGGGCCCAGCGTCAAGCCGGCGCCGGCGTCGGCACCTATGAGACGGCGGAGGGAGTCTGCTGGCGGGGGCGCTGGTGAATGAGGTCCGCAGCGTCGGGCTAGGCAGCATGCATTGGCCTCAAGTACTGCACTCACTCACTTAGTACTCACTCACTGCAGTCTACTCTACGCATGTAGCGGGCACCCTGCCACCCTGCCACCCTGCCACCCTGCACCCTGGGCGGGGAGCGCGGGACAGGCTGGGAGGTGAGGGGGGACGAGGCAAACGGGCGCGCGCGCTCGCTTGGGCAGTCGCAGTCGCAGTCGCAGTCGATCGCTAGTCCGCTTGCTCCCCGTCACCCCCAGGGCTGTCGGCACATTTCGCGCTGCATCCCCGCCAGATAAGACGCCCAGCGCCCGGGGCCCGCTGCAGCGCTGTCCTCTTCGGCCATAGCCCGGCGCCTACCCGCTGGCCGCCGTCTGCAATCGTCCAGCGCTGGGCGTTTGATGCCGTCCGCCTGCAGCACGCGCGACATCGAAACGGCCACGGGCTCCGGCCACACTTGCAACAGGCGCTGACCCGGCCCCGCCGCCCTCCTGCTGCGGCCGTGCAAGAAAAGAACAAGTAATATAGCCAGCATGGCACGCTGCTGCGTCTAATAATTGTCGACTGGCCCCGTCGCTGGCGCACGGTGCCGTGCCGCCTGTTGGAGCGCCAGGACGGCCACTCACAGGCGCGCTCCACGCTCCCCGGCGCCTAACGAGACGTCGACGCTGCACCATGCATGCACGCTGCTGCAGCTCTTCACATCGCCGCATCGCCCAATCTGCACCGCACAGCCCGCGGCCCCTGCGGCCCCCTGGCACGCGGGTCGCGGACCCTTGGCGCACTCATCCCCGTCCGCGCGGTTGCACACGAAGACGTTAGGGCGGCCTGAGCTGAGCTGCCCCCCCCCTTCCACTCTCCCTCCGTGGGGCTGTCGCACCCCGGCTGCCCGTTGCGCCAGACCCGTCGTTTGCAAATCACCCATGCTTCCCCGGCCGTCAGACTCCAGGGCTCGCGGCCAGACAACGGTCCGAATATGGAAGGGAAGGCGAAATTGTATTCGTGCGAATCTATAGCCAACGCGCCCCATGCAGAACGCAGAACCTCTGAGTCGCCCCAGGAGCCGTCTATCACGCCCGGCACCTCCGGGACGTCCACAACGCCGAAAATGCTCGTTTCCGTCAGACGCCAGAACCCAACAAACTCCAGCTTTGGACCCCATTGCTGCGCTGCGTGCCTGCAGCTGATACACACACCACGTACACGCCCAACAACTCTCCGGAAATGCTCCGGAAATGACCCCTCCCGCCCAATAGCCACCCATCCACGCTTAGAGGCCGTGCGACGTCGCCCCGAAGCTGTCCTCCCGGAAAAGGGGAGAGCGCGTGTCGTATGCGCCCACGCCTTGGTGGTGATGTGGTCTTGTTGCAAAGAAGTCTTGTGCGGCCTCCGCCGACTGATAGCCCACGGGCACGGGCGTGCTCGAGTACATGTCCGGCCGCGGCGAGTGATAGTAGGGCATCTGTGGTACAGGCGCCGTCCGCATCGACCGTGTGCGTGAAAGCAGGTTCGGGTCCGACAGCTCGTTGCGCTTGGGGCAGCCGTCCTCCTCGTGTCTGTGTACAAGTGAGCTAGAGCCTGTGTGCAACGCAGCTAGTACTGACCTTCGGAGCGTGTCCTTTCGTGAGAATGTCGCAGTGCATCTGCAGCATTTGAAGTCCTTTGCCTTCTTGTGCACGCTCGTGCAGTGTCGGTGCAGGTCCGTCTTGCGCACAAACTTCTTGTCGCAGTCTCTGTACATGCAAGGGTGGTCCTTGGGCCGCTGCGGATTGTGCGTGTGCATGTGCGTCTTCTGGTTGTAGCTTCTGATGAAGCCCCTGCCGCAGATGTCGCAAGAGTATTTCGCCTCCTCCGCGGGAATCTTTTGTCTTCGACGCCGGACGCGTGGCGTAACACCAGGCCGGCCGTCGTCATCTTGCGAGCTCTTTGGGCGCCCTTCGTGCGGCAGTTGCTGGGAATGTCGGTGCTCGTAGCTTCCACTGGGCGTGGACTCAAATTTCGTCATTGGGGACGTGCCGTATGACTGTTCGTACGCAAACATGCCGGTGGCAGTGAGCCGCTCCGGCGCAACCGTGCCCGGTGGAGACTCCTCGTCGGTCGCCCACTCGGATCCCTCGAGCTTGACGGGTGGGAAGCCGTGTTCGGAGCCGTCGCCTGAGAAAATGGACATCTCTCGGGTGGAAGAGGAGAGCGAGGATCGGTGGGATGGCTGATACGCGCCCCAGGGTAGCGGTGACCTCGACACCGGGTGGTCATAGGCTCCTGAAGTCCATGGATCTACAATTGGGTCGGGGACGAGTGGTGAGGTGCCAGTGGAGAGGTGGGCCCAGGCTTCTGTAGGCTGAGGTGAGGGGGGGTAAAGGACGGAGCTCGTCGGTGGCCCCGACGCGGGGAACGGCTGGGAGTAGCTGTAAAGCCCGAGACCGTCGGGCGGATACTTGGAAGGCTCAGAAACAGAATCGCTCCGAGCAGGTGAGGGGTACGCTGGTGACTGGAGCAAAGACGCGGAGCGGAGAGCCTGCTGGTAGGGCGAATTGAAGGGCGGCGTGGGCTGGTCCCGGGAAGACATGGTAGACAAGTATGAAAGAAAGGAATGCAGTCGGATGGGCGTGGATGCTGGATTGAAGGGCGAAGGCGGCGGGAGTGGAATATGAAGACGTGGAGGGGAGTGGCTAGCGGTAGTGGATCGCAGGGCGTACAAGGGCGGAATATATCTGGCGGATGCAGGGCAGGGCAGCCTCAGTCGATCCAAATTGAGATGTCGGTTTGCAGTGCTGCGGCGGTGTGGCCGCGAGTAGCAGTCAACGGGTCCATACCATCGGTACTTGACAGCGTGAGGCAGACTCGGAGATTGTCCTCAGAGCAAGACGCTAAGACCGACCTGGAGAGCTCCAGGCGCCTGCCGCCGCGCCTGTTCGCTGTTCGCACATGGGGCCGTGTTTCGCAGAGGGCTGATATGCACAGCTAGCAGGGGGCGTCTGCTTGAGGGCAGCCGACCGGGATCCCCGGTCTAGCTGCGAGTGGCGTGCGAACTGCATCCGAGCTCTCGGGAACGCCAGCGGGCCGAAGACAAATCAGAGACGCCCCGGCCGCCAACTTAGGCGCAAGACGACGGTGAGACTGGCACCCCCTGTGCCATGGGGCATAACGACCAAAGTCCCCATTTGGGCTAACCCAGTCCCGCCCGCGCCAATTACTCAGGTGTCAATCTTTCGTTCATTTGCTATGCTGGCATTGCTGGCATTGCTGGAGCCTGTGAGACACCAACACCACTCCGCACGCGCGCCAATTTCACCGTCCCGTCGAGCAGAGGATAAACACGATCTGCCTCAGTTTTACCGGGCTTGAATAGGTCAAGCTCCTTCCCTTGCGTGCTCCTGTGCGCGGACGGCTGGAAGCGCCGGCCGTCAAGCGGCCCTGCTCGCTTCGCGCTCTTGGAGCTGCGAGACCATGGCCGTGAGCTGCTCGACCTGCGATGTGAGCTTAAGGACCAACGACTTTAGCTGTGGGTCCGCGTCGCCTGGGCCAGTCCTGGTCTGAGGCCGACTTGCCTGGTGCGCTCTGCCTGCCGTTCGGCCATTTCCTTCCGCAGACGCCTGCAAGCCTGCCGCTAACGGTCTCGCTGGCTGAATCCATGACCGGGAAGACGTCTTCATGATCGGTGTCTCAGGCCCGCTCATGGAGAGCATGCCCGAGTTGGGCTTCCGGGAACCAACAAGCCGCTCGTAAGCCCATATCGCGCCGACGAAGGGCAGATGAGTTGCTTTGAGCAGCACAATGCGAGCACTCCTTAGCCGCTCTGAAGGTAGGATAAGCCGGAATGGGCGGAGAAGAAGCGGAATCAGATTCTGAAAGCCCGTATCAGCCTCGTGTCCATTCGGAGAAGCGGGCAGTGTGGTGTGCGAATGCTTTTGCGGGGAGTAGGAGCATCAGGGCGTCTCCGCCATGAGTACGCCTGGGCGGTACATTGAGGCTTGCATAGGAAACAGCGACTCTTCTGGCAGTGCCGGCTCCCATCTCACCAGCACATCGTTCTGGGCACTAGAGCGGAAACGCAGAAGTGGTTGGCTCAACGACCCTTTTCCGTCCAATGGAGGCTATGTTGGCCCAAAACGATTGAAGAAGCCGGCGCTTAATGCCGTTTCAAGGAGCCGAAAATAGACTAGAACTTACCAAGGGAGGAAGATAATATGTCAGGCGATTTGACGACGAGGCTTCCAGGACATACACTGAGTAGCTAGATCAAGCCGCGGTCAGTTGTGATACGTGAGGCGCTTGTCGCGATGACCTACATGAAGAGATACTCGTCACGTGCATGATCGAGAACCTATCTTTTCAGTTAGCGCCATTCGAAAACGAGCTCTGTTCCAAGGTTCGAAGAGGAGCAGCATCGAGTGCACACCGCAACCTCGTTGACAATGTTGCGGTAGCGGTCGGCCGGAGTAGTCCGAAATGCGCATATCGGATGCGAGAAAGGAGAGCTTGCTAGACCGACAACTAGCCGGAGAGAAAATAGCGAGTGACGATAGACACACGATTAAGTGATGACGGCGAGGCTGAGGCTGAAGACGAGGCGGTGCACTCCAGGCTTGGCTTGCAGGCAAGAAGCGACGCCGCACCAAAATGCGACGCGGATAGCCAATCGATTTTGCAGACAGGGGCATTTCTTTAGAGCGTGCAGCAGCGGTCAGAGAAATGGCTCATCTTACCTTGCTCAAGCTGTTCGACAGCAGGGAGATGAGAGATGTGATGAGGAGAATGTTGGTTAGTGCGACGAAGACCAACTGCCGTTTCGGTCAGCAGACTGCACAGGTATGCACGTGCTACAGCATACCATTACGGGTGGGCCGAAGTACGGTGATCTGACGGCATTAGTCGGCGAACAACTTGCTCCTTTGGCCGCAGTACATACATTTCCTGGGCGACGTCCTAAGCAGCGATACTGCCGTTAGTGACGATGTTGGTGAGGGCGGCGGAGCCATCCCAAGCTCACAGATTCAGCACTTACAAATCCAAGATAGGAAGACTATGGGAGGTGTTAGCACGTTGGACTTATGTTTAGAACTCTAGCACAGCCTCACTCACTCCAAAAAACACTTTCACCAAGATCCAGGACTACACGAACGTCAGCGGACGGCTATGGCCTGTCGCTCCGTCGCGGTCAACGCACCATTTCTTTAGGCGTATACGTCCCTCTGGCAAGCAGTACGAACGTGGTCAGGAAGCCTGCCATGCAACGTTGTAAGCTGAACTCCGGCAGTGGCTGAAACGGGCAGACCCTACCCAGATACAAGATCACGACAAGCGACAAAAACTTGACGAAGTCTTTGGTCTACCGGGATCGGCCGTCAGCGTCGATCAGCCTGAGTCGGCTTTCGAAACAATACTGACCATCTCTTTGAGACATGGAATCTGTCCATAGTTAGCCACTAGGAAAACGCCAGGTGAGCGTTGGGATAACGGGCAGTGATCCTGTGCCGCAATTGCGCGGCTCGGGTATGCCGCACCCGTGCCGCAGCGATATTCTGCTAGCAGAGAAGGGTAGCGATTGCGAGGCTTTACAGGCTGAAAATCATACACGTGGTATGTTCTGACATCGACTCACCAGGGTTCCAAAATAGGGATTGAGACTGAGGAGGGAGAAGATCCGCGGAACAAGGAAGAGCGCTTCGAGCCCTAAGACGTCGTATGCAAGGTCAATGGTACTGCTGGAGGCTGTGGTCAGACCGACGATCCCTGGCAAACGTGTCAGTACTCTCCGTAAGATGCTATAGGCTTGGTACTTACTCAGTGCGCAGAATACCATCCCCACGACCACGATGCTCTATTGAAGAGTCAGCAGTAACTGGCTTGCTTAGCTCGGAATCCGTACAATATCCCAGGCCCACCAAAAATCAGATGCGTAGAAGCTGGTCTGACCCGCGTCGATCCAGTCGCCGAATTCATCGTAAGCAAAGCCCGCAATCCAAATGTACAGGAGAATTTCCGTTGGCGTGACACGGGAGAAATTTCGATGCACCAGGACTGCGTAATACAGCCCTAAGAATACGCCGAAAAAGGCCGTCTCGAAGATCTTTAGATACCTGGGTACCCGAAGTCGGCAGACTGTCAAGGGCCTCGAGTCAGCAGTGGTTGAAGACGGGAGAATTGTGCAAGACGCGACTTGCGACTTCTTCGAGCTGCAATCCGATCTTCTCGACTATGCCTGACCGGCGTTTATAGTCGACAATGTGAAAAGGAACAGGCTGTGTTGAGTGGACTTACACGGATCGGCTCGTCTCCGATTGTACAGCTTAGGGCACTTCACCGAATTGACACTGAGAGACTCCCAGAACACGATGTCGCCCTGGAACAGTCAAGATGATGCTTGCAAATGATACTAAAGGTACGCACCCTCCACAGTCCGTTGATGATCTTTTGCACAGGCCGCTGGCTGAGGAACTTCTTGCTGTCCGAGACTGTCGCAATCTCCAGCGCGCTGAGGTTCTCGAACTGCACAGAAAATTCATCCGAGCGAGCACTGCTTGTGATAGCACCGGCGCTTACGCTATCGGTTCCGAAGTAGGAAGATTGACGACCGCCCCCTCGCAGCAGAGGCGCCTCCTCGCTCACCTGATGCGAACCGCCGTTGTGCTGCCTATGGCGCGACTGCTCTGTGTCCGAGACTTCATCGCTTGGCGACGGGATAGGGGGCAGCTCATAGAGCAGGAAGTCGATGGTCTCCCTCTCGGTAAGGTTCGTCAGGAACTGCCAAGCCACGAACTCACACGCATATCCTCGAGCTTCGTTCACGCCGGGTTCGTCGCTAGACTCCTCGAGCGCCGAGAAATGAGCCTTTAGAGCCCTACACGAACGATGAGCACGACTCTCTATGTATATCGTTCGACCTGTTGTGGACTCGACTCGCGGTGGAGAGACAGAGGGACGTACAGCAACGCGGAGACAATGGCGGGGTGATGCGTATTATCTGCCAGATAAAATATCAAGGGGTTCAGAACGCGACCGAAAGGCAGGGTTCGGAGTTCCTCGAAGGTGTGCGGGAGAGTGATGGCTTCGGAGAAATAGCTAGGTGCGTGTCAGCGCGAAGAGCCCAATGCGTCTTCTTCAACTTCTTCAACGCCTCGGGGCCCTTAGGTAAGGCAATAGAAGGCAGGGTATCCGCACGCAGCGGGAGATGTCCGCAACTCACAAAGACAGCTTCCTAACGAGCTCCCCAAAGTCCTCCTGGTCGGCGATGCGAGGGACCTCCGGGTGGTCAGTCGGCCAACGTGGCGTGGAAGGCTGAGACATTATACGCGTTTGAGGTCAATTGCAGCCCTGGAGCCATTGAGGATTGCAGTGGCTGGCAGGAGAAGAAAATCGGACAGGAAATTGTCGCGTCCTGCTGGGTTGGGGATGCGGAGTATTATGTAATGGATCGATGACGTTTCAACCTCAACTGTCCTTGCGAGAGCCTCCAGTGAACTGGACACTCTTTGATTGCCTCTTCTCTCATGACACTGACTATGGCCCATGACGCAGATTTCTGCGGTGATCGGCTGCGGCTGGCGGCTTTTCTGCGAGCTGTGGAGAACCTGCCGCAGCGGCCAGCGCGTTTCCGTCGGCCTGTGGACGGTGACGCCCAGATCCAGGCGACGAAGCAGGCTTCACCTGCCCAGCATGATCAAACCCGGGCGATTGCGTCGCTTTCAAGTCCGGCATCGACAGCCCCACAGCAGAAATTATCAGCGTTCGATGCAGCGGACTCCCGCTTGACGGCGTCAACTGCATCTGCAGAGGGCACCCGCACAATTGCTCTTCCAGTTACGCCAGATGCGGATTGTCATGCTCAACCTAGCGTAAACATCGACGAGGATGACAGCACCGTCCCTCATCGGCGGTCTGACCCACTGCTGCTCTTGCGGAAAGGGTCACGGAAGAGTGTTAAGGTTTCTCATTCGAGGCGAAGAGCAGCAAACCTGAACGCCGGGCTTTCTGGCACTCGGAAAAGGAGACGGCTACCTGTCAAAGGGCTCGCACTAGTACGAACCACGACAGAAGACGGCCTGCCCCAACCGAGTGTATGAAGCTCCTCGCTCAATGGAACCTGCTTTGTAGCGAAATGCTGACGGCTACGAAACCTAGGACGCCGAAACAGCGTTTATAATTCCAGTTACGGACACTGATCCCATCGAAGATAGCCAGACGGTCTCGCCCAGCTTAAGGCATACCGAAAAGCGGGGCAGAGGGAATCCGAACGTTCCTACTGCCAGCTTCAAAGTCTTGTATGGTCCTCGATGCATTCGAAAGGCTGGCTCTCCCGGAACCTGGGCTCGGGCCCGGCTGACTATCTCCCCACATTCCGCTCATTTGCAAGGAAGGAGCCATCGCAAGAAACAGGTCGGCTTGGAAGCAGTCTCTGACGGATTCGTGGGTGCTGAGTTTGCCCTTCCGATGAGGCCCAAGAAACAAGTGAAAAAGAAGGAAAGGGAGAGGAAGACCGAAACACCTCCTGAAGGCGGTCTAGAGCTCAGTGAGGGTTTCCTTCCAAAGAACCCGACCCCAGGAGACGCACCAGGACTGAGCCACGGAGTCGCCAGTGGTTTTCAGCTGCGGCTTCCACAGACTCCAGCCAACATCGACCACGGTATAAACAGTGTTACTCCGTCCATCACAGCCGTTTCAGCCTCTACTCAAATGGCAGCGGACTCCCGAAGGCCAGTTGAGAACCCGCCGTATCCAGCCGATTATGCTGTCTTCAATCAATTATCTAGCATTACGGCTCCCGCAAGACGGGACTCCGACTCTGAGAGTTCCTCCTTATCCGATGAAGAATTGGAGGAACAGAGTGACCCCAATGGTTCAGTCCGCTCCGATGGTACAGCGCGCACAAACGGGTCTCATAATTCTGGCTTCACTCCGTCGGCCTGCACTCAGGTTCCGACGCATGCTGACGGTGTGGGCTACTTCAACGATGCTGTGCATTATCTAAGTCATACGGCTGTCGAAGATGAGTTCTGGACGCAGTATGGCGGACTGGAGTGAAGGGAGCGTTATGGAGGCTGGCGCAGACAAGAGCGCAACGCACCAGCCAAAACATCCCGTTGGCACGCTGCTGGGAAAGGCTAGTGGGCAAGCGTAGCCGTTGTATGCACAATATGAAGCAACGTGTAGACCATAGTTCAGTATCCTAAGCTGTTCCCTTCGCCATTGCTCGTTCTTACCTTGCGGGCTGCACAAGGGGGAGGCGTGCGCTGACGTGTCGCTCACTGGACAACCTCACCGCAGTCCGCGAATTATGCGCATCATCTTGCGGACTCGTATTCATCCTCTATCCGCGCTCTTCATCGAAGTAGCACTCTCCTGACCCTCGCATGTGCCCCTCGGCCATGCAATACAGTCGGCGTGCCGAAACGCCGATGGTTCTCGCATTGCGTCTCGCTTTCGCTTTTCGGCGAGGCTGGCACCGCCGACCGAGTTGCCGACATCGTGGAAACGATGCTTGTCACACGCAGTTTACCAAAGATTTTCTGTTTCAACGCGGCCGTGGTCCCGTGCTGTTGCTTTAGGGGAGTTTTTACGGTCGGGGGTGAGACATATAATGGACACGTGCCTGGGTGAGGGTGGTGTGACGTTACGAGGTGACGATCTAAAGCGATCTTGAAAGAGCCACGAACGGCGACTCTTGCACTCAACGTGTCTTTGATCCTGAGGTATCGAGAACTCGACTTCATGGCCTCTTCAGGCAGTGCGCCTCATGGCGGGATGGCCGGCATGGTGAGGGCCCCTAAGCCTCCCTTCTCTGAGTATACCCATCCTTCCGCGTATACTACTGCGATGCAGCTCCCACTCTGCCTTGAGACTTGCCACCGGGGAGTCTAGCATGGTGGGGGAGAGCGTAACCTTTACTTAGGTTAGACGCTCTCTCCGACGCCATGGGTTTGGCAATAGGTCAAGTGCAGGGGTTCGCCTTCACCCAGCCCAACTGTATACGCCAACATGGACTTCAAGAGAGCCGATGGCAGATTACCCACTCAGATCCCGCTAACGATGCTCAGATTAGTCAAGGCCCGCCATACCGACCCGCAATATGGATGCTCGGCGGAATCCCCTCCAAGAAAGTCGACATCCCAGTTACGGCCGTCTTCCTCGCCCTCTACATCGTCGGCGGGGCAATCCATCTAGCCATCTTCCTCTTGAACAAGAAGCGCGGCCACAAGTTTCTGTTCAGCCTCTTCATCTTCATTTTCTGCTTGGCCCGCATTGTCACTACTAGTCTACGCATTGCCACCATCTCCAAGCCCACCAACATCGATCTCGCCATCGCTGCTTCAGTGTTCGTCGCAGCAGGCATCCTCATCCTCTTCATCATCAACCTAATCTGGTCCCAGCGCGTTCTGCGCTCTCTGCACCCTCGCTTCGGCTGGCATACTGCTATCTCGACCCTGTTTAGAGTCGCATACGTCCTCATCGCTCTCACGCTAGCCATTGTTATCACGGCAACCGTCCAGATGTTCTTCACGCTGAGACCTCGGACGCGGACTATCGACCGCGATCTACAGCTCTATGCTGGGACGTTCTTCACCATTATTTCCTTCCTGCCCATCCCAATCGTCCTCATAGCTCTGGCGGCACCACGCAAATCCAAGCCTGAGAAATTCGGCAAGGGCCGTTTCCGCACAAAGATCTGGATCCTCCTTATCGGCACAACGCTCTGCTGCCTTGGCGCCGCCTTCCGCTGTGGCACTTCGTGGATAAAGCCAGTTCCCCTGGTGCGGCCCATGCCGGATTACTACTCCAAGGCTTGCTTCTATATCTTTGTTTTCACTGTGGAGATCCTGGTTGTGTATCTCTATGCGATAATGCGTGTAGATCTGCGCTTCCATATTCCCGACGGGGCGAAGGGGCCGGGGAGCTATGAGGCTAGCTTGCGCGTGGGGAGTACGAGTGGCGACGTGGAGGCGAAGCAGGCGCAAGAGACGGCAGCGGAAGGGAAGGTGAGCGAGGAGGGTCCGGGAAGTAGGCCGAGGGAGCAGGAGAAGAAACCGTGGGAGAAGCTTATGAGCCGGCGTCGGCAGTGAGCGTTCAACATCACTAGAGGGATCACACGCATAATTATGAGAGGAAACCGGGGAAACGGAGATGCGATGGCTTGATCCACGGATGCCGATTGTCGTGACCTGGTGCTAGGATTCAGGAAGGGGCAGGAAGACTCCATGAAGGTGGCTTGCGAGGTTTTTCCTTTCTTTCCTTTACTTTTATGAAGCACATTTCCAAGCGAGGGAGTTGTGGGGTCTGGCGAAGCACAGGGTGGAGCAAGAAGTGAATCGGAAGTATATGATATCCCACGACTGTTTTTCAGTCTCTACAACCAATTGAATTACGCCTTTCCGTCGGCTTACTCGGTCCTGGAAAGTACGGAGTAGTGGCGCCTCAAAGGAGGCCGAAGGCTTTCTAGCTCGCGGTTAGCAAGGATAAAATTGTCACCGTAGGGAAAGCTGGGATCCCGTAGTCCGAATCTTAAGACCGCGCACCTCTCACATGGGCAACATCCTCATCTCCTCCAAGCTCCAATACTTCCTCATATTCTCCGCTCTCAACTGCCTCACCTCATCATCCAAATGACTCCAAAGAACATTCCCGAACCCGTCCAACACGCCTTTCAACTCTATCAATCTCAATTCCCTCTCGCCCACCCTACACTCCCCCAAATACTCCTCTAGCTTTTCTAGCCCCCTATGGATCTCCTTGTGCTGGCTCAGCAGCTCGAGCTCCTTCTTAAAAGCTGGCATCTTCTTCGCAAGCACCGGGAAGATGTGCTGTTCCTCGATGGTGTGGTGCATGGTGAGATGGTGGCAGAATTGCTCGCCGAGGGCGAGGAACTGCTTTATTGACATGCCGCTAGGGCGCTTATTGTTCTCGCAGGCGGTCGTCAGCGTGGTCCAGGTTTGCCGGAAGTGATTGTGGTAGTAGTCCATATGCTCAGCCATGCGGTTGTATTGACGGAATTCGGAAGGGGTGAGCTTGGGGAGGGGCTTTTCTTCCGGCTTGTCTTCTAGTGGGCATGGTGGGTGGAGCGCTGCGGGCGCGGCTTCAGATTCTGCGTCTACCATGGCTTGGAAGGGAGCGCGCAATTTCGGGTTGAACACAGTGAAGGCTCGAAGCCGGTGGCGTTGAAGACGCGTTTGAAAGGCGAGTGGAGTGGCGAGTCGCGGATGAAGGCCGCGGCGGATAGATACCAAAATCAGAACTAGATTACCACTCATGCATGCTCAAATGCAGAAAGACTCCAGGCTTCAATGCTCAAAAAGGCGAAATGTTTTCTAAGGTCGTTCGGATTCGGTCTCGCGGTCTTGTATGCAGCTGAGTTCAGCCACTGGGCGCTTACCAAGCCCGGAAAGCGCGTCTTCCGACATCCGATCCGACGCGCAAAGGAATAGTCACATGACCGCGCATTCCCAGGGTTGGTCGTTTCTCCCACCCAACCCGCATCCGGATCACACAACTCTTCTTCAGCTCATTTCTTTCGATTTTTGCCGAATCTCTCGTGCCATTTTCCTGTTGAAGAAACTGGTTTGGGCGTCGTAATTTCAGCATTGGTGGCTGCGGCAGTCTTGCTCTTTGCGCGGATTGTGCTGGAGGAGGGCAAGTCATATGCGCCCGCGATGGTCTTGAGCTCTGCATCGGTCCGCCATGCTTCGGGTAGGCTGTCTTTCCATGCATCGAGGAAGTCAGCAGTAAGATAGTCGGCACCTCCATGCTTTGCTTCCAACAATGTCTTGCCAACGAATGAGACTGCCTTCGTCCGGTCAAGGGAGGACCATGGGCCGGTCGTGTCCTGGTCGTCTTTGGCAAGACGTCTGAAGATAGCCGGGGCAAGTGTTGCCGGATACCCTTCCTCCTCGACCAACTGTGCCAGATGGTCTGTCTGGAACTGGCTTTCGAGCCTCACACCCTCGGCGAGTGCAGCAGCGTTGAGGGAACTCCAGACGTGCGAAAGAGTGCTCGCAGATGGCCGATAGGAGCTTCCAGCCAATTCGAACGCTACCAGCTCGTTCCATGCCTGCTCGCACTGGCCGTCTGACAGCGCAATATCGGCGAATATGCTCGCCTTGCTCTTATGATTCTCTGTTGCGTCCACTTCCCCACCGACGACATGGTATATCGGCAACAGTTCCTCCAAGGAAGAGGCAGCAGCGCCATCAGCTGGATGCAGCTCTAGCGTCGCAGTACAGGAGGCAATCACGCGTGTCGTCGGGACCGATGGCTCACTGGCGTGGCTCTCGAGCGCGGGCTGGGTGACGAAGAGGGAGTTGGACGTCTGCACCTGACGCAGCTGGAAAGTTTTGTCCTGTGTGCAGAGCACGGCATACGCGGCCTTGGGGTTTGGCGTGCCAGAGGGCGCGGAGGGCGCCTGGGATTTGATGGAGAGTCTAGTGATGCACGTCAGGACGGTATCCTCGCAGAGACGGGACGGCAGCGTACGCAGGCGGGTTCGGGGCTTCGAGCAGCTCGGCGATTTCTGGCGGGAGCTCAACCAGGCGGAACTGCTGCAGCTCGTGGGCGACGGAAAGGGGCACGCCGCGCTCGTCCTGCTGTGTCGCCATGTGAAGTGTGTTCTGTCTGTGGGGTCGCTGTCTTTCACGCGACGCCGAACGCGCTCGGGCGGCCTGCAAGGGCGTCTGCACCGGTCCGGCCTCTCCAGGAACATACAGTACCTACCATTCACACCGGGAGACCCCAGCATTGCGCCGTCGCACTGTCGCACCGTCGCACGTTTCAATTCGACGTGCAGCAGCAGCGCCTGGCCCGCAGGCAAGCGGCCCTGCTTCGGCGCCGGCAGGACCCTCCGCCTAGCTTGCGGCTTGTTTACATCTGCACGAAGCTGCACCGCACGTCGCTCACTCGACACTCGACACTCGACACTCGCCGCGCACACGCATGGCCTGCGAACGCTGCTTTGCTCGCCGCCGCCGCCTCTCTGCCATGCCATTGCGGCTGCTTCGGTTCTTCTAGTCGGGCTCAGCTCCTTCATCGTCCGCCCTCGTCACTCGTGTCCGCGCAATTGGCACCATGGTCGTCATCAAACCGGAGCCGGCAGCGCTGTCTGCCAACGACTTGTCGCTGTTCTATACCACCGACGAGCTTCTGTCCAGCTCGCCCGTCCTCGTCTTCTATGGCCCGACCGCGACCACCACCCAGGCGACCCACTCGCGCATCCAGGCCCACGTCTTCACCCCGGCCGGCCTCCAGAACTTCGCCCGTCTGATCATTTCGCCGACGGCTGCGTTCTACAACGCCGTGACGTGCCTTCCGCGCGAAGAGCAGGGCGACGAGATATGCCGGGGCCTCGCCTTCAGTCTGTACAAGTACTATGTCGAGCTGCCGGCCGAGGTCAAGAGCGCCTGGGAGAAGCAGTACAGCTCCATGAGCCGCCTGCCGTCGGCACCGAAGCTTTTCTCCGAGTCCCACGCGGCCATGGTCGCTGCACGCATGGTGAAGATCCAGAACGCCGAAGACGTAATAATTGATGTGCGACATGCGCTGGGGGAGCAGACTCTGTCATGGCTGGATCTGGACGTTGTTCTGCCGCAGGGGAGCATTCAGAAGCTGGACAATGCACGGGAGTCGGCACAATTCGACGAGTCAGAGGATGATGTGCTTCAACAGCGATATGGCCCGTATGGCCCCCTTGTGAAGCTGTTCGGAGAGACGGCCTTTATACCCACGTCGAAACTGCGACGAGCTCCCTCCAAACCCACCGGCCTCAACCGCTCACAGTCTTTCTCGAGGAAGCACAAGGAGAATCTCAGGCGGGAGATGTGCGAGCTCCTCGACACCGAGGAGAACTACGTCAGCAAGGTCCACGAGCTAGTCAACAGTGTGGCCGTCGACTTCCGTCAGAAGGCGAAGCTCAAGAGCTTTTCGAGCACAAGCCCGAGCGAGCAGGCTCTAAAAGGGCTATTTCCTCCGAGCTTGGATAAGATACTCGACGTCAACTCCAAGTTCCTGGACGCCATACGTAACGTCCTTGAAGAGACAGAAAACGATGCGATTCAGGACATCGAGCAGGCCGCAGACGACGTTTTCGTCGCGCCTCTACGGGGACAGAAAGACCCATCAGACGTCACCGGGGCTTTAGCAGTGGCTAAGGCTCTTGTAGAGTGGTTTCCGCAGTTCGGTGATTGCTACACTGACTATATGGCGGCGCACGCAGATTTCTCGCAGCTGCTCAAAAGCTTCATGAAGGATAACACCTCAAGCTTTTCCAAGCGCGTCTATGAGACAGGAGAACAGCGCCTCATGTCCATGCTCATCGAGCCTGTCCAGCGCCTCCCCCGCTACAACCTCTACATCGACAATATTGTCAAGCAGCTTCCTATCCGACACCCGGCAATCAAGACCTTCCTCAAGGCGAGGGATATCGTCTCGGAGATCTGCTCGCGCGATGGACCATCAGCACAGCAGATCAAAGTCTTTGACCGCTTGCGCAAGCTGGTTTTCTCCTGGCCACCTACGTTGAACCCGCAAGGCCGGCTAATAACCACCATCGACTTTGTGGAACTCTCAGCTCCTTATCATGGAGAGCTACATGGTCCTTCGACAACTGCCGGCATTTTCCTTGTCTTCGCGGACTCCCTAGTCATGCTGCACAAGCCGAATAGCTGCACGACGACTGCTCGTAGTCTAATGGCCGACCTGGACAATCCGCGATTCGCCGAGACCTTTTCCGGCTCTGCGGAGCTCATCTTCCACCAGCAACTCAAGCTCGCTGACGTTTTTCTCAGCGAGCATTCAGAGGGAAGCATACTCCAGCTACTCTCGCCCACGCCTTCCTCGAGCCAGCCGGGACGGCCGAGAAGCCGAGACCGCCAGAACATAGGCACCCGGATGTTCTACCTCCAGGGAGCGTACGAGGGTAAAGCGCACAGGTGTGTCGAAGAGGTTACCAAGGCGAAGGTTGAGGGTCGATATCCCGAAGCGGAGCGAGAAAGCCAGACATGGGAAGTTCGCAGCGTATTTGGCGACCTCAACCTCTATTCTGCTATCTCCGAGGACACTGGAGGACAGTCTGTTGAGGGTCGGAGAGAGCCAGCCAAGGTCCGGATCATGGTCGAGGCATCGAAATTCCCGCAGCCCGTACGAGTTGGAGACTACGGCATCGAGCTGACGATATCCGTATCCGTCCTGGAGGGTGGCTTCTACCTCCTCGACATTGCTGGCGTTAACGGCTATGCTACGCGAGACAAGCTGACTAGCGTCGAGTTTCTGCCAGTGCTGACGAAGCGGCTTGGAAATTTCTTCCAGCTGCGCAACAACATCAAGAATCCTGCATTGACCGATGCTTACCTCTTCCGCAACCAACAGATTCTGAAGTCACTCAAACTCCGGCTTGAGGATGGTGGAGACGGTCAGGATAGCAAGAGCCGGCCACACTCACCTGTCAAGATGCTCTCGAATCTGTTCGGTGGCAGCGTGGGCAAAGAGGGCGGGACTAAGAAGCTCCAGCGAAATCCAGCTTCTTTGGGTGATATTCCTCGGATGGCGCCTCCTCTACAACCCCCTCCATCTCGTACCCACAGCCGAGATGGCGAGATGTCTCGTCCAACCTCTTCCAGCAAGACCATTGGTTTCAACGGCAATACCGCACGCTTGGACTCGCCCGCTAGGCTGGAGGAGACTCTCGCAACCTTGATTCTAGCGCTCCATGCTCGTAAAGGGAACATCGTGGGACGATCTATCCGGGCAAGGGCCGTCGCAGATGAACTCGCAGTCAACGAGGTCTATAACTCCCTGCTGGAGAATCCTTCCAACCTGGATCTCGCCTCGCAGTCCTCCGTCGACGTTCTGTTTGCGGCTTTCGAAAAGTTCCTCAACGTCGCGTGGCGGGAGAAGATGGGTCCTGTTCTCTCTCCCGCCACGCTTGTGTCGTTGCAGATGAAATCAGACAGCATGTATCCCGGCGAGTTTGAGGATTTCTTCCGGACGACGTTCCATGAGCTGGCGCCCCAGAACCAGCGATCGCTGCGCGCAATCATCAAGCTACTCGCTGAGCTGCTCGATGGCATGGGCAACGACGGAGACCGTGGTATCTTGACTGCTGCGTTTGCAGAGATTGTCGTCACCGAAGGCAACGCGAATGACTACATCTCCCTGATTGACCGCTTCATCCAAGACATTGATGCGCTCTTCCCAGCTCAGCAGAGTGGCGTCAACACGCCCAATTACGGTTCCGTGGACTCAAAGGGTCGATCCACTGTTGCCGGGTCGATGACCTCAAACACCTCGTTGAGGAAACGCTTCGGCTTCGGCACTCTTACCAGGGAGAACAGCAAATCTGAGAATGAGTCTAAAGTCGGTTCACTGTGGCGCTCTTTGAGCAAGAACAGCCACGGAGCAGAGAGTCAACCGCCCAGTGTATCGAAAGCTGGGCCTGCCTCCCTTGGCCGTTCTAACTCTACAGACACCAACGTTCGCGCCTCACCCAAGCGACCGGTGTCCCGGGACCGTCCTACGGTGCTGGGCGCGTTCGCCTTCGAGGGCCAGCAGAGTCCGGGCCGCTCATTCTTGGGTGCACTGGGCACAATTGGAGAGGTACCGTCTACTGCTGGACCTCCCCGCAAAAAGCGACGCTCTTCATTGAGTGACCTCAAAACTTTGCAGGATGCTGACGATGCGCCCACGTGGTCTTCGCAGACTCCTCGTACTCCTCGTAGACCTGAGTCGTCGCAACCTAATGCCCGGCAGACGAGCGCTTCGCCGCGGACGCCATCTCGTACTACGCCATCGCCGATAAAGCACTCGTCCATCCCTACGCCCACGCGTCTGGGATCACCTATGCGGAAGGAGAACTCACCCGCCAATGCACTAGAGCGTGTAGGCACCGTCCGTCCAAAGTCGATGACTGCGAAGCCAGAAGCTAAGGAAGAGGTTACCATCAAGTCCTACAGTCCGTCCAAGAAGCGAACGGAGTCTGTCTCCGGCATTCCCACCCTCAAGGCTACCCACAGTGGTCTATCTGAGCGCCCAATATCTGGCAACACGGTCAAGCTCCCACCGTCGACGCCGCGCTCGCCAACCAAAGCTAGCAGCTCAGCCAGCCCGCCGAAGAAGCTCAAGATGCAGAGCCCACAGAAGCTGCGGGAGCGTCTCCAGACCCAGCAGCGCGACATTGAAACCGCATCCAAAGATCTCCAGAGCGAGCTCAGCGCCATCGGCCACGAGCTCTCGTTCCAGCGCACCCCACGTCTGACGACGCAATCATCCGCGCCACCCTCCCTCTCCGACCCCAAATCCCTCGAAAGCCGCGTTGCACTCCTCGAGAAACACCTCAAGACAACGCTCGAATCACTCTCCACCCGCACATCCGCCATCGCGCAGGATGTCAGCACTTCCCTCCAAGTCAGCGAGTCCCGCGCGAAGCACCTGGATCAACTATACCGTGACATGAACGCGGAGAACGAGGCGCTGTACGCACGCTTTAACGAGGAGCTGGAGAAGGTGGAGCGCAGTGTGCGGAAGGGCAGGGGCAATGAGGAGTTGGATCGCAGGATGAAGGCGAGCGAGGAGGAGGCGACCAGGTTACGGAAGGAGAATGCGCGGTTGAAGAGAGAGGTTGCAGGGTTGAAGGCCCAGCTTAGGGAGTAGGTGCGCGCCCCAACGCGCTACACTCGCTCCTCTTTTTCCTTATGGGATGAGGTGATTCCTTGAGGGGGTCTGTTGACGCGGCATAGGGCGCTCGAGCGAGCAGCTTTACCCGCGGGTATGAGCGCGGGAGTCGTGTTGGCGGTTCACGAGTGTCACACTTGCATAATTACGGCGTTCATGGCGGCTTTTAGGCGGATTCGCACGACGGCGGACGTCATCGGGGGCGTTATGGTGGATATCTTGATTGGCATCGGGATGCTGATCTTCTTTTCCTTCTTGATGCTACTAGGCTGTGTCCTGTTGCTGATCGAGCGCTTGAGGGACGAGTTTTTGGCTAGGGACGATGGGCTTAACGGGTAATGACCTTGTCTCGATTGGAGATGTGAATATATACTATGTGCATACTTATTAGTCGTGCTTCTAAGAACGTGTTGGGCTGAGTTGTGTCAGGTCTCCAAGAGTTGAAGGATGCTGGATCGGAGGTCCACTGGCCAGAAGGGCTACAGATAATTTTGGAGCGGTGCCGCTCACCGCTCAGACGGACTTCCCAGGTGGGTATAAGCTACTCTACTGATTTGACGAGTATGTTACACTCTAGGGTCTCCTGATGCCCGTTCTGTAGGTACCTGTTAGTCCCTATACATCCCAACAGCGCTCTACCATCACCCCTAATGCCCATGGCCGTCGTCCTCTCCACCACCCCTCTCCTCCGGATCCAGCTTGATCATGGTATCAATGCGCATAATCGCCACGCACGCTTCAACCGCACTCTTCAACTGCTTCACCTTGCTCATGCTAGGCTCCAGCACGCCCGCCTTCAAGCAGTCGTGCACCTTGCCGTTTACCAAGTCCAAGCCGTAGTTCTTGTAGTTCTTGGATCGCGCAAGTTGCTTGGCGTGCTCGGGAGTGGAAGGATCAGAGGGTGTGCGTTGCGAAAGGGCATGTCGGGAGCGCAGGTGCGCGACAAGCTCGGTAGCGTCTTTTGCGGCGTTTATGGCGAGGGTTTTGGGGATGGCGAGGAGCGAAGTTGCGAAGGCGGCGATGGCGAGTTGTTCGCGGGAGCCCTGCAGATAGAATTAGATTTGGTTCAGGGACAGTATTGTAACGGCTAGTAATTACCACTGATGTTGCCCACTCTTCGAGATAGATGTGCAGAGCAGTCTCCACGGCTCCTCCTCCAGGAACAACGCGGCCGCTCTCGAGAGTGCGTTTCACCGCCGAAAGGGCGTCATGTACTGATCGCTCCATCTCATCCAGTGCGTAGTCGTTCGCTCCACGCAGGATGATAGAGGCAGACGAGTGGGCTTTGGTTCCCTTGACCAAAATACACTCGTCGTCCGAGATGCGTTCCTGCACCACCTCCTCCGCTGAGCCCAGATATGCCGGCTCAAATTTCTCGTCGCCGTTTAAATCAGAGAGCGTGCTGACCAGCGTAGCTCCGGTGGCCTTTGCTATCCTCCGCAGATCCTCCTTCTTACATCTCCGCACCGCGATGGCGCCTTTTTCGACGAAATGTTTCAGGCACATGTCGTCAATGCCCTTGGTCGTCAGCACGACGTTGGCGCCTGCTTTCAGGATCATCTCTATCCGGTCGATGACGATCCCGGACTCTCGCTCTCGGATCTTCTCCAGCTGCTCTGGGTCATCGATCGTAATGTGGACGCCCAGCTTCATCCGTTCTTTCTGTAGGTTGATGTCTAAGCATGCAATCTTTGCGTCCGTGACGCGCGTCTTCATGGCTTGTGAGGCAATGGTGCAGTTCAGAGCGTATCCCTTGACTAATACCGACTCGGTGACACCTTTTCCATGCGCCTTCAGGATGTTTACGGCCTTGACGGGGTATTTGACCTCGTTCTTGTTGTTGGTCGACTTGACGGACAGCATTGCGTCAACCACCATGTTAGCGAAGAAATCCGAGTCCGACCCGATGATCTTGCTCGACATGGACGTCTTCGCGATGTTTATAAGCGGCTCGCGGCCTAGCGAGTCTACCCTTGTGCTGATATTTTCGTTCATGTACTTCACCGCTTCCCTCAGCGCCAGCCTGTAGCCCGTGATGATGGTGGTGGGATGTATCTTGTTCTTCATAAGCTCGTTCGCCCGTCGCAACAGCTCCGCTGCTATTATTACGACCGATGTGGTTCCGTCCCCGACCTCTTTGTCCTGCTGCTGCGCCAGGTCGACGAGGATCTTGCCGGCGGGGTGCTCGACGTCGAGCAAGCTGAGGATGGTCGCGCCGTCGTTGGTGACCGTCACGTCGCCGATATCGTCCACCATCATCTTATCGAGGCCTGAGGGGCCAAAGGAGGATTTCACGACATTGGCGATTGCTTGGGTCGCGAGGACATTCTGGTCGCGGATGTCCTGGCCGCTGATTTTCTGTCCGCCGAGGACTGCGATTTACGTTAGCTGGATCCCCGAAAGCTGGAAGCTTAAGGGGCTTACATAGAGTCCCTGCATTGCGTTGCTGCTCGAAAATCCCTGCCATGGTGCCGTGTCTAGCTGTTTGTTTCTGTTGTCTGTTGCCTTTGGGCGACGCGCTCCAGATTTCTTGTTTCGACCGGAGAAACCTTCTGCCGAAAGGCCGGCCCAGCCTTTCACCGCTGGACGTCCTTAGTTTTCTTAATCTTAAAGCCAGACGTATTGGCGCAGTTTCTGACTCGCCCGGCTACAAGACATTCAAGAGCACATCCCAGACGTGTTTCCTAGACTCTACCAATATTCCAGTCACGTGCCGGAACGTCGTCACCCATTCACAGTGGAATCGACCACCCGTCCGGCCTTGGCAGCCATCGATGTGCCTGGCAGGAAGGTCACCAGCAATGGCGACGGATTCCGGGATGGTAGTCTTGAGCAATCAGCTTGGATTGAATCCGAAGAAAGAGATCGAGGCTGGTTTTGCAAGAAGACCGCCCGCAGGAGGAGCCGAATGGATCAACCTGGATAACAAAATCGCGATTACATTAGAGAAGACAAGCATGGCCGGGCTGCCTGCCCATCGTGCGCGTGTTGCTGGTGTCGATGACGAATACAATACCAGAGAAGGGATTAAAAGACGTGGAGATCCCAAAGTCAAAGAGTCGTACGAGGTACAGCTGCTGAGCGCAAGGCTCGGTACGGGTATGTCAATCTCTGTGTCTCTTGGGCGAATTTCCCAGCCAACTGCTTCAGGGCCCGATATCTGCCTAGAAGTCAACATGGGTAATTCACTAACCCAATGAAATTATCATTTCTCAATTAGGCAATCCATCAGTGAACCTCTGAGTGACTTAGCAGAACGGAATTTAGATTCCTTCGAGGCACTTCCATAGGCGTAGATTAGGAGGGGGCATGCCACTTGGCAGGGGAGCAAACACTGAGCAGTGAATGCCCACCTAACCACGCAGCACCCAAAAAGCGCGCGCACGCGAACTTAGTGAATCATTGATTTGTTGTTGCTCGCTGTCCATGCGCCTCTAAGCATCGCTACGCGTTCGAGAAACACATTATCTGTTCACCAGCTATGTAGCCTCCGCCCCAGAATTTCCCTTGTCCTTCCACCTCTCTACCTCTTTACTCCAACAACACTACTACTCACTACTTCACATTATCGCCTACCTCTATCCGCACCCTCAATCTTAAACGCCACCAAAAGCCCTTCGCAGGGCACATGACCGGAAAGCACAATCTCACATCAGCGCAATGTGCCACAAACTCTTCCAGATACACGCCTGTGGCCATACAAAAGAGGTCTGCACCACGCCATGTCCGCACGCCTTAGCAACCGCGTATTACGCCTCCACCACGCCAGCAGACCCATTCTCGGACGCCGCGTCTTCGCCCACGACACCGCGGTACCCTTCGGCTCCGTCGTCCGCCTCGCCAACAGCGGGAGAGTTTGGCCCATTACCACAACTTGTCGCCAAAGCCCGGTCCGCCGTCAACAGCCTGCCTTCTCAATGCGACCGTGATCAACCTCCTACGGCCGATCCAACATCTCCACACTCCGTAATCTCCAATCATCCATCTCCGCTACGCTCAAATCCCACCACCTCCCTCGTACTTCCCAACTCCGCAGGTGGCGAACCCGAACTCACGGCCAACTTTTGCCCCTACTACTTCAGCCGGTACCTCACGCCCTCTAAAACTCCCTGTCTAAAGTGCTATATGCGCCCTGATTGGACCAACACGCGCCAGCGCTGGATGACGTGGTACCGGATCGAGCACCCGGGGACAAAGCCGGAGGATCTGGCAAGTTTGGCGGGCGTGGAGGGGATTCCGGGGCGCGTAGGGCTGGTGAATGTTTTTGCTGAGATGCAGAGGTTGGGGAGCGTGAAGGCGGCGCAGAATGCGTCCCAGCGGTAGAGTGGGGATAGGGGAAAGAATCCTCTTAGAAGGTGGACTGAATACGAGGAACGGGATGGAAAAGATGGTCGGACAAGGGATTTGTGATGCGCTTGCAACGTGGAAGACCAAGGTACCGTGCTCATGGAGCAGCATACCGCAAGACGAAAATGCCGTGAGTATTGCCCGCCCGGCCCGGGGGAATGGGCAAAGAACTTAAAACGGAATATATGCCCGTCCATACAGCCTACGTATACCAACGCGCCTCTTCCTTAGAACGTGATTCCAAAACTTTTTCGTGAATATCTCATCAAGTATGGCGTACTGCTCATGCTATTGCCCATGCTAACTTTGATCTACAAAAAGTCGTATGGCGGGTTCCCGTGTATCATTTGCCAGTCGATATCCAGTGTGCTTTTTGCTTGCATCTCCTTCGTTCCTTCCACTAGATCATGCTTAGTAACCTCGCCAGGGCCATCAATGCACAGAATCTTAAGCCCAGGAAAGAACCTCGTGTAGTCAAGATTAATACCCTTCCACTTCGTCATCCAAGATTCTTTTGTCATCCAGTTTTGCCCAAATACGCTCTGGATGGCCCTCAGGCTCGCTTGCGGCAGTCTGTTCTTGTCTTCAACGAACCTCCGCATGACATGGACGCTCTGGAAGGCCCAAGTGTTCCATTGATATGGGAGTAAGGCGGTGTCCTGGTAGAAGTCCCTGGAAACACTGTTCAATACCTGCAGTCCTCGCAGAGCTTCTCGTTGTCTCCCAGAAAGCCGGGTGGTGAAGGGGTTGCAGTCAGTTGGATATCGGGTGCAATGGAATCCTGCCAAAGGCCTGCTTTCTAGTCGGCGTCCGATCTTGGCTTTGGGACTGATTTTGTAGGCATGGCCCCCGAACTGTATGTAGATGACGTGTGAGCTGAGCACTAACTCATAGATTCTTAAACGGAGTTCTGCCGGGAGCCGAAAGAAGAGACATGATGTCTGATTTCTTCTCCAGCTACATGCAGTGTCAGCGTGGAATAGCAACCGTATGATGATAGGGGATGCCGCACATTGCTGCTTGTGGAGATCGGCGGGTCAAGTTTTGGAGCGAAGACTCGCGGCGCGCTGGAGGCTCCGTCTTTCGGTTGCGCTTGGCCTTCGGCATGTCGAACTGTGTGTGATCCGCCTAGCCGTCAACCGTTCGAATTGCGAGGAGCGTAAGGGTTCCATATAGTTGATGATGGGAATCTTCCGATATCTAGGCAACCGCAGGTGCGCTTGCCTTGAATGGTTAGCGCAAATTAATTTTCGCCATCATCCTCCATTTCCTCAGCCTTATTACTCTGCTCTTCATAGTCGCCTATGCACGAGGTCCAAAACAATATAGCATGTTCGGATGGTGGTCGCAATCCTGAACACCTCCCGCCATTGGGTTGTACCAATATTCTTGACTTTCTTGGCGATCGATTCCGCGGCGTCACCAGCAAACTCCCGCTCTGGGCTCTTGTTCACACACGATGACCTCCATGGCTACGCCCCGTATGTCGTCGGATAAGTCGGCACTATATATATATGCTTCATGGGACCCCGGCTCCCGTCCGCCATGGCGGTCTCCCTTTGACCTTCCTGATCGCTTCTCCTCTTTGTCTTCAAGAGGAACAACTACCCAATGACCTTCCCAGTTCCAATGCGACGTGTCACTGTTCCTCCCCATCTACAACCTTGCCGGCAAATTACTGCCTCACGCGGACGGAATCGCGTCGCCAAGGGGTTGGCGACCACCGCCGAGCTCGACTCCGCGTACAGACACATCATCGCCCATCCTTCGACCTGCGAATCATCTCACGTCCCGCCCGTCAGACGCGCAACTGCCCAGCCTCAGCGCCCAGCGAACACGTGATGCTCCAGTCGCAAAAATGCCATCACCTCTCCAGGGACCCGTGGGAACCCTGCTGGAAACCCTCCGCCCCGCTCCCATTTCGAACTGTGCGACTGGATCCGTTATCAGAGACGTAGTTTCGGCCACGTGCAGTGTCTACTCTCCTGATATGGGCTCCTAGTTTTGATGGTTGTTGAGGGCGGAGATGCGGCCTTGGTCGCGCTGAAAGGATCCACAGGCCACCGCCAAGCATCTTGTCTTCTTAGCGGCGGAGGCACATAAGTAAAACTCGTCCGCTCGTCTCTTGGGGAGGCCCGCTGCGTCCTTTTATCCCTCTGCCGTCGCCAGAGCCATGGTTGCGAGCCGGACGGTCGAAAGAAGCGACAACGGGCGATGAAACATCGATGAACGACACCGACACCAACCGTCAAACATGGACGCCCTGTTCGCAATATCAAATTCGCAATATGCAGAATTTCCTAAACGGGAAGCGGCGAAATATAGTAAGCCTGGTTGACTACCCCAGGTCCTGTGGATAGCAGAGCTAACCATCACCCAGCCAAAGGCCTGATAAACCCCTACATTTACGATCCCAACATTCCCGCTGCCATTGTCGGCGCCATCGTCATCCCGCTCCTCTCCGCCGTCCTCATCTACCAGTACTTCCGCTATCGGTCATGGTTTTTCTGGGCCGCAGTCATCGGCGTGCTGATGGAGACCATCGGCTTCATCAGCCGCCTCGTCTCCGCAAAGGACGAGCACAACGACTTGCCCTTCCTCATCGCCTTCCTGATGATCTTATTGGCACCCAGCTTCCTCGCCGCAGCCTGCTATACAGCTTTTAGCCGAGTAGTCTGGTTCTCCTGTCCCGCACATGCCCTCTCTTTCAAAGCTCTATGGTGCTTCCCCCGCTGGATCACTCCGACCTTCGTAATCTTTGACCTCTTCTCCTTCGTCATCCAACTCGTAGGCGCCAGCCAGATCTCCAACTCCTACGACCACGACGACTCCCCTCTGCGCAGCATCGAGGAGTCGGAGAAGAAGATGGTGGCCGGCCGCGTGATCCTCGTGCTGGGCTTAATACTACAGCTCTCCTGCTACCTCACCTTCGCCATCATCGCTCTCCGCTATTTCGTCATCAGCTTGCACTGGCGTGCCAACGACCTAGGAGATTGGAAAATGTGGCGTCGTCTCTCCTGGATGATCAACATTGCTGCTGGGCTGATCACTCTCCGCGCCATATACCGTACCATGGAGATACCGCTCGACAAGGGCTCGGGGCTGCGTTATTTACAGCAGCATGAGTGGTGCTTTTGGTGCTTTGACGCGTTGCCCATTGCGGCCGTGTTGGTGGTGATGGCGGTGTGGCATCCGGGGAGGTACCTGCCCAGGACCTATACCAGTTGGGTTCTGGATAAGAGGAAGGCTGTACAGGAAAAGGATGAGTTGAGGCCGGCGAGCGTGGTGTCCGACGTCGAACTTCGGGAGTTCACGCCGCGGGACTTTGGGGGCGGCGTTGGCGTGAGGGTCTAGCAAACAAAGAGGAATCGTGAGGAGAATAAAGGCGGAGAAAAGAAGGCCCAGAGGGCCAGAGGGAGTGCTCTAATGTATGATACCATTGCATGGCCGGCGTTGTGGGAATGTACCTTGAATTCAACAGGAACCGCTTTTGATTACTCCCCGTAGCAGTCTACAGAGATCATGCGACAAACGTAAGGTATATGTGATCATGTACATATAGCATAGCGCTCGTCCAAGTCAGTCACAAACAACATCGCCATTTTGACATGTCTATATGTCCATGCAGAACAAGGAACTTAGTATCACGTACCAGCTCCGAGGATCCCGAGGATCAAAGAAACGTGCCAATCCATGTACCACCAATCGAGGGTATATCCGCTAAATCAAGGGAAGAAGCGAAGAAACAACAGAGATGGGGGAAGAGAAACAGAAGAAGTAGCTAGAGGATTAAAGAAGTTAGACAAAAGAAATGAAGAAGATGAAGGAGAAGGGGTAAGAATAGGTAGCGCGTTGGGAAAAATCATCAAAACCCAAGGTCCAATCCTTCGTCCATCAAATAGTGCGTCGTTTCCGTGGTCCTGTCCCAGTCGTCAAAGATGCATTTCTAGATCAAGTCGACCGACTCGCGTCATGTTCGGTCAAGGCGTCGTCTCGTGTCCGTGCCGTGAAGAAAGATTTCGCAGCCTGTCCGTCGTCCGCTTCCTCGAAATACTCCGCTCGCCGTTCGTTTTGCCCTGCACCACGGCAGTCCAGTCCTCCCAGTCGCTCGCCATCTCCGTAAGCACGTTGCCCATGACCTGCGCGCTCGCCATGAGGCCGTGCTGTTCGCCCTCGAGGATCCTAACCTCGCATTTCCGCATTAGGCGACCGAGCCACCGGACGTTGTCAACAGGGACACGCGAGTCCTTGCTGCCGTGGTGTATGACGACGGAGCGGTTGATGTCTTCGTACCTGAAGCCAATTGTCTGCTTGGTCTCCAAGCATACAATGAGGTCGGTCGCCGGGTTTGCATTGGTCGTAGCACGGTCCCAGATAGCAAAGGTAAGTCGCTCGTCGAATTCCTGCTGCCGCTGGCGCTCGACTTGGGTAAGAGCTTCCTTCATCCTCTTAGCCTTCTCGTAGTTCGGGTCTGCGGGGTTGGCTAGCGCGAGAGACATGGAGCTGGCATTTGGCAACACCTGGTCCATGAGCATCATCGACTCCCGCCGCGACTCCTTAAACTGCGGTCGCTGGGGCTGCTGCTGCGGCGGCGGCGGCGGCATAGCTTGCGGGCTGACGCTCTTCCGCTTCGTCTTGGGCGAATTTTTTGGTCCGGTACGCTGCAGGCTTGCGCTTGTGGCGCTGAGAAAGGTGGAATTGGCGACTTTGAGGAGGGACGGAGGGAGAGCGCGCAGAAAGCGCTGAGATCGAGGGAGCTGCTGCGTGGGTGGCTGGTCCTGGCTGATGCCGATGGGTGCCATCTGTGATGGCGGTATCCAAGGTGCGAGCAAGTGCACACGTCCACGGATATGCTGCGGCATGCGTAGCGATGTGGCAAGAGCGTACACAGCGCCAGCCGAATGCGCCAGGAGGGAAAACTTGGTAATCTTCAACGCCTGGCAAATCACAAGAACATCATCTGAGATAATTTAGTCTTTGCACGGCCGAAGCGAAAGGGAGGGTAATGGCATACCTGGCCAGCTTAGAGGGGTGCCGTTGGGATCAACTTGGCTTCCCCCAATTCCAGGACGATCCGGGGTGATCAGCCTCAACTTCAGAGTCAGGGCCAGCTGGTCGTAGAAGGCCATGACATATCTTGTCAAGCCCATGCCAACGCAGACGAAGACAGCGAAGCCTTGCGGATCTCCCACTTCTGAGAAGAAAATGATGCGTCCTGTTTGCGGGTGGCGTATCCTCTGCGATAGGCGCGGCGAGTTGAGATATCCTTCGACATCAATATCGATTGAATCTGCGCTGGCAGGGCGCTCTTCGATGACCGGGTGCGGGGGTCTCTGGACGGGCAAGGCCTTCGCAGCGGCCGCCGCATTTACGGCATCGACCTTGTCGTTGTGCGCTTTCTCTGCCTTGGCGGGCAGGTCGGGGTGCGACCATCGTTTCTTCTTGAGCGTGGGGCGATGCTGGAGGCTGTTCGATGCCGGCGACGGGGCCATGCTGAGCGAGTGGTGTCGAGTGGTAATCTCCTCGCTGGCGGAACGGAATGACCTCTCGCTCACAGCGCCACTGGTGACACTTGTGGAATGCTTGTGCGCCGTGTTTGCACCCATGATTATCGAGTGTGTCGTCTTGCGGCCCACTGCAGATCGTCCTCCCACCGCGAGCGAGTGCGCGCGCCGCGGCGGTGTCCCGCTGGACGAAGTTTCCCTGCTCTTGAGCGACGCGTTGCTGCTGCTCGGAGCGGCGGGCGACGCTGGCGCTGTCTGTTCGAGAGTGCGAAGCGCAAGCCTGTAGTCAATCGGAAGCGGGGTAATATCGTCACCATCGTTCACCGTCAGGCTTCTGGTCCGTGAGTGGCCCTGCCTCTTGGGCGTTTCGCGGGCTTCGCGCTTTTCTCTGCTTTCTGGGACGCGGGACGTCCTCCTTTCAGGCGGCGTGGGCTGCATTGTTATCCCCAGGACCTTGTGAGCTTTCGCGGGGTCCTGCACCCGTTTTTCAGACAGGCTTGATACAGATGAGGTTGGGGACGGCTCAGCGCTCGCAATTGGTGAAACGCGCGCGACGCCTGAAGAAGCCCCTGCAGCAACACCCACAGGAAGCTTGCCGGCTATTTTGTCGCGCAGCATCTTCTGCTTCCTTAGCTCTCGAATCCTGCGGGCGACTTCGTCTTCTTCTGCCTCCAATTCCTTGAGAATTTTCTCCTTTGCCGTCAGCTCCTGATCCACATTTTCATCTTCCTCCGGAACGGTGTTCGTTTTGTACGAGTCATGGCGGCTAGTCTTGCGGCTATGGCTCCTCCTGCCCTTCCGCGAAGGACTTCCCGAGTGCCTCAAGGATGAGCCACGCTCTGGGATCAGGCCCTTCTCCGTGGGACTGCCTCCGTCGTGGCCGTTTAGTAGGCTGATACCGTTTCGAAGCGGGCTCGTGCCTCTGCTCGGGCCTCTACTCGGATATCGCTGCGCGGCGCGAGACGACTCCGCAATCGCCGGCTCCTCCTTGATCACGTCCTCGGAGACCAGAAGCTGTGGCGGGGCCTTTCTCGCAGATTCAGACGACGAGGCAAGCTCTGGCCCCTGTATTGTTGCGCGTTTCCGCTCCGCGTCCTTTTGCCGCAGTCGCTCGCGTGAGCTCATGTACATCAGACTTCTGTGTCCCCTCGCGCTGCGCTTGCTCTCGGAAGATGTCCTATTGCTGCCGTTGGAGACCTGCCTAGGAAGGCCGGCCTCGATGCTAATGTTCCCAATGCTGCTTATCGAGCGTGCGGAGTGAGTTGAATGAATGGATGCCGAACTCCCTCCGGTTCTGCTCATGTAACTCCTCAGCGAGTTCTCCTTGTCCTTCTTCTTGGGCGCCGTTATCGGCGACAAGCCCGATGGCGGCTTTGCCGTGCGGATGACGGGCGGCTCGCATGCGTCGTCGGGATAGAGGTGGTTCTGGTCCTTCAGGTTCTGGTAGTATGCGGTCGGATCCAGGGCATTGCCCTGCGGCCCGCCAAAGGTTGCACTTGTATGCGGGCTGGCAGGAGAGGACGCGGTCTCGCCGTAGCTGGCGGGCAGGTTCTCGAAGTGGTTGTGCGCGGAGACGGAGATGGCCGAGAGCTGGTCGATAAGGGAGGAGATGACCTCGGGTGAGGCCGTCTGCGTGCGGATGTAGTTGGGCGAGCGCTTTTTGGGGCGGATGTCGGTTGGCACTGAGGGCAGCGAGCTGCGGCGACGCGAGAGCAGACCGTGGATCGGGGTGGATTTGGCGTCAGCGGGGATGCTAGGGACGGGCGGAAGCTGCTGTGGTTGGACGTCCATTTTGCCTGTTTACAGCTCGAGGCCGTACGCAGCAAACTCGTCGCTGTCCCGACGTGTGCACGCGTCGCGCGCGATGTGACGGATGTGACTGTGCAGCAGTAGTGGTGGAGATCAGTGCATGTCTTCATGCGAACGGCCGTTGCCAGGCTGGCGGACGCGTTGGCGTGCGCGCAGCGCTGTTGACGTCGGGCTGCCGGAGGGAAACGCCTGCGACGGCGGCGGCGACGGTGATGGTGATGGTGACGGCGAGGACGAGGCAGACGGGCAGACGGGCAGACGAGATTCTGCGCGCGCCGTGCAAATCATACACAGGGGAACTCCCGGGCTAGGGGTGAGGCCGTCGAGGTCCCCCGGCCGGCGACGCTTCGCTTCTAGGCGGCGCCCACTCCAGCGAGCTAATTGCAGCCGGCCGTGCATCTGACTGGCTGGGAGGCCGAGTGCATCGCTGTCATAGAAGCCTCTTAAGTACACACATTGCCGCGGTGGGCAGGCACGGGTTTCTTTCGGGGCGCTGCTTCCCCTTTGAGAGTCAATATTTGCCTGTATCGTACCTGCCTCTTCCTCGGAGACAATTGGACATGACCACGGCTTACAGTGCTCCCCTCTTCCTCTTCAGCACCCCGCGTCTCCCGCGCCCGGCTTACTACTGTATGGGAATAGTTTGGACCGTCCCGCCAGTAACAGCCCGCAGCGGATATCGTGCAGCACTCATGCAGGGAACCGAACTTGCAGCTGCAACGAAGCCGTCGGAAGCTTACCACGGTAACTACCTCCGGAGGTACTACCAGCACACCCACCAGCGCATCTCCTGAGGCCTTCAGCTTGTGGCGCCTGCGCTGCAGTGAGGCGAGCTCGGAGAATTTCCACACGGGACCCACTCGACGAATAGAGGCCCGCGAAACACTCAATCAGGGACAGAAACAATGCCGAAGCGAAACACACGCAATGCGACTCGCCTTTTGTCAGCATGACCTGATCGCCATCCATCGGTGAGCCAGAAGAAGCAGCAAGGCAATGCGTTGCTAAAACCCCTGATGAGCCCCTAGAAGGACGGTCGCCACCAAAAAAACACGACGCCGCAACGGTTCCGCGAGTCAAGGAAAGAACCGTCCAGCCCGAGGGGATGCAGTCCACAGTATTCACAAGCACAGGTGCCATATCCTCCACGATAGATACCCTTTGTATCTGCAGACGAACACTATTGATACTGGCCTTGCTTTGCCGGCCCAGAAGCCGTCAGATGGCCGCTCCGGCTGGACATTGACGGCGTCTCTAGCCGCACGCCAAAGGGATTACCATAAGGCCACTCCGCTTTACCCTATCGTATTCTCCAGGACAACGCGGATGAGCTAGAACCTAAGGAAGAGGAACGCGCCTTCGATCAGTAGTAGGTCCTACTCGCCAAAGCCCGGGAACTCCGCTGGACGTCTATCAATTTCCCAACAACCCCCAAACACGTTTCATGCACCTGCCCATCCCCATATAACATGCCGACTAACGGTTGCGCGTCACCTAGACACGTTTGACATAGGCGCCGAACCCTGTCTGATAGCTCCTCGGCTGCGGTTGCGGTCCGTGAACGTTGCATGAGCAGGGCGGGGATCTGGCACCACTACGTCATCGGATGGCGCATTCCAAGCTTCAACACCATGAAACATATCATCAACCTTACTTACGCTTCATGATATCCACTCTTCGCCCTACGCACTCATACTTCTCCTCAAACGTCGCAGAACCTGTCGTGGACTTCTTGAGCGATTGAAGACGGTCGACACAATGTCGCTCTCCTCCCTCTTAGCACCCGTAACACTTCCCATCGCATCACTCTTTGCAATTCCCATGCTCTCGTCATGGTCCACATCCCTCAACCTCATCTTTTTCTCCTTGACATGGACTACAGTCGCCATGACCTACTCTCCCCTCCAACTCGAATTCTTCGTGCCGCTGTTCTTGCGCACCTTCCTCTACCTGCTCCCCTCCGCGCTATTTCTACTGTTTGACCTGGGTGTACCAAGTCTCGCCGTCGAGCTAAAAGCGCAGGGCACCTACGGTCTGCCGGGAAAGCAGAAGGGTGGAGCTGCCAAGATTAGAAGGGTAGTCGCATGGAGCTGCTTCAATGTGCTGCTCGCTGTGGCAATCCAAGCGGGCATCGAGTTCTTGGTGACGGACGTCTTTCGGGTGCGCAGTCTACTCTTGATCAAAGGGAGCGCCTGGTCCCTCAACCACCTTCCGAATCCTTGGTCTCTATTCAAGCATTCGGTCCTCGGACTTCTATCAAGAAACGTAAGTGCACAGCAGCCTGGAGCGCTTTGGCCGCTTAACGTGAACATCGTGGGCTGGAGATACACACAGTCATTTGGGATGAGAAGACTGACCTAGCGCACAGATCCTCCAATACTACATCCACCAACAAATCCTCCACTCCCCTTCCGGCGGTGCCCTCGCACACTGGCATCAAACATGGCATCACAGTATCTACGTCCCCTACTCCTTCGTCGCAGCCTACGATCACCCAGCCTGTTACCTCCTCCACCGTTTTCTGCCGCTCTACCTTCCCGCTATCGCGCTCCGCTTCCATATCATGACCTACCTCCTGCTCCTCGCGCTCTCTTCCCTCGAAGAAGTCTTCGTATACTCCGGGTACAACGTCCTGCCGTCGACGATCATGCTGAGAGGTATGGCTCGGAGGGCCGACGCGCATATGATGAGCCAGGGCAAAGGAAACTTTGGTCCGCTTGGTGTCCTGGACTGGATGCATGGAACAACATTAGGGGCTGACGTTATGGACGACTTGCAAGACGAAATGGAAAAGCACCACGTGCAGGAGCGATCGGGAAGGGCGATCAATGAGGCTGGTGACACCGCCAACGGCATCGCGGGGAAGTTGAAGGGAAAAGCAAAAAGGGGGCGAGGGAAGAAATGAACGGTGCTGGAGGGAATATCTTCACAGTGTGGGGGGTATGATAGGCCTGGGCGCGCGGTCCGGCTGATTCTTTCTGAGTGATATTTTCTATGATACCCTCACATCTCATTCGTTCTGCCGTAGTCGCGGCACAAGTATTTGGAGGAATATCAGGTCTATTACAGGTGATCAGCTTTCCTGGCATGCCTGAATATTGAGTCATTGTTGCCGTCGGCATGACATCACAGCAAGCACCGTGCCGGACATTCACTTTTGGACCGTTTCGAATTCGCTTGCCTGTTACAAGGTCGTAGAAGAAAATGCAAATCGGACCCTCCATGAAAAGAAGTGCCTGCTATTTCGGCTGCGGCGTGCCGGAGTCGTCCTTCATCCCATGCACTGAACGCCAAATGCCCGTCTATCCCCCATCTAGAAGACCATCGTGTGTGGCCTGTCCGACTTGCGGAGGCTGAAGCTGGCGCTGAGGTAGTCGAGTAGGTGAGCCTCCTTCTTGATGTTGGCGATGAGCGCCTTGTCAACGGCCTTCTGGTCCTCCACGCGGTCCTTCGAGGTCTCTTTCTTCTGTGTGATTGTTAGCTTTATCCCCCCTTGTTGTGCCAAAGACCACCCACCTCAGGCTTCTCGCCCTGCTTGAAGAAAGCATCTTCTCCCGGCTTCTTGGTCGGCTTGTCCTTGGTGAAGAAGCCTGCCTCGCTCGCCTTCTTCATGACACCATCATCCACACCGCTCAAGTCCACCTTAGTCGATGTCGCGATAACATATCGGGCGTTTACCCTTCGCAGGGGGACGCCATTGATTTTGAACGGGCCGGTGACAAGGAGAACGCCCTGGTCGAGGTGTTTGAGGAGGACGACACGCTTACCGCGGAAGCGACCAGCGAGGAGGATGACGACGGTGCCGGGCTGGAGAGACGGGCGAACCTTGGTCGGGCGAATGGACTTGCGAGCCTAGAGTCACAGTTAGCAGAGTTCCAATTTGAGTTCTAATCGCGCGATGAGAATCTGAGCGCCTCCGCATCGCTGCAAGAGATGTCCTCAACTCTTCGCGGGCTGCAGCGAGCATCCTCTTCTCTTAATTCGACCGTATTGTCGCCGGCGACAACGTACCTTCCTCGGGACAGCGACGTCCTCAGCAGGATAGTACTTGCTAGCCTTCTGAGACGCGTGCGGTATCGACCGCTCGCCCTTGCCGAACTTCTTCGTTGTAGGTTTGTCGGCCATCTCGGATTGTGGTGTCGTCGAAAGGTTGGCCGTGGAGGTGGTGATGGGCTCGTGGAATTTGGATGTGTGCGCGGCTTGGCAGTTCGGTACGGTGAAACTATGGGCCGTGTTAGTCAGCCGCAGCTCCCCCGAACTACGGTAGGCAGCTCCGCCTGCAGCACAAGCTCGCCTCTTCCACAATACACAACACACACTTGCGAACATGTCTATTCAACCGCTGGTCACGTTCAAGGCCGGGCTGTGCGAGCTTACTGTGAGCATTTCGCACCCAGAAATCCTTCAAGCTCCTCTAACCCGCTGACCGCCGCAGGGCAGCTCACCAAACCAGAAAGTCAAGCCGCAGCAGACGCCCGGCTACGTATACCTATACCAAGGAGACGATGGTTTGTGCCACGCGTACCTGATAACCATTCCTGCTAATACCGCCAGACTTCGTCCACTTCTGCTGGCGACCGCGGGAGAACGCCGTCGATCAGGGCGATCTCGATCTCATCATGATCCCCGGCGACGGTTCCTTCATGCCCTACACCGGCTCCGATACGGCAGCAGATTCGGATAATGTCCGCTCTCCGACCGACGGCCGGATATTCGTCCTCAAATTCAGCTCCAGCTCTCAGCGATACCTGTTCTGGATGCAGTCCAAATCACAGCACCCCAAAGGCGATCCTAGTTGGTTCAGCGCACGGGATCTAGCGATTGGGCAGATTGTCGACCGACTTCTCAATGGAGAGGACGTCGACGTCCAACACGAGCTGGCCCTCGCGGCTAGCCAGGGCCCTGGCGGTGACGACGACGAGACCATGGAGGATGTCGAAGGCACAGATCACTCCGCCAACCGGAACCGACATGGCAGTACGGGAGGTGCAGGGCCCGGGGCAACAGGCGGTGACATCAGAGAAGAGGGCGAAGAGTCGAGAGAAGGCGGTGCTGATGGTGGCCGAGCGTAGGTACCGAACGTCCTTATCATTTCCAGCGTCGTGGCGCGGTCGACTTCACAGGCTTGATGCTGGCGGCGACGGAAGAAGCGGAGGCTACAAAAAGGGACGACTTCCGGTGAGGCGTTTCGGAGCATCAAAATGTCGGACACTGCACGGCTGTGCTACTCATGTGTACCACTAGATAAATAGCATATCATGTCTTGCATTCGCTCGCCGCGCCACGCCGCTCGCTTCTATCCGGTTCGGAACAATATGCTAACGCTTAGATAGTGCTGCCTCGGGCTCTAGCGACGCCTCCGCTATCGTCCAAAACTTCCTCAACTCTCTCAAATCCGGCAACCTCTCCGGCGGCCAAACCTCCCAAGACCCGTTCACCACGCTCCTCGACCTTCTTCATCCCGGCATCACCGTCCCCGTCATCGAGAAAGCCCCAGACTCCTTCATCGACGTTCTCTGCTCCCATCTCCCGACGACCCTCTTCCTCCTTGAGGCAGAAATCGAAGACGTCGGCGACATCGATCCCAATTCTGAAACCGCGCAGATGGCGATGCAGGCCCTAGATCAAGAGCAGAAGCGAGACGTGCTGAAGAGGGTGGTTACCAGTCCCCAGATGAGGCAGAGTTTAGGCAGCCTAACGGTTGCGCTAAGGGATGGTGGACTGCCAAATGTGAGTTCGGCGCTCAAGATTGATGTTCAAAATGGGGGTTTTGTGAGGGGTGGAGGCATGCCTCTCGGTGGCGGTGATGCGATTAAAGCGTTCTTGGAAGGCGTGAAGGAGACGGTCGAGAAGGAACAAGAGGGCGAGGACGAGGACATGGATACAAGTTGAACAACAAGGCTGAGAGGGAAATTCATCAAAGGAAGATGTATAGATACGAGCGGATAACGGGTTTACGATCTTGCTTAGAGCTGACACCAACTGGTAACGAACCGAGGGGATACTCCTCTTAGGTGGTAAATAGACAGGTATGCAAGAAAAGACCAATGACGTCCACGAATACTCAGCCGCTTGTTGATCGCTGCAGAGATCCAACATTCGCTTCCTGCTGAAGGCTACCGAGAGGGACCACGGGAAAGTTACACAGTTGCTTATATCCTAGAGGCACGAAGCTCGTTAGTGCCGCTTGGTATCTCAAGGCACGATCCTTCCCGCAGCGGGAAAGTTGCACGTGGCTTCCACCTTGCTCTGCTGTTAGCTCGGAGATTCGACGGCTGACTTAATCGCCTATTGGGACTTGCTATCTTCTGCTCAAACGGGAAATGCTGTAGGGAAATCCACCTCAACAGAAATTCGAACTGGGGCCGTCCGTTGGGACGATGCATTCCCCGGCAACTGTTGTACGTTTCCTTAACTTTTACCAACATTCGGAAATTCTATAAGACGAAGGATCTCTTCTCTTTCGGCTTAAAGAGATCTCTTCACTCACTCAGTAAACCTAACAGGTATCTTTCCAGTCAGCGCCACACAGTGATCCGAACGCCGGTCCAGAACGGCTTTATGGACCTCACCACCCGTCCAACAATATCCAGTGCTTGAAAAGCTGGATGGCAATGTACATGCGAAAGATTTGATGAGCCTCTCTGCTCCCCACTCTATCCGTCGCCTCGCTATCAAAGGTCTTGAGAGACCCACTCCGTCGGCCCAGACGATCGAACCTCCGCAAGGCGTCATCCAATGCGTACGTCGTACGTGCCGTGAAGACGCTAATCCCCGCTACTCTCGACACGGAACGAAGAGCTCGCGCAACTTGCTTGGGAAAGTACAGCTGAAAGTGCAACATTATTGTTGCAACCCCAAGCATTAAGCCGGCCGCAACTCAGCGAGGAGCCTTGCCAAACTTTGGATTCGTGCACTACAGAAGACCCTTGGCGGGGTATCATATCTGCAGCCGTGTCAACGACGCGACATCTGCGTCTGTTTCTCTTGCTTGTGGGCTCGGGCCATGAATCGATCTATCCGGATGCGGGGAAATGGGGGCGCTCGTCAAGTTTGCAAAGGCTGCTGGGCCTCGAAACGACAAGACCCAATCACTAGCGAAGTAGTCTCCTCACTGCAGGACGCATATCAACACGGCACGCTCTGCGAATACGGATCTACTCAGCACCGTATTACCCTAGGCCGGCCTAGAGCCCCGAAGTTTAACGGGAATCGTCTGCTTGACCGTGTCTCCTAAAATTCCCCAGGCCAGCTCCAATGCACGACCTGCCCAGCGTTCCTCCATGAATCCGGCGCCTTGCCCATCCTATACATGTGCCATTTTTGCAAGCTCCCCATGCGAATGCCGTCTAATGATCATTGTCTCTAAAAGGGCCACCTGTCAGTGCCTGATCAGGACCGCATATGGTATTTCCAACTTGCCAGCCGACATGAGCTCCAGCCCTGGGGCGGGTCGCGAGCGCCGTATTGAGAGCTCCCGCCAGCTTCCGATGCCCATTATGAGGACTAAGAGGAGTATTGAAAGCTAATGTCTCGGCCATGGGCTGCACTTTACCTCCGAGGTGTCGACCAGATAATGGACAAAGTTGAGAGATTGATTCGCGCGCCAAAGCCCTCAAGCGACATGCAACCTGCGCCGCGTGACGAGAAGCAACCCACTGGAGGGAATATGAAAAGAAGCGGGGACCACGGCGTTGGCGGCCTTGAAATGTTTGGGCTCGAATGTAAGTCTATATCCGATACGGAATGCCTCCGAGGCTGGGAACGCTGGTAGCATGCGCGTCTCTCAACATCTACGTATCTTACTACTACATCCATGTGTCAGTGGGTTTCATCGCTGCTGACCAGTTTCTTCCGCAGGGACGGCAACTATATAGTCTATGGCGATTAGAAGGCGCTCGCTCTTACGAAGGATACTGCCGCCACATGACGCCAGCGCGTTCTCCCCCTTCAACCAACCGCGCAATTGTATCGACTCCGCAGTACGAGTGCCACGAATACTTCATGTACCTTAAGCCCCTTAACCACACAGTATAGGTGTTTGAGCCGGCCATGTTTAAGAATGACTTCTAAGCGTGACACCATGTGCGGCGAGGATGCTGGCACTGGTGAAATCTTACGAGCCGATAGTACAGGGGGGGATGGGTGGGACGGAAGGTGAAAAGCGAGGAAACCTCGGAGCAAGCAATAGAGGAGTGCATGGCATTCACAGACGACAGTATTCGAAGCGAAGGAGAGTTCCACAGTGGTGTCGTTGTTTCAGGCTGATTTTAGAGTAGTACCAATGAATTTTTCCATTTGAATCATCTATATGCACATCGCCCCTTCGCCCTCTAAAGCAATATACACAAGCGGAAGTATTTGCAAATATTGACAAAGGCGAAAGCTCTAGTACCAAGGCACATGCACCGTCTATCCCAATCCACCATCTAGCAGGTTCATCTATGCAGGTTGAGCAAAAGTGGAGCCAATCGGGCCGAACTTGATGTTGCTGTAGATGACAGTAGCATCGGGCGAGTTCGCCTCGACATCCTCAGGCTTCCCAGAGTCAGTTGAGCAAGTGCCACGGCCAACGCCAGGGGTGGAAGCGTCCTTGTCGGTGGGGTAGGTAGAGTCGAGCCACAGCATGTTGACGGCGTGGTCATCCCATAGCGACATGACGAGCACGTGGCCGCGAGCAAGCGACTCACCCATGGCCTTGAGACCACCGTGGTCCTGGAAGGAGGTCTTGTCCTGGAAAGCGGCCTTCTGGGCGTCGCACCAGGAGTCGGTGATGGAGTTTCCGGTAACACCCTCGATGGCAGAGTCGGAGTTCTTGAACACCTTTCCGTCCTGGATGTAGAAGCGCTTGATCTCAGTAAGGGAGGAGCCGGAGCCGATGAACTGGGTGACGACTGTCATCTTCTTGTTGGTGTCGAGGGTCATGCCCGGACCGTAGAAGTCCTTGACGCCCATGCGGTAGCTCTGTCCAAGCATTAGCTTACTGAGGTCTGTTGGGATGGATAATATTTGCTTACGTTGAAATCGCAGCCGTCCTTGTCACAGACACCACCATAACGGTTGTCGCCATCACCGCACTCATCGCCAGCGCAGGCATAGAGACCAGTTTTGCTGCAAGGGTGGGGCGTGTAGGCGGTGGAGATGGCGTTGGCCTCCCACAGATCCATCTCAGGGCAGCAAGCGCCCAGCTTGCCGGAACCGGCGTTCTTGTCGTTGGGATTCGGCTCCCAGCCGTCAGAGTTAGCAGCTCCGTCGATCCACTTGATGTCGTGGGGGCATTGGGAATCGCAGTAGCCTATGTGAGGTCAGTGACTTGGATTGGGAAGCATTCATTGGTTGAACCTACCAGTTCCGTACTTGGCACCAGCCTTGTTGTTGCCCTTACCCATGCCACCATCAGCAGCCATCTCGACGGTGTACATAGCACCGTTCAAACCGCAAGGAAGCTTGGAGACATCAACGTCGAAGGTGAACTCCTTGCCAACGAGGTTGAACATCTGGTACTTGCTGTCGCTCTCCATGAGGTAGGTACGGGAACCAATATTGGTGGAGTAGGAGCCCTTGGTGACGAACTTTAGAGTAAGAGCATTGCCACTAGCGCTGATACCGTAGGTGCCAGAGTAGTCAGCACCATCAATAGCACAGTTCTTCGCACAGCTAGCACCGTCCGCGCAGGAGGTCGAGTTCCAGGCGTTGCCGTCGTAGCAGTTGGTGTAGCCACTGGTAACGTGGGCCCAACGCCAGTTGGAGTCGAGGGTAACGGAACCAGACTTGGTCGTGCAGCTGCTTCCGCCCGTGCCAGTGCAGGTCTGCCATGACATCTTCGGGTGGGTCTCAGACTAATCGGCACAGTCAGTACATTCAAAAAGAATTTGTACGTTGCACATTCCCCCAGACTCTCTGTCCTGGAAAACCCAGAAAGGAAAATATGAGGAGGCGCAGGACGAGATGGTGGCGCGAAAGTCGTACCTGCTGAGTGCCCACCTGCTGGGCGCTGGCGGCCCCGAAGAGGGAGAGAGAAGCAAGGGCGAGAGTCTTGTACTGCATGGTGGCTGCTGAGCGAAAAACGATCGTGGGATGCTGGAGAAGTCAGGGACGGCTAGGATGGACACCCTTATATAGACCAGCAGGAACCGGAGAATGCTAACAACGGTATATGCACAAGATCTCCCAGGTCTCCTTGGGCTTTGATGGAATCCATCATTGCGAATGTATTGCCACCAATCTCGAGTCGTCTACGGCTCATCGGTCCATCTGGAGTCGACCCTCCTGGACACATATTGAAGACTAGATGAGATTTCTCCTATGGCGGGAGAGGTCCTGGGGTAATCACGGAGATCTGTGCGTCGGCATGCTTACTTCTAGAAGGAAGTGGGTAACGTGACGGCCTAACTATGATATCAAACCCACCTCTAGGGCGTACTCTGGATAAAGTACCTCGGAGCGAATGATCAGTTCGCCCTTAATCAATTAGTGACAGAATGCTGGGCGAACTCCTTCAACTGGAAGCAGTGGCATAGCACGAAGGTACCGGAGAGCTGTGTGCTAGCGGAAGACCTGCTCATAATCTGGATAAGCGCAAAGTTTTGCGTCTTCGAATGCTATTCTTCGTGCTGTGTGCGGCGTTCAGGAGCTCTTGGCCTTTGAAGCAACTCCGGAACCGTATCCAAAATCGGGAGCAGCGTGGAGGTGGATGATACCTGCTAGGTACCTCGAAGATCAGCAGCACGCTTCTCGCCGCTTGTGACGTTTCAGATCCTGGTTAGATTATATTGCGGCGGGTACGCCGTGCTCGATATATTAAAGAAAATTCCAGAAGGTGGTCCAGAGCGAAAAGGGAAGGTGAAGTCGAGCGAAGCCTTGAGGCTCTAACCCTAGTGTCCAGGACGTCGGACCTCGAGCAGTCGTAATGAAGCTTGACCCTATTCAACACGACCGTGGCGTGTGACTGCATCCCCAAGTGACAAAGCCTGTAATGTGAAGTAGCCTCGCTTGTCGGCCCAAGGATGCCTCCTTTCAAGCTGAATCAATGGTACTGGCAATATCAGCGAATCCGCTCCCCATGGCCAGATCTGCGCCGCTCGTCTCATTGCAGGACACCCTATGCCTCAAATTAGACGAAGCCATGCCAAGCGCCCACGCCGGCCGGGCGCGTGCTGCGTTGTATTGATGGTGACGATATAGGTGTGGACCAGCGCCGATAGTTGAAGCTCGGCGTAGAATGGAAGTCTCTCGGAGTTGACGGGACGTTCTTCCTGAGCCAAGTACGTGCACTGGTACAAAGTAAGCCCAGCCTTAAGATCTACATTAAGTGGCTTCGCTCCAAGCACTCGGACGCAAATCTGCATCATACTTTGCCATAGATAGGAGAAGCGCATTGCGATAAGCATCGGCAGCTCAAGAAAATCTCCGCAAGCTACCGCAGCAGTCACACTCCAGTATGAAGCATCCCCGCCGCTGAAGCGCTCCAGTGTCCTTTGCCGCCTTTTGTCATCGGCCGAAGCCTCCAGGAGAAGAGCAGTTCAATACCATGAATTTTGGGCCCGAGCATGAAGTTCGGTCTTGCCCCTGTCCCAAGCCAAGAGTGATGAACGCATTGCCGCGGTGTGGTTGGGCAAGAGGCGGGAGATTGACTTCAGCCTGATCAGGGATCCTGCGGGTAATCTAATATCCGATGGTTCAACAACGACTTTGCACCGTGTCTGGGTCCGCGGACAGGAGTCTCTGGGTGCAATCCAGGTTCCTATGCGCGGCTAGTGCTAACGGACGAATGGCATGTCTTGGTATGCATCTGGTCCGGGTTAATGAATCAGCCGCAATCTTCGTGTAACCATCAGCTTGCCTGGATACTGGTGTGTGGTATATATTCGGCCAAGATCTTAAGAGTGAGGTATATGTACGTACCCATAAGTTTCCGCATCGAAAGCGGCCTCCGTTCTTCGCAGTAGAGTGCTTGAATCAAAACAATCTGCAAACCATTCTGCTCGGGGCGAATGCAATCTGTCTCAGGGGCGAGTGCAACCCCCCTATGGGCGCGAACATTCATCGGCGGGAGGGCAGGAATTCCTTCCCTGTGGAGGCGCGTATGAAAACCTAGTAGACGCGTGATCATGGGCTGTGTGCGGCCGGCCATACTTTCGATCTGACGCGATGGCAGGTGATAGTGACCTGTCCACGGGTCAAATGGCAAATGACAATGCTGACTGCGCGTAGCTCGCGTGAATGAGGATACCCAAATGCCGTGTCCGCAGGCCGACTTCTTCATGCTTGTATGCACCTGAGGTTTCTCGTGATTGAATCCAAGACAATCGAGAGCCTTGGATGGTAAGCTTGGTCAATATATCCAGGGATGCGGCGTGGCGGTGGTGCCTAAGAGACGTGGCGGAGGCGATGTGAGGAAGGCTTCCTCCCACTAGTCTCAAATGGGTATAGTCCATTCATCTCCCAACATCTTCCACTTCAGCGAGAAAACTCCGTGCGCCACCTGTCACACGTCCACTGGAGTCCGAAATCCCGTTACTGTTATACATTGTCATTTTCAGAACCATGTCGGCGTTCACTGAAGTACAGGTTTTTGAGGAGCGGATGAGAAGCAGTAGAAACCCGTCAGTATGAATGCGGACAAGCCTGCTGCCGCGACCAGAGCAAATCTCTTATCTTGTGATCTTGTGACAAGACTCGGCAGCAAGCACGCAATATCCTTTCGCCGGACTTGACCCTAGAATACTTCTGCCACAGCGACGATGACTTCGAAATGCCTGCGAAATCCATCATTGGAGGACATCAGTGCATTTATGCAGTGCTCTCAAGTTCGAATGGATTTTTCAGGTTGAAGGCGTTCAGCACGCTATCTCTAGTTGGGTATCCGGGACAATACTTCCCTACCGCTGACTTTCTTAATCCGTGCTCGCTAGCATGTAGCGTTTCTCTTCCAGAACAACCGCATACACGCGAACACGTGCACCTATACTCCCCTTATGTCCTGTCCCTTCTTGGATACAGCTCTGCCCATCTCACTCCTTTTTATGCTTGTATTCACTCAGGCCCACACATGCGCGAGCCCTGCCTCTTCTCCTCCCCGCACCGGTCTAGCTAGAGGCATTCCATGGCTGTTCTTGCTTTCGTCATTTTCACACCCGTACCGCGCTACACACTACCAAGGGCGCATGCTGCGCCTCCGTACGCTCCCGCAGCTCGGCTTTTGAAATAGGCCTGCTCGACACCGTGGGCTTCTCTTCGCTCACAGTTACCTTCCTTGCCCGCGCGTCCACCCTCATCCTCTCGATAGCCTCCGCCAGGTTCCTTACGCTTTCCAAGTCGTCTTGGTGGCATCTGAAGCACTTCAGGTCACTTTATACATCCCGATATTGTGGTTTCGGGCATGGGAGGTTAACCGATGGCGCGATAAAGGTAAGGTTTCCGTTGACGCAGCGCTCGAAGCGGATCGCGCCGTCGTCGAGGTAGGCAGCAATTGAGGTGATATCAGCGTTCGAGAGTGGTAGGCCTCGCTCGCAGGAGCAGGAGTAGTGGACAAATTTTGAAGTGGCAGATGTTGTGTGAAAATGAGCCTGGAGGACCCTGGTGGCTTTTGCGCAGTGGAGGGTGGGTTTCGGTGTGGAGCTGGCGAAGCATGGGCGGAAGTACTTCAGTGCTCCGTTCAGCCCCTACTTGTAGGCAACTGCACCGAAGAAAAATCTCGTCGACCCTCCAAATTTTTTTCCTCGTCAATCGTTGTCGCATAGTTGACAAAGGCACCGCGGTCTCGGATATTGAAGTCTTAGCGACGTGACGAGCCATCGAACTCCGTCAGCATTAGCAGCAAACATTCGCGACGGACTAGTGCTACTTGGGGCCTCCCGTGGTCTCCAAGCGCATCTACGCAAATGTCAGGACAATCAGTTGCATTCGAATACTGTGGTTTAGCAGCGAACCAGTCTACCTAATCAGAAGAGGTACCTGGGAATATCCTACGTCAATGTCTAGCCCACCGACGAAAGAGAACCAGATATAGACAGAGCAGTATGAGTATATCATGTCACTGTTAGCAAAGCTAAAAGACCAAGTCTAGAAATGAACACTGCTGCAGGGACGAGCTGGACGCAGGCCTGACGGTTAGAGAGTGTGGCTTCCATTCACTTCAGAAAGCTCACCTCGCTTCCTGCTCACGCCGCTTATATCTGGAGCGCTGCATGCTTCACTCTTATCTCACTTCAATTTCAATTTGAGTATGTGTTCTCTCCCCTCCTATATCACAGCTGACTATCATCTCTTCTCTTCTCGCCTTTGCTCTTGACTCTTCTATCCGGCCGTTGGTGGGCTCTTCTCGACCTTTCTAATTTCTGTTTGCGTTGTCTATCCTACTTAATCTCTTGAGGCTGAAGTACCTTCACTGCGCATACTCAAGGCCAGGTCCTATTCTCTCAAGTCGCGATCGGCGTTTGCAATGCCGCGTGCTTCCTCCGATACTCGACACGCTACTAGCAAAGTACCGTCAAACCGTACATCTGACCCCTCTAGAAAGAGAAAGAGGCAGTCAGAGCACAATTATGTCGGTGACAATCAAAGTTCGTCATACTCTTTGACACTGTTCGTCCTTTTCTTCCCCGTACCCGCGCTGATATGTTCTAGACACGTCGTGTTCAAGTAACACGCGAGACAAGACACTCGTGTGTCGCAGCCCACGTTGACCCATGTGTGGAATGTGCATTCTAATAGAAAATAGGAGATTGAAGACTTGGAGGCATTCGTGCGTGAGTTCAAGAGGTCCGAGAACACCACCCTCAGCTTGCGGAACAGCCTGAATGATAACTTGGAGAATCGATTGGTGGAGTCATATAAGAGGGAGGAAGAGAAAGACAAACAGATCGACACACTCAGAGCACAACGCGATCTGCACAAAACCCGAGCTGGAAAGGCCACATCCGCCCTGCTTAGGGCTCAAGCAGAAACAGAGACCCTCGCGACCGAGAAGATAGAGATGGAGAACGAGATAAGCCTTCTCAGAGGCGAGAAAGAAACTTTGAAGAGCGAGGTCGAGGAATCCAGAGGAGCCGAAGAGCTGCGGCAGGAAAACGAGGCCTTGAAAGCTGACAAGGAGAGCCTGACGACGGAAAAAGACGGATTGAAGACTCGGATCGACAGTCTGGAAAAGGAAGTCAATGACTCTAGGGCTAAGTTCCAGCAGTACAAGAGGAGGGTTATAGAAGTCAGCAGTACAGACCTCTAATAGTCAGCCGTGCACTCGAAAGGACGGGTGGATAGGACCACTATTCCATGCTCACGGGGATTGACGGTATCCAAACATGATTGCTCGAATACAAAAGGAAGACTCGGGCAATGAGTATGGGCGTCTGACGGACTGGTCTTCGATTTCTTCTTCGCAGGGAGTGCTCATAGCGACGTTGGCCTTGGACTTGTATATTGAACATTTTCTCGGATCCTGGCCATATGGCATATGGCGGGCTTTATATGGTCCTTGCTGTACAGTAGACATACTAGCTTCGACAGCTACGAGTTCAATTCAATCGACTGCTAAACCTGAAACTCTTCAAAGCCGACTTGCAATGGCTATGCCGCCACGCACTTACATCATACCGAAAACAACATACCATCCCATGCTACCCCAACAAAGTCGCTAATGCAAAACGAGGGTATCCTTAAGACGTTTCCGAGTCCCAAGCCCAGCCCAAAAGTAAAACCCAATCATAAGGCTCATAACCTCATACCATCATAATGCATCCTCCTCTAGACACCCTCCTCTAATTTCACTTGCTTTCACCTGCAAACCCATTCGCGCCGACTCCATCAAAACGCTTCCGCCAACGCCTTCCGCGCCCTTACAGCCTGCAAAAAGGCCCCATAACTCCACGTCAAATCCCTTGCACCGCGCATATACCCCGTCACGCGATCGAACTGTTCGCTCATGGCACCGGCGCCATCAACATGCATCTTCACTATTTCCAGGAACTCATCCCCGATGAGCTTTAGTCTCTCGATAACAGAGTGGTATACGGCGTCACTAGGTCCATAGGTCACGCCAGGCTCGGGTGTTAGGGAGGATGAGGCGAGGAGGGCTTCGTAGAAAGGCATGCCGATGGGGCTGATGGTGAGATTGGAGGTGGAAGTCGCTTGGGTTGCGGTCCGGTATAGGACTTCGGCGGCCGAGGAGGTGCACAGGAACCAGGGGTTTCCGCCGCGGTTGGAGGTACCGTAGCCGTCGTAAATGTCTTCGGGGTAGCGACCTAGTCCTACGCCTTCCATGATGTTTGTGCCGATAGGAGTGTCGTAGTCCTCCTCCGGCTTGCTGTTAATCGGAAATCTCGTTCGCTGATCCTGCACGAGGGCTAGTAGCGAGACAAGAACCTCATCCGAATATGGCGGGTATAACGGTTCGAAAGGGGCCTCTTCATCAGGGTACGCATGGATAGAGCCAAGTAAGAGACCGCAGTCCAGTCCGGTCCGATGACTCCATAGCGTCTCGACCAAATGGCCCTTCCTCGAGTTCCAGAATCTCCTCACGAAACGCTCTAGGTACGAAGCCTGCTCGGCATACCAGTTGGCAGCACCGTTATCGCCGAACGCTCTTGCGACCTCGCTTCCCTCCTTCAACGCCCGCCACTGCACCATTGCGGTAAAGAAATGCAGTCCGTCGACCTCCTCCCAGAGATCGAAGCCCGTTGCATTCCAGAAATGGCTCACATACTCCAAATCCGCTTTTATGATGCTCTTAGCAGGCATACTGGGCTCGTAGAGCAGATCGAAAAAGCTGTCGCCTTCATTGCTGTCCCACAAAGACGGGTGGGAGGTATTGTAGGCCCGCAGGTACGACATGAGTGTTATGGCGCGGAGAGCTGGGCCATCGCGTTGCGGTCGTCCCCAGTTCCCTCTGAAGGCCGAGCCATCGATGTGGAATTTAGGTTCGCCCAGACCCTGCTTTGTTTCGAAGGTCCCCGATGGGTTGTCAGTATGCTGGATGTCATATTGGAGCTTTGCATAGGCGTCGAGGATCGTGGAGAGGGTGGCGGAGAGGGAAGAGGAGGGATCATCGGCGTATAAGTCTACGAGCGTGCCTGTAGTAATGGCTGCGTCTCGAACCCCTGCAACCTTATGTTAGCATTTTCCTCTCCAACCCAAAGGATGGGCTGCGAACACTGAAACCAGTAATCCGGCTCCCTAGTCGAAGGACTTGCTACTACGGTCCCATCAACCACACCCTTCCCTTCCACGTTCCTGCCGCCTGGCTTCACATTATCCAGCAACTTCTCAAGTGCTATCCGCTCCTCCCTCTCTATCCACGCATCTAGCGTATCCCTCAGCGGCTTCTGCTGCTGCGGAACGCGACCAGCGGACAGGAACTCGGGAAGCCGTGGTATCGAGAAGGCGAAGGAGTAGAGGACGAGGTATGCTAACAGCACAAACGGCACAAGTAGTGCCATGCTGCTCAAGACCTGCTTGCTTGTGTAGGTGTGTGGGTAGTAGTAGGAATAACGTTAGAATTACATGAACAATACAAAGGAAGCGAATAGGGGTCGAAGGAGGGCTAAGAATCGAACAGAACAGGCGGTGAATTGCAACTCGTACGCAGGGCTCTAGGTAACCATAAGCTCCATAGGGGTACCGTGAACACATACTGGGGGGTCTCAAGACCCGACCAGGTCACCACGTCCGCCCTGCCCAGTTCCCATTGCGGCCATGACGATGGCTGGCCACATGCCCTCGTGCATTCTTTCCCTAAGCCCGTGATCCAGTAGGAAGGCGAGGACGTGTGTCGGGAGGCGGCCGTTGGCAAAACCTTGCGAGCTTGTGACGTTGACTGGAAAGCACTCGTGGCTTAGGACGGACAAAGAGGCCTCGGGACCGCGGGAATCGATACGTCACGCGACGTTTGCCCAATGACGGGTGCGCAAACGCTGCCATGTCATCACAGATCTGGCCTCAGCTGCAGGAACTGGCTCATGCTTCCGATGACGGAAAGCCTGGGATTGGGGCTCATGCTGACATTCAGCCGAGGGTTGTTCACCTGGGCAGACAAGAGCCGTCACGTGACCCACTTCGCCAACCTTGAAATCTGCACACGCGACACTAACGATGGGCAAAGCTATGGGAGCGGATGACGGAGGATATGGAAAGCCTATGCAAGGGTAGCACATTCAATAGAAATTACGCTCATACAAGCTACCTATGGTACAAAGCCCCCGCGGAGGCCACCAAAAACGTTGCGCACGCAAATGCCCGAGGGGGATATCTTGCGCAACAAAAGTCCAAAGAACCCGCCCGCAAACTATGCAAATGACCATAAGATACGGCGAAAAGCTAATGAGACAGCCGCTCAAACCAGAAAGAAATGATTTTGTCGCTAAACGCTCGATCCCATTCTCGTGTCCCCATCACTCTTCTTGCCACTCCGCTTCCTCCCCTTCCCTTTTCTCTTTGCAAGCTCGGGCGGCGGGCTGTGAGTTCCGTAGCTCTGAGTGCCCTCACTCCCTCTCGTGAGCCCCTTGACTTCCTTAAGGACGTCCCTAAAGCCCTCTTCTAACGTTGTCATCCGAGCAAGCATTATCCTACTCATGCGCTTCGACTCATCATCGCTACCGCTCTTGTCCCTCGCTTGTAGCCGCGCCGCCATCTGGATCTGTGTGCTGAAAGATGCAGGTAGCGCGCCAAGAGCACCGAAGTCAGGCACTTGCCTGTTGTCGCCGATATCCGATGCAAGGTCGAGAGCCATCGCGTTGAAAGACGGCTCGCGTCTACGCTGGTCAAGTGAAACGAAGTTTGCTATGTTCGGTGGTTGGCGACTGAGCTCGCGTGGAGGGAAGATGGGTCGAGGTCGCGATGCGGGCGCCGTGCTCATAGCAGGGGCCTTTGGCGTTCGGTAGCCGTCGCCTGACAGACGACCTGGGGTAGCTGTCCCGCTGCGTGTAGCTGTACGAGGTGGCTTTTCGGGGGAGCGTGAACGGAAATTCGGCTCCGCAGCTTCATGAGATGGGCTGAAGTCCTTCGATGGGCTGAAGAGGACCGTGTTGGTTGACCAGTTGCGATTATGGCTGGGCTTCTGCTGATCATGCTTCTTCCCGGGGGACATCTCGACGGGCTTCTGGAAACCCGAAGACGATGGGGAACTAGCTCTTGCCGGGGTGCGCGCAAGAGATCGAGGCTTTACGGTCATTGGCGTGCGGAAAAATTCGTCCTCCGACGTCTCATATCCAGCTTGATGCCTGTTCTCCTTGTCCAAATCTTCTGTATTCCTCGTAATGCGATCAGATGTTCCCCGATCCTCCTCGTCGTTGGTCAGGAGCTCGTCATCGCCATCGTCAGCCTCCGTTTGTTGTTGCGTGTCCTCCGTCCTTATGTCAGGCTCCTCTTCCTCGGCAATCGGCCGCTGGAAGGGATTCAAATTGTCATCTGGATCCGATGCCATAGTCCTGGTGCTTGTGAGCGGAGGTCTACGTCTCTGCTGGACATGGCTAGCTGTCTTCGTGCGTCGTAAGCCAGGCCTGGCGCGGCCCTCCAAGCGGTCAAGGAGGGATCGGGTGTCCTCTTGCGGTGGGAAGGCATATTCTTCATTGCCCAAGTTTTTCATCCAATCAGTCACAACGTTACTTGAGTTCCTTCTACCCAGCGGATTCGAGGGCGCCTGGATGCTAGGATCCCTAAAAGGCCGGCGAAACACCTCTTCCAGAGCACGGTCCTTGCGGAATGTTGTTATCGAAGGCTCGCGTAAGCGTGTCCCGGGGCTGAACACATCCATGGGCCCGCGGATACTAAATGCCGGTACGGGAGCCTTGGACTGTGACCGACCGCGCTGCTCGACGAGGTCGGTTGGTCCATAAGCGAGGTTCGATAAGAGTAAGCGTTCGTAGAAGAAGATACTAAAGAGGATCGGTATGTGGGTGATCTTGATGATAAGCCGGTTCATCCTTATAAACCTCTTGAAGCGCATGAAGTATTTCAGAGGGATAAATAGCCAGCCGATGATGTTCGTCGGAGGAATGTAGGAGAAGAGTGCATCCGACTTGACCATGGATATCGTGTTCACGGCGAACAGGAACTGATGCTCCTCGTTCGCGTTTTGCACGACGGCCATGAAGGAATTCGTCAATACGGTGACCAGGATGGTGACGATGAGGAAGTGGCAGATGAAGAGGAAGAGTGCCAGTAGCGTCTTCCCTAAGGGGTTGTAGTCAGACCAGATGTCCCATGCCGCAGGAGTGAAACCCATCAACAGCTGAAAAAGGGCATAGGCCGTGCTACCCGGACCCAGGTCCTTCTTGAAAGCGAGGGTGAAGGCGACGAAGAAGCCTGAGCAGCTGATGACAATGAGCACCAAGATGGCCATTAGATCCATGGCCATCATGCGAAAGGCGATCAGGAGTTGAGAGAAATAGCGATAGTGGTCGAGCGCCGAGAACAGACGGGGGAAGAGAAGGACGGCGGTCGAGCCGAGAACATCGTAGGCCATCATGGCCATCTCATGCCTGCTATGCACGTCGGGCATCAGTATGCCGTACAGGCGCAGGACGTAGTAGACCAAGAACATGAGTAGGATGCCTAGATCAAAGGCATTCCACACGCTCATGATGTAGAGCCCGAAGCCTTGCTCAGAGAAGCCGACAATCTCATCTAACATGTATCCGGCGCTCCAGAACCAGAACAAGACCTCCAAGGCAGTGATGTCGTCGGATTTCTCCGCGAGGACAGCGAGGAAGAGGCCAAGCATGGTAGCGAAGGAGAGGGTCGAGAACAGGTTGCGATAGCGTGGTACACGAAGTCGAGAAAGCTTGAAGAGGGAGGCGTCGCGAGGATCATAAAGCGTCACTGTACGTCTCATCAGTGCGGCAGCGGGTTGAGGTGGGGGTTGTGTATTCGCTTGCTTGGTGGGCGACAGGCGGCGCGATGGCCCTCTTCCAGGGGACACATCGTCGTCGAAGGTGTTATAGTACCGGGCCTGGGGCTCAGGCTTCCGATGGAGGCTGTCCGCTACCGAGTGGAAGACGATGGTGCCTGCCCATATCGCCTCGAGCTGTTGGACGACCAAAGGATGTGCGAGGAACTTCTTGGCCTGGGCGCGAATGGCGATTTCGACGGTGGATATGCGCGCGGAGCGGGGATCACGGCGAGCCCAGTTTCCGGCGCCAGGGGTCGCAGTGCCCGCGGTAGGCGTGGCTAGACCCTGGAGGGGATCGAAGTCGTAGGAGAGAGCATCGATCAACTCGCGGGTAGAAAACTCCTTCAGCAGCCTCATAGCCAGCAACTCGCATACCAGCGCCCTAGAGCGATTCACTCCGATATTGCCCGGGTTTGCCTCGCCTTCCTTGCGGAACTGTAGGCAGTTGGCGAGCAGACAGTACAGCGTGCCGCGGGAGTAGTGGTCGGAGAGGATCTGCTGCTGGATGGGCTTGATGAGAAACTGCGACACCTGCGGGGAGCGCAGCTGGTCCCAGGAGAGCGTCGTCTCGCATCGCTGGATTACGATGATGCGGAGGGCGTGGGTGGTGTTGTAGATGGGAATGCGATCTACGGCTCAGGGTCAGCGCAGGCGCAGTAAACAAACAGCAAGTCGTCCAGACATACCCAAGAACTCTGAGGAGAAGACGGGCAGCAGAGGCTCGTCGCGGCGGCCACGGTCGTCCTCGTCTTCATCGCCGCCGTCGTACTGGGCCATCTCCTCGCGGTCGTCCTCCCCGTCCTCGGACGCGCTCTGCTCTTGCTCTGCATGCCGGCTCCGGTACTGGTTCCAGGCGGCCAGAAGAGGCGTGGTCTCGGAGCGAGTGTCTTTCCGGGTGCGCAGCAGTGATGCGAACATGGAAAAGCTTGTCCGCCCGCTGGGTGCGCTGCGTTCCTCCTGGACGCGCGTTGGGGCGGTGGTGTGGTTGAAGAGGGAGCGTGATGGAGGACGAGAGTTTCACGATAGCGGGCACGGCGACGATAAGAGCCCTCCCCAGCCGTGCTGCACACCACCATCCGCCTTCACCGCTCTGCTCGGGCCGTACACAGTATAGTAGTGCTGAGGACGGTGATCATGGGATGGTGCAGGCCGTTTTCGAGAGATAAGAGAGCTCCCCCGCGATGTTGAATCGCGGAGACAGCCAATCGCAGCGCCGGGCCTATACACACTGCAGCTGGGGCCCCCGGTTCTCGCGTTGGCGAGCGCGGCTACTGCAGAAAAGACGCACAGGAGGGCTGCTGTGGCCCAGGATCGTCATGGGAAAGCCCGCACTGCGATGGCCGTGGGGTCGAGTGATGGCGTTCTGTATACAAATATGCTTTCGTCTGGACTGCCCTCACATGCCCACAGTTGTCCCGGCACAGTGCCGCATGGTTGCCCTGCAGTATGGGGCTTCTGTGCTATGCCTCATTCCATGGTGTCAGACGGCCGCGCTATCATTTACCTAGGGACCATGCAGCAATGTCGTCTCCGAAGTGAAGCTGATGGATGGGCGCCATTGGCCGGCGGGCAGTTCGCGGCGTCCAGTGGACCTGCGGTAAGCTGCAGCGTGCAGAGCGAGCTCCGACTCGTCGGCCGCCTGAATCGGAATCAGATCGGAGAGCCTCCTATCCCATCACGTCCAGCACAGTGCAGCCCTACTCGTAGACTACTGGGTAATCGCACTTGCACCTTCCACGCGCTCGAGCCAATGACATCGCCGCATGCCCCGCCGCTCACGGCGCCCCCACCGAAATTTTCCAAAATCTCAGCTTCTCTTCTGCCCCCCAGCAATTGCCCGACAGACTCGACCCCCAAGGCCGCCGGAGCCCTCGAGCTGTCTTCCACTCTTTTCTTTGACCATGCCCCGCCACCACGACGAGCGCCAGAACATGGCCCTGGAGCTCCAGGATGGCTATGTGTGCTTCGGCCGGAGCTTCGGTGCCGACAAGAGCATTGCGGGCGAGCTGGTCTTCCAGACGGGCATGGTGGGCTATCCCGAGTCGATAACGGATCCCTCGTACCGCGGCCAGATCCTCGTCATAACCTTCCCGCTAGTCGGCAACTATGGCGTGCCCGCCCGAGAAGAGATGGATGGCCTGCTGAGGGACCTGCCCGCCTACTTCGAGGCCAAAGAGATCCACATTGCAGGCCTCGTGGTGGCCGCATACGCCGGCGAAGAGTACTCGCACCATCTGGCCACCTCTTCGCTGGGCGCATGGCTGAAGGAACAGGGCGTGCCTGCCATCACCGGCGTGGACACGCGAGCACTCACGAAGCGCATACGGGAGGAAGGAAGCATGCTGGGCCGCTTGCTTCGGAGGACAACGCCGTCTCCCGTCTCCACTGCCCTCACTAACGGGGTCGTCAACACCCAGATACTGACCGATGGCCCCATCGAGCAACACTGGAGCGCAGACTTTGAGCAGATTGAATGGGTAGACCCTAACGCGAAGAATCTTGTGGCTGAAGGTGACGTTCCCTATGCACCTGCGCAGGAGGACTGTCTAACACCTGCGCAGTATCCATCAAAGAGCCCAAAATCTACTCCCCCGACCCGTCCACTGCCCTCCAGCACCCCTCGGGCCGTCCTGTTCGCGTAGTCTGTGTCGATGTTGGCCTGAAGTATAATCAGTTGCGATGTCTTGTGAGGAGAGGGGTCGAGGTGCGGGTCGTGCCTTGGAACTACGACTTCCCAAAGCTCGCCGGCAAGGATTATGACGGTCTGTTCGTCTCGAATGGTCCTGGCGACCCCGCAATGATGGAGGCAACCGTAAGCCACATCCAAGTGGCTATGCGGGAGGCAAGAACGCCCATCTTCGGTATCTGCTTGGGACACCAGTTGCTCGCAAGAGCCGCTGGAGCCGAGACGATGAAGATGAAGTTCGGTAACCGCGGCCATAACATCCCCTGCACCAACATGATCTCAGGCCGCTGCCACATCACGTCGCAGAATCACGGATATGCGGTAGACGCGAAGACATTGCCCAACGGCTGGGAAGAGCTGTTTGTCAACGCCAACGATGGGAGCAACGAAGGCATTCGGCATGTTAGGAGACCCTACTTCAGCGTGCAGTTCCATCCCGAGCATGCGCCTGGGCCGCGCGACACTGAATATCTGTTCGATGTCTTTATCGACACTATCAAGAAGGCTATCGAGTCATCCGAGGTGCTTTCGCAGCCAGTTGCGTTTCCCGGCGGCACCGTGGAGGAGAACAAGAAATTGGCTCCCCGCGTCTATGTGAAGAAGGTGCTCGTGCTGGGAAGTGGAGGCCTAAGCATTGGCCAAGCGGGAGAGTTCGACTACTCGGGAAGTCAGGCTATCAAGGCCTTGAAGGAGGAAGGCATCTACACGATCCTCATCAACCCCAACATTGCCACGATCCAGACTTCGAAGGGTCTTGCCGATAAGGTCTACTTTCTCCCGGTAACCGCCGACTTTGTTCGCAAGGTCATCCAGAAAGAGCGGCCGGATGGTATCTATGTCACGTTTGGTGGTCAAACTGCGCTTCAGGTCGGCATCCAGCTCAAGGACGAATTTGAGGGATTAGGTGTGAAAGTCCTAGGGACGCCCATTGAGACCATCATCACGACGGAAGACCGCGAGCTCTTTGCCCGCAGCATGGAGTCTATTGGGGAGAAATGCGCCAAATCAGCCTCTGCCAGCTCTGTCGACGAAGCCATGCGCGTCGTGAAAGACATTGGCTTCCCCGTTATCGTTCGAGCCGCCTACGCTTTAGGCGGTCTTGGAAGCGGCTTCGCCGAGGATGAGAAGCAGCTGCTCGACCTCTGCAACAAGGCATTTGCAGCCAGTCCCCAAGTACTCATCGAACGAAGCATGAAGGGCTGGAAAGAGATCGAATACGAAGTCGTTCGAGACTCTCGAGACAATTGCATCACGGTGTGCAACATGGAGAATTTCGATCCCTTAGGCATTCACACCGGAGATTCCATTGTAGTGGCGCCATCGCAGACCCTTTCGGACGAAGACTACAACATGCTTCGAACGACAGCCGTCAACGTCATTCGACATCTTGGCGTCGTCGGCGAATGCAACATTCAGTACGCCTTGAACCCCTTCTCTCGCGAGTACTGCATTATCGAGGTAAACGCTCGTCTTTCGCGTTCATCCGCTCTTGCGTCCAAGGCCACGGGCTACCCCCTCGCTTTCGTCGCCGCCAAGCTGGGCTTGAACATTCCGCTCAACGAGATCTCCAACTCAGTCACCCGGGTGACATGCGCCTGTTTCGAACCATCTCTCGACTACGTTGTGGTGAAGATCCCGCGATGGGATTTGAAGAAGTTCTTGCGTGTTTCCACGCTGCTCGGCTCGTCGATGAAGAGTGTAGGCGAAGTCATGAGCATTGGCCGAACTTTTGAGGAGGCAATCCAAAAGGCTATTCGCGCAATCGACCCGAATAATCTAGGTTTCAACGAGACCGCCGCATTGATGAAGATCGACCAGGAGCTGCAGACGCCTTCTGACCAGCGATTGTTTGCCATCGCCAATGCTATGAAGGCTGGCTACAGCGTAGACAAGATCTGGGAAATGACTAAGATCGACAAGTGGTTCCTGGGTCGCCTCAAGGACCTAAGCGACTTCGAGAAGCTCATGTCAAGCTATAACACGGCCAGCATCACCAAACCACTAATGAAACGGGCGAAACAACTGGGATATTCCGACCGCCAGTTAGCCAAGTTCTGGGGCTCGAACGAGCTCGCTGTGCGCCGCGCCCGTGTCGATGCTGGTATCTGCCCAATCGTCAAGCAGATTGATACTGTCGCTGCAGAGTTCCCAGCGATGACGAATTACCTTTACTTGACGTATAACGGAACCGAGCACGACATCAGCTTCAACGATCGTGGAGTCATGGTTCTCGGTTCTGGCGTATACCGCATCGGTTCCTCCGTCGAATTCGACTGGTGCTCAGTCAGAGCTATCCGCACACTGCGCGAACAGGGCTTCAAAACGGTCATGGTCAATGTAAGTTAAAAGCCTTTTTTTTTTGGATGTACCTGTCTCTTGCGGTAGAGAATTCTCCGGATCAAGGGCTCGCTGTACAGATGAGATTGCTCGTACAGTGACTATCCCTGCAATTGTACGCACCTGCGAAGGCCTCCAGGGTGGCTGTTACGCGCGTCGTTATATCCGGAGATTTCCACACCGTGAGGGCCTGCGCTCTAGACGGGCACATCTGCCGTCAGAAATCTCCTTTTTGGACCCTTTCTGGACTTCTCGCACCTCATGGACTGTTAATTCTAAGAGATTATATGCTAACTTCTCTATAGTTCAACCCGGAGACCGTAAGCACTGATTTCGACGAAGCGGACCGACTGTACTTTGAGAACATAAGTCTCGAGACAGTGCTGGATATATACACCATGGAGAACTCCAGCGGTGTAATCATCTCTATGGGCGGGCAGACCCCAAACAACATCGCCCTGCCTTTGCATCGCCTGAATGTCAAGATTCTTGGTACCTCGCCGGAGATGATCGACACCGCTGAGAATCGCTACAAGTTCTCCCGAATGCTTGACCGGATCTCAGTTGATCAGCCTGCCTGGAAGGAGCTAACAAGTATCGAAGAGGCCACGGAATTCTGTGACAAGGTTTCATATCCAGTGCTTGTCCGTCCATCGTACGTTCTGTCAGGAGCAGCTATGAACACGGTCTACTCCAAGGACGATTTGGCCAACTTCTTGAAGCAAGCTGCCGACGTGTCCAGGGATCACCCAGTGGTGATTACCAAGTATATCGAGAATGCTAAGGAAATCGAGATGGACGCTGTCGCACGCAACGGCACGATGATCGGACACTTCATCTCGGAGCATGTTGAGAATGCTGGCGTTCACTCCGGAGATGCTACGCTTATCCTGCCACCCCAGGATCTGGATCCTGAAACTGTCCGGCGCATTGAAGACGCGACGAGAAAGATCGGAAATGCGCTGAACGTCACTGGTCCTTTCAACATTCAATTCATCGCCAAGGATAATGAGATTAAGGTGATTGAATGCAATGTGCGCGCCTCGCGGTCTTTCCCCTTTGTCTCAAAAGTCATGGGAGTCGATCTCATCGAGATGGCCACGAAGGCTATGGCTGGCCTACCGGTTACCGAGTATCCTCCGGTAAATATTCCCGCCGACTACGTCGGTGTTAAGGTTCCTCAGTTCTCATTCTCTCGGCTCTCTGGCGCTGATCCGGTCCTGGGCGTAGAGATGGCCTCGACTGGCGAAGTGGCATGCTTTGGCCGATCAAAGTACGAGGCTTACATCAAGGGCCTCATTGCTACTGGTTTTAGATTGCCGAGAAAGAACATCCTGCTGTCCATTGGCTCATTCAAGGATAAGTTGGAGATGTTGCCGTCTATCGAACGTTTGCACAAGATGGGCTTCAATCTGTTCGCCACAGCCGGGACAGCAGACTACATACAGGAGCACGGCATTCCAGTCAAATTCTTGGAGGTTCTTCCTAGCGGTGATCAGGACGAACAGAAACCGGAGTATTCGCTGACCCAACACTTGTCCAACAACGTCATCGACCTCTACATCAATTTGCCGTCCAACAACCGCTTCCGTCGACCGGCAAACTACATGAGCAGAGGATACCGGACTCGTCGAATGGCTGTGGACTACCAAACACCGCTGGTTACCAATGTCAAGAACGCCAAATTGTTGATTGAAGCTCTAGCCCGCCATTATGATCTTGAAATTAGCAAGGTGGATTTCCAGGAATTCTTCCCTGGCGCCCAAGAACAGTCCGAACTACAACTGTCCAGACTGAACGGCTCCTTGTCTCTTGCTCAGCTCCTTGCGAAATCGCCGTTTAAGAGGAAGCACATCACTTCCGTCAAGCAGTTCTCGCGCTCCGACCTCCACCTTCTCTTCACAATCGCCCAGGAGATGCGTCTCGGCGCTCAACGCCAAGGATGCCTAGATATTCTGAAAGGCCGCGTACTCTGTACCATGTTCTTCGAGCCTTCGACGCGTACATCATCATCTTTCGACGCCGCCATGAAGCGCCTAGGCGGCGAGGTCGTTGTAGTCAATGAAACGGCCTCGTCAACGAAGAAGGGTGAATCTATCGCCGACAGTGTTCGTACGCTCGGGTGCTACGGCGACGCAATAGTGCTGCGTCATCCGTCCGAAGAGGCTATCGACATTGCGGCGAAATTCTCTGACGTCCCCGTCATCAATGCTGGAAACGGCAGTCGAGAGCACCCAACCCAGGCTCTTCTGGATATCTTCACGATCCGAGAAGAGTTGGGAACGGTCAATGGACTCAGCGTCACTTTCGTCGGCGATCTCAAGTATGGCCGCACGGTCCACTCCCTCTGCGAACTCCTCTCGCACTACGACGTCACTATCAATTTGGTCTCGCCTCCTTCCCTGCCTGTGCCGGACTCCGTCCGCGACGTATTGAAGTCTCGCGGTCAGCTCGACACCGTGTCGAACGATCTGACCTCTGAGATTGTGGCCAAGACAGACGTGCTCTACTGCACCCGCGTGCAAAAGGAGCGCTTCCCCGACCTCGCGAGCTACGAACGGGTGAAGGACAGCTTCGTGGTCGATAACAAGGTGCTCAAGGCGGCCAAGGCCAATATGGTGGTTATGCACCCTCTGCCGCGCAACAATGAGATCCACGAGGAAGTGGACTTTGATCCTCGGGCGGCCTATTTCAGACAGGTAAGTACTCTTTCAGTGTAGCCCAGACGTGGCCGGCTAACAGAGTACAGATGAAGTATGGACTGTACACGCGCATGGCACTCCTGGCGATGGTCATGGCTCCCTGAGACCCCCGGCGTATACCCGCACGCCTTTTCTTACCAGATTGATCACGCTTCGGTGTTTTTCGGTCCTGTCGGCGTTTGGGCAATTTGAACAAAAGACAAAACCATCAAAAGCATCATCCATGGATATCGCGTTCCCTAATCTTTTCCTTAGCATATACGCAGCATATTACCTCCATAGAGACAAGGCATCAAAAGCATTAGACGGGCGTTGTAGGTTCACTGTAGACGTCGGCATCTGTGCCTGTATGAATACGTAATTTCTGCATTTGTTGCGTAGGGGGAAGCTATTTCAATTTTTCCTCAGGTGTATAATGCATTGTACGGTTTCTTTTGGCGCGCACGGATAATACCCGTTCCATTTCGGGAAAGGATCGCATGGCATGGCATGGGTTGGCGCTGGAGGCAATGTATGACTGGTGCTCTAGAGAGCCAGCGCGTTTGATAGAAGCATAATAACCGGGCAATGGATACAGACTCCATAACACCTTGTGGTATTCTGTTACAAAAGGCATTTAGACATGTCCCGGTATGCCTTTTCTAACCCTCAAATAATCAACTCCCTACGCTGTCCAAGTGTGCGCTTGCGTTTGCTTGGCTCGACGGGTCGCAGAGGACTCAATGGCGCAGGCAGTGTGACCATGCTGCGCAAGTTAGCTTTGGCGGGAATAAGCATTGTGGAAGTTGGGGAGAACGCACCAGGTAGTCCGCAGCCGAATCCGACGAATAAGTATATCAAGAAAATAACCACCAGCACCAGCAACACCATCAGCTTCACATTCTTCCACCACATCCTCCTCCTCAACCCCCGACTCCTAACCCGGAAATCCCGAGCCGTATTCCCCAAGCGGTCTGTTTTGTCCACCAACAAATCGATGCGTTCTCCCCTCTCGAGTACCCGCTCGATATTCTCCGTCATAATCTCTCTCACACCCTCAATCTCCTGCTGCGCCGTCCGCAGCGCATCCTGCTGTCCCGCCTGTGTGCCCCCCTGCTCCTGCATCAAGCGCCTCATCACAGCGTTAAAACTCGCGCATCCATAGCTCGGCAGGCTCGCAAAGTCCGTGTTCTCGGGTGGGAACTCTTCGAAGAACTTCTTCTGCAGATTGGCGAGGAAGCCGAAGGGGATGCGCTGCCCGAGCTGCTTTTCGGCGACGCAGAGGAATGTGAGGCCGCCGGCGGAGGACTGTTCTGCGGGGAAGGAGGAGGGCGAGAGCGTGTGGTAGTGCGTGAAGTAGGTACCGCTGTCGAGCGTCTTGTGCTCGGCGGTGGAGTGGGTGAGTTTCGGGAGGATGACGGAGAGGAGAGAGGAGGCGTTCGACGAGGCGGAGGCGGTGTGTTCCGAGAGGACGTTGGCGTTGTGGGCTATGCAGGCACTGCAGGCGTGTTAGAGCAGGACGGCAGAGAGCAGGGTAGGAGAGGACTGTACTAGAGCAGCTGCGTGGAGCTGGATGAGGATGCCATGGCGGGCGGTGTTGGCGCCGGCGCGGTCCGCTTGTTCTACCAGCTGTCTGAGGGCTGCGTTGCGACTATAACGGAGTGTGTACGACTCGGATTGGGAGAGTAACGGGATGTTGAATGGAGATGGAGATGCGGTTGTGGTGTGAGGGAGACTGCCTTTGGCGGCCCGGGCGCGCGTCATCCTGCTTTCCGCGCTAGGCCTCATTGGGCATGGTCGCATCCTGAAGCCCTGCAGCCGGGCGCCGTTCCCGAGGTCACGATTATTGGCGCAGGCCCCGCAGCTTCCTCGTTGCAGCGCGGGACATAATCGCAGTACCTTCCACGAACTGGGGCAGCATGGTCCGCGTCAAGAACCGCTATCTGGTCGTCAACTTCCTCTATCCAGCGTCCTCGACGGCCTCCAAGTCCGGAGACGCAACCCCAGAGCTCCTCCAATTCCACGCACCCACGCCAGACGCCTTCCATACCGGGATTCTGCTGCGCGTCGTAAGGGAAGGCGTCGCGGAGCTCTTTGGTGACTATGGCACGAGTATGGCAGGCGCCGGACTAAAGGGTATACCACTACCTCCTCCTCCTCCTCCTCCTCCTCCTCCTCCTCCTCCTCCTCTACCTCCTGTAGCTGTACCATGCTTTGCTCACGCTTGCAGTCAATTACTGGTCGCCTGCCACTTCCACAGCTATTATTCGATGCCCCCGGGAGCACTATGAGATGATATGGGCTGCTCTCACTTTCATCACGAAACTGCCGAAGCCAGTTGATATCCCCGTGATCGTCCAGGTCGTCAGGGTGAGCGGGACTATTAGAAAGGCGGAAGAGGAGGTCATACGGAGGGCGAAACAGATCATATGCAGGGTGAAAACAACAGATGCTGGTGGAAAGAATCCAATAGTTGACAGCATTGCAAAATCGGTAGAGAAGAGGAGAGATGCCGAGAATGCGGTGCTGGCGCAGATCGACGAAGCAGATGAAAGCGAGAGCGAGAGCGACTAGAGCAAGAAGCAGACGTCGAACGGCTAGCCTTATTATGGACCCGTTTGGAACTGAGCAGACATCGGATGTGCTATCATCTAGCTACTTCTTCTTTGAGGCCATGGTATAGTCTCTGACCCTCAAAGCTGACGGCCGCCTGCTAATCTTCTTTGAGCAACCTCGCAGCCCCCTCAGATCGATCTGGACACCTGACGAGCGCCTTTACTACCTGTCATTTGCCGAGTCCTAGTCATTGACGGAACTAGGGTAGAGACATGGTGAAGCTCCATTAGAACAAAGAACGTCTTCCCCGCAACGCCCTGATAAGTCCCAAGCGACTGGCGCCATAAAGACACCATCACCCGCAAACATTAGCACGTGGGGATATCATCCAATTTCCTATACACTTCGCCGACCGGCTGCTCGTGTTCCGCCATGACGATGGCCTACGCTTCTATCTATCCCTCCTCGCCTCATCGTCTCAGGACTCCCCCTCCCACTCCCTCGTCGTCACCTATACCTAAGAAAGTTCAGTGGGGCTTGCTGCAGTCGTATCTTGAAACTCTTTCGCCTGAGTCTCCTCTGCCTATGCTTCCTAGCTGGCTCGACAGTGTTGACAAATCCGTCATCCTCACTCTTCTCGCGAAGAAGCGCTCAGAGCTCCATCTCCTCCGCTCAGAAGCAAAGCGACCTGGCCTTGCCCCGCCAAACGTCTCCGACACATTTCAATTCCCAGACTACGATGTGGGGACTCGTGGCTCGGGCTATACGACGCCGTCGAAAGCAACGCAAGTCCCGCCAGACTCAGCATCCAGCTCCCGACCACCCTCCCGCAGAGCCCGCAACAACAGTGAACTACACAACATCGAGGAAGGAATCGGCGATGCACTTGCGAAACTCAACACGTCCGGACTCCACTCCAGAGGACACAGCGAGAACGGATTCCAGCTCCCAGGCCAGCTCTCCCCGCTCAGTCCAACATTCGGGCCCCGCAGAGGCCATGTGCAAATTGGAACCCTGGAGCGCAGACGAGCAAGCGTCCCCGCTAACGTGTATATGTCCCAGAACAGGACTCCGACGAGCCCTGCGTGTGCGAAGCGTCCGCCGTACTCGGCCTCCCTCCCCGCAGGGAGCCATTGTCTAGTGAAATCCAGCTGGGAGGCGGAACAGAGGATATTGTGGGAAGCCGCATGGACAGAGATTGAGAGAAATTTGGAAGCGTATGCGCGTCGATTTGAGGACGGTAATAGCGACCTTGACGAAAGAGACAATGATGACGTGTGGAGAGAATTGGTGAACCTGAGGAATGACAAAATGGAGGTGCTAGATATACTTGCGAGCCGAGCGGACAATACCTCGGGAATGAGGCGGATGAGCCTTCTTGATTTGTCTCGCTAATGTCCGTAGAGCCGCCAGGCGCACGTAGGGTGCTGCACAAACTACTCGTTCCTCTTAGTACATAGCCAGAAGCGTGCGGTTACCAAACGTTTCATAGAAGCCGATGTACGGTAAATTCGCCGCTGTACTCGTGCGCATACCGCCACTCCAATGCTCCTCCAGTGTCGCGGCCTCCAGCCTGAAGCCTTCAACGCATCATCGCACAGTCGCTCCTCAACCTGAAATCATTAGCAGTTCTCCCAAGTCCACACAGGCCCACATACCTCACTCCTCCACTGTCGGCACCACCTTGAGCGTCCATTCCCACTTGCCCATCTCCTGCTTCTTGGCAATAATCGCCAGTCGTGTGCTGAGGTCGATGAGGCACTTGCGGCAGTGGCCCGCTGCTTCTTCGTGCTCAGGATAGAGCTTTCTGCACGGAAGACTCCAGAATCGGGCCGAGGCCGTCGAGCAGATGCGCAGCGGGCCGGCGGGGTGTGGGCGGGTGTGGCTGCAAGACGTGTAGGTTACGAAGATTTGCTGGCACATTGTGGCGGTTGGAGATGAGATTTTGATAGTGACGGTTTTTAGACGGTTTCGTGAAGATGAAGCCTCTAGATGCCCACAGAGGGTAGAATGCAATAGCTTTGGGCGGTGGAAATGCGGCTGCGTGGCGATGTGTCTTGAAGGTGCGAAGACTGCATTTTGGTGTGTGATGATAGATTTTGAAGTTGGGCCAAATTACGTGCGATTTCGAGAGGAAATTACCTGAAGCCAAAGCAAACGCTCCTGCACTGTTGTCATGCCATTTCATTCGAGCGGTGTCCGACTTCCATTGAGGTGAAGAGCCCAATCAAACCCCATTGCGTTCTTCAACGCTAACCCTCCTCTCCTCTCCCCCTGCAGGAATGGCATCTAAGCAGGCTCCCTCTGCTCTTTCTCCTCATTCTTCTCGACTTTCGGTTTCGATTTCGATTTGGGCGGTGGTGGAGGTCGAGGCTTAATCAACGTTTCGACCCCGTATAGTATCTCAAGGCAATTATGCTTCGCTTTGCCCCAGGCCTTGGTAGTTTCCGTTTAGCCGCGTTCATTGTTCTTTTTGGAGGTGTTTAAGGGATGCGTTACCTTTGTGGCCGACCCAGAGACGTTCGTTGCGGGCGCGCTCGTAGAGCTAAGGCTGGAGAGGGCGTTAGTCACTTACTCAAACCCAGATTTGCAAAAGACAGCCTTGAGGCCTTCAAAGCCTTATACTGCTCTGGCGTCTGGCCGTTGCATAAGGTATAACATCCCACAATGTGGGCACTTCATCTTGCTCGTCTCCCACGTCAGCATCATGCAGCTCGGCGGGTGCACTTTGTCGAACACGCGCTGCTTCCACTTTCCGCGCTTCTCATTCAACTCTGCGCATTCCCGGGGTAGCTTGCAGTCGCGCTTGAATTTACCTAGGGCGTATTCAAATGTGATGTGATGATGTCTTACGATCGGAGAGAGTCTTTTGCGGGTTCAGACGAGCGGTGCCCAAGCGCTTCCTTCCGCTCTAGCGGGCGCTAAACCCTTTGTAGCTCCGACACCGCCAAGAGGCCCCCGGGCTCAACCTCAGTCGAAGGCCGCCGCGGTCGACACCACCACCCCACCTCCTCCACACCCGGAGAAGACGACCTCCGCACGCCTCTCCACTCCCCCTGCAGTGATCACATACTTAGCGGACCCAATGCCGCCGCTCGCGCCCCTCCGCGCCGCCGCGCGCAGCCCCAGCACCGCGCTCGTCCGCCGCCAACCCAACCTCAAATTCCCGCTCAGCTTCCGCCCCAGCAGCCGCCAATTCTCACAGTCGAAAAGCGTAAAGGGAAGTGGTGGCCACGGATCGCACTACGATGCCCCGAGCGGGTGGCTGTTCGGCGTCAAGCCCGGCGAGAAATACCAGAAGGAGGGGTGGGAAGGCATCTGGTACTGGGGGTTTTATGGCAGCTTTGCCGTGGCGATTGTGGCTTACGCATTCAAGCCTGATACGAGGTATGCGTTGCTTAAAGGGTGGCCTTTCGCTGGGTTTTCACAGGCTGACTATCGCCTAGCATTCAGACATGGGCGCTCGAAGAGGCACGACGACGGCTGGAAGCCGAGGGCATCTTGCAGGACCCCGCCACGAAGCCCAAGGAGTAGAGCGCCCACCGAGGAAGGAGCGTTGGGGCGAGAGCCGGCAAAGACTGCGTGGAGTGTACATATGACGGCAGACGACATGTGACAGGTTTCCTTTGTGCAAGACTCATAGAGTCGGACTGCGAGTGGCTTCAATGCCGAAGGCTATTGAGCAATGGCAATATTATCTGGCACTTGCGGGCGCAAATTTCTCCATGCCATATGTCTTTCCGTCCACCGCATCCCCAGGAGCAGATTCGGCAAGTATGGCTTCCGCATGTGTGGCGTTGGACTGACGACTCGCCAAGGTCACTTCTTCCTCGGATGTCTTACAAACTTCAGCTTGACAGTGAAAGAACATCACGATTCGGCCCATGCTCGGTCTCGTGCTCATAGAGGCCTTTTACTTTTATTTCAAAGCTACTACATGCCGATTCACTATCCCATACTAGCAAAGACAAGTCAAGTCACAGCAACAGCAAGCCATGCGCCCTATCGCGGATCCAATTCCCTCCCCTCCCCTCATCGGCTAACAGTAATCTGAGAATAGCCTGAAGAGAAGTAGCCCTCTGTAGCAACAATCTGGTAGTTGTGCGTACCAAGACGCATGCCCTGCGCAGCCCACGCGTCAAAGTGCGTCTTGGTGGTAACGGTGCCACCGGTTCGCTTCTGTTGGCGAACGGACCAGAACTGCTCGAAGGTGCGGGTGCCCTCAATGGACGGTTGATTGACGCGGGTCGACTGCGCAATCTGGTAGTTACTGCCGTCCGCATAGACAGTGCCCTTCTTAGTCGCTTGGGAGGACGGATCATAAGTCCCGAAGTTCTCGACGATGTAGTATTCGATGAGCGGGTTGGTGGTCCAGCCGTAGATGGCGAGGTATGAGTTGCCGTTCGGCTGGTAAGTACCAGAGTAGGTGATGGTCCTGATTCTGGATCAGAAACCGCTGTATGTCGCGCGTTTAGCAGAGGGGAAGCTTACCGATCAGACCCTGGGTTCCATCCCTTGCCGCCGACAAAGTTACCGCCGCTGCTCCACCTCACCGTGTACTGGCCACCGGGCCCGTTGGTGTAGGTGACGTCTGACCCGCCATCAGTCCACCATGAGTAGTAGAAGCCATCGTGGGTGCCCGTAGACGATGGCGTGCCGGCGCGTTCGGCGAGCTCTCCTGGGGAGCGCTTGGCCACCTCGGCGGGAGCGGCGAGGGCGCCAGCGACGGCCGTAGCAGCGGTGATGAGCGATGAGAAGGAAACCATTTTGGTTGGATCACTTTGAGCACAGCAGGCAGTTGGTGATCAGCGAAGGATTGATTGACCGTGGGACGATCTCGGGGGTGAGTCAGGGCGCTTTTATAGATGGATTGATCTCCCGCGGAAAAAGAGTACGGGATTGTGGATAGGGAGATTGTATTGCAAGGGCTACGCAGACAGCCATCGGTGCATGCAAGCTTGTGAGTGCCTAGTTGTGGGGAGACCATAATACTTTGAGCTTGGCCGAAGGAAACAGAATGCTTTCCAATCCATTGAGGCCCGCCAATCAACGGTCAAAGGAACCAAAAACCCCCCTCCAATATCAAGACATATTGAACATGATTGGAGCATAGCTAGAAACATCTAGGCGCAACCAAGCCCGACCTCTCATTAAGCTAGATGTTTCAATATCGCCGTTGTGGAGATACTCCGGGGCACAGCGTCGTCCTGCCGCCGCGGCGAGCATGGCAAAAGAGAAGTCAAGATGGCTGTACCGGTATTGTCGAGGCGTCACCTTTCTCCACTGCCTCCTGCCCAAGAGGGGCGTTTTACCAGCGGTTAAAGGGCAGCTTGGCTTCTTGAAGCTGGAAAGCATTGGGAAACAAGGCCGCACAAGGAGCTTGGCTGCTGGCTTGGTCGAATCTGCGGTCGGCGGCGCTTAGCGTTTGAGGGTTGGTGTAGGTAGGACGGGCGGGCTGGAGGTCGTCTGCAACAGGCCACTTAGTGGGGGCGGGGTGGAACAAGAATGTTTCGAAACTTCCGATGCTGGTTTTTCTTTTGCTTCTGGTCGAACTGTCAGAGTTGCTTTTCGCATGGATTTGATGGAAGGGCAATGGTCTTCGCGCTTCCCGGTACCTTCTAAACGCACCCCGTCGACGGCGAAAGAACGGTGCAGGCAAACAGGAGATCTCGTCAGCCTAGGATCACCCTTTCTGATCGTCGGGCGCGTTGCAACCTCGCTCAATCTCGGATTTCCTGCTATCGGCCCGTCAACCACATTTCTCCTCTCCGCCGCCCCAGGCCCCAGGCCCCTCTCCGCCTCTCGATCTCATGATGTCGTCCCTCTCCCTCAGAATACCCGTAACCATCAACCGCGGCGCGAACGTGTGCGCGTCTCCAAGTCCCAAGCCCCCCTCTCATATACCGCCGATCTTGGCTCCCACAACCAGGTGCACGTCTAAGCCCGCCCAGGAAATCTTATATTACCACTCTAATCCGATCCTCGTTTCCCAGTCCCGACGCATCCGCGCTGTCGCAGCCCGATCATTTGTTTATGCATCAGATGACGGTACAGCGTGTAGCCGGGGAGCCGGAGAATTAAACGCCATCCCGTGCATCTGGGAAGTGGAGGGCGAATAAGAAGTAGGGAGTAGATGAACGGCTGGAGTGCGTGGTTGAATAGCCGACTGTACTCCGGATTCGGCGCACTGTGCCCAGGTTCTTGTCCCGGTGGGTATAAGAGTAGTCGTTCTTGGGTTTTAGAATGGGGACTTGGGGTGGGATTATCGTTAGCGTCACGTGCTATGTGGTGAGATGTTTTCCAAGGATGTACTCATGGCCTAGTTGCCGTACAGGGTACGGAGCAGGCAATGAAAAAGTCGTTGCTTCCTCCCTATGGGGGTGGATGCTGGTAGAAACCCAAGCGCACCCAAGCGCACCGAAACACGCTCCAAACCCGATACCGGAAATGCAATCCATCCCCGCTGCTATACAATGCGACCCATATGCGCCTGGTACTTGTATATGCGTAATATGATGTCCGAGCCCGTGCTATGCTCAGCTTCCCTAATCTTCGTACAGACGCGCAAATCCTGGATGTCTGTACCCGGTAGCGTCGCGGTTCGCCTATTGCTCTCAGTGTATACCTCTTACCATGTCTAAATCATAGATATGGGCCTAAACCCATCGTGAAATGTGTAAAGCCCTGCATACTACCCTAGAATGGTCAGGCACTCGTGCTTTACGCCGCGACTAGGGCCCGCTCTCTCTCTTTCTGGGGTGGCTCCTCGTCTGCGTCCTCGTCCTCCTGTGCAAACGACAGCTTCGACAGGTCCTCTTCCGCCTCTTGAACCTCTTGCTCTGTCCGCTCCTCTTCCGCCTCTTTCTCTTTCTTCTGCGCGGCTTCTTTGTCTTTCCGTGCCTTCTCAACCTCCTCGAGCTCGGCAAGACGTGCGGCGGTCTTCTCGGCCTCCTCTTTCTCCTTCCTTTCCCTCTCGGCCTTCTCGAGAGCTTCGAATTCCTCGTCAAGTTCGCCCTCGTCGACAGCCGTGGCGGATTCGTTAATGATGCTCGTGATCTCGTCGACGGTAGCCGTCTGCTCTCTCACTTCATCCATGACGTTCTGGACACCCTCCACACCGCCAACCTTCTCGTGTAGGCCCTTCATAGCTTCGGCACCAGCCTTCATGGCCTCGACGATATGTACTTGGTCGGCCGCGCGTTGGAGGCCCATAAATGCCTCTTCAAGCTCGAGCGCTATATGCGAGCGTTCTGCGAGTGCGTGCTCAGCAAGCTTCTTGGACTTAAGGGCAGCCTTGGCACGAATCGTGTGCTTGGCCCGCACAGCTTCGCGAGCGTCCAATTCTGCTTCGGCGATCTTTTCCTGCAGAGCAGGTAGTTGGGCATTGACCTTGTCGGCGGCGTCCCGGAGATTGGCTAGGGCGGTGTCTTCCTCGGAAACCGGGGTCAGCTCCGTCTCGGTTTCTGCTCTGAACTTGATAGTTTGCGCGTTGAAAGCGAGGGCCTGCTTATCTCGGCACATGTGTAGCAGTAGCACATTGAGGTCGTTGGCGGTAAGCGGCGCAGCAGGATTGAGCACCCTCGAGAAGCGCTTCAGGAAGGTTGTCCTGGACAGGATGCGGTCGGCCGTGGACGTATGTGTCTGCTCTTTCATCCGCTTAAGGATCTCGTTCGCAGCGACCTCAACATTCTTCAGTACGACAAAGTCCCCGACGGGCAGCTTATCGGGGTCGGGCGAACCGAGAAGCTTCTGCAAGGCCCACTGTGCAAGGCCGGAGATGGACGGCACCCACGACTGCTTGTATATGGAAGTCTGGGAGTTCAAGAAGTCGCGACGAGGAACGAAGTCCCTCTTCTTGACCGCATCGTGGAAGACTGCAGGGAGACAGGTCGGCTTGCCATGCTCCCTGTGTTGCAGCGCTCGGATAAGCTCTTCGCCGATGCGGATGGACAAGAGATCGTGGGTGCCGCCCTGTGACGGGATGACGCCGGCGAGGGCTGCGTCTGTGAGGGCCTTCTTCCAGACGGCGAGGTTGGCTTGGAAGCCTTCCGGGTTCGTGTGTGCTTGCGAGCGAAAGTCGGCGTACAGCGAGGCGACGCGGGCGCGACTGTGTTCTGTCAGCGAGCTTTGTGGTGGAGCTTTGGCGCGTGGCTGGTGCTCACCTCTGGAAGGCCTCTTCGTGGTCGAGGATGAAGTTGACCAGCTCGCTCATTTCCTCTTCCTTGGGCGCCGTGTATGCGGCCGTCTTGGAGCGCTTGCGGCCGCTGGAGAACAGCGCCTTGCGGAGGTTCGCGCTCAGGCGGGGTTTCGCGTGGGGGTCTTGGCCGGGGCCCTGCTCCGAGAGCTTGCGCTTGTGCTGCATCCCTACCGTCAGTCGCTTGATTCTGTTCACGTCAGAGATATCGGAGCTTAAAAGTTGGATATGAAGAAGCGAGGATCCACTGGCTGTGGAGGCTCTGGGGTTTATATGCGTCCGAGTGCGCGCGCTGGGAGCCGTGCGACGGTGCAGCAACACCCAAGGCTGGCGCCCATTCACAACCCCATCACTGCCTTCTGCTACTCGAGACAGATGAGATGAAGTAGAATCAATCTTCCATTGCAATTGTGGTATCGCTTTGTCCCAAGCATCGCCCCCGCGCGCCAGTCACCGGCTCTATTTCCTCACCATGCTGACCCCGCTACCCTCGTGGTTCTCCATGAACTTCCTCATTTCTTCTAGATCCCCCATTTCGTCGTCAGATTCCCGCTCTGCACCTGCCCTGGAGCCCTTCTTCCCATCGCGGCGCCCCGCGGGTCCCCTTGCGGCCCCGCTTCCTGGAGCGTCCACCATCTCCTTGCTCTCCTCCGCCCACGCCCGCCGCTCCTCGTCGTCCATCTCGTCCCTCCGATCCAGCCACCGCTCCTGCACGTCTCTTGCATCCATGGTCACAGCATCTTGCCGCATGGCCATCTGCCACACCGTGTCGTTCGCGCCCTCAGCGCCGCCGAACGCATAGCCACCCGCTCGGTCGATAGCGCGGAGCAGAGTCATCATGCTCTTTTTGTCTTCGACTGCGAGAGTTTCGAACCCGACGAGCGCGAAGTCCTCGACCAGTTCGACAATAGCTTTGTTCAGCGCGGCAAACTTGGAGGCGGGCTCGCCTTCGTCCTCGTCCACGTCCACGTCCATGTTGCGATTGATTTCAGGGGAGCCCGACGTCGGCCCTGGAATGCCCGAGGTCTGTTCCCGATTCAGATGCGGCAACAGGTAGTTGAGGTCTTGCACCTCGGTGTAAAAGTCCAGGTTGAAGGGCAGATTCCCATAATTCCTCAGGTTATCGATCTTGGTGAGCACGTTCAGGTGCGGGAGATCCATCTGCAGCATGCTTCTCAGCGCAAGCAGCAGCGAGGACACGTATAGAGAGGGTCGCGAGAGCACGATGGAGTCGGTGAGGTGTACGACGACTAGCTAGTAGGGGTCAGCAGGTGGCGGCGAGCACGAGTGGTGAGAGAGTACTCGATACCCCAGTTTTTGAAGGCGAAAGAAGATGTTCCGCAGCGAGGAATGGTGCGTGAAGAGCTCGACCTGGCCAGGGCAGTCGAACAGGATATAGTCATCTACCATGCCATCAGCGTTTGTTGTCGCTGCCACACCCCGTTGGTGGTCGCGGACCTCGGAGCTGCTTCAAGCCCTCCTCTAGCCAGTCGAAGTTGTGCTCCAGCTCCTCCAGCGCGTACAGAATACTGCCATTTGGGCCAAGCGCTTCCTGCTCCATGATGTCGTCTATTGTGACCAAGTCTCTGACGTCCAAGGCCGGGTGATACGAGCTATGGCCGTTTGCGGGATCGAGGTTTACGACGGAGCATTTGCGCCCGATGGCCGCCATGAACTGCTGCATGCCATCGCAGTACGTCGACTTGCCCGCGCCGGGCGGGCCGATGACCAGCTGCGCGAACGGCATGGTGGGTGAATGGAGCTGCAGAGGGCGCGGGGGTGGGTAGCTGGGTAGCTTCGGCCGGGCCGGAGAAACCATTCGCCGCCGCCGCCGCCGCTGTTTGTTTGCGGAGGCGCGCCGGAGGTCCCTCCCGTGTTCCTAATACAAATAATAAGATAAGTTCTCTATTATTTGTAATTTTATTCATCCCTCGAGCTCAGGCTTTTTAGAAGACGCCCACCCCCAAAGAGCGTGTCGCCACCATGTCCAGTGAGTCCCGCCCAATGCGTCTCCCAACTCAATAGGCCCCGTGCAGTCGCTGACCTCTCCCCAGGCCAATTCGAGCTCGCCCAGAACCCCACCGACCCCATCTCCGCCGTCAAGTTCGCGCCCACGTCGTCATCGCGCCTCCTCGTCTCGTCGTGGGATCGCCATGTCTACCTCTACGACACGCTCGCCGAGCCCGGCGGCAAGCTGCTCGACAAGTTCGAGCATCGCGCTCCCGTGCTCGACGTATGCTTCGGCCGCGACGACAACGAAGCCTTCAGCTGCGGCCTGGACTGGGAGGTCCGACGCGTCGATCTCGCGAGCGGCGCCCAGACGGTGCTGTCCACACACGCCGCCGGCGTGCGCAATGTCCTCTTTTCCGCCCCCCACAACCTCCTCGTCTCTTCATCATGGGACTCCACCCTCCATCTTCATGACCTGGCGCACCCCGGCGAGTTCAGCACAATCTCACTCCCCTCGAAACCATTCTCGCTCTCCGCATCGCCCACCAAACTCCTCGTCGCAATGGCCAGTCGCGCCGTCAACATTTACGAGCTGGACGCGCTAGCCAAGGCTGCACAGAAGGGCGGACATGTCAGTGTGGAGCCATGGCAGCAGAGAGAGAGCAGCATGAAGTACATGACACGCGCGGTGGCCTGCATGCCAAACGACGCAGGTTATGCAAGTTCTAGCATTGAAGGAAGAGTCGCCGTGGAGTGGTTCGACCCAAGCGAGGAATCGCAAGCGCGAAAATACGCCTTCAAGTGCCACCGACAAAACGTCGAAGGCCAAGATATCGTATATCCGGTCCATGCCCTAGCATTTCACCCTCTTCACGGTACATTCGCATCAGGCGGCGGCGATGGAGTTGTAGCGCTGTGGGACGGAGTGGCAAAGAGGAGGATTAGGCAGTATCAGCGCTTCCCAGCAAGCGTACAGACCATCTCCTTTAGCGCCGACGGGAAGTACGTGGCAGTAGGCGTAAGCCCAGGTTTCGAGGACGGCGTGGACGACGTGCCAGATGGTGTCATCAAGGTATTCATCCGCGAGCTGAGTGACACCGAGGCACAAGGCAAGAAGAAGTGAAGAGGCGGGGGTTATCGGAAAGGCGTCAGGCGTTTGGGAATCGACGACAGATAGCACCGAGGTAGTGCTTGTCTTGCAATTCATACCCGGCTGATACACATCCTAGCAGCTCCAACTGCTCAACGGCGCTACCTTGATCCGATACTTCTCGCCCCACTTTCACACTGCATGATTCATCTGCCTTCTAAACGACGTCCCAACGTCAAGGTGGAGTACACTGTCACAGCATGCCTATATCTTCCTTCCCCTCTCTAGATCCGTTCCGCCCTTTGTTTTCCGTCAATTTCCAAAGGCTCTTAATCTTCACCAGCGTCATGTTTCGCATCCTATGTCGCATGCCCAATCCACCGCTATTCTTTCCATACATACATTTCTCCCCGGCTTTCTCAACCCCCTCCTATTTTACACATACATGGACCTCCATATCCGACTCCGAAAATCAACACTCTGAATGTGCTACCGCAACTACATCGAATACTCCTGCCCCCAAGGCCACACCCTTCTCGACAACATCCACCCCTTCACACTGTGTGAGAAGGCTCAACACAGCCCGATACCGCGGCACTGTGCATTTCCTATTGACCGTGTTGGAAAAAGTGATGAAATATGCATTGACTGCTGGATGGTGGAGAAGGGGAAGATTGGGCTCGGGAAGGAAAAGTTGGAGTGGGATGAGAGGTGGCCCGGGGGAGGTCGATGGACTGGGTATGGTGGGGAGGGTGGGTGGGAGTGTTATAGGGATGATGTGCCGCAGTAGAGGGCCTGGAAGGGGCGAGGTCAGTGAGCGGGGCGTGTGGCGGTAGGTTCGCACTGACGTTGAAGACCGTACCTCTAACCTTCAAATGAACCCCACTTTGATGCAGGTAGCATGCTATCGGCAGCATTGGGAGATCTGAAGATGATTTCTCACCTCGACTGCCTACCTGCTCCATTCTAACGGTCAGGTCTCTCTTTCTCTATCAAAGTCCTTTATGTTTCAACCCACGCCTCTCTCTTACAGCATTCGGACTCGCTTACCTTACCTCTACAAATGTAGCCAACCTGCAGGGTAAACTTGGCCTCCCTTTCCACCGTCATCAGAAGTTCACCGGCTTCTCCTTTGCGACTAGATCAGATATGGCCACAATGCCCTCGGCGGCTGCGCCCAATACTGAGTCAACTCCCCCACTATCCTTCACGTACGACACCCTCCTACAAGAAATACGAGCGGCCAAAGACGTGGGCAATTTCCTATATCTGCCCCATGCCAGTACTATGGTCACCAGAGACACGTCGAAGAAGCCGGCGGCCTCGCTCAAGGATGCTACACGTCTCGGATTACAGATAGGCACTTTCAAGCAGGCCAACTCGTCTTTCCCCGTCTAGGCTCATGCACATGTCAACAGCCCTCACACCAACCCCCATATCGATACCGTCGGCCACTTCATCAAGGACAAGGACCGGAAGTTAAGTCGCGCCGAGCTTGAAAATGTTGAGTATATCGAGCCGTTCAAAAGCGTATTCAACACCCAGAATCGCACGTTCATCGAGAGAGTTAGAATCGTGACCTTGTTCTACTTCTTGGAGAAGGAATTCATTGGCAGGCTCTTTCTTCCCGTCGACGGCGTCCGAATTCTCACGCGTGCCTGCGAGGGCAATTGCTCGCGCCGCCAAAGCAGACACCAGAAAGCCAACACGGGACTCTATAACACTAAAAGCAGCAGGCACGGCGTCGGTAAACCCGCCAGTCAAGGCCGCTCCAGCCCCAACTACTGGCCAAAGGTTGAAGGTGTCCACGAAAGACGGCGGTGGCAAGCAAGGAACAGTTATGGAGAGATCAGCCATGAGGGAGGAGCAGGCAGAAAATGCTATTCGGACAAACAGCATGGATACACTAGCTCCTTCCGCTCAAGCAACGATGAGCCCCGGTCTCAGGAACTCACCTAAGAACCTGTATCCTGCCCCAACCCTGCGCGTCTCCTCTACGCGCGGTTCCTCGACTCCTTCCGAGCAGATCGCGGAAGTCCATACGGATCAGCCAAGCGCAAAGAGGTCGAGAGTTCCAAGCGTCACCGGGGAGGGGCAGGAGCGTAAGTGTCTACTAAATTGGCGCTTAAGAAGCATGTATGCTGACCCCTCCTCAGATGCTCCCAAGCGGCAGAACATGGACGACAGTGTATGCACTGGACTCCTCTGCCCCCCTCGCAACTTATTATCAATACTGACAATGTCTAGCTCTGCCACCTCCAAAAGTTTGTCGAGAAAGTCCGTGGCAAATACTCCGACGAAGACTACGAGCAATTGCAGGCCGAGAACAAAAAGTTCTCCGAGACTGCAAAACTCCAGCTAGACAAAGCTGCACTGAAGAAGCTGAAGGAAGAGTGGGAACAGAACGCAGAGTTTGCAATCTCAGAGCTGACAGAGTCCGATGCCAAGCGACTTGCTTTTGAGAGCGAGGCGGAGGATTTGAAGAGGAAGCTCAAGATAGAGGCCGAGAAGAGAAAGAAGGTGGAGACCGAGCGAGATGCGCTAAACGAGGAGAACGGGCATCTACAGGAGCTGAAGGTGTGCATAATTGAATTGGTGCCGATATTGGCTAAGCGTAAAGAGTAGACCGTAGGGGTGGGAGAGTAGACCGCAGAAAAGACGGTACGGGCGGCCGTACAGGTTTTCAGGGTTCCTACCCCGCATAGACCTCCAGTGTCCGGCTCGATTTTACTTGCGAGGCTTTCGTTGCTCCACTTTCCGACCCCTGGATCTGTATGGGCAAAACGTGTGTTTGGGGGTTCGAATAGAGGGTTGGAATATGCATCCTTAGGCATGGCATGACAGGAATAATGTCCGGGATCTCGTGAGGATAGAGTGTCTGAGCATTTTCTCTTCACCTCTGGGAGCCATATACCTATCCTAAGAATTATATCGTATATGGAAAATCTTACAACAAAGGGCTTCGGCATGTTGGGGCCTTTGTTGATTTGACGTTCATGGTGGGGCATCCGATCATCCACAAAACGTCAGCTTCATTACTACAGTGACTCCTTAAAAAGGATCGACGATATTGCATCGACCGATCGTTGCGTTTTCTCACTTACACTATCGATTCTTGATTTGGGCTTGCTGTCGCCACCCAATAAAGGCGAGTGAGTTACTTCTCGGGCAATATAGTGGCAGTATACTAATGCTTGATAGACCCGACTCGGACTTCTCACGATAGCAACGTACATCAGCCATGTCCTCATGATCGGAGTCAGTCCGATTCACACACCTAGCGTCGTCCCCGCTAGAGCCCGGACGAGATACATGCACGCATGGGTCGTCGCTGAATTTTCGGACACGTTCAGAGCGCTCCCATGCATCGACATGCTCAGCTTCAAAGATATTGACAACGATAGGCTATACGAGTACTAGAGCAAAGAACCGATACTACAGGACAACGAAACGGCTGTGATTAGAGGACTTTGAGTTAGAAACGTTTTCGAATGAAGGTGTACAATCGGTCAGATAGCGGCTGCGAGCTATTTCCACTCTATCGTAGTCTCCCATTGCGTACATAGGGAAATCTCAGCCCGGGAGTGTAGCCGAGGTCGTCTGGGGACCTGTAGCAATTCATCGAGCTATAGGCCCCTGTGAGATGCCGCGGGAAAGCTGTACTCCTAGAATAGAGATTAGCCATGTTGCTTCTTCTAGAACATCCCCTGCCGACAAACGTCACGCTACCTATAAGCAAGCAAGGACGGTCAAGCGTAGGGCCCTAACCATTACAAGATCAACTGTCAAACAAGTACCCCGAAGCAGCGAGAAGAGGGTCATTGTCGTTTTCATGACAAATAAAAACAACAACGCGGGGCGCGTATAAAGCAGGACTTCTTCCCCGTGAACCAGCCGCTAGTCATGGACGGTGGTATCCAACTCATAGGGCCGCGGTTCACCATGCCAAACTGTACGGCTTCGGAAAGCATCAATGGGGTTGCCTACCAGGCTCCCAGTGGAGAAGAGCAGCCAGCCGAGGTGAACTCCCCGGCGTCCATATTCGGAGGTCCTCTTGGCGAAGTTCCAAGAGCCCAGGAATGGCAAGAGCCCGCTCGTGACGAAGTGCTGAGCAATGCACCGTCGGAAGTTACTGCAGAAGCAGACCAGAATCGTCATCAAAGCCATGGGGATCCCTTCAATGCAATGCCACCGATCATCAAGCTCAACGTCGGCGGCCGGATATTCTCGACCCGGACGACAACTCTTGCCGAAGCCAAATGGTTCGAACCTTACCTTGAAGGACGCTGGCCATGGCCTCTTGACACAAATGGGGCATACTTCGTGGACGCGGATCCAGACCTATGGGAGCATCTGCTTCGCTTCATGAGACGTCCCAATGTCTATCCTCTCTTCTGGGATACGGCGAAGGGCTTCGATTATGATCTCTACAACCGCCTTGAACGGGAAGCTTTCGATTTCCGAGTCGGAAAGCTTGGAGATTGGATCAAGGAGAAGCAATACTTGAAGGCTGTGACGGTACGGGCTCATCCACCAGTGGCGCGAGAGCTCGACGACGTTGACCCCGAATACTACACGATGAACGAGGACTATGAGCGCCATGTTGTACCTCGAGTGCGAAAGGTATACGTATGTCCTCGGGGAATTGCGGTCCATAGGGGTCATCCGGAGAAGTGCGGCCAGGCTTGCGCTAAGGCCCAGGGGGGCACGCCGGCTGAGTACGAGGAGGAGCCGTATTGGGAGGTTGTGACTATCCGAAAGTCAACTGTGTTTGATGAAAAAGTTTGCAGAGAGCCGGAGACTTATGGCTGTGCTGGTTAGTGCACGATGAAGAAGGTCTGGTGATGGCAGCGGATGTGGGACGGCGGCTCCTCGCAGGTCAGGATGTATAGTGTTTACAATACCGAGATATTCCACATGCCTCCTGTTCCGCATTTCGCTTTACTTATCAATGGCCAGACAAGTCGGATCTGATCGAATCCTGTATTCTTGTTGCTTCTGCCCTTCGCTTTGCGTTGGTGTTTCGCACAGCCACGGTTGATGGTCGTGTGTTGCTGGCGTCTGGTCGCCATCACCATGCCCATCCCATCTTCTCCAGACTGTGCGACAGTGGACGCTCGTTGACCTGTGAAGCACTTTCACCACTGACGCGATCAAGGAGCTGTTCGCTTGTTTGATCGCGCGGTCACGGGACTGAATCGCCCAATCGGGAATGGTCGCGGCGACGCGTCCACGGGCCACCTAGGACGGCGGTCTGCTCTCCCCACGCAACAACGGCAATCATGTAAGGAGAGTTGGCTACGCTTCAGCGACATCACTAAGAATGCCCAGGGCACCAAAGCGCAAGCGTCCGCAGCCCACCGAGCCCAGGAGCTGCGCCCTCGCCCGCCTCAGCGCCAGCGTCAGAACGCTACAGCAAACCCCGGCGTCGTCTTTCGCTTCGTCGACCTCCCGGGGGAGCTCCAAAACCGCGTCTACGAATTCGCTTTGGAGCATGTGACGCGCACGCTCACTACCCGGCCTCTGTTCCCCCGCCGCGAACGTCGCTGGCTTAACAGCCACGATGCAGACTCTCCCTCGACGCCCACCCCGATACCCTTTCTCGCCCTCACGCAGGCCTGTAAGTAGATCCGCTCCGACTTCTGCAACTGGTGGCTCAGCAAGCACGTCGTCGACCTGACCATTGTGGAGAAGTACGTACACTGCTTCGTGCTGCAGCCGGGCAAGACGGAGAAGGAATGCTTCGAAGCATTCCAAGGCTGCGTTGGTGGCATGACAGTCTACGTTTCTAAACCCCACGACACAGACTTCCTATCACTCCTGCGGCTCAAAGCGGCCCACCCCAACTTCACCATCACGCTCCAAGCCGACGCTGATCGCGGGCAGTCCCTCTCGTCTCTAGACAAGCTCATATCGAACACCAGCCCGGAGTAGCTGCGCTAGATCAGCACCGGGATTGTCACCCTTACATAATGCTCTGCGCTATCACCGTGGTAGTGGGCTATTTGCACGCCGAAAAGTGGATGGCTCCCAGTATTCAACGCCCCCCGGGAGGGTTTTTGGCCCGTCTTGGCTTGCACCACGAGGATCTTGATGGGAGGTTTAGGGTCTGCTACTAGGTAGTGATGAGGCGGGCCCCCGGGCATTGAGTCAGCATAGCCCACATCTGCGTCGCACGAGGCACTTGGACTGGAAGAACTGGGTCAGCGCCCTTCAACGCGATTCCACCGAAATGGGCTAGGAAGGTGGAGCTATGTATTCTGCCTTGTCTGGTCTTTCGATCGCACCCTTTCCAACGTCACAAGTCTAGAGTTTAAGCAACTCGGGTCGCTGCACTCGTATCGTGCCTCAACGGATGCAACCCTCGGGCCTTCTCAAGGTAGCAGACTGCGCCTACCACGTTCTCTACTCCATGACTCTGGTTGGTTACATTCCAATGACCACCCCGCAGCATCCGTATTTCCAAGGCTCCCCTCTAGCTTCCATGGTTGCGTGCTTGAGGGTTCAAATGTGGCGGTGGCGGAGCACATTCATCCCCTGTCAATCATCTATCAACCCGCCTAACACCACTCCATTGACAAGAACCGTTATCTGCATATGCTGGGCAGGGCGTCGCTATCGATAACGCTACTCGCTTCCCCATGCCATTGCGCAATTAATCCATCTATCAGGTCACCGCAATCGTACGCTTCTCGTTGCCTCGCTGCCTCGTCGGGAGCCCAAGGCTGAACGCATCTCCGACTTTCGTCCAACATATATATATCCAACCCACCAAACACCTGCATACTGTTCTATCCACTCATCATGACGAAGCACGATACGCCTATGACAGCGTCTTTATTTCAATCTTGCCGACCAATCCATGTCGCCGATGGAGGCCAGCCCCAAAACCTCGCACGCCACAGTCGTGGAAATGGACCATGCGCAAAGAGAGAAGAGCGGATCCTTGTCCGGTACTACGATTACTGCTGTCGCTAGTAGTTCCTCGTCGCCCGTTATTCCCCCAGGTGCGGATACGGTGAAAGCGTCCTGTAACAATCTACACCTGCCCGACCCGGTGCCAGGAGGGTGGCAGAAGCGACACATTTACAGATGGAAATCGCCACTGTTGATGTTGACGTCTTTTATCGCTGGCTTGGCATTCAGCCTCGCGCACTGCATCTTCTATCCCCGGCTCAGAGGGAAGATTGTGGGTGGGCCGGACGCACAGGAGGAGAAGATAAGGTAAGTGTCTCCTAACGCATTTCCAGTCAGGATCCGGCGAAGAGACGCATTAGAGCGCCGTCTTCGGAGCGCATGAGATGTTGCCAATGTCAAATGCTTCGCTACTAATATCACGTTGTCACAACTTGGTCAACCTTCCTAGGCTATGGTGAAGTGGAGCTGACGGTGCCCAGATTCGGTACGGCGTTCGCATTCCTCGCTCAGATCACATTGGCTGCGAGTGTCTGGATCAGTTACACCCAGTGGCTTTGGCGAACATTGAAGAGGAAGGAGATGACGGTTGGTGCTCTGAACGCTGCTTTCGGGGCCGACACTTCGGTGCTGTCGCTCTTAAATCTCGAGATGCTGCGAAAGCTACGAGTCGGATGGGTCATGGCTGGCTTTGCATGGTACGACGCTGGGTTTCGTTCCGAAATTTTCGCGCTTTACTGTGTCCCTTACGTTGTGTCTTACATCGTGTCTCGGAGTCAACCATTATAGTCACGGCGTCCTGTCGTGACTTTACAATTGGGTCAGCAATTTGCGGGACCTGTGGCATCAGAGCTATTCCAACATGAATCGCTAACATAGGCCTAGGACGCTCCTCCTGCCGCCCTTCTTCACACCGGCCACCCTCTTCGTCTATCCGAGCACGAACATTGCGGAGGTGAACGCACTGATGCCCTATCCGAGCATCGCGAACAGCAGCGTGGGCCACAAGTACGCTTATTCACCTCCAGCGCGGCGCGGCACGACCCAGTATGTGGACGACGTTAGTCGGACGTTTACAGGGCCGCGTACCATCCTCAGCCTTATAGCGACGGCTACTGCGTCTCTTGGCGATATTCTCCCGATAAACCTGCCCTACAACCATTCTACACACTCGATCAAGTTTTTCGCACCGATAGTGAAATGCCTCGACGCCAATACTTCTGCAGTCCAGCTGATCGCTCAATCTTTGCGAGAAGAGATGTCAGATGGAGATGGAAGAATTATCGAAACGGACAATGTTTACTACAGCTTTGTACCTACATTCAACCAGTCGGGAGACTTTGTACCGGTTTCCACACCCCGGCAACAGTCTTACTGGAATGCTACCAATGAGCTGTGGATGACCTTCCTACGGCCAACTTTGAACGCTTTGGGTGTGGGGGTTAAGGAACGCTACTTCCAAGTCTGCCGTCTGCACAACGCCACCTACAACTTACGCATCGATCGAGACCACGGCCTCCAAAACATCACGGGCTCGTACAGCGTCAACGAAGTAATTCCTTATCCCGACGATAACCGGACCTCGGTGTCCAACATGGCGCAACACGCATACTCCGCATTCATGGTGGCCTTGGCTGATCAGCTCGTCGGTAAATTCTCCTGGTATGTCAATACTGCCTTCAACGAGTCGTCGCCTTCGTCAACGCCTTCGGGCGCGGCTCAGTTCGGGGTGCTTGGATCCCAAATCATGCGCACGAGCCTACTGGGGAGTCTAGACCTAGACGCATTCTTTGACTTGGATGAGGAAAGACGCCTTTATAAGACGCCAGAGGGGAACGGAACGTTAAGCGACCAGAGACTGAAAGACAAGAGTATGGCCAGGAACAGAACCTTGGATGTCTTGATCGAGGAGTTGAGCTTTAACATCAGTATTGGGCTGATGTGGAATCCGCTGCTCACGTGAGCCTTCACTTTTCCTTCACTGTTTCGATCCTTTTTATCTCTGTCCGCTGATATTCCGCCTGCTAGTCAGACTCAAGCGGTCTCCATTAATTCAACCCGCTTAGTGAATCGTTACGACTACAAATCGCACGGTCTCTTCGTACCCTACGCTCTAGCCAACTTCTTTACTCTAATTACTGTTCTTGTTAGCCTTTATTCATATAAGCGCGACGGCGTAATGGCTAACAAGAACTTCCAGGATATTGTATCGGCTGTAGAAGATCCAAAGGTTGTAAGACTCGCTAGGAGTAGAAAAAGAAGCATTACGGCAGTTATAGTAGATAATAAGATAGTACTGCATGCAGGAATAGTAGACTATTAGAGAATAGAAGAATATTTAGATAAAACTATAGAAATCTTAAGTAGAAATAATATAATTATATACTCTACTAACGAGCTAACTATAAGAGCTAGCTTCGCGATCTCTACTACTATACGTCGAGCTCTAAAATACCTAGCTAGATAAGTTAATTGCTAGCAATACGGTCTCTACGAGCTATAAGAATAAGAGCGATAAGTAGAGTAGGTTAAGTTAAATTTAGCTATCTAAAGATAAGAAGTAGAAGAATACTCTAAGAGCTCTCTATATATAGAGAGCTAAGCGCTAAGACGCTAGATAAGATTATATAACTTAGGTAAAGTTATATAACTCTAGTAAATACTAAGCTAGACTATTATATTACTCTCTCTTATAGAGAGAGCTTATTCTTAAGCTCTAAAGTACGTCTTTAAAAGTATTCTAGCTATTAACTCTATTACTAAATTACTCTTAGCTCTACTTAGTAACGCCTTTACGTTACTCTCTTATCTTCTATCTATATAAGTTTTAAATTCTTTACTATCTTCTATAGAGTCTTCTCTTTTTTATATATCTTAATCTAAGTATCTAATTATAATAGTAGCTCTAGCTTATCTAGATATACTATATAAAAGTCTTTTATTTTATAGAGAGTATTAATAAAGCCTATAGTATTATACTAAATAGAGTTAGAATTATAGATAACCTATATAGCTTAGTATTAAAGATAATTTTAATAAAGATAGCTATCTAGAATTTTATATATAGGCTATTCTAGATTACTATCTACTTTAATAAGTAGCTACTTAGACTCTACCTACTCTAGTAATAGCTCTAAGACTTTTCTTAGCTAATTAGTATAAAAGATATTATATATACGTATATATATAAATAGCTAGAGCTAGAAAAAGTAACTCTTTATAGTAATAATTAGGTAAGAGCTATATATCTATTAATTAAGCTTTATGCTAGACTAATCTATTAAAAAGCTATAAGGTTTAATATAGACAAGGTTATCTATAGTAAAATTAGGTTCTTAGCAGTTTTTATTTACCTAGAGTATCTATCTAGTTTACGCTTTTATAATATTACTTTATATAATCTTAGTAGCTTTTTTTATAGTATTATACTAATTCTTAGTAAAAGCTTAAGCTTTCTAGTATAAAAGACGCTTATATAGAGTAGAGGCTTTTATTATATACTTTTTCTAATTCTAGTAGTATATTAGCTAGTATCTAAATTTAATTTTATACGCTATTAGTTCTATAGTTTTATATAGTAATATAGCTTATACCTAGTTTATATAAAGTAGAAGGTTTAACTAATTATTCTAGTAGTAGTTAATAAATAAATATAGACGCTAATTAAGATATTAATTAATAATTTCTATATTTCTATTAGTTTATAGATAGTACGTAGTAAAGAGCTTCTACTTAATTTCTATAAGCTAGTAGAGCTTATCTATAAAGATAAAGGTAAACTATAGACTATAATTTAATATAATAGATTTAGAAGAACTATATATACGCTAGATATATTAATAATATAGCTCTACTATATATTAAGCTATAATTTTCTTATAGTAGAGTAGAGAGAAGCTCTACTTACTTAGCTAATCTATAATAACGTATACGTAGTTAAATTCTTTTTTATTAAAGAAAAAGCTCTTAAAATCTATAAAGACGTTCTACTATACCTTTTTAGATATAATAGTCTAGTTTAGAAATTTATCTTAGTTATATAATCTTAGGTTACGTAATCTTATTATATAACCTAGCCTAGCGCCTTAGTACTTAGCACCTCTATATATAGAGCCTCTTAGAGCCTTTTCTCTACTTCTTATCTTTAGATAGCTAAATTTAACCTAACCTACTCTACTAGCACCTCTTATTCTTATAGCTTATAGAGATAGTACTACCTATAGCTAACTTATCTAGCTAGGTATTCTAGAACGCTTATAGTAGTAGAGACTATAAAGCTAGCTCTTATATTATCTAAAAGTCTATACCTTTTTAGCTAGAGATAGTAGTATAATATTAGGCTAAACTAAGTAGCCTTATAAAAAGCGTTTATAAATAGCTATACTAAGAATTAGAGCTATAAGAGCCTAGTTACTTACCTTAAGAATTAGAGCTAGAAGAGCTCTAGTTACTTACCTCTCTAGCGCTATATAAGACTACTAGCGAATCTAGTTAGTAGTAGAAAAGATACTACTAGTAGTAAGCTAAAGAGAGCTATAAGAGCTCTACGTATAGAAGAACTTTTATAAAACTTCTACGTATAGAAACTCTCTATTTTAAAAATTAATAATTCTCTACTCTACTAGTAAAGCTAATAATTAGCTACTACGCTAGTAGTATATACTTCTACTTCTTAAATAAAAAGCTATACTTAAGTTAAACTACTTAAATACTATAGATAAACTCTTATAAAGTAACTCTAGAAGTAAGACTTTAGTTCTATAGTACTCTTTTATCTCTATAATTCTTAAATTCTAGATAATGTACTTTATAAGCGAGCTAGTTACACAAGCGAGCTAGTTACCTTCTCTTAGCAACGAAAATTAACAAAAATTAACCCGTTTTTCTTAAATAACTAAGCGAAACCTTAATATTTTTCTATAAAAATTTATATATATATTCTCTCTAGTATATTACACCTTATAGTAAAGTTGCACTAAGATATATTACGTAATTAAAAAGCTATACGTATTTAACTAACTTTTAAGAAAAAATCTAGTTTACTTCTAGTAAGTACTATTATATCTCTATAATAAT